CCCCCGGCGGCCACACCTCCTACTTCTCGACCCTGTACTCCACCACAGAATCATACTACAACGTAGAAACAAAACCTACCCCCGTCCGAGCAACACCTCCCCTACCTCCCGGATCAACGTCTCCTCGCCCTTCAACTCGGGGATGTTCCTCTTCCCCACCACCATCTCCGCGACCCCCATCGCCTTGCACAGGTCCACGACCGTCCCCTCCTCCGGCGCCTCGTACACGAGCAGCCCCAACGCGAACAGCGCCCCGTGCAACGCCTCGCGGCTCTGCGTCTCCTGCCCGATGGCCTCGACCAGCGACGCGACGAGCTCGACCTGCATTTCGTCCGTGAGGGGATCCGGCCGGCTGGCGAAGCGGGCGTTGTGGTTGTGCGCGGCGAGATTGTAGGCGAAGGAGGCGGCGACGATACGGAGATTGGTGTGCGGGTCTAGGAGTGAGGCTGTCGTCAGGTGGAGGAGGTCTTGGAGGAGGGCAAGGTTCTGGTTGTTGTTGGACCCTGAGAAGTGGTCTGGGTAGAGCGGGGTCGTGAATAGGTTGCAGGCGAGTTGGAGGAGGGTGATGCGTAGCGGGTAGGGGGTGGTTGATGGGGAGGCGGTTGCAGAGGCCAGCAGGGTGCGCAGGAGGTCGTGGTGCGGGTCTTCGGCGGCGAAGTAGCCCGATACGCGGGGGTCGAGGAAGAGGAGGCGCGCGAGGTCGACGAGTGCGAATTGGTGCTCCGGGGCGAGAGTGCGTAGTGTCGTTTGGAGGTAGGGGCCGAAGGTTGGGAGGGAGGATGGCAGGGCGACGTCGGCGGCAGGTTCAGGGCTGCTGAAGCGGCGTTGGATGAAGTCGATGATGGCTGTCAGGGTGGTGTCGGTGGTGTGGGGGTGGAGCTTCTGCCGCAGCTTATCGAGTGAAGGGATCTTCTTGTAGGTGACGTAGTTGGTGAGGTGACGCTGAAAGCTGGGGAGATGGAGCTGGCGGTGACGGTGCGTCGGGTGCGCCATCTCCAGCAGCAGGCGCACGTTGCCGCGCAGCTGCGCTGGGTTGGCGCCGGCCCACTCGTCGACCTTCTGGCCCTTGAGGAAGGTCATGAAGGTGGGCGTGGCGCGCACGCGGTATTTCGTGCTGACGTCCAGCGCGCTGCTGATGTCGACTTTGATCAGGATGGCGCGGTCCCCGGCCTCTTCGGCCAGTTCGTCGTACGTGGGATAGACCATTCTGCAGGGCGGACAGGTGGCGGAGGTAAAGAAGATGACAGCGCATGAGTGGGAGGCGGCGGTGAGATGCTGCTCCAGCTGGGCCAGGCTGCTTGCCATTCGGACCACGCCCTGGGTAACGGGCGAGGGTTGGGCCGGCGCTGCCGGCGCTGCTGGTGCTCTGGTAGCGGGCGCTTGAGCACCGTCTGTGCCAGTGCCTTGGGTGACACCACGCAGGGCCATTTCGATCTGTGGCTTCATCATCTGACCAAAGGGCGTGCTCAGGAAGGTCTGCGGGAGGTTTCGGATGTGTTCCGGAATGCCCTTTCCGAGAAGAAACATGGCCAGGTCTTGAGTGAAGTTGTTGCAGTTATGCAGGAAGAGATCGTAGGACTGCGAGTGTTTTTTTTTTTTTTTTTTTTAGTTCACAACTGATGAGCACTGCCGAATGCAGGAGCATGACACACCTCGGGCGTGTAAATTTCCACCACGGACTGGATGTATTCTTCGATCACATCCAAGGGGAGCTCCGTTTGGCCCAAATGCAGCTTCTCCATCGGCTGGCCATGGTGTGTGCTACCGGGCACAGCCGTCTGGATGCCCTGGCCATAGTAGTACTCGACCCCATTTAGAACCAGAGAGGTGTGGTAGATGGCATCGATTTGGGTGCCCGTCAAGGGCATGGAATACTGGGGAGATGCTTGCATTAGATACGATGCAAGTGCTGCTGAGCGACGTGACCTACCAATCGCGCGAGACCCTGTGTAGAAAGTCAGTCAGTGATCTGGGCTACCAAGACTCAGAATGATTGGAACCACCTTGGAAAGGTCATAGACGTACAGCTCAACATCCATGATGGGTGTGGATTGGCGTTTAAATCTAAAGATGGTATTGTTCTGCTCTTTTTTAAGGCGTGTAGATCGCCGCAGGCATCCTTCAGTTTACGTCAGCCGCAGTCACGAGATGGAAGGGTTCTCGAAGGCGATGGAATCGAGGGGGAGGGTAGTTGCAGACGTACAGTTGTGAGCAGTGAAGTAGTAATGGTGGACGCGAAGAGAGTGTATCCCACCGCGGTATCAAAGACCAGAATCATGAACTGAAATGAAATGCACTGTTGCTGGAACAGTTGTTAAACTGCCAGAAAAGGCACCCTGCCCCGCTCCACCAATCAGCATCCCCGCCCATCTCTTTGACATCATATCTCGAGCTTCTCCAACTCCATTAGTGCGCGCATTCTTTTTCCACCTCACACAACACAAACACAACATGGTACGTATTCTTCAGTATGAGATCAAGAAGAACCTCACCTCACTAACCCTGCGTCTGCCAGCCTCCCAAAGCGCGAAAACGCGGCCCGCCCGCATCCTCCGCGACGCCGAGCTCCGCCCCGAAACGAGCGCGACAATCCAAGCTCGCAAAGGAGAACGACATCAGCGCAGCCGAAGAGAACGAGATCAAAGAAGTCTTCCACCTGTTCTCCACAGATGCCGACGAGTTCCCGGACGAGAAGGAGGGCGTTATCCCGATAGAGGATGTGAAGAAGGCGCTTTCGTACGTGCACCTCCAGCCCTACACATTACTTTGCCCCTCATCCCACCCGTCCTCCTACCACTCATCGCAAGGAGAGAGCAATCCCAACTAACACCCCAACCCACCCCGAAAACAGAGCCCTAGGCCTCACCACTGACCCCCACGAACTCCCCGAGATCCTCTCCGCCCTCGACCCAACAGAAACCGGCTACGTAGCGTACGAGCCCTTCCTGACGGTGGCAGCGGCCAAGCTGCGCTCGCGCTCCGCCGACGCCATGGCCGCCGAGGTCGACGCCGCCTTCCGGCTGTTCACGCGCGGCGCCGATAACACGGGCGTCATCACCCTGCACCACCTGCGCCGCATCGCGCGCGAGCTCAAGGAGGACGCTAACCTGAGCGAGCAGTTGCTCCGGGATATGATTCTCGAGGCGAACGGGGGCGCCGGGGTGGGCGCTGGGGTCACCTTGGGTCAATTTCGGGAGGTGATGCTTCGGGCTGGGGTCTTTTGATTGCGTTGCTGTTGCGGGGATCATATTTGGGCATACATAGGCACCGGGAGGTTGGGAGGGGGGGGGGCGGGGGGGTGGGAGTGGGGTGTTTACTTATGGTGGTGGTGGTGACGATTTTATGCGGCGTTTTTGGTCTGGGTTTGAGGGTTGAGGTTTATTCTTCGTGTTCGCTTGTTGTATAGAGCGGGCGTTGTTGGTTTGGATTGTGGAAGTATGTACATGGGCATTGCTTGGGTTGTTGCTGGGTGTCTTATCAGTCATCATTCAGGCATATGGGTGGTGAAATTGGATTATCATAGCACAGGTACAGGATTGACGTTGGGCAAGTCATAAAATAACATGTTTATTGTATCCTTGTAAAAGCAAAACCGAGTCGTAATGTACCATTAATCGATCGCCTCCTGCCCTCTCTCCCTAAAATACAAGCATTGGTGTACAAATCTGGCAGCGGAAGCTATGTTCAGAGGTAAGGAGAAACAGCCATGCAAAGCAGAAACTAAACGCCTGCGAATGGTTTGCACATCGGGGGTATCATATAACGCTGATATACAGGATCTGGGATAACCAGCCGCAAAGATTCAATCCACGTCCGAGACTACTGCGGACTTCTCGCCAAGCGGTTCGACAGGTAACGAGGCGGCGACGCTGGTCGCTTGCGAAACATCCGAGACAGTGTCGCCAGTGGCTGCTGATGTAGCCGACATGCCATCTGATGGGTTGCTGGATGTCGACGACGGCGTTGATTCGCCTTCTTGCGAGGCCAGCTCGTCAGAGTCCATGCCCCAGGAGAAGCCGGGCTCCACTGCTTCGTAGAAGAGCATAAAGGCGCCGCCTTGGGACATGACATTGACTTCGCTGACCATCTGCACGTCCTCGTCGCTGAGTCGGTACCACCGCTCGGGCTTCTCCTTGTCGCCGTCCGCTTCGAGAACGGCCTCTGGTACATGCGCCGGGAAAGCCTCCGTCGGGTACTTCCGATAGCAAATGTAATGGCCGTTCTCGTGGCGACCATAATGCGTGACCACGGCTCGCAGCTCATATAGTCGGCTGGAAGAATCGTCACCTCGAATCTGTGATAGCATCGAGATTCTAGGGTCGGTTCCCCATTGCTCTATGTCCTTGTTGGCTTGATTCGAGGACAGCCCTCCGAGGCACCATTCGTTCAGATCCATGGTCTTGGGAAATTTGACGGCGGCGTAGTTCTTCCGGAGCATCCCTGTCATCTCGTCGAACATGCTGCGGTTGATATGAACGACCAGGCACCTGGGGGGTCGAGCAATCACGGCCTGTCGTGACTTGGTTGTGGACACCCTGTTCTTCGAAGGAATGTGGCATTTCTCTGATAATGTCTTCTCGGCAAAATCTTCCTCCGCCAGTGCCTCGTCAACGGCTTGTAGACGCTCCCGAGCCGACTTGCAAAGAGCATCCGCGACTGTTGCAGACTGAGGACTCGACCGCGTAGTCTTCGTTTCCTCTTCAATCTGGGTCAGCAAATTCAAGAGCTGGGCCCGCGTGCGCTGCAAGGTACACTTGGCGCATTCCACCCCCTCAATCGGCTCCAGATGCATGTAGTGATGAAGACACTCCCGGATGTCATACTCAAACTTGGGCCCAAGCGGCACCGTCAAGCAGTTGAACGGGATCAGAGATAGACCCTCGGTCCATCCACATTGTATACATCCAACCCTCTGGGCGAGAAGACCTTCCAATGGGTTCGCAACGAGCTGGGTTTCCGACGCTGCTGGCCGCAAATCAACCGCACGGTCTGTCGGCTCCGAGACCCCATCAGTGCCAATGACATGTTCCTGCGGTCCAGCCATTTTCAGGCCCAGGTTGCGCGTCTGCCGCCGCGTCGCCTGCCGCATTTCGAGATCCAACTGGTCCACGACCTTTGCGAAGTATTCCTGTGCGTCCTGTTGCTGCCAACTACTCATCGATTTCAGATCCGGCGGAGTCCATAGCCGCTGACCGTAGCTCTCCGCGCTGTTCAGTCGCTCGATAATCTCCTTCAGGGCCTGGTGGGTGGAGAACGAGGACCGCTGGCCCAGCTGTTCGAGATTCCTCTCCAGGAAGTCTTCTAGCGAGTGGAGGGATGCCAGCCCCTGGATGATGCTATTTTGGTAACACGAGTTGTCCCAGTTGCCCAGACCCGGCGGGTGGTTGTCCTTGCCGCTCAGGAGCGAAGTGCCGAAGCCGGGGAAGGCCGACGCGTGAGGCAGGAGGGCGGAGAAAATTCCATTGTCGAGACCGAAGATCCGTCTCATCGCTTCGCTTTTCGCTTCGAACGTCATCGGCGCGGACGGCGAGTCGTCCGCCGACACAGTTCTCGGAGAGTCGAGTGCGGCAACCAGTCGCGACGGTGTAAAGCGGACCACTAGGTTCCATACGAAACGAACCAGCGAAAAAGGGACTAGACCCAGATAGCTCAAGATAAGGTAACCGGACACGACGGTCACCAATACACCGACGGAGAAGCTGGGGTGGCCTTGCAAATGCTGGAAAGCGGTGTCATAGTTGCTGTAATGCACGCTGCTGAAGGGACTCTGAGTGGAGAATCCGACCCCCTCTCTGCGAGCATTCATGGCTGGTGAGAGAAAGTCAGAGTCTGCGGCATGAGGACAGAACTATAAGCATATCTCAGTTAGCAGTAAAATGAAGACCGGCAGGATGGTCTGATGCGGAGACAAATGACTGTCCAACAGGTAGGTGTAGGTGCGGCCTGCCGAATAAGCAGCGGCCAAGTGCGTGTTGGGTCGCTACCGCCACCCGGAAAAGTTTTATCGATACCGTCCGTCTCCACACAAATTATTCCCATCACTCTGGGTGCCGCAATTACTTTCTCTGGGCTCACCACGGTTAACTTTTCGCGGTGTGCATTATGGCCAAGTCGAGACGTAAGTATATCTGTGCGCTTGAATAGCTTTTGATTTTACACATGCATTCCTAACATTATTGCGCCTACATTAGCCCAGTCCAAACATTCCCGTGCTGCCCGCCGGGCAGCTTCTCCCAGTCTCGATCTCGACAAGTCGTTGGTCTCCGTCCCTCGGGTGGAGGAGACTGTGCAACGTGAATCCATTCTAGCCGATCGAGCAAATGCTGGTGTCTCGAAGAAGAAGGCCAAGTCGAAGCCTCTGAGCAAAGTGCAGCGTGCGAGACAGCAGAAAGGAATAGAGAGAGCAGAGGCTGTCATGGATCAGCTCGAGAACAAAGTCAATCGAAGTGCCAATCGTGCCAAGGTCGTCAAAGCTCGCAGGGTATGAGTTCAGTTCCAGCCATTTACAGCGGTCTTATTTGCATGATTTCTGACAAGAAATGCTTATAGGGCGAATGGGAGGACCTGAACCGCAAGGCGTCTAAGACAGCATTCCAAGCCCTCAACGACGAGGCCGATGACCTCGACGCCATGGTGGATGACTCTGCTGCCCCCACAAAGAAAAGCAAGCCTGTTGCGCAACCGATCTTTGCCGCTCAGAATCCGGTTGTCGCCCAACACGCCGACAATGACGAGGATGAGGAGATCACCTGAATCAATTCCGCAGAAGAAAAGTTTTGGGTTGCACCAAATCTTTATTTCCTGGGCCTCAGCTGGTTGATCATCCGGTCGATCTCGGCGGCGGCTGGTCCGGACGCCCGTGTCTGCAGGAGCTCAAGGGCATTCACATTCTTTGCTCGGAAGGCTTCCTCGCCTGCTTTGGCAATCATCCCACATTTCACCCACATTTCCACTTTTTCCTCTGCGGGCAGGTTGGTGCATTTGGGGACAAACACCGAAGCGAGCTTCGTGTTCCCCGCTCCCAGGATTTCATTGTAAAAAGGCTGTCGTGAGTCGTGTGAGTATATGCATGTTTGAGAGTCATGGGCCTAGGGATTTCTCACCTCCCACCCTATGGGGGATTTTTTGATTTTCCCGATATCTTCCAACTCTCCCCAATCTCGCTTGGCCACTAGAGCTCTCAATCTCAACCACCAGAATGTTTTCTCTGGCATCCTAAATTCACTTTGGAGCTTCTGTGCTCTCTTGCCGTAACCTGATCTGATTAGCCTAAATATTGTTTCGTTCAAGCTCAGGCCTAGAAACTCGGTCCTGTCGGCAAGGTCCTTGTCCAAAGCTTCTTGCACTTTCAGCAGCTGTGAAGCTTCAGACAACAGCTTTTGTTGTAAGACTACCGATGGGTCCTTCGAGTCTGACAGCAGGCGCGATGCTAGATGGAGCTTTTCTGTCTTCCGTGGCAGGTCCGTCTCATTCAACGCCTCTAAAAGAAGCACATTCGAACCATCGATAGGACGGTCGTCCTGGTAGAACAGGTCCTTGAGCAGCTCTGTGTCCTGCGACCGGGCATTTGTTTCCACAAGGGCAGATGCCATGGGGCGGGTGTTGATAGTCCGGAAAAAGCTCGCGAGGGGGAGTTTTGACTTGAGGTGTAGAAGGACGTAGTTCACTAGATCGACGTCTCCACTTTCGATAGCTTTGTCCAAGGCAATCTCATCCTCCTCCATATTCAGCAGCAACGGAACCTGCTTGCCGGCCCGCGGTTCGTGGTTCAATAGTTGTGTTGCGAGATGCACGCGCCCTTCATCATAAGCCGTTTGAGCAATCAACTCAAATGATATACCCGGCTTTCCATCTAGTCTCTGAACAATGAGCTTACAAACTGCCTCGTCATCTCCCGTGGCGACTTTGACTTTTTGGCTCGCCCAATGGACGTAGATTTTGTCGGCAGCCAGTTCGAGGTATTCGGAAATTCGGATTGCCAGAAGATATTCGTGCCTGTTCACTAAGCGCTCGATGAGCCGCTCTGGCGTAAGACGCATATACTGCTCGTAGGAAATCGGCAATCCGATCTGATAGTCCCTCACTGCCTTCAACACTCGTAGTTTCTCCGTCATTTCCACGAATTCGTCGCTGTTGTATAAGTCGAGCACAGACTTTCCAAAGGAGGCTGCCTTCAACAGGCGTTTTTGCCAGTGTGTATCAAATTCCTGGCCCGCAGCTTTGACGCAGGTGTCAACTGCCTCTGGCAGACTAGGGCGGATCCGTTGAATATTCTCATCAGCTTTGGGGGATTTCTTCTCCAACAAGTCCACGGAATCCAAGAGCACCGATGCAGGCGAAGTAGAGCCAAGCCGGAAGATCGCCTCCGTGACGTCTGGCCCAAAAGCGTCAGTAGACGTCAATGAGGGTTCGGGAAAGGGACCCACCAGTGACTTTGTGCAAAAATTCGCATGTATCATTAGTGATGAGTCGTACACCATCAAACTCCGGTATAACTTGAACTGTTCCATCGTAGTAATACCTGCGTCGCTCAGTATTGTTATAGGGCGTGGAGAGCCGGACCTCCTAAGACATACCTCGCAGCAACACCATTGGGCCCAATAAGATGCACCTCATCTTCCCACGCAATAACAACCGCATCGTCTCCACACCAGTCGACAGTCCTAGGCGTCACTCGGGATTCCGGGTCATATTCGCTGTACTTGCTTTGGAAGTCACTGCTCACAACCCAGACTTTCCCTTCGGCTGTGATGAGCGCGACAAATCTTCCGGTAGGTGATACGCTCGCATGTTTGAACGGTCCATTCTGGAGAACCTTGTCCTCCGCTTCGGTCGGGTCGACCAAGTAGACAGTCTTATCAACAGCTAGCAACACCTCAACTGAGCGGGACAGCGTGTACGCAGGCGGTATCAGCGACCATGAGGAGACCTCTCCCTCTGGACAAGGTGCCAACAACCTGGGCCGCGGCTCGTCGTAGTTCGACACAACCACCAGCTGGTTGTTTGAGAGCAGCGCCACAAAGCCCGACGTCCAGAAACGACATCCCCTCACGCCATATTCTTCAGCCCCCTAGTCGGCAGTCAGCCCACACAAAATTAGACCTACCGGCACCGGAAGACTTACATTACCAAGGGAAAAGGAGGTGAAATCGCCGTGAAGCCCAAAGTAACGGCGGACCGTGCCGTCTTCGGTAATGACCAAGAGCTCTTCTTTATCGGACCAGCCGAGGCCACGGATCGTGCCGTACTCCCACTATAGGAAGAATTAGGCGGCTGATATCTCATGCTAGGGGAGGTCTACTTACATTTAGCCGATTGATGAGCTTCCCTGAGCACGAGTAGATGTCAATGCTCGACTTTGTCGTCTGTGCGTCGCGGAACCGGTACGGCTTGCTTTCATCTCGGTGCAGCGCTATTGAGACCCGTCAGTAAGGCGAATGCAGCGTCACTTTCCGCAGCGAGACGTCTCGTACCGATAGCTCCTCCGTAGGGAGCGCCCGCGATGATGTAGTTCTCTAATTCGATGTCTTCATCGAAGATCGCGTCATAGATGGGCACCTTGCGGTAGAAACTATCGCCCAGTCTCTCCCAGTTGGCGAGAGGATTAGATGGGGCCATTGACAGCAGTCAAAAGACTGAAAACAGCCTGGGCAGGGAATAACAATGAACAGACGACGCTGATGTTGTTCATCGGGGGTTTCCGTCGGGGAAGCAGCAGCAACCAATTTAACTAATAGTAGTAAGGTAGCAACAACTCCGGACCGATGGGGTCAAGCTCCGGCGCTAAGCCTGATTAGGTCAGTAGTGTGCTGCACTCACCTTCCTACATAGATATCTGCCTCAGGCTGCCAGCACTTATCCCCCGAACAATAATGTTGGCTGCTGCCAGGATGCCGCCGTATGCGAGGTACGATGGATCACAACGCGGAGATCCGCCATCTGGCCTTGGAGCTCTCGGACCTCGAGGTCGCTCTGTTTCTCTGCCTGGCAGTCCATGAGCACTGTCGAGTCGAGACGACCGACACCCACATCAATGACGTTGCCAAAGAGCTCGCCCTGGTAAATGACCGATAACGGGACTGCGTTTAGAATCTTATACCCATTGACTAACGAGCAGCCGCACCAGATATGCGCCAACACTTTCGAACTATCTCACGCGATCGTTGACTGCTCGCATGCGACCACGTTCGACACGTTCCTGGCGGAAATATCAGCACCGCAGACCTCCAGGGACCATGTGCGTCCTGCGCGTCCGCGCATGACAACCGAGTCTGTAAGCATTCGTACTTCGCAATGATGTTTCTGCGACCGCACCACTGATCAGACCAGTCGAGTACATTACTCTCTGCTCACGACTTACAGGGCGGTCGGAGTCGTACGAAGTCGTCGAGGTCGCCCGGATCCTCCTACGGCGTTTCCAATGTCATCATAGCGAAGCACTTCGACCATGTTGGAGACAACATCCAACGATCGGTGCTCGAGGTAATAGCCGATCAATGACTACCTACTAAGCCTCGCCGACCATCTGACTGGAAGAATAGTTGATGCGCTCGAAAAGTCTCTCCCTCCAGGCTGGAACCTGGCAAGCACCAGCAGACTTCCTTTTCGTGCCCCTGATAGCACGCACGGGAGGACAAGACTCACCCTCGTTGAATTCTCATTTGGTCGGCCTCCCTCTCATCCACCTACACTCCAGCCTGCTCATGCGTCAACAGAACGACCACTTCTTCATCTCACACTACCAAGACCCCGAGGACAGCTACGCATACTTAGAAGAAGACAGCGACTGGCTCTCGGAGGGACAAACATCCGCTTCGTCCGTGATCCGCAAATCCGAAGCCCAACCGAATAAAGGCCACCCACACATAGATCGAAAGGTAAATCCCCTCCCCCAAGGACCATTCCCAACCCTACAAAGAGGCTCAAGCTGACATGCTGACATGGAACGTCTACAGACACTAGATAAAGTACAGCAATGCAGCGAAGCCGTCTCCGTGGGTGCGGACATCATCCGCTATCAGCAAGATATTGTCGTCTTCCTGCGGCTCAGCCGCGCGGTGGCCGGCGGCATCTCCACGCGATCGAACCTGCATTTCAAGGCATTCTCCAGGTCAGTCCCGTTTCCTTGCGCGAATCGCACGAGAGGACACTTGCTCACCTCGCCGACATGTCTCGGTTCGGTAGGTTGCTGGCTGTCTTGCATGGCGTGGACTTCGTCACCCCGTCGATCGCGGCCTTGGCTGCAAAGAAGGTCTTTCGCCATCGGATCGTGGTGGCTCGGCCTGAGGAGGACCGGAGCTTGCAGTATGGGAGTGATCTTGGGGCGGTGACGAAGGTGCTGGAGTACGCCAACCCGGATACAATCTTAGAGGGGGTGCTTACGCTGGAGGCGCCGTTGTAATGGTGCTGCACCTGTCATCGGGCTAATTCTGGGGCCATCAACCTCGCTGTATCTGTAGTAGAAATGTCAGTTTGGTTCCTGTTCCTGTTGGTTACGTCAACCTTTTGGGGCTATGTTTTTGATTTCTAGGACTATCACTTCCAGTGTCTGAAGGACTACAGTACCCTGTGTCCCTGCGGTTTTTCGTCCTTTCCTTCCTGCTTGTAGGCTTCATATTCAGCAGTCTATATCAGATAACGAAGGTTCGGTACAGCAGCACAATCTACCCTGTGGCCATTCTGCAGGAGAGACCTTTCTTTATCTTCCGTATTTGATTCCTGCGAAACATATGATTGTTATTCCTCCGGACTGTATTCTACGTCTGTGGATCCCCATGCATCGTAGCCCTCATACTTTCATTTAAGCTCATATCGCCATAACCTCATAAATATGTGCCATGGACATAAATCCATACCAACTCCAATCTATCAAATCAAGAGTAGCCCCTATACCATATGTACTACCCCATCTTCCACGGGCCCCGCTACATAGAAGCGCAGCAAGCACCCAGCCCGACTAACACCCACCCTGCGAAAAATCAACGCCGATCCCTCTTCAGGAACAGCTCGGGCAAAACAAATCTGTCCTCCGCATCGCCGCTAGCAGGACGAGGGGTGCCATCGACGTCGCCACCGCTCGACCGCCCAGCGTCGACGAAAGCCATCATCTTGCGCCATTCATCCAGCACGACGTCGACCTCGGTCTTGGCGTCGCCCACGATGGCGTCCATCTTGATGTCGTTGCGGTCGTAGCCGAAGGGGTCCTCGAGCTGAGAGCCGATGCCCTCGATGCCGTATAACGTGAAGATCACCAGGCTGACCATCGGGATGGTCCACCAACCCATGTCGTCGACCATGCCGAAGGGGAGGACGCAGCCGAAGAGGGCCAGGACCTGTTTCTGATGAATCCTAGTCGTGGTGTCAGTAGAGGAAGGTCTTTGGGTAGGAAATGCGTTTGGAAGGTCTCAACGGGCTCAATATTTGATGGAGGGGGGGGGGTTGGCCCTGCCAGGAAGAAAGAGGCAAAGAGAAAAAAGGCGGGTAAGGCGTAACACAGAAAAAGCAAATGTCAAAGCAGAACTTACAAGTGCGCCACTGGGATCGGAGTAAGCTTGATCGTCTCCATCCGCCCGTAGGCATCAGTCAGAGTGTTCAACTGCGCCTGCATTTGACTTGCCCCCGGGGCGTGGAACCAGGCGCGCTCAACGCCGCGCTTGATGAACTGATCCACGAAGAAGGTAAGCTGGTAGGGGAGTCCAAGTCCGCCATTCTCATGGCCCTCGAGCCCAGCGGGCAGGAGGCTAGCGAAGTCCGGATTGAAATCCGTGACGCCATTCTCCGCGACGTCGCTGCCCAGAGCCCAGGCTGCACCCCATTCGGCGCGGAGGTGATTCTTGACAGCAAAGGGGATAGCCATCAGGATGCGCACCGTGCGTTCGATGTCCTCCTTCTCTGCCGCCGTGGGCGGGCCTCGGGGGCTGTACCCATTCGTGACGATGATCCGGACCAGGTTCCGAACGCAGGTGTTGATAGTATTCATGCCATTTCGACCATCCCAAAATCTGTTGTAGGAGGTCTGATTGCGGAAGACTAGCATAAGGCCGACCACGATGGACAAAGATGGGATCTTATTGATTTTGTGATAGTGTGCGATAAGTTGCGGTTCGCGGTTGTCACGGCGACAGGGAAGCAAGAAAAAGAACTCACAATGCTACTTGGGAGGCCGACGGTGTCGAAAACGTCTTTGTCCAGCCATACCACGAATGCTGTGAATAGTGCATGCAAGAAGACTGGCACCAGAATTGCCGCATGAATGGCGCCTTTGATGAACCGAAACACCAAAGGCCATCTACGGTCACGTCAATATAAGCGCCCAACTCACTCAACAGGGAAGTCGAGAAAGATGGGAAGACGGTACATACCTCCTTGGTTTGTGCCTGGTCGATAAAAGATGGGGATGGGTACCGTGACGATAATGGTGGGCATTGTTGAGAAATATAGTATTCTGGCGGCTCAAGGCCGGTGTGGGAGGGTTGCTGAGACTCAAGCGCATGACCAAGTCGATTTGAGATGGTAAACCTGCAGGAGATATGGGTATGTCAGGTACACCAGTAGATCCTTGGCCTGGTGTCAGGGACTCGAGAATTGGGATTTTGGATGGAGGGGCAAGAAATGGAAGGAGGAAAAATAAAGAGCGGTCTGCGACTTCACGTCCGGTAACTACAGTACAGCTAAGGTACTGTACTAGATGGGACTAGTGAGTAGTTACCTAGTCTAGTCTAGTAAGCCCGATCTTGATCTTATCAGATGGATAAGGTGTGGATATACTCCCCCCCTCGAACAAAGATTATCTTTCTCCACGCGGGTCTCGGTTAGAAGCCTACAAACGACGGACAGGAATATGAGATTCCTTGAAGATCTAGAGCATGCATTGTTCGCGTCATGTCTTGACTCACATTTCTTTGTCCCAGACCGCAACGACTTCGGCGAAACAAGGACTCAGGCGCGGATATCTGCGACATTGTCAACAGACACAATGCTGGTAGGGAGTTGTAGAAGAAGCGCAGCCGAGAGATTTCCGCTATCTCTGGCTGCTACTGTGAATATCGGACTCAGTAGCCGCTGGTCCCTCGAGATCGGTCTGGGTATAAATTGACCGCTGCGCGCCATCGAAATTTGATCCTCTAATCTCAACAGTAGATACACAACTGACTTCCTTGCCTGTACTTGAAAGTCCACAGAGTCTACTTTTACCCCTCTTGACTCCTCTACCTTTGCTTTATCCGCATATCTGTTGAAGAGATGTCTTACGCATACGGCCCGTACAAGGGTTGGTATGGCCCCGGGTTCGAATCTGAGTCCCAGGACCACAAAGAGATCGAGCACAGGATTGACGAAGATGCATCGGGTTCGAATGAGCCTCGAGAATTCAAATATACTGGCCAGAAGCTTGACGAGCAACTTGTCTCCGAAGTGATGGAACTTCTGGCAAAGAACGGCATCGCCGCCTTTCTATTCGGTGATATGATGCTCCGCTTCTTCGGTTGTGAGGTGACAGTCCGCAGCATCAACCTCTCGATCCCGGATGAATTCATGGAGAAAGCAGTCCAGGTCCTACGTGGGGCAGACTTCTACGACGGCCCCATCGAGCCCTTCGAAGTAGAGGAGTCCGATTGTTACTTTTTGGTGCCTGCGTCGTATCCAACGGGTTTCTTCGCCCATGGATGTCGATACTTCGAAGACACCGACCTTGACCACTATGCCTGGGGCGCTTGGTGGCGGCCTACGCACGTCTTTCACCTCAAGCCTGCCCCGGGTAAACTGGGCCACATTGACATTCACTTGTTCGACCACTCCGTCAGTTTCTGGGATCTGCCTGCTCCTACCCTGGTTGAAGATGCCCGAAACTACGTCCTGTCGAGTGACCGCCGCCTTCCGAAACCCGTTTGTTTCGGGACGAACCGTCATGCGATCAAGATGATCTCGCCTGTCCGATGGGTCGAAGCCCTCATCTTGCTTACATATCGGGATGTACATACGTGTCATCGACTCTTTCACGGGCGGGTATGGCCTGAAGATCTCTACATCACGTTTTTTATGGCCGGCAGGTCGGAATCGCAGGACAAGGATCTCTTCGATAAGCAATACCTCGCCAATTATCTCGACAATTGCTACGACTGCGCTCTCGATGATCTCGCTCTTGATATAGAACATCTTGAAAACGTGGTCAAGATACAGGGATCGTTGGACGCGAGGTGGCTTCGGCTAAGAGACTTCCAGCCACTTTTCCAAGAATATTTCGAGTCATTGTTCGAGAGGAAGCGTCTGTTATTTGAAGACTACCACAAGTCGCTCGAGCTCCTCATTCACGAAGACGAGCAGTGCATGGAGAAGGAGAAAGAAGAAGAGGATCGACTTGAGGCTTTCTCCGAGCTGCCCGAGTTCAGGGGGTGGGATCTGGCATTCAAGTTGCGAAACGCAGCAAAAGAACAACAACACAAGATTGAAAAATGCATGTGGCCCCATGGCGTCATGATACCATGGGCTCTAGCCAACCACGACGGCAAGGCCATGGATGATTTTGCTCAACGCCTGGCAGAGGCGTGGCTATTGCCAGAAACCCCTTTTCCGCCTACAGGGTTTCCCAAGCACTATCGCCCCATTCAGCCAACTGCCTGCTATCCATTAAAGGACGAAGTTAGGTACTAGACCTGCACCCAATTGTTTACCAGTTGTAGTTGTAGTTGTTGGAGTGGTGATCCGCTATGTCATTCGATCTCAGTTACGCGTTATACTATGAACTACAACTGTTATTTATCACTTCCACCTAGTCATCCGCCAAAAATCTGAATCATTAAGCTCGTATCATGTCAAATGAACAAAAGACCCCCCACCTCTTCGGTAGTCAGGCTCGCCTGAAGTCAGACATTCGCAAACAGAACAAAGAGAACAAGACCAGCACAAATCCCCTCTCATTCTCTTCTTGACGTGATGCGATGCATCTCTGGGATTATCTCCGTAGCTAGTCAGTGAATGCGACCTCGTTCCTTGAGTCCTTTAATCATTTCGATTCAGCGATTGTTCTTTTCGTGCCTTTAGCGAAGGGACCGTTCATGGCAGCCTGCAAGGGGCAACGGACTTTGCGAGACCCAGGAAGAATGATCGAAATTCCGCGTGTTTTTGCTTGTTCCCAAGGTGTCACTAGGCACTATTCCATTGACATCATCGGTAGAGATGGGAAATGAGTCAGATTGCACGGATCGGAAGACATGCGACGACCGTAGGGCGATACAGCGAAGCTCGGGACTCTTCAGGATGGGAGATTCGTGTCCTGAAATCCAGTAGGCTTTCATCTGAGCCGGTGTCACTCTGGTGGCACTGGGAGATCATGCCACAAGTAGAGATGCATGTCTCAGATGTATCGATCGTGGCTGAGAGCGAATCCGAAATCAGTGGTCTAACAGTATCCCAGCTGTCGCACACGAATTCGCCAGGTCGACAACGTCTAGGGCTTGGACCCGGCGTCCCATGAGTTGTCACTAAAATGACTATCAAAGTTGGTCATTAGCTCGTCCTCAACCGGGAAACTTGAACTTTGAAAGAGCAGACATGCTACGATTTCCAGGGAAGAAGGAGAAGGAGAGAGCAAAAGAAGGGGGTTAGGGGGGGGTCGACGGGAATTTAAGACACTAACTAGTTTGGTACTTTTGGAAATAGCACCTCTTGACATTGCTTACCTTACTGAAAACCTTCGATCCCTACAAGCCTTGGCTTGGTAACAATTCAGAGTCATCCGCCTGTTGTAAAGATCTCTTGTTGGCCGAAATCTCTGCCCCTTCTTAGGATTAGGACCAAGTGGTAAGATTGTTGTTTGGTCCGGCCATACGACCTTGGAATAGATCAAAAAGCAGCAGTTGTAGTCAGCAATTCTTATTTCGACTAAGACGAATGGGTTCGCTGGCAGGAGTCTCAATTGAAATAATCCGTTGGCTGCATAGTCCACTCTACTTTCCGCCTTCCATGTAGCGGCTGAACGTGGAGTGATGGCTAGTTGATTAGGGCAGTCGTAGTGGGTCGAACCCGAAGATAAGCATCACGCACCAACGTTTGACAGCTAAGGGTGGAAGCCACTATGAAAGCTTCCAGTCGGCTAAGGTCAAGCCCTGTTACTCGAAGGTAATAATGAGATGCAAAGTGCTCGTCGCCTGTGTAACACCGGACAACAGAGCCCGTCAGAATCGCGAGGTCAGGTCTGATGCTGTTACATCCAAGTTCGTCTACAACGACCCTTAATCCTAGTCCAAGGCTCAATCTGTGCGCCTAGCGGTCGCTGCGATGGATTTTCGTCGCTTCCCCTCGAGGCGAGTTGGCTGATAGTATTGCGTCATGCCGCCCACGAAAAGACTAAGAGGTGTCTGAGGAATCCTCGTTCTTTGGGTCAGGACATTCAGTGATGTAAGAAGGCAAAGTAAAGATGAAGGGTGCCTGTGGAATATGAATTCATGATCGACTATGTGTACTCAAAAAGAAGGATATAATTAGAAATGCTGTAACCGTTGGATAAAGATCTTCAAGATGACCTATGGTTCTGCTTGTATGCTGCTCGGAAAGTGGCCGTTGGCCGTTGAGAGTTCCTTGATTGGATGACAAAGCCATGAAGATCGCGATTGCACTTGAGCCGATACGGGAAAGTATAGTGGGATTCTTTCCCGTTTCTTCGACAAATGATGGGTTGTCCCCCGCAAATGCCAGACTCACCCACCCAATCAAAGAGCCGGAATAACGCGCCGCCGACATCAGGTTCCGGCTGGGCTGAAGTCATGATCGGCAACGCGCAATCGGCTCCAGGATTGGTGGCCAGCCAGCCTTACGAGAGCTCTTCTGCCTTTTACCAGTTACCAACTGACAAGTGCTCACTCACTACGTAGGTTAATCTGCTTTGGCCCCACACAAAAGTACTCCAGACGTACCTAGATTCAATGCTCCATGTCAAGTGGATGGACGGAAGCCCCCCTTTCCCGCACGGCGGGTCGAGGCTTGCCTGCTGCATGTCTGTCTAATTTGGGATGGGAGTGATAGACATGAGAAACTGCCTGGCGCGGTCAAGGGACCTGCTGCTTTAGGGCTGATAATCGATTAACACATTGCGACGTCATTCCATCGCAGGGCTCTCCCAAGTTGAATGCACACAAGTCAAGCGGTTGTTGTACCAAGGCTTGTTTCGTAAAGATGGAGTGACATTCACCACCCGCCCGTTTGACTTGAGGCAATACGTAGCCTGACGTCATATCCACCTCGTTCTTCCCTCAGGCAAGAAGTTATATAAACCTGAGGATTTCATGTTCCAATTGTCCTCAGAACATCTGCAATCTACACAACACTACACAACACAACACAACACACTCTAAGCAACAACAAGAACTTCAACCAACAACTCAGCTACTCCTTTTCTCTCCTTTACTTCAACAACTACAATCACTACATATCACACATCATGTCTGGAATCATTCACAAGGTCAAGGACGTGGTCACTGGTCACCACCACGAGAACAAGACCGAGAACACCACCTCGGACAACCACGGCCCCCACTCCTCCAAGATGGCCAACAAGATGGACCCTCGCGTTGACAGCGATCGTGGTAGGTGTTCCTCTTTCTCATTCATAGAAATTCGGTGCTAACCTGAGTCTTCAGACAACCGTGCTCGCCACGAAACCATGGGCGGTGCTCACGGCCCCCATGAGTCCAACATGGCCAACAAGGCCGACCCCCGTGTTGATTCGGACCGGGACAACCGCGCTCACCCTTCCACCACTACCGCTGGAGCTGGCTACAGCGGCAGCACCAACGCTGGTCCTCACGACTCCAACATGATGAACAAGGCTGATCCCCGTGTCGACTCGGACCGCGATAACCGTGTCCGTCACGAGGCCCTTGGAGGAGCTCACGGCCCCCACGACTCCAGCTTGGCTAACAAGGCCGACCCCCGTGTCGACTCGGACCGCGACAACCGCGCTCACCATTCCACCACCGCCACTGGAGCCGGCTTCGGTGGCAGCACTGGCTACAGCGGCAGCACCAACGCTGGTCCTCACAGCTCCAACATGATGAACAAGGCCGACCCCCGTGTCGATTCGGACCGCGACAACCGCGCTCACCACTCCACTACCGCCACTGGAGCCGGCTTCGGTGGCAGCACTGGCTACAGCGGCAGCACCAACGCTGGCCCTCACAGCTCCAACATGATGAACAAGGCCGACCCCCGCTTCGACTCGGACCTGGACAACCGTGCCCGTCACGAAGCTCTCGGAGGAGCCCAGGGCCCTCACGGCTCCAGCATGGTTAACAAGATGGATCCCCGCGTCGACAGTGACCGAGGTATGTCTCCAATCAGTTCTAAGTACTTTTCATCCAAAAAAACCACTAACACATTCCGTACAGACAACCGTGCTGCCTTCGGCGGTGCCACCACCACTACCGGCCACGGCGCCTACGGCTCTTCTACCGGTGCCGCAGGCTACGGTGCCGGCCCTACCACTACCACCAGCGGAACCGGCTTCGGCGGCAGCACCACCAACGCCGGCCCTCACAGCTCCAACATGATGAACAAGGCCGACCCCCGTGTCGACTCCGACCTGGACAACCGTGCCCGCCACCAGGGTATGGCCAGCAGCAGCTACAACACCAATGCCACTGCCGGCCCCCACCGCTCCGACATGGCCAACAAGATGGATCCCCGCGTGGACTCTGACTTGGACAACCGTGGTACTCTGGGCACCCAGCGTGGCTTCTAAGTTCAAGAATCTTAGACAAGACAAGACAAGACGATGGGAAAAGGGCTTCGAAGAAGTCTTATCTCCAATCTTGTATTCATGATGCTGTTATGACCTGTTGATACGCCCCATGTGCTTTACTGCTTCTCTCTTGTTTGATACCAAGCAAGCTTAATGATTCTTTCCTACAATGTACTTTATCGAGACTGATTTGCTATCAACTGAATGAAATCTTCACATGATTATCGGTCCGCGTGCCCCAGGCGCTAGATTAAGAAAGACTTGTGGATTAGAACTTTCAAGCTCGAGGCCAGCAGGACTCTGCCTGGATAGGTCCATTCCCACGTCCCGGGGGAGAACCCCCGGACCCCCCTTTCTTTCAGCCTCCCCAACACTTGAGATAGCTCCCTGTTGCATGGAGTATATCCACATCCCCTACTAGACAAGTCCCGCCTCGCAACCGCAACTTAAGCTACACCTAGCTACACAGCTCAAACAACCTCGCCCACGCCCTACACCCCAAGTCCAGTCCAGCACGAGTCTAACTTCCTACCACATGAAACGAGCAACACCGGACCCAAACATTCCCTACGCATACCCTACCCCATCCCCTCAACCACGAACCCAATCCATCCCAATGCCACTGCACAGTAATACCTAAACCACGCAGTAAACCTTCAACCACAGCACTCGACCAACCCCAACATCCAGCATAGCACAACAACCCACAAAACCCCCAAATGCAGCCAATCGCTAGTCAACAAACTTCCTTTCCAGGTTTGTGGCGCAGTGCAGTGCAGTGCAGTGCAGTGCAGAGCGTGGCATCAAGTAAGTATGTAGGTAGGTATGTAAGATTTCATTCGCGCTCGCCTGTGTCTGGAGTCCCAAGGCTCAAGAGCCAACTACTTAGACCGGGTAGACCGGGTAGATTCCTTGCTGCGGTGAAGTTTACTTGTTATACTTTAGCTTGGGTGAGTGGTGGCTGGGCTTCCTTACTTGCTCTGTTTTGTCTTTTCTTGTCTTGTCTTGGGTATTACCTAATAGGTGGGTAGGTAGGTTTCGGGAGCGGCTGGGTGTGCAATTTAGCTGGGTTGTATCTCAGTCTTTTGGTTGTATGGAGTGAGAGGTTAGTAAGTAGGTAGGTAGGTAGGTAGTGGTGCTGGTGCTGGTGGCTTGGGTTCGGGGTTGGGGTTGGGGTTTGTTTGGGCTTGGGCTTCAGTACTCGGGCTGGGTTCACTCGGGACTGGTTGGTATACATCAGGGCATGGATGCGTTGCGGTTGCCGGTGATGGCTTACAGGAAGTGGAGTTTTACTGTGCGGTAGAATGGGGTTCCGTATTTGAAGGTAGGAAGTCGGGTACTGTACTATGCTATCCATGCTATGTTCTACTATACCTATAGGTGCGATGTATCTCCTCCCTATGGGCAGGATAGCTGCTAAGAACGCTCGGCACTACGAGGCTAACTATGGATGCAGGCAGGTCATGCTGGTCAGCCCCGCTGCTCAATCGGGCCGATTGGCCAGCAATACGGTACCGATGCCAGTACGATACAGAAACCCCGGCCGGGGTTCGGGTGAGACATGCGTCTTGAACTGGTCGGGGTGTGTACGAGTCACACAGGCATGCAGTCCTCGGGGGTTGAGATCTCAACTGCTTGGGGCCAGGGTCCGGGCGGATGCATCGCATCATGCACTGCAGGTATATCTAGGGTGAGACTTGTATCGATTACCTGGTGGATCATGGATTATGTTACGCAGACTTATGCAGGCTCCAACACTTTAATCCGACGAGAAAGTATTTCAAGATGCATCTGAGGAACTACCGACTAGTATGTACATCTTCGCCGAGAACGCCGGGGAAATGAGAAAGTAAAAGACAATCCGACTCGGGCGGTCTTCTGCATGTGGCGGCTGCGCAGGACCAAGGGGATCGAGCGACTGCCGATCAGAAGACGCCATCTGCGATGTCGGGCATCATCTGTGAAAGAAAGGGTTGCTTCAAAATGGGTATAAGTCATATCAAGGGGACGGACCGCAATGCTCGATGCTTAGGCTGAAAATGGGAAATGGACGATAATGGTGGCTTGAACGGAAGGGCAAACAGAAAGTGAGAGTGCGCGACAGTGATGATGGGGACGCAAGCGCAACAATATGCAAGGACCGCTGGAACAAAAATGATCCAATGCAGATAACCCAAGAAGGTGGCGTAGCTGGGTTCCGTCTAGGGCATCGCAGCCCGACCGTCGAGGGCTAGAGGCCCCGAATCGTTTAGCGGGGTCAGAGGATTCTCGTCTGATGATTCGGAGCGTACGGGCGTTTCAGCACGCAATGGCGCCTGTCGAGTGTGGCTAGACGACGGGGACTGAGTCAAAGACTGCCAACCGGGGATTTCGTGGTTGCTGTTTGACGGAGCAGAATCAGGATTCGATGTCGGTGCCGGCAGCGGTGCGGAATTATCGTCCGATGCGTCTAGATCTTGAAGGCGCATGTTCTCGATATTCGCAGCGAGTCCTGCCTCAACAGGAAGCCTGGTCTCGAGGCGACGCTCATCTCCGGCAGTCTGCGAGGGTGGTGTGGCAGGATTGGCTTCAGGTTGAGGGGTATGTGTCTCCGACCGAGCGGATTCGGGCTTGTCCTCCGCAGAAGCGGACTTCGATTCCTCCTCCTCCTCCTCGAGATCGTTCGTATCGTCGACCTCCGCACTTAGATCGGTGTAGGCACGACAATTGGGACATTGAAACATGGGATAGTCAGGTGTATGGATGAGACGGCTGACACATTTGTAATGCCAGACGTGGGCACATGCGGCCATGAACAGGCACTGGTAAGGGCGCTTCATGCGTCGTTAGCAAAAACTACGCTTCAGGAGAAAGTTGGGGACTTACCAGAACAGATCCCAAGCAGATTGAGCATTCTCGACATCCAGAGTAGTCTGCGGTATCCCCTTTGCCAAGGTTCTTGATGAGGTTTTCGGTATTTTTACTATATCACCGTTAGCTCCAATCTATCGCGTCGGACAGTCTGAACATCTTCACGTACTTGAACTCATTTGGCTGCTGCTGCCAAGACCGGTTGCATTCGATCCGAATGCGGACACATCGGAAAATCATTTCCTCACCCCCTCGAAAATCGATGCCTAGCTGTACGATATCCCCGTCTTTGATGGTGTACAATCGAGAGGCGATGTTCGGCTGGCTCAGTCGCATATGATTGAGAAAGGTGCCCGACGAACTTCCGACATCCTTGACATGCCACTGCCCGTTCAAATACATGAATTCGCAGTGTTTCCGACTCACCACCTTCGATTTAAATCCGACAGGGGCATCAGAAGGCTCGGTGGGGTTTGCCACGGGCAAGCCATCCCGCTCGGAGTATCGACCAACACGAATGACGCAACTATCGGAGGGCAATGTGCGAGAGATAGGGATGAAAGGCAATGAAGGGCGGCTGCTGGCGTGCGAGTCTTGGTGAGGAAAGAACCGAATGGTGGCCTTTTGTTTTGGTCGCGGGGACGAAGTGGACGGGCTTTCGGAGACCACTGGATCAGGACTCTCCAGGGCGCTCGGGTGAATGTTGCCCGCGCTCGACACCTCGCCGTTGGACCTCGCATCGACGGCCTGTGATGAACCTCGGGGTCGCGCCATGATATCTCTCCGTGTTTCGTTGCGAAGAGGAGGGCTAGGCGATTCTGTAGATGGAGATGGCTGGGAGCGCAAGTCGAGTTCGAGGCCACGATAGCTGGGGAAAAAAACCGAGCTATAGCGGGCGAACGTGGACTGATGTTCACTTTCGGGACATGGGGCCCGGTTGCTAGTCTCCACTGTCGAGGGCGAAGATTCGGGTCCGGTGGAGGCGGCTGAAAACCAAGAAACTCGATTACCGAGAGTATGACGCCGCGAAACCCGCTGACTGTTGGCGGACGACGAAGAAGAAGAGGAGGAGGCGGCAGTGTGTTGAGGAGAAGAAAAATGATGCTGGGTATAGGCACGTAGTTGACTTAAACGACGGAGGGGACCTAAACGGGAGTCGGAGGAGGCAGATGGAGGAGAGAAGGAGGAGGATGGGAGGAGGTTGGAGGAGGGAGAGGCGGAGGCGGAAACGGAAGCAGTCGACATGGTCACTCGCGGGTGACTTGACTTTGACTGGTTGGTCGGGCTTGGAAGTGCTTGTGGTGTGTGGACTGGGGCGCGGGTGGATAGACACGGTAGATAGGTACAACACCACCACCAACAACCACCATAACACTTTCAAGGTAAATTTAAATTCTCACGGGGTTGGGATGTGAAAGAAACTGAGTGTGTATCAGGAAACAAAGGGCTGGGCAACAAAGCAGTTAAACAATGGCGAAATACAGGAGAAGTTCTCCCGTCGGTCCCTGAAATCTTGGTTGTCCGTCCCTTTGATTCCTCTCCTCTGGATGGGCAAAACTGGATCTCGTGCGATCAGCGCGACAGCCCTAACTTGGGATCTTCTGCGCGGTCAGTGATTCCGATCGATCGGTGGGTGGATGCGCTTCTCGAAGGTGCTCTTATGCTTCAATGCGACACATGGCTATTGGAGAGCAGAGGGTGTGTGTTACCCAGCGTAGAGAGGGTATGGGAAGGAGGGAAGGGGAGGGAAGAGAAGAAGAGGAAAGTCAGGAGAGAAAAGAAGAACAAGACTGGGAGGAAGGACCAGAACCGGGCAATAATGGGAAAGATTGATTGATTGAATGATTGAATGAAACTGGAATGCCGGAAAGAGATGGCCACCATGCGAGTCAAATGGTAAGATCGACTGCCAGTGGGGCAAGTGGAATGTAGTCTGCATCGGGCGCGTTCGAGGCAGGGAGGAGAGAAGATGAAGAAGCCAGATGATGGAGAGGAGGGAGATTCATCGTCCCATCGTGACGATATTTCCCCCCATCGTGTTCTGGAGGAACCATGGAACTACGGTTCTTCTACATCACTGACCAGGAAAGGATATACTTACTACTATCATTTACTCTTCCTCAGTTTGACTGGGTTCTCAATGCACTTCTATTTGTAGACTATCTCATATCTGCTCGGAGTATTTTCTCTTGGACGCATTCAGAGAGAGACCTTACCTAGTTCCTGCACATTAGAAAAGCGATCCACCCGCCTTCATACTCCCTATTACTAGGTACAATCTAGTTATTGTCCCACGGGGCATTACCATGGGTGGTGCTCTCGTTTCAAACCCAGTGAACCCAAATAAATGCCCATCTTGGCTCTTGCCGCCACCGCTGACTCCATCCATCCCTTCCAGGGACCGAGTGCGAACCACGCAGAAAGAACAGACTACCTGTCAGTGGGAGGTGCGAGATTGATCAACAAGTGTTCCCAGCGGTTTGCCCAGAACCTCAGAGGCTGAATTAGCTTTGCGGGGGAGGAACTGAGCGCAAGTTCCCTTCCTCCTTGTTCGCCTCTCGGTCCGGTCACGGGCGCGGCCCTCCATGTGATGCAGCCATCGGCCGGGATCACCTCACGTGGAAGCGCAGGCAGCACACACCTATCCATTGGCGATCATCGAGGGTCGCGGGGACGACATTCCTCTGACTGGCGCTGAGAGACATGTCCTGGTGGGGTTGGCTTACCCTGCAGCCCCGGGAGTGGCAGAGACGTCAACACGAGATATATCTCTCGGAAGGATGGTGTTTGAATGGTGGTCCTTTTGCACTACTGCGCCCCGCCTATTAAGTACTCAGTGAGTAGGGTTGGTTTGATACCATCGCATTAGATGCAATGCGAGTCATATATAACTGCGCATTCTGCTAGCCCGAAAGCATTCGTCTATTAAGTAGTATCACCCTCGCGTATCGATCACGTCGGTCGGCTACCACCCCTCGAACAATATAGTATATCTTTGGAGGGAACCAGCTGGGTCATTCACCAACTACCAGTCTGGTGATCATGTTGCAACCCCCGTCCCGGTGAACTCAACCCACAGTATCAAACCTCACCGTCTAAGTATCGTTTGGAATAGGTTTCACCGCAACTCAGACCAGTTGAGCGCGAAGAATGTCAACCCAACACCAGTGGCGCAATTGAACCTGGGTAGTGATCATGGAGTGAACCGTTAGCTTCCGAGGTGGAACCGGGGCAAAGCTGCCCCCATGATAATCGACTAAACCGGTGAAGGACCGAAGGGTTCGATTGGAGGAAGGGAACATTTGACTGTGTGTAAGAAGAGTAGAGACCTCCACTATTTGAATAGTGAGTGAGTGAGTTGGTTGAGAACCTGCGATCAGTGATTTGAATTGAGTTGTGCTTGAAAGGTCAAATCGGCAAGAAGCGGTGGGGAAGAAGAGATGACGATGGCTGATAAACAAAGCCTCGATAACGCCCGGATGCTGCCATACGTAATTCGGGTTCTCATGGGAGTTGGACAACCTCAAATCGTCTGATCACAGGGAATTGTCATCCTGAGTGATCAAGATAGGGGTTACAGCGTTGTAGATGTTCCTGAACAAAATGGTAGTAGACTGGATTGTAAAGATCTCCGACCGGTGGAGAAGCTCAGAAGCTCTCTCTGACTGACAGAGAGATGATAGATGATGCGCGTACAGTACATTGGCTTTGCTTGCTTGCTGACCTACGAAGTACTGTACTCTGCTTGCTACTTACTGCTAGTGCTGGTGCTGGTGCTTGCTTGGGGCTGCTGCTAGGAAGTACCCGCTACTGCGACCTGCCGTCCATCTCTTTTCTCTTTCTCCAGTCCTCTCTTTCCCCCCCCCCCCCCATCCTTTCCATTCATCCAACCAACCTCCAATATCTCCTCCTCCTCCTCCTCCACCTCCTCCCCATTTTTCCCCCATCCTCTTCCTCCATTTCATCAAATTTCCTCCCCTCTTCCTCTTGTTCGATCGGACTCATTTCCATGTCGGCTTAAGTGACCGCTGGAATTCGAAGGGAAACTTAGGGACAAAGAATCTTGGTCCCTCCCCTTCATCTGCCTGCCCCCATCACTAACAGGCTAACCGATCCGTCCTGCCGTTTCGCAAGCTCCCCAGCCGCTATTATCAGCAGAGCCTCTCGGCCACTCCCTTGTTCCCATCACCATTCGAGCTTTCCTCCTCTCTGTCCCGATTCTTTCGTCTCTGTTACCGAGTTGCTCTTGCCCATACACCGCCTTGTGCTTGATGCAATAAGGGAAGCAATCAGGAAACCTCGTGATCATCTTCCAATCCGTGACCGCACTCGCGCGTCCTCTCGCTACTCGTCGTTCGTAAAAGCCATTGCTTGCGGGGCCCCTTCCTGGTCCTGCAGGCTGTTACAACCAGAGACATGAGTGGAATTACGAATGCTTGTTTGTCTTGCTTATCGACGGTGGATCGTTGGTGTCATATCTCAGCATGCCTCGGCCCGATCGGTGGTCGGTCTAGGGATGGGATTTATGAGTCCACTTTAGCAGACAATGAACGGGAAGCAGTCTCCGACTTGCTGCAATTTCTTGACGCGGTAAGCTCCAGCTTCCCTTTATCTCCCGCCGTTGGGCCATGAGCGGCTCCACGCGTCTCGGGGACATCACTCACATCTGCTCCAGCAACAACGCCAAGAGGTGGATTTCTTCAATGGCGAGCCTCTCCGGGCCCTGAGCACCCTGGTGTATTCCGACAATGTTGAGCTTCAGCGAAGTGCAAGTTTGACCTTTGCGGAGGTCACAGAGCGAGGTACATATGACGCGCATCTTCCTGGCCATCGCAGTGACTGACAGCTGAGCTATCTGATCATAGACGTGCGCGAAGTTGATCGAGACACTCTCGAGCCTATTCTTTTCTTGCTACAGAGCTCCGACATCGAAGTGCAACGGGCGGCCAGTGCAGCGCTAGGCAACCTAGCTGTGAACGGTAGGACCTGCTTCCTTCCTCACTATCACGTCTGCTGACTAGGTCCAGCGGAGAACAAGGTTTCAATCGTCGCACTGGGAGGCCTGGCTCCTCTAATACGGCAGATGATGTCGCCCAATGTTGAAGTACAATGCAATGCGGTTGGATGTATTACAAACCTGGCTACCCATGAAGATAACAAAGCAAAGATCGCCCGGTCCGGCGCTTTGGGTCCATTGATCCGGCTGGCGAAATCGAAGGACATGCGAGTACAGCGTAATGCGACTGGTGCGCTGCTGAATATGACACACTCGGGTCAGACACCCCACTACAACAGCGACAGCGCAGCCTCGCTAACAGATTGCGCAGATGACAACCGACAACAACTCGTTAACGCTGGCGCCATTCCTGTCTTAGTTCAATTGCTATCTTCGTCCGATGTGGATGTACAATATTACTGCACTACCGCCTTGAGCAATATCGCTGTGGATTCCTCGAACCGCAAGAGACTAGCCCAAACCGAATCTCGATTGGTTCAGTCGCTGGTGCATCTCATGGATTCCTCGACTCCCAAAGTCCAGTGTCAGGCTGCTCTGGCACTGCGCAACCTGGCCTCCGATGAGAAATACCAACTGGAAATCGTGCGCGCGAAGGGACTTCCGCCACTTTTACGACTCTTGCAATCCTCCTACCTCCCCCTGATACTCTCCGCCGTCGCATGCATTCGCAACATCTCCATCCACCCCCTCAATGAATCTCCCATCATCGACGCGGGCTTCCTAAAGCCTTTGGTTGACCTACTAGGCTCGACCGATAACGAGGAGATTCAATGCCATGCCATCTCGACCCTGCGGAATCTGGCGGCCAGCTCGGACCGGAATAAAGAGCTTGTTCTTCAAGCTGGTGCGGTTCAGAAGTGCAAAGATTTGGTCCTCCGTGTGCCCCTTAGCGTACAGTCAGAAATGACGGCTGCAATCGCTGTGCTGGCTCTCAGCGACGAGTTGAAGCCTCACCTTCTGAGCCTTGGCGTCTTCGATGTGCTGATCCCTCTCACTGAGTCGGAGAGTATTGAAGTGCAAGGGAATAGTGCCGCCGCGCTGGGAAATCTTTCCTCTAAGGGTATGTACCACTTCCGATTTGTGGCCGGTAAACATGACGTCCAGAGGCTAACCTTAACAGTTGGGGACTATTCGATTTTTGTGCGCGATTGGGCTGATCCCAATGGAGGCATTCACGGCTACCTCAGCCGATTCCTTGCCAGCGGCGACCCGACCTTCCAGCACATCGCTATCTGGACGCTGCTACAACTCCTCGAATCCGACGATCAGAGATTGATTGGGTATATCGCGAAATCGGATGACATTGTCCAGATGGTCAAGTCGATCTCGGACAAGAACATCGAATCCGACGAGGAGGATGCGGATGAGGGTGAAGGCGAGGTCATTGCGCTGGCACGGCGATGCCTCGAGTTCCTGGGGAGTGGTCACAAGCAAACCCTTGTAGAAGGCTAATCTAATCTCGTCCTTCCTGAGCGCTTCCGCCGGTTTTCGAAGCTCACTACTTCTATGTCCTTACGCCGATAATCATTCGATTCTTCCCCATGTCTTTTGTCTTACACACTTCGAGTGACTTTCTTATCTTACTATACCTTGAGTGTCTTGTTATGTGAATGTTTTGCTACATTGACCTATATCCGTCACAGGTGTTAAGCGAGCATATGATTCGGTGTCACATATTTTTCATGTCAGCGAGCATTAGGTGTGATGGAACTTTGTTTGCTTTCGTTGGGCGTGTGACCTGTTGTTGCTGGTCACCTATGGGTGATTCTGCGACTCTCTCTTTCTTCAAGTAAGAGCAGATCTTTAAATCCTATCCATAGTTGATATTCTTTAGTTAGCAGAGAGCAAAGAGATGATGGTTTGTTAAAACGATGATGTCATGTGCACTGCAATAGACGGGAATTTCCATAGCTTCGCGGGAAAACAGTTTCTCCCGCCCGGAGCTCGGCCAAACTGAAAAAGTAAAAGCTCTGCGGCTGTTCAATTCCACGCGCGTGGAACAACAGACAAACGCCTTGCCAGAACTCGTTTTCTTCTTGCTGTTTTAGCTTGTTGATTTCTTATCCAGCCGTTTAGTTCGGTTTTCTCTCATTGGAATGGCGAGCACATTACCGACTCTGGCCATTCCAGGCCAGCGCCTGGGCTCTGTGAGCTCTTACTCCGCGGGACCCGGCACCCATGTGCAGAATGCGAACATCTACGCCTCCATCGCCGGACCCGTGCTCGTGGACCCCGCCAGCTCCAAGGGTGTAAAGTCGACCCTGAGCGTCTCCCGCGGGCCCCTCCGAACAGCCGGCACCGCTTCTTCTTCTGCCTCGCAGCAAATCCCCGCCCCGAAACTCACCAGCACGACTTCCAAACCGGGCACCTCCAAACCGCGATACAACACCCTCCCAGCGGTCGACTCGATCGTGCTGGCCCGCGTGACGCGCGTGCAGAAGCGGCAGGCGACCGTCTCGATCCTGGTGGTGCAGGACGAGTCGTCGTCGACGTCGTCGGACAATGACAACATCGACTCGATCCTCACCTCGGCCGCCAACCCGGAGAACCACAGCAACTCGGACGAGCTGCGGTTCCAGGCGCTGATCCGCAAGGAGGACGTGCGGGCCGTCGAGAAGGACCGCGTCGTCATGGACGAGATGTTCCGCGTTGGCGATATCGTGCGCGGCGCCGTCATCTCCCTCGGCGATCAAAGCTTCTACTATCTGACTACCGCCCGCAATGATTTGGGAGTGGTCATGGCGCGCAGCGAGGCTGGGAATATGATGTTTCCCGTTAGTTGGAAGGAGATGCGCGATCCTGTGACTGGGGTTGCGGAGTTGAGGAAGGTCGCGAGGCCTTTTTGAGGAGTTTGGGGGGTTTGTTCTCTGATTGTTGTTTTATGATCAGGTTGAGATAGATAGATTTGTGGATGGGTTATGGTATACGGGTCTGATGCGATGGGTGGGTGGGTGGGATAGCTTAGGGTCTGGGGTTTCGGGATCCCTTCGCTCTTGCTGGGAGGTCGAATTAAGCGTCCTGTCTGTCTCGGATCGGTTTACGATGACTATGGCCAAGTCAACCGACCGGCCCTCCCTCCCTGTACTCCCCCCAGGTCTCTGCTACCGGCGTGGAACATACAGCGGTGGAGTGTCTCGGATGAGACGCAATGGTCGACCGCATGTCCTGTCTCGGATGAGCATGGCATACCATGGGAGGGTGTATTGTGTGACTTGATGCTGTTGATGAGAACCCATCCCCAGTCTCATCCACAATCCTGCATGCATGCATCCACCCCTCCTCCCTCCACTCTGTCACCCGCTAGTCTCCGGGTTAAACCCGGGCTTTACAGACCCCGTCGCATCTTTGTTTCGGGCTTGTTACACAGAACTAGCATTGAGACAAGGAGCCTGTCGAGCCGCTTGGGATGCTGCTTCGACTCTGACCTCCTTCCCTCCCAACAAGCGGGGGACAGGGCTACCATCCATATATTGAGACATATTACGAAGTATTGCGGGATTCGCGCGAAGGCACTAGAACAACGACCCGCGGGAATCACTAGGGTGGAAATCGGGTCTTTGCCCGGGGCTTCATTCCCATGCAGAGCTCTTGAGTCAATTCAATATCCCAGATATTCTCTGACAGCAGGTTCCATCTTTTATATTAGTTTCTACGTAAGCGTAGCCTTCGCACGAACGACAAGTTGTGCTTGTTTTGTCCTAAGAAGATGGTATTTCCGCGCGAGGTCTATGTACCTTGTTACGTGGTTTGAGGCTAGATGATCTTAACACGTATGAGGGGAACGCAAGGATATTGGTTGATTGCGTTGTCATGTGGACTGTATGAATCAGAGGTACAGTTCATCATGAGACGAATTTGAGGATATTAGTAGGTGCTGCTCCGGGGGTGGCTCGCAACCAGTTATTATACTGTCAATTAGCCGGCTCAGCACGGCGGATGTGGAGTTGTACATAATTGTTCAAACCATACCATACCAATGGTGAAATTGACACTCGTGCTTGTATGCGCATCCTGGTGCATCGAGATACTGTTTGATCCTTATACCTTACAGCTATAATATCTCGAGTGTGATGGTAAGAAAGGATATCCATTGTAACCGCATCTCGATTCTAAATCATATATACCCACTCACCTTCCCTAGGCTCTAAGCCCCCCACTCCACCCTTTTTGTTAAAAGAAAAGAAACTACTACTTCTTCAACGTCTTCTGCTTCTCAGCATCAATCAACTTACGGCCCTGCACCACCAACCCCTTCCGGCGGCGCACAGCATCCATATACCGCTTGGCAACGTTCTCGCGGTCTGCGAGCTCGCCCAGGTCCTCCAGCTCCTCCTCGGTAGCAGGCACCCAGAAGGGGTCCTCGTCCAGGGCCTCGTAGCCAGCGAAGATGAGCTGCGGCTGCGCGGCGCCGGACGTGCGCTTGCGGATCTCGTCCGCGAAGCCGAACGACTCGGCCACGGGCAGGAGCGCCAAGATGGTGAAGAACGGCGTGCCTTCTTTCATTGTCTCCGAGAGGATGCGGCCGCGGCGTCGCGTGATGACGCCGTAGACGCGGCCGAGGACTTCGGCTTTTGTTTCACGGGGTGGTTAGTTTGGCTCTTGATTTGTTGGGAGAGGGGGGGGGGGGGGGGAACGTACTCGATGCTTGGATCTCGCAACTGTACATTGCCAGCATGATTCGCGGGCTCCAGTCCAGGAAGCCCTGTGAGATGCTTTCGCGGACTAGTCGGATTGCTTCGCCCGTCAGGCGCCCGAGGTCTAGGTCTTCACCGTTGGCCGAGTTCACGCTTAGCTCCTCCAGGAAGACGGCCACGCCTTGCATCGGTTCCTGGCAGAGCGGGCCTTGGCCCGTTGCGAGTTGGAAGGCGTACGCGATCTTGTCGTTGAAGTCCCGGACGATCAGGGCTTCGCGGTTGTTCGTCGTGTCCGGGTTGACGGTGGGTTGTTTGTTGGGGTCGTCGAGGAGGCTTTGCGGTGGAAGTTGCGCTCGTTAGTATTCATGTACTTCGTGGAGTATGAGGAGGAACGGGAGGAGGAGGTGGGCTGGCTTACAATTTCTCGCAGGTGTTCACCGCGGTGGCATCTACCAGGATGTTGGGCCCGACTCGTCTCGGTCCAAACGCCGTGATCCGGTCGACCACGTTCTTCCACAGCTCCTTGTCCTCCTTGACCTCTTCTTCGAAGATCTTGTTGAGTTCGGCGCGGAAGTCCTTCAATGAGAGGAGGGTCGCTTCGCGGGCTTCGTCCGTCGTGGCTTCGCTGGCTTCGCTGGCTTCCACGGGCTGGTTGCTGTCCGCTGTGCCCTCGTTGTCGGCGCCACCGGATTTGTTCTCCGCAGCCGTTCGCTTCTGAGTCTGGAGGCGCTTGATGGTCCCGACGTGCTTGGAAAAGAACTCCGTGACGACAGTTGGCAGGGGCACCACGCGGAGTCGCATGGTGAGTTGCTTCGAGGGAGATACGGCCAGGATGCCCCCGCGGCCGAGCTCGGGGTTCTTCGGGGCTGCCATTTCCGGGGCGCTAGTGATGGTCTCGCGGTAGGGTACGATGGTCTGACCGGTCTGGATGTCACATTTGGCAAAACGCTCGCGGAGATCCTTGATGCAGCGCTCCAGGTGCAATTCACCGGCTGTCAGAATCACATGTTCACCGCTGTCGAGGACCTCGTATTGCGCGCAGGGGTCGCTCTGCTCGAGGAGTCGCAGGCCAGTGACCATCTTACTCAGGTCGGCCGGGTTCACGGGCTCCAAGGCGACTCGGACGATAGGAGGCGTGTTCAACGAAACACCAGCCAGGTTGATACTGCCCTCCAGCTGCGAGCACAGCGTTCCCGTCTTCAGGACGTGGCCGGCAAGACCTCCGATACCGAAAACAACACCCGCAGGTACGGACTGGAGCGGCTCCAAACTCCGGCCCATTAGAAGGTACAGATCGGTGACTGTGACCTTCTGAGGCTCGGGACTAGCATGGGGGTTCTCCGGGTTGAATTTGGGCGCGATCACGTACACCGAGTCTCCCACCGAGAGCGTACCCGAGTACAGTCTTGCGAAGCCGATCAGATGCTCGGGGTCCTCTTTCTCCTCTGTCTCAGCTGGCGGATCGTCGAGATATGTCCGTTCAAGGGCAGACGTCACGCGTGAGAAATCGTCTTGCTGCTGGCCGCCGGCTTCCGCCTGCATCTTCGCGATTTCCTCTCTCTTTTTGCGGGCAATCTCCCGCGCTTCATCGGCGGACATGGTGGTACCGGAGCGTTTCTTGCTCGAAGACAGTTCGCTCTCTGGGATGGCGACCATCTTACTGACGTAGGCGACAACTGGCTCGTTCGGCTCGGTCTTGAAGCTGATCATTGCGTCTTTCACCTTCTGGTCGACGAAGTCTGCTCCGGGAGAGTCTGCAATCAAAGCCGGTAGACGTGTTGCTTGGGCTGCTGGCGGACTGGGAAGGTACTCGATGACGGAGACGAGGACAGCTGTCGAGAGAGGCAGCCACATCGAGAACAAAGTGGTCATGATATTCTTAGGGTCGCGGGAGCGCAGAATGTATGGAGGGATGTTAATGTTCAAAGACTTGGTAATCTTTTCCAGCAAGGCCGGGTCGCTGTTGACAGTTAGCAAGCGGACATCGTACGCAAGTGGTATCACTTACCCTCTTCCTGAGCCTCCACCGGTCGTCGCTTCGTATGCTGCCCAGATACTGTCCAATACAAGCTGAACGAACATGGGCTTGAGGGCCCGGCCCTTCAGATGCTTCTGGCCTAGGACTCGCTTGGTCTTGGGATCCAGGTAGTAGTCTCCCCAGAGAACCTTTTCCAGAACCGCACGCTTAATTCCGAGCTTCTTCTCGTAGATCACAGCAAACTGTCGAACTGTGAAGGCCCAGCCATCGACCGCACTGCAAAAGATGACGTTGTTCTTCTCTGGTGCAAAGTACAGGTCCTCGTCGTCCTTCTCCTCGTATTCGGCCATTTGCTCCTCGTCATGATCTTGCTTCTTGTTCACCCGCTCCTCCATGCGCTCTCGCCATTGGAGATCCTCCTCCATCCGCTCTCCCTGGTAGAAACTACCAATGACTGCGTTGACCTGCTCAAGAAGTTTGCTCATATGCGAGTACGCCTCACTAGGGCTCATCTTCAACTCCGTCACCAACCTGTCAATCTTGTTAATCACTAGGATGGGCTTCAGCTGCTCCACCCAGGCTTGACGCAGCACGGTGACAGTCTGACTGCAGACACCCTCGACGGCATCGACCAAGACCACGGCACCATCACATAGACGCGACGCAGTCGATACCTCGCTGCTGAAATCGATGTGTCCCGGGGAGTCGATCAAATTGATCAAATACTCTTTAGGCTCCGGGGCGGCGTCGGGAGCAGGACGGCGCATCATGGAGAAGAACAGGGAGATGGCCGACGACTCCATGGTGATACCTCGAAGCTGCTCGTCGGGACGCGAGTCCAGGTAGCGGATCTTGCCCGCCAACTTGGGCGAGATGATACCATTGGTGGCGATCAGACTATCCGTCAAGGATGTTTTGCCATGATCCTGTAGGAATTAAGCTGTAAGTTTGATGATGCCCACCTCTCGCGAGTGAATCCATACATACAACGTGTGCGAGAATGCAAATCTAGATCCCGATGTTAGTGTTGTGGTTGTATGACGACAAAGAAATATACGGACTCGGCGAAGGTGGGATGATGGAGGGGTAAATCAACTTACATTCCGGATGTCATTGGGCTTCCGTTGGAGACGAACGAGGTCATCGACGTTAACGACAGGCATCTTGAAGACAAATTGGTGCTGTCACACAGCTCCCAGAATTCAGCTTGAGCCAGGTCGAGGTGAGGTTCAACTGAAAGGACGGCTGGGTTGGTTTTTGGTTCCGCCGTCGCTGCGGAGTTCGATGGAAAAAATTATCGCGGGAATTTGTCCAAACCAGAATCCAGAGTTTCTTCTCCAATCCCGCGTCACTTGTTAGAAATTGCACCAGAGCGGTATGGATATTTGCGCTGGGGATGTCTTTGTAGATAAATCCGCTGTTGGCGATGGTTAAGACCTACGTCCCGATTATTAATTGCTCGGGTTGTTTTGAGTACGATTTACGGGACCGCCACTGCACTTGTCGACTATGCGGACATTGCTGTCGTTGGGCTTTCCAACTCAATATGATTATATTACAGTCTATTTACACTCTACTCGAATAGCATAATCGAGCAAGAATCAGTGATCTAGGGTATCATGGCTTTGTCTAGGTTCATGACTCAACACTCATCATCATGAGTCATTATCATCGTCAAACGAGAGCTTGATCTTCTTCTTCTGTTTCGGTTTGCGCGCCCCCGAGTCTCTCTTCTTTGTATCTTCACTCTCTGCTGCTGGGGCGTCTTCGCCGACAACCTTGGCCTGCTTTCTTTTCCGTGGTCCGCCAATTTCGGCTATATTCTGCTTGGAGGCCGACGCCTCCGACTCAGTGGCTGGTTTACTACCTTCGCTGATCGGGCCCGTAACTTTGTCCTGGTTTTGATCCGGTCGATCATCATCCTCGGTGGGCTTATCCCCTCGCACTAGCGCTTCATATTCCTCTTTGGAGATAATGTCGTTACTTTCTTCGTCGACGTAGGTAGGTCCGTCGTCGTCATGTTCTTCGCGTGGCTTCCGTGGGCGGGCAACGGGTCTCTCAAGGCGACCTGAGTTGTCTCCATACTGGTTTCTAAGTCTCTGCAGAAAGGCCGGTTCCTTGGCCTCTGGAATCCGTTATTCCGAGTCCGAAACTATGTGGGAAGGGAACGTACCGTAGGCGAGGTCTTTCGATTTGAAGGACATGGTTGTGTCCAGCCCAGCGGGAAGACTGTTAGCTGTGTACTGTTGTGTGTAGTGAGTCTTTTTCACATGTAACAAGTATAATCGATCATGAGCTGGGGTTGTAGAAACCCAGCAAGCTGCGATGACGCTTCACAAGGATGGTGTGGGGAACCCTTTAGCGTCTGCCTTTACTGAGGTAGAAGACCACACTCTTGATTCAGAGCTAATTGAGATTGACCTCAATGCTGTATGATGATAGTAGTAAGCTGCAGCAAGCACTAAGCTAGCCAGACACACAATCTTTCTCCTCTGTGTTTCAGTCAAGGTCAAGTGAAGGAGCTCTGTTGTTGGTAACCGCCAAGCAATCGTCAGCGATCAGGCTTGCGGTGCGGCTAATCCAGATCGGGCGAGGTCGAAAAGTCCAAAGGAGCCCGCAAGCTGCACCGTCAACCAACAACCTCCCCATCAACCATCACATTCACTTAAACATGCTGTGCGCAAGTGAGTGGAAGCATCTTACATCTCTGTGAAGCTTGGATACTAATGACAAATTGGCAATAGTCTCAGGAGAGGCACCACAAGTGCCCGTGGTCTCGCCCAAGAGCGGTACGTTGCAACCTCGCGTGCGCACCAATGCGATCTACGATACACGTATCTGACGGTCCAGCAGGCAGTGTCTTCGAGAAGCGACTCATTGAGGCATATATCTCGGAGAATGGAAAGGACCCCGTGAATGGGGAGGAGCTTGCCGCAGACGAACTCATCGAGGTCAAGTCCCAGCGCGTCGTTCGGCCTCGACCTCCCACCCTCACCTCGATCCCCTCATTGCTCAGCGTCTTCCAGGAAGAGTGGGACGCCCTGGCTCTCGAGACCTATACTCTACGACAGACTTTGGCACAGACCCGGCAGGAATTGAGCGCGGCGCTCTACCAACACGATGCCGCCGTTCGGGTCATTGCTCGGTTGACGAAAGAAAGGGACGAGGCCCGCGATGCACTATCGAAGGTTACTGTCAGCGCCAAGAGCGATGGTGAGGCTATGCAGGTTGACGCCACCGGCCTGCCCGAGTCGGTGCTCGCTCGCGTGGAAAGTACACAGGCTTCGTAAGTCTTCTGGGCTGGATCAATTCATAGGACTTCGTTTCTAACTGGCAACAGACTCTCCAAGACCCGTCGCAAGCGTCCTATCCCCGAAGGCTGGGCTACCAGTGAGACCATCTCCGCTTTCAAGCCTACTCAGACCTCCGAGACCCTTCAGCCCGGCGCGAAGGCATTGTCTGTCAACTCGTCCGGGGAGTTAGCGATCGTTGGTGGCGCGGAGGGCACCGCCAGCGTGTACTCCATGTCCCAGAAACAGGCTGTTCAGAGTCTACAAGCAGGTGGACCTGTCACCGGTGCCGCATGGGCGGGTGAGAAGGCCATTGTTGCATCGTCTACTGGCTCTGTCAAGGTGTTTGAGAATGGAAATGAAGTTGCAAGCTTCAACTCCCATGCCGGAGCAGCGACGGCCGTGGCTGTACATGCCACCGGCGACATCGTGGCTTCCGTCGGTGCCGATAAGAGCTACGTGCTGTATGACTTGACGACGAACTCCGTGATCACCCAGATCTTTAGTGATGCCTGTAAGCGACCCTTCAAACCCCCTCTCAGCTTCAGAACTGGCTGACTTCTGACAACCATTTCTAGCTCTCCTTTCCGTTCACTTCCACCCTGATGGCCACCTTCTTGCTGCTGGTGGCCAGGATGGCCAAATCAAGATCTTTGATGTGAAGACCGGTGCTGCCGCCGCGAGCTTCGCGATGACCGCCCCTGTCAAGGGTCTTTTCTTCTCTGAGAACGGTACCTTCTTGGCTGCCGTTACTGAGAACTCTACCACGGTATCCATCTGGGATCTCCGCAACGGTCAGGAGATCAAGGTGATTGAGACGGGCAGCCAGGTTGATTCGATCAACTGGGATTACACTGGACAATTCCTGCTCACGGCCGGACCCAGCGGGTTGACAGTCAACCAGTACTCCAAGGCCGCCAAATCGTGGTCGGAGTCTCTGCGGAGCGCTGTACCCGCAGTGGCCGCAGTTTGGGGCTCTGCTGCTCAGAGCATCGTGGCATTGAGTACTGAAGGTGGCGTTACGGAGCTGACCGCACAGTAATTATGAATGATACCTGGTGACAGTGAAATGGAAATCAACAATATTTGTCCTGTATTTCTAGCTGGTTGTGGTTCGACTCTTGAACTTTCTGTGTGAACGGCGTCTCTATTTGGAATCTCTTTCTCTTTTGTGTCTTTTTTTTTCTTTTTGTTTTCATCTCACAGAGCCAGATCATGAACGAATATTTAGAATCCAAGAATCAGGATGAAAAGTGAAGTGACGCATTAACTAGTTATAGACACTGAGATGTCAGCAACCAGCAATCTTATCTCACCAGTTGTCAGGCTGACTGGAATCGTCTCCCCCCGTTCACGGTTACATGCATGACATAACTTAGCTAACTGACCCGCCCAACTCCTGATTATTCACCATCTGCTGGGATGGAAAGAGGAAGAAAGGAAGGATCTAGGATCGGGATTAACCCAAGGGATCCGATATATCGGGACCGGGACCCAGCTCAAAACCACCAAACGAACCTTTCTCCTTCAAGTCCACTACTAAGCAAATGGCCTCCACTTGCCGCCGGCAATGAGGCCTAAACTCCGCCTCGGCGTTTTCGTCTTTCTTGATACACTCTCCTTCTCTTTTCCCTTCCCCCGCCTCTTCTTCCCTTCTCCCTTTCCTCTCTCAGGACCTCACCTTCTATTCATTTCTTACTCCATCTTCCAGTATGAGTGACGATTCCGGCGTCCAATTTGTCGCCTCTAGGCCTCGGAAGGTCGGTACTTTCCCTTTCTCCGCCTGTTCGTCCGTTCGCCGCATACGTTCAATCTCTGCCCTCCCCGGCGGGGTACTACCTTCTTGTCGAATTATTCCTGAGCTCAACTAACATTTTATATAGCGACCGCACCAAGAGATGTCCCGAGCTTCACAACCAGACTACTCCGGTGGAGAGCCCTCATCCTCCGCAACCCTTGTTCCCTCGTCGTCGCCACCGCGCTGGCGGTATCCCGGAGATGGGTTTGACTTCCGTCGACCCATCACATCAACATCCCCTAACACAGACGAGGTTATTGATCTGACGCTAGATTCGGATCCTTCCGAACTGGAGGTAGTACAAAATGATCGGGTTGCTCGCCAGGATCAAACTACACAAACACTGCAAGAAAGGGAGCCCGAAGTGGTGGATTTGGAAGAAGAATACGAGGACTTAACTCGAGATGAACCTCCTAGCAGTCCGGAAGTACAATTTATTGGTGCCACCGCTCGGCCTCCACGACCGCCTCCATCTCCGACGTATTTGAATTTGGGCTTCCCACCCCGGTTCTTACTCAACATACATCCCTTGCTCGCCGCGCAACGAGGATACCTGCGGCAAGATGTGGACTTATCAATCATTGGACATCAGCCCGCGGGACCTATTGACTTGACCGTGAACCTCGACCCGCAAAGACCCGAAAGACCCGAAAGACCTCCACCAAATGCGTACAAGCCTCCCAGTCCACCACCCGACGGGTTTACACGGACTCTCGAAGAGGAGGACGTTGTGGTCTGCCCAAACTGTGACGGGGAGCTGGGCATTGGCGACGACATCAGGCAGCAAATATGGGTAGCCAAGCAATGTGGACATGTACGCCTTTTTACTCCGTTCTCGGACTACTTGAAAGACGTCTACTAACATTTGCAGGTATATTGCGGCCTTTGTGCTCACCACCGCTCCAAGTCCAAGTCCAAAAAGTCGTCCCCTACGAAGCCGTTCTCCACATGTCAGGTCCCGGGGTGTGGCAAATCTGTCAGCGCGAGGGGAACTCTGTTTCAAATCTACCTATAAACTCCTCCATATTTCTTCATTTGTGGTTTGGGAGTTATTGGAGCTGGTTTTCAAAGGTTGCATAACGCCGGCGTCAACGGCCGGGCTTCTTTCAAATTTGCATGACTATAGTACAGCAGGATACCCATTGTTTTTTGTCTCTTGGTTTGGTCGGGTATAGCATTTTCTTTGTCGATATGGGTCTTAGCATGACGGTCTGGGTATACAATTTGCATTGGCCTTGCATTTACACATGAATAATAATATTTGTTGCAAGATACTTCGACGACGTTCTTCGACATGGCACATCCGCACACATAAAACAGTTTTCAAGTAATTTGTACATATGATACATATCAGACCCAAGACAGAAGCCCGTTAGGTTTTCCACCGCGGGGGGAGATGCAGAAGCATAAAAAGAGCTAGCCCATGATAAACCAAACACAAATGAATTCCAAATTGTAACACCACTTGCAGTAACCAGATCCCAAACTGCCACTTACACCGACTTGAAACCACCGTGGTAAGGGGACCAGATACCTCTGACACTCTCGTTGAGACTCGTGATGGGCTTCTTGGTGCGCTTCAGCTTCTCGCCGCTGGCCTCCTTCAGCAGGTTTGCCTTGTTGAAAATCTGCTCGGGCTCGAGGTTGCGCACGCAGATCGCCTTCTCCCGTCCGTTGATGTAGTGGCCCTTGATGACGGGGTGCTTGTGTGGCCGGGGCGATACTCGGATCTCGATCTGGGGGTTGGCTTTGGCGAAAGCGGGGAGTTGGTGCTTCAGGAACGCCCTGCGTGGAGTATAACTGTCAGTTCACATGCCCAACACCCTTCCACTTCTTCCAGAACTGCGCGGAGAAAGGCAACATACACCATGCCGCGAGAGCTACCGGCCCAGTCGCAGTAGTGGAAATCCAACTGCTTGCATTGTAGGATAAAGGCGCCGACGCCGTTCTGCAAAACCGCGTTAGTCCCGTTCGTCTGTGAAGTCTGATCGAAAGAGTAGAACGCACTCTGGCGGCAGTCACCGTCCGGATCCCTTGCACAGGCATTGCTTCTGAAATGTGTCTTGATCTCGTTGGAACCCGGCCGAAACGACTTTCCACGCTTCAAAGATCTCCGGATACCTCTCTGGCCGCCCGGGACTTTTCAGACGGAGGAGGCGATCCCGCCCGATCATTGGACAGGGCGGCAAACTCGGCTACGGCGACTAGGCGGTTTCAGAGCGGTGTGTGCCAAGAGCTTAACGCCGCGGACTCGTACTAGCGGAGCCCGGGAAAGGACGACGCGAAACCTCGAAACCAACACTATTCTCGGTCGCTTGAGCTACGACGACTTACCTCGCCTCGCCTCACTTGACTCTTTCCATCAGCAGGTGGAGGAAGGACGCCTCGGCAATCTATTGAAAGATACATTGCATTAATCGAAACTTTGCCCAGATGCTCTTCAAGCAGCTAGACTAAAGAGTCACTCGCACCTTATCCTCCCGCATCCGAACCTTGTGACCTGAACGGCGCAAAATGACGGACAAATTGCCCCCTCCGCTCCTGGCGCTCTTCCAGCCGCGGCCGCCTCTCCGTTATGTCACTCCCATCGAGCGGGCCCCCGAAGACTGCAAGAAGAGTTCTATTGGCGGCATCGCGCAGTTCCTGCCCGAACTGAAGCAGTACGCCGAGGAGGTCCCTTACAATGCGACAGAGAGCTGGATTCAGCGCAAGTTGCGACAGAAGGTCGAGAAGAAGGAGAACTTGGAGAAGCAGCTCACAGATGGAATTCAAGAGTGTATGCTTTTCTTTCCCGGATCCCTGGAATGAAGGAGAGGGGTTTGCTGATACTTCGTTGCCACAGATGATCCGTCAAATGACCAGCAAGCTCGCGGCGACCCGTTTAGGACCCTTTTCGTTGCCAGACTCAGCTATGATGTCAAGGAATCGGACTTGGAGCGGGAGTTTGGCCGCTTTGGTCCTATCGAGAGAGTATGGTCCTCCGCAGAGATTCCTTTTACGCTGGGTCATGGAACTAGCTCGCTGACTATTTGCTCTAGATTCGTATTGTCAAGGACGGCGTCACACCTAAGGGATCGAAGAAGGCGCATAGAGGATATGCTTTTATCGTGTACGAGCGCGAAAAGGACATGAAAGGTATTGCTACAGATCTTAAGTCGCCGATTTACCCTGGATGACTTTCTGGTATATATTCTTCCGTGGGACTCGATTGCTAACCTAGTGTTCTCTTGACGAATTTCAGCGGCCTACAAGGAGACTGATGGCATTCGCATCAAGGACCGCCGTGTTCTGGTAGATGTCGAGCGTGGCCGGACTGTCAAGGGCTGGAAGCCCCGTCGCTTCGGTGGCGGTCTCGGCGGCCGTGGTTACACCAAGGCTTTGCCTTCCCGGCCCATTGGTCCCGGATCCTTTAACGCGCCTTCGGGCCCCGGTGGCTTTGGAGGTGGTTTCCGAGGTGGTTTCGGCGGTGGCAGAGGCGGCAGGGGAGGCTTCCGTCAAGATCGTGGTTTCGGACCTCGTGGCGGTGTTGGATATCAGGGAGGTCGCAACGGCTTCGGTGGACAGGCTCCTCCCAACGCTCCCTCCGGTCCGGGAGGCGGACGCAGTGGGGGCTTCGGTGGCCCCGGCGGCCCTGGCGGTGGTGGCAGGTTCGGACGTGAAGACCGCGGAGGCACTGGTAGCAACCGTGAACCCATCAGATCCCGCGACAACTTCGGTGATCGCGATCGCCGAGACCGTGACCGTGACCGCGATGGTGGCGACCGCAACAGAGACCGTGATAGGGACAGTCATCGCTACCGCGAACGCGACCGTGACCGCGACCGCGAGCGCGACAGGTATGGAGGCCGTGGCGACGACTACGGACGCAAGAGATACCATGAGGACGACTCGTACGATGACCCACGCGCCAAGAGAAGATACTGAGATTACTTCGACGGAGGGCTTCCCCAACTCAGTATTCGATGCCCGTGTGCTGGTGGGTATCTCCCGATTGATCTCTTTCTCGTCCTTCCGTGTCGATAAGGGTAAGGTCAGCCAGCCGGATTATGATCGCTTGGCCGTCAACTAGTCACTCAACCAACCAGGCAGTCATTTACAGTCGAAGGGTCCAACTTCTTTCTTTCATGCCACTTGTCAGGAGGTATCTATACCCGCCCGAGCAGACGTTTCATTTCACATAAGGTCGAAGTCTACTCTCGCACCAGACGCTTCGCACTTATTTTCCTCTCACGCTCAGCTCCCATCTTTTTCTCTTGTGTCTTCATTAACTTTTTATGTCCTTGCGTTTTCATGTTGTTCCTGGGTGTCACTCTTTCGCTGGGGTAAGTATGTACTTTAGATAGTTAACATCGTCTTCAGGTGGGAATCACGGTTGGTTTGGGAATTGGGACGTTCAGGTAAGAAGATCAGGTAGGGTTCTCCATCAGCAATGACCGATACCAGGGATCTTCAAACAGCGGTAAAATCAAGGTAACGATTCTTTCTTGTGTCTGGGTATGCTGGACAGTAAATAATCGTTGTGATGCATATGTTCTTTGTAGTATTATATTGTAGGTCTAGATGCTTGGGGGGGCGTTTCGAGGGGAGCTTCTTGGGTCTAGATTTCTTTGATGCTTCCCTGTTTGGCTTAAATTGGGCTTAGTTCAAGCTATCATGGAAGTCTGGGGTTTTGTCTTTCATCCTCATGCGCCAGGGCCAAGTGAACTCATTACCACGTTGACTGGTTTGCTCGCTGGATGTCGGTCATGCCGCATTTCTTGTTTTTGGTCTTGATACACGGACGGGGAGGGTAATTGGAGAAGAAAAAAAAAAAACCTGGAACTTTTTCTAGAACAAGAAATGGTGTATATGAAAGAGACCCGCCCCGCAGACCTTGACAAGAAAAAAATGAAAAGAAGAGGGATATTCTGTGTTTTTGTTCATTGCATCTTTTTTTGGGCTTGTTTGTTGTCATCATCAATTTACTCCTCCATACCATCCTGATCCTTCTCAAGGATCTCGACGGCATTCGTACTCCGCGTCCAGTGCCCCTTCAAGGCGACATGGAACTCGGACGAGACAACCCCAAACATCTTGAGCAGGGTCGTCTGCCGCGAGTCCAGCACCTCGCCGGCACGGCACACGGGGTATCCCTCCTGGCCCTCCGTCAGCTCCAGCATGACCTTCCCCTTGACGAGGCGGGTCGGCACGCCCAGCTTGCGCAGCTCAGGCTCGATCGTGTGGCTGATGGGCTCGTCCTCCGCCGCGGGGATCTCGCCCGCCCGCGCATACACCAATCCCGCGGGGATCGTGAACGCCCGCGTGCTGACCGTGCCCGCCCGCGCGTAGTCCAGCGGCCGGAACGACTCGAAGTAGTCTCTGACGGTGGTCGGGTCGCGCGAGGTGAACAGCAGCCCCACCGCGCCCGTCAGCGTCGGCGAAAGCTTGTGCAGGTTCGGCGCGGCTTCGTTCTCGGGCGTGTGGCCCAGCGCCACGGCCATGACTTTGGTTTTGCCGAAGAAAAGGCTGTTTTTGGGAGGTTTGGTAATTAGTGACTGCGTTGGTTGCTTTGAGGGTTGATTTGGTTGGGTTCGGGTTCGGGTTCAAGTGTCCCAAGACAAAATTGACTTACCGGCTATCGGCGAATTCGGTGCGCACATCCTTCAGATATGTGTTGCGCATGTTGTCGACTCCGAATACGAACAGGTGATCATACTTCTCGATGCATTCCCGGATGTTCGCGTATAGGCGGCGGGTTTGTTCCTTGTGCGACTTCTTAGCGGTCTTGGACTCGTGCACGACTCTGGCTCGCTTGGAACGGGGCATCTTGGCGGTTTTGGGGTTTGGGTGTTTGAAATTAGAGACTAGGGTTCGTAATGTTGGTGGTTGTTGTCTCCCCGGGTGAAAATAAGCTGGGATGGAGAAAGGGGAGGAGGAATTAAATATGAAATCGAGTTCCTGGTGGATGTGGATCCTCACTGCCCGGTGATTTTTTTTCTTGTCTTTTGACTTTTGATAACAGCCGGATTATTGTTGATGCGGGGCTCTTATCCGCGCCGACTCCCCGCTAGACTGCATGGAGAAACGAGCTGATGGGGGCATTTCTCCTCCAGATCGTCATCGTTCGACTTCGCTCTTATTCACGGCTGGTCATCAACTTGGTTGGGACTGTCTGTTGTTTTCCGGACTACCGGCCAGCATGTCGTAGTGTGCGAACGCTGAGCAATTGATCGGCTAACTTCTCTAACTAACCTGCTTTGCTTCGGTCTCCGACAATGCTTGACTTCATGGATTACATCCAACTCGCGTTCGCCGAGGCGACGAACTGGAACCGCGACAATTCATATTCGTCACTCACGGCTACTGCGCAGTGTTTGTTCAGCATTTCCCAGGGATTTGACCGGGGTGTTCTCAACTGACCGCAATCACCAGCCGTGCTTGATTTCTCCACGCCAGAGCGTCTCCGCGTCCACCTCTCATCCCTCTCTACTCCGCACTTCGCGACGAGCTACACCCTCGGCACCGTCGGCCTGATCGATGGCTCCGTATCCTATCTCTTCAGCACGGTGCCCTTGGACCACACCCCGAGCCGCAGCGCCTTGATTCCTATCCGCAAGCTCTCCCCCGGATACCGTCAAGTGCAGGCCCCCGTCGCTCCGATCGAGAACTTCCGCGTCGACTCCATTCTCGACGACCTCAACCACGCCCCAAACCATGGCCGTCGCTCCCAGAAAGCTACCCTATTCCATGCAACCCTTCATCTACCCCCGCCGACCACCCTGAACGCCCTCTTCCTCCGCCGCATCTCTCCCACCATGCAGCTCTCCCTCGCCGTGTGCTCGACGCGAGGCCCTCCGCTATCGAAATCCGCGCCGCAAGCCTCCCTCCTCACGCAACTCTCCCACAATACCGGCAAGTACAGCAACGAGTACCTATTCAGCACGGATAATGCGCTGTTCGGCTGGCGCGGTCTATGGAACTTCGGCCCCGACCCACGCAACCCAGCCAACACTCGTCCCGCGCACCCCTTGTCGCTCCTCTCCGCCGGCGCCGAAGCATACTACTCGCCCGTCTCCTCGCTAATCGGAATGTCCACCGGGCTGCGGTTCAGCACCCTCCCCGCCGCGACGGACGTACCCTCATCCACATCTACATCCACAGCGCCGCCTTCCAGCAGCAGCAGCAGCAGCAGCAGCAATGCAGGCAACAACCCGATCTCGACCTTCCCGTACACGCTCACCCTCACCCTCACACCACTAACCGGCTCCCTCTCAACAACATACTCACTGCGCGCCTCACCAAACCTAGCCTTCAGCTCGCGCTTCGGCTTCAACGTCTACAGCTGGGAAAGCGAAATGGTAGCAGGGATGGAGCTATGGCGCAAGAGCCGTCGGGCGTCTCCGACTCCCAATGGCGCCCTGGAAGCTGACGACGGACTGGAGTGGGCAAGACGCAAGATGCGCGGGGAGACGGGCCCCGTCCCGCCGCTTTCAAGCTTCAGCGTCAAGGCCGCTGCGGATCCGATACCGTCGACGAAGGTCGCGGGACTTGCCACCTCGGCTGTTACGCAAGCTGAGGAAAATGAATCCGTGCTCAAGATCCGGGTGGGTCAGTCGTGGAATGTACGGTTGCTGTGGGAGGGCCGCGTCAAGGAGTTGTTGGTTAGCGCTGGCGTCGGGCTGGGCCCTAGCTCGTTTGCCTCGTCGCTGCCGTCTATTTCCTCGTTGAGTGCGGCCGGGGCGCAGAGTTGCGGTGGTGGTGGTGGGGCTGGGGCTGGGGCGGGGAAGTCGTACTGGCATGGGGTTGGGGTGTCGGTGTTGTATTCTTCGTGAGTTTCAGGGGTGAGGGGGTTTTGTGTATATATTAGGCTCTACTAGGTTCTGGCTTACGAGCTTAAATTTTTTTGTGGCAGGAATGAAGAGAAATAGATTTTGTGGTATTTTTTATAGACATCGGTGGTTGCTCATCGGTATATGCACTTTCATATAGTAGAAGCGAGGCGGGGTTGGGAGGGGTGCGTGGTGTCCGCCGTGGTTGGATGGAAGAGGTTAAGGTTCTTTTCACATAAGTCCCCTACCAGCAAGGCCAGCATGTCGGATTAGGGGGGTGGGTTGACTTGCTGGCACGGGTATCATATCACGTTATCATACGATGGTCGTAATTGCTTACAGACGAGCGTTGATAATGTCGACGACTGTGGAGCGTTAGTTTGGGGATCAATTATACGCAAAGAAACGGGAACTGGGAACGTACAGGCAGGCTTCAGGCTGGCACCGCCAACCAGGAAACCGTCGACATCGGCCTCCTTGGCCAGCTCGCGGCAGTTCTTCTCGCTGACGGAGCCACCGTAGATGATGCGGGTGTTCTCGGCGGCCTCGGCGGAGATGGCCTCCTTGAGCCAGTTGCGGATGGCGGCGTGCACCTCCTGGGCCTGCTCGGTGGTGGCGACCTTGCCGGTGCCGATGGCCCTGTTGGACGGTCAGGTCAGTAGATGTGCAAGAGGCGGAAAGGAAATTGACGTACCAGACGGGCTCGTAGGCAATGACAACCTTGGCCCACTGCTCCTTGGACAGCTCCTTGGCGACGGCGTTGAGCTGTCTGGTGACAACATCGATGGTCTTGTTGGCCTCACGCTCCTGTACACCACAGTTAGTCTGCAGCCCACCGTGAAAGGCGGAAGTGGGGGTAGGACAGGCCCCCGCCAAGGAATGGATCCACAACATACCTCGAGAGTCTCACCAATGCAGAAGATGACGCTGACACCACCGTCAACGGCAGCCTTGACCTTGCGGGCAATGAACTAGTAGGAGCTGTTAGTACAGGTTCATTTAGGAGGAATGGGCGTTTGGGAAGGAGAAACGCCAATTCACCACGCAGAAAAGAACATACCTCGTCGCTCTCCTTCAGGATCACACGGCGCTCGCTGTGGCCGATGATGGTCCAGTTGATCTTGGCGTCCCGGAGCTGCTCGACACTGATCTCACCGGTGAAGGCACCGTTGGGCTTGTCGAAGACGTTCTGCGACGCAACGCCGATCTTGTCGGAGACGGCCTCGCGGGCAGTCAGCAGGTACAGCGAGGGAGGCGAGATCACCACCTCGGCCGACTCGTCGAGCTTAGCCTCGTTGAGGTTCTTGATGATGGCGGTAATGCTCTCCGCAGTACCGTTCCTTTGGGGCGGAGGGGTGAGTTAGCATTTTGATGGTCGAAGCGTGGGGTTTGTTGTGGTCAGGGTTGCTCAGGGATTGGGATTGGGATTGGGACTGGGACTTGGACTGGGACTGTGAGGTCGTACATCTTGAAGTTACCACCGACGAAGAATTGGCGAGGCATCTTGAATAGTGGTTGGTAGGATGAGTGGAAGAGACGAGGTGAGAGACGGAAGATGAATCTGGTGGATGGGGAGAGTACGATTGAGTGGGAGTAGAGGAAGTATGAAGAGAGAGAAGAGAAGAAGAGAAAGAAGAAGAGAAGAAGAAGAAGAAGAAGAGAGGGAAATGAATGACGAAGACGAGGAAGACGAGAGAAAGACGGAGGGGAAGACGGCGGGGCTCGGGCCGGTGTGAGCAAAAGGGTTGGGTCAATGTAATGAGTTTGGGTGCAGCAGTTGGCGGGGCTTATCGATAATGAGCTGGCAAAGGCAGAGCTTCCCCTCCTTGTCTGTTCTCTGCATCCATGTTGCTACTTCGTCTCTTGATGTTGGCTTGGGGCAATGACCCGCGTGACCTGCATGTCTCCTCTCCTACATCCCTCAATGCATACGCATCAATTGAATTGACATGCATCAATAAACAAATTGGTATTCTTGGTATTGAAACCACTGTCTGCCCACCCTTCCCAAGCACACCTCCGCTGCAATGACGTTAGAGTATACCCACATCCCTCACTCACCCGAGGAAACGCCCGAAAATTAAACGGAGAACATAACCGGACCAAAACAACTCCCCCCTCCCCCCCGACAATCCTGATAAATAAACATCGTCAAAGGTAGGAATGATATCGACGAGGATAAAATGACCCTGAGTCCCGGAGTGACAGGCGTCGGGGTATGTAACACGCACTGTCCAGTTCCTCCTCCAGCACCCGCGCTTTGAGATCTAACAGTCTCTCGCGACGCTCCAGTCGGGCTTCCCGATCGTCCAACATCCGCGTTCGAATGTCGTTTCGCACGCGTCCTCCAGTGTATCTTCCAATCCTCTCATCCAGCAGTTGCTCCATGTCCACTGCCTCGGGAGGAGCAGGCGCCTGGATTATCTTAGGCCGATCTCGGGCCGGCCGTGTCACTTCGCGGCTGGGGATGACCCTCGGGTCGGTGGGACTGCTCTTGGCGGGGACTACATCGACTGAACCAGCAGGGTAACCACTGCGACCAGTCCCCTGAGCCAAGTTACTTCTCTGAGGCTGCTTTCGATAGTGGGTTCGATAACCTTGTTTGGCTCCGGAGGTTGAATGTCGACGGTAGAGACTACCCCGCCACGGCTGAGGGTTCTCATCAATTTCGGACTCCTCATCAGACTCCTCAGTCGTTGAACCATCGTCGTCAATCTCAAATACAGACTCGCCATCGCCCACACTGCTTGAATCGAGCCCCATCTCTACCTCCGGCCCCGCAAAGGGTATTCCCGCTTTGGTATGGTCGAGCTTCGTATGCGTGGGGGTATGAATCTTGGTCTTACCCAGCCCCTGCATCTCAGGAGGTTCTTGCAATGGGTTGGGCGAGATACGCAGGCTGGGACCTCGATGAGCCATACCCTGTGCAACGGGACCGCCCCGGGGATCATTCCACATGGCCGACATTTGTGGGATGCTCTTATGCTGGGGACCATGGTTTGCGATAGGGGTCGCAGGGTCATGGAATCCAACTGAAGGACGATGCTGAGTGTGCATGGCAGCCGACATTCCCTGCTGTGCCCAAGTTGCCCATTGTTCTGGAGGTGTAGGCCGTTGTACCCCTATCGGGAAAGGGTGTGAGGTTGGTGGGGGTTGAGGCTGATGATTCGGCTTGGATGGCTGTGGCTGCTGAATATTCGGCATGCTTGTTGGCGCGGGTCCTTGATGGACCGCAGGCCCCGGTTGTCTGGGAAGCGGCTCGGTGGGCGGAACAGGCTGAGTGATCTTGGGTTCCATGTTGAATTGGACATGATTGGTAGGAAGCTGGAACGTCTCTCGAGTAGGGATGACTTTCTCCACGGGCTCGTCCACCAAGACTCTGGGATATACTAGGTTTGCGGCCTTCCTCAGGATGATAACCTCGAGCGAGACCGTCTCATAGTCACCGCGTCGAGAGTTCTTGCCCTTGAATGGCTTCTCGTCCTCCTTCACATAAACACAAGTCCATTCAAATCGGGGCGCCCTGGTTCTGAGCTCGTGGATCAATTGGTCGACATGTGCACGCTTCGCTTTGGATAAAGAATGGTATTGCTCAGCCACGGGAAACTTCTTTTTCCGGTTAACCACCATGTTGGTCAAGATCGACTGGCTCAGGTGCATTTTCGCCCTCTCGACCTGGCTCCAGGTGCTCTTCTTGCCGAGGGTGGGGTTGGCTTTGAAGAAGGTGTACCCCAGGTAGAACAAAGGGGCACCAGCATCGAGGGCACCCATGGCAGCTAAGTCTTCTGGCTGTTGGATGTTTTCGCCGGAAGCCTTTTCGGTCTGCACATGAATCCGGCTCATGGGGTTGACTAAGTATTCAGGGCTCACTTGGCCTTGTAGGTTAACGGGCATCATACGAGGAGCCTCGCTTGCCTGGGCAGGCTGGTGATGAAGAGGAGGGACCGGAGGAACAGGGGGTACTGGGGGAACTAAGTTGTCTATGTTGAACCTCGCCATGCTGTAGAGAGCCACGCCGTCCGGATAGGGGGCGGAATCACAGCGACTGAACGGGGTATATTGGAAGTCAAACAGCGAAGCAATAGTAGCAGCAGCAGCAGATGTCAGGAGGTAAGCAAGATCTCGACGCTGATAAACGGGAGAATTTCAACTGGAGAGACGGGGAACTAAGGAGCACATATACATCTTATATGGAGGGAAGGCGTCGATCAAGTCAGTCTTCCACAGAACAGAACAGATATGGAAGACAGTCGAAGGGTTTTCTCTGACAGACAAGCCGTAAGAATGTTTCAGACCGGACAGAGGCCAGCTGCGTTCTGCCTTGCCATTAGATAGACTAGGATGGTTTGCGCTAGAGAGAATGCCCGAACCTCTGAGAAAATCCCCCGAAGGTACAGTAAATAGGTTTTCTTGGACTGGCACTGACAGAGAAGGACTTATGGTGGTGCCTATGCCTATGGATCATCCATCCGAGGGTAACGCGCATGTCACATTTCCAGGGCGCTCGCAAAGCGAGCCCGGGCAACCATGAAGCGTCAGGCTGAATTGTATTGATGGCCACTTATCCATGGCTTTCTCTCTTTTGTATTTCTCGGGTTTTCGTTCTTTTGGTGCCTCCTTCACCTCCGATTTCCACGGTCTCGTATTATCCTACGCCTCAGCCGCAATGGAATCTGAAATTGGGGCTATGCAGGGGATGGGAAACACCAACACCACCCAGCACCTAGCAATGTCAAAGAAGCAAAGGTTGAGTCAGAGTCTGATGGCCACAATCAACGAGTGAAGTGGGATTAACAATGCTTAATGTCGCGTGGGCCCGCAGAGAAAGCCCTCACTTTCAACGGACCCCCCAGTAAACCAGCCGTGTTCCCCTGTCTGCAGGTGGTCGACTTCAGCAATTCAGCACCTGTTCTGATCCAGGCAACAGAGAGCTCTTCTGTAGCCTAGCCATTCAGCGATGGGATCCAACAGTCATCACCAAGGAACGTGGTCTCTGATTGGGTCATTTGCACGCTCAAGATCCTGCAGCCAAGCCCGGTGTGTGTGGCGCTTGCAGCGCCCTGGTGCAGAGCAGCGCCCAGGATGCGCTCTCAGGCTCGACAAGCCATCCCTCAATCCACAAGGACATTGGACAAGGTCCATGGATCTTGTACTGTACATACTGCATTTTACACCAAGCAAAGTGGATCCCTTATCGCGCGACATATGTATGGAAGCTACCATAGATGCTGCGCGACGTAGGTACTTCATCCATTTCAATCACCTCCGTTGCCTACGGTCCAGAGAATCACGGCTGATGTGCCTCCTTTCTGAGGGGTTCCGGTCTGCAAATACTCGCACTGTAACCGGAGTTCTTCCTACTCTGAGGATTGGCGGCCTTCGCACGTATGGGACGAACCTGCCTGTGTTTATCCGTGGCTGGCAACTTTCTTTCTAGTGTACGAATTGGTCTCTGATTCATGCACTTCCAGCGAAATTGTTCAGGCGACCACCACTGAAAGGCACGCAAATCCTTTCTCTTTCTCAAAAGGCTGATAGGCTAGTCGGAGTGTGACTCACTGCTCATTCCTGCAGGTGCAGAGTTGATCATGGATCCAAGCGAAATGAGCCCGGCTGAAGGGTCTGTGGTCATTGGTAGCTGCAGATCGCATCACTTCTACTCTGTTCTGTTTACTAGGTTTGATTTGAAGATTAACAGACCTTGTTGTGGCTGTCTTTCACGTCAAGCTAAACTCTGTTGGAAGTAGAATGCGATATTGGAAGCGATATGGTGGGCAGAGCATAAGGTGGAATACTTGAGACAGGCTCACCTGCACTGAAGCTCATTTTGACCATTGGGGTGATTCAACGATCTGGGGCATCAGTGGCTACACTGAGCTTGGAGCACAAGAAAAAAAAAAGCGGGGACTGCTTGTTCCCTTTCTGAGAATGTCAGCATTCGCGTTTGTTCTTCATTGTTCTATTCTTGCTCACATGGATGCTTTACTACCCCTTTGTCAGACCGTCCGTCTACCACACCTCTTTCTTGCCTGTTGAAACAGAAAAGCTCCTTTCTTTGTGCGGAAACAAACACAATGGATGGTTAGTGCAATGGCTTTCATCGACTCGTTTGTTTGCCTCGCACCTTCCACCCAACTGAAACGATGACATTGTCTCCTCGGATCTATTCCAGCACTGTTAGTTTTCGTCCTTGCATCCGCCTTCAAACGCAGACACTCGATACATCCTCAAGCTATAATCGCTCCATGATGCTCACGCCGTCTCTTTGTCGATTTTTTTTATTAATTCAAAGTTGTACCCTGGAAGTATGAGGACTCATATAAGATCGAGGTCCCCTTGAGGTGCGGCGGCCACGATGATCAACCTGACAAGTACCATACAAAATCCCTCTAAGAAGGACTACCAACTCTAGCAAACACCACTGAGTCTTATTATGGCTCGATTACAATGCGACACATGGGGCCGTGAATTCAGACACCTGATCCAGCAATTCACCGAAGCCCGAAGGATAACTGCTGAGGAAATCGATCAAAAGTACTACCACATCAAGGCTTATGTGTCGGAACTAACCGCGGTCATCCATGATCTCCTGGATCCAAAAACTAGACTCGCAGCAGACTTTCCTAGTCTTCATCGAATTCTTTCTCATCGCTATAATGCAGCCTTAGCCTCTCAGCAAACTGAAATCTCCAGGTGCTCTCACTTGGCCGATGGTAGAAGAAGGAGCGACAGCTATCATTACCAGGGCTACATTCTGCTGAACCGGGATAGCGATATAGCGGACCAGGCAACAAGGAACAAAGTTCGATGGGCTAATCGATGCTCAATCATGACAGATCACTTCGTCGTCAGAGGGATCCTCGGCACTGGAAGTATGTTCTCGCATTTTACAGCATTTCCTCAACTGCTTCTTGGCTAACCTTTGGCTTTACTAGCGTACGGTGTCGTCTTCCTCGCCCACAAAAGTAAGTTTTCAGACTGAGTTATGACCTTGATGGTAGCATCATACTGATCCCTCTCGCTCAGCAGACAATGAAGATCATTTGTATGCCATCAAGATGGAGAACCTGGTCACGATTGGAACCTCAATGCAATATTACGCTCAACCGACGGTAGTCGGGTGCATTGGGCCTCAACCAATGGTGGCGCCCTTATTCACTGAAGAATTTGTGGACTATCACTATATCCCTGTGGAGGCGTACATTCTGCTCCTTACCAACGAGAGTGACCGGTTTCCGACCCTGGACTCAGTCTACACCCACGGCTACTATCAGGCTATTGTGATGGACGCCCACGTCGATGACGAGGTCGCAGAATCTGCTTACGACCCCGATGCCCCTTTTGCGAAGTGGAACGAGGAGAGATTTAGCTCATGCGGAGGCCATAATTTTGTCTATATGAAGGAGACAAAATTGCAGGAGTACATGGTCTGCAAGATTGCATCTCACCTATTGGAAGGCATCGCCTATCTGCGCGATATGCGTATCTGCCACAACGATCTCACGATGAGCAACTTTGTCATAGACAAGAACTTAAACGTACGTTTTGTCCCATGACTGTCACCGACGGTCGCTCGCCAGGCTCCATGTACCAAAAGTGATTGCTAACCGATTCCCCTCGCTGTGTCGAAAACAGACCACCCTCCTGGATGTCGGACTCTTCACATTTGCGCTAACAGACGACGATTATTGGGCGCCTGACTTCACCTACGTGCCCGGCTACGAAGGCAACAGCACGCCAGAAGTCATACTCGCGCTCCTGAGAGACATCTACCGAGACAGGCTGAAAAAGAGGACGCAGATCCAGGTCGGCGTGCCCCACGACGTGCGCAAGACCGGGCTGTGGATGCTTGCCGCCGACATCTACGAGCTGCTCCACGGGTACATGCCCTGGGAAAATCCCGAATGGGACGGTCGAGTTAGCTATTTGTCACAATGGAAGCAACAGGGTATTCCGAGAGGGCATGAGCAACTGCGGTCATATGAGGCTAACCGTCGGCGACACAGGGTCGTCAACTTGGAAATACCTCTCCGAGAGTCTCTCTCGCAGGACTGCGCGGATGCCATGTTGATGATGTTTGCCAAAGACACGAAGAAAAGGCCAACTTTGCCGGAGATGGAGTCCTTTGTTTGGTTCGGGCAGTGGGATTATCTCGATCCCGAGCAATTTCAGCGGCCGGCGCCCTATGATACGTGACTCCGTGATAGAGAACCGAGAAAGGTATCTGTGTAGATCATCCCCCTGCAGGCATTTCTTGATGATTTGTGGTCCTGTGTTGCGAAGCATGTGGTTTCCCTCTGGATTCAGGGAACTGCTATCATATCGGTTTGTAAATCACAAACAAAAAGCATTCGAAGCCAGTGTAGTGGTGTTTCTGGTGTGGTCGACGTGCCTGGCTTGGTGGAAGCAAAACTGGTTGCTATGGGAGGTGTGAAATGGTTATGATTGTAGACGTGCAAGGCTAACCCCAGAGACGATAATGCATTATGCCCAATACCAGAAACCCCTAGCCACAAAGATAATGACAGCGCAAGAAAAAAGGGAAGAAAGATATAAGGTATACGAAGAAGAAACGAGACATTCGTAGCGGCTCGTTCTATGTCATCAGCGACGAAGACTATCCAGTCTCGCCTGTAGGTCATCATCACTTGCGTTTCCACCAGCGCCAACCGGCTGGGCCACTCTAGCCTCACCCACCGCCGTCTTTTGTATATCCGTCGGCGTCTCGCCCAGCTAGAAGCGCACGAAGCGAAGTCAGTACCCGAGTAACACAAACAACACTTATCCCATCGATCGAGACAAGCTCCAAAGAAATGAGAGAGAGAACCACATACCGCCTGGCTAAGGTCGACACCGATCTCATCCAGCACCTCCTTGACGATATCCTCACTATCCTCCTCCTCGCCCTCCATCCCCGTCGCCTCATCAATAGCATCATCCATCATCTCCTGCCGCTGATCCATAATATCATTCTCCCGCTCGAACTCCATCGCAATCCGCTGCAACGCCGGCAGATTCATCTGCCGATTCATACTACCCAGCAACATCGTCGCCCCTTTCATCGACTGCATCATCTGCTCATTACTCCGTACAGTCTGTGTACACACACACAATCGATCAAGAAATGGTCAGCTTATCGCATCCCCCATACAACCACGTCCGCCTTCGGCTGGGAAAGAGCAAACGCACCTGAATCCGCAACGAAATAGCCTGCAGCTGCGTGCGCATCTGGTAGAACTTCTGGATGTAGCGCCGCGTGCGCACCAGGTCCTTGGCTTGGATCTTACACGCCCCGATCTGCCCATTCTTGGCGCTCTTCTTGATGTCCTGCACCAGCTTCTTCTCTTGGTTCTCGAGCTTCACCCGCTCGCGGTCCAGCTCCCGCTGCGTTCGGTCCAGCGCGCGTTGGTGCTTCCGGAGTCGCTCGGCGGGTGTCATTCGTTTGCCGAAGGCCCATTCTACGATCTTTTCTTTGGGTGTTAGTTATTTTGTTGGGGTGGGGGTGGGTGGAGTGGGGTGGTTTGCGATTGCGGTGCTTTGGATAGGACTGATGATTGGGGGTTTGGGTTGGAGTGGTGTACTTACGTTCATTTTGACGGATTTGAGGGATCACACCACTTTGTAAGGAAGAGGGGGGAGGAAGGTTAGGGAGGAGGTATTGGGTGATGGGTTGTTGGTGTGGTAGTAGTGGTGGTGGTGGTGTTGATAAGTAGCAGGCCACCGAGGCGGAGAGTGTAGTGTAGTTAGTTAGTTAGTGTAGTGACATCAAGGGAAAGCAAGAACTGTATTTTATGTATGACCGTTACTGAAATTACGCAGATAAAGTTGCCTGTTCAAGCCCAATAATACACCCCCCATACATACAGCATTGGCGGCAGTCACATGCAGGACCAATTCCCCCACCCACTAAACTCTTTCCAGCCACTAACCACTAATGAACGAATTATTTTCCTTCATTTGCCTCCCGCGCGGAATTTCCATGATTTGCTGCTGCTGCTTTTTGGGTGCATGCATTAATTCATATTCCATCACTAAGCCGAATCTAATCTCCCTCGCCTCCCACGGCACCACTCCTTCATTCTTCAACCGGACATTTCTTTCGATCACAACTCTTTTCACCGTCCTGGGTTACGCCCACATGCAAACAACATCCCCTTTGCCATGAGTCAGGAGTATTACCCCGGCCAAGGCGCCTCTTCGTCCTCCGGCTCCTCGTCCAGCCAGCCGCCCCAGGAGGCTTCCTCTGCGAACAATACCCCCCCATCCTTCCCGAGACCCCCGCCGGCGTACATGACTGTCGGGAATGGTTCGACCTCCGAGAGCGCAACGGCCTTGATGGCCTCGTTGCATGAGGATTCCGGGTACGGCGGAAGCATTGCCAGTGGAAGCGTGGTGGATGGCGATGCTGGAGCTGCTGCTGGTGGCGGTTGGCGAGCGGATCTGATGGTCGATAGCCCGACTCCCATGCACGCGCCTGCCCATCTAGGAGAATGGAACCCGGCGGGTGAGCTCTCTTTTCTTGAAGCCGATGTATTGCTATGGACAGAACATGACTGACGCGTCGGGTTTATAGCTGAGCACGAGCGACAGGTTGTCGCGAGCCATGTTCATCAGCTTCTCTAGTATGTGCGGCCCTGTTTTTTTTTTCCTGCATGTGTCGGCTACGGACCAACCTATCTTCGTTGTATTGAGTGAAGCTGTGCTAAGATTCGCGGCATAGTAATTCGAACCGGACCAAGCTTGGACGCGCGATCACGCGCACCATCGAAACGTTGAAGGAACTCCAGGACATGAACCGGCAATGGCCCGCCCACTACCCCTCCGTCCAGAACGCACCCGAGTCGCCCTCCGAGAAACCCGCCCTGCATAAGAGACAGTCCTACTTCGGAGATGAGTCCCTGGATGATTCGATGCCCCGTCCCGGTCAGGTCCGGCGCGCCGCCACCATGACCGGCGGGGAGGACTTGGCCGAGTCGAGTGCTGCCGCCCAGCGCCGTGTTCCGGCCGAGCCCAGGTTGATGAGCCCCCAGATCGCGCAGGAGTTTTCGATTCTCAAACTCGATCTGAAGCTGGGAGCCCTGTCGCAGGCTGAGCTGGTTCACTCGCTGGAGAAAGCGTCCATCGCGTCGCTGTTGGATGGCAAGATCGCCCAGAGCGTCAAGCATCTGCTCTCGTTGCGGGACCGCATCGAGGATACCTCCAGCAAGGTTCTGATTACGGGTGATTTGAACGCGGGAAAGTCGACGTTCTGTAATGCGCTGCTGCGTCGCAAGGTTCTGCCCGAGGATCAGCAGCCATGCACCAGCATTTTCTGCGAGGTCCTGGATGCACGCGAGAACAGTGGTATCGAGGAGGTGCATGCCGTTCACAAGGATGTGCACTACAACCGCAACGATGAGAGTACATACGACGTGTATGCGCTGTATGAGCTGGAGAATATCGTCATCGATAACTCCAAGTACATGCAGTGCAAGGTCTATGTGAAGGATGTGCGGACGATCGACGAGTCTTTGCTCAACAACGGCGTCGTGGATATTGCGCTGATTGATGCGCCTGGTCTGAACTCGGATTCCTTGAAGACGACGGCTGTTTTTGCGCGACAGGAGGAAATCGATGTGGTCGTGTTCGTGGTGTCGGCTGCTAACCACTTCACTCTTTCTGCTAAGGAGTTCATTCTCAATGCTGCCCACGAGAAGGCGTACATGTTCATTGTTGTCAACGGTTTTGATCAGATTCGCGACAAGCAGCGGTGTGAGCGGATGATCCTGGATCAGATCGGCAAGCTCAGTCCCCGTACGTACAAGGAGGCGGCCGAACTGGTTCACTTCGTTTCCAGTAACGCCATTCCCGTGGCGCCTCCCGTTCCCAGTCCGAACTCCGGTGGTGGTGGCGACGATGGATCCGACGATGACGAGCCCGAGGATAAAGGAAAGGGCAAAGGCAAGGGCAAAGAAAGACAGAAGATCCAGGATTTCGAGAATCTGGAAGGTTCTTTGCGTCGGTTCGTCCTCGAGAAGCGCTCTCGTTCAAAGCTTGCGCCTGCTCGGACATATCTCCTGAACCTGCTCGCAGATCTGAACTCCCTGGCTGGAGTCAACCGCGATGTGGCTCAGGCAGAACTCAAGCGTGTCACGGACGAGCTGGCCGAGCTGGAACCTGCTTATGAGCAAGGCAAGAAGAAGAAGGTCGAACTCAGCGAGCAGGTCGAGAAGTACATTGATGATTCGTGCGACGACGTCTACAATCACACTCGTTCTAGCCTGGGTGAAACCATTGCTCATGTTTCCGAGGCTGACTTGGGTGTCGAGTACCCGGGTTTGTTCTCTGCCTTCCAGTACGCCGAGGATTTGAAGTTGGCTATGCTGGATCAGATTGCCGCATCTGTCTCGGACTGCGAAGATTATGCTCGCGAGAAGACGGTCAAGGGCGTTGGTTTCGTCCAGAACATCGGTCTTTTGCATGTTGGTGAAGATAAGTTCGCGCCTTTGAACTTCCGTGCGGACATGATGTTCCGTCGCGGTCGTCGCCACACGCTTGCAAGACAGGTTGACACGGAAGTGGAGATCTGGGACTTCTTCGACATCTCTGGTATTTGGGAGCGGCAAGAGAAGATGGCCGGTACTGGTATGGCGATGACTGCCGTGACTGTTCTCGGAGGTAGGGCTTTTGGTGGCATCGGCTGGGTCGACAGTATGTTCAGTGCTGTTCGCTTCCTGGGACCGAACAATGTGCGACGACTTTTCCTGCCTGGTATTCTGGCAGCCGGTACGTTTTACTACTTTTTGTCTATCTGCATGCCCTTTACTAACATAAATATAGCTGCCCTGACTGCCGCCTGGATGGTTTCCACTATCCCCACTACCCTTCCTCCCCGTCTGTCCCGCAAGCTTGCGGCCACTCTTTCAGAGATGGACTACGTTCACTCCAACGCCACGCGCATTTCCTCCGAAGTTCGCCGCATCCTGCGCCTGCCTGCCGGAAATCTGCAAACCAGTCTCGCGCAAGACATCGAAGACCTTGGACGTCGCAAGCACGAAGTGAGCAAGACCAAGCACGAGAGCGAGACCGCCAGCAAGTACTTTTCGAATCTCTTCCGCGAGAGTGGCGAGAACCGCAGATCGGTAGAGAGCATTGATCTGGATGCTCCTCTACCCGGCGGCCTTGCGGCAGCTCATTGAGCATTGATAGGGGACGCTTAGATGGGTTCGGAGGTGATTTCCCTTGTACAAAACGTAATGATGCTGTACGAACTTTCTATTATTCCCTTCTCTGCTGTGTGGTTTGCCTAGGCCTTGTGCTGCCTCCTTCCGCTCTGCCTTCTTCTTTTCCTGTTTCCCTCACAAAATATCCCGTCGTGCATGAGTTACAGCTTCTTTCTTTCCTCCTCTTCTCTTCTTTTTAACTCTGCTTGATCTTCCTTGCTGTAATGAGGCGTGTTTGGCGGTACGCATGGTTAAGATATAGCTTCAAAATTCTTCATCAGAATGATATCCTAGACAATGGTCTTTTGTATTTGTCTGCCTCGATCACTTTGTCGTTGCGCCTTGTCCTGTTGCTGATGCTGTGAAGAAATGGCCTGTCATTCAAAGTTCTGGCTATGCACAAGTTCATGATAGGTATATCTGTCCCTCTCCCAGTTGTAGGTCCATTCACCCTCTTTCTGTTTCACAGCAGAACTACGTCATTGGTGTGTGAATCGTTGATGTGTGAAAGCCAGCCAGCCATCTATTCAAGAAGCGCAAACAATCACCACAATCAGCACGTATTCAATAACACAGGCTCGAGCAATTGAACATGAATGTCGCCTGCTCCTACCTCTCTCAGACTTCTTTTCTCTTACTTTTCCCTCTCTCCTATATCCACCTTCTCATCCTCTTCCATCTTCTCTCTTCCACCCTGTCTCTCCTCCCTCTCACATCCTCTTTCTTCTAAATCTCCCTTTCTTTCATCAAGCGACCTCTCGTTCTCACACTTGAGTCTGTCCTTCTCGCATGCGTTATAATCCCTAGACCGACCTTCCAATATACAAGTAAGGGGTCCTCGCTCTACAATTTATGACATGACTCGACGCGAAGTCATGGAGGTCGGCACTGGAGGCAATGGAGTCAATTGAGGAATGATATAAGCTCTACCTGCGTCCGGTATACGGAGATAGTATGGTATTATCCTTTCCGATTGAAACCACTGTATGAAAGCTGACCATCTCCTTCGATGCTACAGTAAACCGATCCTGTAGGCGAAACCGCTCTCGCATTCCATCAACCCATGTGCGGACACAGTGTCAACGAGAATGTACAGATGATGAGCTTGAAACATCCTCCTCGAAAGCGGCGGAGCTCACCATTGAAGATACAACTCCCCGTCTTGCAAAACACACGTTGGCAGGCTCGCAATTCAGTCCCGACGATCAATCTACGTCCGACTGGCAGAAACAGCAGCAGACCGTTACAAATCGAGCAGGTCAAGTCCCGAGTACTCGCGAAGAATCTCACCCAGTTCAAACATGCTTAACCTAATGCATGATTCAGCAGCCAAGCTACAAGATTTGATGGCCGTCTTCCACCTCCCAGCAGGAGACACCAGCATTCTATCCCTCTCTGTCCCTTGTTCAGCCATAAGTCCCGCACTATATCAACACCAAGGCACTATCTTAGAAAGCCCACCTGCTCTTCCAAGACGACTCCCAACCGGCGACGAGTGTTGAGAGAGTGAAGTCCCCAGCGGCGAGAGATAAGGCTTACCCACTACATCGCCTTTCTTGTAAGTATATACCCCAACTTATATACCATGGATCAGTACACTAATCCACGTTGTCCAACCGTCAGGTCCGAGTTCCTGCCGGTTTCATCATGCAGACAATTCCCCAGAAATCGTCAAAATATTCTCAAGAGGAAAGCCAACAAAGCATTTCTCCCATTTCTCGGCAGATGATCTGGTGGCTTGGCTACACAGCCCCCCATGCTCAGCACAATCTCAACCAAATAATCAATCCCCTTAACCCTGGAACACGATTCCCCGTGATGGACAGATATTCCATACAGCTGTGGACCCGACGAGACCTATTCCGCAGTATTTGTTCCAAACAAAGTGGATATCGTGGTAAAAGTCACGAAGTATGAGGCGTTGTTGACGGAGGAGGGTTGTATTCGCCCATACCGTGTCCTTTGTGGTCCTACGTTCCTAATCCAAGCACACGGCCAAATGTTTTATCCGATTCTAAAGGGCGGATACATCCTACGCGGAGACCAGGGACGCCCGTGGAAATCCTGGCTCTTACTGGGACAACGCGATTCAAAGTCTTGCGGTATTCCGCTCGAGAATGTCATTATCGGTCATTGCGTTGCACGACCAGAAGACGTTGCGGGCATCAAAGCAGGGAATGCGAATGCGCTGGCGATTCAGGCGCACGCAGCCCATGCACGCAAGGATTCTTTTGATCCAAGTAAGAAGAGTTGGAAACACTGTTGCATCACAGACGAATGGAGACCGTACTCTACGGACCTCTGATAATACATGAAGAAGAGGTCCAGAACGCCACAAATGTTGAGGCGAGGAAGGCGATCTACGCGCGGCTTTTCGCAGCTATCCAGCATCAGAACAGATTTAACAACTTCGCAAATGCTACAGTAAACTACTTCATTGACGAGAATGACACCCTCAAGAAGGTTCCGAGACGTGACACGGAACTGTAAACGTTGTTATCGCATTGTTACGCCTCTCCGTTCGCACTTAGATGGAAGTTGTCCCATCAATAAAGGGGAGAACGGCAATTTCCCTTGGCTTACCTTGAGTAGCACACTCATGGTTTCGTTCTAGTGTTAGGGGTGGCTCATTTCCACGGTCTGCGCGCTGTGATTGTTGCTGCAACTCTATTAGGAACTGGCTCTCAATTAAGTACCCTCCCGCGGGCACACCCTATCTCAGAGACAGCCTGTATCTCATCGTGCCCAGTCTTCCTCTCCTGTTTTGTCACAGCTCTTATCATGGCCGGTTCCTCACTCATCCCAGCGACAAGGAAATACCTGGAGGGTACCTTACCCCAGCTACAGACGCAGTGCCAGAAGGTCCTCGACGCGTGGACACAGCCAACGGATACATGGACTCTGGGTGATCCGGAGCCAGCCCCCGCCACACCAAAGATGGCGGCGAAGGGAAGAAATGCCCAACGAGACAAACTCGACCGTGAGGCCAGGGATCGAAGGGGCCAGCCGGCGCCTCGCGGTTGGGCTAAGGACGGAGTGGAATACGGCGGATGCAAGTGGCCGGACAAAGGCATTCTGTGCTCCGTACGAGATGAGTTATGGATGGACGGACAAGAGGATCGCGGTGCTGTGAGTAGACCCCGGTGATTAGCCGGCACAGTGTACGGTTATCCTGTCCTTCTAGATGTTAAGCAGGTGGTCATTGATAGTGACGAGCTGATCGTCATTGATGAAGTCGCAGAAGGGCATGATGGGGGTAATTCCATCGTTTGGACGAGGAGGACGGTAAGATACTTCTCGTTCAAATTCCAATCGAGAATAGCTAAGATAATCCTATCATCTTGGTTTAAGATACATACATCTCAACTGTTTCTTTTTAGCACCCCAGTTGTACGGGATACCTGTGTACAACACCTGAATAGGAACTCGCATCTCTACATGGTGTTCGGGACCATTAGTCGAAAGGCGAAGCTAAGCGAGTTTATATACGAGAGTTCAATAGCTTTATGTACGTACAGCAAAAGACTAGATTGGACAATTAACTGAATTCTGTCTACCGGCAGAACACCAGAGGAAATCGGTTTTGGCAGGACGGCCAGTATCATCCGCCGCAATCTGCGAGCGTCGTATAAACAATGGTTTAGACCATGAGGCCTATTAGTGTAAAAAGTATCATGCTCCCCTCCACCGGACCCAGCACCTGACAGGCGAAAGGAACAGCTTCCTTTGAATCCTCCTATCATTTCCAGGTTGAACCTGAGCCACACGGAGTCATGGACAATTCCAACCAGACGGCCGCAAGGGTAAAGCCACGATGCAGAACAATATCAGGCAGGAGGCCGTCGACATGGGCATTGAGCATGAAAACAAGGATGACGTTAAAGAGGGCAAACGGAAAGCATGTGCTCGAGAGCGAGCGTTGGATGCTATGGTGCAAACACAGGCAGAACCGCCGGCGCAATGACTACTCTGCATTGCTCACCAGCGCGCCTCAGGGAATTTCAGGCTGTAACCGATATGGTACAGAAGCGGCCAGAGGGCGACACGTGAGAGACAAGCGGCGTCCAAGAGGCGCCGGTAATCACAAGGAAGATCCTGAGATCCTCTTGCGGCGTATCAGAGCGAGCCCTCCTCTAACCCTAACCTTGCAGCTTTACTGATGCTTCCCAGCCCTCTCCAGGACTCACCAGGAACAGCTTCGCTCAGGCCATCAATTCCACCAAGCGGCGAGCACTGGCCATGATTTGTAGATAGGGTGTGATGAGCTGTAGAGATCAATTCTGCACTTTCTGTTTTTCCGTTTTTATCCTCTGCCTGACTGTTTGCTGCTGTGTACAAAAGGGGGTCTCTTTAGGCTCTACCGCCCAAGATCTCAACTGAGACACTATCAGACCAGGTTCAAATAGCTTATGCAAACAACAATTGGACGGCTACAGAGACTGTTGAGTCTGCCTGATTCAGAGATAAGAGACTGTGCTAAACTATGGAAAGGCTGAAGCGCGGAGCTCAGCATTCTTCGGCTGGCGTTTGATCCACTAGGACTAAACCAGACGATACATACTATTTTGTATACGAAGCTTACTGTGATCTTGAGATAACTACCTGGTAGCATGCGTCTGGCTTTTAGATATCCCGAATTATATTGTATATGCTAATTGAAAAGGGCCTGTATACCGATGCTCCAAATTGAGAATGATTTGTCGCAGGGATATACAGAGAACAATCTAGGAGACCATTTCAAGTACGTTGTAGTCGTCAGGTTCCAAGAACTTCGGGTGTCATTACTAGTAGTACTAGTCACGAGTCAATCGATTCGTAAGTTATATCCATCTCTCCAAATGGTGAGCGCGAAACCCTGGGTATATCTGCCTCTGGCTTCACACTGGGTTTAGCTGAGGCTGGCGGCTTGTTATGTCAAAGCCAGTACTGAAAATAGAGGTGGGAGCCCTTCCCCCTGCAACATAACTGTACCTGATGACTCGCCGCTGCCGTGACCAACATCCATCAGCCAGACTCAGCTTTGCTCCTAATACTAGCTACCAGCTATATTATCAGGGATTTTGAACATATAATGCTGGAACATCAAGAAACAGACTCGCACAACCGTGCCCTAGCCCGAATCGATAATATCTTGGAAAGCTTCCTTCGAAATTCCCATGAAATTCTCAATCATGCACCAATCCGAATTGTCGGCGATACACCCACAGCTATTCTGAACTCCACTCACTATCTGGAATCAACCCAGCCGTTTGCTGCAAAGGTGCAGGATTTTGTGGACAAGCATTATCCAAATACAAGAACTCGCTTTCTGGCCGTGGAAATACACAAACGACATTCTTCACTTGTGGTGATATCAAAAATCATGAATATGATTATCTAACTGCCGACCAAGTTCATACAGCAATTCCTGTCTACATTCTCCGACTTTCTAAACATCCTAGGATCTTCAGAGACGCCAAGCGAGATGACTATCTAGCTTATAGACTTGCACTAATGCATCACCAACATGGATACGAACCGTTGTCTCTGACGATTTTACAAGGTTTGTTCAGTATCGCAATCCACGAGGTCTCAAATCTTGGGTTCTTTCATGGTGTCTTTCTAGGATTGGTGATACTCTAGTCTGGACCTGAACTTGCTTGTCATTGATACAATGAGGGAGGATTGGCTCTAATGTTTGAGTAGTATTGTGAGGGTGATCGTTTGATTGATGAGCTAGCATATTCGGCTTCCCAAAGATAGCCGTGCTGCTCTGTTACCAGGATATAGGCGGATTCTGTTATGAGAGTCGGAGAGCTGTTCTGAATATCTTAGTAGAATTTGATGTTTTTTCTATAATTGATTTATCTAGTAGACAACTTCTTCCTGTGACCTATTGATCGATGGATTAGAGCTCATAATGGATGTAACTATGTACAGGTAAGATAGGGGCAAAGTACTTTCCGGCTCTTGGGAAGCAGGTTGATTCTGAGATATACTATAAGTATCCCCTCCTTCCGTAAGATAGTACATCATGTCTTGGTATATACTCAAGCTACAAAGGCTTATAGTGTTGATCCTGTTGCCAAGCAACGCACATAATCCTCTTCCCTCTCCACCTTCTTTGTCGCTCTCCAATCCTTCTCTACCTTCATATATTTGATTGGGTTCGCCATTTCATCCTATCTTACGTCTAGTCTGATCTCTACACCTTGGTCCATTTGTTGCCTTTCCTTCACAAAATGGAGACTATCTGCTCGCAAAAGTCACTGCCCACCAAGGATGTAGGACTAGAACGCAAGGATCGACGCGCAAGGCTTAAAATCATCAGGAAGGAAACTAATGGGCTAGGATAAGGCTATCTGGATGAATCTGATCTGAAACTCGCCAGTGTGAACCGCCAGCTTATGTCTCTTGAAGATAAATCTATCCTGCCTCGATTTTTCGCTCCTTACAAAGCAAAAGTCGACCCGTCTCAAAACAGTTATATCACCGACAGCTTCCCTCGTTTTTGACGAGCTCATCTTCGAAGACCATGCGGAGACCGCGCAGCGTTTCCTGCATAGTTATATCTAGAATGACGAACTGCTTCAGGATGAAGAATTCCGCTTGTGCCTTGTTATAAGGAGATCGTAGATAACGTTGTCTTCTTTGACTCCGCTGCGGGCCGAACGGTCATTGTTCGCATCCATAGTGGTGATCTGATTCCGTACGCAAACCAGATTGTTTTGGCAATAATACACTATACGTCTACATAAACCAGTCCAAGAACTGTGGCAAAAAGTATTTCTACTGGCAGTAACAACATACGGAGGATGTGTAGATATCGGAGCAAAGTTCACCCGAAGCAGCCTTATTGGGATATATGATCGCGTCCATTTACCTTCAGGGCTCACAGACAGCAACGATGAGGATGCCATACTTTGCCCTGATGCACACCTTGTCCTTGGGTTCCTTTCTTTTTCATCGTTCTCTGGTCGCGAACAAGACAGGCCTGCCATGTTTCCACCGTCCACTCTCCCGTGTCTTCTCCGTCACTGCGTCTCAACCAACGGCCCCGACAAGGAGCACAAGTCGGGTCTTGTACGAGCCTATTGAGAGCGTGGAACGAATGGAGTACTACCAGAAGGGTGGCTATCATCCTATGAACATTGGCGATCACTTCCATGCTCGCTACCGAGTCGTTCACAAACTCGGTCACGGCACATACTCAACAATCTGGCTAGCCCGCGACGAGATATCGAAGCGATACGTTGCCGTGAAGATTTGTACAGCGTATTCGGACCCTCTCGAGACCAATGTACTGTCCCAGCTATCAGAGCCTCCAAAGTCGTCAGATATAGGGGCAACAATGATACCCTCGATTTTGGATAAATTCAATATTCAGGGCCCCAACGGTAACCACGCCTGCCTGGTAACAAGCCCGGCAAGGATGAGCTTGTCTGAAGCAAAGGACGGATCATGGATAGGCCTTTTTCAGATTGATGTGGCTCGTGCGCTAGCAGCACAGCTGGTGACGGTGACTCGGTATATGCATTCACAGGGCTTAGTGCATTGAGACCTTCATCGTGGAAATATCCTCCTCCAACCCCAATTTGATCTCGATCAGTTGACTACTAAAGAGCTATATGAGCGGTATGGAGAGCCGGAACTTGAGCCAGTCAACCTATTAGATGGCCAAACGCCTCCGCCAGGAGTTCCAAAACATGGCGTCGTACCTATCTGGCTTGGGGAACCGAGTGAAAAAATCACACTCCCAGAAGCCAAGATCATTCTCACAGATTTTGGCCAGGCATTCTCTCCAGCACGAGAGAAGTGATTTGAGTCATATACACCGCTTCTAATAACACCCCCCCGAAGCGCGATTTCAGCCAACAGTGCCACTCACTTTCTCATCTGATACCTGGACGCTGGCATGCACCATCTGGGATATCGTAGCCCAACGATCCCTGTTCGAAGGCTTCCTAACCAACGAAGACGACATGACTTGCCAGCAAATCGCAGCCCTGGGTCCGCTCCCCATCGAATGGTGGGACAAATGGGAGGGCCGTGCAGACCACTTCAACGATGACGGCGAGCCAATCAATCGCGCTACATCCCAGTATAGGTCTTTAGGGGATGCCTTCGAAATAAATATCCAGCAACCGCGGAGTCAGGCAGGGATGCCGCCACTTGAATTGAGCGAGCGAGATGCGTTCTTCGCGATGTTGCGTCCGATGCTTTCTTTCAGACCTGAGGATCGTCCGTCTGCTCAGCAGGTTCTCGAGTCGGATTGGATGGTGAATTGGGCTATTCCTGAGTATGAGAAGATTCGAAGCTTAGAAGAAAGCTAGTAGTGGTTGCTATGGTATTTAGGAACTCCGAAAGCATGCTTGGCCATCCCGCGGGAATGATAATACTTAAGCGAGTACTCACTGGGATCGTTTCCCAGGGTTGATCGGCTGTATCTCCCACTACAAAGTCTCGGCAGGCCTCATTTGGGAAAGCCTGAGCTGGAGGTTCGGTAGAAGATAATGGTATCACTTTACCAAGCCACAGTATTCTTATCTGATTTTAGTTGGTTGGCAAGTGAGGTGTGCTGCCGTTGTCACTTTTCCCTGTACCCGTCTATAAACTACCTATAAGCTTTAACTCGTGCTTAGCAAGGCTTGAGGTATTGGGAAGCCAATGGCAGAAATAGCAAGAACCTCCTATCTGTTAAACTTCTTTTTTCTGGTATTTGAATAGAGCCTGATACGAAATAAGGGCGGAGCTGATGTTCCCATATCTAGTAAACTAAATATACCTGATAGAGACAGTGAATGGGGTGAGTTTAAAACGAGAGGACGAGGGTCGGAAGTCAAAACAACAGACAATGAAGACAGACTCATCAGGTTAGAAAGATATATGCTATCAGAACAACTTTTCAGGCATGAGAGGCCTCTTTGGTGTGAATATAGTAGCTACCATTTCACCCTGTGAATCGCAGTGTGAATCGTAAGTCTGCTTACTACTTATATTCTTGGGGATTTTATATAAAGATTCTCACTTATCCTGCAGCCGGGGACTAGTTGTTTTTCCTATCTATTTCGGATGTTTCCGTTGCCTTGCGGTTGCATCATTTGAGTGGTTTCTTCTTGCGATAATAGCTAAGAGGCTATCCGATAGGTCATGTGGCTAGGTGGTGATATATAGAGAAGGGTAATTGTAGCTGCGTCTGCCTTGACTAGATAGTCAGCCACTTGGAGGATGTGATGTGGTTAATACACTCCGTTCTCCGGATTATAGTCGAATCTCGCCCTTCAAGCATTTAAGGCTCAGCAGACAATTGGTTTGGCTTCTTAAAGGCGTACGTAAGAGGTACTATATAGACAGCCCTTCTTTGACCAAGTGCACTGCGGCGTCAAGCTTTGTATCCCTAGACATATCGACCCAGCGCTACCAGGTACACAGTTTTCCTCTACACCCCAGATCCCGTGTGTGAAATCAATTGCAAGGGGTGGGGGGCGCTATAATGACACGTCGATCATGCTAAATATCCTCTTTCATAAAACCTAAGAGGAACCGGATCCCGAGTCAGTATAGCAAAAGCTCCAGCATACAAAAGACTCCTGACGTACGAGATGGCCGACAGACGTGCCTCACAGCAGGCAGCGGAGCGCGAGGCCCGTAATGCTGTCACACTCGGCTCGAGTGACCAGAAGACGATGGAACAGTTGTCATCATCTGGAAAAAAGGGCCCCCGGACCGCCGAAGACAAGCCGCACTTCGGCGTGCACAGAACGAGAATGCCGGTAGGCAGGCGGCCACTCAAGGAAGCACGGGGCAGACTGGGGACTCGGAATAAGCATGATATTGAACAACTCTATGCTTCAAGTAGCAGAAGGTGGCCCAGAGTTAGGCGGTTCTTCGTGGGCGCCTGCGAAGGCGTCACGAAGTTGACCTTCATATGTCTCTAACTCTTTTATCTTACCATCAAGAAATCTTTGTACGTCCGGTGCCCAGTAAGGCGAGATGGTCCTCTCAAACTCCACCAATCCAGCGTCATCCAGTTTTGAGAACCTTGGTTGTATATGATCTAGGAAGATATTGTATAAACCTTTAGGTGTTTCGAGGGCGTGGAAATACCAGAAACTCCCCAGTTTCCAGCCTTTCCTCATAATACCTGAGAGACCGAGGGTCTTATTCCCCGCTCGAGAATGGGCCTCTTCCTCCTCCTCAAAGACGTTCATGAATTCGGCGTGAATCTTGCTGAAAGCGTCAAGATGCTCCCCTTCGTATAACTGGTCTACTCCACGACCAGTGAGCCAGTAGGGCGGATGGAGCATTTCGACCGGTAGTGAGCATGTCCACTCCAAGTCGACTAGTGACTTAATGTTCCAGTTGCTGTCGACAAAAAGGTTACTTTGATGTAGATCCGTCAGGGTCATGATAAACGGTCCTTGCCGATAGCGGCGACAGGAAAAATGTGGCAATAGAGCTCGCATAATGGTCAGAGTTGACAGCTGTGCTTCACCATCGGCCTTGTTCCGTATTGAATTCGGGGCGTGGCGCAGCCGACTGTCATGACAGGATAACAAGTCCATGAAGTAGCTATCGCTGGTTGAATATGTAAAGTCCCCGTCTATGTAGGTGGGGACGGACTCATTTTCTAGGTGGTGGAGACGAAGCGTTAGAGGGCGGTTGGTATGTTTTATAATGCCTTGATCATCGATTGTTAAAGATCCAATGCGATCAAAAGGAAATTGGGCTAAGGATAAGATAATTTGGCTCAACCCGCGAAAAAGGTTGGCTCTGCGGTCTTGGTCATGGCGTAACTTATTCCAAGATTCGGAGAGCATCATAGTATCGGTGCTTCCGACGTGATCCATAATGAGATATCCGGTAGTCAGGCTGAAAGGGCAATTTCGGCTAAGGTAAGGCGGCCGGGGCGCATACCCGAAAAGAAACGATACTACGCGGTGGAAATACCATTTCAGTCGGCTGAGGATCGGGACGTGCTCTATCGCGGTGAACTAGGCCAGTGTCAGATTGACTCAGAGATCAATCCCGCGACTCACTCACGCATGGGCCTTGTGCAAATGCGAAGCCCCGCAATCGAGGCATGGGTATAGAAGGACAGTTCTGCCGAATCCAGATAAAGGTTGCAGCCTCGCAGCGAAGCTTCTCGTCCGCGTTGCCTGGGTGTTGAATCTCGCCGACCTTGTAGGGAAGAGGAAACCTGATAAGAACTCGTTTGGGTGCATTCTCATCGTGCCCATCAATCTCAACTGGTATGCACACATTGAAGCTCCCGGCTATCCAGTCTTTGACTTCCCCAACACGGCATGTCTGCTTCCTGTGTAGATTCAAGTGATACGACACGATCGACTCGATTACGGTGCGGTGCTGATAAAGATATATATAGAACTCGAGTCTCAGTTCGGGATAAGAGAGCTCTTGGAGGACATTGTCATCATCATCTAGGGCCGTGAAGAGTGTGACCTGGCCGTGGAGAAGCGGCAGCGCGCGCTGCATGGTGACCGGTCAGATGGATCGATGGCCTTGACGGTGCGGAAAGAATGTAGCTATAACCCTCGCATGATATAGAAAAGTCAAGATCGGGTGTTAATTTGCCCTCCACTGGCCTATCGTTCGAGAAAGAATGGAGATAGAGGACTTGAAGGTGATTCGGGGAGTGAGATAAGAGATAAAGATGAATGATGAAGAGAGGAGAAGGTCAAGGAGCCAAGACGGGTGGTCCGCCTTGAAGTGGATGGGGCCAAGGCCCCCCCGCCCCCGGCTTTGATCGACGTCCTCCGTTGCTCTATAGTACCCCAACAACAAGCTCCATTGGATCAATATCGCCACAGTAAGGCAGCTTTATGCCCCAGATTAATAGAATTTGAGGCTCGGTGGATGTAGCCGTAGCGGCCACTGGAGGTTACGTAGGTGGTTATATGACGCAGTTTTGGTCAAATTCGAAATCTAAGTCCTTATTGACAATTAGATAGATGGCTTTCCTTGAAAATTGTCCTCTGGACCACAAGATTATAAGACACAAGGGTAGAGGGATGCACAACCAAAAAAAAGCACACAATAGATGCCGCATGATGGAAAGACGCCGCGCAATGCCATGCATATTCAACAAACAACAAAGCCACGACAAACCACCAAACACCAACCATACAAATCCACACAATCAAGCAAATACCCGAACCAGCTCAAGATCAGTACTCCCCGTCCACAATCTTATGACCTTGTCGCGTCCTTCGCCCGGAGCCCCAACCGACATTCTCCAGCTCCCGGAACTCGGGCACGAGTTTCTGTTGTTCCGCAGGAATGCCCTGCTTCTTCTCGACGGCCCTCCCGGCTTGGTGCAGGAACTGCTCACGCATGGCCACTGCGTCCGGGTCCTCGTAGTCCAGCTGCGTCATGGCCGGCGCCTCGTTCTCGTCCTCGTACTCGGGCATCGCCCTCAAGTCGCCGGCTCCTTCTCTCTCCAGGTAGTCAAGGCAAATGGCGCTGTTCCCGCGAGACAGGAGACTACCGCCCCCGCCCCCGCCCCCGCCGCTTTCCGGGTAGTTGGAGTCGATGGCGCTGCCGCAGCCGTCGTCGTTGAGGGTATCGATAGAGCTTGCACGGGAGAACGAGAACGCTTTGGTGTTGTTTGTGGAGGCTTGATCGAGGGAGATGGCGCTATTGGTGCGGGCGGAGGCGCGCGAGGGCGCTCGACCGAGGAGCGGTTTGCGGGCGCGCGAGCGGATGCGGTCGTGGGGTTCGCCTGGCTCGGAGCCGGTGCCGGTGCGGGCGGCTTGTTTCATGAGACCGCTGACCGCGAGGTCGATGACGGATTGCGTTGTCGGGGAATGATCGGATTTCTTGCGTTTCAGGGGTGAGGAGGTGGTGGAGGGGATTGAGTGGTGGGGTCTCTTGATGGGGGATTCTCTGACGGGGGTAGGGCCTCGAGGGTCTGGTTTCGTTTTCGAAGTGGCTTCGTGTCTAGGGTTGGTATCTGCCTTAGTGGTGTCGATTTCTCGGGGGCCTCCGATGCTGTTGGTATTGGCGTCATCTCTATGGTGGGACGTGCTTTTCGTGACGTTCGTGGGTTTTGTGGTACTTGAGGACTGTCGTTTCTGTTGGGAATGCGAGCCAGCTCGCATCTCATGAGACTTGCCGCTTTGGGTAGGTTGTTTTTGAATGAGGTATGGTTCGAACGGCTGTTTCTTCTCGGATCGGATGGAGGCCCAAAGCCAATCCGCAGAGACTGCTGGCACTCCCCATTCCTGGGTATGTCGTAGCTTGTCCTGGTTCACGGGGCTGGAATCGTTGCAGACCAGAACCGAAGCTTTGGGGGTTAGGTACTCATTGTACATGGCGCCTACATAGTCAGCCCATGTCTAGCCTGAGGTCGATTCGTCCCTTACCGATGAGGTTAACAAGCTTTGACAAGTGCAGAAGATCTATACGGAAGAATCCGGTTGAGCAGACCTTGAGCCCAGAAAAACCTAAGACTGTTCAGCTTGCGCTCGAAACGTTCATGCGAAAGAGGCACACCTTCAACTGGAAATGAAGGGATTGGCGTGTTTGCAACGTGGGATTCTGGAGGGACTAGTGTCTTCGCATCGAGACACCTCTCCAGCCACATATCTGTTACGACTTCGCATTCAAATGCCAGATCATCCGTAGTAGGGACCTGGGCTCGAGGCATCTTGAAAGGTACGATCGTATAGAGGCCGTGACCCTTTTTCGGAATGTCTGAACGGGTGAACTCGTTCAAGGAACCCACCAATTGCGCCCCGTTGAACGATAGATGGTGGCGTAGGACAATCGACTGTAAAGTGTGAGCCTCCACCACGGTAGTACTCGTGATCTGACACACAAACCTGTTTCGACGAGAAGCCATGGATATAAAAGAAGCAACCGTTCAGAAAGCCTTCATCCTTGCTAGCGGCAGGCTCAGGCGGCGGTGGACGAGGTTCCTGCGCTTCCGCCATGGTCGTCTCGCTGGCGAAGGACTTCACCTCCTGAAGCCCGGATATGCTTTTCCGTAATGATCGGCTTTCGCTCTGCTGGCTTCCTTTGGACCGCCCGATGTCGCCAACTTCGAATCCAACCCCAATGATATCACCCCAAATCCCTTCATTCTGGTCCCCGAGCTTCGCACTCGCGATCCGGCGCAGCTTCCGGGGTCGGGGGTTCGACGGGTTTTCATTGTTGGCGGGAGCCTTGGGCTTCGGCGCGGGCAGTGACCGATGCCAGGCTCCGACGCCCTGTTGGTCTTGCGGTAGTTGTGGGTCGTATAACGCCTCTTCCAGAACCATCCCGCGCTGAAGGCTGTCGGTGAGCCACTTCATCGAAACAATCTTGATCCCCCACTGCATCGCGAACTTGTACTTGTCACCCTCAGTGCTCTGCGCGATCAAGTGGCTCGTGCCCTTCAGAAGGTCTTTCCGGAACTCCGCGCCATGAGCCGTGACCGTGTCTTGGATGTAGTTCCGAACCGACACTGCAAGGTAAAAACAGAGTTGTCAGTCGAGCCTTCTCCCAGTCCCACCAGATCCTCTTCCTCTGGCTTTTTGAAGGGTTATTCCCGCCGTACTCACTATCCTCAAATCCGGTAATGCAAATAGACAACCCTCCAAAGACCGGGAATTTGTACTCGGTCTCCAGCGCCCGGATATCCGTGTCCCCGCCCTGCATCCATGACTGGCGCACGGCCTCGACCCATTCCGGTTTCAGAACGGTAACATCCGCTCGTTCCCGCGCTACGAATTTGTACTTGGGGGTGTTGACCTCGCCGATGAGCAGGTGGGTAACATCCGAGGTGAGGTCAAATTTGTGGGTCGCTCCCATCTGGCTGGCGACGGTGGCTATCTCAGACTGTTTGACTCGAGAGTTAGCCCGGCGACATCAGATGGGTGTGGGCCTGGCCGGCACTTACCCGCTGCTCGGGGAGAATCGAGGTGAAGCAGAGGACGACCCCCGCAAGAGGGTGCTCCTTGTCTGTTGTGGTGATGGGTTAGTGCGGGAGTCGATGTCATGATGCTTGGAGAGTGAAAACGTACTTGCGACCACTGTCTCTGCCATCATTCATGGTCACGGAGCAGAATGGCGGACAGCATGTGCGTTGTGGTGAGTCTTGGACTGCTTTCAATCTCCTCCGCGTGGATCGCGCGTCAAGACGATGCGGTGTCACGTGACGGGGTCTTATCTCTCTGTGTGCACAACTAATTGACAACTTCACCACCTAACAGGCTAGTAACTGGTTCTCATTCTTGTTTAAGTGCTTCAATCTAACTGAGTAACCACAATGGATTCACCGCATCCCCAGCTTCACGTGCTTAGGGCAAGAGAGATGCTTATCGGCAGTCACGTGCGATAAACGGCGAGGCGCGGCCGCGTTTTCCATCCAACAAAAAAACGCGCATTTAACAGGCGCGGACCAGATTCTGAATTCCCCCAATCAACAAAAGTCAGAACAAGCCAAGATCCAAGGCCAAGGCTAGCAAGGGCAAAAGACAAACATTCCTTCCGAGGCATCCAGCAGTCAACATATGTACCTTGCTAGACGCCAATCACTACGGGCGTCACTATCACCGCCATTGGGTGCTTATCGTCGATCGTTCCTCGACTCCAATGGTCCGCTCCTGATACTCGCCCGCTCAGCCTCCAAATCCTTGTCTTCTTCCGAGAAACGGCTACGTTCGTCCCGGTCCGGGCGAGGGAAAACGGAGGCGATGTTCCAGCGAGCTGCCAACAAGTACCCTGCTGCTGCAGCGACGACGGCCCCGCTCCAGACGACGCTCGCCGCTCGCAGCAATGGGGGGCCACTTTCAACGCCGCTCCAAAAATCGGGGCTGGCGACGGCGGCATCGTCGTTAGGAGTCAAGCGGAAGATCGAGATGACAGCTAGCACACAGTCGGCGCTGGGTTCGCTGCACAATGAGGTGTACTTTGACGAGAACGACTTTGACGACGATGAGGACTTGGATTTCGAGGCCCCAGATCCGTTGATCACTCGACCTTCCATCGTCCCCTCCGCCACTACACATATTACGAAGCCGCCGATAGTCGCGAAACAGCAGCATCAGCAGCCGCCGCAGAAAAAGGAGGAGGAAACGGCAGGATATCCGAATTTGAGCAGCGCGTTCGCAGACGAGAAGATCCCGATCGTCGACTTGACGGAGACACCTGCCCGCGATTCGTCAACCGTCAAGTACCCCGATCTCCCTCCGGTTCCCGATAACGATCAACAGCCGCCGTCGAGCAGCATACAGTACCCCTGGTCCTCGTCACCCCCCTCCCACTACCAAGCGCCCACCAAGAAACCCCGGAAGCTACCCTGGTTGGAGGAAGAGGAGGATGGTCTTGATTTCCCGAAATCGAAGACGCTCGCGACGCCTGCACGCCAAAAACAGACGCCCATCTGGAACAAGTCGGCGAGCGCGATCAAAGACGAGCAGAGGGAACTGCGCCGGCAGAGCAAGTCCATGAAGGCGCTGATGGCCGGTCAGTTTGAGCCGCCCCGTGCGCAGGTGGCGTCGATCTTCCTGAGTGACGAACAACGGCATGTTCTGGACGCCGTCGTGCAGCAGGGGAAGAGTATCTTCTTCACGGGATCGGCTGGTACGGGAAAGTCGGTTCTCATGCGGGAAATCATCAAGAAGTTGCGAGACAAGTACAAGCGAGAGCCGGATCGGGTTGCGGTGACGGCGTCGACCGGTCTCGCCGCTTGTAACATCGGGGGTGTGACGCTTCACAGTTTTGCAGGCATCGGGCTGGGCAAGGATCCTGTGCCCGAGCTTGTCAAGAAGGTCAGCAGCTTGGCGCCTGTGTGCGATTGTTGACCGTCATATATGCTAACAGCATGCAGATCAAGAGGAATCCGAAGGCGCGAACTCGCTGGCTGCGCACCCGGGTCCTCATCATCGACGAAGTGTCCATGGTGGACGGAGACCTCTTTGACAAACTGGAGGAATTGGCCCGACGCCTCCGGAACAATGGCCGTCCATTCGGAGGCATTCAGCTGGTCGTCACGGGTGATTTCTTCCAACTACCCCCGGTGCCTGAAAGCGGCCAGCGAGAGGCCAAGTTCTCCTTTGACGCCTCGACCTGGAACACCTCCATCCAACACACAATCCTCCTCACCCACGTCTTCCGTCAAAAGGACCCCGAGTTCGCCAACATGCTGAACGAGATGCGATTGGGCAGGTTGACCCGGCGCACGATTGAAACTTTCAAACAACTCTCCCGACCTCTCGACTTCCATGACTCGATCGAGGCGACTGAATTGTACGACTCACACTCCCATCCCATGCCTCCCTGACCCTTTTGAGACAGGATGTTGACCACTCAGCAGATTCCCCACCCGCCTAGAAGTCGAGGGGGCCAACAATTCGCGAATGGCCCGCCTCTCCGGCGAGGTAATGAGGTTTGCGGCGTGTGACTCGGGCACGATCCAAGACCCGCAGTTCCGCGACAAACTCCTGGCCAACTGCATGGCACCGCAGGTCATCCACCTGAAGAAGGGCGCGCAGGTGATGCTGATCAAGAACATGGAGGACCAGCTGGTGAACGGCTCGATCGGGCGGGTGGTGGCCTTCATGGACGAGTCGACCTTCGACTACTACAGGGAGAACGAGAACGAATTCTCCTCCAACGGCGGCGCCGCCACCACCAGCAACAACAACAAGGGCGGAGAGGAGGGATTCGGGAGCGACGGCGACGACGCAGCCGCGGCGCAGGCCCGGGCGCGCAAGAAGCTGAAGCCGCTGGTCAACAAAGACGGGACGCCGGGGCCGCCGCCGCGCAAGTGGCCGCTGGTGTGCTTCGTGCAGCCGGACGGCACCGAACGGCACCTGCTCTGCCAGCCCGAGACGTGGAAGATCGAGCTGCCCAACGGCGAGGTGCAGGCGCAGCGCCAGCAGGTGCCGCTGATCCTGGCCTGGGCGCTGTCCATCCACAAGGCGCAGGGCCAGACGCTGCAGCGCGTCAAGGTGGATCTGGGCAAGGTCTTCGAGAAGGGCCAGGCGTATGTCGCTCTGAGTCGTGCGACCTCCAAGGCGGGCCTGCAGGTCACCGGGTTCGAAGCGCGCAAGGTCATGGTCCACCCTAAGGTCATCGACTTCTATTCCAAGCTGGTCAGCATCACCGACGTGCTCAAGCCTAAGGCCGGTAAGACGGCGGTGGCGGCTACGACGACGGAGGACGAGCCCGAGGATGACTTCGACCAGGCTTTCAGGTCGGTTGAGCGCGCGGCTGGCTATTCTTAGTGTCTTCTCATTCCTCCTGGGTCGGCGGGCTGGGTTCACGATTTATGATTCCTTGCAGATATTGATAATTATGGGGTGGGTAGTGTGCAGGTTTATCGAGACTGGAATATACGGGTGAGTATATCATTGTATCATAGAATAATACACAGTGGGTTCTTGAGACAGCCTGGGGAAGACTATTCTTGAAGTATTTCCATCTTACATATGCTAGGATGTATATCGTTGGACTGTCCACTAGAAAGTCTATCCGCTCCCTGGAGGGGTGCAGTTAATTGGATAGGGCAGTATAAAGGCAACACAGCCGGAACCTTCACGCTGTTACTATACCACATACAACCGATCAATTCGACGCTCATCCACGACAAGACGAACCGAAAAAGAAAAAGCAAAAAGAAAACAAAAAGAGTGGCCCGAACCGCGATTCGAACGCGGGGCCTCTCGCATTTAAGATGTGGATCCCAAAGCGAGAATCATACCACTAGACCATCCGGGCTCTTATGATGTCACAACCCGTCTTTGAATGATGTGATCCCCACAATCTATGGTTTGAGAAAGTAAAATCAAAACAAAAAAGACAAGGCCCGAGCCGCGGATCGAACGCGGGACCTCTCGCAGATATGCTTGGGTTTGGAATCCCTAAGCGAGAATCATACCACTAGACCACCCGGGCTTGATGATGTCATGGGGTGGAGTTATGGCATTATATTTAAGGATTATATGGATGAGGTGGATTCTCGTTGATTCGTGCGGTTTCCCCGTTTTTGTGCTGTACTCCGTACATGTATGTTGATGCTAAGTTGGGGTGATTTGAATTCAGAGATGGAAATGTACTTCTTCTGGTTCATTCAGGTTGTGGGGTTGAGAGTTGACTTGGGCAGAATATACATCTTACCCTTCTATCTATCTTACCCGGTATGATGCGGATATATACATGTCGGTGTTCTAATACTAGGGGTTGTCTTCGCGGTTTTACCATGTGTCAACTGCCATAGGCCCAGTCCCCACGAGCACTGCGCATGGTATCCATGTCCGTGGAGTGAGTAGTGAGTAAATAACCCCAGTCAATCCGTATCTCGAGTGATGGGACGCAGCATGCCTACTCTATCTGACACAGTAAACGCGCGAGCCCTGCTGCAACAGCCATCCTAACCACTGAACCAACTACCTTCACTGTGGCCTTTTACCCATCATGGAGCACTGCTGCAAGCAAAATAAAATGAACGCGTGTGCCCGTCGTCGGACAACGTAGATTATATGCCTCACCCCGGGACGATCTCCCCATGGTCATCCCGCTCTGGATGGGGGCGCCCACCTCTTGCTACGGTATCTTGGGCTAGTGAGCTACAGGCCAGCCCCCCAGAACATAACCCCATCTGACATTTTTTGTCCATCGTGGCATACCCAGCCATAACTCCGCGGCAACAGTACTAACAATAGGCGTGTGATCCAATCAACCCCGAACCCAATACAAGGAAGTATATATTCCCGGCCCTCAGCTAGAGCACACCAATACAACAACCAACAACAAAACCCGACAGCACTTATAGACAAACCACTAGAACAGGCCCCACCCGAACTTAAACCATGTTCCAGTGCCTATCAAAATCTACGCAAATAAAAAAAGTATAACCAGCACTATGCCCCACCATCCAAAAGTGAAACTGTGGCAGAGGAGCAAGCAAAAACAAAACCAAAAGAGAAAAAGAAGTGGCCCGAACCGCGATTCGAACGCGGGGCCTCTCGCATTTAAGATGTAGATCCCAAAGCGAGAATCATACCACTAGACCATCCGGGCGCTTATATTATTTTGTTTCCGCTTGACGTATAAGTACACCTGTACCAGAATCATAAGAGTAGGTTGGTGTTGTTACCTATTCAAGAACAATATGTGATCAGCTAGAATCAATTTATTATTATTATCACTCTATCATTGGATGACAATACTTTCTATTACCCCTGCCTCGGATTGTTCATATCTTTCCTTTGGGTTCAGGGGGGAATGACACAATATCCCCTATTTAAGTTCTGCTGTGCTGTGCCGTGGTTAGAGATCTATAGCTTACCAGTCTCTACTTTTTATACCGACCTTGGGTAAGCACTGCAGAACAATACTATTGTGTATTCTGCAGTGATACGTTTAAACTCTACACCAACACCCCCCACATACCAGCAAGAAATACCAATATCAACAATCATCAATCTTATGTCCAATTCAACCCTATGCTTATAAACATCACCATCATATACCCCATCATCTCAACCAGCATATGTCCAATCCAATCCCTATTCACACCCCACCCCCCCACTCACACCACAACCCCAATAGAGAATCTATGCCTGAGCAGCGAACCCAATACGAGGACCCTGCGAATCAAAGACCACATACTGGCTCTTAAGGAAGACATCACCCAGGATAGACAGACCGACACCCTGGTTGCTCTGAATACCACCGTAGCAGGTGGAGCTACCGGTATTAACGGGGGCGTAGTTGATGTACTGACCGGGAACGACAGCGGTGTAGGAGCCGATCCGGACGCTGAAGTCGGGCAGGGAGGCGTAGCAGGAGAAGACGTAGCCGCCGTAGGAGTAGGAGTAGGAGGCGCCGCGGACGCCGGCGTAGTAGTTGGAGACGATGTCGTCGTCGAGGAGGATGAGGGTCGTGCCGGTGTCTTTTTTGTTTTTTTTTCTTGTTAGTTTGGGGATCACTTATTTCTTGGGTGGATGTGTAGCAGCAACAAGAGAGGAGAAGGATGAGGATTAGGGCAAGAAGGGGTTCACATACCAGCAATAGCAGAGAAAGCACTCGAGTAGGAAGCGCGATCGCCGACGCCGTAGCCGCTGGCGGTGAACTGCCAGAAGCCCCGCGAGCTGTCGACGTTGGCGTAGTGCAGCGAGCCGCTGTACTTGGAGGAGTCGATGAAGCCGAAGTCGTAGGTACCGGCCTCGTGGTACTTCAGGTCCACGGCGAAGAGAGGCGCGTCCAGAGTGGACTTGACGGTGTCGAAGAAGGTGGTCTGCGGCACGGGGTAGACTGGTTCGGTGGGTTAGCACCTCACTATCTACTATCCGACATAAAGAGAAAGAACATACCGGTGTTGATGGAGCTGAAAGCCAAGCCCAGCAGACCGTCGGTAGCGGTGTCCTGCGAGAACTCGGCGCTGATTTGGCTGGCGGCCTCGACGGCCTGGCTGGCGGCCTCGACACTGCCCACGGTGACCCTGTCCTTGTAGACGTCGCCGCTAGCGGAGCTGCCATCGCCGTAGGAGATGCTCCAGCTGTAGCCGTTCAGCTTTCTGGCCGAGCTGCCCGGGTTGTAAATGTTGTGGCCGCTGCGGGACGAGGCAGAGAGCTCGGAGGAGAAGACCCAGCTGGTGGACTGGTCAGTCGTGCTGCTTTCTGGCATAGCACACAGAGAAAGACTTACAGATCGGCGGATCCGGTATCAAAGTCCAGGTTCAGGGTCGAGCTGCCCACCGTCACGGGGGTCAGGTACGAGGCATCGTTGGCCTGGGGGATGGTCACGACGCTGCCAGACTGGGCGGCGGCCTTGACGCTGGCAGGCACGGTGGCGCCGTACTTGGCCAGGGCATTGGCATACAGACCAGGCAGGTTGACGGTGCGTCCCTTGCTGCCGGTCTTTTCCACCTGCTTGACGGAGAAGTTCTTGGTCGCCGGGGTCTGGGTCTCAGCCAGGGGCGCCGCAGACGCAGCGGTGGTCAAGCCCAGAAGAAGGGCAGCAGCCTTGTTGAAGACAACCATGGTGGATAAGAAGAAGGTGAAGCAGATCGATCAAGGGGGAGAGGGAAAGACGAACTCAGACTCCTGCTGGATGAAGAGATCCTCAACGAGACGCGGGCTTCGACGAGGTCTTTATACCTTTCGTGACTGCCCCATCCTAACACTCTGCATAGTATGTATGTACATACATGCCTCCATCTCTTCTCCTGCAACGGCCTCCTCATAGTACATACATCCAGTCCAATATTGCAAGCTAACATCCAAAATGTCTCACTTCTCCCCACCTCAATCACGACACTGGACACCACCCCAAGAAACCAAGTGGGGGAACAATCACCGACGATCACAGCCATCAAATCTCACCGTCCCCTCCAACCGCCTTATCCGCATGAGGTTATTCCCCCCGAAAGTGCCAAGCAATAGACTAGAACGCCGCCAGCCAGTCAGGGCACAGGGACGGGGAGAACCGTCCCTGGCAATCCTTCGACATAGCTTGATGAGGAACAAGAAACTCTTCAGGGACCGTGCAAGACTTTCTCCAACTCCCACTCTAACCCTCTTGCTCCAAATCGTCTTTCCCCCGCTCTTCACCGAAGTAAGTATACTAAGTTGTAAGGCGGGGACGGACTCCGACTGCACCGTCCCCATCTACATACAACCCAACTCCAACCAGAGAACAACTCACCTTCACAGACCCCATAGAGCCCAAAGAAAGAGATAGACAAACCAAGCCCAGAATCACAGAACCACTCACCCCGAATGCACCGTCCCCAATCCATAGCCAAATTAGCAACCGATCCACAGTGAGAACAAGATAGCCCTACCCAGTACCCTACCTCCTACACCCAAGCACAGAAAACCAGTAAGAAACCCTAGCACCTAGCCAGAGCCTAACTAACCACCAACCCCCAAGTTAAACAACCTAAGCACAATACAGTAGATATGCCCGGGACGTGCGCCGACCCTAGACCCTGAACTCCGTCGGGCGTCCTTCGCGCGAGCGGGGGCGCAAGCAATCTACAATATGCAATGCAACATGACCGTAATCTCTAAGTCAGGACGGACGATAGTCTAGTGGCCAGTCAGAGTCCAGTCGCTTAGACTAGAAGAGTAGAGCTGGCAGCCACTCAGCTATTACTCTAGAGTACAGTAGGTTGTTAGTGCAGTGTCTAGACTGATGCCCCTGACAGAACCCAGTCTCTGATTGGCTACAGGTTGCAGTGCAGGAGAGGGGGACGATGTGACTGTCCGGTGAGGGACTGTTATCAGTGAGACTGAGTGCATCGGAGGTCCGGTGGAATATTCGGGGTAATTCCCGGCCCTGCAGCTGCAGAGAAGCATGGACCCTGCAGGATTTCATTTGCGCAGATCGTGGTGAAGAGAGGGGAAAGGAGTGGAAGGAAGGAGGTGATTATCGGGTGTTGTTGGTTGGGATTGTGGAATTGTTGGAGTTGTGGCAACTTGGTTGAGATTGGATTGGATTGGATTGGATTGGATTGTCTGCACTCGTGACTCGATTTTACTCTGTGTTTTGAGTGAGTGAGTGAGTGAGGTTGTGGAAAGTAGGGGAAGGACACACCCGTGACTACCGGAGGCTGCCGAGGCCGAGGTCCATTTGAACCAACTGCATACTAAGTAGGTTGTTGTTAGATTATTGTTCTCCACTACAATCAACACTTCTGCAGCTAATAACTATCTACTGATAATGACCTGAACAATCATGATAACAATGATGTGAATGAGCCCGTAAATGACGCATCTGAGACCTGCATCGCCATGGATACTCCCCCATCCAATGCAAACAATAAACCCCAATCAAGCTACAAGAAACAATGTGATCGTAATTCGTACAGTCATTCCCTTATCCAACCCCGCTTCAATCCTTATCCGATAGATACAAAGATAAATATTCACGACGATAGGAAATGCGATGGGAGATTAGCCCCGGTAGCAGCCTCGCCGCCGCCCTCGCCGTTCCCACCGTCGTACTGTTCATTAAGCAACACCTCCAGCATGTCGAACTCGCCCACCATCGGGCCTGTGCCACCTAGTCCCTGGTCCACCACCGCGGTCGAGCTGTTGAAGAACTGATCCAGGGGCAGCGCGAACCAGTCCGGGAGTCCGCCGGACGTGTTCGCGGCACTGTCCGCCGCCATCGACTGCGAGGGCATGCTGGCCGACCCCTCCATCTCCCCTGCAGGCGGGGTCGCGCTAGGGTCATAGTAGTTGTGGTACATCGACGGCGGAGGCGGCATGAACGAGACGTTGATGTGTGACGAGTTGATCGACTGCGCCGGAATTGCCGCCAAAGGGTCATGCACCGAGCTCATGCTGGTCCCTGTCTGGCTCGTCCCGTCCACATACCCCAGGTTCTGCGCCGGGTTCTGCGCCGGCGTCCAGGTGTGACTGGACCCCTCGCGACGGCCCGGGACCCCGTCGCGCGGCCGCGGCGACTGATGTCGTGACACCGGCGCTGACGGCCGTTCCTGCTCCCCGTCACCACCGCGGTCCAGTGGGGCGAATCGCAGGAATCGCGTGCGGATGCTCGTAGTCAGCAACTCCAGCAGTCGCGCAATGGCGTGATTGAGGTGGACATCGTCAACCACGCAGGTCCGCAGTGCCTCAACTGTACGGTCCTGAAGGTCCAAGGACACGCGCACATCGTCTTCCTTGGCACCCAGAGTAAAAGTCTATGTAGGTTAGCGCGGATGCCGCCAGCTGAAGAGAAAAAGGACGTCATACCTTGAGAATGAAGATCATCCCAGACAGAATTCGGAAGCATGTCCGGACGGGCGCATGCTTGAGATGGTCCCCGGGCACAAGCACCTCAAGCACGGTCTGCAGAATCTTACGTGATGCGTCCACCACCTCCTGAATGTAAGGCTCGTTGACGCGATACAGCTCCATAAGCACGTGAAACCCGACACCGCTCGCCGACGGGCCCGCATTTGGTCTCGACATCTGACTCTGGGCCGCTTCATTGGACATTGTCGTCCACCGATCCACCACCGCCTGGAGGGCTAGAGAGTTGACATAAAGCCCTGACCTTGTCAGTCACAGCACATCAGCACGCAGGCAGCACACTCACGAGTATATTCGTATTCAATCATCAGGATATTCCTCATAGGCGGGGCCACTGCTGCAATTAGCTTTCAACTTGATCCGCCAATAGCACCGAGATCAATCCTTACAATCAATAGTATCGATGTTATGTCGCCATTCCCGCAGGAAAGGCTGGAACCGGTCAATCTGATCACGGTACCGCCCACTCCGAATAAGCTCCGACGTCTGCTCGTTGGACGCGAAGAGTAACTGATTGCTCTGATACATGATCTTCGAGATCCCAATCCAGCAGTCATGCATGCGATCGACGATGGTGTCGCTGCCCTTGGCGCCCGTCACAGGGGTCGGCTGGATATCGCTAGTCCATTGCGGGAGGGGAAGCATAGACGGGATGCCCAAACGACCGCTGCTCTGCGTGATGTAGACGAGAATCAGCCGGCGTAGACGGCGCTTGCGGGTCTGCTCCGACAAAGGTTCCACGGCCGCTTTGGCGTCGTTCTTCGGATCAAACACGCCCAGCTCGAAGGCTAGCGCCTGTGCAGTACTCAACAACATCCAAGCCATGCGGTCCGACCGCCAGGCGGGTTCGAGCCATTTCTGAAAGGCCAGTCGACCCTCCGCGGCATTGTTGGGGGCCCGATTCGCCGGGTTCTCCGCATCGGTTTCCAGCTCTCTCTCGTACCGACTCTGCGTATGGGCGTCCAGATCCAGCAGAGCGTTCTCATCGTCACCAGGGGGGAAGTGCAGATTCCGCGGATGCCAGTCAGTCAGGATGAGCAGCGCCTCGATCGTCCCAAGCGACCGGAGGTTGCCTTTGTGGTTCACTTTGGCCGAGGTCGGCGCAAGATCAAATGATCGCGGCCGGCTGATTCCCATGCCATTATTGTCGAACTTCTCCTGGCCCCAAAAGAGACGCTCGATCATGCCGCGAAGATACGACCAAAGCCGATCATGGATGTAGAAAGCCCGTGTATATGCCCCATCGCCTTTCGGCTTCATATGCCGCGACGCAGTCGTCAAGATCGCCACCGCCAAAACAGGCTCATCCGTGAGCAGGCTCCGGTGGGTTGCCGGGTGTGAGAAGTTCGGAATAACGATAGGACTCAAGGAGGCGAGATGTTCGTAATAGCTGCGATAGTTCGTCAGTAACGAAGAGCACCAGCCAGCAACGCACGTGATACATACTACGCAACATAAGCCATAGCCTCTTCAACCGTGAGCCAGCCGGCGCGGACGAAGCGCAATCGCGACCATGCCTTGACCGCATCTGCAAAACCGGGGTCGGGCGCATTCTCCGTAGAGTCCGCCTGACCACGACCATCAGAATGCTGCGCATCCATCGCCCCGGAGCCCCCAGCCTGATAATACCCTCCAATCGGGACGGTACCTGAGCGAGCGGGCCTCGAAAACGAGCCGCCCGCGCTGCGCGGGGTGCCGGCCTGAGTGAGCGGGGACATGGGCGAATTGAATGACGAGACCGACTGTCGCGCTCCGTACCGATTCTCTAGACTCTGGCGATTGAGGTCTTCCGTGCGCCCGGCGGCTTCGGACAAGAGGTGCAGCGCATCGTGGCTATTGCTGATGGCCGGCGACAGCAGCTCGACGGCGGTCCGGTTCATCATGGGCTGGCCGCCCTCGAGGCTGAAACTGGGCGCATGGCTCCGTTCGCCCGCCGAGAAGACCGACAGACGGTTACTTCGTGCATCCGCGTAATGCGCCGCCGTCGTGGACTGGGTGGCGGTCGTGTTGTTGTTGGTGGTGGTGGTGGTGGAGGTGGTAGTGTAACGCTGGCTGCCGGCAGTCGACGGCGGTAATTGACCAGCCGCAGTCGAACCCTCCGACCATTTGAGTCGCGGATGACCGGGGGTGTTATTGTCGAGGGCAGTGGAAGTAGTCGTGGCAGCAGCCGCAGTAGAAGCAGAGGCGGGTTCTAGAGAGGGCACATAGGGCGAACCATCGCTGTTGTTGGACCCATGGCTGGAAATGACCTCTCCGACCATCATGCGCTTATCGCGACGAAGGGCAGCATCGTCGGTCTCGTCCGCATCCGAGGGCTTGCGCTTGCGCCTCGTCGCGGAGAACTCGCAGCGCTTGCTTTCGCGACGACATCGTACACAAGGCGGAGGCCGAGGATTATCCACACCTGTCAAGATGATGATCCAACAAAATCAGTCTATGCTTTAGAAGACGAGGTCGCACCGCATCATCAGAGTGAATGGGTGGGGTCGGGTGCAAGGACCACCACCACCACCACACCACCGAAAAAAAATAAAAGAAAGAGGGTCGGTCTTACTGCCAAGGTCGCACTTCACCTTGCGCTTTCGGCACGGGTCGCAGGCCTGGTAACCGCGACGATGCTGGGAATGGGGCTGGGGCGATGGAGACTTAGTATTCTGGTCTTGGCCGTTGTGCGAATAAAGAGGCTCCTGCTGGCCGGTAATCGCTGGAGCAGCCATGATGAGACTCCTATACCGGAGGGAGGACGGACGGACGGACAGCGACCGAGGGAGGGAGGGGGAGGGGGGGGAGGAAATGCCGATGCAAAGCGAGAAAAAGCGGTGGGGGGAAAGAAGTAGTTAAAGTAAACCAAGGGAATGGAAGGGGGAACAAGAGAACAAACAAAAGACAGGCAAAGCAAGCAAGCAAGCAAGCAAGCAGCACAAGACCGTTGTGTTCGCTCTTTCCGGCCCCAGGCAGCAACAGCAATCAGCAATCTTTCCTTCGTTCGTTCGTTCGTTTCTTTGTTTCTTTGTTTCCCTTATCTTTCTCTCTCTCTTTTGCGGTCTGTATCTGACCCTCTCACTCATTCACTCACCCGAATCTCACCACCCACACTATCTCACCCAGACCGTCCCTGAAGGAGACAGACAAGAACAAGATAGAGGAGAAAGAAGCAAAGAGAAGACCAACCGACTTTCTCACAAAGTGCGGAGAAACAAAAGAATGGACAGAAAGAGAAAAAACCACCACAACTCCAACAATTATAGACAGCCACAACTAAACCAACCAACTTAACTTAAATTCAATTCTACCCACCAAGAATAGCATCAGCAGCAGCACATCTCTAAAAAAAAAACAATGCACAAATCACCCACAGTCCAGCAGAAGCAGGGAAGAATAACTACCATTCATCCACAACTCGGACAGTTCTTCCGTCAGCTGAGAATGCGGGGTAAAGAAAACAGCCTGCGAATTATCCCCAGCCTCCGTCCCGAACGGTTCTTCTTCTCCCCAGGAAAGGGAATGAGGGCGATATCTGTTATCAAATCGTAATCCCAATAGACTCCGGGCTATTCCTAATCACTCCAGAGGAGTGGTTCTGGTTCCAGGCGGAGAGGAACCGGCGGTGACTGCCGACCTCCAGCCTGGATGGACCCGTGGCACACTGCACTGGCTATGCTGCATTTCAATGCATTTCAATAGTTCTTTCTCAGAGTACAGACAGGTGGATGCCACATGCATCCGAAAGAAGAATATATGTACAGGTGGAACAACGAACGATCCTCCATCATCGGGACAAGACCAAGACGACGAATGAGGGAAAAGTGACGAGAGACCACTGAATCCGACAGCCCAGATAAAACAAGGAAATCAGGCCCCAAGTCACGCTACCCAATCAATGCAGCGCTCCCAAAAGTCGATCACATAAAAGAATACAAAAACAGAATGTAGTCATGGCTTGCATCAACAAATCAAAGATTAATTTAGATAATGTACCCCAGATTTACCGAGAAATCCAGCAGCGGCACCGCACTGCACCGCACCGCACCGCTTCGGAGTAATACAGTGGAAGGGCGCTTGCGCTCAGGCGACAGGAGAGGCCGTGTCAGCAAAGCTAGGGATCGTCGGCTTGTTTCTATCGACCACAATGCCCCCGTTCATCTTCGCGACAGGAGTCAACGCACTGCGAGATAGCACCGTCTCGCGGGTCGCGACACTGTCCTCGCTTCCACGTCGCGAGATGCTGGGGGTCAACCGGCCCGGGAGAAGCCCACGGATACCCCCAGCCTTGCGCGCCGGGATCTCTGCCGTGCCAGCCGTGAGCACATAAAGCAGATATTTAAGATTAGGAAGCGTATGGCGGATGTCGATGACGCGTAGACCATGTACATTGAGCAGGAATTCGATGTCCTTGTTCAGCAGAAAGACGCCGTATTCGAATCGATATTGCACGTTGGCCGGATGGAGCGGGAACGTCCGCTGCGAAAGTGCTACAGACACCGCGTCCTGGATGAACGACCGGGACAGATACGGGGTAATCGCGTACGGGATCGGGGCGGAGAGATAGAATGATAACAGGTAGACCAGGTGCGCGGTATATCCCAGCGCCGCTGCCACCTGGTCGCGGTCGACGTCGGTGAAGTCCGAATTGGGTAAATGTAAGCCGGCGATGGTGAACGCAAGCGTCTTATTGGGGATGGGCTCGATAGGGTAGACTGCCAGCAGATCCTCCGCGATGCGTCGAATCTGGCCCTTCGAGTCCTCCATGGTTTGTTCCAATAGCCTGGCACTCGAGCTCAGGTTCAACTTCGCATCGGGAAGATGACTACGAGCCTTGGCTTGAGTCTCGCGCCCACGCTCCATAGCCTCCCTGCGCGCCCGGATGCTGGCAATCAGGTCTTCTTTACGTTTCGCGGCGTTGCGGAGGTGTTTGCGCTCGGTAGCGATGGAGTGTTTAGTGTGTGCGAGTTTGTCGCGAGCCTGCGAGACATTACCGGCAGCAGCCACTCCAGACTGTTCCCTTTCGAGAATCGAGTTGATTTGCGACTCAATCCGGTCCCGAGTTGTGAGCGCATCTTGAATGCACTCGTCCAAATTGGCCAATTTCATCAGCGCCTCGTACGAAGAGGTCGACATCGCGGCGCCATCTGCCGCTCTGGGGTGGTGCACGGGCGCAGCAGCGACGACCGGTGGAAGATCTGTCAGGTTCGTGTACACGCCATCCGCGAAGTGGAAGAGTATGGAGTTCGCAGGCAGAGGTTGATGGAAGCTGTCGAGCGACTTGCCGAGAAACTGTAGCGACTGGAGGCATAATCGCAACTCCACCAGCAGCACATAGTCCACCATTGCGCGTGTCTTAGCCCAGAGCTTCACAGTCAGATGATCCCGACGCGACACCGATGGGCCGCACATATTGAGGTCGAAAGACCGGAAGCTGGGGTTCGTGGCATGCTCCACGGGCTCGCTCACGTAGACCGGCTCCCCGATGCCGTCGCAGTGCAGGGAGAACCAGGTGTCAGCCATGCGACTGCTTGTGATCTCCTCCAACTTGGTCTGCCTCGCGCGCGGAGTGGGAGCGTTCCATGGCATGGTGTTTCTCCGGTGCCATTGACGCAATGGAACTGCGATGGCTGCTGCCTGCTCATGGCTTCCGGGGCGATGGTTGGTGGTTGCCGACGACTTCAGATCGGCGAAGGAGCGCGAAGGGTGGAGGGATTGATTCACGTCTGCGATCGGGACCTTCGAGGGTGACTGCAGCGAGTTGGGTACATCTTCGTCGTCAATGGTTTTCCCGCGAGGTTTGGACGGTGGCGTGACGACAAGGTTGCGAACGGAGATGCTCTGGAGATGTCGCAGCTTGCGGTTCTAGACGATAGCACGATCAGTTTCGTGTCAAGTACCAAAACAATCAAAGACTCGAATTACCAGAGGAAAATGCCAGGGTTTATCACGGCGGGCGGCTGCATCGTCATCGGTCATCGCGGTCGACGACATTGCAGAGGGAAAGCAAGCTTAGCTGTCGCGCTGCGAAGGCGGTATTGATCCGAGCATGCTAGACGAGATGGAGAAGAGGGAAAGAGGAGGAATGCGAATTAGAATTGGTAACTCCAGCAAAACAAAATACGACCTTAAAGTGACAGACAACAACGTCAACAGAAAAGAAAGTGAAGTGTTGCAAACGACGTAATAATGGTGGGAGGGAAGTTAAAATCCCACGCCGCGGCGATGCAAGCCAGCCAGCCAGCAATTACAGTAAGTAGTAAGTGCCTTAGTTAACTTAGCCTTAAGTTGGTAAGTTGAACTGGCAAAGGCGGAATCACCCGTTCGGGATCCCCGTCGAAAAATTGATCCGCCGTTCAATCAATCCATGCTCGTCCGACTTTCCGACTCCACGAACATTCAATTCACCACCACCACCACCACCAACAACAACCACCTTCCTCGACCCCCAAATTGAGCCGTCTCTTCCTCTCTATCAGATCCCGGGAAAGTATCTGATAGAGCGAAGCAGCGGACTCTCCGGGTCTAATCGCCGCGCACCGAGCAAAGCAAACCAGCAAGCAACCAGCACCGCATACTCCCCTCCCCCTTCCGACCACAAACCTCCCGTCCGGCCGCAATGGCCACCCCGACCACCAACGCAATGAAGAAGCCACAGACGATGCAGAAGCTGCTGCAACCGATCCAGAAGGTGCTGGACCCGACCAAGATGGGGACGTGGAACATCGTGCGGCGGCCACCGATCGAGAACAACACGGTGATCCAGGGCCGGCCGCGGCAAGAAGGGTCCAATGCGTTCCGTACACACCAGGCGAAGGAAGGGGTGCGGTTACGCAAGGCGCTGCAGGCTCTGACGCACGGCAAGAACATCTTCGTCTATCACAACATGCGGACCAACCAGGTGGTGTACTCGTTGACGAGATATCTGGATGTGAGATCTACCTTGCCATTGAAAACAGGCAACATTTCCGCCCCCCCCAAAATCTACAAACTAACACCACCCTCTTTGTGTGACTGCAGAAGAACAACGTCCTCCGTCAAATGGTCTACCACGGCAAGAAGACCGTGCCAGCGACGCTACGCAAAGACATGTGGGTGCCGTACTACTCGGTGCACTTTGACCAAGCGCAGGTGGGACTGCGGGCGTACCACCTTCTACGGGAGTTCGCGATGCAGCGGCAGCTGGCGCCGCCGCGGGAGATGATCACGATCACGGAGGCGTGGCTCGCCCAAAAACGACCGCGGGACCCGAACGCGGCGGAGGAGTTCAACGAGAAGTGGAACGACAAGGTCGGATGGCTGATGAAGCCCAAGGACCGGGCGCGCGCGCTGATGGACCAGAAGGCCACGTCGGTGGCGGACGTGGCGGCCGTGCTGGCCATCCAGCAGGAGGAGATCAAGGACGGCTTCGCCGGCGGCCAGCGCGGCTACCTGACCCGCACCGCGCGCCGCCGCCGTCGCGCCGCCCGCGCCAAGGAGGCCGCCGTCGCCGTCCGCCAGGCCGAGCGCGTCGCCGCCTTCGAGGACGCCCTCAGCTTGCCCAACGTCCGCTACAAGGTCCAGGAGGTCGTCGAGGATGACGCCGTCTCCCGCGCCCTCCAGGAGGTCGAGAACCCCGTCAAGATCCTCTGGACCGACGTCCACGACGCCCGCTTCGCCGCCCAATGGCCTGATCGCGTCCGCCACGGCGAGCTCGACCTCTCCCGTGACCATGTCATGCCCGGCCAGAAGCCCATCTACGACGACATCGAGGTCTTGGCCGATAACGCCTTCAAGGAGAAGGGCGTCCAGGCCGACGAGACCGTTCCGGTGAAGAACTAAAGCACCCGGAATGATTCCTTTTCCTCTTTGTTGTTTTTATATTTTCATATTTGTGTACTTTGATGGTTTCCCTCCGCCTCCCCTGTATGTATGTGTAGGAGAGTATATGTCTCACATACTCTCCTCCAAGACCGCCTGTTTTCATCTACATGATACAAAATGTATTTTTAGTTCCTATGGTTTGCTCCCCGTTGGTGAGGAGACGATGCAACTGGCGTTTAGCACACAAACACTCAATTGGAATTTAGTTCGATATCTCTCATATCTATCCATCCCCTGGACGAATGAACGAGACGGAGTGAGGATGACGTAGAGACTGGGCGGCGGAGGCTTGGTTCATGCTTCTTTCTGGTTTCAGACCTGCGGATCTCAAATATACATCGATATGTAGCATACAAGAACATCAGCTGATGTTTTTCTTCAAAGTCAGGTTCAGTTGTGCAGCTGGTCTGTCCTTGCCCTTCCGCATGCACGGCGAAACAAAGGGAGTCCAAGGCCCTAGATGTCAAATCAGACGGGAAAAAGCGGTTCGGAGAGCGAAAGTGGAAAGGGGGAAAAAGGCTGGGTAGGGTCCAGTCGAAGGGAGAAGAGGATGAAAACGAAGGCAGAAAGCAGGCAGGGAGGCTTTGGAACGGCGTATAGCGACTCCAATTCCATGGCCTGATATGGAAGAAGAACGGAACAAGATAGTCGAAATCCGCGATCGACGCCAGAGACTCATGGTCAGAAAGAAGATAAAAAGGCAGAGTGGAAGAAGCCAACAAAAAAGCGCAATAAATAAAAGAACTCCTTTGTCGGGAAAATTGGCCGGGATATATAGCCCCAGTCCCTTCTATCGACCTTCAAGTAGAACAATACACAGCGTCATAGCTCTCTCTAGAGTGCTTATGCAGTCGGGTTCCTGGGTTCAGGCACTTTCAGCTTGTCCGCAATCGCAGCACCGCTGTCATCCTTAGCTGGCGGCGCGGGCTCGGGTTGCTCGCTTGCCATTTTCTCTAGAATTTCCTCCTGGGCTTTCTCCGCCTTTTCGGGATTGTCTGCAAGCCCCGCTTTGGCCATACTCTTGCGAGCTGCCTCAACGATCTTATCGGCCTCACTAACGCCGTGTTCAGTGTCCTGATCGCCTTCGACGCCGATGGGTTCAGCCGTGCGGTTGACCACTTCCTTGACACGATCCGTATCGAAGCGGATTACCATGCAAGAGAGGTTATCCGTGCTGAATCGGGCAAGAGCATGATCAACCAGGATTTTGGATGCTTCCTGGGCATCAGGCACATTCCGGATAAGGTCTACAGCTTCCTGGTCACTGCACACATCCCAAAGCTAGCGAATGAATTTATCAGTACCGCTCTCGAACAAATCGGTGGGGATCAAAGACTTACCCCATCACAGGCCAGGATGATGAACTCATCCGATTCTGGCTGAATGACGGTCTCTGTGGTGTACGGATGTCCGGTCACGAGATCCTTCAAGTACGCATCACCCAACGCTCTGGTGACCGCGAGAACACCATTAACGCGATTGTTCAGGATCAACCCTCCGGCGTTCGCTATTCGCTTTCCTTCGTTCTCGTCACTACCCTTGTGATCGTAAGACAGACGAAGTGCCTTGCCATTGCGACATAAGATAATGCGTGCATCACCGACGTTAGCAGTGTAGAGAACGCGCTGACGAGCTGCCTTCTCCTGTAGTTTGGGAAGTGCCCCAGAGACGGCGGCCTGAGTAGGCGTGTCGCCCGCGTCGTCAGAATCTGTATCAGCCTTGGCCGCGGCGGCGGCGGCGGCGGCGGCGGCGGCGGATGCGAGAGCGGATGAGCCCGTGGCGGAATGCGAGCTGGGTACTCTATCTTCCCATCTCAGCAGAGCAATGACCGCAGTGCATCCACTGTTCTTCAAGGGCAGCTTCTCCAGCTGTTGATCGACGCTCGTGAAGGTCTGGTCCAGGAGCTCCGGGACAGGCGTGCTAGGGTTCTTGCGCATTACATCCTCGAGGATCAAGTGCAGCTTCTTTCCACACCATTCAGCAGCAAAAGTGCCGGCATGCCCATCGAAGATGGCGAAGTATCCATTGTCAGTTTCAACCACGCTAGTTGATTTCGCGGATGAAGGAGAAGTTTTGGTCGGGACGGCTATTGCTTTGCTGCCCGTATCACCCGGGGCTAAGAGTGCGGGAGTCCCCAGGAAGTTGTACAAGTAGGCATGGGTATCTTCCATCGTGCGACGACATTTTCGATTCCGGTCCTCTGTGACGCCGACTTTGAATGACGAGCGTGCAGTGGGATGCGATTCACCAGCCGAGTTGTTCAATGACCCTTGAGGAACGCTCAAGGCAGGGTCCATGCTCCCAAATTTCGCCAGGCCCGGCTGCTCTTGGATGGTATAGTTGTTGAAAGAGGAATGCTCACGTGGGCTGCTTGACAGGCTCAGGGAGTTCTTGGCGCTGGTGAAGAATGAGGCCGCTTTGGTGACCGTGCTGCTGCGGCGCTTCTTCTCGTTGCCGGGCCCTTGATCTTCGCTTGTCCGTCGGGTGAAGAAACCACCGGGTGGGGAGAATTTCTTGGGGGTGACACTGGAATCCTCGGTGCGAATACTTAGAGGCGGCGTGTCAATAGCACCGGAACGGGCAATTGTTGTGTCGGATCTATCTTTGGGTGGGCTCGAGGAGCCACTGAACATCCGGTTCAGCAACCCACCCTGGCTAGAAAAACTTCGGCGCTTACTTCCTGCCAGCTTGATTGTAGTTCTGAGAAATTGGAGGGAAAATGGGACGGGGGTGGTTTGAGGTTGGGAAAGGAAGGTGGTTTAAAGGAGAGGATGATTTGCGGAGGCGGCGGGCAGGCGGCGGCGGCGGCGCGCGGGGGGGAGAAGAAGTAAGAGGGAAAGAAAGCCTTGGGTCCCAAGCCGGCGGAGACTGACGTAGGATGTGTGAGTTGCGGCGGAAGCGAGGGAATAGAGCTGAGTAACCTGGAGACGTCAGTGATGGGGACCAGTAAACAACAGTCCCTCAGTAGACAATGGTGAGATCTCGCGATTTCTGAAATCTCGATGGTTTCCCCAATAATGCCGAATAAAAGATTTGGTGGTCCGGCAACATCAACATGGCCTGGGAGGCATGTATGTACTATGGGGAGAGAGAAAAAGAGAGTACGCCCGTTGGGCAAACACCATTACAACAACTAATAGAAATGAAACACGGGGTTTGAAGAGAAGGAATTTGCGGCGGTAGAGACATGTCTGAAATTATACTGAGCAGTATTTCCATTCAGCGTCACGGGCTCATTTGCAGGCCACCCCCACTGCGCGCTCCGGAGGAGTGACTAAGGGGCGGAGGGGAGGGAAACAAGAGGACAATGTCGATCTTCATGTGCGAAGTAGATCAAGAATTACTCACGGGGGACAGAGGATGAAGAATTATCCAGAAGGGTGAGTAGAAGTTGCGTTGAGAAGGAGCAGTGGTAGTGAGTGGTAAGTGGTGTTGCTAGGAGGAAGTGGTGGTTGGTGGTAGTGAGTGAGTGAGTGGGTGAGTGGTTATGTATGGATGGAGTTAACAGTAAGCCAGTAACTGATCAACCAACTAATTAATTAGTACTGGTAATTAGCAGGGAGTCAGTAGTCAGTAAATAGTCAGTAGTAATCAGTAGTGAGGCGGCGGGCGACGGGACCGAAGGGCGAGATTGATTTATTATTAGTAGTTAGTTCCTTCCTTCCATCAGGTGCAAGTGCTTCCTTACCATTTCCACTTCCATCATCGTTCGGTCTTACTACCACGGCACTAATTCACTAAAGCCGATCGGGTGGGAGAAAGAGAGGGGGCGAGGCGCGTGCAGCCAAAACCCGCCTTGACTATACTTAGTAGGCGGTCGGGATGTATCGGGCAAAATGGTGAGCCTGCAATTGTGGATGTGGAACTCCGGCGATGACGACGACGAGCCTGGGTCTTGGCGGTGGGCACATCGGCACTTCAACGCCGAAGAGAGCCAGAGTGGGAGAAAGACAGAGCCAGAGAGAGGAAGGTGAAGCGCATCGGCATCATCGTGACACAGCTCCCAGACGCCACTTACTCACTCAGCCACTCCTTCATCCACTTTACTTCTCTCTCTCTCACAATGAATAAAATAATATGCATGTTCTCAGTGCTTGATTTCAAGCCCATGGGCTTTGTTGTATATAGATAGACCCAATGGCCCAGAACCATGCCATATCACAGCGTCCCATTAAGAGACAACCGCTTCAGAATCTAACCCCGAAAATACACTAATCAATCCCAAGAGCTAAAGTCTCCAAAACCCCCAGCACCTCTCATCTTTTTCCGCACCGGTTCTGGCTCGGGCTCATCATCCACAAACTCCACAATTTCGTCCTCTTCCAGTTGCTGCTGCTGCCCTGCCCGTTCGGCCAGGGCAGCTTTGAGATATTTGCCTACGCCGGCCGAGGCCTCCTCCGTAGACTTATCTCCGGCACCACGAACCCGTTTCCCCGTCCAGGTAACCCGGTCGTCATCCGCACGGCGTGCACTCTGCTCCTCCTCCGCCGGATCGGTAAGGGTGCCCTTGGCCTTGGCCTCCTCGACCTGCTTCTGCTTGAGAAACTCCTCGAAGGGGTCCACGAAGATGGTCACGTCGGCGATGCGAATATCCGGGGTGGGCCGGTTGGTGGTGGAGTTGGTGGGGTGGGATTCGAGGTTGTTGAGGGTCGGGGACGAGGGGGTCGGGTCGTCGATGACATGGCCGAAGATGGTGTGTTTGTTATTCAGATGAGGGAGGGCTCGATAGGCGATGAAGCTGGTGGGTGGCGAGCGTTCAGGGTTAGCGGTGAGGCTTTTGGAAGTATGTGACGGAGACAGCTGCAGGACACAGAAGAAAAGGTCACTTACAATTGACTGCTGTTCGTGTTTTTGCCCTTATTAGCCATACTGAGAGTTCCTCTCGAGTCGTGCTTGAGAGGGCCCTCGAACTCGTCGTTGAAGTATTTGCCCCAGATACTCTCGCCTCCTCGACCGGTGCCGGACGGATCACCGCCTTGGATCATGAAGCCCTTGATGTTGCGATGGAACGTGACATCCCTGTAATAGCCCTTCTTGGCAAGCTTGATGAAATTCCACACGGCCTTGGGTGCATACTCGGTGTGCAGCTCCAGGTTGATGTCGCCGGAGGTTGTCGAAATGCGCGCATAGCCCTTCTGCTTGACCCGGCCCCTCTTGAGCATGTACTCCTCGTCCGAGAGCAGCGCAAGGTCGGCCGCCGTGTGCGGGGTCATACCCGTGCTGGTGAATGACGCCGCAGCCAACCCCGTCGTATGGCGCGCGGCATTATAGGGCGTGGCTTTCCCAGGCGGCAACTTCCTGCCAGCCTGCGCCGACAAGGCAGCAGCGCCAGCCCCAGATCCAGCCCTGGCGACATCCCTCGAGGAGGCAGCAGCCGCAGCGCCGCCGGCGCGCAGAGCCCTCTCTGAGCGAGCCTTGGCGACAGCTTCCCTTGCCTTGAGGATCTTAGCCGAGCTGCCAAGGGCGCCGGCATTAACATTATTCGCAGGATCCTCACGCTCGCGAATCTGCTCATCAGTCAACCCGCTCTCACCCTCCTTAATATAATTAAACGCGCTGAGGTTCCGCGACTCGATATTCTGCGGATCCTGCAGCGTGATGATATCCTTGCGGGTGAATTCCGCATCGGTGACGAGATCCTTCCACAGCTTCCCCTTGATATTCAACCGCTCGACCGTATCCCAGGCAAACACATTCCCCGTAGGCCGCAGCGCGACGATATGCGTATTATCCGTGAAGACCTTATACGTGACGGGGTCGACGTACTCGCCGGCCTCGTTCTTGGCCAGGTGCAGCTTGATGAGGTCGGCGGTCTTGAGCGGCGCGCCATTCACGGGGTTCGTGCCGTGCTTCTTGATCCACGGGAGGATGTTGGTCAGGTCGAAGATCGTGCCCTCGGGAGTGCATACTGGGTGCGCGAACGGTTGCAGCGACAGCGAGCAAAAGTTAAACGGCAGCCGCTTGAAACTCGTGTCCACGCCCCCTCGTTTCGCCCGCGATACCCCCGCCCCTGCGCTGGCCGAGAACGCATCTTCCGATGCCCATTCCGAGTGCGTGATCTGTGGTGAGACGGATTCCGGTCAGTCAGTCTGTCAAAGCTGCAGATTTGCGATAAGAGATTAGGGACGCGCGAAAGCGCGCGCAAACCGCAGATTGGTTCCGCGACAAGAGGTTTCGAAGACAACGTACATATAACTTATCGGTCCCTGTATTTGGCTATTAGCAAGCTAGATTATGTAAATCTAAAGCAGTCCGAGTGATGGTGTTGAATGGCCTACCTTTACCCATATTTGCGACCAAAGCTCCCGAGAGGGTTGTGGCAGCAGCTCTCCTCCGCGGGTTTGTCGCCGCTCTCCAAGACATGATGTATTGCCGGCGGCGGGTGACCTGAGCCTAAACCTATCACGGTTAGGCCGTTTACTCCCCGTCCTAGTACTGTAGAGGTCCCGAGTCTCGCCTCATCCTCCAAATCCAAGAGCGCAAGCTGGATCAGAATACAGGTTCAATTGCTAAAACTACAGCACTATAATACAAACCACCGTCAACTTCTCGGATGTAAGCAGATAATTTCTCCTGGTGTTGGCGTCATCATCTCCAACGACGCAAATCCTCGATCTAATCCCATCCCCCGATCTCCTCCCTAGAAAACGCCTTAAGACTTTTGGATCGTTGATTCATCACGTACATGCAAGGCCTGCTTAAACAGGAGGCGGGTGGTAGCGTAGCGGCACCACCCACCGGTTGCCAAAGTCAATTCCATGGCGCCGTCGACTGCCGTATTTACGCCACACGATCTGAGGGATTCCAATGTCGGCCACCGAGAGATTCCAAGAAAGTCCCTCTCCGGAGAGCAGGGCGTTGATGATACCGGTCTTGGGAGCACCAAGACACACAACCGACTTGGCGTTGATGCACACTCGGCCGCCCTCCACCACTGTCGCTTCACCTGTAGATCATCAGACATTAGTCGCATACCTTAGCACATACCACGGAGTGCGAGCTTACCACTGATAGCAGAAAGACCAGACGGAACATCCACAGACAACACTTCGAGATTGCTTCGGTTCGCCCACGAGATCATTTCAAAGGCAGTTGCTTGGTCGTCTGTACGGAGTTCTTCGAACGCAATGTGAATACCAAAGAGCGCATCGACCACCAGATCGGGCGCAAACTCGGAGGTTGACAGTCGGGCAGAGAGGTCTTCCCACCGATGTACGCGACCACCGATCTTCTTGAACACATCAAGTTGCTTGCGACAGTTCTCCAACAGCTCGTTTTCGTGCTCAATGCCTAGCATGCAGACCGTGACACGGTGGCCGCGGTTGCGCAGATGACGAGCCGCGGAGATGGCTCTTGCTCCAGTACGATGATTGCCCGTGAGTATCAGCATTGTTGGGGCGGCTGCATCACTGGACAACAGACCGACTGCGGCCTCGGCGATGCCGCGACCGGTGTTTTCGGTTATCATGTCCTCAGTGAGGCCAAGTTCGGCAACAGCAATCTGCTCGACCTCCAGAGTCTGTAACGGACTCACGGTTGGACAGCTTCGGTTGGTAGTCGTGAGTCGCAGAGAGGCACCAGGTACACCAGGCCCGCTTATCGGCGATGCGGAGACGGGTGTCTTGTTCGGACGCGGGCTGGTCGTTCGAGAAGTGCTCAACTGGCTGCGACCCAGCGAATTGACCTGGGCAGGGACTAACGGCTGTCCGAGGATTGCACTTCCCTTGCGGGAGGCAGGTCCCATGGACGATCTCGTTCGTTCACGCCCTGAATAAGTCCCACTACTTAGCTTTGCGTCGCTGGGTACGTGGTCGGTAAGTTCCTCCTCGCTCTCCTCGAGACTATCAAGAACATTCTCCGTCCAGTGTAAATTCTTCCCACCATTTGTTCCCGGTTTCGGCCTTCTGTTGAAGCTGACAAGTCGTTCCTCATCGGCGGTAGTATCATCATTGCGGATCTCCTCAAAAACGCGTCTCTTGTCAAACTTGGAGAGGTTGCTCTGGAAATCGAACTCGCCCAATTCCTGGATATCCGTAGCGTCCTCCGTCGCCCAGCCATTTGGGTCCTCGGCATAGCTGGCTCTCCCTTTCTTCTTCCGACGCTGCTTGTTGCGCGTCTCCGCGAACTGTGGGTGGGAGGGTTCGGTAAAGGCCGTCTGGCGCCAGCCCCTCGTCTTGGGATTCGTGTTCGCCGCTCCATCGTGCTCATTTAACACCTTCGGGGCCTTCGGCGGACCACCGCGACGGTTGGTCTTGGGTCCGTAGTGTAGGCTTGGTTGTAAGGGAGGTCCAGTTTGCGCGGCATTTCCGCTCTCGATTGCGGTCTTGTTGACATCCAGTTCCAGGTTGCTGAACGGTTCATTGAGTACTGCGGCCTGGTCGCGGGTGACCTGCTGCGAGAGCTGGAGATGATGAGCAATTGACCGATTGATGGGGGCGGATTGAGCCGGCGGCCGCGGCGGCGCTGCTGCTGCTGCTGCTGCTGCTGCTGCTGTGGCCCCTGTTTCTAAGCTCTGGCCAATAGGTTTGGAGGGAGGTTTCGAGAAACTCAGAATTGCGGGATCCACGAAGGACTGCGCTGCGGGTGGGGCTGGTGGCGCAAAGGGGGAGCTCACTGCCTCCGGGGGAGCAGGGGGTTGCTGAGCAGAGGGCGGCGACGGGCCGGAGGGTGCTATACACAGGTCCGCAATGTCGGGGGCTTCGACAGAATAGGTTGGGATCGGATGTGTAATCCACGATAGCTTCACTGAGTAGAGGGCTCGTGTTAGCACCGCGCTTCTTGTTCACCGGATAACTGGGAATTGGCGTTTGCTCTACCTACCGTTCCGAAGCATTAGACGCTGCCCGATGACATTGGCCACTTCTCCTTGCACGGTTGCATTTGGTGGCGCTCGCAACGTCACCAGCACATCGTACCCGATAAATTCAGACGCCATGATCGGTGGATGACGGGCAACAACCGAGCATGCTACAGACCAGGCGAGGGCAGAAAGGGTACAACGAGACTGGCACAACGGTTCGAATTGAAAGGGAGGGGAGTTGGTCAGCTCGCTGTTACAGCTTCGGAAGTGGGCGTCACGTGTCGGAGTCTTTTATCGATAAGCTACGAGCTCTGCCTTGGTGGTGGGGGGAAACTACTCCCCGGCAACAATGTATGTAAAGTGAGAAAGATTCGGACTAATTCCCCAAAGGATTGTAAACAACGAGAAGGGTATTGATTTTGAGTATCAGACGAGCATTGGTCGTGGGAGAAAGCTGCAGATTTAACAATGTTCCATTTCCAAGATTGTTAGGATGCTGAATATATAGGTGAATAATATCAGAAGACAAAAGTTCCAGCGAACCACACGAAAGAGGATAGTAGGACAAGCTACAGGATCTACATTGACATGTGAAGATGATCAACAGCTCCAGCCAAAGAGATGATCACAATACATCGTACATATATGCGAGTTTCCCCAGGGCTGCTTTTGATAAGATGCGAAACCCTCAATCGGGCATTAGTCAAAACTTAGTCATAAATGATCTACCAAAGCGGAGAGGTCTAGACTCATTAGAGGGCTCCAGCAGATGACATGACGAGGAGCACAATTCAAGCATTTCAAGAGGACATAGTTTCTTCAATGGGTCATCGACATGAGAGGGGAATGTTCTTCTAGATTTCTATTATCCATAAGCAGAGTATGTGGTAATGGTCACATCACATCACATCACATATCTTAATAGTATGTCCATCCATCTCCACACCATGGACCCAGTACAGATATCCAACACTGTACACAGCAGAACGACCGTCCCTCAACGAGAAACTACCGCCGGCCGCCCAAAAGCACACCTTAAGTTAAAGTCAAACACAAAACTCCAGGGTATAAGTTCCTTAAATCCAACCAAGCAACAACGACAACACTTCATAACTCCTGCTTATCCAGCCCCCAGATCTCCCAATGCTGTAATACCTCCCAACCAACCCGACGGACCTTCCGCCGCCATTCACGACCGCGCTGATCCCGGAATACCTTCGGAAGACAGTGATCATCGTCGTCTTCGATTGGGGTTTGGACAGTCTCCACGGTACGGGCAGGTGGCGTATCCTCCTCGTCTCGGGTCCGTTTACCCAGGACGGTGTTCGGAGGTGGCTGGTTACGGTGATTGAGGGCGGGAATCATTGAGGGGCTGTAAGTGGCGTGATGATGCTGGTTGCCGTTGGGGAGGTCTTTCTCCAATGCTATGGCATAATTGAGGTGCTGCTGTTGCTGCGGACTTCGCTCGCGACTCTTGCTGCCCTCGGCGCTCGGCGCACGGGAGGCAATCGGGGTTTGGGGCTCGGCGTGGTGGTTATTCGGCGGATCCGAGGGGATGGTGTAGTGGCCGCCAAGAAGAAAAGCTTTGCGGCCAAGACCGAGGACTTTCAGCCGGTGGAAAATTTGTTGGTCAGCGAGGGTGCCGCTGAGTTTCTCGATGAGAATCTCGTCGTCAGTTTCGACGAGGTCCTGCAGGGTGCGTGCTGAGGCGAGAGCGTTGGCGGAGCGGGAGGAGAGTTTGGAGGATTGGCCAGTCAACAGCTTGGACGAAGGCTGGGAGCCGCGGGGTTGGTCGGAGGTAGAGCCAGTGGGTACAAGGATTCGCAGTGCGGTCAGCTGGCGAAGGAAGGGTAAGAGTAATCCCAAGGTGTCCATGGTCGAGAATTCTGTAGCGAAGCCTAGTTGCTCTAGTTGCGGACTGGCGTGCACAAGGCGTGCCACCGTGTTGGCCGATAGCGGCCAGCGCGCGGGAAGTAGGAGATGCCGAAGGGTGGAGGCATGGTTGGAGATGATGTTATTCAAGTAGCAGTCGCGAATGGTCGCCTGCAGACTGGGCGAGTTGACCGGGGTGTTCGCGGCAGAATTGTATGTCATCGAGCCGTTGGTATCGGACTGCGGTGGGGTGAGCGCCGTGGCTGAGACAAGCTGTCGCGGCGAATTGATGTCGTGATTGGGGTTGGAGCTGGCGTTGACAAAATACATCTTCTCCAGCCCCGTAAAATGGCCAATGAAATCAGCATGCCGTCGCGACAATGCATCTTGTCGGATGCATTTGATATGGATCTCGTTCTGGGGGATGGTCGGCCAGGTGCTGTCCACGAACGTATTCATCGAAACATCCGAGCCAATGTCATTAAGGATAGTCACCTCCTCCATAGGATGTTGGGCGAAGGCAAGATTGAACTCCTCGGTATGTAGCGCATACAGATTCTGCAGGCCGATCTTGCGAATGGATAACGGCCGTTTCGCGGCGATGCACTTGCGGAAGTAGTCGTGGAGCATCACGCTGGGCTCCTGCTCGATGCGCATGCGCGGGGACCAGTGCATCTTCAGTTCGCGCAGCTTCCGGCACCGAAACAGCAACGTGGAGATGTCATCAGGATAGCAGAGCGGATCGATGTCGGTGATCTTCAGGTACCGGAGATGCGGGATAGCCGGGATGACGATGGTCGGGCGCGGATGGCGACTGGACGGGAACCGGAGGGTCAACGAGGTCAGCTTGGGCAGTTGGGCCAGTCCCAGGTAGACGGTCTCCATCATCTTGGTGTTGAGCTCCCAGCTGAAGCTCTCCAGGTCGAGCATCTTGTCCACGGCCGCCCGGACGGCGATGTTCAGCATCATCGAGGAATCCGGCACCCGGCCGACCCGCGCATGCTCCTCCAGCTCCGATTCGCGCCAATTGCCCCGGAGCGTCAACGACCGCACCAGGTTGCCGTAGGGCCGCGTGATGACGGCGTTGAGCCCCATGGAGAACGGGCTGGCGCTCCCCATGCCCTCGGGCTGGTCATCGCGATAGCGGATTTTGTCATAGGAGGTCAAGGTGATGTTCCTGTACAGCTGAGGGAGAGTCATATAATTGAGCACGCGGCATGTTCGACAGAGACGAGCGAGGTCACCGGGATCGTCGAGCTGTAAGGCATCTTGCAGGTCAGCGATTCCCCCTTACCGGGAAAAAAACGGTGACAGGGCTTTTTGCAGAAGACGCACGGAGGAGATAATGAGAGCGATCAAATTCAGCGGCAGAACCAATAACGGGGCGCCTTGTGGCCGGTCAGTAGTGACACTGGCCTCAAACATGTTCTGATTCACGGTCGCCATGATGCGACATCCGTTGGGGAGACGGCCGTGGCATGGACTAAAATGGACGCAAGACAGCTAAAGCTAAGAACACAGGCAGACATCAATTACGTATGGGAAAGAATGAGTGATAGTGAGTGAGGGTGAGCAAGTACCGTGCGTGACGACGAAGGGAAATGGAATTATGGAATCCCGGGGAAGATTTATGCTTGCTGACTCAGACATTCAGCATTCACCTTATTTTCACTACTGACAGCGTAGACTACCTTGATTTGACTCTACATTCGCACTGGGATTGAAGACTGGACCTTCAACATAGCGAGCATTGAACTGATTCACCACTTATGCCTGACAGTCTCCACAAGGCAGACATACCCCTCGGTGACAGCTTAAATTTATGCACGAAACTATGTTTATGCACATAACTTCACGCAAGGGTCCAAAGCAGAAATAGCTAATGACCTACAGAGTACACACAAACAAATCCCTGATTAACTCCCAAACAACTCCGACAGATCGTCTCCAAAACAGAATCAACGCAATTAGACACCGCACCGATCTCAGACCTTAATCGGCCATGCGCCCAACGTGAACTGTGAATTACACATATTGGTCAATTCCCAGGTCTCTGCGCCGAGGACAGCGGGACTGCCCTCATCCTCCCAGTCGCCCATGGCGCCAGCGACAAACATGGCAGCCATGAAATGATCATCAGTGGCGTGGGCATCGCGATACTCGGGGTGTTTCATGAGGCGGGTCATAGCGCGGCGTAGCTGGGGGCCGGAGGTCTTCATGAGGACGTCCTCGACGGCCTGGCGGAACTCGAGGGCCCAGGGCTCGGGCGGGGTCTCCATGGCGAAGTTGTCGCGGAAGCGCAGCATGGGCGCCCAGCGGTTGCGGTACAGGTTGTGCACGGCGCCGCCGGTGCCAATTAGCAGGTAGTTCTCGCGGCGGAGCGGGCGCAGCACCGCGCCGACCTTGCAGTGGTAGTGCGGGTCGTAGCGCGCGTTCAGCGAGATGATCGTGGTCGGTGGGCAGCCCGCTGGGAACATGCGGATCAGGATCAGGTAGACGTCGTGGATCCAGTCGAAGGTGTCGTTGCCGCGTACGTTGAAGCCCTCGCGTGCGAGGAGCTCGATGCATCGCTGCGACGTCGCCAGGTCCGGGTTGAGCGGGTAGTCGACGTATTTCGATGGGTCGACGTACGCCACGGGGCTTTTGCCTGGGTTCGGGTTCGTCGCTACCTCGATCTGGTCGTTGAGGCAGTCCCAGTGGGCTCCCTGGACGGTGGGTGGGTGGAAGTGTTAGAGCAGTGAGGGTATAGTATGGATGGTGGTTTGTTTTCTGGTATGCCTTCCTTACCATGATCACAACGCCCTTGATCCCATGCGCCAACGCTTCATCGCCGCACTTGCGCCAGTAATCGGCCGAGGAGCTTTCCTCGCCCAGCATCATGGTGGAGCCATGGGAGAAGAAATGTACCGGAGTTAGACCTGTGCGTTGTTAGTTGTCTGATATAGTTCGGGTTGGAACAACCGCAGCGCGGCTCGAAAAGCGTGCAAACCACGTACCCATATCTATTTTTCGAGAGAGTTAACAACGCCAGATCAGCCTATAGATTCACCACAAAACAAGGCTAACTCTAGTCGAATCATGGCCGGCCTGCCAATTGACTTATACTATTCCGCGGTCAAGTCTGTCGGAAGTGCATCGGAAGGGGGTGGACCACAAACCGAGCACTTTCCCCCGTGTGGACCACAGACCCGCCGAGGTTCTCACAGCCTGGGGTAGTGCTAAATCTCGCTCTAAACACTATTAATCCACATGTTATTTTCCACGACAATCCTTTAATACACACAACTAAGCTTTCCCCCGACTCTTTCCTATCAGGCCATCTTCGTCGCGGCTGTTTCCCTCACCACAAATCCATCCTGTTCTTCACCCCCAAGAGACCCCAACCCAGACACTCTTTCCTCGTCCTCCACCCTAGACTGGGTAATTTCATCCTTATTATGCTCAATCGGAGTGTGGTCTTTGACTACCAGCCAGGTGGGTATCACAGCGAGACCTATTTCATTGATCACCAGTCAACAAGTCATGTCATCGGACGTATGCACCACAAACGAGGGAGGAGACATACCCAAAAGTATCGTATTGACAGACAGAGGAACGCGTCCTCCATACCAATCACGGGTGTTGAGGCCAAACGATACGGCTTGAGCGAAACTCTCCTGGCCGCGAAGGATACCCGAATAGCGCGCTGCCGCCCAATTAGTACAGGGAATATGCCGGGACCGACAAATAGGGGAGACTTCATACATAGCTCGGAGATATTGTCGGTCATGGTTGAGACGAGGTAGTACAGGAAGTTCTGCAGAGCTTGCTGGGCGAATTCTGTCTCCCCCACGGGACGAAGTTAGTGGTGTAAGAGTTAAGTTTCGAGCGGAGAAAGACGCACGCCAGAGAATCAGGACGAAGAAGCCCTTGACAAAGTCTTTGCTGGTCCAGTCTAGGACGGGAGGGTTCGCAGTGAATTGTTCCTGCACAACCCAGCCGTAGGTCCAGGCAGCGATGTGGACGATGATGACATAGTAGAAACTATCGGGTGTTAGTCCACTGGTCTAAATGGCAACAATGATTGCCATACCTGTAGATGATCCGGCTCTTGACAGGGAGGCCTTTGTAATCGAGGAATCGACTGATCATCCCCGAAGAAAGCAAGTTGGCAAAATTGCCTGGGTAGGGTTAGCCGTCAATTGACAGGAACGGTCCAGGAAGTTGATACGTACTAACAAAGCCCATGAGAGCTCGAGCGCGAACGTTGAAGTAGTAGGTCTCAAAATCTGCATGATCAGATCAGCTAGTGAAGCGAAAGCACAGGGGGGCTACCATACTGCCACTATATTGGTTGAAATAAGCGGCCCAAAACACGGGCAGCAGCAAGAGAACCTATACGCACAACGTGAGCCGAACACTTTACTCGATTCAAAGCATTACTTACTTGCTTCTGGCGACAAAGCTTCCAGAGTTCGTACATCTCAGCGCGCCAAGAGCCTTGCGCGATAATCCTAACTGGACTCCCATCGCTACGTTGAACCTTTGCCGGCGGCGAGAGGAAATACGCGACAGGAACAGCCAGACACTGCAGCGCAACAAAGATAAGATATACCTCTATGTACCGGGTCAGCCAGTTGCCCCATATACAAGAATAAAGACTCGCTGCAACATACCTGGCTGAACCTTGCCTTTACCCCCAGGAGTACTATCTTGTGTCAGCAGCTTTTCTTCCCTTCAGCGCTTTCAAAGCCCTTACTGATTGAGCCCCAGAACGATAGCACCGCCCAACAAGGGTCCACCGGTTCGAAACCACAGCCAGATGCTATCTCTGGTCAGCCATCCTCGACTTAACTCTTTGGGATTCAAACATACTTCATATACTTGCCGCGTTTGCCCGGCTCAGGATAACCAAGTGCTACCGCGCCCTCGGAAGCCCAGAACAGACCCGCTCTAATGAACATAAGTAAGATGCTAAAAAAACTGAAGATTCGGAAACTTCACTCACGATAATCCACAAGCTACCGATCCAACAAGCACGAACCAGACATTACCCTAAACCGGCGATCAGACACAGAACCATGGAGTATCATGGAGTGAGAATCTCACATAGCGATTGTTCGTATACAACGCCGCGCTGCAGATCAGTTAGTCCACCCAGCCCTAACAAGAAACGGGAAAACCCAGATACATACGAGTAAATTGGATACCCAACCGCTCCCAGCAACAGCGTCCAATTCAATCCGATACGATTGGCGATCGGTGCGCCGAAGATGCACAGGAAGCCCACTGCGAGAAACCACCGACATGTCAGTATCGAAGTCTGACTGTATTCTTCGCATGAGCAGAGAACTCACTCAGACCAAACACCAATGCGTTCGCAGCGTTGATCAGAAAGGGCGATTCCGCGCCTCCAGCACCCAGTGAGCTCATCGCATTCCACAAGCCTGGGGCTAAGAAGCCCACTCCACCGATAACGAAGGCATTGAACAAAGTGGTGTGGTACCATGTTCGTCTGCCCTGCGTGGAGGACACATTGCCGTGAAATGCCATCACCGAAAGATCTAGTCTGAATGCGAACTGGCTATGGCAAAAACTTTATGGCTGAAGCGCAATGGCAGCGTGGACGTATATGGGCTGGTGGCCATGGCCGTCTTATTTGTAGGGCGACTGGCGAGCCCTAGTGTAGATGGTCTTCCATAGTGGCACAATTTTTCTGTCGCATCTCATTTGAATCATCATTGACGTGCAAGATGGCGTGCTTGCGGCTTTTCCGACTATCTCATGGCGAACCGTTAGAGTGTTTAGTATAGTATACCTTAGTATGGTTGTTGAGGCCAATGGAGGTGGAAGTTGGCAATGGAGGAGTGGAACGCTGAGCGGGCTGGACCGCAATTGTCTTTACTTACTGGCATGGCGAGCGGACTTTCGCCGCCGACCCTAAACGAAACTGCGAGTTTGAGTCATGTAATCCATGATCTTTGAACTTGTTTCTTGGTGAAGTAACAATAAATACGGAACTGCAAATAAGAGTAATAAGATAGATATATATATGTATATTCAAAGTCTGGAGTATATGCATCCCAAGGGGTATCTTTTTACAAAACCGCGCCAGGTACCTTCACAGTCGCCGAATCAACCTCTGAGTTGCGAAGAGCTTAGAGCATTAGCAGCTCATGACGAGGGGATTCCGACCCAAATCATTTTGAGCAGACAAAACCGAAAACAAAGACAAAACAAGTCACTAGCACTCAGACGGAGAACCATAGAGAAGATGATCTCAAAATGATCCAATGGACGCGAATAATTGACCCTGATATATAGAAAATGGTGTTTAGATCCGATACTCCCCGCTAATTAAAGCATCCGTGTAAACATTGACCCCAAAAGTAAGTAGAATGGACACAAGTCCTAGTGTGGTATGACGCCCCATCATTGCTGAGATCGAGCATCTCCATTAGCTGGGGTGTCATTTGTGTGAGCAGGAGAAGACTGTTGCAGCGGCGATGGCTCTGTTGAGTTCCTGTCTGCACCTGTTGCTTGGTGTCCATCAGTGTTCTCGTCCATGGCTAGCTCGGAACTGAAATATTCGGCATGAGTCGAGACTTGATCAGGGCGATAATCATCCAATCCCACCAGAGCCGCTGCTTCGGGATCATAGCGCAGTTCCTGATACGCAGTGCTATCATCTGCGCTCCAGGGGGCGGCAGTTCGAGTCTGCGGCTGAATGACTCTTAAAGGCAGGTTAGCACGTCCCTCAGCACGACCCGATGGAGCCCGTTGACTGGAGTTGGTTGTTCCAAAAAGTCCACTATCATTGAAGTGCTGCGGCGACCAGATTTGTTGGCCTCTCCGTCTCGCAGGAATGACAGTGACTGGCAGTGGGGAACCTGAGCCTTGGCGTCCAGAACCAGGTCTCAATCGCCTGGGGATCTGGAAGCGGGCTCCGGCTCGAGCGTGTCGGAGGTTGGCGTGCTCATCGTCGCTGTCATCCGGGGAAGGATCTGGGGAAAGGCCATGCTCCCCGACGGATTGTGAACCAGGGGCCTCTTCCTCCGCCTGTGCTGAGGCAACCTCCCTTGGCAAAGAAGCACGCCTCCGTTTGAATGGATTGAGCAGAGTTCGCCACCCTTTGTCCATGTGAACAATCTGGGGAGACTGTTCCCTGGTCTGCTGCGCCGACAATCCACCATGCATCAAATCAGCTTGTTGGCTTTCCATAGCTGTCGTCATCTCCTTTGCAGCCGCTTCATCGTCCAGCCCCTCTTCCTCCTCTTCCATATGTGGCATAGCAACTGGTGGCGTCGGACTAGACACGGGATGATAATGCACGTTGTACACTGTACTGGCAGCACTCGTGGTATCGGCCCGACTGACAGGTGTCAGGGCCGCAGGTGGAGGGGTAGGCCGTGACACTATTCTCCGACGTCTTGCGTCTGCAGACGCGATATTTGTCTGATTTTCCAAGTTGGATTGCCAATTGCGCCCGACTCTGGTGCGCAGAGGACGATGAGCCAGGCCCATCATGCCTCCCCATCCGGATGACATGCCAGCACCACCACCGCGATCATTGTTGTTAGGATTGTAGCGCGGCCAATCAACCTCCTCGGATGGAGTAACTTCGAGCATTTCGTCTCCATCAAATATCTCCCGTCCCAAAATGCCATCCTTCCGCTCATCTCTCTCCAAAGCTTCAATTCGTTCCACCCATTCCCACACGACGACACTCGCTGCAGCCGATCCGACCCACCGGACATAGGTACCCCATCCTGCGATTTTCGGCTTCGAAATATCCAAAACAAAAAAGACGACCGGAATGAGGACGGCGCATAGCGACAACAGGGCCACCAGGCAGATGTTCCTCATCTTCGGGTGAAAGAAGGCAATTCGGTGTTTCGAGAGAGAGTAAAATATGACCCATGCGGCGTAAAGCAAGTTCAGAGCGAGTTCGAAAAGGTAACTGAGAGCAGGTATGGCGTCTTCGTATAATCGCGGATGCGTAGTATGAGACTTGACGAGAAATTTGTCCAGAATGCTGAATGTGGTATCGAACACAATCAATGCGAAACCTGCCCACTTGATCATGACCTTCTCTTTGTGCCGCGGAAACAGTCGGATGAGTGTCTGGACCTGGGCAAGCCATAGAAAAGTGCTCGAGATGACCCGAACAACCCGAATCTCCATCCCATCGATAACCTCATCAGTCAACGCCTCAGCGTCAGAGTAACCATATGAATATTGCTGTTCAGCGACCCGGAAGGAATCCACCGTAGCAATCGTGAGTGATACAGCTACCAGCAACGCAGCGACCTTCTGAAGCCAGGGGCGACCACCAACGCCGACCACCGAGGAGTTGCCGCTGTATGAACCGGTAATCATGCCGCGCCTTCCCAGAAAGTTTGCACCACCACCAGGACCACCAACGTAGAACGTGCGCGGAGTAATGAGGAGAATAATGACGAGCAAGTAGCTGACCACAGTTGTGCAGCCCATGGCGTACAGTTGCGGCGCTACCGAAGAGTAAAAGGGGTCGGTGGTATCAAGCGCCGCGACCGCATGTTGCGTGGACGTTGCTGTACTGGTACAAACTGGATCATAAATGGCATTTTCGGTCAAAGTGATCGTATAAGTGCGATTTAGATAAACGTGACCTGGTAAAACCGCGAAACCCGCGTCAGTGCAATGTCACAGTGAGGAGGAAATGCGGGGGAGGCATGTGCCACCCTCCGGGGGCGAGAGTAGGCCCTCCCCCCAAGATATCTGCCCTTGACATACCGGCGCTTGGTAGTAGGAATGGTGTACAGCCCGGTTCGTATGATCTGGTGGTAGTCGTCGTTGGCTGAACCCATATCTGGCGGGGGGCCAGATACCCGTCATTCTCCATGGTCAAACAGGCTACCAGGACGTTTCACGTCGCGGTCAAAGCAGGCCACACACGCCACAAGAACATATGTATGAAATGTCATCAATGCCCAACGGTGTCTGTCGTCACACAGCAGATTCATACACCCATAATGGCGATAGGTCGGAAGCGCTCTATCGATTGCCGACGGTCGGGAAATGCGAGAAGGGTATGGAGCGATCACGTTCGTCTGTCGAAATCAGATTCGAGGCAAGTTGGAGCTGATGCGGCTTGATGGCGGGGCTTCAAGTAGGTATTTGCACTTGGTGACTGGGCTCGGATAATAATGGAAAGGATGGGGCCAGCAAGTCATACAGATCTATGAATGAGGACTTCGCTTGATCGAAGGTGAAGTCCGACAGAAGAACCGCCACTGCGGTCCAGATTCCCCGGGCCGAGTCCAGGACTCACCGCCTAAATAGTCTGACCCCAATTACCAAGAAGACGTGACATCCTCCAATTCTGTCCCTCGTTGTTTGACAAACCAAACCATATGGTACTCCGGAGTGAGAATGGAAGTTATTCATACTATTCGAAGCTTACGCCATCTGCGAGACTGTGAACCACAGTGCTCCGACCCTTTGATGATCAAGATGTATCGAGAGTATAGAGGAATCACCTAGTCGCGTATCCATGCCACGCGACAAGACATAATAGACATCCTTAAAATGTGCACAGATCAAAACAGTTAATGGTTAGCATAGAGCCTCCGAAAGGCATATTGAGACCTTATAGACTTGCAGATAGAGGTACAGTATATACACGTCAACATGCAGAGTGAGTAGTAGCTGAGGCCATCGTCATGCTCCGGCTCCACAGCCAAACCACCTGAGGATAATTTGATGCAGCCGTAAGTGGGTTCGAATATGTACATGACTTCCGTGAGATTGTTACGCCATATGTATATCCGGGCCATCACCTGGAAGGTTGCCCGTACGACATCTGTACTGGAGCCAAATATGGCGATACCAGAGCCGCCCCCGAAGCTCTGGCGAAATTCCCGCGCTCTTCCTCTCGTTTCTTGATCTCAACTTCGTCTTGGATCAACGTACAGCAAGTGCAGCACGTTGCTCGAGCGCAGTCGGATATAAAGTCGCCTTGGATTTCATATGCCCTGCGCACCCGCCGGCGCTGAATTGTAGCCAGTAACCCTAAGACACCAGGTCAGCTCGTTGCACAACCCTTAGCATTGCAACTGGAGATAGATATACTGACATTGGCAGCCGCAGAATAAAGCCATTGCAGTACATGACCCATTGCAGAAACTATGATCCAGCATATTTGTCGGATCATCCCCGCGAGACATCGTCTGCAGTCGATGCTGCGTTCTCCCATATAGAATACAGGGGCATAACAGCCCCAGACAGCATGAGCCGATGTCTGTGCAGCCGCAAAGACTAGTCTTCCATGAGCCTCCTTTGATGGCCTGGTTGGGGTGTAGAATTTGTCCCGGTCGATGATATGCCAGGATATGATTTGCTGCTGGAGTTGCGGATGCGCTCGGCGCGATGGGAGGGGGAAATTGAGGTAGTGGGTTAGGATGTAATGGATTAGTGTCTGGTGCAACTGCCACAGAGTGACTCTTCAGAGTCTGATCTGAGGCGTGCACATTTACTTTGACTGGAAGCGGCCCGGGGCTTTGCGGAGGTTGCGCATACGAGTAGTCTGGTGCTACTGGTTCAGCTTTTGCTGGCGGGCGCACCTCATCAGCGAATGGAGCATAATTCGCAGGATGATGCTGTATATCAGGTCCGCCTGGATAAGCATGAGGGTTCGTTTCGTCGCTCAAGTGCTGCGTCTTCTCGTTTAGAGATGGCTGGGCCTGCTCTGGTACGTTCATATGTTCTGCTGGAAGGTCGCTTGGTGCGCTCGTCGGCAAGGCCATGTGTCTGAGTGTACCCCCAGGGGCATGCATCTCCAATGGCGTCGCAAGGAAAGAGTATCTTTGATTCCCGCCTTCCAGGTTGGATGTATCTAGTCGAAGTTGCCCATTCATTTTGACAACCGTCAGGATTCTTGTTTGACGCGGTATTGCACTCGACTTTTGGCGCTATGCGGTTTTGCTGCGGCCTCTTCGCAGGTCTGAATAGTTGTACATAAATTGAAAACGCTAAAGCTGTGCTTGCCGGAGGAAGATAAGGCGTATCCCAACTTATTTGCCACTCGTTTGTAGTCTTCATACGATAGACTACATATATTGAAGCGACACAAGCCTTCCCCGGAAATGATCCGCGGAAAGCACCCGGTTTCAAGGACACAAGGTAAGCAAGATGAAAGCGGAGTGAGGAACGGCGCCATACGATGTGGGAAGCAATTACATTATGTGTAGCCTCCGCTGGGGATGAACGCCTCGTTGGGGTGGAGTTTAGAGCGCGTGAGATGATCAATGTCGCAGCGGGGAGACCAGGATCTAAATGGCCAGAGCTTCAAGTATCAGGGTAGTCGTTGCGCCGAACAGCCCTTAGGCTGCACCGTTCTGGAACTGTTCACACCAGTGATCACTTCGGTTGGCTCAGTGGTCCCTCGGAAGTCCCCGTTGGGCCCTTAAGCACGTCTCATCACATCACGGTCGGCGCCGTCACATTTAGGATGGCCGCCGAAGCGCCCAAATCCTAATGACATTGGAGAAATCCAGGAAATTGCAACGCAGAAATATTCAAGTCCTACTGCGCACCTGTAAATCTCATCACCAGCTACTGACACTACTATTAGCGTGGCGGGTAAACCCATGTAATGACATAATAAATCGAATGATTGGAATTGAAGTGCTTAGTAGAACGAAGGACTGTCTGGTGGGGAGGTGGATGATTGTTGTTGGACGATTGGAATTTGGAATGGCTCAACGGGGAGCATAGCCATCACTTTCGGAATATGATGATATTGTCTGTTGAACTGCGCCTCACTTGATCGATCGAACTTTCATATGTCTCAGATTCATGAAGGCTGTATTTCAGTTGTGGTGCTCAGACACTGCGGTTTGGGGAAAGATCCCCCGTTTCCCCGGCCAGAATAACCGCTGATTGCAGGCGCCATCCATCACATGACGAGAGGATGTGTAGTACATACCTGCTGGGGGTGAAGCACTTTCAGTTGCTGAGTTAACGACTAAATACACTTTTGGGGTCCTGCTTAATGCTTGGCCACGAGAAGATTGTGCTCACTCTCCTACATACATCAGCATACTGATTTTTATAGAGCGTCTGCAATGTGAATAAAAAATTGCGCTCTCTAAGAATTCATTCTAAACTGGAGAGGCGAGGTAAGTAAAAGTGTATCTTTCTGCTGCTGTCCTAATTCCTACTTTAGGCAATGACAAGTGAGATAGAAAGGAAATGTTAGGACAGACGTTCACGATCATGCTGATTCTGCTATTATATGAAACTAAGTTGAACATAACGATGACTATGGGCCTGCAATACCAAGCCAAGCTACACCGTTGTGGAATCAGTTAGCCTTGTTAGCGAGAGCATAGCATTCCAAGAGGGTAACTGGAACAAAGCCGACGACCTGGCTGACATGCATAAAGTGGATTGACTGACGATAAGAGCTATATTGAGAGCTAGGATGGTCCAAGCGAAGTCCGTGATACCACCCTGAGTCCGGATGTCGTGCGCATGGGATCCTGGTTGATAAGATACTGTTGAGGCCACCAGCAGAACAGTTATGCAAGGGTGCTCCTGGCCTCCCTTGACTGCAAAATGAGTATAAGATTCTACAGAAGCGATAACGCACCTAAAGAATCTTCAGATAAGCAGCAGCGGAATATCTGTTCTGCATTCAGAGCAGTGATAAGAACCCCGGCAATAGCGTTCAACTCCAGAAATCACCCGGGATGTAGTTGTTCAGGACTGTACCCATAGGACGACACGCATAACGCCTGATAAGGTCGCTTTTGTACGAGATAGCATAGGAGATGACTTAAAGCTGATGGTACTATGCGTTTCCACACAGCGTGCAGATTGCTTGAGATTGCGTGAGAGAGCACCTATTGGATTGGCGAGAAGCAGTGAGCTGACAATCGTTTTAGTCAGGTTGGCAACAGAAACCAAACCAGAGCGTCATCTCTAACATTTAGGGAAGTCATTTAAGAATTGCCTCAACGAGAACGGAAACAATGCGTCCTGATGCTTGGATGAGGGAGGTCCAATGCAGTGTTCCAGGCAAGCTCCAACTTTGAATTGAACTTCAGAAAGTATAAGGCACCGATTCCGGCGCTCTGGATGCCTGAGGTATTTTACATGGCAGAGGCCGGTGACCAGCCCGACAGTCACGTTTTCCAATGATTGGTAGATCCAATGCGGAACGGGTCATGCGGCGGGAGTGGGGAAGAACTTGAAGGAGTTCAATTATCAATACAGTCCTGTAGTGAGTGATTCATCCCGAGTCATTCGTCATCCATCATGAATTTCTCCTGGATTTCTCTCCTTTCTTCCAACCTGATCTTATGAATATTGCATTACTAGCAACCAGGCATACTTGGATCTGCACCTACCAATGATATCTGGTGTAAGGTGCCTTATCTCTCTATCTCTTCTCCGAAGTTTATGAATGTATCCATCGCTTATCGGACCCTCTCCCCCGGTTTTATCTAGAACTTGTTTAGCATCGCATCTAGCGGGTTCCCCGAATTGCAACCCCACCGGGACCAGAAATTCGGTACGTATGCAAGGCGTTTCAGAGAATCCTGCCAAAACAACAATGAGGTTGTACGAGAAGGTTGCACGTATTGCATCGCAAGGTCGATGCTGGGCAGAAGGAGAATGGACCAGACGACAGGTCACATTATGCAGGGTAGCGAATCTCTCCCATCGATCGATTCCACTGCTTTCATCCTGCTAGGTACCGTTGACGACATTGCTTTTAGCCCAGAAAGCAGCCGATCGAGCAGCTCGCTCTACCGTCATGTCTGCATTCCGAGTGTCCCGATAGCCCTTGCTGTAGCCTGGGCGAGCGGAGAGCCATGGACACCGGTCTTTTCCAAATGCCATCAATCATATGCCAGCGAGCATCCACGGGGCTCCAAAATCCAAGTATCGGGTCGGCATTGGATGTTCAGGAATGACAAGACGGAGGCAGGCATAGATACATAGGTTGATGACCGGAGAAGTTGCCTGTAAGTGGATGTCTATCCAAAATTGTTTGCTGCATGCTAATCAGGAGCAGGGGAGAGAAGATGGAACTTGAAGGTTGTTGCCGCCTAAAGACGGGGGAAGATTAATATTGTAGGACGCAACAAGTAGGTAGATAAAATAGGGAGGGCACAGATGACCCCCGGGGCGGAAGGAAATTGCCTCCTAAAGGTTTCAGTACCTACCTACCTACATTTCACATTCACTTTCTAACTTGGAATTCCCATTAGCTAAATTATTTCCTTCTTGGGGCACTCGGTTCCAGGGATACACAAAATAATATAATTGGAAACTCAAGGCTGCAGCAGTCATTATTGATTTCCTCACCTCTGCTCTGTACTAGGGTTGTGACCGGTGAGAAGGGACGGTAGAAGGAGGATACTTATCTCTATCTCTAGCTGGTGATAGAATGAAAGACTGGCGAGACAGATAACTACAAGATAACCCCTATAAGATAAATAAAAATCCAAGGAAATAAGCAATTAGTGTGGAATCCTCTTACTCCGTACTCCGGCCTCCAAGTTTTACTTTTAAAGTTTTTATTTTTTTCTGAATGGGATCCTCAATTTTGCTCTGGACTCCTTTTTCTTTCTACCTAGTCTAGGTCAGATCTGCTTATCACTTTTTTTCAATCCCCAACCCCGACCAGTCACAGTAACCGAAGGAACCGTAGCTGGCTGGTAAAAAGACCCACAAAGGCGGTGACGAAGATCCGCGTCATTTGTTCGTCTCTGGTTCAGCCAAACGCTTCTCTTCCTTTAGTTCCCTTTCTTCCTTCAACTCCAGTTCCCTCCCAACCAAACCAACCCCGAACTGTCCTGCTTTACTGCTTTGAGACGGAGGGAGTATCTTCTTCTATCTGTCTGCCTTGTCATCCCGTCGTCTCCTGCAACTACTGCTGCGGCTTACTGCTTCCTTCTCTCTCCTCATCTTTCCTGTTTCTCCCCCGGCTACTGCGTCTTGGGTACTTCCTCAACTAGTCTAGAGTAGTCGCCTCCATCTCTTCTTCCTCCACGCACCCCCCCGGACCTTATTACCTAGTACTACTTCCTTCTCAAGCCCCGATAACGCCTATTTGAGCCTGTCAGTGAGTTCCCAACTTTCCGAACCCTGATGACCCCCCTTTTCCCCAAAATAAAGACTATCCACACTAAGTCTTCTCGGCCTGTAAGGTGTCCATGTCCTGGAACGTGGCTGACGTTCCTTGATCTTCTCGATCGTCCCAGTTGCTAAATCCCAGTGACGCCAGCTCCCTTCTCCCCGAGAGTGAAACACCAACCATAATCTTCCAGCCCCAACAGCGTTTCCTGTCTTTCTCGGCTCTTTTCCCACCCTGTTCTCATCGTGCATCTCGACCAATGTCCTCCCCATGTCAAGACCTCCATCTGCGACAGACAATACCTGGTCAGGACCCCTGGTGACACCTGATGCATCTGCCCAATATGATTGCTCTGAAGGGCCTGACCTCCCTCGCGACCAGCAGCGGCGCCACAACGATGCTCGGAGCCAGCTCATACATCAAGATGCCCAGCAAGCTCCTTCGCCTTCCCGCGCCGAATCTCCCACGGCTCATCAATGGGCCAAGCCCGCTCCCACCTTTCCTCTAAAACGGCCCACCGCAGCCCCCGTGGAGAGACTCTCCCGTCCCGATCGCTCTCACAGTCCACAATTGTCTGAGAGAGATAGCATCTTCGCAACGCATTATCTCCCCTCCGACACCGACCCTAGCACCACCCCGCGGTTGTCGCCTTCGGAAGATACAAATCATGAGCCGCCAGCTAATCTGACTCCTCTGCTTGAGGATGTGTCTGCTTCTGCTTCTTCGGATTCTCCTCACAAGGTCTTTCCCCGCTCTAGTTGCGTCGGCACCTCCCACATGGAAGTTGACGTCCACAGGAAGCATCCGTTAGACTCTCCTTCGTTGCTTCCGCCGGTAGTCCCGCATTCTACCCCTTTGCTACCGGTAGACTCGGATGCGATTGTGGATGAGCAGCCGGGGCTAGCACATCGCAGTGCGCCATACTCTGTTTGGGAAAGCTTGCAACCCCTTCGAAAAGTCTCGTCAGATGGTGCTGCTAACAAGCCGGCTGCTTTGGTGGATCCTCTAGCCCATCGCAGTCTCCTGTCGGCCTCCCTTAGTGATGCGCCTTTGCCGACCTTACCACCCTTACACTCCTCCGTCTCTTCGCCGGGCGTCCACTCCCCAGTGGCCAGTGTCGACACAACTCACTATCCCTGGCATAAATCACAATTCCATGACGGAGCACGTGAGACAAAATTGGAACGGAGCTCGAGTCGCAGTCGGCGTGGCAGAGTTGAGCAATCGATAGAAGCCAATTTGACCAATGCGGAGCCCGCATCTCATGTGCGCAGCCGTAAGTCAAGTCATTACTTGGGATTGTTCAAAGAAAATACTACCTCGCCCGATCGTAAACGAAGAGAGGAACGTGCAGGAAGACACGACGATTCCGCAGAGCTCCACGATTCACACCGCTTGATCACGCATTCGGAGCCTCGTTTCTCTCTGGAGCATTGTGATTCCCCGTTGCCACTTCCATCTCCAACAGAAAATGGGGAACTTGCGACTTCCAAGAGTTTGTCGCAGCTGTCGCTCGCTGATACTCCACTGATTTTGCCAAGGATAGAGAGCGAGACCAGTCAGGCAATGCATGGTGACAACGTCATTAAGTCGAAGCCACGGGCTCTACCTCGAAGTCTTCTAGAGGAGATCCGCAACTTTCATTTGACACCCGGAGGAGCCCGTGGCACTTCGTTTTCACGAAGCATTCCTACCCAATTTGCTGAAAGAGGGCGAGACTATTTCTCTAAGGACCATGGAAGCCACGGCGGTTTGGGCTCACACCTGTCTACATCCGATTCAGATCGGGAACAGCGTCGTCCATTGGAAGAGGAAGAAGATGAACAGATATCGTCGGCCGTCTATTTCCCACATGAGCGGGTCACGGTATCAGAAGAGGTCGATTCCAGTCCGCCGTATACGGAGGGCCATCGTGGGGCAGCGCCTATTGACATCTCAACCGCGCAGAATGGCCACGTCTTGATGCCTAAGAGACATGTTTCTGATGAGCCAGAAGGTAATCATGTGGACATATCTCTTCGCTCTAAAAATGAAAGTAGAATCCTGCACGGCGACCTCCAAGGCATACCAAATGCTCCAATAGAAGAACTTAATGAAGAGTCTCTTGCTTCCATTCCCGAGCGCAACAATGATTATTATTCGACATGCGAATCCGAGTTTGCATCTGCCGACGATAGTGGCCTGTCAATTCGGGATGAGGAATCGAGCTTGACGGACGAAGCTGATGTCACACCCACTGCCACCCCGACCCAGGGCCCACGATTCCCACGTGCGCGACGCAAGCATTGCAATGCTGCACCCCTCGGAGCAGTGGAGCTCAAACCTTATCGTCATCAAGTGGGTGGACATACGACCGTATTCCGATTTTCCAGACGGGCTGTATGCAAACAGCTCAATAATCGGGAAAATGAATTCTACGAGCGTATCGAGCGCAGGCACCCTGAAATGCTGATGTTTTTGCCGAGGTGCGTATGCCGTGTTGTTCTTCTAGCTCCTTGCGACAGCGAGAATACGGTCTTTTTACTTACACTGTCTATAGATACATCGGCGTTCTCAATGTCACTTTTTCAAAGACACCAAAGCGATCCAAGGAATCATCCATGACCAACGGAGAACACAGAGATATCGAACATGCTGTGAGCAATTCCAACGTTGCTGACAGTAAAGACTCGATGGCAGCAAGTAGCTCATGCCCTTCTAAAGACACTGATCAACCGCGGATCTTCAGCCAAAAGCAAGTCACCGGCATTATACCGCAAGTGATACTGGAAAACAATAGACATATTATTCCAGCAGATCTCTTCTCCCACTATCAGCGCCCAAGAACTGCAGATGGGTCAATGACTCAGCGGCGCTTCTCAAACGAAATCGAATCCATTTCGGACAGATTGAACGGACATGCGTCCTTAGCTGATGGTCCGCTATCCCCCCAGGCGCTGAAGAAAAAGCAGTGGGGTGCTACGACCGTCAACAGACAGTTGCAGGAGCAAGTCTTACGTGAGGTGTTTAGCCCCCCTGCTATTCACCACCACCGACGTCATGCACGTGGTCATCTGAATTTGCCAAGGACGTCTTCGGATGGCATCCGCCGCAGGGTCAATCTCTCGGAAGACCGAACTCTAAGCCGTCGCACTGCTTCCGTTGAAGATGCATCGGCCCACTCTGCTGGCATTGAGATCTCCAAACAAACAGGTGATGGGCTCGGACTGTCTTCATCGGCGTCTACGGCTTTGGATGCGGGCCAGAATCGACTTGAGAAGGTCCGAACCGAGGAGACGCCCCCACGTGCTAGCTCGCTCTCGCGAACTCGGCCCATGAGACGTCGCCGTTCTGGGAGCGGGCTGCAGAGACGGGGGAGCCTAGGCTCCGGAAAAGGAGGAGGCGAGCTGCTATTCTTCGACGACGATGGATACGGGGGCGACAAAGAAGATGGTGTCTTTCCAATGGAAGGCGATGTATCTTTGAAATCGCCATCAAGACAGCGAGTTGCCGAAGAATTCGGGCCACTTCTTCCCCAACCAAAGACTGCTATCGCTTCCAAGCCTGCCGATCAGGTTTCGAACGATTCCTTGGGCTTGGATTCCAGGCATGATGATCATGCACTGCTCCCCTCTAATCCCAAGGAGGCGCAGACGCGGAAAGACGACAGGGTCCAATTCTTCCTTCTGCTAGAGGATTTGACTGCGGGCATGAACAAGCCCTGCGTGTTGGATTTGAAGATGGGAACGCGTCAATATGGCATTGAGGCTGATGATAAAAAGCGAAAGTCGCAGAGACGCAAGTGCCAATCCACTACTTCTCAGCAGCTAGGCGTGCGCTTATGTGGCATGCAAACATGGAATGTGAAGAAACAAGAGTATTCCTTCGAGGACAAATACTTTGGTCGCGATCTAAAGGCTGGTCGAGAATTTCAGGATGCTCTTACGCGTTTCCTTTACGATGGTGCTAGTCAACGGAGTGTGACAAAGAAAATCCCTGTTATTCTCGAGAAATTAGCGCGATTGGAGAACATGATCAGAAGACTCAAGCGGTATCGCCTTTATGCCAGCAGCCTCTTGATTCTCTACGATGGTGACCCGAACCCCGCGGATAAAGGTTCTCAGATCAACGGTCGATCGGGCTCCGGTACCATGCGAGAAAATTTGCAACGCCGGAGCTCTGATGATGGGTATCCAGATGTTCAGCTGAAGATCGTGGATTTCGCGAACTGTGTCACAGGGGAGGACGAAATCTCGCCCAATGCTCCCTGTCCGCCGCAGCATCCCGATGACATTGATCGTGGCTATCTGCGCGGTCTTCGGACTCTACGAATGTACTTCCAACGGATCTTGAAAGAGGTCAGCCAAGATGACTATGTCGAAAGAGGCGAAGGTGAGGCCATCGCCCTTGGCTCTCGCCACTCAGATCAAGACGAATCATCAGAGCGGTACTGGGACGAGAACGTCATGGAGAGTGACCCCGGTGAAGTCAGCTTCTAATCGCTGATCCTTCTTTTCGATGGCGGCCTTGAGCCTCGCGAGCCCTTTTCCTTTCATTGAGTGCCTTCGACTTACCTTTATATCATCCCTACACTGTACCTGCTGCTTTGGCTCGACCAAATGATGCAGGAATGGTTCTGTGACAGCTGATATCGAAGACCGAGAGCGGTCAACTGCCATCCTATGGCGAGCGAAACGATATTGACGACTAATCATGGCATTATGCTACCTAATTCAGCCTTCACTATCCATGCCTGGAGCATGATGGATGAAGGGTTTTGTACTGCGGCCAGAATCATATGGCATGTATGAAATTGTTTTTCAGACTTGTTACTTTTGTCTTTGTTTCTGCTGGTAATTTCCGGTTTGTTCCTTGGACCTGTTTTACTGCTCTATACCTCCTGGGAGTAGGTGCAAAGCTCTGGGATCGTTGTTGTGCTTTTCAGTCTGGTAGGGTAATTTTTTTCGAGACTTGTGGTACTTGTGTACATAAGTAAGGATGGGCGCAGCAGTTAGACAAGACCTCAATATTCGTACCATATAGTGAATTCTTTGATGAAAGCCTAAGTCAAAACTGTAAGACTGGCAATGCAAGGGAATGTTGTATGTGTTTTCTGCTAGGAGCAAGGGTTAATTGCGCAATAAGAGGTGGGAATGATGAGTACTGTCCGTCTGTCTGTGACCGCAGGCTAGGATCACGTGTCGGGATGATAAGCAGACGTTATCTAATCGTGCTCATCATTCCTCGGTCCATCCTCCTCTTCCCCTTCGCTTTCCCGACAGCTTAGCTCCTGTTTTGGCAATTCCATCTTTATTATCTTTAGCCTGTTTTGCCTACCAATCTCTGCATCCGACTACTGATTATCTATTTTCTTTATCTGGTCATATGAGAGCTCCAGCTGGCTAGAGATTCTCCGATCATCGTTACTAACTCCTTCGCTCGGTGCTGTGCTCCGGATGACGATAGTCCGTCTCCACCTGAGGAGTCACATTCACATTCATACCTCACCTGTCTCTTTCGCTCGCTTCTTTGGCTAGAGTTCCCCTTCGTATCCCGAATCCCAGTGTTTTCTGAAGGACAGCCTACAATATGCCAGGGTCCAATGGCCAAACAGTCTCTACCATCGACAAACGGGACTTCGACTCTCACCGTCCCTTACTAGACAGATTGGACGACGGTGCGGATGGAGAGGAGCACGGAGCCAACAGGTCACGACCAGTGTCCAGGCTAGCCGCAGCAAACGACGAGGACGGTCTGCTGAACGACGTGGTCGAAGAGATTCTGGAGCGAGACCGCAAGAAGATGGCCAAGGAAGTCATCCGAATCGGCAGCTTTGCCTGGGGGGTGCTTACTTGGTAAGGTTAATCTCAGTGCGAACACGATTGTCAGCGGAACTCTTGCTAATCAAACAATCGGAACTCCTCAGCCTGGGAGCTGGGAGCATCACGGCGTTCTCCCTTTACGGTCCTCTTCTGCTGACTCGCCTTCATTACACTCAGCTCAGGGTCAACGCTGTCGCGATCGCCGCGGAGGTCTCGATGTACCTCCCTGTCCCACTCTTTGGCTACCTCTGTGATCGATACTCGCCCTCGCCCCTTGCGTTGCTCTCCGGGATTGTGTTTGGGGCCGGCTACCTGCTGGCTGCCTTCGCCTACCGGAGCGGGCCGCCGCCCGATACCGGTGGTGAAGGCTGGCCTTTCTGGGTGATGGTGGTGGCATTTATTGCCATCGGGACAGCTACCAGCTGCATGTATCTAGCTGCAGTGACGACGTGCGCGAAGAACTTCGGCCGGGGCAAGCACAAGGGGATCATGTTGGCCGTTCCGATTGCCGGGTTTGGGCTGAGTGGCATGTGGCAGAGCCAGCTGGGAACCTATATACTTTACGAGCCTCGCGAGGACGGTAGCCGTGGCGATGTGGATGTGTTCAAGTACTTCGTCTTCCTCGCTCTGCTGCTCTTCTGTATCGGTGTAGTCGGTACTTTCGCTCTGCGGATTGTGGATGAGGATGAGGAGAAGTACATTGACGATGCGGTTGAGGAGCTCGAGAGGAGCGGTCTCCTCGAAGAGAGCGAGTTCTTCCGATCGAGAGACGAAGTTCGGTCTGCTTACGGCACATTCGCGGCCGATTCCGACGAGGAACGCACGCTTGTCCGGTCGGAAGAGGAGCTGGAAGCAGCGAGATTGGACAAGCAGAGGGAAGACGAGGAGCGCAGGAAGAAGGACTGGCTCCTGAACTATGAGACGAGGGTCTTCCTCGAGGACAGATCCATGTGGTGGCTTGCAGTGGGCTTCTTCTTGGTCACCGGACCCGGAGAGGCCTACATAAACAACGTATGCACCCCTTTCGCTCCGCACGAACCCTCTGGCATAAGTTAGACTAACTCTGGTAGCTGGGCACTATTGTACAAACACTGACTCCCATCTCCAACCTCCCTAATGCCCCATCGCCCGCAGGCCTACCTTCTACGCATGTCACCACCGTCGCATTGACCTCGACCATCGCGCGACTTCTCACCGGCTCGCTCTCCGACTTCTTCGCCCCGCAAGCCCGTCACCTCTTGCCCGGGGGCAACCCAGACCTGAACCGACCGGCATCGCCATCGGACCCCGGGAACAGAGTCACCTTCACGCGACTGGCGTTCCTCCTCCCATCCGCATTCCTCCTGTCCCTCGGCTACCTCCTCCTCGCCTCCCCCTTACCCCTCCAATACCCGGGCCTTACGCATATCACCACTGCCCTCGTTGGCCTCGGCTACGGCAGCGCCTTCTCCCTCGTCCCCATCATCATCTCCGTTGTCTGGGGCGTGGAGAACTTCGGCACAAACTGGGGCATCGTCGCAATGGTCCCCGCCGCCGGCGCAGCAGCATGGGGCCTGATCTACTCGCGAGGCTACCAGGACGCGACGGACGGCGGCAACAGCACGCCGGACGGCCAGTGCCACGGCTGGAGATGCTATGGGTTCTGGGCAGTAGGATGCACAGTGAGTGTGTGGGTGGCTATCGTGGCTTGGTCCATCGCCTGGAGACATTGGCGACGAAGGGGGGTAACCGTGTAGCTTTCTGTGTCTGTTTATTCATTTATTTCCCTGCATGTGTGGGGATTTCTGGCGACCATCTAGTTTTTCATTGGGCGATACTTGGGTATATTGACATCCGTATATAGACGTGACGTTTTTTTTTTTTTTTTTTTTTGGATTGTTGGGATTTTGTGTCTACCATTCAGCATATTTGGCCCTGTTTTGGTCTATTGGGGCCGTGTTATTTACCGTTTATGTTTCTTTTTTCTATTGAGGGGGCTTTCAAGTACTGATCAACAAGTGCCCTTGTGAACTACAGCATAGTCAACTATAACTAGCCAAGTGAGTATCACCTACGGCTATAGCTAGCCGTCCAGACCAAATCCTCCGGGTCCAGACTCACGGTAGGTGTCATTGATGGGGACAGAAGAAGGAAGAGCCAGCACGGTGTGAAGGAAGCATTAATGCGCATATTCAGTATCCGTTGAGGGTAGGTATACCTACCCATTGCCCAGGGCGTGCATGATACCTACCCGCTGACTACATGCAACCGCACCCCTGCGTCGATTCAAACGAAGTGCGCAGGCCTGGTTGCCAATGGGTAGGGAACCACGGACTTTACGTACACAATTAAGGAAGTAATGCTTCAGATCGATTCACTTTGTTTAGTACCGAGTGAGATCATGATTAGTTATAGGTCATGCCATATTGAATAATTAAAGCCCATAGTTATACCCCTCATAAAGATACAGCACTATCATCATCCTGATCAACAACAAGCCCGCACACCACAAGGGGATAATACAGCCAGGCGTCTATTATTAGATCCCAGTAAAGAAGAGCCTAAACATCCGTCGACGAAGGATCCAGGCCCATGAAAACCTTATACAAGCGTCTACTCGCCGCAGGTCCAATGCGGGAATCCGTGAGGGCGCCGTTCTTGTTTGCGGATTTCTGTGTCCCAGTTCAGCAAACGTAAATCAGGCTCTCTCACCAGGGAAATACGACCCTAGATAATGAAGGAGGAAGGAGGATGGGAGAGAAAATACCTTAACATCCTCTAACAAGCCGGGACCCTCGCTGCGCATCGCCCGCACTAGATCCAACACGCTCGGATACCGCTCGGCGATGCCGTAGGCCATGCTGGCTGTGATGCGGTTGACCTCTTGCAGCATCTTGACGAAGGTGTCGGAGCGGTTCTCGCCGGGTTTGACCTGGCCTACGTCCATGCAGAAGGCGGAGTCGTTGACGTTCATGCGCTCGCGGCGGTAGGGTACCGTGGAGATGTGCTCGGTAAAGTTCTTGATCCATTCGGCTGAGTCGGCGGGCGCGGCGGTGTGGTGGATCAGGCACGCGTGGGTGACTTGGAGGTCCAGGAGGGCGTCTTCGATGGTATCGTCGTCGACGGGCGGGGTGGTTTCTGGCTTTTTGGCTGCGGGGGCTCTTTTGCGGCGGGAGGTGGAGGTCGCTGTTGTTGTTGTTGTTGTTGTTGTTGTGCTTGTTGTTGTGGTTGAGGAGGAAGATGTGGTGGTGGATGCTGCTTCTTCATACTGGCGACGGGCTTCGGCTTGGTAGGCTCTATTGCGGGAATTCTTGTTCTTGCGCATCCACACGGTTAGGCCTTCGATCAGGTAGATGGGGGTGTGGTTAGGGTAGGCCGATTTGAGGGTCTGGATGTGCCGCTCTAGAGCCGAGGCGGGTGAAATCACCATATCGACAAACTCCTGCGCCGCGACCAAACACAGAACATGCTCGTTCTCGTCGCGGATGTGAGGAGCGCACGGTTCCCAGTATCCCAGCGCTTCATTGTAGGTAGCTTTGATCTTGCGCCGCCACTTCACGACATTGGGGATCGAACTCGCGAAGAACGACATCTCCACCCCGAGATGCTTCATGAACTCCGTCGTCTGGTTTCCGACACTGTTCCCCTCGAAACTCGAGGCCAGATCGATCAGCATCTCCGACGTCGACTCCTTCTTGTCCACCTTCAGTTTGTTGACCTCGGCAATGTCCGCCGCGAGCTGCTTCTCCCGGGCCTTCTCTTCCTTGAGTTTCTGCTTGCGCTCCTTCTCGAGCTGGCGCTCCTGGTCTCGTTGCGCTTTGACTGCCTCCCGTTCCCGGGCTTTGGCGTCCTTCTCTGCGCTCGTGAGCTTGGTGGTTCTGCGCGGAGGTTTGCGGGTAGCAGCAGTGGTACTGGTTGCTGCGTCCAACTCGTCATCCTCGATAATGTCATCCTCGGCTTTATCTTTCCTGCGTCGTCGAGTTGTCATTGGCGTAGGATTCGTTCCGGTGGTACTTTGTGACCGTTCAAGGTTGGCAAGTAGGCTCGCGGTTCGACTCGAGAATGCGCCGCCTGTAGTCGGTGGTGGCATCGGGAGCTCAAGAAGTTCGTTGATGTCAGGGAACTGGATTTGGTCGCTGAAGTCATCGATGTTATCCCGCCCAGTCGTCCTTGCGGGGCCAATGCGCTCATGCTCATTATTATCGTCGTCGATCGTGATAGCGTTTGTGGTGCGGGAGGTAAGCTCTCGTGTGGTAGGAGGAGCATTAGCTCTGGGCTCCGGTGCAGATGAAGTGAACATTATCGGATCTGACTCTCCATTCCATGACGGGAGCTTCGGGAGGGCGGGGGCCGGAGCGGGACCGAGGGCAGCGGGACCTTCGGACGACAAGATCACATCGTCGTCGGAGAATAAAAATAGGTTGTTCTTTGGCTCCGGAAGGGAGGGTTGTCGAGTTCGTGGAACAGGGGGATCTTCATGACTTAGCCGTCGACGTTTGAATGGCTGCTTGTCGAGGTCGAGGTCATCGTCCCATGTGAAAGCGGAGAGGTCGAGGTCGTCGGAGAAGGGGGCGGCGGGCGGGGTGGAATGAGCTCGTCTTGCGGAGGCGAATTCGAGTCGGTCTGCCGGAGGAAGAGGGGGAGGGGGCGTGGAGGAGAGAAGACTGATGATCTCCGGCATTGTGTCGAGTTGAGGCCAATAGAGGAAGAGATAACCAACAGTAACTGCGGAGGATAAGAAATCCAGGCCCGGCGGCACGTGTCGCAACGTCACGTCCGATGCGCGCAATCACGTGAAATTTCTATCTATACAAGAGCTCAATTGACGGGGAAACATCAGACATAACCAGAAGATTCTAATATACATTGCAAAAGGGTATTGAGTAGCAAAGCAGATCAAAGCAATCTGAGAAGAAAAGTAACAGAAACAGCGAACACAACGCCCAGCAAAGCCAAAAGCGCGAGGATCTGCTGGAAACCATTGAATGGCCGCCTCTCCTTGCGGAGCATGTCGGCGATCTCGTCCTCCAACTTTCCGCCCATTGCGGTGAGAGAGAACTCGCTCTCGACCCGCTTCTTTGCCGCGGCAGACATACGATCCAACTCCGTCTGGTCCATCTCGTAGAGCACCTTGTTCATGACAGCCGTCCAGTCAGCGTCGTTCTTCGCATCCCTTAGCCAGCCCGTCTCTCCCTCGACAATTGTCTCCAGGGGTCCGCCCGTATTCGACGCAAGAACCGGAATACCCGCGCGCATCGCCTCGACAGGCACGATCCCGAAATGCTCGTTGACCGGCGTGTAGAGGAGCAGCTTGGACTGCAGCAGGAGGATATCCCGGAACGCCGTGGGCACGGACAGCAAGAAGAGCACATCGATCGAGTCCGGGACCGAGAGCGCCGAGACAACCGTCTTCGCCGTCGCAGTCTGCAGTCCCAAACCAGTCGCCAGGTGCTCCAGCTCCTTGTGATACTGCACGTTCTCCTGAACGCGATGATCATAGCCACCTGCATCCGACCACGCATTAGCAAACACAAACAAACCTCCCTTCTCACCCAAGTGACAAACAATGAAGAAAAGAGATAAACAAAAACTCACCAGCAATAACCAACCTCGTGCCCAGCCTCTTCTCCTTCCCAAGCCCATGATATGCACGAATCGCAAGCGCCATATCCTTCTTCCTCTCAAACCGATTAACACTAAGCAAGATCTTCTTCCCCCCCCACAGCCCCCCCGCCCCCTCATCTCCCTTCCGATCACCACGCGCCTCAGTATCCACACAAGGATAAACAACACTCAGATCCCCCAACCGCTGCGAGCCGAAAACCCCCGTGATAACCCCCCGTGTGAACCGCGAATTAGCGACCACCTTATCGGCCGCGCTCATCGCCCACCCCTCGAACCAGTCGAACGGCGCGCGGTACAAGGTCTTGACGACGCGCAACAAGTCCCCGCCTTCATCCTTCCGCGCAAGCAACTGATCCGGGAAATGACAGTAGAACAGAATCCGCTGGTGGGCCTGGCGTTGTTGCCCGGCTCGGGTTCGTGGACTTCTCCTGGAACCCCAGGTCTTCAGGATCGGGACGCAAGCGGGGACTTGGTCTACGATGAAGATCTCATCTTCCTCGTCCTGGGGTTGCGTAGCATCTGCGCCTGCACCATCGGGAGAGGAGGAGCTCTCCGCTAGTAAAGACAACGTCAGGTGCACCTGGCGCGCGATCGCCATCAGCACGTGGAAGCGGCCGCCGATGTGCGCGGGGAAGAGTGTGTTGCCGCGGACGCGCACGTCCAGAGTGCCATCGCGGGCCTCCTCGAAGCAGTGCGACTTGTCGCGGTGGGAGGTGTAGATCGTGACGCGGTGGCCGCGATTCTGGAGGGCCAGGGCCACGTCGATGATGAGGCGTTCGGCGCCGCCGATGCCGAGGTCCGGGTGGATGATGGTGATTTTGGGAGGCCGGTTCGCAGACGACATTGCGATGATCGATTGTTTGGTTATTTTCGCAAGTGTGTGAGCAATTGAGTGACTTAGGGACAAAAGTAGATGGAGAGGGCCATCTCAGGTGAAGATGGGGGATGAAGTTCTGTGTAATTTGCTTTTGTTGTCGGGGAAAGAGTACACGCGGCCACTATCGGCTCAGTTGATAAGCTGATTAGGAGGTGTCATGTGACGATAAGAGACGCTGGTGGTATTTATGAAGTCATACAGCTAAACTAATCAACCCATAATTTGTTGTTGGCAACATAATTGAAGTTTAGTTCAAACTTACGTGCCACAGAACTCAATCAGTCTGGCGGGCAATTGAGACTGTATGTTCTAGAGTATCTATTGGATACCGCTATGGACAGCTTTGCTAGAGAACTCAAAACAACTTGCTCATTCAATGCATGTCTAAAGTTTAATGACAGGGTAGTCGAGCAATGTACAAAATCAAGCCATACTGCTCAAGGAGGTCATAAGATGGATTTCATAAAACAAGGGGTGAATAGAAAGAAACAATGTGCACAAGCTGCTTCGATGCAGTAAGCTGTGAAATACCCACAGGAGAAGTGAAATGAAAATCAACCATGTCCAAAATCAGGGGGAATCGACGTGGAATTCATCATGGTACAGTGAAAGGCTGGACTTCACATCTGGCAAGAGAGTGAAATAAAAATAGACAAGCAAACAGAAACCTCCCACAGAATCTTGAATGGACGTAACAATTAGAAGCAGTTGAGTGTGCTCTTCTTCTTCTTCTTGTTGAGCGCATTCATGCGTTCTTCAAGCTGCGCTCTGGCGGCTTCGGCCTCCCGGCGAGCACTCCTCTCCTCCTCAACAGCCTGGAGAGAAAGGCGTTGCGAGTTACGCTCTTTACGCAACGTCGTCAGCTCCTCTTCCAATTGCCAAGCCTTCTTTTTCCAAGTGTCACAGTCGGTCTTGACTTTATTACTCTGGGCTTCGAGGTCACCAAGAGCTTCTTCCAAAGTAGCTGTAAGCTGTTTCTCAGCATTCAGGTGCTTTTCAATGGTTCGGATGCGCGCTTCTTGGTCCTCAACGATTTGTGTGCTGACCAATTCCTTGCTAGTGTGACGCGAGCTGGGCGGAGAGATGCTACCGCCTCCGTTGGCGGCGGATGCAATATTAGGAAGTGGTGGCAATGGAATTGCCGGTGGTGGAGAAGGAAGGGAGGTTGCCGAGGAGCTCTTGCGGAGGTTAGACGTGATCGAGCTGCTGCGATCGTGAGAGCTATCGTGGTTCTTGAGCTGAAGCTGCGAGCTTGTTAGTTGCGGCCAATAATACCTTGCTAGCAATGCTTACCTCAAGCTGCTCAATGCGCAAACGGTAGGTCTCAATTTCCTTCTCATAAGTGGCGATTTTGACCTTGGCATCCTCCAGAGCTTGGTCGCGCTCTTGCTGGATTACGGAAAGGCGTTTGTTGTGCTGGTCGAAACTGTTCGTGATTTGTTCCTCGAGCTCTTCAACAAGACGGACGCTCCTCTCCTTTTCTTCTTGGACTTCTGCAAGAAGCGCCTCTTTCTTCTTTACCTGTTCATCCTTTTGCAAAAGGGTATCTTCCAGCGTCGCGACCAGAAGAGCAAGCTCATTCACCTTGGCGTCTTTAGCCGCGCTATTTCGGGTGAGCTCATCCAGACGGCTGGCTTCACTGCCTTTATCGTCCAGTTGCTTGCGCAAATCATCATTCATATCCATGAGCTCTGCATACTTTTCAGAGAAGTGCTGCTTTTGCATCAAGACGTCTTGGATCTGGTCCGCGAGGTTGTCAGCCGTGACATCGGAGTTCAACACTCGCGCGACCGTGTGTATCAGATTCGTCAATTCGTCGCGTGATTCCATGATCTCAGATCTCAATTTGTTCATGGCTTGTTCATGGTCAGCGTTCATCTCGGTGAAACGTGTCTCATATTCAGCCTGCGCGGCGGCTCTTGCGCGGGATTCCAATTCTCCCTTCTCTTGTCTGTGAATTTCCTGCAGGGACTCGAGGTCCTTCTTGTAAGAATTGGCAAGCGATTTGTGGGTTTCAATCTCTTTCTCCAAATCAGTCATGCGGGATTGATGCATCTCCACCTCATCTCCATCGCTTATTTCAGCGGCCTGGAGTGCTGACAATTGCTGCTGAGCCTCCGCATACAGCTTCTCCAGAGACGCGATCTTTTCAAGGTTGATGGTGGCGGTAGATTGATGTTCCTCGATGACCCGTTTCAGCTTACTGACCGTTTCTTCCTGTTGCACTCTCTCGCTCTCCAGTTCTCTTGCGGCAGCCTCTTTAGAAGCAGATGCTTCGCCTGCAGCGGCCTGTTCGGTACGCATTGTATCCAGAGAGGCCAGGGCACTATCAAGCTCCGCAAGAGTGGCACTAAGCTGCTCTTCCGAGGATTGCAGAGATTGGACGGCGTTATGATGCTTGTTCTTCCACTCGAAAAGCTCACCGTTGAGAGAATCGATCTTCCGATCCTGTTCTTCAGCACCAGCGTCGTAGGCCTTGGCGGCTTCTTCCTGGGTTTTGAGAAGACCCTTGAGTTCCTCAATCTCAGCCAGGAGTTGCTTTTCTCTAGCCTCGTGTGCTTCTTTCATTTCAGTGATGATATTTTCTTGTTGAACGACTTGGTCACGCAGTTGAGAAACGAGCCCCATATCTACCTGGGATGCACCACCCTGCAAGCTGGATCTCTCACGAGTGAGTCCGGAAATGATGGTCGACTTCATCTCCATCTCTTTTTTGACACTCTGGTTCTCGGCCTCGAGCGCCTGAATGCGCTCCATGCGACTGTACAGTTCGTGCATAGCGGAATCGAGGTGAACCTCAAAGTTTTGCATTGTATCAGGACGAGACTCGAATTCCTCCGAGGCGATGTTGCGCAAGGCGGCTAAGCATCGATGAGCACGATCCACACTACCAATCAGACTCTGGCTTGCCTTGCGTCTGATAACAGAAGACTTGAAGCCCGGGGTGGTTGGCGGCGAGGATGACTTGGGTTTCTGAAGTTCGGCCTTGAGTGTTTCAATGAGGCCGAGAGTTTGTTCGTGCTCAGCCTGCAGCTGAGCGTACTTCTGCGTCATGATACTAACACCTTCCTGATGCTCAGAGAGCAAACGACGCATCTGCTCGACCTCCTGAGCCCTGGCTTCGTCGGCCTCAGAGATTCGAGCACTGTTGGGGACCTCCTGCTCAGTCAATTGCTCATTTGTATTAGATGGTTCGTGCGAAGCAGCAGGCTCCCCGGCCAAGGATAACTCCGAAGAGAGTGATTGCGAGAAGGAACGTTGTGTTCCAACTCTCGACTCGGGGATCTTCGCATCGTCTAAAAAAGATACCGGACGGGAAGACGCAGTCGGTGAAAGAAGGGTCTGGAGGTTCGACGCGGGATGGCGCGCTTCATCTGCAGCATCCTGTTGAAGCTCAGTCAAAGCCTTCATAGCAGCCTCATACCTAGACTCGAGGAGTTCATAGTCATTCAGCGTGGTCTCATGCTGCAAACGCAAGTCACAGAGTTCCTGCGTCACCGTCTCAAGCTTGTCCGCAACGACTCTGGACTGAGTGGGACTGGGAGATCGGCTTTGTGACATTGCGGCATCAGGCTGAAGGTGGTTGGTTGCACTTTCCAACGCCTTCAAATCGCGCTCATCTTCTTCGGCAACCGACTGCGCATCAACCTGGGTCTCGTCTGCAAGTGTAGGCACTATTTCGCTCAGTCCTTCATCAGATTCTGGGATAGCAGTCTCTACCGCTTCAGTTAATACGTCCAGCGACGTTGCCCGTAAACGAGGGTTGAAGGCACCCTTGGCGTGAAAGCCAGTGACGCTCTCAGGCTCAGCAAGGGGCTCGTGCTCCTTTTGAGTGCCATTTTGTTGAATGTGGTCGAGCTCGTGAAGAAGGTTGTCAAGCTTCCCTAGGCTTCGCTGACGCTCGACGACGTGCTCCAACCGTTCCAATTCTCTCTGCATTAGCTCCATGTCTTGATCTGCTTCAGCCAGACGCTCCTCCAGAGTAGTGATATATTCCTCGCAATTGGCTTCGCTTTCACGGGCACGACTGAGCTCCTTGCGCAGTTCTGACACGATAGCCTGCTGCTTTTCTTCGCCCGATGATTGTCCATCGAGCTTAGATTCTAGCTCATGTAGATACGCTTCTGTGCTACCTTCGCGATCCAAAAGTTTCTGAATGCGAGATTGTAATTGTGTGTTAACAGTTTCAATGTAGGCACATTTAGTCTCGCGTTCGAGAAGAGTGCTTTCGGTGGTGGACAAAGAGGACCGAGTATTTGACAAGGACGTTTCGAGGCTTTGTATAGTTTTCTCGTATTCGAGCACTACCTGCTCAATCGACTCCGCAAACGACTGAGACCTCTTGAGTCGCTCAACTGAACTTTTGCCGACGGCAGTGGCGATGTCATTCGAATCGGTCTCGGCGCCTCTTTCAGAGTCTCGCGCCAACTCCGAGATAAGCTTGGCATGGCGCTGACTGAGCGCATTGTAGCTCTCTTGGACGTCCAGCAAGTGATTTTGAAGTTCGATCTCTCTTTCATTTTGGCGTTCTGTTCGTTCCGCTGGTGCGATGCTTCGTCGGTCAGCCTCCTCTGCGTTGCGTAATTGTTGGCGCAAGAAGGCCACTTCTGCCTTCAGTCGCTCAATGACCGCATGTTTGTCAGAATCATCATTGACCTGTTGAATGCGCGGTTTACTCTGAATCGCTCTAGCTCGCTGCGCGTATTGGACCGTGTTGAGCGTTTCACTCAGATGAAACTCTGGAGGTGTCACACAGGCAATCATGTACGTGTAGGCATTTCCACCGAGGGAGTCTTGAAGGAGACGGGTCAACTTTGAGTCGCGGTAGGAAACGTGGGACCCCGCTTGACGAGACGACAGCTGAGAAATGACCTTGCCCAGTGCAGCAAGACCGGCATTGATCGAGATACCTTCCCTCGCCCTCTCGCCCGAGGCCCCGGTGTTTTTCAACCTCTCACTTCCCGCCAAATCAACAAAGTGCAATTTGCTGTCGACCGTGATGGTTTGGTCAGACCCAGCGGCCATATCTACCGGCATGGACATACGCTTGTCCTTGGGTGACACAATCCCGTTCGACGATTTTCGCTGTACCAGGTTCAAGCTGAACACGGCGTGCGAACGCGAGGATTTTGCGTTGATGGCAGTCGAGTCAGTTTGTCGGATCGAGGATCCGAAGCTCAAGGCGCCCATCAAGTCTTCCACCGAATTGATGGTGACCTGATGTAAGCCGGTGAGGATGATACGACCTTTTGCATCCTCACGAATAGTGACCGCGTTGCGATCACCGAAGGGCGTGTTGTCTGGGACAAGCAAATCTCTCAATTGCTCGTTGTAGATCTGGGTGAGTCAGTAAGGGCGCTCCGTACTGCTTGTGGAATCACCAAGGCTCATACATACTTCAACGTAGGTGGCTTTCAACTGCCAATTCTTCTCAACATTCGCTTTCCCAAAACTCGAGGTAGACCCAACCGAGTACCGAGCTGGAGTTCGAAGACCAGACGAACTGTGACGGTTATGCTTCGGCGGGCCGTCCAATTTCTCGAAAAGGAGCTGCGCGGCACGAGGAATGATTCCTGCACTTTGTCAGTCTACAGAACCAGCGAAACGCACACGTGACACTCACCCATGGATTTTGGGTCTTGTTGTTCGCTGGGTCCCGAGGTTCCCATGGTATAGGACTTTCCCGCGCCGGACTGGCCATATGCCAGGATGGAGACATTGTAGCCTTGCAAGAAAGATGTCACACTGTCGCTCAAATATTCCCAAATTCCGTCCTGGTCAACCGCCTCGGAGAATACGCGATCGAAAACAAACAACTTGCGGCCCTGCGGGACATCCACTGCTAGACTGGTCGGATTTATGACATGCACCATCGGGCGCTGAAAGCGTTGTGGAACCAATTCATAATTGGGGTCGTCTGGTTTTAAAGGCGGACGAACACGGACGGCTGTATGATATTGTCAGTATGTATGCAGATACACGAGATCGGCAATGCATTTCGTGAACCACTGTGGAAGCGATGGTTGCGATACCACAACAATCTCAACTAGACCAGCAGACCCCAAATACTGAGTATGACGGAAGACCGATGAACGCACCGACTTTGACAGCTGTTTTTCCATCTTCATCCGAAGCTCGGCTCCCCCCACCATGCTTACTGCTCATACTAAGGCGACTGTTGCTTCTTTGAGTACGCATGATGGCGCTAATTGGTCGTTGGGGCGCACTCGACGGCGATCCTGGCGGCGTACCCGTCATGGCCTTTATAAGGAAGGGGGAATGGGATCGGTCGGGCAGACAAATTGATGGTGTGTGTGATAAAGTGTTACTGGTCGGTCATGGAACGGTCGGAGGCGTCATCAGTGGTGCTTCGCCGGTTATTGGAATCTTGGGGTATTAATTATTATTTTCAAGAGGAATCGCGTGAGTTGGCGGCCGGCGACAATCTGCGACATCAACAAGTTCCCTCTTTGCAAGACTGCTGAACAAGAAATACCTATGGACAAATTATACACAGTCAGAAAACTTCAATTAACGGTCGAGTAGGAAGAAATAAGGTCACCAATCCAGCTGGGGGGACAGACAGAATAAAGGAAGTGAGGGAACAAACAGATGCAAAGGAATGATTGCGACCAGTACTTCCAGCCCGAGCGCATACAGTGTGGCTGATCCGAAGGACGCAGGGTGGTTTTTTTTGGGGTGGAGGAGGAGGCAGAGGAGGAGGGGAGACAAGGAGTGACAGGTGTGAAGCTGCAGTGAAGAATAATGCGAACTGCTAGGGTGCCAGAAGACACCTAGGAAGGAAAAGATGTAGCAACAGGAGCGGAAAGACTCCTGAATGACCGCTAAAGTTAATTGGTGGCATCAAGGTTGAATGAAGCGAATGGGGGGCTGGGCTGAGAGAGGGGGGGAGAAGAGAAAGAAGGAAGAGGGTTGGACCGAGTAAGAAAGTGGAGTGAGTGGGAGGAGGGAAAGAGTCAGGAACCGTCACTAGGTTCAAAAAAGGAGGTCAGTTCATTATAGTACTAGGTTGGAGGGTTCATTTTCATGAACTGTGAACCATGATTAGTGTTGAAACAGTCTAGAAAAACAGTCACGGGAAGAATAGACAGAGGGGGAGAGAGAGGAGAGGGAGGGAGAAGAAGAGGGATGAACGGCGGGGGAGAAGAAGATCAGGAAAGATGCCCCGTCTGGCCTCTTCTCTTCCCTCTTTGGAATGCTGGATATGCGTCAACTTGTTTTTATCGTTGTTGTTGCTATGGTTGACGACGATGATGATAATGACGATGGGAATAATGCACTCGGGCTTTTTCTGGTCAGGTACGGTCGCTCTCAACACTACATGAGCACTAGCTCTAAAGTTTCAATGCCAGGGGGGAAGAAAACCCACACCAATCGAGGTCCAGAACGTTGGACACTCGGGACTATCGTCATTTTTGCAGACGTCTACCTGTCTATCGCTCTATCAAGCTATCAATCAATCGCCGATGAATTGTCGACAGTGCCGAAAAGTACATCTGCACATTGCACACACTCTCTTTCGGGCTTAATCCGACGGGCAGTCCAGCGAATCTTCCCAATCCATCCATTACAATCATTCAACAGAATTTGGTGCCGGATTACCGGCAAGTGCAGTTCCACGGTTCGCAGCGGGTGGAAATCCATTCAGGCACCGACAGTTCGGAGCAGACGGAGAAAGTGTGCGACTGCAATGGAGCCCTAAGGCAGGCTGGCCCAATCGTTCTTGAGCCGGACTTTGGTGATGTTTCAGGTTTAAGAATGCGATGAAGATTCGATGGCTATCTTTGCCTCCCACGTACTCCTCAACTTCGAAGCACTCGAATCCCAGATCGCTTCAAGCTGTCTCTACCCGCTTCACAGGCAGAACCACAGAATTGTCAGCAGAAGAGGAAAAAGGACGAAGGTGCAGTGGTTCGGGGATGCAACAGCTAACCCCGATTCAGCGGCCAGGATGAACAGCCTTATCCAATCTCCCTGTTGCACCATCGACCACTTGCATCCTCGTGTCACACCATGACAGCCAGTGTCAAACTTCGACTCTAAGAATAAACTACTGGAGCCCACAGGATGCTGAAACACGCTGGACCCGCGAACTCAAGCACCGCACGGAACTGGGTACTGACAGCATATTTGTTCTGTTTCTGACACGCAGCCCCTGCCAGCCACTAATCAAGCAAAATGAAGAGCGACGGCCGACCGGAGGCTCCTGTGTCTGTCTAGGCTCAATTGCACGGGCATGGCCGCCCAGCACGCACATACACTCTACCCAAATGGATGGAAACGCTTGACTTCGATTACGGCTGCGGGTCGGCCATTATTATGGTGCCATGGTGAAGGACAATCCATACCTGATTAGAGCCTAGCTGTCATCCGGCAAGTGGGACAGCAGCCGTAATCATGAACAAGGCTAGACAGTCGATGAAATTGAAGGCACTTAACAAAGAGAACTAACGACGGCTCTGCTAATTACCTTTGGTATCGTTTATCTTGGACAAGACGCGTAGTTCAGCTCTGATGAGGGCCAAAAAGGAGGATGGTCATATGCTATGTGAGGTCCAAACAAGACGGGTTGAAGACCGCAACTTATCTGCATTAACTGGCCACATACAGCCCACAAAGTCGAACCCCCCGACCCAATTTACGAACCTGTCGAACGTGGAAAGGCGAACTGGAGCATGGGTCATGGCGGTTGCGTTAGCTTCTCTCCACTAATCCATCGCCAAGTAGTAATCTATTCTGTCTCCCTCCGCTATCAATGACTGAAGCTAGATAAACCCCTGGTTGCATGATCAAACATCCACTCCTTTTTCCGAGAGCCCTGATTAGTTGGCCAACTCCAGCCTTATTGCGGAAAAGGAAAGAGATTAAAACATTACAAGCCTATTTAACTAAAGGGGGTGATTCATGGTCAGAGACAATTGTTGTAAGCTGGTAAGTAGACTGGGTTCGTGTATAGTACTATCTACTATATTCCTCAATTCGGTCGGTCTCTCTATTGGGATCACGCTCCGAGGTCTGGCTTTAGAGATATCAATATCTACTAAGGAAATGTACCATGCGCTTTTTTTTCTCCTGAATATGCTGCAGGGACTGAGCAAGAACTCAAGGTCACAAGAGGAGCTAATCAGCTCAAGCGTCCATTATTCTAGAGAGGTCCATTGCTAACCTATAGAAGCTCCTTACTCTAAACCGTACTTCAGGGTCCGGTTAATCAAGTCTATGCGCCGCCAGTGTTTCGCCGGTTAAATAAACCTCGAATAGGAACCGACAGCTTCCTTTGTCCTTATGATATTTCCACCCGAGCGCAATTCAGGAAACTGGTGGTTGATGTCATCGATACCAGAACAACCGCTCTTCGTGGGGCTGCAGATTCTTGAAGATAAGATAGAATGACAAGAGTGCGTGAAGTAATCCGACGAACTAATATCCGTTCTGATGGACTACGTGGTTCTCGATGGTGTCCATTCATTCCAATCAGCACTGCCAGTCTATCTCATTCAACTCTTTGAATTTGCATCTCGACAGGCTCAGTTCCCAGACCAGCCTTCCTATTCTGTGACCCTAAACAGCGAAAGCAGCCCAGTTTGTCTGGTTTGATCGCGTCAACAATACCACCCGCCACCACTCCGGTCTTCCATTATAGTCGGCTCGCGACGAGGCTGCATCAAACCCCTTCAACTCCCAAGGTCAACATCTGCAATGGGATGCTCACCGACGGAGACCTACACGGAATCCAAGCATGCGAAGCATCTCAACCAAATTTACGCAGAAATTGTTGATCAAGCTCTTCAGCTCAAATCTAGGACTCCAGCATCGCTTAAGCAAACCGTGTCTCCTATATCCCCTTCCGCTGCGCAACAAAGGTGTCCGAACAATAAGACTCTACGTGATGCACCGTTCGACATGCAGGAATGCCTACTTGGCCCGCGCACCCCAGGTAAGTCGGGTGTATATCCAATGATTCTTGTTAGCAATGAACCACTCGCGATTTGTTAGCATAGCTGAAACGTGAGCACTCGTTTACCAGACGTTTCCTGCCGCGCAGACACAACGACAGGTTCCTAATATTTCATCCATCTTTCTATCCGAAATCTCCATAAGAACAACTCGCTGAATCGACTATCGACCACCCGTCAACTAAATCTCGCTTGAGTTGAAGCGCCCCTGATCCTTCTCCACAAACCTCTGGTTATTCTGAGCTGCGGGCCGATCATCGACCAGTTCGGCAAAGGGCCCAGAACACCACAACGGAAAGGATCCACACGTGTCATCCAAACCGGCATCGATAGACATTATGGGTTCCATGGGTTCCTTGGTCCTCAAGAAGGCGTTCCTGACTCCTTGTGTTTCAGGGTTGAACATTGCTTGCCACTCTGTCTACGGCAGCATCGGCAATGCCGCCGCCAATATCTACCACAGCACAGCGTTCACTATCTACAGTACAGTAGCATACTCCAGTGCAACGGTCAGACATCATAGATCATAGATGATCAATCACACCATGAATCCAAAATAGACACTTCACATGCGGGGATCTAGACCACGGCCCCCGGCGGGCCCATTCTGCATGCAAGGATACATCTTGAAATATGGATCTCATCTGCCCAGCCAAAGCATCTATCTATCTACTCTCAAGCCCCCTAGCGCACGTCAGCCCCTTCACCCGACGGACGAACCGCAAGGGTGGTATCGACCTCCCAAGGGCGGCGCCAATTTATACGGTCGATTAAAACCTCCATGCAAGGATGCATAACATAGAACTCTACCTACCTGTACTGCTGGGAGTTTGCGGAAAAGTACTGACGGAGACAGACTTATTTATAGCATCAAGCCAGTCTGCCCTTTGTGATCGTTCGTCGAATTGAACTACTCGGAAAAGATCTCAAGCAGTATGCAGCCACATCGTCAGACCCGTGCGTCGAGATCGATTCAATTCATCAACCCTGCTGCGATCATCGCCCGTTCTCCCAGTGCTGAACGTCGCGCATCGATGGATCTCATTGTCGTATGTGGCTTGGATCTCTTATGCAAGGGGTAGGCTATACTATCCGTAGTATGATGCTTATTCTAAATAGAGTGGATATATGGTTTGGATGTATAGCTTTGCGGACCGTGACAGCAGGCGGGCGCAGGACAGATTGAAGTCACATTGATTAGATGCAGAAATGGTAGGTTCGCGCATAGACTTGGAGAGATCCATGACATGGCGACTCGGAATTGGCCCTCACCAAGAGAAGTGGCCAGAATAGGATGCTGTTACCTTCATCCCTCATTTGAACTTACTACCCAGTGCATTCATGGTGGTGCTTACGCCGACACCTGGCAACCCTCTTTCAACGCACTCGATGAGCGTCATTGGTTTTGGCTTTCTAAATCACCAATTCGATTTGACGTTACCGCGATGACACTAATATGACTCCGTCAAGCTACTAACATCTTTTCTGCACACTCGCAAGAGGAGCACACCGTGATCCTTGATCGACATCTTGATCCACATCACACGGCACCGGCGACAACCACTGCGACACTCTCACCGTCCACCCTTTCATCAATACCCAATCGCAGAAACGCCTTATCGACCTCGTCTTCCCAATCACTCAGAGCCACAATCGTCCATTCGAAAGTGCCAACCAGATAAAGAGCAATGCATTGTCCGACCCATAGACCCTTGAGCCCCCAGCCATGGAACGCCAACCACATACCCAGCGGCAGGGCGCCGCAGTAATAACTGGCGATATTGACCAAGGCGCCAACATGCTGGCGTCCCATACCACGAAGACTGCCACCACAACTCCCATTCAAACCATCGGCAACTTGAAACACCGCCACCCAAGGCAGCACCTCAGCCGTGAGCCGCACCACCCCCTCATCAGAGTTGAAGACCTTCGCGAAACTGTGACGAGTACCCATCAGAACAGCCAGCGTGATCCCTCCCAGCATCATGCTCAAACAGGCCGCTGCGTTGGCCGCCCTGGACGCTCCCAATGCATTCCGTGAGCCCAACAGGTTGCCCACTCTCGCTGAGGTGGCTACACCGACCCCAAAGGGGATTGTGTTCAGCACTTGGTCGGCTGTCATGATGACGCTCTGCGCGGCTAAGGGGATCGTCCCGAGCCGACCAGCAGCCAAGGCCACGATCTCGAACGCCCACCACTCTGTGCCGACTTGCACGACGCCTAGGAAGGCCAACCGCGCAAATGCTCCCAAGTTTCGGAGTGCGTCGCGAGACCAGCCGCCCCAGCACTCCGACCCGGCCACGAAGCGTGCATATAGAACCAGGAGCCCGAAGGCAACCCAGTACGAGACACTTGTTGCGATGGGCGCACCCAGCAGTCCCAGACCAAGCGTATAGCAGCAGAAGTAATTCAGAATCACGTTGAAAGGAACCGTCACGAACAGGACATATGTCCCAAGACGCATCAAGCCTGCACAAAGTCATCAACACTGCCCCTATCGGCAGAAAATAAAGGACAACACGCTACCTTGCGCCTGCAGATACTTCTTCATCAGCTCAAAGTAGACATACCCCAGCCCACCGGGAACCAAACAGGTAAGAAACCGAGCACTGTCTCTCGACAGACGGGGCTGCTGCCCCAAGAAAAGAAACACCGGCTCCGAACAAACCCAAAGCACGGCCACGGGGAGGTAGAACAGGCCCAGAACAAGGAACCCTCGCTGTAGCAAGACCCCGAGATCATGTTTGTTCGAGCTCGCGGTGAACGTCGACGAGGCCAGCGTATCTAGCGCCGTCGTGCCCCCAAAGGCAATCATCCACCCTGTGACCGAGGCGAACATGAACGAGAAGGCTGCAGCAGCCAGGTTCTCGGGCGAGGTGCGTCCGACGATCAGGACTGATGTCGTCTGCAGGCTGTTCTGGAGGGTGTAGGCGAGGATCACGGGGATGGAGTCTTTGGTCAGCCGGGTGAGCTCGGCGAAGAAGGTCGGAGGACTACGTTCGTCTTGTGCGGAGGGCGACGAGTCTGCGGAGGAACACTTCGGGAGGAGGAGGCAGATCTCGTTTGGTTGAGGTCCGGATTCATGGGCATGATAAGCATGCTTGCGCCGTGGTGAAAGAGCGTCGTGCATGTTCGATTTTTCGAGTCAAGTGGACGTAGATTCTGATGTACTCGTTCCACCCTCGCAACAGTTCCTTTCTATACAGAGGTAGTAGCAACTCTTGTATGTCCTCCTCCGTAATATCAGATGAATTGCGAGCTTGGATGCGAGCGAAAAGTCCACACGAACCGTGTAACATCGATAACCTTATTTCCTCGATAGAATTTCCCTCATCGCTGATAATGCGACCGGTAGACTGATGAAAGAGACCAGCCATCCCACCTGACCATAGGGAAGCCAGAAGCAAGGGACAGTGGATGGGCTTTTCTCAGCAGCACCTCCGGGTTGGCCATGCAGCCGCCACCCCCATCCAGCTATGCCTCCAGATACACACACACACACACCTCACCAGACAAGATGAGAGGGATAAGTCCAGGAACAGGCACTCCACTGTGATTACATACCTGATAGAGTAAGCGAGTGAGATATGCCGGATGTGTAAGGCCTTTCCCTTTTCCCGGGTGGATCTCTAGACAAGAGGCAAAGTAGTCTTGCTTGGAACAAGACACCGCGATTAGAGAAATTTCAAAGGCACCGAAACATAAAACCCCATGTAATCAATAAATGCTAGTATGCTTGTCTATGATCTGGGATGAGGTAGTTAGGTATGCAATAAGAATAACCAGTGTCAAACTGATATGCATGAACTTCGCCTGATGGTATCTCCTGCAACAGAACTCGCTTTGAATCGACCAATCTTGGGAGGAAGCAACGCCACTTGGAAGCAGAAGGGAGTGAAACAAACCAAAATAAGGACGCCAGATAATGTTTAAACAGAATTGCGCCACGGTCTATTGTCCATGTCCATATTCGCCTAGAATACTAAACCGCCTGCAGGGATGAAAGCATATGATGCTGATGATGATGATGTGATATCACAAAGTTGGAAATACCAGAAAGGCACAAAAAAGAGGGAGAAGGAGAAAAAGAAAGTAGTCTAGCGAACTACTTATGGCCGAATAGCTTTAATCGATAGATACATGTGTTATCGGCTCCCCAGTTGTTTTTTGCGCGGATTATCACCTTATCCACGCGGATCTCGGGGTCATCGATGACAGCATCAAGGATGAAGCGCTGCACGTAATTTTCAGAGTTGATATCGTAACTCCACCGTCCAACACGATAGAATGATGGACCCAGCAGCTCGTCATACTGGCCCCAGTAGTCTTCTTCCGATTCACCGGGATAGGCCAACCGGAGGGCATGCATTACGGGCGTGTGCAAGACGAACCGCTCATTGAACAAATCGTCCTGCCCGGCAATATTCTTGGGGCGAGGAACTGGATTCAATTTGGACTTGAAATAAGCGCCCCATGACTTCGGCGAAGGATAAACTAAGGTGTCGTTCGCCACGCGGCGGAATCGGACCCATAATTCCATGTCTCTGGGAGCGAGTCCAGGGGTTAGCGCCGCTCCTTTGGGGATATGCTCGACGACAACCTCTTCCGGCACGATTCGGTGCCCAAGAAGAACAGTAATCTGCGTCATCCCGTCGCGCAGGACGCTGCACCAGCAGTCACCGACATCTTCCCACGGCGTCACAATGGACATTGGGCCTTGCGGTTGGCGAAATTTATCACCAAGCCAGTAATTGTAGGCCGATTTCATAATACTGGATTCTTGCCCCACGGTCGGATTTGTCTTGTGGGGGTCAATCAGGATGCCAAGTGGTACTGACAGAAAGTTCGTCCTCGGGATATGCGTACCACGAGCCGGCTCGATGGAGACACCCGTCGGCTGCGCTTTAATGTCGGCTTTGACTGTTTTCAGGTCCATTGATAGGGTTGACACTTGCGACCCTAGTTTGGACAACTGTGCGCTGAGACTGCTGATTGCTTCTAGCCCAGTCTCATTCAATGGTCCAGAATACTGTGGTTGGCCAAATGGAATGATCGCACTTATGTAATTGAGACCGATTAACATAAGCATCGCCAGTGCCAGAAGTGCAAGAAATCGAGCAACAGCGGAAATGATCTCAAGTGCAGAAGAGCCCACATCAGACAATCGACCCAAGAATGATGGATGACCACGCATTGCCCGTTCCCTTGCGGAGGTCTCCTCTACATAGTACTGAGGAATGACAGTCTTAGTAGGAACTGACGGTTGGGTGACCGGTGAGTCTCCTCTGAGAAACTCTGGCTGCGGTTCCCATTCGGGCTCTGGTGTAGTTTCCATTCCAACTTCTTCAATTACTGGCAAAGGGGAAGGCGACTTGGCGGGAGTTGGTGCCTTGGGAGGGAGGGCAGACTTTTTGGGCGTAGGTGCCTTACGGGGTAGCGGCGACTTTTTGGGAGTTGATGCCCTCTGGGGTAGCGGCGACCTTCTGAGAGATGGTGCCTTTTCGGGGGTTAAGTGTTGAAGAGGCGAAGGTGACTTCTCAGGCGAAGGTGATCTCGAGAGTGATAGAGGTCTCAAAGGAGATGATGATCGAGCCTCTGATGGTGACTTTGAAGGCGAAGGCGACTTTGAAGATGATAGAGATCTTGTTTGGGGAGGCGCCTGTTGGGGCGCTACTGCCTTCAACGGGTGGAGAGGCTTCATGGGTGGTGATTTCAAAGGGGACGACTGGAACTGAGAGATTCTAGAGTCCGGTTCTTCCTCCTCGTGAATAGTTGATACTTCGTTGACGAATGCCATCCCCGAGACTCGGCGAGGAGGTGCAGTGATGTTTTTGCCATCGGACAGCGTTCGCCGTAAGTCGTTATCATGGATATCTCGTTCGACCACATATGAGACCACAGACTCGTTGTCAAACCCGGACGAGCTACTTAGTGGCGGTTCATCATGCGCTGGCACCCCCGAGCGTAACAGAGGCGAAGGGTATAGCTTATCAGCCGGTACGTGGGGATATCGGGATTCTGGGATAGGGTCCAGTGCAGGGCTTGAGGCCGTCGAAATCGTATGCGGAATAGGAGGAGTAGGAGTCGCAGTAGACTGATCGTTCGCTTGATAGCCATTGACAGGACTGGGGGATCTCGTCGCATCGCGGAGTGAATCGAGTAGCTGCGTCTGATCCGGAGTTGGCTCTCGGCGAGTTCTCCGTACTGGTGACACATTGGCTGAGGACGATCTCCGTCCACGACTGCGACCCCCCTCAGCAGCGCTTTCCCTCCGATCCCGGTCTTTCGCATCTTCGATACCCTTGTCAATGTGGCCGGCCATCTCGACCAAATCCATCTGAGGTTTGATCGTCAGCTGCCGGGGAAGCAGCGGGGTTTCGGGCGAGCCATATGCGAAGGACTGTTTGGTGGGGAGGTTTGGTAAGGCCTGATTTCGGCTGTCGGACATCGATTGGTGTTGAAAGTATGAGAGAGCGCCCTCAGCGCGAGGGGTTGATCCGGACCGTCTAACGGCACCGCGTCTGGGAGGCATTTTGATTGTTTCGAGGTGAGAGGATCTATCTTTTTATGACCTTATTAGTGAGATTTGAGCTCCTTAATGAAAGCGCATTGGATATTGCCATTAGATTACGCAAGATTGAGTCCGAAGGAGTGAAAGCGCCGCTTTTCGTACCCTATGATTCCTTTGCTACATCCAACACCCCGCAGTCTCGTGATAAAAGTCGATGAATGCGCCGACAGCGTTGATGAACACCAACCAAGTGAGAGACAAGCGATATTGATGATAGGCAGAGAATCTTCGTATTCGACTGACTGTCTGAGATCATACGTCTGTACAGGCGGAATGGTGCGCGACGTGATTGATTTGAGAGGATGCGGCGTGAGCGTCTTAATGAACTCCGGCGAACGGTTCGGAGGAAGGTGGGTTCGAACAAGGCAACAAACGCGCCCTTTGTTCGCAGGCGGCCTTGTTGATTATAATCAAAGTTGAACCTGGGTTTCCATGCGATTCAAAGAAAACAACTAGCTAGCAGCCTTGTTCTGACAGCCTCAAGGAGCTCCTTCTGTCTGCAATCGCAAGGAAGGGCCAGGGACGGCGGCGGCAGCAAGACGCGCGCAGATCACTGTTGGCCACTGTTGCAGCGGTTTTGACGATGGGTGTATGCTTTGGTGAGGTATAAGGGAGCTGAAATCAAGAAAGACGCGTTAAGCAAGTAGAAAAATATGCAGCATATGTGTTATTAAAGAGAAAGGACGTGAAGCAGGTGCTGGAGCAACGATGAGGGAACTGGACCGAATGGAATAATGGAGGGATGTCAATATTACGGATACCCGAGTATTACAGATTCGCATACCCGAAATGGAATGGTCTTACCAACACCTGGCAGCATGTTGAGTATAAGTATATGCACAGAATATATTTAATGGATACTAGCTAACTACTTCACTATCGTTCAAGAAAGTATTAGCCTGGGGGATACACGCGAATTTGTTAATCGTAATGGTGCTTAGCATTAAGTACCGCCTTGCTCTGCGCTGTGTCGCTCATTCTTTGTTGTTTCACCTTACCCACACCCTCCATGGAGCCTGACAACCTTCTTTATCTGCTCTACTATTTATATGCATGGCCTCAGAGAAGCATGTTTCAGGTGTGAACAAAGAAAGTTTTCTTTGCATCAATCAATGAAGTGGCCTAGAAGAGGTATCGACGCATCAATATGAAACTAGTTTACAACGGCTGCTCCTACCGTAGGACGCCTTGATACCTTTCTATGTTGGCCAAACGTAAATATAATGTACAGTCGCTGAGGCAGTCAAAGCATTCGCAAAGTATAGAACCATCCAAATGCTAGCATGAACGTGGCGGGCTTTTGCGAGTCATAGAAGCATGGTCATTTCAACAAGTCCATGCCGCAACGATACCGTCTTTGCGGCCTTCAACAAGGAAGCCATCCTTGAGTCGTACACGCTCGACAGTTGCAGGCGATGGACCCTGTTCATCGGCACCGACTCCAGCGCCACAGTCCCAGTGGTGGCCATCCGCCTTGTCATAGACCTTCACAACGTTTTCTCCCGCAGCCGCAACGATCCGCTTGGTGTCGAACATCATGCTCGTAATTGGTTTGTCATAGGCGTAGGCATCGTAGATCGATCCCATTCGGAGGTCCCATATCTGGAGGGAGTTAGCACTCACGTAACACAAACTTGGACGAAAGAACGTACCCGAATACTGCGGTCCTGACTTCCAGTAACCAGATGCACATCGTCGAATTGTAGACAGGTGACAGGGCCGGTATGGCCCACCAGGCTACGATGCACCTGCCCACTGCGCAGATCCCACAATCGTACCATACCGTCCGCCGTACCACAGGCTAGGGCGGCGTCAAAGCACTGAACGGCTCCGACAAAGTCCGCCGATGCGTCCGGCAGGCGTCCTGAGGGGCGCCATTGCGAATCTCCTCCCAGCGACGACGCCTGCGCGGCCGCCCAGAGCACATCAAGCGTTTGGACGCAGCGCCCCTTCACCAAATCCCACTGTCGCAGCGTCTTGTCGGCGGACCCGGAGATTAGGGTGTCACCCTTGAAGTGAAGAGCAGTGATCTCATCGACATGAGCGTCGAGTGAATAGACATAGCAGTCCTCCAATGTGGTAGAATGGGATGCCACCGAGGCGTCATCGGCTGGCACAGTCTCTTCATCTCCGTCATCGCGGCGGGTGATGCGATTGTCGCGAGTGCTCGTTGTTCGCGCGCGGCTCAGATCCCATAGCTTGACAGACGCATCCATCGAACCGGTGGCAACTATGTTGTCTTCAATCTGAAGGCAACGGACCGAAGCATTATGTCCATCTAGGAATCCGATGCAACGACCAACATTGAGATCCCACACCCGCACAGTGTCATCCAGCGCAGCACTGATCATAGTACCAAATGGATAGTCAAAATCGATCGCGGTGACCATGTCTGAGTGGGCTGCCATCTCCTTGATCTCTGAGCCAGGGCTGAAATGTTCATGCAGGATCGGCATCGAGCGTTTCCCTGTTTGATCAGTCGGACATCACCGAATGCATGCAAAGAGCGGCACTCACTTATTGATTTTTGCTTGACGCTCTTCGGGGAGGGGATCTTTTGGTATATAGACTCGGACATGAAAGATGCATCAATTGCCGGGTCTTCCGAGACAATCGAGTCGTCATTTGCTTCTGACGACTTCGGTGTCGCTGGGGCCTGAGCCTGTGCTTGTGCCGCTTCTTCTTCTTCAAGATCTTCCAACTTATTATCCACCTCCGTCACTAGCACCTGGTCAGTCACTAGCCACATGGAACTATCTTGTTTCACACTCACGTTCATGTTCCAGTTCCGCTTCTTCCATCTCTAAGTTGGCTAACCGGTCTAAAACAATTTTGCGCATGTGGTGTAAATTGGCAATCTTGTTATCGATCTCATGTATCTCCGAGCTGCACATGTTTTTGCGGACACCCATCAGGTCCATGCGGCGGTTGAGCAAATCTCGTTCCTTCCTCAGGTCCGTTGGCGCAGAAGGCAAAGCGTCATGTGCCTCCCCATCTTTCAATAACTTTTTGCTCTTGGAAGAGCGCCGGCGATGGGCCTTTCTATATTCTATATCATCTTGGGAGGCCTGGAATCCTTGAAAAAGCGAGTAGGAGCTGCTGTCTTCAGGAATGTTCATGAGAAGCTCATCAGGAAGGGATGAGATCGCTCGCGATTGGATTTCGGATGTAGAGAGTTTAGATCGGACCAGATCGGTGGGGGTGGTTTGGGTCAGGGAGAAGACATTGCGCTGAGCGGCAGGGCGTCGCAGCTCGCGCTGGATGTCAACCATAGCGTGGTGGTAGTGGCCGCCGTTGGACTCGGAAGTCGGTCCCATCAGATGCCCAGCAGTCGATGTGACTTTCCGTCCAAAAGCCTCAATATGACGAGTCTAAATCGCCATCAGAATGCCATGTCAGCATTTGCCTTTTCTGCCACCAATGAAACGAGAGGGAACGCTACCGTGATGCCGGTCCCTAAAAGACCATCCTGCTCGACAATATCTGATAGACCGGAGGGCGACTCATCACGACGGTGCCTGTCCATGACACCTATACCGACGAGGGGAGCGAAGAATGGTATGAGGCAGTCAAGCCCATACGAGGGTTGAGGCGATCGGAGGAGTGAGGCCCGTTGGACAGGATGCGGTCGTCGGTCGGGCAGTTGGTCGGCTCTCTTTCAGGCCTTGGAGATTGCGGAAAGAAGTTCTGGATGGATGGAGTTGCACGCGATGAATTACCGTGTTTCGGGTGGTAATTTACTGAAGAGAGCTCGAGCTCCGTTTCCACCTCAGGAAGGGAGAAGTGGACAGTGGCTGTGCTGGACAAATTGCGAGGCGAGCGATGATTGCGAGGGAAATAGCCATGGTTCCGGAGAAATGCGCAGAATTCAAATATTTAAACCAACTCCGCCAGCCATTCATCCCGGTCTTATCTTCCCTCTTCAGGTTTGGCAAGGGGAAAAGAAAGCTCAGGCAGGGTACATGAGATGACGGCATCACCAGCCACAACCCTGCGGGACTAGAATTAATTACCCACTGCCCGTACGGTACATGTATACCAGTCCAACTCAGGTCTAACCTGGCAGTTAGGACATGATGCCGGTAATTACCGCGTACAGATGTATACCTCTTCAATCAGGACCGACTTGGTTTCTCCCTGCCTCCAGGTCGTAATAGAATAAGCTGACAGTAATCAGTAGATCTGTGATCTCCAATGTGTGGTTTCACATCAATCCCTTATAGCCCACCGCCCACCCACTGTCGAAGTGGAAAGCTTCACATTCGAGTCAGACCGTGGAGATCGGCAAAGCTAGCGTTGTAGGATTCTGTAACCCTCAATACTTACTTAAGTCCGATATCGTTCCTTGGGAATGTTAAACTCCTAGCCGAATCTCTGCTTCAGATTGTGAGATTGCATTCTGTTCTTTTCTGATATTTGCAACATCATGGATACGGCCATTGATCTTTCCGATGCCTCCAAGGCGTTGGACCTTGCTAATATTCGCTTCCAGCTGATGTGAGTCCACCATGTATGGCCGATCATCGGGAATGATCCTGCTCCTCCGTCCGTCCCTATCAAAGATCCCCTCATGCTCGCATCATCATCCCTGCTGACCCTCAACTCCCCCCACCATCATAATATCATAATGCTACCACTCGATTCCACGCTACTCAACCACTTCCCCTACTCACGGATCACCTCATTAATGTTCCTCCTCTAGCCGACTTGAAGATACCATCACTTTTCACCTTATCGAACGGGTCCAATTCCCCCTCAACAAGCCCGTCTACACCCCCGGTGGTGTCTCGATCCCCGGCGATGATATCAGTCTCCTGGACTACCTACTTCGCGAACAGGAGCGCATCCAGTCGCGCGTTCGCCGCTACCAGTCGCCTGACGAGTACCCTTTCTTCCCCGATGTTCTGGAAGAACCCATCCTGGCGCCCCTGGAATACCCCAAGATTCTGCACGACAATGACGTGAACGTCAACAGCATCATCAAGCAGCGCTACATCGAGAACATCCTCCCAGCCGTCTGCGCTCATTTCGGCCGAGAAGACCGCGGCGAAACCCAGGAGAACTACGGCTCCTCCGCTACCTGCGACGTCAGCTGTCTCCAGGCTCTGTCGCGTCGCATTCATTTCGGCAAATTCGTCGCCGAATCTAAGTTCCAGAAGGAGCCGGAGCGCTTCGTTAAGATGATCAAGGCTAACGACCGCGCGGGTATCGATGCTGCTATCACCGATGCGAAGGTTGAGCAGAAGGTTCTCGAGCGCTTGGCGCTGAAGGCTAAGACATATGGTACGGACCCCGCGTTTCCCGCGGAGAACGGACCCAAGATCAATGTCGATGCGGTGGTCGCGATGTACAAGGTAAGATCTCCTCAAGACATTCGAATTTGAGATTAAGGATATGGCTAATTACCTTCCAGGAGTATGTCATCCCCCTTACCAAGGTCGTCGAGGTCGACTACTTGATGCAACGCTTGAAGGGTACACAATGGGAGTGAAAAGGAACGAGTGAAGATTCATCACTCATATCTGCACAATTCCCTTAGACGTTATTATGATACCATCGAGTTATGCAAGAAAGAACAAAGACAGATTCACCATGTGGAAGAGAAAATCAAAGTATTCTTTAGATCGTGGGTGGGCATCATGGGTTGACATCTATGGATGTTCCAGAGACAGCTTATTACAGTCGCTTGGAACACAGCTTACTACAAGCAAAAATGGCCTTTCTCTTATCTAAGTGAATTCTGGTCACCATTACGGTGTGGAACCTCGATACGAGGTCGACCACTATCTTTGCTATACCGTAGATTGAGAGCCCCAGGTGATCAACTTATGCAGCGCAAAGTGACAGTCTAAGCTGCATATATGACTCAGCAGCATAATACCCCGCCTTGTGACGAAATATCCTCTCATTGGAATCTTGCCTTCACCGCCCACTCTAGATCGAAACACGTGCCCACAGGTCCCGCGGCCCCTGGGCGCCGCACGCGCGAAACTGACTGTATACAAAGAAAGGAATTCATGATTTCCATTCACTCAATTTTGCGTCTGACCTCCCGAACCTATAAATTCTTGCCTCCCTAGACTTCCGCAGTGCTCTGCGCTTTTTTGCACCCAATATCTCTTCTATTGCCATAGTGACCGCAACAACACCAACCCCCGATTGTCCGTCTGTGTGACGAAGTGCGTCGCCCTCTGGCGGCCGCAGCCCAAAATCGCTTTTGAACACCCAAAATCATAACTGTCGTCATGAGTCAAACATTGACACCAAGACAAGCAGAGGAGCTGTAAGCTTCTCTGCAAATTCCAATTTGAGTTGTCTGCTGATCCACTGATACAAGGCTAGGCACAAGTCCCTAATAGCTTATCTATCTACCATACACGCTGATCGAAGCGCTGCGACCATACGCGAGGAACTCCCGATCGGCGACGGCTTTGACGACACTGCTCGCAAGAAATATGAGGGACTGCTGGAGAAGAAGTGGACGAGCGTGGCTCGGCTGCAGAGGAAGGTGAGATGCATTAACTCTCTACCCCGCTCCCAATCCACTCCGTTTGCCTTGGGCGCCCCTGCGTGCGAAAGAATCGCATGCGCTGACATTCACCTAGATCATGGACCTAGAGGCGAAGGTATCGACCTTACAGGCTGAATTGGACTCCATGGCCTTGACGTCCCGGTCACGACCCAACCAAGACCCGACGAGTTGGCTCCCCTCATCACCGGCGCGGCACAAATTTCAGTCGCACCGCGATGCAGTGACTTGCGTTGCTTTCCATCCTGTCTACACATCGCTGGCGTCGGGCTCCGAAGACTGTACCATCAAGATCTGGGATTGGGAATTGGGGGAGCTGGAAAGGACACTCAAGGGTCACATTCGGTCGGTTTCGGGTTTGGACTATGGCGGGCAGAAAGGGCATACGCTGCTGGCGTCCTGTTCAAGTGACCTTACAGTCAAATTATGGGACCCCAGCAATGAATACGCCAATATTCGGACGCTTTCCGGGCACGATCATTCCGTCTCGGCGGTCAGCTTCCTGCCCAATAATGGAAATCTGCTTGTGTCGGCCAGTCGCGATGCCTCCATTCGTATATGGGATGCGTCCACAGGCTATTGTGTGAAGACGATTCGTTCCAATGATAACTGGATTCGAGACGTTTCCCCTTCGTTCGACGGGAAATGGCTGGTCTCAGGTGGTCGAGACCAGGCCGCCACCGTATGGGAAGTTTCGACGGCAGAGGCGAAGGCTACGCTATTGGGCCACGAGAACTATCTCGAATGCTGCGTCTTTGCGCCGCCGGCCAGCTACAAATACCTCGCAACGTTGGCTGGGTTGAAGAAGCCTCCCCCTGCAACCAGCTCAGCCGAGTTTGTTGCAACCGGCGCCCGAGATAAGACAATTAGACTCTGGGATTCACGGGGCAGATTGATCAAAACGCTGGTCGGCCATGATAATTGGGTTCGAGGCCTAGTATTTCACCCCGGGGGCAAGTATCTAGTCAGTGTGGCGGACGACAAGACCATCAGATGCTGGGATCTCTCTCAGGAAGCCAAGCTCGTCAAGACCATTAGTGATGCGCATGGACACTTTGTGAGCTGCATCAGATGGGCTCCCAATGTGGTGACGGATGATGCTGCGACAGAAGAGACCACTGAGGCCGGTCCTGGGGCTCAAAAACAGGAGGCAAACAAGAAGATTCGGTGCATTCTTGCCACAGGTAGTGCGGATTCATGTGTGAGAGTATTTTCATAGTCCGCGAGACCCAAGAAGATTGCAAGATTTCATTCTCAGCGCTCTAATGTCTCCCTATTGTTCTACTTCACTCGTGACAGGAATCGCGATGCATACATCCTTCTTATTCATTCTTCTTCACCCCTTTTGCCTGCCCCGTCTGGATATAAAACTTTACTGAGATGCTGTACATTTTTGAACATCATACCTTGGCAATGCATGTGAGGGAGCGGGATTATGTCTACACTGCCTTTCGCCCTGGGTTTATTGCAGCGAAATCGTTCTTGTTGCTCGAGATTGAGGCGGAAGCAGTCGTTCTAAGGATCTCGCTGGCTGGGATGAGTCCGCGAATGGTTCAGGTTATGCTATGGGCACTTTTCTAAACAAAGAGGATAATGACATGTGATGACTTTTGCTCGAGGGTCCGTATATGATCATTTCGTGCGTAAGTGTCTTAAGGTAGTACGTGTCGAGTGGTGCATTGCCCAGTCGGCTCGACACTCTAGCTGCCTTTATGCTCCCGCGGTCCTCACCGCGCAAACCACGGCTTATTCCCTTCCCTTCCTCAGCCCACTCGGATCTCCCCCTCCGCTCCACCTTTGCCCTTTCAAAAAGTTAATTGATCGCGGCGCTTATCTATTTGACCTGCCATGCTGTTAAAACGCAACGCATCGGACTCCAGGTGATGTCGCAAGTGATGTCTGTGTTGCCCCGGCCATCCTGCACTTGACTATCCTCACCATGGCTTCGCCCGTCTTTGAACCCGTCGAGACTTCGATCTCTCCCAGCGCCCACGAACAAACGGATTCACTTCTCCCCAGGCCAGTGAGCCCTGGAGCAACGTTATCGCAGGGCCCATCACGGATTCTACCGCGGCTCTATGTCTCTCATTTCCTGTCAACATGGAATTCCCGTATGTTTGAGTTCGGAGCCGTCTTGTTCCTGGCCTCGATTTACCCCGGAACTTTACTATATGCTTCTGTCTATGCGCTCGTGCGATCCTTTTCGGCCGTTCTCCTGTCCTCATGGCTGGGTTCTGCTGTGGATCGGTCCAATCGACTGACTGTGCTTCGACATTCAATCGGTACGCACATGGATCGTTGGTTTCGAAGCGACGTTAGACTGATGGCGTCCTAGTTTGGCAAAGACTCCCCGTAGCGGGTTCCTGTGCTTGCTTCGTGGCGTTACTTGCCCCATTGAACACGACATTAAAGACACTGCTCTTTTCAGCGACAGTGCTGCTAGCCTGCGTTGAGAAACTTGCTGCTACGGCCAATACAGTAGCGGTGGAACGAGATTGGGTGGGTTTACAGTCTGTGCAGCTACACAGTATCACCTGACGTTTCAAATAGGCTATTGTTGTGGCAGATTCATTAGAGATTCCTCGTCGAGGTAAGCTCTCTGGTGTGAGTCAATTGGACGTCGGCTAATTGTATAGACCTTAATGCTTCGATGAGAAGGATAGACCTTTTCTGCAAGCTTTTGGCCCCTATTTTCATCTCGCTGATCGATGGCTTTTCCACCAAGGCTGCAGTGTGGACAACCCTGGGAGTCAATGCTACTTGTGTTGCTGTTGAATATGTTGCTATCGCACAGGTATGAGGTTTCATCCCGTGTCCAAACATCGCTCATCATTTCCAGGTCTATGCTTCAGTCCCTCAGCTGAGCCGCCACGAACCAGTTGCCGGATCGGAAGGCCATCAAAGCAACGCGAATGAACCTCGAAGCGCAACTCAGCGATTAGCACAGAGCCTCAAAAATGCTGCTGCTCCATGGATGGAATATGTTAGAGACCGCCTCTTTTTGGCCAGCTTCGCTTTGAGCCTGCTGTATTTGACGGTTTTGTCCTTCGGGGCAACAATGGTCACTTACCTGCTACACACCGGTTTCACTCCACTGCAGGTGAGCGCGATGAGAATCGGCGCTGTAGCGGCGGAGCTGTCAGGGACGTGGGCGGCTCCGTTCATCATGAACCGGATCGGGCCCATCCGGTCCGGATTGTGGTTCTTGAATTGGCAATTTGGATGTCTGGTCACAGCAGTGGTAGCCTTCGCCTGGCTCGACAACGCCTCTCAGGTGGTCGCTGTCAGTCTGATTGTGGGGGTGGCTCTGAGTCGGATTGGATTGTGGGGCTTTGATCTGTCCGTGCAACTACTGGTGCAGGAGGTAAGAGCTGTTATTGCTATACTTGAGAGAGGTTCGATGCTAACAAGAGCAGGGAGTCGACGAATATGTACGGGCTCGGTTCTCCGCGACTGAAATGGCTCTCCAGAACGTGTTCGAGCTGGTGTCCTATGCGACTACCATCGCATTCCCTCTACCGGAGCAGTTCAAATATCCCGTTTATATCAGTTACGGTGCTATCGCGATGGCTGCAGCTTGCTTTGCGGCGTATGTGCGCAGGGAACGTGGCCATTTGCTCCACACCTCCACCTGTCTAGGCGGAGACAAGAAGCGCCTGTCACCTGAACATGTAGTCTATCAGAGATTGCCCTGAGATGTAGATCTGTCACACAATGAAGAATCATGCATAAACCCGCTAAGCCGTCCACTCCACCTTCCCTTAATCCGTTCCATACCCCGTAGACGCAGCGCGGCCCGCGGCGGGCGGGGTTTTCCGGCGGTCCTTGACCACGCTGGATGATCATCCGTCAATTCTCCACCAAGCCCCCGACACAAACAGACAACCACTATGCCTGCTCCAATTCAATCACAGAGGTCATGGAGGTATCTTCCCATCCGTCTCGCCGACGAACTATGCTGATTGAAAGGCATACTGACTATGCCAGGCTCCTCAAGCACGTGGCATGGGCCGATCAGGTCCCCGGCGCCGCACGGGGTGTCTGACGTGCCGGGCGCGCAAGGTCCGGTGCGATGAGGTCAAACCGACATGTGCCAACTGCACACGTCTGCGTCTCCAATGCGCCTATAAAACGATCGTTCCGGCCCATGCCCCGCGAACTGACTGCCAAAGTCAAGCTGCAAGTTCCGCGACCGTGGCCGCACCACCCTCTGACCGGCCCGATGTGAACTTCTTCCATACTGTTCTTTGCGAGGACCGGCTTCCAGCGTCGTCGCCATTGCAGCAGCCTGCAGGTGCCCTTGCTCGTCCACCCCCTACACTAACTGTTGATTCTACGTCATTTGACGTTCTGAGTCTCATCGAGGAAATCACCTCCGACTTTCAGCAGAAACATCCCAACCTAACCACTAATGGCTCCAACAACGTGTTGGGTGAGGCTGGGCCTGCCAATGTCACTACAGAGACAGCCAGCCACGATGGAGAAGTGATGAACTGGGTCTCTGTTGAGGACCGTAGCGCAGCGCCCATCAGTCTGGGCGCTCATTCTGATCAGGCGGATACAAACGCCCCCGATCCCGGACAGACAGCGTACGAAGCTCAACTCTTTACGCATTTTCTAGCAAGTGGCCCGCCTCCTACGATCTTCGGACCCGTTGACTTGGACTGGAAGTATGTGCGAACACAGATGGTACGTCAGTCGCGTAGGTGTCGAGCTGTCTTGCTTGGAATCTACTGTTACTCGGAAGTACATCAGGCGTGGGTCGAGGGGAAGTCCTGGAATCGGAAGTCCAAGTATCATCAGCTTGCATGCTCAGAAATACAGCCATATCTGCATGGGGTGGTAGAGAACTCAGTTCTAAAGCAAATATTCACGACTGTGCTGTTGCTAATGCTTTCTGAGGTAGGCGTTTCTCCATGAGTTCTGGGTCTTGAACTGACGAAACAGCTTCTGTCGAGTCCAAACCTACTCAGTGCCGGCACGCCCTCTCTTCACTCAACATATCTGCTACTGCAGCGCTTTCATCATCGGACTAGGGCCTGGTCGGATGCCAGTCGTCTTATCGTTGCCTGGGTCTCGCTGTTAGACGTCAAGGCATTGATAGCTGGGCGTGAGGGTGATGCGCTCATTGAACTGGGACGACTTCCGTCAGCAGACAAAGCAGGTGAGGACGCTGCACCCGAGAAAAGCAGGAATGTGAGGGATGATGAGGACGACAATCCCGAGCCTGCATTTCTCATCCGCCAGGTCATTACCGGTCCAGCCTTCCAGTTCCATCTGCAGACTCAGCAAATCCTGAGGCGGATTGTCTTCATCGACTTGCACCACCGCAACCGCGGCACTGTAGGTGACGAGTTTGAGGTCCTCCAGTTGGCGCATCAAATTGGCGCCGATCTAGAGACGCTATGGAACCAGCGTCCACGCGTGCTCGACATCTACAGCACCCCTGAGGAGCTCTGCGACACTCTACAGCCTGCTGTCGCGTGGGAGACGTGTCGGGCCTTTAGGCAGTATATCGCCAACTTTCTAGCAATTTTTATCTACTTGCACCGAGTCGCATTCGCCATCTACCCGCGGACGGATCGGGTGCATCGAGCTGTGGAAGGCATTATTCAGCTGGCAACAGTCGAGACACAATCAACATCAGAAGAGCAGCAACATCTGCCTGCGAGCTTTGTGTGGCCATTGTTTGTGGCCGGTCTTGAAGGTTCCATGGAGCAGCGGCAGTGGATTTTGTTGCAGATACAGCAGATAAGCAAGAGGGGCGAGGACAGTGATAGTAGACCTCGGACCACACAACATCCGCATGCAGAAAAGGTGTATCTGCTACTAGAGGAGATGACTAGACGGCAGGACGCATCACGAACATGGGCCGATTCACGCTGTGTGCGACGCGAATTGTTTACTGATTTCTTCGTAATGATCTGATTGATAGTTTAGTGATCCAGATCGGCGCACCGACCGCTGCATGCAATACGTAAGCGCCGGTACGTCATCTGACTCGCAAGCTCCTGGCAACCTCCTTGTTGTTCTGTGTTGCAAACCCAGATATTTATTCTTGAGTCGTCTCGCATCGCCGGCGTCTAGGGTATGGCCCATGATGCGATCTCCACTTCTAGTGACCGAAGATGATATTCGTGCCGAGGATCCTCTCATCCAGCACGAAGAGGAGCCACTCTTCGCTCCGCCGGCCAGCCATGCCCTATTCCGTCTCTACTGGTTGACAGCCATTGTCTGCTGCGGCGGACTGCTCTTCGGCTATGATTCGGGCGTGATCGGTATTTGTGATCTCCATTCTTTTCGACAGTCACTATAATGACACATTCGTGCAGGAGGAGTCTTGACTTTTGATTCCTTCCACCGGTCTTTTCGATATACCTCAACCAATGAGACGCGCGTCAGTGCCATTGCCGTGGGTGTCCAGCAGGCTGGAGCCCTGGTGGGCAGCCTGATCGTATGGCCGTTGACGAACCGCCTCGGCCGGCGCCCTGCCATGACCGTTTGTTCTTTCGTCTTCTGCATTGGGGTGATCTTCGAGATTCTCGACACCCATACTCGGTCTGTCTTTTATCTAGGCCGTGTCATATGCGGCCTTGGTATCGGCGGCTCTGCGACCGTCATTCCAATCTATCTATCGGAGATGAGTCCGACATCGATGCGTGCCCGCCTGGGCAGCTGCTATCAGTTTACCTTCACCATCGGTATCTTGATATCGTACTGGATCGATTACGGGATGCAGTACGCGCCCGCCAATGCCGCCCAATGGCAGATTCCATTGGCCATGCAACTAATCCCGGGCGCTCTGATGGGCTTGGGCATGCTCACTCTGCATGAAAGCGTGCGCTGGCTGCTCGCCCACGACCATACAAGCAAAGCCTGGGACAGCCTGGCGTGGATCCGCGCCTCCCGAGGACCAGAAGTCAAGGCAGAGTTCCGGGCGATGCGGTCAGCCATTGAGCGCGACGTCCACGCCACGGCCGACTTCACCGCTCGCGAACTCCTCCAGAGATCTAACGCCCATCGCTTGATCTTGGGCATTTCACTATTTGTTCTCCAACAATCTACAGGGGCCACGGCGATGGCCTACTTCGGACCGCAGTTCTTTTCCCTGCTCGTCGGGGGCAGCAGCGCTGCCTTGACGACCTCCGACTCGACCGCGCGTCTCACACTATTACTGACGGGAATCTTCGGTCTTTTGAAAGTGATCAGCTGCCTGTTGTTTATCGTGTTCGTGGCGGACCGCTTTGGCCGGCGACCATTGCTGATCCTGGGCGCGTTCTCCATGTCGGCGTGCATGCTCGCGACGGCGGCTATTCTCAAGACGAGCTCGATCGCTTCGGACTCCAGTTCCGCCGCGGCGCTCTCCCCAGCTTCACTCGCCACCATCCTCCTGATCTACCTCAGCATCGTGGCGTACAACCTCTCGTGGGGCCCTCTACCCTGGCCGTGCAGCGCGGAACTGTTCTCGTCGGCTCGGATCCGCGAGCCGGGGGTGGCGATGGGGGTGGCGGCGCAATGGCTGTCGAACTTCGGGTGGTCGTCCGCGACGCCCTATCTGCTGCAGGGGCTCGGGTGGAGGACGTTTGCATTGTTCGGGGTGCTGGATGCGGGGTTTGGGGGGTTGGTGTATGGGTTCCTGCCGGAGACGCGCGGGATGAGTCTGGAGGAGATCGACGGTTTGTTCGGAAGTTATGGAGGGGGGACGGATGCAATGTAGGGCTAGGAAGAAGCTTATCCAAGTAGTTTGTGTTCAGACTAGTTTATTATCGCCTTATCCGCATACCCGTCGTACCTTTCTTTCTTCGCGAGAGAGAGAGAGAGAGAATATCAAGATGAATGAATGGCTAGGGTTACATCGTGGCGTCTCTCCCCTCTTCAATCTGTGTTTTCCTGGGCCCAGTATCTACCACCGATTCATTCGGCTCGATCTCCAAACTCTGATTGTTCCATGACCACCCCCAGCCCAAGCAAGAGCACTCCTCAACCCCGAAAACCGGCCGAGTCCCAGACCCCCCAACCCAGCACAGCCCAGCCCAGCCCAGCCCAGCCGCCGGCGCAAGATCCTATAGATCTCCCAGGATTGAACCTGCATCCCAAACGGGGATAGAACTAAGCCGGAACCCCCAGCTCAAGCCCAAGCTCAAACCTACTACCTTACCAGTAAGAGTCCCAACCCAAGCCTAAACCTAAACACACTAGTACTGGGCAGCAGGGCTCAAGTCCACAGACACTCAAGCCACAGGTATATAAAAAAACCTTAGAACCCTGGAAGCCCAAGCAGAACCCCCCAATCCCGGACCCAACCAAGTTCACCACTCACAACATCTCAGGCCCGCCGCCGGGCTGAGAGACTCCGTCCGGGCGGGGGCCACTCTACCTGGCATCGCACCCATCCCACCACCCAACCCTTGAAACCTCAGCTTGATACCTTCACTCTAGGTAGAAAGCCAAAAAAAAGTCAAACGCACCGCAGCGCAAAAAGAGAAACTAGCTGGCTCGAGGTATGACCCTGACCCTGACTCTGATTCTATCTTTCCTATCCTAACCTTTTTACACGGGGGTCGGGGTCAAGGCAGACAGGAAGGGTCAGGGGGCTGTCTCGGCCGAAGCGGAAGCCGAATCCAAACCGGAAGTACTGTACTCCGTCTGTACGTAGGTAGGGGGTTGAATTGAGTTCAGGTAGTCGGAGGAGGTACCTACCATCGTTCAATTTCTCTGATTCATTCAGAAAGGTAGGGGGGATGGAGCTTTTGCTTTTAGAAATAGAATCTGTTGTTATGGAGTGAGTGTCTATTGCGACTTCTGGGAGAGTGGGTAGATATACGAGGGTAGAGAGTAAAACTTATTCAGATACTAAGTGAGCGAATGAATGGGTTGAGCTTTGCTAGAGTATGGATGGAATCTAGATCTTTAGTGATAAGGAAGTCACCTACCTATATGCCAGAAGGAAGGAAGGAGGGAGGGAGGAAGGGAGAAGACCCAGACTCGTCTCCGATCTTGAATCTCGAATCTAAAATACAGATACAACAATAACCTAATCGTTAATTCCATCCCTACGGAGTACTCCTACATTATATGAGTAGATAATCAACGTCTGTAAACCTCCCATCCCAAACCCTCCTCTCTTCTCAACAAACAAACAAACAAACAAACAAACAACAACAACCAAAAACAAACCAAGCGAAATCCAGCCCACAGAAGCGGAACAACGCACCGTATCTCCTCGCAAAGCTAAAAACAGTACGAACGATCGATGATATGATAGCCCATCAATCCGATCAACACAACAAAGGAACGCAATGACGTCGACGGGAAGAGCGGGGCCCTCGATCAGTTTAGACTAGCTAGCGATTTCGATTTCGATATCGATTACTTCCCGGCGGGCGCGATGCCCGGTTTCTAGATCTTTTTCCTCTCAAAGGACCGGCAAAAGCAAATCTAAAACAAAAGGGAATGCGGTTTGGCGTACTGCCAGGTGGCTGCACCCTAGCCTATTCAGTACAGTCAGTACATTACAAGAAAGAAGCTTAGTTGCTGGTTGGTTGACTATTGACTCGTTGAGGAATGTGTATTATGGAATCTCGGCTTATGAATAGACAAAAGGCTTGCTTGTACTCCGTATAGTGCGCAGTATACTTCCACCGGCTTGGATTGCGGCGGTTCGGATTAGTGCTGGGTTTGATGATAGCTATATCTATCTGCTCTTTGCTGAGGCTACTTACTCTCCGAGCAACATGCACTTTCTAGCTTAGAGCTGCAAGATAAGCGACTCAACACTACTTCTGATCTACCGTATACTCATTCCACAGAAACGTCAGAAAATGAGTAATTTGTACACAAGGACTACCTAGGTACCGAATCACACATACAGCAAATTTGCTAGCGATGATCATCCCCTCATCCATGAGGCAATTCATCCAAGAGGCAATTCATCCATGAGGCAATCACCAGCAAATAACAATACCCATACCATAGCCATACCAAACCCACAAGAAATAGCAAAGTCCCTCCCTCCCAGGCAGTGAATTTTCCGTATGCTTAATCTGCCACCATAAAACGCCAGCTCCGTGACCTATCCCGCTAGAAAAAAAAAAAAACGCCCCGACCCATAAAAACATCGCTAAAGTAGGAACTCACAGTCTGAAAATCAATAAACCTCCCCCCGCAGCCTGCCCTGCCTGCCGCCAAGTTCGGTTTTCAGCGCCCCCAAATAGAAAAATAGAAACACACAGATACACACACAGGCTCCGCTCTCCAAGCCTGATGTCATATGAACTCCCGTCGGATTTTAGGGGGGGAAAAAGAAGATCAAGCATATCCCCAGAACGAATCAATCAGTAAGCCTTCCGCTATGCAGGAGAAGCCGGGCACGCTCGAATACCGGCAACGATATAGGACATCAATCAATCAATCAAAATAATTCGTTTCACATGTCGAGCAGTTCATTGAAGAACTGATATTCAGGCACCTGATCCAGTGGGACATCATCTGCGGTCTTGTTGTTGTTGTTGCTGCCGCTGTTGATGGGGGTGGGTACAATCGGCAAGGGACTATCAAACCCGAAGGTCATGGCAGCGGCAGCGGACGTAGTAGTGGAAGCGGAGGAGGTGGTGGGGGATGTCATGGACGAGGAGGTCGAGAGACCCGGGGGAGAGGCTGTGAGGGAAGCAGTCGAGGCGGATGCCAGTCCGGCCCCAGTGGACGCATGCCCAGCCGCACCCATGACCATCATATCGAGATGATGACCGCTGGCCCGACGGTCCGCAGCGGCATGGTCGAGGGCGGTGATGTGCTTGACCATCTGACTGAGATGGAGAGCGATAGCGGGATCCCCACAATCGCTATGCCGCAGCAGCTCGGTCTTGAGGCTTAGAATCTCACTACGGAGGTCGTCAATTTCCGAGTGGAGCTTGGTGTTCTGAGCTTGGAGCTCGACGTGCCGTCGGTCCAGCTGCTCGTTAATCTTCTTCTTCTTCTGCCGGCATTTGCTGGCGGCTAGGCGGTTCCGTTCCAGGAATCGCTCCCGCTTAGCCTTTTCGTCGTCATAGGGAGGGGTGAGTTGTTGTTGCTGATGTTGCTGCATCGCAGACCCGGAATTCATCTCCTGGAAGCATCGTTTGTCACCGTAGGGAGGCGGGGTGGGCTGTCCGTTCCGCACGTGGGAGTTCCGGGAATACCGGCCGAAGTTGGGATTCATGGTTGTTAGGGTTGTCGAATCAGAGATAGAGAGAGGGTGAGTGAGTGAGTAGATGAGTTGTGATGTAGAAGACAAGGGTGAGAGTGGGTGAGTAATAGTGAGTGTGGGGGGAGTAAGTAGATATGGCCAGAAAGTAGCGAAAGTGGGAGGGACCTGAAGAGGGGGGGGAAAAATTGTTGAAGAACCGAGGATGGGAGAAGGAGAAGAATAGCAGAAGAGAAGGAATAAAAGTAAAGCCCGAAGGACTGCGTAGAAGGCGGAAAGAAAGAGGGGAGGAGGAGGAGGGAGGAAGAGGGAGGGAGGGGGGAGGGGAGAAAGAAAAGACTGGAACAGTATCAAGACTCTTGTGATACCAAGCCAGCGGGAGCACAAGCAAGACAGACAGACAGACAGACAGATCAGTTTCAATCAAACACCAGTAGAGAGGGAGAAAGTGGAAGACTAGAACCGACAATCCAACCAGTCTAGAAACAACAAGATCAGTTCATCAGTCACTCAGTGCAGTTAATTAGCTTCTAGAGCGGGCAGCGGGAGTCGATCCCCTCCCTGTTTCGGTGGAATGGAAAAGTGTATCTCTTGAGGTGAACGACTAGGAATGTGTCAGGATCCGTGTGGGCTGCAATGGCCCGTGGATATGCAGCGAACCTTGCTGGAAGACGGGGGGGTCCAGAAGCAGAGACAGAGAGAGAGAGCGAGAGCGAGAGAGAGAGAGAGAACGAGAGAGGGGAAGAGAATGAAAGGGACCAGCCGAGACCCATTGACATCACTTTACTTACTTAGCTTACTTAACTTCTTAGTATAAAGTAATCTACAGAAAGCTATCTGAATCCGGCAGGTGGAGGTCCTGAGGAACCAGGCCACCCACACGTCATCTCACCAGCACAAACCAAGAACCCTGCCTGAGGTTCACCTTCAACGTTTGCTTTCCCAGTTTCTCTGGGTTGTGATTAGTGGTTGAGCCAGTCCGGAGCCATCTTCCTGCCAACCAATCGCACTCCACTGACCAGCGGACCTCATTCCGCCAATGAGACAACGATGCTGTAAAGGTCTCTCAAACCATGGTGAATCCATGATAACTCCCCTCCTAGGGTATCACCCCCCACTTCATTTATTGATGGATCCAAAAAAAAAGTCATCATCGTCATCAATCATGAAAAAGCGACAGACGTATGTCGAGAAAGAAAGGAGAGAAAAAGTTTAAACAGAAAAAGAAAACGGATGATCCCCCCAGGTGCCCGCAAACAGGAATAAGGACAGTATAACTATACTAAGTACTAGTACTCCGTAGCATGATACAGACTGAGGGATTCGAAATCCCCTGCTATCCCCGCATCGGCTCATTCATCCGGCGACTCACCGGCCGCTGATCGACCCTGAAGGTGCTTTGTATAGAGTAGACGACGTAGAGAGACTCCGATAGAAACCACAGAAGCAGGTTCCCTGAAGGTTGAAAGCTGGTATCACCTCTCGACTCTCCAGTTCTTGCTCGTCTCCACGCGGCCCGCTTCCAGGGAGAGCAATCATCAACCAATCCGCCCCCTCTCTCCCTCTGCCAATGTACTTCGCCCAATACCAAGAAACCTGGTTTTTCCTTTCGCCAAAGAAAAGTCCTTTCAGTCACTCACTCCCCGTCCCGTCCTTCGCCGACCGGAGATCTTGAGAGACGGTTGGTTCAAGAAGCGGATGGTATTCTGTACACTGCAGTACATACAAGATCCCATATAATCCATATACTTTGATCCCTGTTCCCCGTCCCGAAAATCAACACGAATGAACCCGCTGGGTCATCATCCAGTCAGTAATTGATAACATGTAGAAGGACGGGAAAAAGGTCAATTCAACGGCGTAACCCTGGTTTCCAGGCTGCTTACGAGTATTTGCTCGGCCGCTTCAAGCCCAGCTGAGTTCACCAATATGGTTCCTGCCCGCCGTCAATCCCGCTCACCATTGAGGATCCCCACTATAACCTACAGCCCAGCAATTGGACCACCCGGTCAACGACAAGCACCTACTATACAGATTCTGGCAAAAGGGGACAAATACAGCGACCACCCAAAAGTACTGACTCTATGGGTACCTTTGCACCCCACCCCCCACCCCACTAGCGTCGCCCATCTTCCCCTGATGCGGATCCCCAATGACTTCATATCAAACCCTCTATCGCTTCCTGACCTTCTACGAGTACAAGTAGACTATCGTCCGACCAGCAAACATTTTGCTCCCGGATATAGTCCCGGACCTCTCGCCTCTTCCCCAAGTCATCCCTCCGTGGTTGAGATCATGGCACGCCCCATTTGCACGGATCGCCGGCGTCGTCTCGGCAGGTTGCGATGCTCCCATATGCGTAACTGACGACTGATCCCACGCCAGTGCTCCACGAGCATCATCGCAACTCGTTCGCTTTCTATCTCCTGCGCGATAGCCCCAAACGTGTCGCCATACCCCTCCCGCCCCGTCAGCAACGGTCCGAGCACGCGACCCAGCCGGTCCAGCGTCAACAGTCCTGAACCCCCACTCGTCCGCCCTCCACTCTCACCTGGGCCAGAGCTCGGGGCCTCCTCCTGCGCTAGTCGCTGCGTTTCATGCAGGAGTATTGCGCTGAGACCAATGACTCCACAGATGAGGTGCAGCTGCATGGTGTTCGTCAGGGCCAGCAGCGCGAGTCCAATGGCCTTGACCTTGACGTAATTCCGCAGCGAAGCTCCTCGGAGAAGACAACTGCGAGGCCATTCCACTCCGTCATCCACCAGGGGCGCTTGGCTGATGCTCACTAATATCCGATATAGTGCCGGCAAGCCCAAAAGTCCTCCGGGTAGACCCGCCAGTAGTGCCTGAAATGCTCGCGCGATGCTCTGCACCATCGGGTCATCCATCGCACGAGCGCCAGGCTCGATCGCCGTCAGGGGTAGGTCGCTACGCCCGACCGTCATCTGGATTCGGTCGGGTTGTCGAAGGGCAGACAGCACCAAATGGGCGAAATGGTCGTATATCCGCATAGCCATTTTCGGGTGGCCGGGATCGACGAACACGTCGCGCACCGGGGCAGCTGGAGCAATGACGTAAATGAGCGAGACCATTCCATTCCCTGCACCTCGCGCATCCTGGTGGGGTATAGCAGGGGCCAAGACCTACCAAATCGTCCCAAAGCGGTAATCGTAGCTACAAAACATACCGGTAATCGGAGTTTCGTAGGCGCAAACTCGGCAGGTAGCGTCAGTAAATTATAGCCCCCCAGACGCGCCAATTCCTCCAGGGAAAGCCCCATTAGTGAAGTCATATCGTTCGCCCGACCTCCCACATGTGCCAACGTTTTCATCCGGCGTAAAGTCCGACTGGTGCGGGGCCCCTCCGACGACAGGCCCAGATGCAGCGTCGACCGCATCGTGCGCAGTCGCCCATAGAGTCGGTCTCGCCGGCCGGAAGGCACCTTTTCATTAGCGGTAGTGGGGAGAGGCTGCTCTAGCACCTAGTCAGCTAGATCACCAAGCGTCGAGCCCGGCTGAATTGTCCGCACGAACCCGAAAACTGGGAATGTAAGCCATCGCCCGACATTCCTCCCTTGTTGCTCAATGGCAGAGGCGGGAGCCGGAGCTTGTAGGCCAGTTCGTTGAATGCCAGCACGGCGGCGCGCCGCTCGACCTCAGCTATCACTGAACTATCATCCGAGGTTGAGAAATAGACACTGTCTCGCGAGGAACTCCCCGAGCCAATCGAGCTAGCTGCGGCGAACGGGTTGGCCAGTTGTTGGTAACTCTCCGTATCATCGTAGGTCGACGAGGCCCCCGTTTGGCTTGACTCGGAGCTAGATTGTCTGGTCGTCCGGGTGGTATTCCTTGTATGGTTCCCACCACCGTCTGAGTCGCCCACTTCATTCAGAGGATCCGCGAATGGGTTCTGGCAGAGAGTCGGGTCCGCTAGGGCAATGGGCATGGAAAGACGCTTGGAGGGATCGTGGTATACCGTCCCGCTGGTTTGATCCGAATGAAGAGAATACATTGTGGTATCACTCACCTTGCGAGCCTCGCCAGCCTCAGTTGACTGACTGCTGCATTGTGGAATTGGTGCAAATCCCGCACAACATCTCTCCACGGTGCCACTTGTGTTCTCCGGTCCTGTGGTAAGCTCAACCAATGCGTTCAATGATAGATCCGGTTGCCGAGATTTGCGGAAGCGAAAGAGAGTTTTGAAGCCGGTGAGTCTCCTGAAACTTCTTCGCGTATACTTGGGAAATACAGTCGGCGCGACAGGACTCAGCTGCCGGCGGATGAGCGGCTGCGTCTGGTCCCTATTACTACCGTCTGTTGTGATGGTAGCAGTCTCCGACGAAAGCTTTGTCTTTACCACGGTGGAAGTGTGCTTGACGGGCTCACTTCGACGGTCACGGTTGACTGGAGAGATTTCCAATGCGCCCATTGTTGTGGAAGGGATCAAATAGTGCGATTATGCGAAGCGTCGGAGGCCACAAAGCCTGTTTCGTCGAATACACCATACCTACAGAAAGTAGGTAAGGGCAAAATGAGGTTGTATCTGGGACTTCGCAATATACACCCACTGTCGCCCTTGCCTTGGAAGTATGCTAATTCCTCAAGGGAGGGAGATGTGTCGAAGCCGGAAGGCTGTGAAAGCACAAGGAAAGAGCGGCCACGTCCCCCTACCATCTGTCATCGCACAGACACTGTAGACTACAGTCGTAATCACGTACAAATACAACATACAGGTCAATCATAAACATCACTCGGATCAAAATAAATCGTAAGAAAGAGAGAGAGAGAGAGAGAGAGAGAGAGAGAGAGAGAGAGAGAGAGTCATACAAGCAATGAAATCTATTGTTAACAAGTCCAGCGCCCAATGTTAGGTTTCTGGTCCCCTATAGTTCCGCTGGCGGATGGGAGACTAACAGAAAGAGCAAGTGTAGACACCAGATGATACCGTGTAGGTTTACCTTTGCATCGTGAGTTCCAATGAGATGGAACAAGGAAAAATATAGGGAGAAATATGACCGGCGGAAAGTAAGCTACCATCTGTCGAACCCTGTGCGAGAGTTTCTGACACCGATCCTAGCGCCAAACGAAGAACGCCATCCTATGCGAATTGTGAGTATATTGGCAGCGCCCGTGGCGCCAGCGGAACGGGTAGATCGAAAAATAACATCAATTCATGATAGCTCATCAGTTTCACCCTCGAGGAGGATATACTGCAGGATGTCGCTCAGAGTCAGGACGCCCTTAAGCCGAAAGTTCTCATCCACCACAACCAGGCGGTGAACGCGAGACTTGCGGATAGTGTCGAAGATGGTATCCAGACCATCATTTAGGGAGCACGTATAAATGCCCGGGAAATCCTAGACACCGGTTAGCCGACACAGTCTGCAAACGACGTGTGGAGCGTACCCACCGGAGATCGCTTTTTCAACGCCTCGCCCACTGTGAGGCTGAGATCATCATACACTCCGCCTTTGATCAGGGTGATTACGTCAACAGCTTCGAAGACATTGTAGACCAGTCCTGGAAGGCGACAAACTTGTTAGCCACGATACGAGGCTATCGAAAAGTCGTGTGTGAGTGAAGAACTGGTCTTACCCTCGGAATTCACAATTGGCACGCTAGATATGCTCCGTTCGACCAGGATGTGAATAACGTCGATGACAGGCGTATCCATGGATGCCGTCGCTACATTCTGGTACGAACCCAGCAAGATCTCACCAAGCGGCTTGCGCAGCTTTTGGGTGTCCGGAACATTGACCGCGACGAACTTGAGAATGCGATACTGAGTGACGACACTAAGAACGAGGGATCGGTCCGTCTGACTATCATATGTGACCAAGGGGATACGGCGAGCCCGCGATTCCAACATGCGTCGACAGGCTTCATATAAAGGTCGTTCGGGGTCAATCGATATCGTCTCGGGAGGGGCAACGCCTAGCGCCTTTTCCACCTCTGGCCAAAGTATTAGTTCTGCGGGACGCATGTAGGATACTCGTTGAGCTGCGCACCTCGGAGGTTGTCGAGCCGAAATTGGTCAATCTGGTTCAGTGCAGCTGGGTTCTGGAAGTAGTATTGAATGACGTTGATATAGTCGGAAGTGGTCAAAAGTCCGGCAAATTTCGATGCTTTGGAATCCCATAACGGCGCCGAGACAATACCTGTAGATCACAATGCACCACGTCCATCCGGTCAGCAAATTGTCCTTCCAGCACAAGGACGTCGCCCGGAGCATGGCGCAGTCGCAGACAAATTCATCTCGCCCGGAGACGTTTAGGGGAAACACCTGCCATTCTGAATGAGGATATTCAAGCTCTCCTTGACGGACAACGCCGTGTCGAAAATTATGAGTCGGAAACTAAGAGGAAGGACATCGTAACTGGTACGGACTTTGAGGAAGTTGCGGATGGCACGCTACAGTGAAAGAGACAAATCCAGGTCTCTATTAGCCATCGCAGCCAAGCAATTGAGGGCGCATGGAATTGCAAATTACGAAACGGAGAACAGATGGGCAATAGCTTTTCGGCTGTCGACATGCTCGCGGGGCAATTTCGCCCAACACATAGGTAAAAAATCTTGGGGTATGCGGATGAGGGGTTGAGGCAACAAGGCTCGGACGGGTAAAGGAAGACGATGATCCATGCTGCAAGACATGGGGCAACAAGACAGGGGAGAGATGGCGACTCACAAGGCCCTGACGCTCTTCCCGATCGATGGCCCTCTCGGGCTGGGCTGGGGGCATTGGTTGCGATAAACCTCGCGGCCGGAGAAAGGAGGCGGGATGCACGAAACCTCCCTCGTGAGCACGGACTGGCCGACGGTCTAAGGTGGAGGAGGGGTGGGAGGACAGAAGAGTGAGCGGAAGGAGGGAGGAGGAGGGGGCGTGAGGCTGCGACCGGGATCGAGATCGAGAGTGGAAAGTAGTGGTGGTGAGGGGGAAAGGAGCTGGAGCTGTCGGGTTAGCGAAAGCAATAGCCGTAGCAGTAGCGGTAGTGGGCGAGGAGAAGAGAGAGTTGTCGTGGGTGTTGATAATCGAAGTAGTAGACGAAGTAGTAGAAGTCGTAGCAATAGTAGTCGTTGTCGTCGTCGAGGGCGGCAGGCCGGAAGTGGTGGTGGTTCTGCCCGTGGGGACTCGCGCCTGCCGCTGGGGAAAGTCCTCCGTCATGATTGATCGATGGCTCGACCACCGCTTCCAGTTGTAGCTCCGGTGTGGAGAGTGTATGGGGAGAGTCGAGAAAGCGAGAATAGCAGCCAGCAACGAGCAACGAGCAACCGTGCCTGTGCAACGACAATAACTACTCCCAAACTCACTTTCCCCGACACGGAAAATAAGAGTTCAAGGCTAAATGAAGTCCCTTGCTTAGACTTGAGTACACTATTGCGTGACAAACAATCTCCCGATGCTTGCGAGTGGAGGAAGAGAGTATGGAGGATAATGGCGGCGGAAGTAATGAGGTGATGGTAAGAGGATAGGTAGAAGTAGAGGTTCCCCACGAGCCGAGGGAGAAGGATTGATAATATGTCTACTGCTCTTGGAGAGATCACTTGATAAGTCCTACCAGGTGAATTGATGTGTCTGCCGGGACAAAGTACCTGTTGACTGATCCATCGTACCTCTCAGACCCCTCGGACATTACCTGCGAAGCCATCGTTTGATCACCATGAGCGCAGGATCTGGGGTTCTTGTCCGGTTGAGAGAGATAATAATGCTAGGTGACATTCCATGCTCAAAGGAGTGCATCTCCCTCTATTCGCAACAATCCCAGGGAAGGTCACTGTTTCCGTCATCGACTTGCACCGAACCCCTCTCCGATTTGGCCGAGATGCTTCATTTCCCATCATATTGATGCCTAAGGCTATATTGTGCTCCACTAACACTCACGTGATAACTGATCTATAACAGGTACCATGACTATTATTATTGCCAGGGCTCGGGGCCTCTCAATCATCTATAAACATGACCTTTTAACTATATATCTCTATCAATAGTTCGAGACAGACAATGACAACATTTTCGTGGGGTGCAGAGAAATCCGAAATTCAGATCGAGCAAATTCAGGTATAATGCAGGAAAGACAATATCTATTACGGAATTGGCGCATGAATGCAGTCTGTGGCATGCTTGGAGAAGAGGGCCAACGCAACTGCAGCATGTAGGCTGGGAACAGGTCGACGCGTTCAGACGGCGGGTTGGGTCTCACTCGCGGCTCCGTTGGGTGTTCCCTCGGACTGAGCCAGGCTCGGACCGGTGCCGGTTTTCAAGTAGTTCTCGAACTCTCCGATACGCTTTCCACCCTGGATCCAGCGTTCAGTGTACGCGGCTCTGCGCTGATCCGCGAGCTTGTTCAGCGTGGGCCAGTAAGTCGCGTGGTCGTAGCGGAACTCGACATCGCCGCCCATTGACTTCATCAGCTGCGCCGGAGGCACATGCTGGCGCAGATCTTCGTTAAACTTGAGCTTCTGCCGGGTCTGGGGGTCGATAAATGGCGTGATGAGCCTGAAGAACCCGTGGATGATGAACGGCACTGTAGAGCCGGGGGGGTCAGTTCGAGTACGGGTGTCAGACCAACAGAAAGGGAGAGAGGTCACCTACTGTTAATGACAAGCGCCCGACCCATGCGCTCGGGATAGTGGTTTTGCAAGAAGTTGAGGGTCTGCTTGGCCTGACCGATGCTGGCATTCTGGCCGGACTTGGTCTCCTTGAAGTTGACGAGCAGAGCCAACGTCTCCTGATCAGGGCCCATGAGATCAATCACGCGCTCCAGCATGAAGACCAGATGCTCGATCTGGCGGTCACTTGTCTCCGTATTTTGCTTCGACGGAATAAGGTACAGGCAGGGACGACCGCTGATGTCATAGCCCAGAATAACCTGCTTACCAGTCTCGTTCTCGATGGAGATGTAATCGGCAGTCAACTTTTCCACACCGTATTCCCGGCGCCAGGTGAGAGTGCGCTGGATGCGAGCGGTTGCCTCGGACACATTCCACTTGCTTGCGCGCAGGTATCGCAGGATACACTCGCGAGTCATAAACATGCGCTCACTGTCGGTGATAGGGGCTGTGGGGGCGTTCTTGGCCGATGTGGTTGGCAGGGTCGTCCATTCGGAGACTGATTTGAAGACCTCGGCGTACTTTGCTTGCTGGTCGGGTTGAAGTTGAGCTGGCGGAGTAGGCTTTGCGTCTTCCAAGGGGCGAGCAAAGGGCTTCTGGATGAGGCCGTCGGCGGCGGACAGTGGCAGCTCCAGCTCCTGCTCAATGTTCTTCTCGGTCTTAACAAGCTCGTTCACAGACGCAGTAGGTTCGGTAGCCCCGGTAGACATCTCAGGGGCAGCATTCAAACCTGCCGTCTGTGATTGAGCTGGAACGTCAGTAGCAGGCGCGGCTTGGGTTTCGGGGGCGGCGCTCATAGTGCAGGAAAGGAGGGGGGTTGTGATATAGGCCGAACGAATGAATTAGAGAGATGAATTCCTGGGAGTCTAGTCCTAGATAAAGGGCGCCGAATCCAGAGACGGGAGAAAAGGGGAAGATATCAGACAATGAACGGGACAAGCTGATGGAGCATCTGGCATCTGGCCAACTGCCAGGAGAATAATCTCTCGATCGACAGGCCCACCGGCAGATCGTCGCCCTGCAATAACCTCCTACGCATCACACCGCCGGGCACAGACACCGCCGCCGGGCGGTAATGATAATTTCCCCAATGCAGCAGGCGGTAGGCCGCCCATTTCCGCTCCGCGTCGGCCACGCGCGTCCTCCGCGTCGCCCTCAGTTAATTGATTAATGAGTAGATAGAGGTATAGCCCAACAAACCATACTTCTAGGGAAATAACTCAACTCTCAGGGCCTACACACACTTGCTTAGAGCTATGGAGGACACCGTCGAAGAGCTCAATGAGCTCTTCGCAGCTGCAGCCCCTACTGGACTTCCCAAGGATGTTCTGGCAGAACTGCAGTCGCTGTTGCGCATCCACGCCATTTCCGCCCAGGAGCTTTTCTACAAATGGGAGTCTTACTGTCTGAAGATGGGACCAGACGAGCTCAAGCTAGATCTGGATACCGTGCGATTATTCAAGAAAGATGTACAAGATACACTGGAGCGAGAATCCCGGGGCAGAGCTGGGCGCCAAACGGATAAAAGAGCGGCAGCCACTGCGACCCCGCGGGCTGCAAACACATCCGATGTCTTTGGGATGTAAGTTGGTGAACCGCTTTTGAGAAGACTGGTCTGACAGGTTGCGCTTCTAGGTTAGATGGACTCACACCGAATGCTTCGCACGGCCGGACGCCCGCGAAGCGCAAGTCAGATTTCGGCTCACCGTCGATGAACAAGATTGGCCGGACGGGCCAGAATGACTCTCCGATGGGCACGAAGAGCGCGGGTCAGACGACAAACGGAGACGCAATCTCGTATGTAGTGTGTGCGCGAGCAGTGAGATTAGAAACAGCTAATGCGGAAAACAGGTCGGTCTCATTCAGCGAGCGCCCGCACCCCGGCGAGACGATCGAAACTATCAATTCCCACCTCTCCCTCCCCGAAACCCCTATCGCCCCTTACGCTGAAGCCCGGATCAAGCCGACCGCGAACACCGACCTCAAGAAGTTCGGCTACAAGCCGATGGCCATGCGCCTGTCGGAGGTGTCGGAGATCCTCGACGACCGCATCGACGAGTTCACCGCGCTATTCCAGAAACAATACGAATCCCAGGAGATCACATTCGGCAGCGCGGCGACGCAAAGTACCAGCGAGATTGTGGCTGTGGGCCGCATCGCATCAGACAGTATGGAAGGCAAGCTGAACCCGGCGTCGCTCGTGCTCGAGACGTCGCGACGGACCGGCGCCGGCGTGCGAGTGCCACTGAAGCTCGACTCGGTGCCGTCGGCCAACTTCTTCCCGGGCCAGATGGTTGCGTTGCGCGGGATCAATGCCTCGGGGAACTACTTCTCCGTGAAGGAGGTGCTGCCCACGCCGCTGCTGCCACCGGCGGCGTCTTCCATCGTTAGTATCGAGAGCATTAACGACAGGCTGGACGCGGCCGGCTCGTCTCCACTCAACATCCTCCTCGCCTCGGGGCCCTACACGGCAGACAACAACCTCGCATTCGAACCGTTGAAGGAGATCTGCCGCAAGGCCGCAGAGAGCTACGCCGACGGAGTCATCCTGATGGGTCCATTCTTAGACGTGGAGCACCCACTGCTAGCCTCCGGAGACTTCGACCTGCCCGAGATCCCGGGACTGGATCCGGATACGGCGACACTCACGACGGTGTTCCGACACTGCATCGCGGCACCACTGCAGCGTCTCGCGCAGGCGGTGCCCAGCATCACGATCGTGCTGGTGCCGTCAGTGCGCGATGCCGTGAGCAAGCACGTCTCCTGGCCGCAGGAGCAGCTCCCCAAGAAGGAGCTGGGGCTGCCGAAGCAGGCGCGCATGGTGTCGAATCCGGTGACGCTGTCCTTGAACGAGACGGTGATCGGGATGTGCTCGCATGACGTGTTGTATGAGCTGCGGCGCGAGGAGGTGTTGCACGGCAAGCCTAAGGAGGGAAACCTGCTGAGCCGGCTGCCGAAGTACCTGATCGAGCAGCGACACTTCCATCCGATGTTCCCGCCGACGGCTCGCGAGATGCTCCCGCGGCCGGGAACGGAGACGGGACTGGCGACGGGGGCGATGCTGGATGTGAGCTATTCGAAGCTGGGGGAGTGGTGGAATGTGCGGCCGGATGTGCTGATCGTGCCGAGCATGCTGCCACCATTTGTCAAGGTGTGTTTGTCTGTCTTTCCGGTGGGCGTCACTAACAGGGAATTATAGGTGGTCGACAGCGTAACAGTGATCAACCCGGGGATGCTGTCAAAACGACGAGCGGCAGGGACATATGCACAGCTCGCGATCCATCCGCGGACGATCAGCGAGGAGGAGCGCGAGCAGAAGCAGGTGGGCCATAAGTTGTATGAGCGGACGCGAGTGGACATCAACCGGATTTAGGATGAAGATATATGAACAAAAGGATCAGCCTGACTCATCCCATCCCGATGACCATAACTCCATCTGTCCAGTAAACTGACTCCATGCTCCCCCGTATAGCCCATAGCCCCGACCCAATTTCTGTGTAGCACATAACCCAGACTCCATCCTTCCAGTAAAACCTGACACCATTCAATATACCCTGAACACCATACATAGCCCATAGCCCATCCCAAATCCAAACCCAAACCCATAACACCAACCCAAAACCCAATATCCCCAATCCCCCTCCCCACAGTCTATACATCTGAACCCAAGAATCACCTCAAACAAACCACCCTCCTCCTCCCGCCCATCCTCCTCCCCTCCTCCCTAACCCTCAACCCACCACCCGAACCTCCCGAAACCGCACCCCCAAATCCCGAAGCCAAACCCCCAGCCCCAGCCCCAGAAACCAAACCCTCCAACCCCAAATCCCTCCACCCGAGTCCCGCACCCGCACCCCCAGGACCCCCAGCACCACCCCCAGAAGAAGACCCTCTAACCATCGCCCTCGAAATCCCAAAGGCAGCATGCTGATCGGGGACCACATCGTCCTCGTCCTCGGGGTTAGGGGGTTGGAATTGCGGGGCGACGTAAATTTCTTCGATGGGGAGGAAGGTGGGGGGTCCGGTCCCCGGAGCAGAATTATTATTGGAACTGTTGGCGGTTGCGGCGGCGACGATATTTGCGGTTGCGGTGAGGTTGGAGGTTGAGCTTGAGGGGATGAGGAAGGCTGAGGATTGGCTGTGTGGACGGGTGAAGTCTTCGAAGTAGTCTGCTAGGCGGGGGTGGTGCATGTGGATTTGGTGGGGGGTGGAGTCTTTGCTCTGGTGTTTTTTTGGGTACTCGTTAGTGTTTCAATGGATCTTGGGGGAAGTTTGTGGTGTTGAGGGGGGAGGGGGGACGCATTTGGGAAAGGGAGGGGAAGGGAGGTACCATTTTGAGGGTTCGTAGGGGGATAGTGGAAGAGAGGTTCTGTTTTGTGTTGTGTTCTGCTGTGTTGTATTGTGCTGTTTTGGATTGTGCTTTGAGGGTGTGCTGTTTGAATTAGGTTGAAAGGATTGTGCTGTGTTGTTTGAATTGTGTTGAAGGGATGATGGATGCTATGTTTGCGGAGATAAGAAGGATCTCCCGGAGAAAAGCCATACTCCACCATAGTCCTCCGTACAGTAGGTATTCATGCTAACCGCCAAGACTGCATACTCCCTACCGTACATCTACTGTACATCTACTGTACATCTATGCAACCATCTAACTCATTCAATCAATTCCCTTTTCTAATCATAATACATACAGTCTCAAACTACAAATTCGTGCTCATCCGATGCACAATAGGTACCGCACTCGGAGGCAGACTGCCCATCTCCGTCACCACCATATCCACATACTCCGCCGGCGTGACATCGTACATGATGTTCAGCAGCTGCAGGTTGGCCGACTCCTTCCACCCGGTCAGCGGCGACGACACGTTCTGCGCCACCGTGTTGGACTCCGCGGCCGCGTTGGCAGCAGCGGCGGCGGCGGCGGCAGCCGACTTGGCGCCCTTCTTCGCGTCCGCGGGGGAGACAGTCGCGGCCGCGGGGTCTGGCAGATCGGTCAGCTGCTGCATGGGCTCGGCGGAGATCAGCTCGTCGGCGTCGGCGATCTCGTTGACGACGATGCTGTCGAGCGCGACCCGGTCCGTGAACTTGACGGTCTCGCAGCACACGATCACGGGCACCTCGACGCCGCCGGCGCGCTCCTTGGCGCTCATGGCGACCAGCGCGGTGCCGACGCGCGAGTACAGCCGCCCGTTACTGGTCATGGCGTGCGCGCCCAGGAACACCTTGCTGGCGGCCTTGATGGCGTGGCTGATGCCGTGGATGAGCGAGTACTGCACGTCCAGGCCGGCGTTGGCCAGCGTGCGGGCCAGGCTCTTGCCCTCGAACAGCGGCCGCGAGTCGATGATCGAGACCCGGAACTTCTTGCCCTGCTTGTGCGCCAACAGCAGCGTCTGCTTCACGATCGAGCTGCCCGCGAACGTCACGATCACATCGCCGTCCTGGATCTTCTGCGCCGCGCTGCCGGCAATAACCTGGTCGGCCACGGTGATCTTCTCGCGGATGAAGCTGTCGATGAACTCGCCGAGGAACGCCTTGGCCTCGGCCTCAGGCGTGGAGGGATCGATGGACGAGATGGCCAGCTTGAGGGCACGGATCGCATTACCCTGACTGATCGACAGCGGACGGCATGTGGACAAGTAAGTGATTTGGTGGGAGAGGTGCGTAGTCAAGTGACGAGGCAGGGAAGTTCCCATGGGCGTAGTGTACGCATCGATGACCTGTAGCCGTCAGAATGAGCCCATCACGTCCGCCGTTAATTAGAGAACTCCAAAGATTCCAAGCAACACAATTCAACAGCCCAAACCCCCGAAAAGAAGAAAGAGAATTACAAACTCACCCTCTTGAAAACCAACAACGTAGCGACACAGCGTGCACTACTCCCACAAACAACATAATCCCTCATCTGCAACCCAAGCGCCAAAACAGCAGGGTGCACCTCCTTACCAGCCCCAGCGATCGTCGTCCGTCTCTGCTGACCATAAAGATGTCCAAACACCGCCACATTCTTATCATCCGTCTTCTTATTCTTGGCCTCCGCACCGCCAGCGCTCTTGTCCATGCCGGCCGCGGCGCCACCAGCTCCACCAGAGACACTCCCACTGCCACCGTTCTGCGAGGTATTCTGCGCCGAGCCCCGACGCGGCAGTCCTCTCGATCCTCCCCCGCCGGTTGAGCCCGCGGCCGATCCGCCGTCCTTCTTCGTGGAAGCGGACCCCGTGGCGGAGGCACCACCTGCAGGTCCCGGAGCAGCGCCCGAGTCCCGTTCGGCGCGTTCGCGGGCCCGTCGCGCTGCCTTCTCGGCTTTGGCTCGCTTTTTCAGCTCGGCGGGCGTGAGCTGGGCTGTTGCGCCGTCTGCGGTCGCAGGGCTAGCACCACTGCCGCCGGCGGCGGCATCTTTGGATTTGCTGGCCGGCTTGGGCTTTTGTGATTGTTGCTGCTTGCTGGGCTTGGAAGGAGTGGATGTCGTAGGAGGGGCGGCGGCGGCGGCGGCGGCGGTGGTGGTGGTGGTGGTGGTGGGAGCAGCTGCTGCTGCAGGTGAGGGGGAGGGCGCGGTCGGAGTTGAGCTCGTCATTTCGCCGGTCGTGATGGTGGTCGTCGCGGTCGCGGAGACGAGGGATTGCGAGGACGTGTTGGTCTGCGCTGAAGGAATCGGAGGGGTCGTCAACAGGGAATACTTCAAGAAAGGATGACGGCCGGCGCGACAGGCATTGATGTTTGACCGGAGGAGTTGGGGTTGAGGATCAGATTCAGGTTGTTGCGGGCGACTTTTTCGGAGCGGATTGGGAAGCGGAATGTGGGGAATCAGAAAAGGCACTGCAAGGAAAGGGAAGGGCTTTTTTGCCGGCTTGGGCTTGGGCTTTGAGTCACTCCTCCCACTTGGGGTCTTTCCCCGTCGGATAAAGAAGCCCTCCATTGTTGCAGTGTATTCCAACTTCCAAGGCACATAACACACTATACAGTAACTCTACTCAATCATATGCACTCGGTAAGAGATACACACTCAGCTCTTATTCTTTTCCCTCGTCTTCTTCCAGCTCATTTGGGCATCAAGACATTTCATCATGGCGCGGTCTGGCGGACATCCTGGCGATATCCTGCGTACCATACGTACAATCGTTCCATCGTGGCATACATGAAACAACAAAAGAAAAAGAAAAAGAAAAACAGCAAACGTATCATATCACGCCAATAGCAAAGCTGGCCTTCTAATCCAGGGTTTATAAGACCCGGATGTCATCGGAATCATTCATCCAGCCCAACACCAATCCGCATAACGCCATCGAATCCCAGAAAACCACCCACCACACGCTGTAGTCAAGGATCCTGGAATCTTGCTTCCAGAACAGTTTCACTATCGGTTATTTCCCCAAATGGCGCCCAAGGCCCGTCGGCTCTTCCGATCCTCTTTCGTGGTTTGAGTCGGTCGGAATCGTTCATGGTCCGTCGCCAACTTGCGTTTGAACACACTCAGGTCCTCCAATAGGTCTTCCATGTGTGCCTGCATCTGGTGCGCCTCCAGGTGATTCGTTTTATCATCGCTCACAGGAGCTTCTTCTTTCTTCCATATAGAGTTGGGCTCCGACTCATCGCCAGATGTGGGCGCTGGAGACAGGGCCCGGTTGTAGCGCTTGCGCGTTGACGGGGAGCCATCGATTTCATTCACACTGTACAGGCTGCTCCGCCGTTTTGGCACAATCACCGGTGGGATGGGGTTTCGGAGACTATCCAACGCCAACTTGAGGTGGTTCCGAAGGGCCTCATTCTCCGTCTGCAACTGGCGGATCTTGCACTCGCTGACCATCTTGGTTTCCTCCATCAAGCGCTGCATTTTCTCCACCTTTTGCTGATATTCCTCGAGCCGCTCGTTCTGTATCTCGCTTTCCCGCCGATTGGCGGTCGCCTGGCTCACACTCAGCTGCAGCGTGCGGATCGTCTCAGCCATCTCGGCAATCTGCTTGTCGCGCTCCGCAGCAGACAGGTGATCCTGATTCACCCGAGCACGCGTGCGAATCCGCTTCGCCTGGTCCGCATATCGCAGCGTCGACAGAGTTTCCTCATAATCGGAGGGCGAGATGCACGCGATCATTGCTGTCTTTGAGTTACCGCCCAGGCTGTCCTTCAACAACCAAGTGAGGATCGAGTCTCGATAGGGGACGATATCTTTGCCCTTGCGCTTCGCCGGACGGCCCTGCTGCGGATCGGCCAGGGCGGCAATCACCCGCCCCAGTGTCGTCAACGATTTGTTGATGTTAGATCCCTCCCGGAGACGCTGGCCCGTCGCCTCGGTAGACTTGGCTCGTTCCGAACCCGCCAGGTCGACCAGCCGAATTCGCGCCGTGCGTTCGGTCGTCTCGTCGGTCGACAAGTCATGGTGGATCTGCTTGAGGGTAATCGTGAAAACCGCATGCGACCGCGACGAGGTGTCGTTCATCTTTGTGCTGGCCACCGTCCGAGACATATCTCCCTTGCGCATGAACCGCATAATCTCCTCATAGTTCTTCACCGTCACCTCCGTCAAGTCCTTGACATAGGGCCCCTCCGTCGGAGACTCACGGATGCGCAGGTAGTGCGGAGGCTCCGTGCGCGGCACCAGCAGGTCACGTACATGCTCATTGTAGACTTCGAAGTAGGAGACACGGACGTTGTAGCTGATATCAGGAGACTCGGCCGTCTCGATTCGTTGAAAGAGGTCCTCACAGGTCCGGGGGATCAGGCCTGGTTGCTCCGACGTTCCCATCATGGTGTAACTCTTCCCGGATCCCGTCTGCCCATATGCGAATATGCAGGTATGGTATCCCTCAAAGTTGTGATCCAGAAAGTCCTCTCCGAGACAGTTGTACACATCCTCCTGCGTGGCGTAATGGTCGTCCTTGACGTTATGCGACCAGAACGAGTTATCGAAGACGAACGACTTGTCTTCCTGGACCTTTCCGCGCGCTTGCGACTTGGGCTTCCCTTCATCATCCGGGTGGGTTCGTGGAGCCCGCAGCTTGGTCATCTGCGTGTGCGGGTCCATGGTTATGAGGCATTGGGCCCTGCGCTCGATTTCTGTGCTCAATGGGCAGTGACGGCCCGGGATTAGTTTTCATCAGCCCTGTTCACCCCCCATTGACAGAGACATACCTCTAGGCAGAAAGGTCCGCACTCGGACCACCACGCGGACATTGCCCGCAGGCGAGGGACTCGAGAGGCCATCGGCTCGACGCGCCGCGACGGGGACGCTTTCGCGAGCGCGCAGCGAAGGACTTGACGCGGTCGACCGTAGCATCGCAGCGGAGGCGGTCATTGAGTGGACGGATGGGCTGGTGATGCCGGTAATGGCGGACATGGCGGATGACGTGGCCGAAGACGGAGAGCTGGGCCCGGCGCCGTAGCCGAGATGGTGGTAGAACCGGGGGTCCAGGGACATATCGCGGCCGTGGTCGAGGAGGAACTGTACAAGCTGAGTGAGGTGCTCCCGCTGGCGTTGCAGTAGGGAGTGAGACATACGGGCAGGGCCAAACACGACAACTGCGGGCAGGTCGTCGCTGCTGGGTTCGCTGGGTGGCCCCCCGGGCACGGGGTAGTCGGCCTTTCCCGTGGGCAGGGAGATCGAATCCTCAAGTAATCAAGTAGCCTAGCCTGGGTCGCAATGCTCCGGGGAAGGGAGGGGGTTTGGTCAATCAGTTGGTCTCTGGATCTAAACAACAATGATCGGCCGGGATAGCATGGGTAACTACTATGAAACCGGGCAAGTAGTAAACAGTCGAACAGGATGGGTTTCTGCGATGGAAAGTCAAAGAGAGAAACATGCAGCAGTACGCAAGGAGGTCGAAGACAAGACACACACCCTCAGTGGGGAGTGATACACAGCACCGTGAAAGCAAGACAGTAGCAGAGAGTAGTTATCGTCACTTGGAACGATGGATGAGATGCCTCGTTTGGGGATTTCCCGATGGGGACTAGGCCCCAGCCTCAGGCCGCAGCAAGGCGATTCCCCCGGCTGCCGTTGCCATAGCAATTCGTCCGCCGACCGGTTTCGTCGACTCCAGAACATGCTCAGACCATGCCTTGGAGCGATGAGACATCTGGAAGTGGATCAGACAGTCTGTTTTTTATTGTGTTACAGTGGGTCAGGGAAGGAACCCCGGATGTTTCGATGTTTCAATATTTCAATGTTTCAATGCTTCATTCCTGACTATCGCAAGTGGTACACAAGTTTCCGTTCATTTACACATATCTCAATAACATAAGGCTGACACAATCGCTAGTCGACTGCGTCGGTGACTGACCATCATCGACCAGACAGTCGTGATTCGAACTGACCAAGCAGTTTAATCGAAATCGTCATTGGCCGCGGCAAACATGTCTCCTTCGTCCTGGCCTTCACTTTGGCCGCCTTTGGCTGACTTGCCCATCCGGGCACCGTCGACGTAGGAGATAGGGTCGGGCACAGGGTTACCGTCGCGGTCCATGGTGGTCTCGAACATCTCCTCAGGACTCCATTTGGCAGTGGGGTCCTCCTTCTTCGAGCCGGCCTGGTTCTCCGTGCTCTGCGGCATGCGCGAGGCGGTTTTATCTTTTGAGGACTGCATGGTGGGCGCTCGTTCTGCTCTTGATTAGTCGTAGAACTCGTAAGCCGTAACCAGTCGACAGCAGCACTCCTGAGGGCAGGAGGGACAACCAGCGTACCGGTGAAGATACAGTTGCTTGGTGTTGACTTCAAGTATTGGCGTGGTTATGTTTCTGGGCGTTCGAGGAGTCTCTGAAGGTGGGAACAGAGAGGGTTATATGACCGGCAGTGGTACAGATGATGCGGCGATGACGCCGGGACTTTTGATTGTGCCTCATCATGTGGTTGTGAAGCTGATTGATCCCCCGCAAATTGGTGAGGTCATGACGGGAGTGCGATGAGAGGCATTGGTTGCAGCCTCGGGCTGGGCACGGCCTCCTGTGGTTCGGCTGACAGTCGCATCGAGTCCCACGGATAACTCCCTTTCATCCCAACTCGGCATCCATGGATGAGTCAAGGCCATATGGCTGACAGTTACTTCGTGAACGGGGTCGGGACGGACCAACGGATGTCACCAGCATAATCTTACTGCGCGTGCGGAGGACGATAAGCAGCCAAGAATGCGGAATCCGCCGGGAGGGAGGGAGGTCAGAGAAGGATAGAAGGATAAGAACAAGAACAAGAACAAGAACGGAGGGTAGGGCTATCTGTCGGGCTGTGGGCCATGAAGAAAGGCGCCGGTGCCGTGCAGAAGTAATAAGCGATAATTGGCGATCGGTTGCTGGTGCATGCCCAGGGGTTGGGTTGAGGAGACTAGAAGGGACTATCGCTGTCGGCAGACCAGACTGCCCCGATGTCTCTCACCGGGCTGCCTCAAGTTGATGGAGGGCGCCAACACAGGAAATTGAAGGCAGAACGAGGTGAGCATCTTGGCTAGATGTGGTACAAATGCATTGAACACCCTTCTGACTTGGCACAACGCCCTCAGTCAGTCTGCATCCTGTTCCATAGTCACCATCTGTACTTACAGTCCTGTACATCCATCCACTTTCAGCCCTATCCGACCGGGTGGATCGAGGGAAGTGAATGGCAGGATTCCTCTCTGCCTCTCCGCCGCCCAATTGTTTGACTTACGAATATCAATCAAAGTAACGCCGAGCGCCAGAGTCTGCAGTGGTGCACTAACGCAATGGCGCAATGGGCCTTGGGTGCCATTCGGTGAGGCAGGGAAGAGACCAATCCGCGGGTCTTATCATTTGGCCAAGATGTAACTAGTCATCGTTCGCCGAGAGACGATCTTCAACATTTTCGTTCTTTGCGTGTCAGCCCCGGACTTTGTTCTTCACATTTTCTTCCGAGGCCGGCGGTCACCGCTGGGATAAATACTGTGACTCCCCGGGCTAACCAGCGCACGCAGGCTTGTTCAGGCAGATAGGACCCTTTCTCCTCCGACCTCAATTCTCGTCCCCTCCAGCAAAGAGCAGTTGGGAGTAGTCAGTATCTATCAGACACTCACTCACTCACCACGCCATGTCCGAGAAGCCCCCTGCCCCATCCTCGCCCGAGGGTAGCGACCTGGAAGCGTCCGACCCCGAACCGCAGAAGAAGCTCTCCTTCTCACAGCGGTGGAACCAAAATGTCGACCCGAAGTACACGGACCTCATCTGTCTGTTGCTCTGCTTCACGACAGGCCTCTGCGACAGCAGCGCCTATAACGCCTGGTCGTGTTTCTTAGCCATGCAAACGGGTACGTTTGATGCCCTTTCCTCCTCCCTTCCCTCCCTCCCTCCCTCCCTCCACCATCACCCCACACCCCCACGCCATCGCCATCGCATCCCCCCACCAGAACCCCACTAACATAGTTCCAATGCAAAACAGGAAACACGATCTTCCTAGGGCTAGGCGCCTCCGACCAACCCGCCAACAAACCATGGGGCTGGCTGAAGTCGCTGACGAGCATCGGATGGTTCTTCATCGGGGCGCTTGTATTCGCGAACATCACGCGGCGCAGCGGCAACCGCGCGCGAGGCACGCTGGTGCTTTCGTTCCTGGCGCAGGCGTTCCTGATCATCGTCGCCGTGGCCATCATCGAGGCCGACCTGATCCCGCACACGTCGACGGACTCGAAGCTAACGGGCGGCCGGCTCTTCCTCGAACTCATCCCCATCGCGCTGCTGGCGTTCCAGTCGGCCGGATCGATCACCTCGTCACGCGCGCTGGGCTACAACGAGATCCCCACCGTCGTGCTGACCAGTGTCTACTTCGATGTGGCGTCGGATCCGAAGCTGTTGCAGGTGCCTAACGGCAATGTGAAGCGTAACCGGAGAATTGGTGGTGTGGTGTTCTTGTTGATCGGGGCGATTGCCGGCGGTTGGTTGAGTAAGACTTCCGGCGGCATGGAGTCGGCGTTGTGGATGGCTGCTGGGGTGAAGTTGGTGATTGGGTTGGGGTGGTTGGTTTGGAAGGGGGAGAAGAAGGGTTGATGGAGTCACGGTGATGAGGTCGTTCATATTTAGGTCGTTGGACTGATTATTGTTGTGGTTAATATATAGATAGAGGTGGACAAATGACATGGATAGATTCGGTTTGCTCTGTGAGTCGTTTGACTACGTAGTATGTGGTGGTCGTCTGCGTGGTAGCAGGATGAAGGTATACTTGACAGACAACCTACCGGGCAACATAGGATGCATTTCATTGATTCACGTCATTCAGACTACGGCACCAGAACCTATACCATCATCCATACCCATAACTCCCAATGGACTTCCCCTCCGTCCATTCCTTACACCACCAGAAAGAGAAGCCATGTCGAACTTATTTCTGATGACTTACTCGACACTACTACACTTCAACAACCACTTTAAATCATAGTAATCCTGCCTTGCACTAAGCAACTATTCAACAATCCGAGTCAACCACTCAGCAGCAACATTCCCTCGCCCGTTATAGATAATGAACACCATACAAAGTACTGTACACCCATCGACAAACCACAACCCACCCAGCCAACTAACACCGGTTAAACCACCACCTATCAACACCAAGAACCGCGCCCAGACCAAACAGCAAGAGGGAGAAACCTGGCAGTCCTCCACCTTCCCCTCCACCTGAAGTTCACCCTGCATTAGCACTCCCCGTTCCAACAATCTCCACCAATAAACACCTCGACAAAATGATCGACCCTTCCCCTCCCCTCCATTATAGACAATCACCCCTCACCACAATCAAGAATGCCCGATAATCTAGCACAAGATAGACAAAGACAAAGAAGAAACAAGGACAATAGCCGACCCCGAAACCAAGTCCACCCGACCTTCCTCCGCAACCGACCAACAAAGTGACAACCGACACACCCACGAGAAACTACATAGTACACAAAGAAAGAGGAGGCCACCACCACTGCATGGCACCAATACCATAGCATACTAATTCTACATCATCACCAAGACTTTGACACCACCACTCTTCACTTAAACCATATACTTATAACCATCTATACCCAACTAGTCCACCGAAGAAGACAAAAGAAGACAAGATATCCAAACCAACACCCCAACTCCTACTAATACTTACCCACAACCCCTCAGCTACTATCCCTATTACCTACGTATCCAAGCAATCCCTAAATCCCAACAACCCCACGTAACCCCACCAAACACATATAGACATTATACACAGACAGTGACACAGACACAGACACATAACCGTGCATGCATCCGCGCATCACGCATTCATTCCATTCCACGTAAACGTAAATCCCGGACCTAAACTGATATCATACATTCCTCATTCCACACACCCCGAAGGAGAGGGGAATATACCCAGACGGGAAGTGATCTACCAACCTACTACCGTATCAGGGAGGAAGAGTTGTTCTCATGTGGAAGGGTTGAAGGGTTGAAGGAAGTAGTACTAACTTAGCAGTACACGCGGTTCCTGTCTGCCTTCCTATCTGTCTGCCTGCATGCAGGCGGTTATGCAGGACAGGGTAGGCGTGGTAGTAGGCGGGGCTGGAGGGTGAGAGGGTTTTCTGGCATTCTTTTTGTTTTTGCTTTCGCGTTGGCTGTTACTTGCGGTTTGGCTGGGCTGGGTGGTGATGTCAGGTTGAACTGAGGGTTGCCTTAATTCTTTGTCAAGGTGAAGTCTGGTATGAGGTCGTTGACGGGCTAAGCTGCAGACTGGAGGCTGAGGATGCTACAGCTATGCCTAAGGCTGAGCTGAAGCTGAGCACTAGCAAGGGGCCGAGGAGGCTCACGCTCAGCCTTACTGGTGTTTGTTACACACGATACCACGTCCGATGCATAGGTCTAAGTAGAGACTTCAAAGTACGTCCACTGTATTTGTATACTGTCAAGGTTTATGGTATGTCTATCACGATAGGAGGATAATAACTAGTAAGACGGCTGATCTAGCCCAGCCAAGCCAAAAAAGAGAGTCAACCAGCAGTCCCGGGGCGAAACAGTGATCGCAGAATGGTATCATCAAAAAGACAGACAGAAGGTGAAAAAAAAAAAGCCCGCAGGAATCGCAGCAGCAACACGCAGCAGATAAATGCAGCTTACGCCCTGAAACTGGAAAGGCACGCCCAAAGTAAAACAAAATCCCAGCCCCGAAGAACATATCCAAAGAAGAATGATCGGAAGCGTTATCCCAAAACAGTAACAACCAAGAACAAGTCTTCAAATGTAAACCAAAAACAAAATCAGCCATCGCGCTGATAACGATGGACAGGACTGATCCCCAGAAGATGCACTGTAAAATGGAGCCAGACTAAACGCGCTCAAATGCAGGCCGACAGTTAATCAATCCAAGCAGTGTAAGTAGGCAACAAATGCTCACGCGCCCTATAATCCTGGTGTAGTGCGAACTGTGCTGTCAAAGGGCTCCCATATAAATGTCAAAAACCAAGAAAGATTAAACAAATATTACTTTTGGTAGTCGTATATGAGGAGAGAACCTAATGAGCCGAAGGGCGACGGAGGATCTCTTCGCAGTTGGCGTCAAACCGCATGTTCCACAGACGGATGCTGTTCATCAGCTTCTCCGTGTTCTCCAGCTCGCGATCCCGGCCAAAGATCGTCTCGACAAATTCACAGCCAGCGTTGCGGCCCATCGACACGGATCCCTTGCCGCCTTCGCGCTTGGCCGCCTTCCACATAAATTGCTCGCAGGTCTTGAGCAGCTTCTTGAACCGCGCCCACAGGCGTTCGCCACTCTGCAGGAAGTCTCCCACCACCTCTTTCGCCTCGGGGCGCCTGATGTGCTTGAGACATTCGGAGGCTCTCTTCACTTTCCCGGCCAATTTGATCAACAGCAGCCACAGATCGCCCGCCACATCAGCCATAGGCGTCGAGGCGCCATGGGTGAACACGGTCCAGTCGTAGATCCATTTGCCCAGCGAATTCGCGTCGAAAACACTGCCCAGGAGGATGATCGGCATTTCCGTCGGATCCCAGTTCTTGATCGAGTAACCAGGGGGAATGCCCTCGCGAGCAGCATCGGCCTCTGTGGCCTTGGGTGGCGGCTTGGAGGGGGCGGCGGCCGGCTTGGGCTTGTTAGGCGTCCGGGTGGAGGTGGATTGACGGCGCGCCCGCGATCGTTTGGCCGCATCGACATCTTCCTGGGCGGGCATCTGATTATAGTAGAAGTATTGATCAGTGGGTGGCTTAGGCTTGCGTTGGGACGTCGACGGTTTGCGACGGGGAGGACTGGGTTCCTCGCGGAAGACGTAGCGCGGCGCATCAACATCGGATCCATCGTCGACCACGTCCACAAAGATGGGCCGCTTGTGCGACGGCTGCGACGGCTGCGACGACTGCGACGGGTGGACCCCGGCGTGTTCCCACGGGCCCGCCGCAGGGGCCCCGGACATGGTACTACGACGACGAGGATAGCCACCAAAAGAAGCACTTACAGGATCGTGCTTGCGCGGTGGCGTGCCATATTCCGGCATCGCTTCGTAGAACCCTTGTCCATACCCGGCATACCATCCGGCCGATTCTTTGGTGCCGGCGTAGCTGGCTTTGCGGTTGTGACGCTTCGAAGGCCCGCGCGGAGAGCCGTAGGCATTGGCATATGGGGAGGCGTAGTAGGCGTAGTGAGGAGACGTGGGAGGTGAAGTCGTGTAGTCGTAGGACCACCCGGGGGGTGGAGTGGTGTAGTGGTACATTATCGAGAAACGAGCATAGAAATTCGAGTCACGCTGGCAAACAAAACACGTCGAGTGCGCAAACTTTTTAGATGTGGGAATATAGACCCGGTAGGAGTAGCGATGAATCAGGTGCAAAAATGAGAACAACACAACCCAGATATATTATACAGGATATCGTAGTAACAAGCCGATCGACGCCGGAGCAGAGGACAACGAAATCGGAGGATCGATGGGAAGAGAACCGTCACCGCGGGACGGTTTCTAAGGGAGAGGAGGGATAGAGTTGTATGTGCTGAGAGTGCATTTGAACGTCGTCGCTCCACCGAACGCTGGACGGGAGATATTGTTGAAGGCGACTATGCTATGCAAAGAAGCAACCTGGGATCCCTAGAAGACTCGACCGGAGTCCGCGACGAGAGTGGCGAGCAGGCGCGCGACGAGAACTTTGCGGTTAGACTCGCTTTGATCGCTTGAGAATTCGCACTTTCAACCCAGGTACAATGGCGGAAAGGGGAGGGAAAGTAAATGGTTGATATTGTTGATATGGTTGTTGAGGTTGAACCCAAGCAGGGTGTATGAATGGTGGAAATGGGGGGGGAGAGGGAGGGAGGGAGAGGAGACAACCGGTTTTGTAACCACGGGACAGGAAAGAAAGGGTGGGCGGCGAGTGGGGGCTGCACTGGGTGGTAAATTTCTGCGGCGGAGCCACTAGTTCTTTAGTCTCGCACCAGCAGTGAGCATTGAGCATTGAACAAGACTGCCTGACTGACAAGACTCAAGTGAGCAGTCTAGTCGAGTCCACTGCTTGCTCTTTTCTCGTTCCGTTTCCTGCTTTACAATACCGTACTCGGTATCTTATGTGGTGATGATGGAGGGATGGATGCCTTGGGCGCGTTTCAGGCCCACCCTCCATCCAGTAGGGAGAGAAAGGGAGGGAATGGATGGATGGAAACAACAAACTGTTTCTAAAACAGGATGATGCTGTTCTGAATTCTGGATTCTGGATTGCTGCTATGAGAATGAGACAATGAAGAAGCTGATCACCTTCCAGCTCATTTCCAGAGTCATCACCATTACTCCCTCTTTTCCAAGGTCCGGCCGGGGTGATCAGCTGGAGAGGTTTCCTACCTTTATATACACTACCAAAAGAGGGGCGATGAATGAAATGCGCAGATTTGCCGCCCGCATTGCTCACTGCGGTCACTCTTCATGCCACACGCAGGCACACTCACACTCACACACTCACACCCCCTCTCTCTCTCACCTTCTTACTCATCATAACAACAGGCTCCCGTCGGACAGAGTCATCTGAACATTCTACTACATACGATACCCATACCTTGTTGGGCATCTCCCGGGACTCCCCCTCCCTTATCCCCATTGACGTGCTGAAACAGGACGAAGGCCGAAGGAAGGAAGAACAAGCTGTTGCGGCCACAAACCAGGAGATCATCCCTCCACTCATCCGCGTCAACATGGCCGTACATGGCGAACAACTCGATCCTCAGCATCTCGTTGATAAGAGTCACGCTGTGCGTCATTGGCCGGGCGCTTCGTCCAACACCGCTGGGGATTAACCGCATGGCATCCGATGTACCCTACCGTTGGAGCCTGCAGGAAACGCGATCAAGCTGGAGAGCCGATCCTAGTTGACAGTCCTTCATTCGGTCGTTTGGTATGTCAATGACTCATGGATCACATGGCCACGGGTGGCTCAGTCGTTTGAGTAGTTAAGCCTTGATAGTTGATAATATCTTCCAGCGTCAGCCCCAAGGCTTCTTCTTGAACTCAACTGCAGCCTGGCTGTGGCAAAGATGACGGGGCTGCGCAACAGTAACTCCTCTACCCGAATTCTACGGAGTTATTTGGTGTCACAGTAGTTGGAATGGCCCAAGGTCGAAAGTACGGTCTCTCGGGTACAGTACATGGGATGGGATGGGTTGAATAGCAGAGATGGCTGTAAACAGATATAGTCCGGAGGCACTAAGATAGTTTTCTTATCGCTGGTCGGTTCCATGGTCAGCGTGCGGGTGAGCCCGTCCAACGGAACTAGAACCAGAGAGGCATTTCCAGCTCAGTGGAACCAGATGGCATGGATATCTCCTGTTGCGACCACGAGCACGAACCGGCCTAGTCATTCAAAGTTAGTTTGTTGGGCAACTTTGAGTAAGACTCTTGGTGGTGGTGATGTGATCGAAGGGTGGTGGATGGGCGTTACCGCCGCCCACCAGCTGGGCAGCAACCACACCCATCGATCCATCCTGGATACTACTTGGCTTGTCCGGTTGGACAGACCGCAATTTGCACAGTTGAGCGCGGGAGTCTAAAAAAGAAGTCTCTCCCTTCAAAATTAAATTCTCCGACCGGACATATCCCTGATTTTCCTGTTTAGTGCAGTTGGTTTTCCTTTTGTTTCGAGAATAAAAAAGGAAGTATCTGCGAAGTCGGAGGGAAAGGGTATCTGAGTTGAGACCGGCACTATTGGAAATTGCATACCGTATACCTACTTACTCCAGATATTGCTGACAGGCCTGGCCAAGTGTGAATGTGATAGGGACTCTCCCAAGACGCCCATGCAGGCCAAACGGCAACAAAAGGGTCACAGTTAGACTAAGACGAGGATTTTCGTCCCCTCCTCCCCACCATGATTCGAGCCCGGACATGGGCTTAGCGACTATCTAAATAGTGAACCCGACTGGCTCAGGATCTATCCAATAACACAGGGCTACTAAGACTCTTAACCCGGGCGAGTGAGATGCCTACGCAATCGGAGTTCAGCAGCCAGTAAGGTCCGATGACCCCTGGCATATAGGCAGCCCTTTTTCGCTCGGCTCAAGTCTCTAGCATGGTTGCACATGGCGCTCGGGGGGTCCAAGCAGGTCAAAGCCCAGATGTGATCATGGTTACGTGGTGGCGTTGGGACGATGGTCTAGGTATTGCCAAGCAGAAGTACCGGCAATATAGGACGATAGTGTTGTGACTCTTTGTTCACAGATATCTCTTATTGTTGTAAAAGGAATCAAGAAGTGATCGATGCAGAGCAGCAGCGGCAAACGCCATCGCCTACTTGCTCCACCCATTGGACGGGCAACGGAGACGCGGATGCGGGATGAGGGTCCGGTGGGCGCAGAAGAGCTGATCTATAGATACGCAGGATTCACCAGGCTCCGCTTGCGCAGCGCCAACGTTTCTTGAATGCATGACTACAAAGACAGTCAACAATCAATTTCCAGATAGTCTGTTCACTTCCCCTCCAAAGATGTGTAACCGACGGCGGCAAACTAGCGTCTACTACAGACAACTACTGAGTGATAGTAAGAAGTAGTTAGAGTGACTTGAATGTGACCTGCAATCCCCGTCACCTTCAAGCGGGACGCTTTTCCCGACCGTCGACCATTCAGCAAGCAGCGACTGATCAAAGCACAGACGGGCAATCGAAGGTCTCTGGAAAGACTCGACTGCAAGACGGCCGAGATCAGACACGGCACTATCAGAGCTAAACAGGAATTAACAATCCCACCCTCCACACTTTTTAGGGCAGAGTCTCCAGTCTCCACCGACAGAGTTTTTCACCGTCCCTTGCTTCTTTCCGAAGCCGATGATCTAGAACCCACTGGTGGTGCTGCTGTTGGTGTTGTTTTGGTTGACCGTCTTGTCTTGTCTTGTCTTCGCTACTGGGGTAATGTATGGTAAGGTACATACAATACACGGACTACCGTAGTCACTGTACTTATCCATCTATCTCGTTTGAACACAACCCACCTGAATAAAATCCGAGATGAGATGTGTCGATTCGGACTTGATTATTGGACAGCTGATCTGACACCTGACAATCCAATTAAAGCACTCAGCCGTGCCTTGAATTCCCTCAGCTGTGTATTCCAGATATCCTTTCTGCAGCCGACCGACGAGACCATCAATCGATCTCTTAGAGTTTCTGTCTTCATCTGTTGTGTTTACTGCAATCCCAGCCACATGCCGATCTCACGCGAGCGAGCGCGCCAGTCCGCCCGTCCGCGCAACAGGAATTCGAGGGAGGAATGGACTTCTTAAGTAGGAGAAGGCGCAGGAACTGCCAGAGGATTGTGTGCGCGTGACAAGATGCCCTTACCCTGAGCCCTAGTCAGCTTGATCTATTTATACTATAGGCACAGTAACCACTTAGGAGTAAAGTCAACTAGACACCTCAGCAACATGGCACAGCAACATGGCACAGTTCTAGCAGCAGCAGTAGCAGCAATCAACGACGGCCCAGTCAAGCCAAACAGCTTGCATCCACAATGCTCACTGCAGTCCTAAGCATGCACCTCAGATGCAGCCAATATCTCGCCCAATGACCACCCGCATAGCTTAGCTCTCTACTCCGTAGTCCCCCAATCGAGAGAAGTAAGTTACATACATACTGACAGTAGTGTCGAATTCAAACCAACCAACCAACCAACCAACACCGCGCAAAGAACCCGAGTCAAAGAGACCAAATTCCATTTCATCACAAGTCATAGATGCGATACGCTCAAGGCTAGACTAATAGCCGCTGTCCACCCCGCGTTCGCTGCTAGAACTACGGAATACGGAGGTAAGCCACCCTCTTCCCTGCAGCTCAGTCTTCCCGGAAGAGCCTTCCGCAGAGCAAACTTAACCTACTGTAGCAACAACTTTGACGCACGTTTGCGTCGCCCGGGCCTACCGACCTTGTTGGTGAGATCCCAGGTAGCGTGTGCTGTTTGCAGGTCTGTCGTTATCAACTCAAGTACCTACGACGTGTTTCATGCCAAGGAAGACATCATTTGAACAATCAAACAGCCCATATCGACAAACAGCTACGGTAGCATACCAGCTCATTTGAATAATGTATTTCACTAAGTAGGTAGATATTCTCTGCCGTGCCAGCGTGAACAGATAGGATAGGATGACTCGTATTCCCTCATACTCGCTCCGTACACCACCTAGTTACCCCCTCCCCCACCCCCTCACGCACTATCCATCTAAACCAAACCCAGCCAATCCTAACCCAGCTCTCAAACGAGATCGAACAAAGTACTCCGTACTGTCCAACACAGCCCACGGCTCAGACCACAATGCGAGTAATCGCACACACCCCCGAAGATTGGGCGTTGGATCGTCGGAATGTAAGTACTGCTTCTAGCCAGATTACATACACTGCACGATGCGTAACTAAGGTAGACTGGCCGGAATATTGTACCCCTCCCCGTGCTTCTTTCCATCCCGCTCGTTGGACCTGGTGCTCTTGGTGTCTTCTTGCTCGGTTGGAATTGTATTTATTTTCGGTTTGGGGGATGTTATGTTCGATGGGTCGGTTGCTATGTAGTAGAGATTCAGTGGTGGTTATTGCTGGAGGGAGATTGGATGGCAGATGGTGGATGGCAGATGGTGGAAGGTAGAAGGAGGAGCGTGGGTACTGTGTCTGCTTCACTGGAGATACCAGACTGAGACATCAGATCCTGGTTGCTGTCTCGGGTATATCGGATTCTGTGTTTGTGATGTTGTTTGTGCTTGGCTACAGGGTCAGAATGCATCGTAAATCTGGCCTGTCGCCGTGGAAAGCATACGTGCTCGTACTTCATCACATTATGCAGGCATATGTATGGGTATGATGTATGTACATGAATCTCCAAGCACCCAGATAATCATACTATACAAGGATCCGTTATCATCAAGCCATATATATATAGCCCTTCAATCGAGATCTCCAGCCCGGATGATCGTCGTCATGGACAGCTCCAGAGCTGGAAGAGGCATCCCTGTCACACGATCATGTACTCGCCTTCTGCCCGTTTGATCTGCATCACCTGGTTCCACCGAAATCCCTGCCTGCGTGATGTGGAAGCCAATACCTCTGCAGAGAGGCCGTTCCAGCCGCCCAAGGCGACCGGGTTCATATTTCCTGCCCGAATCGCGTTTGGCTTCACGTACTCGTCTCTGGATCCTGCCGCCGCGCCGCTGGGGTAGGGATCTTGATACTCGGATGCGGCCGTACTTCCCGCCCAGATCTTCTCCAATAGCTCCAGACACGTCAGATTGTTGATGAATCCTGAGTCCTTGGAAAGATACAGACACCGCTCGCGGATGATCGCCCGATGGCTAGACAGCACGCACTCAGAACCCGTAACGAATAGGGGCCACAAGAGATACGCATCGCACTGTACAGCCAGAATGTGAGTCATCGTGCGTTGCACAATATGCTGGATACGAGGGTGACCAGACGGCAGGTCAGGATGAGCAAGGCGCTCACTATAGAGGATCGCCGAGTGGCGAAACGACTCAGAAATGTTAATCACATCGTCCAAATGCTGCGGTGCCACTTTCGACTGGCTCGGAGGAGATGACGGTGGCGAACTGTAGGTCTGGTGATTCCCGGCATAGGGAGACACTGACTCTCGCCGATCTAAGGGAAATCGCCACGATTCGAGCTTCTGTCGCAGACAGTACCAATCGAGCCAGAATATGGGAGAAGTCGGAGCTGCGCTAGCTTCTCCGGGCTGTGGAGGCACAGGCATCGGAAATATACACGACTCGGATGGCAGGCCCGGCGTGCCCGTGCAATAGTATGCCATATGAGGGGGAACGGTGGTAGAAGAGACATAGATGTCAGAAGATGCAGGCTGAACCTGACTATCTTGGTTTCGACTGAGGAGATTGAGACGACCAAGCTGCGCAATGAGTTTGAAAAGGCCGGCATCGCATCCAGCCAGATTCTCCAGTCCCCATTCGCCGTCCGATTTCGCGGTGATGTCCAGGCAGGCTCCGCGAAGCTGAATATCTCGATCATTCGTAGTGGCCGTCATGGTGTCGAGCCAGGTAAACATGCGGATAAACCACTTCAACTCTTCCGTCACACGGGTGGTGCCGTTGCACAGTCGAATGGCCAGCAGTTTGGTCACGCCAGCAAATTGAGCCTTGAGATGCGCGACTCCCGTATCACACCCATGGAAAAGGCACAGAATGAGCAAGGTCGCAAGAACCGAATCCGATAGCCGTTCGCGCGGATCAGCTAGTTCTGCATTCAACGCTTTGACCGCCATGCCCCTATGAAAATGCTCCTCTCGCGCTGAAGCGTCTGGCGCCTCAATACCAGACTGGCCGCCCAATGAACCGTCGGTCAAAGCCTGGTGGGCCAGGGATGACATTCGTGCGGGCAGCGTCCGCTCGGTAGACCTTGTGCCCCATCCCCGTCTTTGGCGCATGTTGCAGAGAGACAGAGTTGCGATAGCCTCTTGAAGCGATGCGCTATCCTGAGCCAATCGGAGAACATATGTGCGAAACGGGTTGGTGGGACCGTCGAAGGCCACGATCATCGGAACAATCACTTCAGCATAATAGCTAACAAGGAATCGCAGGCGTGGTGTCCGTCCGATTGAGCGTGATAATAGCTGCTGAGATAACGATGGCGAACGATGGTTGGCCAGCCACGAAGAAGTCCCGTCCGGATCATGCTGTTCCACACGCTCTACGAGCTCTTTCTGGTTCTCTGAACCATCCCTGGTGTCTGCAACTGGTATCGAAGACTGTATCGAGGCGGGCCAAACTGGCATTGCCCACCTGAACGAATCCGGTGTCGTGTGATGGCACGATAAAACAGGTGTTGATTCCGCACCGGGCACCGAATAATAGGAGGTCGCTTGAGCATCAGGGGACACCGAACCCGGATGGGGTTGCATATGATCCGCTAGTTTATCCACTTCAGGAACTGGTGTTGATTCCAAAGGTGTATGGGAGGTCTCCGACGGTTTTAATTTAGATGGCTTTTCCTGATGTGCAGGTAAACAATCCAAAGCAGCCGAGTCTGTCGACTGTGGCGACTGTGGTGACTTGGGTGCCTCCTTTGCGCGAGGCTGCGATGAGCCTGCTGCCGGTTGTGCTCCAGTCACAGGCAAAGACAGTCCTCGAAGCTTTCCCCGGCTAGCCACCCCGACTCCCCAAGTCAGGGTGGTCTTATAGCCTGCGCAATCGCGACCATCTTCCAAGCATTGGGAGCAATACGGCCGTCTCCGGTCGCATTGGGTTGCTCGTCGAGCACAGGTGAAACAGTCATCGGCCGCTTGGCTAACGACCGTTCTCTTCCGTCTTTTCCGCGGAGGTGCAGCGGAGACCGGCGGCGACTTACGCACCTGCACCGTTGAGGAAGGCTTCATCGTTGAATCGGCCAAAATCGTGGGCCGGCGAGCAGAGGTAAACAAGAGCAGGCGCCAAGTGGAGGGGACCCAGGGTGCGGGGTCCCATGGATGTTAGGTCAACCAGGGAGTAGTCACGGTGAGCAGGATGGTGATAGCCGGGCTCATATATATGGAAGAAACACCGGTGTTGAAGAGGGTGAAGAGAAGTGAATCTGAATAAAGATCTGCTTACGCGAGTACATTAGAATCGAACCCCATCAGATCCTCATCTAGCTTGCGGTGGGCCTGGACGTTGGACGGGCATTGAAGGGCAGAAGCGGCGGCGATCGTTGCGGCTTCATCCGCCGTTAGGAGGCTGACCCGGGGATTAACTTCTTAGTTCTCGGTAGAAGAAACTTTTGCAGTCGGTTTCGACGCTCTGTATTCGCCAGATTAAATTGCCTCCAGTGGTGAGCTCCATCTCCTGATCTCCGCTGGTGGGTATTCGACCATGGTTGATTGCCTTTTAGAAGGGAATGAGAAGAAGGAATAGGAGAAAGCATGAATAATGCTTCAAGGCGGATTGGAAGCAGTTCCATCGAGAACCCGCTGAGGAAAGATGGGGATGCCCAATTGGGAATAGTGTGGCACATGTTCCACCTGGCTGGATTCTGCCCGCAGTGGTTCTTTAGTCTTTACTGCTTTGGGGAAATCTTCGGCATACAAACCTTGAAACCTGGAGTACTACTGACTCTTGGGGTGCACATCTCGGTCAAACCCGATCTTCAGTATCCATTCTTTCGGGTGCCTGAGTCCCGGTTTTAGGATTTAACTCGGAGCAATAACAACCCGTTAATTGGACGAGAAGACTAATGCAAACTACACATCGACTCGTGGACATTGTTATTTGTAGTGGTGTGCAACGCAAGTCCCCAGTTTCTGCCACCGCCTACCGAAGTGAGCGCATGTCTCGACGATCGCCATCCAATTATCTCTACGATGGATTCTTCCTCGACGCCGTTGAGGTCAATTGAGACGGTCGTTCATAATTCGAAAGTGAGCTAGATGCATGGCCGTGGTCGTCCGACATCCCTAAGTTCAACTTGGCCCTTCCCCCCCATAATCGTCCCGATTGATCAGCATTCGGATTCTCCCCCAGCCTGATAACAGTTCAGTCAGCGATTCGCATCTCTCCTGGGACAACCCTCCACCCCTATCTCAAGTGTTGCCTGCCATGTCGATTTATGCCTGATCATACCGCACGAACACTTGCTGTCGAATTCACGTCTTTTCTCGTCATTCCTGCCGGACGAACTCCCCAAGTCGACACCGACACGGTTAGAACGCGCAAGACACAAGTAGCCTTTGTGAAGTCTACAAGCCAACGAACCCCTCAATCGAGGCGCAGTTCAAGATACAAAAATGCCGATCCTTCGACCGGGTCGACTGAAATCTGTTCTCACGGCCACAGGAGCCCTACTCCTCATCTGTACCGTTTATGTGTACTGGGCTCCGCCTCCAGCATCGGTAGTTCCCAGTACGGCTTTCGAGGTTCCTCTAGTTGAACGTCAAAATGCCTTCTGGAAGGTCTTGAAACCGATTTTAGAAGAGCATGGGCCAAAATGTCCCTCACCTGGTCGCACGGGCGATGTGAGCGCTGTCCATTTCGATGCCACTACCACCGATCCACGCCCCGACTTGACCACCCTCGACGAACAGGACCTACACGCCATGGAGGAGGCGCATGCGAGGTACATTGAGGCGTGTCGGACATCCGAGAAGCTGCGGCCGATTCACTCGCCCGGCACTCGGGGTGTGGTTTCCACGGCAGGAGGGACATACTTCCCCGTGTTTCTGTCGTCCTTGCGGATGCTTCGACGCCTGGGCTCGACCTTACCGGTGGAAGTATACATGAAGGATACCGATGAATATGAGAAACAAATCTGTGATGACATTCTCCCGGACCTGGGCGCACGCTGCTTGGTACTCTCTGATGTGGTAGGCAAGAATGCCATCGAACACTATCAGCTCAAGATCTTCGCCGTGCTTTTTTCATCCTTCGAGGAGGTCATCTGGATGGACGCCGACTGCTTCCCTCTGACCAAGCCCGAAACCCTGCTCGACGCGGAGCCATTTAAGGCGGCCGGTCTAGTAACCTGGCCGGACTTCTGGGCGTCGACCGCATCCCCGCTGTACTACAACATTTCCCGGCAGGAGATGCCTCCGATGTCGGCACGCGCCTCCTCAGAGGCCGGGGCCTTCCTCGTCTCGAAGAAAACGCACCAAATGACCCTGCTCCTGTCCGCCTACTACAACTACTACGGCCCGTCGCACTACTTCCGACTCCTGTCGCAAGGCGCCCCAGGCGAGGGCGACAAGGAGACCTTCCTGCAAGCAGCCTCAGCGGTGGGCGAGCCGTTCTACGCGGTGAGCGAGCGGGTGCAAGCCGTAGGCCACGCCAAACCAGGCGGCGGGATCTCCGGTTCGGCGATGGTGCAGACGGACCCGATCGAAGACCACGCGCTGACGAGCGAGGGCAAATGGCGCGTGCAAGACCCGTCGGTAGCCAAGGCGCCGCACGCGTTCTTCATCCACGCCAATTACCCCAAGTTCAACCCGGGGGAGAAGGTTTTCGGGATGAAGTGGGAGACGGCGCCCACGCTCCGAGCGGACGGGTCCGACGGCCGGGCGTGGGTCGTGCCCGAAGATACCGTCCAGCGGTTCGGGTACGACGTCGAGCGCGCGTACTGGGAGGAGATCAAGAACATCAGCTGCGACCCGCAGATCAGCTTCTGGACGTGGGAGCGCAAGGATGAGATCTGCGAAAAGGTGGAGAGTTATTGGGGTAATGTCTTTGCGGAGCCGCATGATGATGATCCCCAGTTTGTCGATGCGAGCTGAATTTGATACCACGGATTCGTTCCATCTTTTGATATTGATATTCTGACGATATGGCATGGTTTTTATGAACGACGACACGGTTTCTGAGCCAGCTGTTGTGTATATACATTCTACGATTCTCTCTATGTATTTTTCGGCAATGTAGATAATGTCCTGTCCTAACATGGTTTGTTTCAGGGTGCTGTGTGCAATTAATACTGACGGTGAAAGCAGTGCAACAAGCTGAGTGCATCAAGCGATCCAACGATCTTGATATCAGATGCAGCTACAGCAAAGCCACACTACCCATCCGCATCTATACGCAAACCACCACCACACTACACAGAACCACACGAAGAACTCCATGAACATCTTTTACATCTACAATGATTCCAAAAAGGTCACCGACAATAGTTACGCTCATGCGATCATCACATTTCAAAGTCGTCATAAAAATATACCCGTAACATAGAAGAGGAAAAAGGAGGAAACCAAGAAAATTATACACGCAAGACCAGCTTTTCAGCGCTTATTTCTTGATTCCCTTCTCCTTGAGTCTCTGCTCATCCTCCGCCTGAAGCTCGGCGTCGATCTGAGCGCCCTTGGAGGGCGCGTTGCCGTGGAGCTTAGCCTGTTGTGATATGCAATTAGTTCTCGAGCTCGTGGCATAGGGAGGGGAGCTTGAAGAGAGGGGTGACAGGGTGACATACAGGCTTCGTGGGATCCTGCTTGCTGAGCTCGGCCTCGGGGTCCTTGTCGAAGTTGTGGTGGTGGTCGCTCTCGGGCTTGTTCTCTTGCGAGGCGAGCTTGTTGGCGATGGAGCGCTGGTCCTCTGGTTTGGGGTTAGTATCCATTTTGCCTTTGTGGTTTGAGAACAGGGGGAAAGACATACTGGAGTCGAGGTTCTTGTGGCTGTGCGTCTGGCCCTCGGCGTAGCGGGCACGTTCGTTCAACTCGGCCTGGGGGACGTTGCGCTGGTCGCCGGCCTCGTAGATGGCACGGCTGCCGACGCTGGATTGACCGGATCCGGAGGTGGACATGTTGAGTGTGATGTAGTTGTGAAAGGTAGAAAGAGGAATTGAATTGAGATTGGTAATGTGGTAGTTGGAGTGAAGTGTTCGTAGGTTTCTAATTGGAGATAGAGCAAACGAAGAGGGCGTTGGTTGTGGCTCGCTTTATAGAGCTTGGATGAGGGAGATGGCCGTGTTGGTGATGTCATGGGCCGGTGTCGCTGAGATCATACCCGGTGGAGAAGCACCCACTTTCGGTGCACCGCAAAACATCATTCTGCGCAGTGCTGCTGCCCGGATGATGTAGTTGCTCGTTCTGCTACCTGGCTTGTTCCACAATCCAGAGTCTAGTAGCAAGCAGCTTGGCTGCTTGGTTGACGACACACCTTGAACCGAAGTTGGACCCTGAGCTGTAGTCTCGGCCGGCTTCGATTGGAATCTTTTTCGAGTCTCCAACCAGGGGAAAACAGAACTAACTAGTACTAGTGATCGATCTGGGATCGGATCTTTGGCCGGCCGGCTGTCTGCCGTTTGTGGTTAATGCGGGCGTGATCACTCTCCGTATAGGTGATGTTACACCTGGTGATTGACAGGCTCTGATATCATGGCCGTGGTTTGTATACCTTGGCTCTGGACAATGCTACCCCTCCTCTCACGATATGGTCTTGACCACTTCTGATGAGTGGTGTTTCCATTAGGCAATCTACATGCATGCATTGTTTTTGTCTCTTTCGTAATTGCGAGTCTCACGCTCACCACAATGGCATCCGCACCGGCGGGCCCTCTTCTCGGAGTGGAAGCCTTGTGCCCGCTATTCAATGGCATTGAAGGAGAACTCAGTGCCCTCAAGAATGATGCTGGAATGTTACTTATTGCAAACGCATTGGCTGTATAGGTGAATGCAGTGGGTGAGGTTCGCGTCCATATATGATTAGTAGTTGGATTCTACTATGTTTGTGAGCGTAGCGCATAAGTGCGTTTTGTTTGGGCTCTCATGTACTTGCTTCTTTGTGCATGAGACCATAAGTATGCCTTGTCGAGTGCTCTTAGCTTGGTATAACCTACAGATTGAGTGGTCTTCATGCCAAGTTCTGTTCTTTCTTCGATATATATTCTATTGGCAAACCGGACATCGGAGCTTCTGCGGCATTTATACCCGGTCTGGACCCAAGCCATGGCGATTTAGAAGCCGTTAAAGACTCCTCCTTGATAATCTTGTGGTTGTATATCACTGCCAGTGAACATAAAGTACTAAAAAAGATTGGCACTAGTCTGCGGGAAACTTCCAGGAGAGTCTCCCCTTTGATATATATCGACGCAAGACCTTCGACGAGAAACAGTAACCCAGCAACCCAAGTGATAAGCATTACCTCGTCTGCGACTCTGACCCTATTTGTTATATAGTCAATGCTTCAGTCTCTACAATAAATAAGCGAATGACAGTGTCGAGTGGCCCCGGACAGAACGAAAGGATAGCCGTAATCGCGGCTCTTATGATCCGCTCGTCAACAGTGGTGCGCAGTTAGATTCCGTACTCCTTGGCAGGCCGGCAGGACTTGTCCTATCACTCCGACGCATATATGGCTGGCTGGAGCTCGGAGGCATTCTTGCCTCGAAAGGGGAGGGATAGAGGCTCAGTAGACACCCGTCTGCTCGCTGAAGGTGGGATATATCATGCAAGGTGACCATCTAATCAGTGCAGCACGTGTACTTCTCTGAGTTATTGGGCTTTTCAACGACGAAGACAATGCGCTTTGGCGTCTAAAAGTCCTGTGGAAGATGGGAGGAGGAGGAGGAGGAGGAGAAGGCGTGATTTGCTCAACCTTCAGAGGGACAGGAGGATGATATATATAAGAATGGAGTGGTGATTGGGAACATCACGATAGATTTGATCTGTAGATGCCCATTCTATAGTAGCCCGTGATTGAGTTGTGCTTCCTGTTAATGCTATGTCATTACCAGATGATCTATGTGCATTGGCTAACTCGTACCTTTGAAACAAACAGCAGCCTTCAGCTCCTTTTCAGGCCTTCGTCAATGAAATGACCCTGTAGCACATGTAAAGCAACCAGAATCATCAAGCCACAGATGCACAGGAGCACAAACTGATTGCGCCTATTAATGACTGTGGTTCAAATCAAATCAACCATAGGAGGAAGCGGAGTAGATAGTCGGGACTAACTTATCGGCGATAAGGCTATCGATAACCGAACCAAAGCGGTTAGTGAGGGAGGGACCGGGCTCCGAGCAACTTTTTGTTGGCTCCGGCCTAGAATCAACGCCAATTCCTCTCTATCGCAACTCAATCCTACCCCACTCACGAAACTATTGCTCAGCAAGCAGACAGACACAATGGTCAAGCGCAAGGAACTCAAAGACAACGATGTCGACATGGGGGGCACAGATCGGCGGGTCGAGAACGACTCGGACTCGGACGAGGTCAGTTTGCGCTCAGCAGCAGCACCACCACCACTAAGAAACGCGAATGTACATACCAACTCAAACGAACACAGGACATCGACATGGTCAACGTGGACTTCGAATGGTTCGACCCAGACCCGGAGGTCGATTTCCACGGGCTGAAGAACCTCCTCCGACAACTGTTCGACAACGACGCCCAAGACCTCGACATGTCGGCGCTGACGGACCTGATCCTCTCGCAAGCATGGATGGGGTCGACGATCAAGACGGACGGGAAAGAATCGGATCCGTACGCTTTCTTGACTGTTCTCAACCTCCAAGAACACAAGGTCAGCTGCTCTCCTTCCTCATCCCCACCGCAGCCTCGCCCCAGCCAGAACTAACCCAGCAACAAAACAGGATAAACCCATAATCCAAGCCCTAACAACCTACCTCCGGCAAAAAGCCCTCACGAACCCAGCCCTCAGCCCACTGAGCGCGCTCCTCACGACCCCACCACCAAAAACAACCATCGGGCTGATCCTGACGGAGCGGCTAATCAACATGCCAGCGGAGGTGATCCCGCCGATGTACACGATGCTGCAGGCGGAGATTGCGCACGCGGTGGCAGACCGCGAGCCGTTCGACTTCACGCACTACCTGATCGTGTCGAAGACATACGAGGAGGTGCAGTCCAAGCTGGACATGGAGGAGACGCGGCCCCAGAAGAAGAAGAAGGCGGCGGCCGGCGGAAGTGCGGAGCGGTTCTTCTTTCACCCTGAGGATGAGGTCGTCGAGAGGCATGCCCTCTGCGCTGGCTCGTACGAATATACCCGGAAGCAGGACGATGGGCATTCTGACTCGAAGCGTGCGTTCCAGGAGTTGGGGATTCGGACTAAGGGAAGCTTGATTTTGTTGGAGAAGGGCCGGTTGGAGGGCGCTGTTAAGGCTATGGCGGAGTATGTTGGGGCTGGGGGGCAATAGGTCCTATAATGGGTTTGGCGGGGTGGTTTGGATGGAATAGATGTGGAATGAGAAAAAGCTTGGGTGTTTTCTTTCTTACTTTCTTGCTTAGTTTCTGAGGGGTGGGTGGTTAATGTTTGATATGGTGCTTACGTAGTTGGTGACATCTACAAAATAGGCTGGATAAGGTAAAGTCTCTGTATGCTCTACACATCAACCCAACTAAGAACTCGAAAAGTTCCATGCATTCTAATCTGTATCAATACACAGGCCACATAAAGCTTCAATCAAGCCAGAAGAATTAAAGGACACCATATGACTCAAAAGAAAAAAAAGAACTATACACAATCCCAAACCATAGATGAATTACTCCCTTTTAGTGCTTTCATATCTTTTCCTCTCATTGTTTGGAATCTCTCTCTCTAGCTCCAGGTCTTACCCTCCGGTCCTTGGTGGACCTTTCTGGTCATGACGTCGGCCATCTTCTCACGCACACCGGGCTTGCCTCCAAACCGGCGGAGGAAGTTCTTGAACACATCGCTCTCAGGATCATTCTGGTTGCTCAGGAACTCCTTGATATCCTTCTCCGAGGGGAGACCGTAGTTGTAGGGGTACTCTTGGTAGTCGCGCTCGCTCAGCAGCTCGAGAGGCTCCTCGCCCTTGAAGTACGTGAAGAAGCGGTCGACATCCTTGCTGGCGATCTCGGCCAGGGTTGCGGGTTGCCAGACGGGCTTCCCGCTCTTGCTAATCAGCTTGGTCTTGACGCCCTCGACAAAGTCCGGGTGGCTCATGAACAGGGTGGCCATGTGGTGCTCACGCTGGAAGGCCTCGGAGATCGACCACGACTGGCCCAGGCGCATCTGTCGCAGCGCCACCTTGAGGGAGGTGGGCGAGCGTGTTGACAACTGCTCGAGGGTTTTCCGCGCCCACCCCGTGCTCTCCGTCTCCTTTTCTAGCGCCTGCATGATCTCCTCCACCGTGTCGAATTTGAAGCAGCGGTCGATAGCCTGCCGAATGCCGCCATTATAAGTCCGCACCTGCTCTTCCGCAGGCGGGAGCTTCGACGAAAACTCGGCGATGGTCCTGTTGACCAAGTCCAGACGCTGCGCCCGCGAGGCGTGGTCCCCGAAGACCAGCTCCGACAGACGCGCCGTCAGGAGGCTCAACACACTCGAATCCAGGTAATGCGTGGCAATGCCGGCGAGCAGGGTCTGCACGCCGTGCATCTGTTGCCCGGTCAGGGCCAGGTATGTACCTAGCTGGCCGTCAAGGCGGGGCAGGAAAAATGAAGCACCCACGTCCGGGAAGAAGCCGATCGAGGTCTCGGGCATGGCGAAGACGGTGCGCTCAGTGGCAATGCGGAACGGGGCATGAACGCTCAGGCCGACACCACCGCCCATCGTGATGCCGTCCATCACGGAGATAATGGGCTTGCGGTAGGTAGCAATGAAGTGGTCGAGGATGTATTCGAGCTTGAAGAAATCGGCGGATGCTTTCTGTCCCTTGGGTCCCTGCTCATTCTGCAGAGCCAGGGAAGCCACATCTCCACCGGCGCACAAGGCCTTCGTGCCGGCTCCCGACAACATGATCACATTGGCAAGCTGGGACTTCTCCCATTCCTAATCGATTGTATCAAAGCACTTAGCAACGCATTCGAATCCGAAGAGGAGACCACTAGCTCACCTGCAAGCGAGGAAGGATCTTCATAGCCATTGAGCCGTTCAAGGCATTGAGCTTCTTCGGGCGGTTCAGCTCGACCAGCCGCACGCCGTAGTGAGAGTAGAAAAGGACGTCATCGGGCTCAGAAGATTGAGGATCGCTCGCCTTATTAAGCTTGGGGGCAGTGGACATCTGCAGTCAATTAGTACGAAAGTCCCTCGACCTAGGCTATCGACGAGCGTACATTGGCAGCAGGAGCCGTAAAGGCTGGGTTGGTGACCTTTGCGCGGAGAGGCATGCTGGCTGGCGAAACCCGCGAGATCCAGCTCGACGGCGTTGGGAACCGGCAAAAACTGCGTCGGACTAACATCAGGCAAACCGCAGCCTGTTTGAACAGGGAGGGAATTCGGCTAAAAGAACGGGGGGAGGGGGAAAGGTAAGAAGGAGGGGGTGACGATGATTAAGTAGGAGGAGAAGTAGCTTTCGTTCGGTTCTCCGCTTGCATTGACCTCGGAGTTTTTCGCGCCCATGATTTTCCCTTGCCGGCCGCTTCACCGCGGCTGGCCGAGCGGCGACGAGCATCACGACGTGGAAGGCAGCGATCTTGCTGGATTTTAACCTATGGTCCTGGACATAATCGCTTGACGTGGTATTTGTGCATTCTTTTTAGCCGTTTTGGAAGCATTTTGCTTGATTTGAGGGCGCCTAAGCACCACCCACTACCTACTTAACCTCTTGATAAAACACCAGAATGAACTGGACTGGACATTTTAGGGACCCATCATACACTGCTTAATTCTATTTGTACAAACAAAGGAAAAGAAAAGAAAGAGAAAAGAAAAGGAGGCCATATCTCGGTAATAAAAGAAAAGAACACACCCAAGAACCTATCGCCAAACAAACTGCAATCAATACCAGGCCCTCTTGACCTCGCTCTGCAAGTCCTTCGAATGGTGAGCCAAGATGCGGTCTAACGCCCGCTTCTCAATGACCAGACGGCCTGTCTCCAACAGATCCTTCACATCGACGTCACCACGATCCAGGATCTTGGCGTGCTCGCCCAATTCCCGCACCAGACCGAAGAGACCATCGTTCACCTGGTCCGTGATCAATGTCGACCGTCCACATTCGCGGCCCCAGCCGTTCACTTTGAAGATCTGCTTGACCAAGTGAGGGGTGGCATCCTCTGGAAGCGCCATCTCGTTATCGATGATGATCAGCTGGCCGCGCTTGTAACGGTAACTGAGGGCTATCCGCCACGCCTGATCGTAGATCTTCCGGGGGAGATCGGTGGAGAAGTCGCGGGGATGAGGACCGAAGGCGACACCTCCTCCTTTCCGAATGGGAGATTTCTTGTCACCGGCACGCGCTCTACCGGTACCCTTCTGTGCATGGACTTTCCGGTTGCTGCCATGCACGTCCTTCCTCCATTTAGTGCTTGCGGTACCTTGCCGGGTCGCGTCACCCTCGTAGATGACTGCTCGGTGCAGAATGTCTTTGCGAAGCGGCATGAAAAGGTGGTTGCGAGGGTATTCGACCAAGCGGAGGGGTTCCATCGAAGGGAATGCGTAGGTGGTCGCCTTGACGGGCTCGGGGTTCCATACGGGCTTGGGAACCTCTCTCGTCAGGTTGTCAATGGGGGCAGTGGCCTCGGTGGCCATCGAGCGTGTCAAAGACTTGGGCATGCATCGTTGCTATATAGCGAGGGAGGAATTGTCAGTATCCGTTGATACCATCGATGTCGCTGGCTGGGCAGGGCCAGGGAAAGAGAAAAAAAGCCATACCGTCGTTGTCTCCACCCCGGAGAGCAGACCCCCCGAGCTGCGAGTGAGCAACCGCAGTGCGCGAAGAGCATCCATTGTGTATGATCCAAACAGAAAATCCCGTGAAGGGGGCAGCCTGGATTGGGGCAAACGATCGCAAGGTTGGTCGGCGCGGTGGAGGGAGAAGTAGCAGCAGCAGCAAAAGTTCGGGTGGTCTGGCACTAGCCCGCCTTGAGGCTTGGCCAAACCCGAACGAAAAAAGTTCCGTCCGGCCAGGAACCTCAACTTTGCCGACTACCTGGGGAAATCCTTCCCATTTGCCCTCGAGTATCATCACGCTCCATTTCATTCTTCTCTTCCGTCCCCTTCCCTTCCCTTTTACCTTTCACAAAATGGCCCATTGCGAGCGGGCTTCGAAGCCCTTGCTCCAATGCCTGCAGAAGACTTACACCAAGGGTCTTCCAGGTCTCCAGCTGCAGTCGACCCGCGCCTTCCAAACAACGGCTCTGGCGCGCGAAGAGGTTCAAACTGAGACCAAGTCCCAACCCTTCTACCGGGCCCCCGATCCGGAATTGGTGACGAACCCCCGACTCGAGCGGCAACTGTTACGCCAGGGTGTCGCCCCCGTTGGATCCCGCCGTCGTCGCGCGGCCCTGTCCGATTCCCTCAACATCCCCTTCGAGCAGCTGCCCTATCAATGTTTCCAGGAGGCACGGAAGGTCCTGCTGGCGGACCGCGAGGAGAAGCTGCGCGACATCACGTCGATGCGGGAGAAGATCGCGAGGCTCGAGGCCCTGACGACAGAACAAGCCGGGGGTGAACAGGTGAAGAAGTCCAAGCTGCGGGCCATGGAGCTTCACCTGGATTATCTGAAGGTCCAGGCGGACATCAACGACCCGCTCGTGAAGAGGAAATTTGAAGATGGGCAAGGTGAGACTCAGATCTGTTGGTGGAGGTTGTTCGCCGCGCTAATTGGCCTTCTATTGCAGGTGATATGAGCAAGCCTATCTACCGGTTTTTGGCCGATCGCAAATGGAGGGAGTACCGCCGCAAGGTCCTCGTGCAACGCATTACACAGATGAAGGTTGTTCCCGATGTGGTTCAGTCCTGCGATCCTACTCTGGACACGAAACTATACTTTGGCCGCCGCCAGATCCAGCCGGGCGAGTTTGTCGACTCCAAAGCCAGCACTGAGGCCCCCAAGCTGGACGTGCAAATGTTCGAGGGCGGCGAGAAGCTGGTGACCATCGCCGTGGTCGACTCGGACGTCCCCAACGTCGAGAAGGACAGTTTCGATTACAAGATGCACTACCTGGCCGTCAACGTCCCGATCTCGGCCGTCAACACCAAGGTGGATCTGGGCCAGCTGCCGACCGATTCGCAGGTGGTCCTCCCCTGGGTGCCTCCGGTTGCTCAGAAGGGCAGCCCTTACCACCGTCTGTCTCTGCTCATTTTTGAGCAGAAGGAGTCGCAGTCATTGGACTTTGCCGCCATCAAGGCCAAGGAGAAGAGACGCGAGAATCTCCACTGCCGCACCCTGCAGGATCGGTACCACCTGAAGCCTATTGGAGCGTTCCTGTTCCGGACCCAATGGGACGACTCGATGTACGAGGTCATGAAGTCGATCGGATACCCCGACGCGGAGATGGAGCTCCGCCGCAAGCGTGCCGAGCGCCTTCCTTACAAGCGCAGAAACCCGGCCAACATGCGGTGATTGTTTTTTGTTTGTGTTTTCCGTTGGACGTTATTGTACAAGAGAGCTTTTATGTATGAATATGCACAAATTCACCAACCCTTTCCCAACTCCAGACTCCAGCCATGCTTGTAGACTACACGGATATATACATGGATCCAAACTCCCGATTTATCAATCCAACTCAGCCGGTCGTAACGTATTCTCCACCCACATCATCCTGGAAGGCGGCCACACCCTGGCAACGATCTTGCCATTGATCAACCCCATGGGGATGGGGCCGTAATTTCTCGAATCCCTGGACCACGGCAGGTTATCTCCGGTGAGAAACACATGTCCTTCAGGTACCTAAACACAGCCACAGCCAAAGATTAGCCCAAGCATCCAACATCTTTCCCCCATCTCACCACCGTCTCTCCCCGTCGCCTCCCCTTCCCCCCAGAAACAGAAACAAAAAAGAAAGCAACAAACTCACCCGAATCATCTCCCCGGTAGTCCCAGCCTCAGTCCCAAACGGCAAATCGCGACACACAAAGTCGCCAGGCATGCCGATGACGCGCTTGGCGCCATTGACGCCGAGGAAGGTGGGGTGGTAGAAGCGCACGACGTCGCCGACGGCGATGCCGCGGCCGTGCTTGTGCACGCGCGAGATGAGCAGGTAGTCGCCGCGCGGGTTGAAGGTCGGGTACATGGACGGGCCCTCGCTCAGCTGCACCGTCACCAGGTGCTCCCAGACGAGCGTGCAGGCGCAGAACGCGCCCAGCCCGTTCAGCGTCAGGCGGAGGACCGCCCCCGGTGTGGCGCGTTTTAGGGTTTGGCGGAGGAGGCGTTCCATTGCATGTTTGAGGGGGGGGATTAGACGTGGGAGGGGGGTGGGGGGGCCGCTGGGGCTGGGATTGGTGTTGTATATATGTATAGCTTGAGGCCGCCTGGCTGCGCTGCGCTGCTCGCTCGTTGCGGGATGGGTGGATGGGCGGAGCGAGCGAGCGAGCGCGGGTATACCACGTGACTTGAACGAGCTTATAAAGCCCGCGCGGATTTTTTCTGTTGTTCGCAATTCCTTCTTTCTTCTTGTGCAAATGTCACACACAATAACTCGACAACCTTTGCAAGACCATGCTGGCTGAGTATATACTATGCTCAGTCCATGCTACTCCTGCCAATGCTTAATGCTGCATCATGGCACAAATATTCAAACAAAAACATCGCTTCTAAAATTGCTAGAGCTCACCGCTGCCGAAATTCAACACCAGAGCGCGTGAGTGTGGACAGTGAAGCAAGATGAACTGTACAATCCTCACCCTACGGGGTGGGGGTTTCCCTGAACGATAGCCCGACCAGGACCCCATTTAACTATGGGAATGGGCGGTTGGGTGGTAACGACGGGAGACAATCGTAGAATACATGTAGCAGTTTATTAGATTCAGAATCAATTGATCATTCTTCGTTCATCTCTCATCAACAGTAGTCATAACATAAATCACTTATTTATCCTCCCACATCGCATCGGCATCTACACCGTCCCCAAAAGTTAGCACTCTCCCCAAGATCGAAGAAGTAAGAACATAAAACTCACCAGGATGCAACTCCGTCCCCTCCAACTCCGCCCTCTTCTCCCTCTTCGCCTTCCAATCAACCCCAAACTTCTCATCCCGCTCCCGACACAACTCCGCCATACCACCCGGCTTAGCCACCTTGACGCGCTCGTCAGACGTAAAGCTAAGCATCAGCTCAGGGGCGCCCATCGGCACAGCGTCTCCGCGATCAATCTGCCAGAAGTGATATGTTTTGCCATACAGGGGGATGATGTCCTTCATCTCGGCGGTCTCGGCGGCCTCCCACACAGAGGACGGCACGCCGCGCGGCGCAGGCATCACCAGCATGCCGCTCTTGACTTCGAACTCGTGCGTGTGCCACAGTTTGCGCTCCGAGGCGGGCAGCGTGTTGTAGAGTTTGGGCGTGATCATGTATTCGACGCCTAGGAGGCGGGCGTTCGGGGCGGGGCTGTCGTAGAGGAGGCATTGTCTTAAATCTTGGGGGCAAGTGTTGTTAGTGAGTGGGTTGGTTGTGGTGGTGAGTTTAGGGGAGTGTGATTTGGATACTAGGCGTATGCGCATGGCAGGGTAGGCGCAGACGCAGACGCAGACGCATACTCACCCTCCGTGATATGCGAACAGTAGTGATTCGCCTCCACACATCGGGTCTTGTCCGATGCGTAGACGTGAAATGCATTCAGGTGCGCGCAGATGTTCTTGACTGGCGCAAAGTCCTGCACCATGCCGGCGCCCGTCTCGAGCACGCGGCTTTTGGTGGTGAGAGGGTCGCCTGGGAGGTCGTTGTGCTGGCAAGACATGGTGTTTTGCTGAGAAGTGAATTGATTTCTTGAGAGTTAGTTGAGTTGAGCTTCGTTGGACTTGTAACAGCATCTGGCAAGAAGAGCTGGCACCTTCGTCGCTTCTATACTGTACAGCTCCATGTCTGACGTCACAATGATTGATGCATGTTACTTGGGTAAACATGGCATTTCAATCGGCGAAGTCGTTCGGACATCCCACTTCGGCGATTGAAAAGAAAGATACTTGTGTAATTTGCTGCGTGAAAGCTTGCTGGAGCGTCCTTGGACATGAGAAACAGCATGCAATGATGATGTAGGATGACACGGAGGGATAGATTGATACGGATTACGATAGCTGCAGCAGGTACTTCGGATCCCAGAAAGCGGAAAGACCATCACCCAGATTATTCAGATTGATGATTACTTGTACAGACTAGTTCCACCTACATAGCATTCTTCATCTCCCTCAACGCCGCCATGACCTCAACCGGGTCCGTCTTCCCAGTCTTCTTCTGGATCTCAGGGTCCTATCACATATTAGTCTCCAAGACTCCTAGAAGCATGTGCAATCGATACTCACATTCACACGCATGAAAACATTGTGAAGCTAAACATCGAAATCAGCCTTTGTCTCCCTTCAACCTCATACCCAAGAAACCTACCTTCTCATCCCCAATAGTAAACTTCCCCTGCGTCTCCTGATTCGCCTCAGCGAACGCATCCAGCCGCTTAATAGGCTCAGACTGCGAGACAGCCAGACAGAACTTGACATTGCCCTTGGTATACTCGTGTCCCGGCTACAACAAGTCAGTTACCATCCCATCCCATTCACCAGCCCACACCAACACCAACACCAACCAAGAGCAAAGGGGAGAGAGAGAGAGAGAGAGAGAGAGAGAGAGAGAGAGAGACGTACGTAAACCTTCGTATCATCCGGCAAAGCCGCCAGCGTCTCATTCAACGCCTTATGCATCTCAGGCGCCGTGCCCTCAAAGAACCGGCCGCATCCTACAAGCCACACACGCACCGTGTAGTCAGCGCACACAACCTTTCGTTACAAACTGGGACAAAGACACAGAATACAAACCTCCAATGAACAAGGTATCGCCCGTGAACACGACCTTCTGGTCCCCGTCCTGCATGAAATAGCAGATGCTATCTTGCGTGTGGCACGGGGTGTGCAGCGCCTTGACGGAGATGCGGTCGCCGATCTTGAACGTCTCGCCGTGGCCGGGCGTCTGCGTGACGGATTGGCAGTCCTTGCCGCCGATTACGGGCAGCTTGCCGAAGGTTTTGAGCTTGGGTCGGGTTAGTCACATCCTAGTGGTTTGAGTTGAAGGGGGTTGTTTTGTGCTTGGGAGTGGTCTGAGGGATGACAGACCAGCTCGTTGTTACCGCCGGCGTGGTCCCAGTGGCTTTGTGTTGGTGGGTGAGTGTTAGTATAGCTTCCCTGTTTGGTCTCTAGAGCTGAAGAGATGGGCATACTGGTGGGTGTTCACGATAGCCGTGAGATCTATCTTGCCGGCCTTAATTTGCGATTCCAGCTCGGGGATTACTCTAGCGCACGCCATTCGCGTCAGCTAAGCTGGTGCGTGATGCGTATGGCAGGCATGCAGCCCACGCTGCATTTTCACCTACTCGGGCGGATTGGCCGGGTCGATGATGACCGATTGTTTCGTGGGCTCGTCGGTCACCAGGTAGGCATAGTTGTTGCCCTTCCCGGTCCCTGGGCGAGAGTTTAGCTTGCGATCATGCGCAGTAGAGCATACTGAAGGGGAACTTACACATGGGAATCGATTGGATATGCATGGCTCTAGATGACGGTGCTTGAAATCTTGCAGGTTGGAATCTGGCAGCTGAGAAGATCGCTCTCGTGAAATTTAGGGACATGAGGGGTAAGCAGCAACGTTTGTTTTTGCGTAGCTGATTCGATGCGGGGTTGGGATTGTTAATCCATCATATGAATTATAAGCAATGATTGGGAATTACCTCATAGGTTCGTTGTCGGTCCCGCTTCAGCCACACGTGGCTAAGTCTACGCCTATCAACAACACCTTAGCATGAAAACAGACAAAATAGAAGATCTAGTTGGGTTACGGTAGAATGGTATCCGGTGCCTTTGGTATACACTACATGACCAGCGGGTATCTCATTCCAACTGCTTAGCCCCAGCCTTTTTCAGCGAATACAATACATCCGCACAGATGATGCCTTTCCTCCTCCTCACAGCAGACTCCACTCTCTCACTTGAGCGGCCCAATTCCTCACCCTCGAACGATGGCACTCCCTCATCCTGCCTCTCGGCCAATCTCTCCTTCAAGGACTCCGTCCAGTGGTTCCCACTCTGCTCACACACCGCCAGCATGTACGCATACGAGACCAGCCGTCTCCTGGACTCCCACTGCGCCGACCCCAAAATGTGGTCCAGCCACATATAGACGCCTTCACAGCGGGGATCGGTCTTCGCATCCTTGGGACGTGTCGTCAACGCCAATGCGTCCGCGAGCTCCTCCGTCAGACTCGACAAGAACGTCGGCTGCGCGTCCGCAATCATCTGTAATAATGGATCCCACTTGACGAATTGATTAACCATAGAGTCACCCATCCTATAACCCCGTCAGAACTTCTATCCCCACTGCCCGAAGACCAACACGTAGACCAAAAAAAAAGTGTGGGAGAGAACTCACCTCCGTCCAGCAGGGACCAACAACGCATCCTCCACCAAAACACTCGACAAAGCAGAAACACCCCGGCCCGAAGACCGACACATCGACACCACCTCCGCCGTAACGGCAGACAAATGCTGCTGCACCTTCCGTTTCTTCCGCGGCGGTTGCTGCTGATCCTCCCCGTCAGCCACGACCTGCTGGAGAGTACCCCGAAGAGCCGACTTGATCGGTTCAAGATCGACTTCTCCCTCGTCGTCGTCATCCTCGTCCTCGTCCTCGTCGCCCTCGGCGACACCCTCTGATCCAGCTTCAACAGGCACCCGTTGAGCCCCAAAGTCAGCAGCAAACTCCGTCTTGGCCCAGTAGTAATCCCACAGCCACTCCAGGGATCGCTGCGACGCATTCCGCAGCACCGTCAGCGACGGCAGCTCGCGATGCGTGGCCTCGTGCCGCAACTCCACGAACGAGGCGGGCAGGCCCAGGTCCAGGGCTCGCTGGAACATGGTCCTGCGCTGTCCGCCGAGTTTCGAGTCAACGAGACCCGTTACGAAGCTAGAATATAGAGATTGTCAATGCATTTTTCCATTCGTACTTCCGTAAAGAAGATAGAAAAAAGATCGAGTCTTCGGTAACATCTGCAGAAGACAGGAAACGCCCCACCCAGAAAAGAAAAGAAATTAGAAGCACAAAGTACATACCGACAGAAAGCCGCCGCATAGGTGGCTCGGATCGAGAAGATGGAATTCTTCTGCGCATCGTCATGGAGGATAGCATCCGTCAATAAGGCGGTCGCCTCGACGGGATGGGGGAGGTTGCCTCGCATTTTCCATGCGCTGACCTGTGGAGTGGCCGAGTTAGTTTTATCCTTTCTTTTCTTCATTGTCTCGCTGACATCCAATTGTATGTATGGAGGGATGTTACGACATATCAATAACGGTGGGCATAGTTCACGTACTGTGGCGCAGGCCTTGGATCGCAGGTCCGGTCCATCATATAGCGGCGGAGGGTAGAATTGATTCCGCACCACCAGTAATTGCGATTGCTCCTTCCACGGGGTGAAGATGACTTTGGCCATCTTGAGACTATCTCTCTGGCAATGCCTCGAATGGGTATCACTGAACCAATTCGCACGAGGTCTTCTTTTCTTTGCTGGTCTGGATTGACCTCAAATCTAGACCTTGTATGAAGGGCCGGTGATTTTATTCGACGGCAGAATGGTTTTTCCAGCCGAGGTGTCACCACGTGGACAGACACTGAGTCCGACTCTTCCCACTCCTTCAGCTCCCCCTTCCAACTGCTGTCTACTGAACATACATTCTGTACAAGATTCATCACCATCATAATCTGTTCATCAAATGTTTCATCCTTGAGGATGTTCTCATTCATTGGTGTCTGAACACCTAAGGATTCTCTAATACATAGTCGTCAAAATAAAAAGAAGAGAAAAGAACAAAACAGCTTCAATCAGCCTTCCCAGGGTATTTGGTACATGTAATCGCCGCGCCAGAAACCGAAAATGAACTCCACGCTATGCAATGCTGAATAGCGAATACAGGATAAAATCATAAAATCAAGAAAATGCTTCCGAGAATCAAATCCATCCATAACCATAATTCATACAGGGCTGGCTAGCCATATTGATGAGCGGCTGCGACCCGACCATCGCGGGTTGCTCAAAGTCATTCTCCTCAAAGAAGAATGATTTGTGCATCATGTTTGCGACAGGCTTGACGGGCTGCTGGAGCTGCGTCGGAACTGGAGCCGGACAGCTACCGTGGAGTGGCGCCTCGTCTTGGTTCTCAGGACCTTCATCGTCATCATCGTCTTCGTCATCTTCTTTGTCCTCCTCCTCGTTCGCTGAAGGTGTGAAGGTCTCTTCCAGCTTCAAGCCCTTGCCGGACAGGCCCAGAAGTGAAGTCTCCGTCAATGCTTCGGGGTTGCTGTAAAGGCCCATGCCAACGAGCTCGTCTTCCGGGTCAAGCTTGTTGGATAGCGCATCGGCCTGCGTGGAGCAATCATCATCCGGGCGCTGGATGGGAAGGAACTGGGGGGTCGCTGGGCCCGTCAGGCAGCCTGATGATGGCACACTCTCGTCATAAGTCGAGTCGGCGACGTAGGCGGGAGGCATGCTGTTGTGCATGGAAGCCATGTCGAATGACCAGCAATCAGACATGGGTTCTGCCACGGCGGGCATCGTCGAGGTATTACTCCATGAGACAGGCTCCTCTTGAACGAAGGCAGGTTGCTGAAGCGGCAATTGATCTTGCATCCCAGTGAAGAATGGAAGTTCCTCGACATACGAGGACAGCATGTCGTTGCCTTCCATCACAGCAGGGGCGGTGGAAAGTGGCTGAGGGCACATGTCGACGGCGGCGAAGCTGTCCAGAGTGGTCGAGTTCGCAAAGTACGGAGCTGTCGAGTAGGTGGTAGGGTCCACGACCGGATGCCAACTCATCGGACGGGTGCGACTACTTCTGCAAAAGGCAGACGCCAAAGCAGCAGGGTTGAATGGGGCTTGGTAGCCAGGGTACATAGCCGAACTGTGAGGCATGGTCGTGGTCCTCCGTCTGCCAGCAGAGGCAGGACTGTTGCCGGCACTGCGGGGTTTCGTCACCCGTCCAGTCTGCTTTGGTTTAGGAAAGGCATGGATCATATCGCGAAAGGTCGAAGAGCGCATGCATGGTTGGTTGTTTGAGGCCCAAACTGGGTCGGCGAATGAGGCTTGCGGTTGCCAGCAATTGGCCATTGAGAATATGTGTGGGCGGTAGAGCTATGGAAGAAAGGATAGATACGATCCTGAGAAGGAGGTGATGGTCAATCGTGAAGAGTGAGGTTGAGGTTGAGGTTGAAGAGGTGGTGGTGGTGATGGTGGGCGTGAACATCCATAGATATAAGGAAGGCAGGACGGGGCAGGAGGATCTCCGCTTATGAGTATCAAATACGGGATAGGACCCATGGATGACTGCAGGAAGCAGTAAGAAGGATCTCCGAAGTGATAGACTGGGGTTCGAGACTTATCATCCACACAGATGACACAGGGGGCATGAGGGTCACAAGGCGTTGAGGCAAGGTACGGGAAGCAAGTGCGTGCGTACTTGGGCTAAGGGTAGCCAGTTCCAGTCCCTTAGCTTGGACCCAGATAGTTCGGATGGATAGTTAGATTGTTCGGCAACGGCAACAGCCAAAGAAGTCTAAAAGAGGCAGGGAAAGGACGAGGGAGGGAATATAGTTTTTAATTAATTAATTTTCTTGTAGAAAAGAAAGGAAAAGGAACCTAATTGGGAAAGGGTGATACATGGGCGCTGTGGAACGTAGCCTATGTGAGTATGTATGTACATGGGCACACATTACTTGATCTACCATCCGCCCCAGTTCCACGATCCATTCGGGTTACTAACCACTACAGGTGTGAAGTATTTAAAAGTGTAAAAGAGGGATGGATAGAAAGACACATGTTGGGATTTGGGATGACACGACGTTGACACTAACGAAAACAGCCTAGTCCAGGCTATTGTAGGTTTAGTTGATGATTTAGTTTAGCTTAGATTAGTTGAGTTTCGATGAGTTAGGTTTAGTTTGGTTTAGTCTAGTCACAGGAGACCAGGGCAAGAAGCAAGACATGGGATGGAGAATTGGCTGGTGAGGGATGGATGGGATGGACCACGGCTAGGGAAGGAAGAAGGAACGAAGGAAGAAAGGAGTGAACGGTGATTCAGATGAGCCCATGCCACAGTGCCACTCGATGTGTAGCTCCACTTCACCTGTCTTGAGCCGGAGGCAAAAATGCCTTCTGGGCTACGGATCCATGGATAAGGGAGCGTAGAAGAGAATGGGAGATGGGGGGGGGGGGGGGGGCGGCGGAAGAGGAGGTGACGATAGATGATGATGATGGTGAAAGTGTGGAAGTGTGTCCTATCCAAGTGGGGAAGAAGACTCTCAATGTTGTTAGTGGGGATGATCAAACCCATTGGCCGGTCAGTACTCAGTAGTCAAGTTAAGTAAAGGTGATGGACACGGTCATGGAGACATGGACATGCAGTCCACCGTCTAACAATGGGGAAAAAATAAGAGAAAATAAATTAATTTAGAGTATCCCAATAAAAAAGAGCATACAGTAGGAAAAAAAAAAAGGAAACCGGGGCACAGACACAGAGATCATCATTGGATGGGAAACTGAAATCGGAGGGGCTCTAGCCAGGGAATCCCAAGCCAAGCCACCAGCAAGCACCACAGCAGCAGCAGCAGAGATCATGGCCGGGATGGGAGTGGAAGTTAAAGAAGGAACCAGAAACTGGAACAACGGAGTAGTCCAAGAGACTGGGACATGCCGAAACTAACCCAAACTAATCTAAACTTTCGCTACCGCGCAGTAAGGCCCGAGAGGAAGGGAGTGAGCCCCATGGCCAGTCAGTCAGTCAGTCAGTCAGTCAAGCAGGCAAGCAGTCTGGGGCTAAATGGGAGCAAGCCACACTAGTAAGTTAGTAGTGACTTTAGTTACCTTACCATACACACCTTTCACCTTTCACCTGCGACTTACGAGTAATGGATCATCAGCAGCCTGCATCGCTGCCTTCTCCTACTGTACTCATTCTCCTCTTTCTTGTCCGGGATTGGATGGTGGCTACTCACGGAGTAATGTGTGATCTGTTACATCGGCAGAGACTGCCCAAACCAAACCACTTGGTTCGTCACAAAATGTACTGCTGCTGTTGCCTCAGACATCCACACACACACCCATAGACGGCATAGGGGTACGGTAGGTAATACTGTACTGCCGTGTAATGTCCGTAGTTGATTACGCACCCTTCGTTCCGCCTCCCTCAATCATCATCTTCTTCTTCCCCCGTGCAATGCCGGATGCTCACTCAGCTCAGCTTCAATGTCGGCTTACCAGGGATAGACAGATAGGATGTACCAGTCACTGGCCTGCATTGGGTCATATTGTCTGTCTGCCTAGCAGGGGGACTGTTGGCCTAGCTAGCTAGCTAGCTAACTACCACCTACCTAATACCTATCTACTGTACTGTACGTCCTAGTCCGCAGAGCGCACACGCACGACTCGCACATACCTTCCAGCATGGATCCATCCATCCCTAAGCCTCCTCCCAAGTCCGTCTACGTACGACGACGGTTCGACCGACCATCTACCCATCCAACCGCCCGCTCCGGAGCGATAGACGCCAGGGGACGAAGGAACAGGGGACAGGTAGTTAAGACGAATGTCTTAGTCATTGAGAGGAATACCTCAAGTTGGCAACCTTAGCGGCGAGGATAGCCTGCAAATGACCCACGATCCGACCAGATCATCATCAATCATCACTGACTGTGACCAAAACTTGGAGTTTTGTTACAAGTTGCAACGTTTCCGTAAACGTAAGTCAACCGTGCCCCCCTTCCCAACTCTCACTCAGTCTTGTCTCTGGTCTCGGGCTCTCCTGTCCTCCTGTCTGATCTGATTTCCGTGTCAGCACTAAAGCCACCTCTGTATTACATTAATTACTTACACATGCTCCCTCCTCTCATCCCCTCCGTCTCTCTCTCGCTCCCTCCCCCTTCATCCTCAATCTCCTCGTTCCTTGTCAACCTCCTCTTTGAAGTCCCGTTGTTTGTTCCCCACAAGTTCACCGTTTTCATCGCGTCACAGCGCCCGTTACGCAAGGGTTACAATAATGTTGAAAACGTCCCTTTTCCCATCCCCCCCCCCATCCCTCTTTATCCTGGATCAACTTGTAGGAAGACCAAGCCTAAGCCTGGACCTGAGTACTCTAGCCAGCCCCAGCTCGGCACTTACACCCAGCAAACAAGCAAGCAAGCAAGCAAAGCACGTATCATTCCGACCAAGAGAGCCTGCCAGCCCTTAGTTGCTAAACAGGTGCACGATCCAGATGCCAATGGATCCAATTCCCTCTTTCTGGTTGAACGAGAACCCACCCACCCCAATCGCTCCGTTCTTGTCGCCTTGTCATGGGCATCACCGGGCGCATAGTTATACTTTCTTCTGTCCAAGACACTACACCTTATGTTTCTTAGGCTTTGTGCTTCTATTCCTGTCCAACCAATGGCTCCCCTTCGGGAATCAACGATCTTTCGCCTGTGCTTGACAGGCTACTACTACTACCACTACTACCACCACACTATCAATCAACACCTCGTAAACCTTGAATTCCTAACATGGAAGTTTGGGGCGGATGCAGTGCGTGGTCAGTCGGTCGGTCAAACCGACCCCCTCTCTTCCACTAGTTGGGACCTAAACACAACCAAGCTATTTAGGGGGCGGTGGGCGTTTTGGAAGGAACCGGGCTTCTCACTCTTTTTGGTGGGAGATAGACTAATACGCTCGATCATTATTATGAGGGAAAGTTGATAACGCTTGGTCCTTAGGAACTTAAGCAGAGATGGCAGATGCCAAGAATCGGTCTCTTATCACTTGACTTACGGAGTACATACCTGGACAATGTTATGAGCTTTTTGCCTTGGCCAAGTTCAATCCCCACACTCAGCTCGGCGCTCGCCCGTTGAGTTGTTCAGGTTGTTAGTAATCCTTATCGATCGGCCGGTTCTATTGCCTTGTGGATCACATGTACATGTACATGTACATGTACCTATCGTATCATGAAGACGCCGGATACTTGGGTGTGTATGTGTGACTGAGACGAAGCGGAAAAGACGGAGGATCCGATGTGGGATCAGCAGAGACAAAACCCGCTCGACCCGGGCAAATGCCAGATGCAAAATTTTGAACCGGAAGGAATGAATGACGGGAAGGGAGGGGACAGACGAAAAGAACTTGGAAACACCGCTTTAGAGCTGAGCCTGGAGCGGGAAGGTCGGCTATGGAGGAGGAGAGGATGACAACATCTGGCATATCTTCAATCTCGCCATAAATTGCTCACATAGGCTCGCAATGAAAAGCCCTGTTGAGAGAGAATGCGAGCGGCGCCGGTGGGCGCGAAGACTACGGGATGATGGGGAGATTATGGAGCACATCTGCCAGAGTATTTCCTATAGTTACTGCAACCCAGTCACAGATTGACTAGCTCGAGAGCGAGAGAGAGAGAGAGAAAGAAAAGAGCGCTAGGTTGCCGCCGTGTGCCATTATGACGAGTCCCAGCTGCACGCCCCAGCAGATGGTGCTCCGCAACAAGTCTCCGAGCAAATGACTGCCGGACTATGTAACCAACTAATGATTGGACTCCTTCATAAGTAGTTCGATGATATGAACAAAGGGGGCGGAGGATTAATCCATTGATTAATTTGTACAAAGAGTGAAGGATGGAGACCATTTCCAGAACAAGGGTTGCTACCGGACTGGACCGGATTCCAACTCGACTTTACCATTCCTGGTTAGAGCCCGGGAGGGCCCTCCTCCAGGTACCTGAAGGCTGAAGGCTGAAGGCTGAAGGGCCGAGGTCTTTTGGTCTTAGTACATTTCGTTTTTATCTTTTCTTGGTTTTTTGTTTTATTTTTGCTCTCTGGATTTTATTTTCAACCTTTTTTGGTTCCCTTTTTCGACCCTCTTCCGCTATCTGCCTGGAAAATTGGTCTTCAAGCGAAAGTGCCTAACCCCGTCTGCATCGGGCCAAAGAAGTGGGTAGGGAGAAGAGATGGAGAGGGCCAAATGAACAACTCACCGTACAAGCAGTAGCTTCTTGAGTCCCGTCAAGAGATAATCAACCCGCTTTTGTAACCGATGATCAGATTCGTAAGCCGCATCATCGACGAAATAAAATAAAATAAAAATGTCACCCAGAATTCCTGATCGGCTTCTCAGAGCAGGGAACACAACCCGTCGGTAGTTAGTCGAACCTGCCCCTGTCCCAATTCCAAGCCATGTCCAGCTCTCCGGGGGGGGGGGGGGGGGAAGAGGCGTTGAGTTTCCTTAGTCACGTCGCCTGGGCTGGAACCTAAAAAGAGCAAACGGCCGAATGAACGGCCCGGCAGACATTCAGAAAAGCTCCGTGCGACGGACTGGGCGGATGTAATCTAGACTACATCATATCATTCATTGAACACAACTGATCGGACAATTGAGATCATCGCCCGGCTCTGACTACAAATCAGAACCCGGAGATTACAGGAGGGGCCATCCGAACGCATGTGCAGGGCCCACCGGACTGCAGGGGGGACTGTGCAAAAGGAAAGAAAATAGAGGAACGAACAAGATTCCAGAAGGTCAGGGGTCAGCTTGTTCCTCGCTGACGGGTGTTCGAATGGGGCTGAGAGGGGCAAAAATGGAAAGAATGAGAGAGAGAGAAATAAAAAAAGGAAGAATTTGGGGTGAACATTGAACAAAAAGGCGCCATTTTAGTCAAAGTGGATCTTTCAATGTCTCCGAATCTCCGTCATCGCTGCGGCAGTCGGCCGGGGTTTCCTTAGGAAGTTTTACATGTCGCTGACTCTGGGTCTGAGAAGGAGAAGGTATGGGAATTAGTCAGATGGGCAACGTGTTCCAGCCTGGGCCAAAGAACGATGATGTACGAGACTCAGTACCAACTTGGAACTACTCCTGCCGAATCCCTTGGTGGTCGCGGTGACTTATTGCCTGTTTGCTATAGAGCATTCCATGCTTGATCTGAGATAGTTACAAGCATGGGGAGTTCCACAAGTCAGCTCCTCTCAGCACAAATCCTGTAGACCAGAGTTATGTTGTACTGGTACTCTGAACTCTGACGCGAATTCTACTGTCACCTACGGTACCAGATTATTGCGTCGACGCCCGTACTTCATACGTGCTGATCATTACCGACAGCAGACCCGCTCCTCCGCTTGCAGACAGCCAGCGAAAGGTTGGGGACTCAAGCACTAGCGATCGGGCGCGGTACAGCCCTGCGTTGGCGTTGATTGTCTATGCGTTTGGCGCTTACCGAGAAACAGTCTTGTCGTGTTCGGACTTCGATCAACCAACAGTTTGGATCGGCTTTGGCTCGGTTTGAATGCACCATGTTAAAGGAAGGCAGGTATGTCACATCGCTCACTCGCAATGAGTGCCTTCTTTTTGCTACTACATGAGTGGGATGTGGGCCTGCCAATCTTCATCGACCTCCACGCAGTCGATCTTTTTACCAAGATTCGAGCTCTGTAACGCTGCTCTTCTTACTCAAGTACTCATGTACTCAATGGCGGCTATCAGGGTGGCGAGGATGCGATGGAGTCATGGGAGCGGCCCCCCCAGCCATCGATATCGGATGATTAGATCAGAGAGCATCCTGCTGTGCTACTGGTCTGAGTCTCTACTCCTGAAACAAACACCGGATTGGAGATTAATCAATATCGACATTGATCCATCTGCATGGTGCCCTAGCTTCTCCATAACCAGACCGACGCCTAGCTCATGTACACGGCTCAATTCAGAAACCAGCAAAATAGCGGTCGCCGCCCGAGACACAGGGCGATACATGAGCGGTCTCAGGTCGGAGAAAGTTCACCCTGGCAGGATCGACCAACGACCAACTTCCAGTTTATGAAGATCGCGGTTTAGCCGATCGTTTTTGTCGCCTCCCCGTCACTCTCACGAGTCACAACACCGCGATAAAATGTCTTAGCTTCCCCGCCTCGGTTGTTCGCGCGTTGAGATAGTTGATTCGATTGCTACTACTAATCAATATGCACTAACGTAGTGGCTTTAAATTAGGTCCGAGCGTCCAGGGTTCTGCTACTGGGGAAATGTTTCGCCTGTCTATAGTGACATGTGTGGCTTCGTAATAGGAGAAGCTGGGATCTGGTACTATTGACGATGCCAGCAGCAACATGCAAGATCCATGGTCGCTCTCTCGAGAGCCTCGCATCCTGCGATGTGTTGGTTGACAGGTTCAGTCCGCACTCAAGCCTCTCAGCGACTGCCTTGCTTCATCAAACGAAGAATACAGAGGCTGGAGCACGGGGCTGCAGTTTGAGCTCAGATCAAATCCGCAGCGTTGCGGTGGATCGTGACAGCAGAGCAACCCCAATCGCTTTTGCTTGTTTCTCATGATAATCTCGACTGTACTCATCCACGAAGCTAATCAAAGCCTCGCTCACCATCATTTATGGCACAGCCCACTAGCCTCAAAGAATCCTGTTGCCTTCGGCTTGAGGGCTTTATAGCCAGTATAGAAAAAGCCCTGCGTACTAGCAGAGAAAAATTGGCCGCGTGCCCTGACTGACACCACGATGCCTGAGCTCGTCATGTAACACTTGACCAAGCAGATCGCGCGGCAGGGTACGATTGAACTGAACATAGCCCTCCGTGATTACGTATGGGGACCTCAAGGTGACTACCACTTGAGTGGGTCATGGCTAGGTGCAGCAACAAAGACTGTCGAGCCTGCTCGGACTTCGGACTTCCTCATCAGCCAAAAAAGACCAGCCCTTGAACGAGATGTTGGGTGCATATGAGAGCGATTCAAAGGTGTTATCCATTATCCGCCACATAATGGACATGCGCAATACTATCCGCAATCAGTGATATCCCTCACAGGTGAGTACAGATTGCAATGAATGGGAAGTATCTGCAGGCCGCCATGAGTCAAATGGCATACATAAGTCCATGCATGCACTGCATGCATGGACGGGGACCAGAATAAGGTGTTTTCCGCCCAGCGAATTACGTCGCCCTGGGGCCGGGGGCCCCAGCAGTCTCAATCTTGTTGCGCCGACGCCCAGGATATGCCCGATGGTAAGCTGATTGCGCTCATTGAAAACAGACCAGACAGGTCAATCTCTCTTGTCTCACCACGGAAGCGCCCAATCGTTAGGGGATGCGATATAGGTGTGTATATGAGTACAAGTACTGTACAGCACATATGATCGGCAGCATTCTGAATGTAGGCTCCTAGAATGGACGCCTGCCCCTCAGTACTGCCAATATTGCTGCAGCATTCTTGCTATTAATTATTGCATTGTTCAGATCTAAGTAGGGTCCAAGGTATCACAGAATGTGGTCAGTGCTTAGGTTTGTCCTACATGTCATCGGGCCAGCAAGATGCAACCAATCAATGGGAGATACAGTGGAGGGGGTCTGGAACCCTAATCCTGGTCTATTACTAGACTACAGAATCGACCTCCCTCCCAGGTCGTCTAAGGTACCTAAAGTGGGTGCATTATATGGAGGAAGGCAAAGACTGCAACATGACTGGGTAGACTGTCAGGCCACCACTCACTTTCACAGTGTGACTGTGTCAGGCATGCATAGTTTGATGCGGGCAAGGGGAGTCTTCCGGGAGCGACAGACATGCAGCCTTTGCAGAGAGCAGCGAACGGATTGTGGAGACCACCTGACCGGCTGGGACTTGGACTTGAGTTCCAGTGCACCATTCATTGCCTTAAAGGCGGCTGCTTCAGCCTATTGTCTGTCTGTCTCCTTGGGAGGGGGGCACTTTTAGCATCCTTAACATCGTCAATACTACTATCACCACCACAATTACGTCCTCCTGATGTATCATCGCCGTCACCCTTGGAAGGTGGTCTCCGCAGTTGCTTACGCGATACCTTACTCCGTAAGTAAGCAGACCTAGTCTAGGGATACGAGGCGCCTGGTCGTTTCACTGCCCCTGGCAACCCGGATCTAGTCAGCTGTCCGAAAACACTTCGATCTCCATCCCTACTGGGTGGGGAGTAGAATCAGCGGATCCCACTTATCCCTGAGAACACGATGCCGGGACGTGACTGCCATTGCAGGGCAATCGCGAGATGGGGCAGAGCGAACTTCGAAGACCAAAAGAATAGAAGAAGGAAAGAAAAAAGCGAATTCGAATGGAAACTATATCCACATTGACAGATCACTATTTAAGGATCGGCCGTAAATCGCACCAGACCCGACGCACCGTGACCCGACTACAGTCAATGATAGTCGCCGCGGGTTCCACCAATGTATTACCGGAACAGGCAACGAATTCAAACCACCTACTGCACCACCACCTGCAGGCACTTACAGTACTGGGCACTCCCCACATTGTTTGGCTGCTGTTGAGCAACCTGAGGAGTTACTGTTGCTGCTGCTGTTGCTGCTACTGCTTAAGATCCTGGCTGCATTGTCACAATCGATCAAAGTGGGGAAATCGAACACTCTCTCTCTCTATCTCTCTCCTTTCTCTGTGTCCCTGTTTGCCCGCATCGAGAGAGAATTTGCCTTCTACTAAGCTACTGTTACTCCTGTACACCGTAGAACGAGGGCGGGGGAGGGGGAAAATTAGCTGAGGTTTAATTCCAATTTGGCATTATTCCTCATTCGCTTGCATCTGCATTTTTGCCTCCCGTCAGCGCCCATCAATCGGATTCTCGGACCCTCATTCGCGAGGGATTCGCCGATGCGCATCGGCAAGCGACGGGTTCGATAAAATATGGACACTATGATCATGCTCCACTAATCCACTCATCTGGGGGTCGAGAGTCACTTAGTCAACTACCAATGAAGACTGTTCAAGACGTCTGACCGTTGGTGGGGTCAGGCTAGTGTGTCCCATCGAGCAAATGATGCGACAGAAATCCACCATCTTGTCAACCCGGGGGGGGGCAGCAGGTCCACTTTATCAAGCCGGTCTTGCCATGCCATGGGATCTGTATCTAGCTTGGGGCTTGGGGTGGGAGAAGGGAGGGGGGTTACGGATAGTCGGGTCGCAGACGGACGTTGGTTCTGGCGGTAAAGCCCAATAACCCTACTGAATGCGGTAAGGTGGGTGTCTGTTAGGTTGTTTCTTGTCTCTTCAAGTGAACGCGCTTAGTCCGGCCGGAGTCATGCGCCGTGTTCTTGAGTCTTGAGTCTTGAGTCTTGAGGCCTCTCTCTCTCTCTCTCTCTCCTCTCACCGCAGCCCTGTTCCACTTCCGAGGTCCATGTCACTCACTCACTCACTAACTGCTCTCATATCCACTCCGACTCAAATTAGCCTTTTTACATGGGCAGTGGTTTTTTTTTTTTCTTTTCTCCTTGAGTGAGGCTTGGACGATGATTTCTTTCTTCCCTTCGTGCTAGTCATCTCGTCGTCTCCTTCTTCCCATCTGGGATAAGGTCGACCATTGTCTGGGTCTGGGAGGATTCCGTAGAAGTTTAGAACCCCAAGTCCAAGATCCATCGTATGGACCACCGTATTTCGTTCGGGCGACTGGAGTTCGGAAAGCCACATGGCTGACTATGCATCCCGCTTCAAATAGTCCACTCCACTCATCTGGGACCTCTTCTTCTTTTAGGTATTTTTGGGGGCCTGCTGATCGATTGATTGATTTTTTCGCTGTTTCGCTGCCGCCGGTCTGGGGTCGGAGTATGTAGGTAAGGTACGGCAAATAGGAAACGGTCTACCAATGCAAAACCGAGGCGTCCGTCTGGTGAGTGAGTAATCCAGCCGGAAAGAAGACAGACAGACAGACACATCCGAATCAATTCGCATTCAACTCCTTGACATGATCCTTGTCTCTGTGTTTATCCTTGTGCTTTTTCGCGGGGGGACCAAGAAAACAAAAAGGTAAAAACAAGTTTTGCAAGGCCCGTGTCAGTTCGAAGAGGTCAGTTCAGGAATCATCTGTAAAGTGTAAACGAATGAGGGGGCAAGAATCCAAACGGGAGCCGCGGGAGTTTGACCGGCGGGAATCTCGAGCAGCAGCAGCAGTTTTTCTAGTCTATTGATTATTTTAGGGCAGTGGATCCCGGATTATTCGGTGGCTGGCAACATGGCACGTTGTCGGTTGATGACGATCTCTTTTCCCCCTCCTCCTCGGCATTAATCTATAGAACGAAGGTCAAAGATGGAAACGGAAAGGAGTGGCTGACTGTGGCTTTGGACCTCTGTGCCATGTTTACTTCCTTAGTCGTACTGAATAACTAGATCGCGGACCTTGGCTCGTTTGGGGAGGGGAGTTTATTGAACCTTCGCTATAGCCTATAGGTAAGCAAGACTAGACAAGTTCGTTGCTTGTGCTTGTGTGCTGTTTGTTTCCTCATGACACCTTTCGAGTTCAAGCTCATTCCCCGGAAACCATGGTTGAGTGCCGCTCTCTCCGGGCAATGCTCGATGGGCGTCTGGACTACGCATGTGCCGTGTGCTTGCTTGAGGGAGAGAGAAGGAGATGTGGGGAGGAGGGGGCAAGGGATGAAGACGTTGCAACAACGATCGATCAATCAATCATTCCATGTCTCTTATCCTGGCTGTGGCTGGAATCTGTTCGGCTCCCTGCAGATCTCCTGGTGATACGAATGATGACACAACCAGACACTAACCAACTAGTTAACTAACTATCGTTCGGGGGGAAGTTGCTTGAGAATGTGGACGGAACTGCATTGATCACCATGTGGTCGAAGTGGCAACTTCTTTTCTCTACCGCATTTACTTTTCCCTTCCTCCATCCTTTCTTTTCGCCTCATGGGGATGGAAGGCCCTCCTCCTGGTAAATGGATGCTGCCGGATCTCCATCCATCCAGCACAGCCCGTTCGTATCCAGAACCGCCAATTCCAATCCCGCGATGTTCGACCGACGGATGGATCACTCTTAGGCATCATCATAACTCATCTCTCTCGGAGCGGAGCATCGCAACATCAACATGAGACAATTGCGTCTCTGGTGTTACGTGGACTGGGACTTCACGATGCCGAAGTCCTTAGAATGGCCCTTGTGTGTGTTCTAATAATAACGAGCGGTTCGCGGGTCTCTCTCATCTTCTCTCCAGATGCCGGGCAGAGCCATAGTTAACAGCTTGCTTGCTTGGCCAGCCAGCCCCAAGCCCCCCTCCCTCCCTACAGTATGGTTGTAAATCGATGTTGCAGATGCAAGTAAGTGGTTACTGTGATTGTTCGCTTTATCGCTCCAGACCTAGTCATGATGGGAGCAAGGTCGCTCTGTTCTTTGTTGGTGGGACATGTGTAACGTGAGATGCCGGCAGAGCTTGCTGGGTAGAGCTGTTTCGGAGGCTTAATGGGCCCCCCATGATGCAGGGTCCTTTCTTCTGCTAGGAGGGTTGAGTTGTTTCGAGGTGTTTGATGCTTTCTGGATGGGCGTCGTCGCCGTGGTTTGATGGCGCTCGTCCCATGTATCCTGCAAGGACGCATTGGAAAATGCCCCGGTTATCACTTCATATCCATTGATTGGTATCTGAGGGTACTGGGTGTTTGTATGTATGTAGCTATCGTCACGATTGGTATGTGAATGCAGTAGTTTGATGCTTGGATTATGTATTCAAGCTTGATTCTATGGGTAAGTAGGGATGAGTTTGCTTTTCGATGCTCATCATGCACCTGCTCTAAACGGGGGCGGAGATACCCGGTGTCAGGAAATATATATCTTGAACCCCAGTAATATTGCTCTTGGCGGAGCTCTAGAGCTCCGACTTAACATACCAGCCGAAATCACTGTACTCAGACTGCATCGACACGAAAGGCTCCTTGGGCGCCAGGCGCTCATACATCGCAGTCGATACTAACCACCACCATGACCGGCCAGCATAAGCGGTGTTCTTTGTCGTGTGGGTGAAAGACGCCGGAACGGTGCAACGACGTCATAGCCGCAATTACCCCGATCCGATCGCGACCATCGACTTCGCATTAGTTGATTCCAAGTCACGGCGGTCCCCCAGTGTCAACCCCCTACAGGCCGTCGAATCTACACAGACTGGCCTCAAGCAGCAATTATGGATAAAGGTTTCGGACAAGATGATGCGGTAGGTTAATCAATTGCGGAAGATGACCACGGGGAACTGACTTGACTTCAGGTGGGAGGGGCAGATGGCGAATTGGACGACCCGAACCAGGTGGAGGTAAACCATTGAACATTTCGCATACCAACCACCACGCAGACAGGAGCGACTCGAACTGACTGTCTGGAATCGCCTCGTTAGGTTGTGCTATACCCGGAGTCCAGCCACCGTCGCAAGTCGTCCCTGGTCATGGCGGACGACCCCAAGACACGACCGAACCTCTCGTTTCCGGACGAGACCACCGCGTGCTTCGTACATTCCCTGATCGCGGGCGAATGGGGGGACCCGACGAACCGAGTCAAGGAGGTGAAGGGCTGCACGGCTAAGGACAACGAAGCGCTGAACGACGACGCATCGGATGACACCGAGAACGACATGTCGGTGGCCGAGAAGGCCATGATGCAGTCGCGGCACCTGACTAAGAAGCAGCTGTCGGACATGGCGTGGAACGTGCGCAAGCTGTCCAAGAAGCTGGACAGCGTCAATCTTCGCCTCACCGTCAAGACCGTCTTCCTGGTGACCAAGGCCGGCGACCAGTCGGTGATCGGGTCGACGAGGGAGGTGGCCCGCTGGCTGCTGTCCAAGGAGCGCGACACGCCGTATATCGTCTACGTGGAGAAACGCCTGGAGTGCGACCCGGAGTTTAGCGCGACGCAGATAATCAAGGATGAGCCGTCGGCGAAGCACAGGCTTAAGTACTGGGACCATAACCTCGCGGCGGAGCGTGCCCACCTGTTCGACTTTGTGATTACCCTGGGAGGCGATGGCACAGTGTTGTTCACAAGCTGGCTGTTTCAGCATGTCGTGCCCCCCGTGCTCTCCTTCGCGCTTGGGTCGTTGGGCTTCTTGACGAAGTTCGACTTCAATCATTATCAGAATATCCTGACGACGGCCTTCAAGGAGGGCGTCGTGGTCAACCTGCGACTACGATTCGAATGCACCATCATGAGGAGTAACCCGCTACCGGACGGCTCGCCGGCGAACGCCACGAAGCGGGATCTGGTGGAAGAACTGATTGGGGAGGAGGCTGAGGACACATTGACACATAGGCCTGACAAGGTCCTTCAAATATTGAACGATGTTGTTCTGGACAGGGGGCCTAACGCAAGTATGTTCGGAGATCTCGATGCACCGGCTATAATGGTTGAATGCTAACGACTGTGCCAGCAATGTCCTCGATCGAGCTGTTTGGGGACGATGAGCATTTCACTACGCTCCTTGCTGACGGTGTCTGTATAGCTACGCCTACGGGGTCGACCGCGTACAACCTGGCAGCTGGAGGATCTCTCTCGCACCCAGATAACCCGGTCATCTTGATCACCGCGATCTGTGCTCATACGCTATCGTTCAGACCCATCATCCTACCAGATACCATCGTCCTTCGCATGGGAGTGCCGTATAATGCCCGGGCCAGTTCATGGGCCAGTTTTGATGGCAGAGAGAGGCATGTTGTTCCGGCGAATGCTGTTAAATGTCTGACTAATTTGGAATATAGGATCGAATTACACCCAGGAGACTATGTGACCGTGTCCGCATCCCGATACCCATTCGCCAATGTGTTGCCCAAGGGTCGACGAGGCGACGACTGGGTCCATACTATATCAAAGACACTGAATTGGAACTCGAGACAAAAGCAGAAGTCCTTGGACCCACCACATCATGATAAGAGTGGAAAATAAGCGATCCAGAAAGGCTCAGGCCAGGCTCTGATCCAGCTTCTGATACATGAAAAAAAGATCACTTGGCGACATTGATATTATTATTATTTTATTTTTATTTTTTTGGCGCGGCGCTCTGCGACCATACATATTGATCAAATTGGAGGACGCTGTATAGACAAGATGTTCTAGATAATTTTCTCATGTAATAACAAAAGCCGGTCGGCAGTTTCCATGAGTCATGGAAAGTGAATCGAAGGTTCTTTTCGTGGGCTGTGGACTGTGGAGGCTGCGGTGAAGTTTTTTTTCTTTCTGTCCAGAAGCTTCGTATGGGTCGGCGGGTTACCGGGGCAGCCTGGGGCCGACTATAAAAACCCCTTCCCGCACCGAAATTTTCTTCTTCTTCTTCATGCATCTCAACACCTCAGTTGAGCCCAACACAACGCCAGCGACATGCCAACCAGTGCCTTCCACTGAAGTTTTATGTGACTTTCATGGAAAGAGGCAAGTGGGGAGAAGGAAGAGGACATACATTCTTGACCTGTTCGCAAGTCACTGAATCATGGATGCATTTATATTCGACTAATGTGATGGTAAGCTACCACTTTTTCTTTTCTACCACGCCCTCATGACCAACGGCCCTTCGGGGCTCTTATGATGAAAACTTTTCCTACATTCGCAGTTTCCACGCTAGCCGTCGCCATGAACCCATCATATAGACGTGCTCTGTGCGCAATACTTCCTTGGATGTCTGACTTGTTGGTCATAAATCGGATATGATTTATCAACGTGCCATGTTACGAGCATATGCTAATTTGCTTGTGCAGTTTAGGTTCTAGCTTAGCTGCCGATTCTTTTGAGTGGAAGTCACCGAGCATTTTCGCAATGCACCTTTCAAATAGCACAAATGAGAATTTCTTTTCCCACAAAGATGGATTCTTTTCGTCAGGGCTGTTGCTCGAGATATCGTACATTGTATCACGTAGCTTTACATGTATCAGCTGTTCAGTCTGTAGATTGCTCCTTTTGGTTAAGAAATTGTAGGCAGACTGAAAGAGGGTACTTAATTCCCAGAGGCCATCACCGACCGAGCCGAGCCCGCATGAAGCTATCCCTCAAATTGCGTTCCGCGTACATGTGCCTCCCCGTATAACCTCTATCAAGCTCACAATACTTATCGCCCACATCACATATTATATGAAGCAAACTAATGTGTATCAAAGCACATACGACCACAGGGTGTGGAAAACAGGGCTTCCCGTCCGCTCAGCCGTACTTAAGCCACACGCCGGGAGGTTAGTAGTTGGGTGGGTGACCACCAGCGAATCCCTTCTGTTGTATGTTTTTGCTTGTTTTTGAGCTGAGTAACCAACCAATCCCTACCTCACCCGCGGTCATACACAAAACCAACACACACACACGCCATAATGGCCCAACCCCCGCGCCACGCGGCGATGCTATCCCTCAGCAACAGCAACAGCAACAGCAACAGCAACAGCAACAGCAACCTCTCCACGGCAAGCGACAGCAGACAACCCGCACACCTCGCGACGGCCTCGCATTCCAGCACGGGGCTCCGCGTCCCCTCCAACCGGAAAACCATCTACGACCGCCATCTCAACCGCAGCCGGAATGCGGAACTCAGCCGGGCTAGCTTCGCCTTCTTGTTCGCTGAGATGGTCACCTATGCCCAGCGGCGGGTGACGGGGATTCAGGATCTGGAGAGACGGTGAGTGTGCGAGCGAGAGATGGGGGGTTTCTTCCTGCAGTCATGTCCGTGTTTCGTTCCCCGTTCCTCAGCAACAACAACCGCATCACGTCAATAGAATGCACATAATTCAGGACACGAGGGATAGACCAGCCAGAACGGACAGACAGACAGGCGAAACTAACGGACTGTGCCCTCTGGGATGTCTAGATTAAACGAACAAGGCTATCCGCTCGGCCTCCGACTACTGGACCTGCTCTTCTACCGCACGATCTCAGGCTCGACCTCGTCGGCGCTGTCCAGCTCCTCGTCGACATCGGCCTCGCCGCCCAACCGCCCGCTGCGCATCCTGCCGCTCCTGCACCTCATCCACGGCCCGCTGTGGCGGCTGCTCTTCAACCGGCCCGCCGACGCCCTCGAGCATTCCGTCTCGCCCGACACGCCCAATGAGTACATGATCACCGACAACGACCCGCTGGTCAACACGTACATCAGCGTGCCCAAGGAGATGAGCATGCTGAACTGCGCCGCGTTTGTGGCGGGCATCATCGAGGGTGTCTGTGATGGCTGCGGCTTCGAGGCCAAGGTCACCGCCCATAACCAGCCCACTGAGATGTGGCCTGGTCGAACGATATTCTTGCTCCGATTCGGGGAGAGTGTGATGGAGCGTGAGAAGGTGTTGGAGCGGGCGGGCGTGAAATAGATGAAGTAATCTATGACCTGGATGTCACGGCTCACGGCTTGTTGGGGGATGCGCCGCTGGTGCTCGTATATGGGGATACTGCGAGGAGGGTCTCACGCTCTGGTATTGCGGGCTGGGCTGTGTGATACGCTGGAGCGGGTTGGTCCTAGACGTGGCCTATGTTGCATTTACAATGGCGTTCATGGAGTCTTTGGTCGTGTCAGACATACGTTCAGACGCGATGTCTAATCTAGTCGACCACACACCGAGGCATCAGGTGCCTCCTTAATAGATACAGGAGGAAAAAAAGAAACGTCAATTCCCCATATGCAACACATAAGCGGTGCCCCATCTATGCTCTCAAAATACCCAACAACGCCAATAGGATAGAATAACATTTTCATTGCGAGCCAGCTCTGGCTAATGTGACGTCGCATCCTCCATTCGTCTTCGTTTCTCGCGATCGTCGTAGGGCGAAGGGCTCCGTTTCCTGCGGCCGCCTGCGTCCGGTCTATAGCGGTCTGCGGAGCGATCCCGACTCCGATGACGCTCCCTCCGATCACCATATCGATCTCTCCTAGGCGAGTGTGACCTCGACCTCGACCTCGACCTCCGCCTCTCGCGAACAACCGACGCATTCGCACCAGTTGGGCCCCGCGGCCGTTCGTCCGGCATGAATCTCTCATCGGTGACCCCGAGCGGAGCGTCATTCCGGCGACCAAAGCGATTGGAGACGCTATCGCCAAAGCGGCCGGTATCCTCGGACCTGAGATCCTTGTAGCGAGTGCGACCTTTCTTGCCCAGCTTGGTCATATCGCGTATCTGCATGTACTCGGGGAGGGTCTCGCGCGAGACATCGTCGGCGAACCTGGCGCCCATAGCATTGCGGCGATCCAGGCCCTCGCGCTCCATGTCGTCGCGGAAGAAGGCGCCCTTATGGAAGTAGCGCTGCATGTAGCCGGCCTGGCCGCGGCTGGCCTCTTTTTCTTCTTTCTGGCGGGCGACGAACTCGCGGTCCTCGCGCTCGCGCTCCTCGGCTGTCAGGTCGCGGCGGCGCTCGACCTCCTCGCGCTCCTTCTCAGCCGCCTCGATCGCCTCGCGCTCGCGCTTCACCCGCTTCAGCTCGCGCAGCTTCCACGCCGCGTACTCGGCCTCCGGATCCTTGCCATCCGTGTCGTCGATCGCCTCCTCGTCGCCCACCTCCAGCTCGTCGTCGTCCCACGCCCGGTTCGCCTGGCTCCGCGCGATCGCGTCTTTTTCGAGTTGCTCGCGCACGAGCGCATCGGCTTTCTCCTGTCGTTGGGCGCGGCGCGCTTCAGCCTCAGCGGCCGAGTCCGCGACGTGGTCGGGCTGTTGTTTTTGTGTATCGAGGTTGTTGGTATTGGTGTTGCGCTTGTCCTTCTTGATGAACGTCGGTCGTAGCAGGACTCGGCGGGGGGTTTCTTCTTCGGAACTGCTTTCCTCGTCGCTGCTTTCCTCCTCTTCGTCCTCCTCCTCCTCCTCTTCTTCAGATTCCTCTTCGGATTCAATTTTCACCCCCCGCGCAGCAACTCTAGTAACACCCTTGACTCCATCGCCAGCAACAGAGCCCAAGCCCACCGCAGCCTTCCTTCCCCCCTCCTCGTCATTGTCATCCTTCTCCTCCTCCTCCTCATCCTCCGTAACAAACCCCTCCTCATCCTCCTCCTGTTCCTCTTGTTCCTCAACCTTCACCCCCTTGGTAACCGTACTCTGTCCCGCAGGGAAAGAACTAGCCTTCGGCCTCGACGCCGCCGCCCGCCGCAGCTGTTCCTGCCGTCGACGCTCCTCCAGCTCGCGCTGCCGCTGCTCCGCATCATCGTCTCCGTCTTCCTCTTCGTCGGACGAGGGCTCCTCGGCGATCGCTTTGCCGGGGCGGTAGCGGTTGGGTTTCAGTGGGTTGGCGGTCATGCCGCGGTGGTGGGAAGGGAGGGGGGGAGGCATTTTGGCGGTTTGCAATCAATAGGAATGAGATGAGATGGATTGGTTTAATTGAGCATATGTGTAGAAGGTTTGCGCAGATTGCGCTGCTGCTGCTGCTACTGCAGTTGATAGAAGAGTTGCGTTGAGTTGGTAGTATCGCTCGTGGCGCAGTTAGGCTAAACTCTAGAGCTTTGAACCGCCGGTGGCGCCTAAGGCACCTACCCACTTCCAATCAACCGTTCTGAAGGAACTGAGAGGGGATGATCACGTGTGTTCGCGTCCCGCGCGGCGCGTTGAAACTGTGCCCTCCCTCACTTATACCAAGTTAGTAGAAGTTGCCATACCACTCTGCATGTAATCGATAGCCACCCCCCCCCCCCCCCCGAATAAAAGATACACCTCCCCCTTCCACCCCAAATTACACCAACAGAAAGAAAGAAAGAAAGAAAGAAAAAGAGAAAATGTCCCTACAAACCCCCCGCGTCCTCCCCGCCCACCTCCACGCCTTCCACACCTCCTCCTCCACAAAACACCACACCGTCCGCATCCTGGGCACCGTCTCCGCCCTCCGCGGCGACACCGCCACCATCACCTGCGGCGCTGATGAGGTCACGCTTATCCTGAAGCCCGATTCGCATTTGCAGATGGGCAAGTTGGTCGAGATTATTGGGAAGGTTACCGATTTGAATGAGGGGGTGCGTTTCCTTTCCTTTTTTCCTTTCTCTCCCTTTGGCTTTCATATGGGGTTGGGGTTAGTTGGATGGCGGGACAGATTGCGTTGGGTTGAATTTGGACTGGCTAGTTGGCTAGCTAGCTAGCTAGCACCAACAGCGCACTATCATGCCTACAAGGATAGCATGCTAACCACATCTTACGAAACACAGGGAATCGGAATCCGCGTCCTCGGAAGCACGGACTGGGGGAACCCGGCTGATTGCGGTATGTTTCTTCCCAGTAGTCTGCTGCTGCTGCTGTTGATTGTTTGAGGTATTGGATGCTGACCTTAGCGCAGATTACAAGATCTACGAGCAGGTTGTCAATGCGACGCATAAACTGAAGCCGATTTTCTATGATGAGTGAGAGCGATATCATTCGAGAGTGATAGAGTTAGCTGGTGAGAAAGAGGTGCTGCAACGAAGGTTGGCGTGATATACCCTGTGATGATTTGGGAGAGAATTGTTGATGTCTGTGGTGGTGGTGTCGTTTCTGCTGTTATAATGCCTTGACTGTTGAATTACTTACGTCTATCTTTGTGGGCGCATCTCGAATCGGGAAAATGGCTGGGTGTAGAGGTGTAGAGTTCAGCGTCTAAGTCATCTATCCTACTTCACTTTGAATAACTACATCCAGTCACACTTCTGATTGTTGAATTTCATTGCTATGGTCCTATTGACCTGGTATCTACTTTGGTATCTTAGTATCCGATCCCTTCCCTGATTCCCAATCCTCCCATCCCTCCGTTGTATTGCCTTAGCAAACAGAAAATCCATATAAAACCAAGGACCCATACAAAAATGTGATCCATACAAAAAGAGTGACAATCGGACGCGATCATCACTTGTATTCACCGAACGCCGTCGCTAAACATACTGAAAGAAACTCGATAAAGAATGTCGGGCCTCATCACATGAAAGATAAAAGAAACTCATTAAACATCATTTGCACTTGGCTGTGCTTTGGTGCTGGGAGACTCGTCCACAGCCTTGTCCTTCGCGCCGAGCGGCGTCACGGTCTCCGAGTTGAGAGCATCCGAGCTGAAGAACCCGGAATCGAGCACGTTCGTTTCGACATAGTTAAAAATATCAAACTGGTTGTTCCTCTGGAGATCCGGATCCGACATGAGCGCGTTGAGCAAATCCCGCGGATCATCCCCACTCGCTCCGGAATCTCCGTTCACAGGCTCGCCATCGGAACCAGTGGGAGAGACGTAATCGGACGGAATCCAGTCGGGCCAGTTGCTACCCGATGCACATTTTTCGATTCCAAAAAGCGCATCGGTGGCGGCTGCTGAGGGTGCATCTGAAAAGATATCCACGATCATGTTATCCATCCCCTCGAAAGTGCCGAAAGCATCGATAGGCAGCTGAAGATCGCCCAAAGCCGAGCGCGACTGCTTGGGGGTCTTGTGCTGACGTGGCATGGGGCCGGGGCTGCTCTGGATCCGCTGAAGTCGTTGTGCAGTGATTTTGGTAGGAGACGTATCGCCGCCGAGTCCCCTCCGAGCCTTGGAGGAAGGCGAGATGTACGGCAGGGAAAGGCGCTTCTCGCTCAGCAAGTTCGACCGCTGGTTGCGACGGCGAGGGGTCGGGCTGACAGGCACGTCGAAGCCGAAACTAGGACTCTCGAAGAGCGCGTCCAGATTGGTAGTAGTCTGGTTTTCTTTGTCATCAGGTTGCTTCTCGGCCGGCCGAGAACTGCGCGGGCTGCGTCGTGGGCTGTTGACGCTTGAGTCACCCAATGCTCTCAACGGTCCAGCCTCATTGTGGGAGTTAGGAAATAGCACTCTTCTCACTGACTTGGGAGTAAGAGCATTCTCGCCCGCCGCCGGAGCATTGCGCGACCGAGCATTTCTCGCAGGACTAGACTGGATGGCTTCGCGGAGAGCGGCCGCGGGATCTTGCTCCTGCCAGCGACTGCCCGCAACGTCGGTGGATTTGCGTGGCTCCAGGCTGTTGGCACGGCGTCGCTTACCGGGCTGCTCCTGGGACTCATCGTTCTCTCGCTCGTGGTTGTTCTCAGTCTCGTTGCTGTCATTATCACCACGGGGAGTGGGATCGTCCACCGCGGGCGACGAAGCGTCGGACGCCCCCGGAGAGGACTCATCGGCTTTCGAGGAATCGGCGCGGGCACGATGCCTCGTGGCGGGGTTGTTGTTGTTAGTCGAGAGCGGGCCGCCTCCCTTGCGGTTCCTGGGAGGGCGCTTTCTCTTGTTGCTGGCGGTCTTGTTCCATTTGTTTTCCGGGCGCATGCACTTGAATTTGTGGAGCCAAAGACCACAGGCTTCCCTGGATGTTAGTACGCACAAGTCAAGAGCTGAGCAGGTAACACTTACGGTTGCAAAGGAGAACCTGAACAAAGTCGTTGTCAGTGTCAGCGAGGCTCTTCTTGTAGACCTTGAATTTGGTGACCTTCTCCTGATCGTCCCGTTCAACAGCCTGCCAGAACAACATGGTAGGGTCCTTGGTCAGTTCTTTGGCATCATCTTCGTTGCCCTCAAACTCCTTCGACCACGCTCTGCGCCAAGTAGGAGTTTCAATGGCACCACAATTCTCGCAGTAAGGCGGTACCTGGCCGCTCTGGATGCACCGATCGAGACGTGCCTGAACCTGTCGCAACCGGCGCGCACCAGCGCCGCTGCGAATCTTGCCATTCTCGAGCACTGGCTGCGGGGCTGGGGTTTCGGCAGAATTGAAGTCACTCATGGGCCCGGTCCAAGCCTGGGGGTTCTGCGGGTTCAGTTGAGAAGGCAGGATCGGATCGCTTGCAGGAATGGCACTGATAAGCTGCTCCAGCTCACTCTGCGACATCGGTGCAGGTGCAAGTGGCTTAGGAGCCTGTCTCATACTAGCCCGAGAAGACGGCCTCGAGCCTGCATTGCTGGCTGGGGCACGAATAGGTGCAGATGCTCTTTCCTTGGTAGGTTGATCCGGAGCGTCGCTGGCGGAGAAATTCTCCAGATTGGGGGGTGCCGTGATGGGCGAACTAGGGTGTACAGCAGGACGGACAGTTCGTTTGGCTCTGGCCGCGGCGGCCGAGACAGAGTCGTCCAGAGGGGTGCCGATTTCTTCGTCTAAGAGATCATCCATTCCACCGCTCATGAAACCCGAGTCCGCCATGGGCGGCAGAACAGGGCTAGAGCGGTTCGGGAACCCACAGTCGAGAACAGGAGGCGACGACGGCATACTGAAAGACGGCTCGAACAGACCCTGATAACGAGACTCCGGGGACTGATTATCGCCAGTGGGGTGATCATCGCTCATAGGATACGGGGAGGTGTAAGGCGTGTGTAGAGAGGACTCGCGGAGTAAGCTGGGCGGAGGTCGTGCTCGACGAGAGAAATCGGGTGCGTTAGAAATAGGAGTGGGCGGGCGGACCGGCTCTTCGTTCGAGTTGTGAGCAGCAGCAATAGCTGGGTTGACCGGGGTAGGGCGATGAATGCGTACAGAGGCAGCAGTGCTTGCGGCGACCCGCAGAGAACTGGGCTGTCTCTCAATGTTCAAGTCGGATTTTCCAGGCCAGTCCGCACGATACAACTTGGCCCGCTTGCGAGGTTGCTGCTCCGAAGACTCGTCGCAGCTGCCGTAGCCTGACTGGATGGATCCTCGACGACTGCCGTACCTGGGTAGTTCCGAGTCACGCATCGACGCACTGGAGGAGGGTCGGATGGCATCGTTGTGCAGTCGGTCTTGCTGGTGCTGAAACTGCTGTGTTTGTTCCTGTTGCTGCGCGGGGGTGGGAATCCTGCTGATGGGTCCGAGCGCCGATTGCGAGGGGGAAACTGATCGAACAGAGGCATTGGCGGCCATGGAGGGGAACTCTCTTGGCGTTGATCCCTCGCTGAGCAATCGGTGAAACCTTTCAATTCCAGCATGATCCATCGGTGACGCTATGGGGTCCGGCTGTTGGTCGCGGGGAGACACCAAACCCGGGTTTTGCCGCACAAAACTCGTCCAGGCCTGGGCGTCGAATTCGTGAGGGATGACGTTGCTCAATTCCCGGTACCTCTGCATGCTCTCGAGATACTCGCTCTGCAGGACGGTGGGGACCGGCACCAATCGCAATTTGACCTCCAATGTCTCCTGGGCACCCTTCGAAAACAGACCCAGCACGTTCTTGCACACCCGACCGGTGACCATAGTTTTCGACTGGTGGGCGGGGGCATTGGGGGTGGGAGACGCCGAAGCCAGCACCCACGACAGCATTCCCTGACCGACCAAAGGCGTCTCATACTCGGAGTAATCGTAGGCGTAAACAGTGTAATCTTGTCCGAGCTTGGCAACCAGTTCCGGACTGTGACGATGAATGAGTACAACCGCCGACGGACCGGCCCACCGTGAGCACTCACCTTGCCGAGACGATGGCCTGAATGCATGTTTTCAGCTCGATGACACCGATTTGCAATTTCTCGTCGAGAGCAGCGGTCTGAATGTCGAGGAGATGAGGCCATCGGGCCAAGCAATTGGTCTTACTGGCATCATCGAATGTGTAGAGCACCTTCACTATAAAGGTTGGAACCGGTTAGTGAATGACCGTGGGGTGACGGGTAGCAGCAGTAAATAGGTGGGGAGACATACGCCTCATAGGCCGGACGGAAATTCCGTCCTGAGATTCCATGCCACCAGTTCAAGCGAATTGATCATAAGCAGAAGCAAAAGGCCAAGAAGTGGTGTTTGGTGTTGATAAGTTGTTTGTAGAGAGCGAAGTCGTTGTCAGCTGCACCAGTTGGGCGGGGGTTGCGGTCGAGTAGAACGGCACTGGAAGGCACCGGCTTCGATGATCGATGTCGAAATTGAAGCAAGGTAGCTTAAACCAGTGTGATCGACCACTCAGAACGGTCCGAAAGGCGATTGCATCGACCGGGAGAATGCACAGGAATGTGTGTATGCACGGCAGGACGCGGGGAAAGGCACTGAAGGAATGCCAACGCGGGACGAAGAAGCGTGAAAGGAGGGGAGGCCGTTAAGAACTCGAGGCATGGGATGGAAGGAGAAAAGTGGAAAAAGAGAGTTGTGCGAGAGAGACAGAGAGAGAAACTCCTTTTTTCTTCTTCTCCTCTTCTTCCACTTCACCAGCTAGCCTTCGAATTGAATTGAAGGAAAAGGGAGGGTGAAAAGGAGAAAGAGAGGAAGAGGGTTGGGAGAGAGTTGGGAAGTAGGGAAGAAGAGCAGAACGCCTTGCATTTGAAAGAGGAGGAGGTGGTTTGGAAGCTTGGACGATCCGCACGCCTGGAAGCGTGAGGAAGACGACGAAGAGCGTGTTCAGACGCGACGTGACGCAGCCAATCGCGACCTCGGGAAAGACCGACGGGCAAACACGGCAAACACGCGTGGCACGTGACGTAACCTAGGCCAAGAAATGCCAGAAGCTGCGGAAAGGAAGAAAGCCCGGGCTCTGAGACTAAGTTGCAAGAACAGAGAGAGAAACGGACAAGACGGACAAGCTGCCAACTTCCTGATACTTATACCCTTTCTCCTTTCCCTCTACCCCCGGCCATACCACCCACCATGTCGACCGATCCTAAGATCCAGTACGTTACCCCTCATTTATCTTTATCTGGTTTAGATGAGTCAGCTCTGGCTCTTCCCTCCTCCCATGAAAATGAACCGCAACCGCGCAACTGGTCGGACCTGAGGCTAACCATCCGCTACAATCCAACAGGGACCTGCTCAACAAGCCCAAGAGCGAGCTCACGTACGTTCATCTCTTTGACGTCCATCCAATTCAGCATCTCGATCCACCCTAAAGCTTTAAACCCCTTGCCCTCCCTCAATCCCCGTCGTCACATGATGACATGACTGGAGGCCGCTCCGGACCTCTGGTATCGGCGAGACAATGATGCCACTGGAATGGCTGGTTGTTCACGCACACAGCTAACCCCGCGCCTAAACCTCCCTTCATCATCGCTACCATCCCTCCTCTTTCACCACCTTATCCTCATCCTCATCCTCACCCTCACCCTCAACATCAACCCTCACCGATCAAACCAACTAACTCCGAACCAGTGAATACGAGGTCTCCCTCGTAGAAGAACATGAGCTCACAGCGGGGCCGCTGTCACTGCTACAGACAGCGACGCGCACACACACACAGGTGCTGATCTCATGCCGGAACAACCGCAAGCTGCTCGCGCGCGTCAAGGCCTTCGACCGACACTGCAACATGGTGCTGGAGAACGTCAAGGAGATGTGGACGGAGAAGCCCAAGGGCGGCAAGGGCAAGGGCGTCAACAAGGACCGATTCATCAGCAAGATGTAGGTTGCCTCCGCGCCTCCCAACATTCGCGCATCATCACCGTCATCATCATCATCATCATCATCAACTAACCTATCCATTAAACTTAAGGTTCCTCCGAGGCGACTCCGTCATCCTCGTCCTACTCAGCTGAACAACCCCCCAAAAAAGCGCCTCCGCAAGCCTTCGTTAGCCATATACCTGCACTTTCCCACGCGCTCGTGACATCGCTCACGACGGCGCTATCGGGTATGTGTGTGGGTGTGTTGCTTGTAGCTTTCTTCTTCTCCCCCACGAGGATACAGAGCTCGCGAAGGGAGGAGAGCATGGGCCATGACTCCGTCTCACAATCATCATCGATATACCCTTTGTATTCGTGCGGTTTTTCCGGGGCCGAAAAACTTCTCTCGGCGTCATGTCGCGGTCACCGGGGACCAACCACCCCTCAAATCGGGAATCTTGTTTTCAATGGACTGTCGGCTCTTCTACACTTTTCTTTTCCTTGTCTATTTCTATGCTACCCCCATCTTCTTTTGGCTCGATGGTTCCCCCCGTTTTCTCGTTGTGGCGCGACAGATTTGGCGTTTCTTCGGTACTCTGATTACGAAAAGATTTAGAAAAGGAATGAAAAAGCTGGGTTAGAGATGCTTTTGTGAAGTATTTCGTGGCTATGGTGGTGTGATTTGTGTTGAGACTGCGAGACGTATCATGGCTTCGCAAGACAATTGTCGTTAAGTATCAACTTGTCGGACCCGGCATGGAATACAATGGATCATTTGTAGCTGATCTCGCACTGGACGGACCTGATCCGTGATAATCCAAACAAAGTCATATCATCATCATTAATTATATTAGGGATTAACACATGCGCTCCAGAACATATATGTACGATGGAAACCAGAACCTTTGAAACCAAATCACAGCGCCTCGGCCAACCCGTTCAAGAACTCGCTGAGCCCGTAGGCACCGGGGTCAGGGATCTTGCCCACCCACTCGTCCTCGCCGCCCACATAGACACTGCGGCCCAGGCTGGCCTTCATGTGCTTGGTGGAGTCGGTGCCCTCCTGCGCGGCCTGCGCCGCGGCGTGGACATCCTTGCTGTCGTGGAGCGTCTTGCAGAAGGGCACCAGGGCGTCGACCAGGGTGCGGTCGCCCGGCTGTGCGGGGGTGTACTTGGACAGCGCGGCGAGCGAGTGGTTGAGCGCCGCAGCCCACACGTCCGCCGTCGCCGGGGTGCTGGCGCCTGTGTCTTGTTCGCGGAGGCCGTGCGCCAGCGCGTTCAGGAAGATGGCGTAGATGGCGCCCGAGGTGCCGTCCATCGTGTTCTCGACCACGCCGACGATGCGGTTGACGGCGTGCACCACGTCGTCGGTCAGGTTCGATGAGGAGCTCTCCAGGAGCGCGGCGACGGCTTCCGCCCCGCGCTTCAGGCCGACGCCGCAGTCGCCGTCGCCGACGATCGTGTCGAAGCGGGTCGTTTCGGGCTCTGCGGCAATCACGCGCTTGAGGGCACTGCCTAGGACCTTCTTCAGGATGTTGATATCCACTGCTGGGTGTTAGCGATGCTTTGGGTGAGGAGAAAGGAAGACCTGTCCACTTACGTTTGACGTTGCTTGGGGTGTCCTCGGGCAGAGCGGTTCTCTTGAACTCAACAGGAGCATCAGTCCGATGCTTCCACGTCTCCGCGCTGATAGGGGCCGACCAGCCGACCGCCTCGGCGGGCGCATCGAGGAGATCCAGGAAGGATTTTCCGGGGCCCAGCCCCGTATCTACCAGCTTCAGCAAGGAGATGCTGAAGCCCAGCCCGTTAAGGCTGGTGAGGAAAGTCCCCTGGATGATTCGGATCGGCTGCACGTCGTAGTCTCTGTCAAGCTGACGATATACCTCATCCGTGATGCCCGAAAGTTCCAATGTGCTGACACCGCCCAAGTTATTGATTAATAGCACAAAGTCGTCTTCAGGCTTGCGGGTGACCCAGGCGCGGTCAGGATCATTGTGGTCCAGAAGCTGGAGTAGCATGGTTGCGACCAGCTCCACGAGGTTGGCCTTCACCCGGTGGGATCCTGGCTCGTTGTGAATGCCCATGCCGACCTCGACTTGACCCTCTGGGATGGTGTCTTCTGGGGCGCCTCTGCCGGGAATGTGCACATGCTCGAGGGAGGAGCCAACGGAAACAAGGTTGTTGTTCGCCAACTGCGCCAGGCGGTACACTTCTTCCAGCGATCCACTGTATCGACTCAGTTTCATTGCATCCAAATTGTCCCGTGAAAAGAAATCAGCTTACCCTGCTTCCGCCAGCGCACCAACAGCCTTAAGGATGAGAATTCCACCGCCAATACCACGACGACCGACTTTGCCTCCCTTTTGCTTGCCAACGCCAACATCGTCATTGATAGCAAAGAACTCGGTCTTAATCCCAGCCGCGCGTGACTTTTCCGTGGCCATGCCGAAGTTGAGCACGTCGCCCGTGTAGTTCATGGGGATAATGAGGACTCCCTTGTCATGGCTGACACAGTCCATGACCGCCTTGCGGATTTGCTCCGCCGAGGGAGAAGCGAAAATTGTACCGGCCGCGGAAGCATCTAAGAAACCCTTTCCAACGTAGCCCGCAAAGGCAGGCTCATGGCCCGAACCACCACCCGATACAATGGCGACTTTGGGCTTTGCGTTCGCATCGGGGCGGCGGAATATGATCTTGTTGTCCGCATCGAATGCTAGCGAGGGGTTGGTGAGAGTGAGGGAATGCAGAGCGGTCTGGACCAAATGGGTGGGATCCGAGAAGAAGTGTTTCGCTGCCGGGCTGGCGTTAGTGGATGGAACAAACTAGTGTAGATTTCCCCGGTGGAGTCCGACGATCTGACTTCATGGTGACCGTGGGACAGGCTTGGCGCCTGCATGGGCTAATCCCATTTCCAACAGGTAATCGAGCTGGTATATGAGGGCGTGGAACCTACTTTGCATCTTGTGGGAGATCTGGGGGAAGATCAGCGCTCGAATGTTGGGGAATTCGGTTGAGTATGACGTTAAGATGCGTATGAAGACGAGCCGTTTCTCGAGTGGAACCGATCGAAGTATGGGGGTTGCAGGAGGACCGGATGCGCGCACTGTCTTTTCTCGTCTTTATATAACCTTTCTTGATAAAAAAGCGACTTCCTTGCAATGATCACTTGATCTTCCTCCTGGACTGAAAGTTTCCCAGGATCAATCGTATCGACTGTGCGACGATTGCGCGTTTGGTAAAGGCGCAATGATTGGGATCGGAATGGAATCCGGATGAGGCGGGGAAGTGGGGAAACCGGATTTCACTGGGTCTGGCAGCTGTCAGCTTGGAGAATCTCTCATGCACTCGAAGAGCCGAAGAACAGGAGATTGGTGAGGCAGAAGGATGATCCCTACTCGGCAGTACTCACATTTCGCGGTCACTTGACAAATGGAGGAGGATGAGGAGGGAAGGAGAGGCTGTCAATGGATACAATTCGGGATCAACTGGACGGGCGATTGAGTACAAGTCAAGAAACCAAGTGAAAGTCACACGGCAATAGCCAAAGGAAGAGAGATTCGACCAGGAATAGGAGCAAGAACCAGAGCGCAACTGCTGGGCTAAATAACAGCCCGGCGAAGGCGAGCATTTCACGACTTCAGCATGGCGTAAGAAAGGAGTCGTAGACCCGAACCTGTTTTCCCAATAGTGCATTCATTGACGATTGTCTTCCTTCCGTGGGTACCAGACATGATGGGGAGATTTTTTTTTTTGCTGCTCACATGAACAAGGAGCTTTCGCATGACTTCCCCATCGACCAAGCTGGGTGTTCTGTATATGGAAACTGGAATGGTTTTTTCCCCTTGAACCGGCCCCGCCAACCTTACCCCATGGGTCTGGAACCTGGCGAGCAATAACAGCAATCGACACTGGAAGCGCTTCGGCTTACCCTCTGTGGGAATTCCGGCGCACTCCGCCAACTATGACCGCGCCATTCCCCCGAAAACCAGCCATGAGTCTGAATCTGAATACGAGTGCTTCAGATTGAGACAGTTGTTCAGAGATGCAGACAGCAGACGCGCCAGTTGCTTGAGAGCAATAGCCCCAGGTACGTGCTGATTTTGCTGTACATGCTACATACTGTACATACAACAAGGATTGAAACTGGCTTATCGATAAGACAATCCTGGCCCATCCAATCGATGTCACGGGTGCATAATCCTTCTGGTTTCGGGGGGTCCATCTTTTTTTCATTACTGGGTACTCATCATTCGTGTCTTCCAGTTGTCTGAACATCCATGCTGGCGTGGCAAGAGAATTACCGGATTGTGTGCTACAGTGTTTCGGACCTCAGCTGCACTCCCAGCACCATCCGAGTCGCAATGCATAACAAAGCAAAGCAAAGCACGTCCAACATAGCATTCCAGGCTGCAATCTCGCTTTCGTTTGGAATTGGAGCTATGTTCATCAGAGATAATTCCCGGATCCACCAACACCTCAGTCCCCTGCGCATAGTGCTGCAACCGGGGGAGCAAGTGGAGCGGAATCTCGCTGACTATGCATATATGATCTATGTGATCCCAACAAATTACTGTAGATTACACTACTAGTCTAAGCTACCCCCATGCAGGAAGCAACCAGATCATGGGACCTTAAAAAAAATCGAAGAGCGGCAGAAGCATCCTCAAAACTCCGCTGTCAGATCCAAAGGTGCAGCGGGTCCACCTCCACCTTAGCCCAACAGGGAAGAGCGCGGAGGGGGGCCTGGAACTACTCAGCCGGCGCGTACGCAGTCCTAAATCGGACGATCCCGACAGTACCTACAGTGAACTGGCCTGAATTATTGCATGTTGCATAGCTTCGGTAAGTATTCTGTTTCAACCTCTGTCCACCGTAACTCCGTTCAGGCCGATCAGGCCTTCCCACGTGAACACCTCCAATATCCACGATACGGTATACCTGGTGCGAGCCCAGACCGTCAAGTCCTGAACGGTTGACCCTGCCACGGCAATTCCTATTCCCGCTTCCCCGAGTTACTGTTTCCGGCACTGAGATTGCCAGCTGAATTGCAGCGCTTGCTTGCTAATTAGGTTCTTCTCGTCCGTCTGGTTTCTCGGGCGAGAGTGAGAAAGCACTGACTGAGATGCGAAGCCTCAGCCCCCTTGATTGAGACTAATCGACACATGAACCCAAGGTACAGTACTTTGCGGTGGGCGCAGAGTACAGTACAATTGTTAGTGCTTGCATCACGCAGTATGTTTGGACTATGATGGGGACACGTGAATCGAAGATGCGTTTGAGGATGGATCTATCAATTCGAACTCCGAAAGGGAGGAGGAGGGAGGGGGGCTGTCTGGCCGTCTAATCGAGCAACTATACCGAGGCGCCCGGTTCACGGCTCTGTTGCCGCGGTGGGTCACAGCAGACACCAGGCGGAGGGATTGTAGCTTGCTTGCTTGCTTCTTCACCACCACGTAATCTAGCACTAACAATAGTTACCTAGTTGATTGATCAGTCCGTTACTTTACTCGCCGGGTGATCATTGAGAGTATTCCACGAATGAGAATGGGCGGATTCTTCACCTTAGCCTCGGAATTCCTCCGCTCATGTACTTAGTAGTAACTAACCGCCACTCTTACAACTTGTATTACCCCCTCTCCAAGGATCAGGTCCAGTTCATGATCATGCCATGATCAACGCACTCAAATTGTCAAATACTCTGGTATATGCTAAACTGAGATCATACACCGGTACACCAAGCAACTAGATAGGAGAAATAACCACGCTCTAGGCCACATATTGGTACCGATTCCCTTCCTCGCGTTCCATGTAATCCTTCTCAATGAGCCTGCACATCAATAGCATGGTTAGCCAAGGTCTTTTATTGAACGATGGGCACACAGCATGAAGGACTTACTTCTCAATATTCTTCTTGATTTCCGCCGGCTCGAGCACTCCCCGACTTCGTGTAGCCTTGATGACCTCGGCCACCAATTCCGGATGGGTGATCGTCTTGCGGCTCTTCATTATTCGTACGATGGCTGCCTGTGTCTCGTAGTGGCGGTCCGCGGCGACGCGCTCATGGGTCGTCTTGTTCTCTTCCTTCGTCTCCTTCAACTGGATCTGGTTGATCTTGATCCGCATCTTTGGGTCGGAGAACCCGGGGTTGTATGCGAATTCGTCGGTCTTGCTGACATCCCGGCCCTTGGGCTTCTTCGCCAACACCCGGTACTTGGCGCACGCGAGCGATTGGAGCGTTCGCTCAAGTTCTTGGTCGGCTGAGTCAAAACAGTCAGCAGTGGCTCGGTGGCTTCGAAGATAGCGTACTCACACAGCATGGTCGCTTCCTGGATTTGAGCGTAGGTCAGGGATCCGCCCTCAGGCAGATCGTTGAATAGTAGTAGTACAATCGCTTGGAAAGAGCTGACCACTAATTCTTTGTCACCTTTGGGGAACCTTGCGCGTAGCTGGCAATGTGCCAGCTGGTGCTTCCATGTGAGTTTTCGCCCGTTATATTTCGTATGATAGAACTTCTCAAAGTCGTCCACGCAAGTTGCAATTTCCGCTGGTATCCGCACTTTAACATCAGGGTATGTCGGCCACGCAGCCGCTGACAGCACGCTGACACTCAGGTCAACTGGTAACCGGTGCCGGCGTTCGCGTTGGATAGAGCTATAAGCGGCCATTTCATCACGGGCGACATCCATGTCCTTGAACATGGATTCCAGATTGTGTGTGAAACTTGATCCGCATTCTGGTATTCGTTGGTACGTGTCAGAGACCTTTACCGTAGACCATCACAATGAGAATGGACGGGTACATACCAGTCTTGAGCCTCGAAAGCATGCTCTTCTCTGCATCATCACTGGCACTTCTGCCCATCAATAGCCGACGAGCAAGGTCGTTCTTGTAAAATGCCTCGAACACTGCCTTGCCGTGGACGAACCGAAACAGATCCAAGACTTGATCTAATTGTCGATTGATCTCGGCATCCTCGTCTGCCAATGGCATATCCTCCGCTTTCCGTGTAGGTGCCAGCTTCCAGCCGCCTTTGAGAAGTCTGTCCACGTACTTGGCAATCATCTCTCCAGTCTTGGGGTTGTCGGTTCCTCCCGTAGCCGCCGATTTCCTCCCCATGTTCATGAAAGCCTCGAAAGCTTCTCGGAGTACATGGCCTAAATCTTCGTTGCGATGGAACGAGATAATCCACAGGTCATCAAGCTGTTTTTTGAAATCCAGCAAGCGTGCCACCATATCTGCTTCTTTCTCCTCGTCGAAAACAATTGCAGATCCTTCTTCGATGATGTAAGTGCTGAATGAGGCCTTCAACTTGGCCCCCAGGTCTTTCCGCTCGAGGAGAGAGTATAATCGTTCCAAGGCGACTTTGTTACCTGCACGGAGGAGGCCCAGAATATCCGTCTGGTTCAGCAGAGCACCTTCTTGCTCAGCCACCAAAGTTCGATCGAGTATCTCGGAAAGCTTTTGTTTCGTGCTTCGATTCAGAGAAAACAGTTCGCATCGGTTGACCTCGCGCTCGATCAACTTGTGGCTGCTCTCCGCAAATGTCGCCAGATAGCCCGTTGCTTCCCGTTGAGCCCAAGAAGAAAAGAACTTATCCGACTCGGCGACAAAAACAGGCTCGAACGCAGACGTATAGATATCAAGACCATGGAAGAGATCGATGGCGTGCCGGAGTAATGTAGAATCTGCTACCATGCTCTTTTCATCATCACGATCCGCCTCCACGAGGTCGCAAGCGCCCTGCAGAATCTTCGGTTCTAGTACTGGGTCAGAGAATATGTGCTGCCGGAATTGAATCAAGCCCATCTCGCGAATGACGGGGAACTCCTTGGAGTGTAGGAGGAAGGACTGGTCGAGATAATAGAAGATGGAGCGGACGGTAACCTGGTTAGTGTCAGTAAATCTCGACACTTATCGACATAATGAGCCATTGGCCACCATACCAGTTTGGACTGCCATAGCGACCATGCCTCAACGACCGCCCGTAGTGTTTCAATGTTGGTTCCACCAGCCGCCTGCGCCGTCAACCTCTCACGCAATTTCCCGGTGACATAATCTCGACAGCGATCTGAAAGCCGCTTGGCCAAAGCTGCGGCTCTGCCTTGGCGACAAACATGTTCAGCACCTTTATAGAGTTCCTCCAACGACTTCTCCGGCTTCCCGCCATCGAAGATTGCCGATAAGGCTGCATCAAGCTGGCCCCAGACTTTCTCGAAATACGAATCCTGATTCAACCGTGACCCCGTCCTGAGATTCTTGACTACCAGCCGTTTCGCTCCGGTATGAGGGGTGAAGTTGCCCTGGCGTGACGCCGCGTTGAAGGGTCGAGGCTTGACCGCAGGATTGGAGACTCCGGCCCCGCCCGTATTTTGGCCCATTGCCTCGCCCAGCCGAGACTCCGCATTCGTGAAGTTATACATCCTTTCGGGGGAAGTCTGTTGGCGAGGGCTGCCTGGAGGGTAGGAGGGGCCTGCGAGGGTGGGCGACAGACGTAGGCGTTTGCTCGTGGGGGATTGGTCGTGTCGCTGCGGATGGCTTCTGTTGCCGCCGTGGGTGGGGTGGTTGCGTGAGAGAAGCTCGGAGATGGTCGCTTGCTGTTGAGGCTGGCGCGAGGCGTCTTCTTGATCGGATAGCTTCCTCTTACCGATCGACTTGCGTTTGCCGCTCCTCTGCTCAGGGGCGCCTCTTGAGTTCTGCTGCATCTACCCGGTTCTGTCCGAGGAGAGGGTGGTGAGGTATGAGCGCTCAGCGTCGGAAGGACCCAGATTAAGTGCGAACCCTATCATACATGATAAGTCCTACCTCAGGCCAGTTCGGAAGTTCAACCGTACAAAGCGCGCGGCAGAGAAAAATGATGGGCAGGACGAGCGGCGATGACGACGATGACGACGATGACGGAGTTGACGGAGTGGTCTGGGGTGGAAGTGAGTGGTGAGTGAGAGAGGCCTGTTGAAGGGGCGTTCGGGTTCCTACCTTACGTTAGTTGGACCTGGAACCAACACTGACTGGCGCATCCACTGACTGACTGACTAAAGTCCCCCGGAGATAAGATAATACTTCCGTTCGCCATTTGCAGATTCGATTGGCTGGGACCCGAGTATACTTTCTCTAACCCCGCCATGCACGATGAAAAAATGGTGTCTACTACGTAGTATGTACATCTATGTATGCGACTGCTGCGCCGCTAAGACTGGACAGTGTGAGTCAACAACTATGGTAGTTATGGTTATTTATAACTCGAGGCGAATCATGGCCCTTCCAATGTCTCATTCATGGGCTGGCCTCAGTTTGCCTCATCAACTGATCTACATGTCCATATACATCCAATCCAAGAAACCACCCTTCCTAGCTTGTACAGCCATCTGATCCACAATGAGGCCAGGCTCATGAGAATAACTTGCTCCCTGTGCGTTCCTCCACTTCCATCTCCTCAAACTAGAAGGACCGAGTTAGCCGGCAATATAAGATCGCGAAATATTGGGGACAGCACATACATCAAGAAAGTCCGTAGCTGTAATGAGCGCCATGTATGACCTGACAAGGCTGCCTAACGTGCCTTGATGATCCGCGACACCAGTGCCACTAATCCGAGCATATCGCTTGAATATGCCCACCATGCCTTGTCGATTTTCTGTAAGAAATACCCGCGTTTGTTCCATTGTCTGCTCGTTGTGAAGTCCGCGAGAAAATACCGCAGAGACAATGACCCGAAGACAGGAATCAAGGAGGTCATAGTATTTTCGCAGGGCATCGGAATTGTCAATATCTGCATATATCATATTAGTGAAAAAGTCTCGCTATTGAAGTCATTCGAGTACTAACCGATTCCTAGGTCAGGATCGGCGGCGAACAGTTGCGACTCACGCACAGCCTGGAAGAGCCCAGTCTTGAGAACGTGCGTAGCGCCAATCTTCGTTTGGCATAGCTCCTGGAGCAGAGACAGCAGAGATTGGTAGTAAGACAACAGAAGAGGTGTGTCTGTTTCGTTGTACTGTCAGTAATACAATCAGTCAAGGGAAGGGGGCTAGCATACCGCTTGCTTGAGCGTTTCTCAATTCCACAGGTAAGACCCGGATGACGTCAAGGAAGAGGCTTAAGTAGTTAGTCTGCGCTATCATCTCAGCCAACATTGAACTCGTCTGCCTATCTAACACAGCCAAGAGATTGAGGCATAGAACAGCTGAGACACGACAGGTCTCCTGACCAGCATATGCATCATCACAGATAGCTTCGACTAGGGCATGACCGGATGCCTTAACGACGTGCTGACTTTGCTGCTTTATGAGCTCATGGGCAGTTTGTGTTGAAACGATGCGAGCAACGTAATGCGAGCATATGTTGTAGAGACTCTCCCTGAGGCTGACATTTCCCGTAGTCACAACCACGCCTCGCACACAGACCTGAAACATCTGGTGAAGCTTTTCGTCAAGAACATCACCGCCTCTGCGAACAGTGTTCACCGTTGGCTGGGGAGATTCTGGCTTTGTTGATTCCAACTTGCTAATTAATGTCTCGGCCAATCTTGCAAGTTCCAGAGCCTCGGGCATATTGCCTTGAATAGCAGCTTCGAGTTTGGGTAGGATGAGTTGGAGTGAATGTAGAATGAAGGTAGTTCGTCTTCCGCCTTCGATTTCCGATGAGGAAAGCATAGTTGTAATGAGCTCGGTCCAGGATCGAAGGGCCAAGAAGCGGTTGTGTCTGATCTGCCTGGATTGATTTGTTGTCTTGATGAAAAGCATCAGACTATCTGCTTCAGCAATGAACTGTTCCTCATCCTGGGGTCGTAGTTGTCCTGTAGCGAACAACTCCTCTTTTCTGACCTGGATCAATTCCATTACTTCGTCCGTTTTGTAAAGAACAAAAGGAGCGTCCGCCTCTGGTCTAGCACACACATTGAAATCAATGCCCTCAAGGGCATATAGGTCTGGAAAGGGCAAGGGGTTGGCAATGTCAAGATCGGCAAAATCGAAAAGATCGAAAACTGTAGGGTTGACGATCGTCTCTCCAGTTTGAGATAATGAGGTGCCAAAGAGGGTGGAAATAAGCTCAGCTTGATGAGCCGGCGCACCAATCTTGGCGGCTGAGCGAATCTCTATTGCGGCATAGTCGAACAGGTAGCTCCTGAGGAGCAAGAATTCTGCGTAAGCTGTGGTCGACTCAGATATCCAGAATTCATCCGCAATAATTGGCAACCCATCCCATGAGGTGTGTGGTCCAATCACGGGCTGATTTACGAGAATATTGGTGAGGAATCGGGCGCCACGCATTTCGGAGAGCGTAAAGAACGATGAGATTTTGGAAGACCAAAGATTCTTCAAGACTTCAAAAGCCAGGCGCTTCATGCGCATCAACCACGGAAGAATATTATCATCAATGGCGCCGGGATAGTCCTGTACGAACTGGATGATGGCATGCAGCAAGGCCGCCTTATTGGCAAACATGCCGTCCGGCGAGACGTCAAGGAGATTTCCTATGCTGCTGAACCCTAGAAGAAGGTGGGCTATTGTTGGCCTCTCGCTTATCGAGCCAAGGCACGTGGTGAGAAGCTCCAGAAGGCTTTGTCTGATGATATAAGCCGGAGACATCTCGCCAGCCTCCAGCTCTCGAGCATCGGTCTCCATTTGATGCGCAAGGGGCCGTGCCAAATTGTCCAAGTCTACCTCGGAGCTAAGGACCTCGACGATCTTGTTCGACGAACGCCATTTGGACAACTCAGGGGATGTGACTTTATTCAATTTCGGGGAGCTAGATAGCCTTTCCAATAGCATCATTGATGTGACTGTGAGTTGCTGATGTCCAGTACTGCAGTAGAGACACAGTGCAGGCACAATAGCCAAGTAGTTGAGCACGCTGTCTTCAAAGGCCGCAAGGGAAGAGTTCGCCACGGTTGACCTGTTTGCATCCGCTTGAGATCTAATCATGGGTCTGACAATGTTGAAGTAGGTCGATTGAAGGTCAAAAATCGCGAGCATAACCTCCAAGCTCCTTTGCACGGAAAGAACAAGTGTAGAATCGGCCGAAGCTTTAGCGACCTCGTTCACATCTTGTTGCGCTGTAGCAAATATAGCTCTGATGACATCCTCATTGAACAACCATTCGGCAACTCGTGCAAAGGGGTGAAGGCGGATATAGGTCACCATTGTTGACGACTTGAAAGCAGAATCTGGTGACAGGGACGGTTGACTCAAGACGGTCACAAGACTTTCATTGAATGAACCGAGACAGGTTGTCACAAATTCCAAGCATTTCAGGGTCATCAATCGAGTCTGGCGCTCGTTCATATCAGGAACTTTCCTTGTCAAAGCGTGGCCCATGACGAAGTCAATGTACGGTTCAATACCAGCTGTACGGTAGGAAGAGCCGAGATTCTCTGGGAAAGGTAACGAAAGATGGAATTGGGCCGATTCAGGAGTGGGCGTAACAAGCGAGGAAACCAGGGTGACGAAGGCGCTGGCCTGATCGAAACGCTCACCGATATTATGAAATATTTGATGCTCAAACCACGCAGGCTTGTTGGTGGTCATGGGAGGCTTTGCAATATTAGCAGTAATCATGGATTCCCCGGAAATCCAATGGTCGAGAGATAGCCACATCTCATTACCATTGTGTGCCGTCCTTTCTGTCATGAGGGCCGCAAGAGCTGTGAATACACTGGCCCTCAGATGAGTAGGAACTGTTCCAGTGCAAAGTGTCAACAGTGTGCCGACAATGTTGAATGTTGGATGATGGAGCAGCCAATCCCTAATCGTGGCGCTCTGTTTGCAGAGATGTTCCAGGAGCCTGAGATAACATGTAAGCATTACAGGACTCTCGGGCTCATTCATGTCAGCGGGATCGAGCTTTCTCGAGCGTAGGATCGCCTGTGATGCAGGTGGCTTCTCCGTGACTTTTGTGGCATATAGTTCTAGCTCTGCGAACATCTGCGACCAATTCATAGACGTGGACCGTTTGAATTTAGCTGAAAGAAATTTGTCTTCCTCGGAGAGAAATCTGTGGGCTGCAGTGGCATTCTCTTCGCCACCAGAAATGGAACACAACAGTTCGCAAAATGCGCTGACCCTAGGGACGGTCTGTCGCTTAGACGCCCACTGCAGGAAGCCATACAGGTTTCCATCAGGATCGGCCCAGAATTCCTGTGCAGCATCGGGCCTTTGTTCGAACGCGAAAGCCATGATCATCAAGAAAGACTCGAGGTGCGTTCGGGCCTCAACTACGCCACGATGAGGCGAGGAGGTCAAGCCATCTCGCAGAGCTGTAAGGTGATCGAGTCGCTGGGAGTCTTCTTCGGTTTTCAACCTCCGTACCGCGTCTGGCATATTTGCGATGCACGACTCAGAGAACACTTCGAAGCTCTCCATCAGAAGAGTCTTCAGGAACCCCGAGCATTGATTTAGCTCGAGCATTGCTGAAGCGACCTCTTTCAACAATAACGTTACCAGTTCTCTGCGGGCCGGGTCTGCCCATTCTTCATTATTGATACCGTAGCAGATAGTAAGCAGGAAATCGACCCCACCGTCATCTAACGCTGTCATGAACAAAGCTGTACGCTCGTCTACATCTTTTTCTGGGTCCACTCCTTGAAGAGGCGAGGAAGGAGCATCAAAGTCCCAGCCGCTGAAGATCGCGAGCCAGAGCGCGATGATTGCAGAATGAAAAGTAGGAATCTTCCATTCTTGGGCAACCGTTGTGGTGACGATCTCCTTATGCAAACTTCTTGCCTCTTTATAGGAGCTCGAACGCTCCGGTGAACCGTGTTGGACGAAGGCAGATACTATGCATGGAACGTAGTGGACAACCAGACTGTCAAAACGATCGAGAGACCGGAGGTGCTTCACGAGCACTCGAAGGTCTTCGGGGCTGGTATAGGGACCTTTGAAAAGATAGCTCAGAATGGCACCAAGCGTTTCATGTTGCTGCAGTAGGCTGCTGCGCTGGATTTCCAGGGATTCCATGGTATCCTCATCTTCAATTTGACCAACAAGCGTCGCCTTCTGAGCCTGATCACCGAGAAGTGCAAGCCACTTCTCCACCTCTACCATAGCCGTCATGCATTTCCGTGTATATAGAGACGCATTGCGCAGAGGACCACCCTTGATCTCAACCACATGAGCCATCATTTCTTGCGTTATGATTTGAGTAGTTTCCCTTTCAACCTCGAACGATTCCTGGAGGATGAGGCGCAAAGAATCGAGCAGGAACAGCCGGCGCTGGTGAAAGCGCATGATCGCAACGTTGAGAAGGGGCCTATCCAGCGATTGAGCCTCAGTCTGTGCATCGAAGAACAAGAAAGCCGCTTCAAGTTCATCGATATCCAAAGTATCCGCGAGCTGTAGTACGCCTTGCTGAAAATCCTTGTTGATGGAATACTCGACATGGCCGATGGTTACCTTCCCTGAATCACAATGTGGGCACGGTCAGCATATCATCGGAACTAGATCAAGCGAGGATATTTTGCCTGGGGCTTGCGCAATTTCCAGGGAGCTGGCACATACCGGAGAGGACGGCTTGTCGGCTTGTGTTGTTCTTCGTGGGTTTGTCGAGGAGCTTCTTGAAGTCCTCGATGTGTGTCTCCAGCTCAACACGGAGACGCTCGATGTTAACAACGAAAGTCGCAGAGAGACTTTGTAAGTCCTGATTCAAGCCACGAAGGCTTGCAACGGTATCTGAGTCCCCCATGTCTGGCAGGAGCTTGCGCGCAAAGCAGCTATGCGAAGAGCACCAGCGAAGCGGAAGATGGGGAGATGTGTTTGTCCGGACCAAAAAAGGTCGGAGGACGCGACCAAAATTCCGGGCGGTCAAGAGCGGGCGGAGCTCATCGGCGCCCAGACCAAGAGAACTACTTCTCTATCTAATCGCTCCGTCGCGAGCAAACAACAACTGCAAATGCTCGTCGTCCCTGCGGCGTCATCTAGAAATGCAAATACGGGCACTCTCGTCAATTGTGTGATGACGTAGGCTTCGTTGCTTTAGGAGACCTTAGGTCCTCGTTACAATGGGAGAAATTACCCTTGAGGGAGCCATCGCGCTTCTCGCATCTGAAAAGCAGAGGGATCGTTCAGATGGGCTAGCCGGTTGGTCACCAATTTTCCTTTTGCCTTGTCAGCACTTCTGTTAGCAAAAGCTCTGACGCCTGTTAGATCTTAAACATATACTACAGCAGAATAGAAAGAACTCTAGACTGTACGTCAACGTCCCATGCTGGAAATATTAGTCCAAGGCTGGGTGGGCATTGAATGACATGTGTGTGTAATCTTATAGAAGCACACTCAATGACAAAGCCTGCCACAAACTCTTTGAGTCCTTATTCCGATATGTTTCGGTGGAAAAGTCCCTGTATACGCGCTCAAGCTCAAAAGGGGCCTCTGCTTCGCGATTGTCATCATGTGCATCTGTCCTTCGCACGGCGATTGATATTTTCCTGCATAAGCTGCGGGCGAAGTCGGTCCGCTCGATAATCGATCATGTCACAGAGACCGTTTCAGCTCCTGAAGCCCCTCTCGCTGAGGTTCTCGGCGTGGATTATATCAAGTGCTTAACTACTCTACTAAGTTTCCCTCCCCACCTTGAACACCTCGCCGACAACGAATGGGATAAGATCATGGAGTTTTGCCTGCGAACTGTGGGATCGCACAAAAGCGACAGCCAAGAAAGTGCGCAGTCCCATCGCTTGTCTACTTTGGACAGCTTCTTGGCTCCTGCGAGTGGTACCTCAACACCGTCAAGGATGCCTTCTAGGGGAAAGTCCAGACCTGATACAAGTGCAGTCACAGAGGCTGTTTTGTGTATTCAGCTTCTCGTTGGCTGCCCCACAGCTCCAATCCTCGATTCGGCCGAGGAGATTCTCTGTGGGCTGACGAAGCTTTTGGGATCATCAAGTCTAGCTGGAAGTGGCTACCAAGCTGCCTTCGATTGCATAAACAGAGTCGCGATGAAGGTATTGCCTGAACAGTCAGATCTTGCCCGGGAGTCAATGCTTAACCTTATCCCAGTGATCAGGCGCTTGTGGTCCACCAAGATCCTGGGCCTGAAGGATGAATTGCTTATCACATCCATGCTATGTGTGATTATACTAACCGACACGGCCCATAAAGAGCCCTCCGAGACTCTAGTGCAAACCATCGAAGGATTGCTGGTTGCTCTGCACACTGAGTATACAAAACGTCCCGAGAAGGATATTCTGCAATTGGATGAGCTGTCTTTCCACCGCCACACTTCAGCGGGACAGCAGAAATACTGCATATGGCCTCGGCTCGATGCCGCAAAATCGGAGCATAATTGGTCTGCACTATGGGTTATGGCTAAGCTGACTGAGTTATTGGAAGGTATCTCTGTGCAGTTAACCCCTCCTGGGATCAATTCAAAGGTGAAAAAGCGTCGCCTTACCTCGATGTCCGATGACTTGATTCGAGATTCCACAACATCTTCAGGCGCGAGAAGAGTCTGCGCCTTACAATTAATACCTTTTCTTCGCAGTTCGTATACGAGCATTGAGTCCAAAGCCATGCTGCTTGAACGATTGCTTCCTAGTATGCTTGACGACAACAGTGCCATCTCTATATGGACGATGGTAGCCATAGCAAGGTTCGTCAGGCATGCCAAGTGCTAAAGGTACAGGTTAACTGATCTTGATCTATGCAGCATTGCAAGCAGCCTCAATGCAGGCCTGCCGCCTTTGAGACCATATTGGGAACAGGCCTGGGAGCTTGCGTCTCGAGCGTCAAGCTCTCAAGCAACGTCCAGAGCAGCTTGCAATCTCATGCACAACATTCTTCATTTTCATCTTTTAGACTACTCTATGATTGCCCAGTCAATAAACTCGATGCTCTCTCATAGCAACCTGGACGGGCAGTCTGCTCTGTCAGATGCATCTTTAGCACTTTGGGCTACAGTCGTTCGTAAGACGGCCCAGATAAACCCTGGATTGGTCACGGAAGCCTCTAGTAAAATTTCGTCCTGGCTCCGCGAATCGTGGACTATAGGTTTGTTCTACAGATTCGCACATATGACTCCTTCGCTAATTCTCGGATAGGAACTGTGACAGACCGCTTATATACAGCACAGGTTGCCTCATTTGCTCGCCCGCTAGAGATCGTCAATGTGCTGTTTGCCTGTACCAATAGACGACTTACAATGCCCAGATGTCGGTACGGGGGACCCAACAGTACCGTTGCCAAAGGTTGGCAATACTTCCTTGAGAAGAAACAGCTTTTGAATTATCTATTCGAACTCGAAGATTTGCTAGATAGCGCGGATATATGGAACGCCCAAGAGCCACTTCTCTTGAATGCATTCGCTCGATCTGATCCAAATGATCATATCATTCTTGATTTATTGCATACAAGATCCGAGGGTCTCTTGCAAGCATGGAAGTCATTATCAACCGACAAATCACATCATATCACAGCGGATATAGTGCAGATAGTGGTGTCCTTCTGTGTCACAGTGGCGCTGTACACGGAATGCCTACCAGAACAAGTTGCAGAGCGAACGCCTAGTCTACACAAAAATAGTCGGTCGCTCTGGGAAAGCTTATGTTCATTCATGCACTCACGAGAGCCAGTATTCTTACATGCTTGCTTAGCGATCCTGTCGCCATTCCTGACACCGGAAAATCTGCTTTCTGCTCGCGAGTCTGTTGTATCGAGGGCTCTATCCTGCTTGTTTGGTCCTCTTGCGGAGTTACTGGAGAACTGTCGAGAACAACAGAAAGAAAGTCTGAACTCTCATGATGAAGAGACAATGGAATTGGATGACCCACTTCTCACGGATCTTGATCGATTGGCAGATGTTACAGGCATACTGAAGAACAACCGGGAAGCACTCCCATTGCTTCAGGATGGTGCCACATTTCAGCGTTGTGTTACTGTTCAAGTAACTTGCTTCCAGAAGGTCTACACTTATCTCAGTTCCCCTGACCAGCTGTCAAGTAGTGATGGCCTTGTTAGATACTTGACCAGTCTTGACGAAGTTGACATCTTGTCTGCTCGGGGCTTCCTGCCCTATGTCTTTCAAGTATGTGCTGGATTTAGCCGCGAATCTCTGCTGAGCATCCTTGAGAGTCTCGCCGAAAAGTGTCTTCAATCCTACGGATTGGAACGTTGCGAAAATTCCCACCTTGTCTGTCTCCGTATGATGCAAAGCTTCGTCCCGTCATGGACTAGACAGGAAGAAGATGACTTTCAGGCTTCGGCAACTGACATATACACATGGTTTGTGGACATACTTTTCGCAAAAAAGAGAGCATCATCCTCAGTTTTGATCGCAATGACTGAGCTGTTAGGGAATATTCTTGCTCAAAATTCTGCGTATACAAGCGGCCCAGCAAGTCCTTCTCCACGAACCTGTCTCTTCACAATACTTCGGGAGGGAAACGCCTCGGTGAAGTTCAAGGCTGGTGAATTGATTCCTCAACTTTTCGGCAGGTTCCCTCTCGCCGACCATGACGCTATATTCAGTGATGTGTTGAATAACCTACCTAGAGACCCTGATTGGATGGAAGGAATTGCTCTTCGCCTATTCATGCTGGCTCGCCTTGCTTCAATGTGGCACACCCTGCTCCGTAGGAGCATTTATCACATGTTCGAAACCCCTGCTCATGTTCCATCCTCACTCTGTTACGCTGAGAAGTGCATGAGGGAAGTTGCTAGAAAACTTGGGCTCCAAGATGCTAAAGAGCTCTTCCGCTTGTTTTGTTCCCAAATTATCTACACGTGGACCGAAGGGCAGTCGATTACCTCATTGCCTTTTAGTGTCTTCGGTTATACCAGCACCAAAGAGATGTTGAGTGATGTACAAGATGAAGCTGTTGGTCAAATCATGATGCGTTGGAATGAGCATGAAGCGAATGAGCTCGCGGCTTGTACTGGCACACCATTTGCTGAACTTCTAGCCGCATCTTTCCATCAAGCTGAGGCTTACAGCATAGCCCGTGACATCAGTGTTCCTCCTAGCCAAGGGAGCCAACCCACGGGCGTGGAAAATCAACTAAAGAAGATGATGGGTGCAGATAGGTTCATTTCATTGGTTGAAACGCATTTTCCGCAAGTCATAGCAACCTTTTTCGGAACTCTTGATCAATACGACCAATTTGAGAGAGCACTTCAGAAGCGGAGTAACTTCCGTGAAGCCCACGAAACCCTGAATTCTATTATTGAAAGGAGCTACTCGAGCGTCGTGCTACCTGCCAATCAACAACCGTCGTTCAGGGCTCGTTACCTCATCGACGAGCTCGATTTCATCTGCAAGCGCAGTGGATATGAACTAGCGACCATCTGGACACCTGCGCTGGCAACTTACGTTTGCCGAACATTGTTGGATACTATCCATCCAGCCCTCGGCTCTCTCCACACTTGCTCTGTGATTCGAAAAATCAGGATTCTTGTCAGTATTGCTGGTCCTGTCATGCTGCGAGATTATCCATTCGAAATGGTCATTCATGCTCTCCGACCCTATCTGATAGATATTTTCTGCGCAGAGGATGCACTCGGTATCTTCTGGTACATGCTGGACGCAGGCAAAGATTATTTGAGCGAGAGTCCCGGTCTTATGGCTGGGATCGTGGTTACCACACTGCTCTCCTTGAGAAGATTTGTGTCTTCACCACCGGCAGATTCAACACAGCAGGACCTTTTGCAGCAGGTACTCGCCAAACTAGCAGAGTTTCTGGCATGGCTCAACGAGTTCCTGGACTCTTATGAGTCTTCGGCTCTGAGTCCCGAAAAGTCTGAATTGTTCAAGGTCTTGATGCGCTCATGCTCAGCAACGACTAATGCCCAACGAGACGCACAAAGCGAGAATGAGCATACCTTGCTTCTGCATGTCCTTGATGACAAAAGTGCCGTGAATAGTCTCCTCAGCGAACCTGTGTCGGATCATATTGTATCATTGCTATGCGCCGAAAAAGAACTTCCACGAGATCACATGCTCCATCTTGATTCTATTGAGAGTGATGTGGTAGCTACCTCGAGTGCTGAGCTAGTTTGTCAAATGATACAGAAGTTCGAGTGCCGTGTTGAGTACAAGCTCTGGGCTGCTAAGGTGATTGGGAAAGCGTTTGCCGCTACAGGTAGTATCAGTGACACTCTATCAAGAGAACAGGAGCCTGCATTATCTGAAACGCCTCAGCATCGGGCAGTCCCGGATCCAACACACTGCTCTAAAGTCAGTATCTTGGTCCAGCTTTGCAATATGCTGCAGAATAGCAGTCGTGCTGAGGTTGGCCTTATCGAGCGTACAATGCAACTTATCGTCAGCAACCTAAGCAATTATCCTGAGCTTGACTACTGCCGCAGTATCATCTCGCCTTCCCTTCTCAGCGCCTTGACATGGGATCCTTACCACTGCCCTGATATTCCTGCGCGCCTAAGAAAAGCAGACGCAGACGACGTGCTAGAATGGGATGCTAGCGCCTCAGCATTTGACTTTGCTAAAGATGTCGGACTATTCTTGTCAAAAGCAGCTTCTGAAGACCCCGTGGTTGGCCCCTTGCACACGCTGTTGAATGTCATGCCAAATTTAGCGGTGCAGATCCTGCCACAAATCCTTCATGAAGTCTTGCTAGCAGACCTGCAAGGAGAGGTACATGTTCGTCATGCGATCTCCGAAGTCTTCAAGAAGGTGCTACGGCAGGTCGATGAGACGACCATACCTCATGCAAGGCTTGTGATAAATTGCATTCTCTATCTCCGAAATCAGCCATGGCCGGACGAGTCGACCATTGTGGATCGAGACGCATGGCTCGACATCGATTTCGCTCAGGCTGCTTCAGCAGCCAGTCAATGCTTTTTGCCGAAGACGGGGCTTCTTTTTCTCGAAATTTGTGCCTCTCGCCTGACGCCCACATCTCGTCGTTCCTCGCTCGCCAAGTACGAAGCGCCACCGGAAATCCTGCACGCTCTCTACCGAGAGATAGACGATCCTGATATCTTTTATGGCATCCAGGAGGAGCCGTCTTTGGAAGCCGTTATGGACAAGCTCGAACATGAGAGCTCTGGATTCAAGAACTTGTTGTTTCAAAGTGCGCAATATGACAGTGAGATTCAAATGGGAGGAACTGCGAGTGTCCACGGTGTCTTGAAAGCACTCCATTCAACGAATCTCCAAGGCATAGCAAACTCCGTGTTTGTGGCCTCCGGAAACTCGAAGGACACTTCGCTGTCCCTCGACAGCATGCTTCAGACAGCGACCAGTTTGCGACAGTGGGATATTCCTGTGTCACCTTTGCATGCATCGCCGCCAGGGGCGGTTTTTCGCACTTTTCAGAGTCTCAGCACGTCAGGAACACTGGCTGATATCTCAACCTCCGTCAACGAGTGCCTCCTGAGTAGCCTGGAGCTGTTGAATAGCAACAGTCGGTCAGTGAGCGGCTTAAGGACTGCCATGAGGGTCCTGGGAATCATGACAGAAGTCAGCGATGTCTTATGCGCGCGATCGGCGGATGAACTTGATGAAGAGTGGCAGAAGATAGCATCCAGAAATTCCTGGCTGAGAACAACCAGGTGAGTATCGATATGCCTCCACCTCAATGTATACGAGTTTTCCTTCTGAAGCAAAACAGCCCGAACGAAGTCGGGGAGATCTTGACCTGCCATGAGGCACTTTTCTCTACAATCAAGCAAAAAGGCATTTTGAAGTCAGCAATCAATCTTCAGGATTCTGACGCGCACTTGTTGGAAATCAAGGTTTTTCGCCAGTCGCTCGAGATTGCACGAAGCCACGGTATATCGCAGGCCTCGCTGAAGATCGCGTTTTGTCTACAAAAGCTTGCATCTGAAAGCGCCCTACTGGGCATTGACACTGGAGGCGCGGCAAAATTCGATCTTGCTAATGTTTTATGGGACCAAGGCGAAATGGCGGCGTCAATTAAAATGCTCCAGCAGCTAAAGGATAGGAATGACTTACACAAGCAAGCAGTGCCTATCAGCCGCGCGGAACTTCTCGTAACTCTGGTAAGTCGAAAGCCGGTTGTCCTTGATATCTTCTCTGGGCTTCAAACCCGAAACTGATTTTCATTAGGGTCACCGCACGGCAGAAGCACGGTTGGAAAAACCGGAAACCATCATACAAGACTACATGTCGGTGGCAGTGAAGGAACTAAAACACCGCGCCCAAGGAGAGGATGCTGGCCGAGTTTACCACGGCTTTGCAATGTTCTGCGATCAGCAATTACAAAACCCTGACGGGCTGGAAGATTTCAGACGAGTTGAACAACTGCGGAACCGTAAAGAGCAAGAAGTTATCGCGTTGGAAGAGATGATGGCGCAGGCATCTGGCAGAGAAAAAGAAGCCCTCAAATTTCACCGGTCCAAGACGAAGCAGTGGTTTGACCTTGATGATCGAGATTACCAACGTCTGCTACGCAGCCGGGAAGCCTTCCTTCAGCAATGTCTTGAGAACTATCTGCTGTGCTTGAGAGAGAGCGAGTCATGGAACAACGATGCCCTCCGTTTCTGCGCGTTGTGGCTTGACAAGTCCGACAGCCCAATCGCGAACATGGCTGTGTCGAAGTATCTTCATCAAGTCCCCAGCCGCAAATTCGCATCCTTGATGAATCAGTTGACATCTCGTCTCCTAGATGTTCCCGATGAGTTCCAAAAGATGCTCTTTGCGCTGATATATCGCATTTGCGTCGAGCATCCTTTCCATAGCATGTACCAGATTTTCGCGAGTAGCAAATCCAAGGGTGGCAAAGATGAATTGGCCCTATCGCGCTACCGGGCAGCCAACAAGCTGGTGGACGGCCTCAAGAACGACAAACGCATGGGATTGACCTGGGTCAATGTTCACAACGCTAACATTAGCTATGTGCGATTCGCGATTGACAAGCCGGACGACAAGCTAAAGAGTGGTGCCAAGGTTCCATTGAAGAAGTTGGCTACCGGTCAACGCCTCGAACGGGATGCAGCTGACTTGAAACTACCGCCTCCAACAATGCGAATCGAGATTCGCCTTGACTGTGACTATAGTGACGTACCCAGGCTCCAAAGGTACCAGCCCGAGTTTACAATTGCTTCTGGTGTCAGTGCTCCGAAGATTGTCACGGCAATTGCTAGCAACGGCCAACGCTACAAGCAACTGGTAAGCTTCGGTATTCGCATACGATTATCGCCATGCTAATTTCCATCCCAGTTCAAAGGAGGAAACGATGACCTGCGACAAGATGCTATCATGGAACAGGTCTTTGAACAAGTCAGCAGCCTTCTCAAAGATCACCAAGCCACTCGACAACGTAACCTGGGAATCCGCACCTATAAGGTGCTTCCCCTCACTTCGAATGCTGGAATTATTGAGTTCGTTCCCCATACGATCCCACTCCACGACTACTTGATGCCAGCACATCAGAAGTACTTCCCGAAAGACATGAAGCCGAACGTGTGCCGTAAACATATTAGCGACGTGCAGACGCGGTCGTTCGAGCAAAGGGTCCGAACCTACCGTCAAGTGACGGAACATTTCCATCCAGTGATGAGGTTTTTCTTCATGGAGAAGTTCAACAACCCTGACGACTGGTTCGCCAAGAGACTCGCATACACTCGGAGTACAGCAGCTATCTCAATTCTAGGTCATGTCCTAGGACTGGGTGATCGACATGGCCATAACATCCTGCTGGATGAGAGGACTGGTGAGGTGGTCCACATTGATCTGGGCGTCGCCTTTGAACAAGGCCGAGTTCTCCCGGTCCCCGAAGTGGTCCCCTTTCGTCTTACACGCGACCTAGTGGACGGGATGGGGATTAGCAAGACTGAAGGCGTCTTCAGGCGCTGTTGCGAGTTTACTCTGGATGCCCTACGGCAGGAGTCGTATAGCATCATGACGATCCTGGATGTGCTCCGATACGACCCGCTCTACAGCTGGACAGTGTCCCCGCTGCGACTGAAAAGGATGCAAGACGCACAGGATGCGGCGGATGAGGACGGACCTCCAGTAATCACTGGCAATATGGACCAGCGATCGGCCAACGAGCCAAGTGAAGCAGACCGCGCCCTCACGGTGGTAGCGAAGAAGTTGGGCAAAACGTTGAGCGTGACGGCCACGGTGAACGAACTTATCCAACAAGCCACGGATGAAAAAAATCTTGCAGTCCTATACTGCGGTAAGTTCGGAAGAATCCTCCATTCAATCATGGATATACGCTAACGAATGTGATTGCACTCTAGGCTGGGCCGCATATGCTTGAGTTGGCAGTGAGACTTCGAATTCTTCATAATCTTGTTCTATTGTTGCACTATGTCTTGAGCGCACATTTCTTCCAATATAGAACGATTCGGTGACAGATAGTTTGCTGCATCGCAGTGTTGGACGAACTATATATTCGGCGTAGTAGTCCGTCATACATAAATTGAAACCCTGAACCCAATAATCTGGAACATTAGCCTACTTCCAAGTTCAAGACGTCTTGAAAAGGGGGTTCCAAATGATACTTGATATTTAAAAAAAAAATTTTCAAATAAAATGGAAACCGACTGAACAGAATTGCTGCGGATGAGAGTTTCTTGCCGGGGCAGCCTCGGCGTTGTTTGTTTGTCGCCTGCCGGATTCTTGCTTTTCTCATCCCTCCATTCCATCCACACCTCGTTCTCTGCACCTTGTATACACCCCACATCCCCTTGAAGAGACCATCTGTGACGAAGAAGGATCGAGCATCTTGCGTGAACATTCAGTAAGCGCACGACCTCATGGCAGCATAAAAGCCAATCTCAAGTCACCGCGTGATATTTCTTTGCTGATGATGCTTTCGTGGCTTCTTCCGAAGGAATTATGTCGTTGAGTCGGACAACCAAAGCTCAAGTCATATACACTATATAGGATATTTACCTCCTGCACGCCTCGAGTGACTTCTTCGCGAATCATGTCGACCTCGACTGTGCCTAATCGGGGCCTGGTGGTCTTCTCCGGAGGAAGTGCCGCCAACAATTTAGTGGACGTCTTCAACTCGGTGCGCGAGACCAAAGACTGTCCACTGAGTTATATCATCCCCATCAGCGACAATGGTGGCTCTTCCTCCGAGCTGATCCGGATCTTTGGTGGTCCTGGAATTGGTGATGTGCGCAGTAAGCCTAGTTCTCTGCCCTAGTATTGCCATCACCAATTCTAAATAATCAAAAACAGGTAGACTGGTGCGGTTGATCCCAGAATCGCCGCCTTACTCCGAGCGTGCTGCCATCAAGACCCTCTTCAACCACCGACTGCCAGCAGACGCGGTCCAGGCCCATACAGAGTGGCACTCCATCGTCGATGGCACGTCCGAGATCTGGAAGCTAATCACGCCCGCCAAAAAGGAGCTCATCCGCTCGTTCTTCAACCTCCTCAATCTCGAAATCCTCAAGCGCGCCCGGCCACCATCATCCACCTTCGACTTCACCTCCGCCAGTGTCGGCAACCTGTTCCTGACCGGCGCACGGCTCTTCAGCGGCAGCTTCGAGAGCGCAATTTACCTCCTGGGGAGCATCTGTGGGGTCCCGTCCGACATCGTGCGGGTGATCCCGGCGATCAACTCCAACTTCTCGCACCACATCTCCGCCTCGCTGGCAGACCGCACGGTGATCGTAGGCCAAAACAGCATCTCGCACCCCAGCGAAGCCAGCGCGCTACGCCCGGGCTCGCGCCGGCCCAGCCTCCTCCTCGCAGACGGCGGCGAATGCCTCGAGGACGCCGAGGCCGACGACTCGGGCGCCCTCTCATACGAGGACGACCACCCGCCAGGCTCGCTGCCGACCCTACGCAACAAGAACATCTCCTTCAGCAAGTCGGACAACGAGGACCTGCCGTCGCGCATCACTCGCATCTGGTACATCAACCCCTACGGCCAGGAGATCCGGCCGCCGGCCAACCCGCGCGTCATCGAGGCCCTGCGCGACGCCCAGGCCATCGTCTACAGCATCGGCTCCCTGTACACCTCGCTCATCCCCTCGCTCATCCTTCGCGGCGTCGGCCACGCCATCGCCACCGGCCCCGCCCGCCACAAGATCCTGATCCTGAACGGCTCCCTCGACCGTGAAACCGGCCCGCCCTCCGCGCCCTTCACCGCCGTCGACTTCGTCGAGGCCATCACCCGTGCCGGCGAGGAGAGCCGCGGCAGACGCCTGCCGGACCTGGTTCCGCCCGCGACGGACGCCGCCCAGTCGGATCCCCCGGCGCTTGCACTGCCGTATACCGCCTACGTGACGCATGTCCTCCATCTCGAAGGGCCAGGGACCCCCGCGGTGGATAAATACCGGCTCGCGGAAATGGGCATCGAGACGCTCAGGCTCTATGGTCGTAAGATCACGACCACGGGCGTGGACGGGGAGGAGGTTGCCGTGGGCATGAAGTATGACTCAACTGCGTTGATCCAGGCCCTGGAGGTGGTTCTAGGGAGGAAAGGGGACGCCATGTTGCGAGGCGGGGAGGGCAATGGTCTAAGTAGGAGGAATACACTAGATCCAGGGAGGAAGAAGGCGTGAAGTTATATTGACATTTGACATTTAGAGTCCAATATTAGAGTAGAGTTTCTCGGAGCATGTGTTCCAGAGAGTGCATTTGATTTCACTTCAGACCTCGATTCTATTACATCAAGAGCTTACGTTGTTGGCAGGTTTTGCTTCTTCTTCTTCTTCTTCTTTTACTTGCAGATAAGATTTTCCTTGGATATTTCACAAAAATTACAATCCGCCCCCATTGAAAAACACCATTGGACACCAGCGGATATATGCCGAAAATTGACAGAAGGAAACGTCCCGTAAGAATGCAGCTCCGTGGCCCCCTTCGACGCCCTCCCAATGCTTTTTTGCAATTCAAGAATTTCCACACACATAATACATACCAGAAGAGACATTTTTAGACATCAACTTAGCTTGGGCGTCCATCAAATCAAAAATGAATCATATTATATACAAGGGAAGACCCAAAAAATAAGGATTGGTGAAATGCCGCTACCGTAGATCATCACATCACGCGCGAGCCGACGGTCGGGGCTTCCAGTTCTGACGGTTTAGGTTGACCTGGGGAGACCTGCTCCCCTGTGAGTAGCCACGGAAACCCGTGTACATGGTCGTGCCAACGTCCATCAGAATGGCCTTTTGGGGCTCGGCTGCTGGAGGTGCGGCGGCACGGGCGCGGCCGTTGGATGATCCAGTGGCGGCCGCGGCCGCTGCCATGGCGGTGGCTTTTGCTTTGGTGAGCTCCCGGACGATATCTCGCAGTTCCGCGTCGTCCTTGGTGATCTGGGCCTTGATGAAGGATGGGTGGCTGGAATCGGGCAGCGAAGACATAACGGTCGCTCGTGGCGTGTATTTGTGTTTCTGAGGGGTGGGAGGGTTGATGGGAACGATGGAGGTGTCGAGCCGAGCTTCGTGGTTCTTGTCCAGGAGCTTGCTAATGTCCAAACTTTCGCCATGAGGAATCTTATTCGGATGAGAAGGAGTCACGCAGTCCATGTCAACTTCTTTTCGTAGGACGTGGTCGACGTCCACCGCGGAGAAGTAAGCGCAGGACTGGGGAAGGTCGTGGATGCCAACTTGCTCGGAGAACATAGCACGGGTCCAGACATTCGCTACTTGCAACGCAAGAGCTGCGCGATATCTATCTTCATCTTTGACAAGGTACCTGATTTCATCGTGGACGGTAATTGCAACCCGGGCAGCAATGTTAAAGCGTCGAATCAGATAGTCCATTGCGACAATCAGGAGATGCAAATAATCGACACCCGACGACTGAATGGCCCAGTTGATTCTGGAAGTCATGAAGCTGCCCTTGTTGATGAAGCGCCGCATCAATGCCTCCGTGATTCCCGCTCCAAGAGCCGGAGTTCTCGGCCTTTCTTGTTCAGCGAACTCCTCCAGCTTGTTGAAGACAAAGGACTCGGTTCCACCTCGCCAGAAGGGTGTGTCGCTAAGGAGACGACGAGTCGTACGAGCGCCCTTGGTCTCTGTGTAAAGCTTACTCGCGACTTCCTGTGTCTCCTTCTCAGTCATCGACGGGTTGAACTGTCTTAGTAAGGTAGCCGCAAACTTGACGCCGGCTCCATAGATACGACCATAGTTAAAAACCTTGGCGTCGTTACGAGAAATGCCTAGAATCGAAGCGGTGCGGGAGTGCATATCCGTCCCTGCAGCTTTAGACCCTTCCAGAGTCATGAAACCAATGGCATTTCCACCGTGAAGCTGGAACTGTGCGTCTCCGATCAGACTCGCGATCCACAGCTCCTGAGAGTCAACGTCGGCGCCAACAAACGAATAGCCCGGGGGCGCTTTGATCATGGCCTTCAACTCAGAGCCAACACGGTTTCCTTTGGCATTGCTCGCAGTAAGCCAGGTGTTTTCGACAGCTCTGCGCGTGATGGTACCCATGGGAATGATCTGGGGCAGAATAAACCCTACCCGATTTTGGTCTGTCTTCGTGGATTCCACATCTCGCACTTGGTCTTGATAAACAACCAATTGGCTCATGATGCGGTCCCGGGCGCTGATCCAATATGAGCAAGATGCATTCATCTCCAAAGCCTCTTTGGCGAGCGCAAACTGCGATGAAAGAGTTCCACGTTCAAAATACTGCATATACGATTTCGCCAAGGGGGTTACGCATCGTGCTGTAGGCCCATCCTTATGCGGCAGCTTGAAGTAAACATGCTTTCTGTCGTTTCTCAGATCGAGGATCTTCTCTTCCGTCATATCACACACCACAACTGGCTGATTGTCATATGCTTTCGCATGTTCGCGAGGCACCTTGAAAGTCCACCCATGCTTGTCCGACCACGTCAAAGGGTAGCCATCCCACGACAACTTAAGAAGAATTGGAGCAATCCGAGTCCGCACACTAAGATTGATTTCTGCATTGGTCTTTGGGAAAAGGTCCTTATACCACTTTGGCATGCCGGGCAATTTTTGCCTGGCCGCTGGTCGCGGAGGATCGCCCTTCTTCTTTCCCTTGACCATTTTGATTTCTTGGCCGGACCAGTCCAGCTGCCGCAACCATGGATCATTTGTATAGATTTCGGGAGATTCTTTCACTTTTAGTGCTTCGTTGCACAGTTCTATTAGTTTCTTTCGGACGCCATCGAGCCGTTGGTGGTAAGTTCCTTCTGCATTGGCAAGATATTCCTGCCAGGTCTGATTGACAGGCAATATTACCGAAGAAAGGTGTCTCAACGCCCCAAAACTTACAGGGTGCGGACAGACCTGCAGAAAGTTTGGAAAGACTTTCTTGTAGACACGGTGAGTGATTGCAACGTCTGCTGCACAATAATCAAGTAATTCCTCCAACTTCTCGACAATCTCTTCTCTGCTGAGCTCGCCGAAGTAGTCCCGTTGCGACTTATCAATCGTAACATCGCAGTGGAATTTGGCGACATCTCGAAGCGAATTCACCGAACTTCTTCCTATCCAGAGTTCTTCTTCCTCTTCACTCAACATTTTGTTTTCAAGTAGGGCTGCCAGCTCCACAGAGTTGTTTTGGTTGGCCACCTTGTCTCTGAACTCTTTGTTTTTCTTGTGACGCATCCAGGTGGGTCTCTGCTGTGAACACATTCCGTTGACTGCAACATGCAGCGACATCGTATCAAGGAAAAAGTTGCGAGATTGGTTCAGGTCATATTCTTCAAGCACGCGAGCTCGATCGTAGCCGATGTTATGTCCGACAATGATGCGTGACTGTGATGCATCTCCGAGAGGTACAAGCTGGACTTCATTCTCTGTTTCTCCCAGCAGCCAAGGCGAGATCCACGCATACCAAGCTGTAGGGCTAACCGCACAGGCCATGACCGCAAATGAATGCACTTTGTACAATACTTCGGTGTCGAAGGTCAGGAGCGTTTCGTTAGGTGCGTCCACAGCTTCCCAAGTGCCGTCGGCATTATATTTTGTCCATCCACTGCGTTTCACCCATTTGCGCGGCTTCTCTGGCGAGTTGACGGAGACGTATTCCTTCGCAAGCGACAAGTACGGATCAGAACAATCCATTCCTAACTTGAAAAAGTGTTCATCGAGAGATTGCCCTTGAAGGGCGGGCATGTCGAAGGCAACGGGCTCGGTAGCATCCTGGGACTTTCCGAGCAAGTCATGTCTGGATAGATGCTCTTTAGATAAGGCGACCAGGGCTGGGTCCGGCGGATCCGCTTTCTTGGGAAAGACTTGAGGATAGACATGGTCGCTCAGCTGTTGAACTCCAATCTCATTAAACCTAGCCAGAGCGGGGACTGCATCATTAGTACTGGGTCCGTGAGTTCTTGAAACGGGAAGCTAGTACTCACGAGAAAGTGAGCCCCGATCTTCTCCCTTATCAGGGATTTGCGTGGTTGATTGAGTAGCGAGGTATCTCGTTAGCCGTGAGGTTCCTTTCCGAGAGATGCGAGGCGAGCGCAATCTCTGCGAAAAAAAAACAGCTGCATCCCTGCGACAGGGAGCGCAGGGAAGACTCCAAAGCATGATCGTAGGCAAGTGCAGTGACTAAACTTAGTCCATGGTAAGGCGACTCGAGAATTCGCAGCCGGTGCTGCGCAATGAGAGGAGCGACCGGGCTTAGTAGTATGTTCCTGCGGCTTCTCCTGTGGGATCGTCTTTTCTTTCCTATTGGGGGATTCCGGCGTCATGATGAGAAATACAGGAAGATTGATGCTCCGCAGGGATCCTCATGACCGCCTACTGAATAGGGAAAAGTGCGCTCTTATCGTCACCAGGCCGATAAGACCAACGGCAGATCACTGTTAGTTCTCCCTAGGTCGTGGCTTGGCTTCCCTTCGTTTGGCTTCGTTCTTTCGATTCATTTCGCGGGAGCCAAGTCGTGGACTTCATTCTGTCATTTGGATCGCTCTGTCGTTAGTTCTCTTTACACTTGCCACAACATGGATTTCCCTCGTTATTCCCCAGAGTCCACGCCCGACCAGCCCACCCAGAGTCCAGATCCCAAGCGACGCCGCTTAGCCCCTCCCTCTCGGCTGGAAGCCGTTCAGCTTGAAGGACAGTCAAGCGAGGTGACTTCTGTAGATCTAACGGAAAACGAAGAAGTGTCGGAAATATCGAAAACGCAGGCGAAGCAGCGGGCAGATGCCATCCTGGCACAACAGTCCCTCGAACCCAAAAATACCGAGTCGATCTTTGCTGCTTATAAGTGCCCTGTATGTATGGATACTCCAGTGGATGCCACGAGTACTGTGTGTGGTATGTCTCTTGTACTCCGTGATTATCACGCCAAAGCGGCGAAAGCATAGGTGAAGGATCGAAGCTGACCCTACATAGGACATCTTTTCTGTCACAAATGCATCACCGATACATTAAAATTTAGTGAAGAACGGTCAGTCTCAACCAGCAAAGCGCCAAAAGGCACCTGTCCAGTCTGTCGAAAACCGCTATCAAGGAACGATGTCTCGGGTCCGAAACGACATTTGATACCTCTGCAGATAAAGTTACTTCGTCGCAAGAGAAGGGAGGGGGATAACACAGCCCCGTGAGGGATGATTCGCACTATCCGATTCCAGGTCGGGCTTGCAGACTGCGTATGCCCTGACATCTCGCAACTGACCTAGGGGATCAATCGAATCAGTCTACCATCCGAGTACTTCTCCGTTGCTCGGTGAATGAACTCTCGCTATGCAATTACTAGGGACCATGTTGCTACCCAGCAGCTGCTACCCTCAGATTTCATCAGTGCTGAGGCCAGTGCGATTGAATCGTATTCCTACCTACACTCGTGCCCATGGCGCTTTGTGCTATTGCATCAGCTTTGAATAATGCGAGTCTCAAAATTGGTACACTGGGCGAATGCGCTGGATGCTCAGGCATGTTCTTGTGGGATGGAAACTATCGATGTTATCCTTTGATAACGCGAGCGAAGATCTGCGTCATATCATTCGAGGATGAAAAGATCTTTCGCCATGAACGCCTATGGTTGTTCTGCGAGATACTGTTTACTGCCTGCGACTTTGGCGACATTGTTGGTGTGAATGCTTTAGAACGAAGTCATGGCGCCAAGCGATGAGCCCACTGTAGCCAAGAACAACTGCATGGAACTAGCAAGGTTCTTCATGTCTACGAAATGATGATTTATGCATCCTCCTTCTTCCCAAGATCTTCCTCTTGCTAGATTCATCTCAGATTTTCGTAATGTGTTTTGTCTCAGGAATGCATCGTTCCCTTGCGGAATGGTATGATCGAGTCGACGTCATTTCCCCGCGGGCATTATCCCCTTTATGGGCGGTCTTTCTACCCTGGCAGTAATTGCCCGTGCACCTGCGGCACATCTGCACCGCACCACTACAAACTCTCGGAGATTTCCAGGCCTTGAAAAGTTCCGGCAACTCTCGCAAGCTGATCAACTTATGGCATACTCCATTGTTCATGCTCCAAATCTACCGTGGATGTTGAATCCATGTTCACTACACAGTTCCTTGATTAGCCCGAGCCCACGCAGCCAGACCATAATCTGGATGCCATGAGTGTCCATTCGTTTGACCATGCGCAGCCCGCAGACCTACCGTCCCCCTCCCATCACATAGATGATATTGAAGCCAACCCACGTTCTCAAGATCCACCAATTTCGCCAACCACGAGGTCGCCCCCTTCGCCGGATGCGTTCACCACGGCGGCGCGGCATAACTCTCGGGAGACGGTCAAGAATCGCAGGCGGCGCTCGACTACCGCTCGCTCATACTACCGCGAAGATGGCCCTCATGATCAGAACTGGCAGCCTGGCGAGGAGCCAGGCATTGATCCCAACAAACCACTGCCGGCGTATAACGCCGAATGGATGACCAATACCGCTGCTGACCTGTACAGACGCTGTGAGATCTCAGTGGTGGACTTTTCTCAACATGAGATGCGCCAATACATTCTCGACAACGATACGCTGGAATCTTTCCTTGCGCGCGAGAGGGAGCCTTGGGTCCAGTGTCGGTGGATCAATGTCAACGGACTGAGCTGGGATGTGATTCGCATTCTTTCCAACCACAAATGCCTGCACCGGCTCGCGATCGAGGATCTGATCAACGAGACCAATCGCACCAAGGTGGATTGGTACTCTGATCATGCGTACATCGTTCTCAAGCTCCAGAAGCTAATCAAGCTCACAGAAGAAGAGGATGGCAGTGACACGGACGAGAGCAGTGACGGTGGACACGGACCGTGGATGAGCGATCGCAAAAGCTCGACTGCCAGCACAATGTCCCTGAAAAGGCCGACCAAACGCACTTTGGTTCTGGAGGCTTTGAAGGATATTTTCCGACCCAAGTCTCAAGATCGAGATACTTCAGGGCGACGCACTTCTAGTGGACTAGGGCACACTACCTCGAAAGCGTCCGGTCTAAGTGACCTTACAGAGAAAGAGCTCCCACCGCGCAGCATTCAGCGACTGCGTGGTGGGCCGAACGAAGACCGAATTGCCTTCTTGGAACGGCACGCCATCCTAGCCGCGAAGAGGTTATGTGTTACGCTCGAGCAGGTGTCAATCTTCCTGCATGCAGATAACACAGTGACCTCGTTCTTTGAGAACAGCGCAGACGACATCGAAGCTCCGATTGTGAGACGCCTCAGCTCCCCTGAGACCATTCTACGTCAATCGTGCGATGCAAGCATGATTGTGCAAGCGGTACTCGATGCCATCATCGATCTTGCTATACCAGTGACGACGGCGTATCAAGATGTGATGGGTGATTTGGAACTGGAAGTCTTGACCGATCCTGACGTTGATCAATCCAAGAGCCTCTACGTTCTCACGTCTGAGATCGCTATTTTGCGTAATTTCATGCAACCGATCGCCACGATTATCAACGCACTCCGAGACCATCGTTCGGAACCAATTCAGACTCCTGGCTTGGGAGCATTCAAGAATATCGGCACAAATACACCTACAGGTGATGGGGCGCCATACATAGGGACCGCCACGCCCAATTTGAAAAGTCTAGGTGGTTCGAGCGTATCGATTAGTCCTCTATGCCATACCTACCTCGGTGATGCGCTGGACCACTGTATCACCATCGTCGAAGGCTATGATCAAATGCGAAGAGCTGCCGATAACATGATAGATTTGATTTTCAACACGATTGGTGAGTTCCACATACCTTCTAGAGCGTGGGCATGAGCTAATACCATGTAGGTGCATATCAGAATGAGAGCATGAAGCAACTCACCCTAGTGACGTGCTTCTATCTCCCTCTGACTTTCTTGACGGTAACTTTGGCAGTCCGCCTGTGACATAGTTATACTTTACTAATCAAAACTGTAGGGTTATTTTGGAATGAACTTCGATGAGTTTTCTGGCATTCATCATAGCGATTCGTACGTGTATCTCACTCAGATCCCCTAGTCGTCGATACTGATACGGTTTCTCAGATACTTCTGGATGATTGCGGTCCCATTCGTGTTTGCGACGACCATGTTCTTGATGTGAGATTCTCCTTGCTTCCTCTTACCGAGCGCAATTCTAATGGCCTTATAGGCGCGACAAACTTCAGCGCTACATGGTGTTGCTCGCACAGAAACGCCTAATCACCAGCTCCAGGAAGAGGCGACAGAGGAAACAGGCCACGGAAAAGACATGAGCCTGCACTCCGACTTTCTCCGCTCGATGTTTTCGGATATCCAAGTGCAATTAGCACAATATTACCCATCTTCTGGTTGTATAGATGACCTCATGCCCTGCATAGCATAGCATAATATCATGAGGTTTAATGAATGTGGGTGAGAAGTGATGGCACAAGACAATGATAATAGTACATATATTAGATAGACCCGCGCGCTGCGCACGAGTGTACCTCACAAATTCTTCCGCTTGAATGCCCAGTAGGCCTTCCAGGGCAGCGTCCAGTCCGAGCGCAGCAGCTCCGGTCGAAAGATGTCAAAGTCGAAACTCTCCAACCTGTTCAGCCAGAGACGAGTGGGCACGGCAGGCATCAAGACGCCGAACGCGCGGTTCACCTCGTCCAAGGGCGTCTCATTGCGGTGCGCCGCATCCTCATACATATGGCCCTCCTCGCCCTCGTGCTCGAACTCGTGGCCGACATCCTGGCCGGCGCGGAGGTTACTCAGCATCTGCTGAGCGGTGATGAGGTGGTCGTTGGCTCTCGTGGCGACGGCGAAGACCGCATCGCGCAAGCCGGGTGCCTCAGCGCCCTGCCGGAAGACGTCCTCCTCCCGCAGCCCCGCCTGGGCCATGACATCCAGCGGCAGCATCACGGCGCCCTGCCTGTACTGACCGGGCTGCTGGGTCCGGTCCGCCGACTCCGCGCGCTGCGGGAACGCCACGAGCGGCAGCCCGCGCAGCACGGCGGCGATGCCCACGGCCTTGCCGATGTGCGAGGCCAGATGGTCCGCCGTCACGGAGGTCATCGGCAGCGCCGACAGCGTCAGGTAGAACAGCGTCGAGTACGTGTTCTCGGCGTAGGACTCGAGCGCCGCGAGGTTCGGGTACGGGTCGTTCGTCAGCGTCTGCTCGCGCGTGTTGATCAGCCGGTTCAACCACCCTTTGCTGATGCGCGCTTGGCCCTGCGTGCGCGTGTGCAGGTCGTCGATCGCCGCCGCAAGCAGGATCGCGATCGGCTCTTTGGGCGGGCTGCCGGCTAGCGTTTTGGAGACCGCGTCGCGCCAGTATTGTAGGCGCATTAGGCCGATTGTGTGCGAGGAGGTCGTGTCGGGGATCATTGAGAGGGAGATGTTGAGGGCGCGCAGCGCGAAGTACATCGGTCGTACATGTTGCGGGATGAAGGTGTGCAGGGTGTATGAGGGGCTGTCGTATTTTCTGATGGGATGGCGAGAAGGCTGGTGTTAGATAGTGCTAGATAGTATATGGGGTGGATGGGCTAGAGGTGCGCACTGTAGAAGGTTTGCGCAGTAGGCCTGTGCAGCCTTGACCTCTGCTTCAGCTGCTGGCGTCGCGGCTGCTGGACGCCCCTGGAGGTGGCGTCTTTGAGGGCGCTGTAATTGTGTGCGAGCCAACGAGCGTCGACATAGCTGCTCGCTTTTGCGACACGGTTGGATGAACTTGTTGGAAAGAGACATGTTGGACTGGAAGCAGGCCGGTGGAGGGGGATTTGCCTATCTATGCGGAGGTTGCGGAGAGGCTGTCACTGGCACATTACATATATATAGCTATTATTTTCTTCACAGGTGAAGTCAGTATGAAGTTCCTTAGAAGTAGAGATGATCGGCATCACATACACGTCAATTGAGGCTTTCCATCAATCTGCTGGTGAGAGGAAAGTCGTTCAATCAGTGTTCAAGCTTAAGCTGAAGCAACTCATTTAGTCCAAATTTTATTGGGCGAAGCGGCTTTACACGAAATGACGTCGGGCCGAAGTGGAATCGCGTCTCGGCGCGTCTTCCGCCTTTCGCTCCTCCATCTTTCTTGGCTCAATCAAGTGGAAATTTCCCTCAGACCCCAGAGCCCCTGCACGGCAACACCCGGGGGGCGATGACCAGTGCAGGATGCATTTTCAGGATGCTGATGGACGACCTCTGAAGAAGCGACGCTTTTTCGCCGAAGAAGAAGATCTTTCTGCTCCTCCCTCGACAAGCGATTCTACCTTGTCGGAGGATCATCACCAAAAGATCCTTGCTCAGAACGCTCAAGATGCGACTCCAGCGTCGTCTAACTCACACTTGGACTTACAGGGTACCAGCGTCGTTCCTCCTGAGCAAACCGCCCTCGCGAACCCAGATTTGCCACCGTCTAATTGGAGCGAGGAAAGCCCGGAGCAAAAAACAGACGACGGCTTCGATACCGCCACCTTCTTGGCTATAGTTGGACAACATGTCCCTGATCACATCATTACAAAGATACGCAAAGCATCGGGGGATGACCTTGAAAGGGCTGTGAACATCTTTTTCGATGGATCCTGGAGATCGCCCCCGAAGGCCACCCTGAGCCAAACAACCCTCTTGCCTCGCGAACGAACCCTTCCTACGCAACTCTCCCCTCCAATTACCCGTTCACCACCGACCCCTGCGAACAAGACTTCTAGCACGGATCAAGCCAGTTCGCGACTGGTGTCACAACCTCAGCTGAGATATATAGGCGCATTCGGTGTCGGAGCGTGGGCTACAAGGAGTGGTGTAGGGCTGGTCAAGCATGGGGAGCACGTAAACATTGAGCGCGCGCGATCCCAACCCGTCGCAAAACGTGGCCGAACGGGCAAGATAATCAGTAATCAGAAAGGCGATGTTCTTACTCGGTTTACCACCAAGTCCGGCCAGGAGGTAGGGCGTCTACCTCGGGAAACGGCCGAATGGGTATCGACTTTGCTAGACCAGAAAGTCTGCCATCTTGAGGGGGTGTGTGTCTTTGCACCGGACAGGATCCGCGTGAACGACACGATCTACCTGCAATTATGGTGCTACCTTCGCATCGAAGCGTTCCAGCCTCGCATGCTCGATGACTCTGATGACAACAGGTCGACTACGATATTCGAGGAGAAGGAAAGCATTGAAGAAAAGAAGCTGCGCCTTCGCCAGGTCGCTCTCGTGAAGCTTTTCGATGAGATTGGGCTTCAGCCGACTTCGTGTAATGATATGACAAAGAAGCATAAAAAAGAAGGATTGCTACGTGCAGCGGAGATGGCCGATCAGTATGACCGAGTCAAGAAGGAAAATCAAGCGAACAACGACTCGTCCGAAGAGGAAGAGACGCCTGAGCTCCAAGAGGACCAGCTTGACACACTTTACAAGAAAGCTCAATCGTTCGACTTTAGCATGCCCGAAGCGAATCCTCCGTCTACATTCACATTAGATTTGCGCAAATATCAGAGACAAGCACTATACTGGATGCTGGCGAAGGAAAAGGACAAGAAGTCCGCCAGGGAGGAGTCTCTGCATCCCTTGTGGGAAGAATATTTTTGGCCAACGAAGGATGTGGATGACAAGGAGTTGCCTGCGGTGGATGGCATAGACCATTTCTACGTCAATCCGTACTCTGGAGAGCTTACTCTCGAGTTCCCAAAGCAGGAACAACATTGTCTCGGTGGTATTCTTGCTGATGAGATGGGTCTTGGCAAAACCATCGAAATGCTGAGTCTGGTGCATTCCCATAGAAACGTGCCTCAGAGTTCTGGTGGCTTGGTGAGGCTCCCCCAATCTTCTGGTAGGGTTTCCGCTCCGTACACGACTCTTGTCATCGCACCAACATCGCTGCTTGCGCAGTGGGAGAGCGAGGCATTAAAAGCCTCTCAGCCTGGGACATTGAAGGTCCTCATGTACTATGGAACGGAGAAGAATGTCAATCTCAGAGATCTGTGTGCTGCCGGAAACGCAGCTGCCCCGAACGTGATCATCACGAGTTACGGAGTTGTACTTGCAGAGCACCGTCACCATGCGTCCGCTGTCCTTTCCCAGTTGGGCTCAGGCGGTCTATTCTCTTTGGACTTTTTCCGGATTATCATCGATGAAGCGCATATGATCAAGAACCGGCAATCCAAATCCGCGAAGGCGTGCTATGACTTGAGCGCAACACACCGCTGGGTTCTTACCGGTACACCCATCGTCAACCGTTTGGAGGATCTGTTCAGTCTGGTGCGGTTCCTGAAGGTTGAGCCTTGGAACAACTTCTCTTTCTGGAAAACTTTCATCACCGTGCCGTTCGAGTCGAAAGACTACGTCCGAGCTTTGAATGTCGTACAGACTGTGCTTGAGCCCCTGGTTCTCCGACGGACGAAGGCCATGAAGACCCCTGAGGGTGAGCCTCTTGTACCGCTGCCACGGAGAACGATCCAGATCGAGGAGGTTGAGCTCCCCGAGCAAGAGCGTGAGATTTACGACCTGATCTACACTCGTGCTAAGCAGACCTTCAACAACAACGTCGAGGCCGGTACTCTGCTGAAGTCATACTCAACGATCTTCGCACAGATTCTCCGTCTACGCCAGACGTGCTGTCACCCCATCCTCACCCGCAACAAAGCAATTGTCGCCGACGAGGAAGATGCCGCAGCAGCCGCCGATGGAGCCAGCGATCTGAAGGATGACATGGACCTGCAGGACCTCATTGACCGCTTTAAAGCTACCACGGAAGCAGCAGGCACCGATCAAGCTCAAGACCCTCTCGCCAAATTCACCTCGCATGCGTTAAAACAAATTCAGACCGAGTCCAGCGGCGAATGCCCGATCTGCTCCGAAGAGCCCATGATCGAGCCCGCGGTGACAGCGTGCTGGCACAGCGCGTGCAAGAAATGCCTCGAGGACTATATACGCCACCAGACAGACAAAGGGGTACCACCTCGTTGCTTCTCGTGCCGGGGGCCCGTCACCTCCAAGGACATCTTCGAGGTGATCCGACACCAGTCCCCCAACTCGACGCCCACTGCAGAAACAGATATATACAACAGCACGCCGCCGCCGAACCCGCAAGCACCGCCGCGAATCTCCCTCCGACGCATCAACCCCCTCTCCCCGTCCGCGCACACGTCCGCCAAAATCCACTCCCTCCTCAACCACCTCACCCGCATTCCCCCGACCAACAAAGCCGTCGTCTTCTCCCAGTTCACCAGCTTCCTAGATCTCATCTCCCCGCAACTCACCCGCGCCGGCATCCCGCACGTCCGTCTCGACGGTACGATGCCTCAAAAAGCCCGGGCCGAGACCCTCGCGCAGTTCAACCAAACCGAAGATTTCCTCCCCGAAGAAGAAGAAGACGACTTCATCGAAGACCCCGACCAACAAACCTCTCTCAACACCCCGCGTCCACAACCACGAACCACCAAGACCAAACTCAGGAGCAAAAACCCCACCGCAGACTCCGCCGCTACCATCCCGCGCGTCCTCCTCATCAGTCTCCGAGCCGGCGGCGTAGGCCTCAACCTCACGGTCGCCAACCACGTCTTCATGATGGACCCGTGGTGGAGCTTCGCGATCGAGGCGCAGGCGATCGACCGCGTGCATCGCATGGGCCAGCTGCGCGATGTCTCGGTCACGCGGTTCGTGGTCAAGGACTCGATCGAGGGCCGCATGTTGCAGGTGCAGGAGCGCAAGATGAATATCGCTGGCTCGTTGGGGCTGAGGGTTGGAGGGGATGGGTCGGAGGATGAGAAGAAGAAGGAGCGTATCGAAGAGCTGAAGCTTTTGTTTGAGTAGAGGAGGCGGAGTGGGATGTGGAGGGAGGAGGTTGTTTGGGATTGACTATATGATACCATTGCATTTTTGGGGGTTATTTACGCGCTGGATAGATAGGACTTGATTAGTAGTCCCCTGGAAAATTGAATTTTCTGATAGACATACTGAGAGACGGTTTCTAGAAGACCTTCGCGGTTGTAATGAACGACTGGTAACAGTTATGGCGAGCTCGCCAGCCTAGCACCCTAGAATGACCTGAAAGTCTCCAAATGGTTTGCTTTCTATGCCCCAACTTGAAGTAAGATTCTTTCATAAATCCTCCGAGTCACATATCCGGTGAGCGTGCCTTCATTCTAAGAACTATGAGCACCACTCTGGAGACTACCAGATAGACTATTCAATACTCCAGTAACTAGACATCCCACGCTCAGCCAACAAATTTACACAGTAGATTCATTCATTATTCCACATAAAACCCATAGCCATAATACAAACCCGCAAAGCAGAACGAGATCTCAACGCCAGACCCAAATTAAGAAACATGTAATGTACAGCGACATGATACCATTACCTCGCAATTTAGACCGAATCACCAAAAACCCAGCTTACTTGCTCGAATGATGCAAGACCTTGCCGACCTTCTCCTTCAGGTGCGCCATCTTCCCCTGATGACCATGCGCCTTGCCGTCACCGTGCTCCTCGGACTCGTTGGCATTTTTCGTGGCACCGGGGGCAGCATCTGCTCGTAATAGTCAGTCAGTAAATCAATCCTAAATTCAATGCCATACACAAGAAAATACTAACCAGAAGATTGCGCCGGCCCACCCTTGGAACCCAACCTCTTCTCCACCTCAAACGGCTCCCTCGGCTCCGGAATCTGCGGGCCTTTCAAGGCTTCCTCGCTGACCTTGTTACCGCCGCCGGTGGGGAGGCGATCCCCCGCCGAAGACCCGTCTTTTGTCTCGTTAGCCGGGCCGACGGACTCGGTGTCTGAGATTGTACGGGCGGTATCGGTAGCGCCAGCGGTGTTCTCGCGCTCGTCCGTCTTCTTCATCTGCTGTTGAGGCTGCGAAGTAGCGGTAGGGGGCTTATCCTTCGCCTTATCGTCAACAGCCACACTAGCCGAAGGGATCGTATCGGCCCTCTTCTCGGGCTGAGGCTGCAGCAGCAGCGCGCCCTCGGATCCGCTCTTGCTCTTCTCGCTGCCTCCGACACTCGAGGACAACGCGGGAGCAGGAGCCGGAGCAGGAAGGCCCTTGTTACCCTGCAGGATATCGTCCTTATCCTTCTTCTCGCGGATAGCCAGTGTCTTAGGCTCGGCAGCGCCTACCCCTACCCCTGAACCACCAGCACCAGACGCCGCCGCCAAAGAACCAGGCAGGCTCCCCCTCTGCTCTGATACTCCCGTCGTAGTGGTGGTAGGTTGGTAGTCGTGCGACTGCACCGCCGAGGACAGCTGCTTCGCGCCGTTGGAGCCGCTGGTTGGTGCGCCGGCGGCTGCGGCTGCGGCTGTTGGTGCTGTTGCGGTCATGGGGTCCGGGTGTTCCAGCTTCTTGGTAGACGGGTGCTCCATCATCTTGTTGGACGGGTTCTTAGGCTGGTACTCCATCTTCTGGGAAGGGAGGACCGGCTCGTCGACGATGACGTTCTTGAGGGCTAGGTCGGCGTTGCTGGGCGACCTGGGGTTCTTGGCGTGGTCGCCGGCTGTTACGGAGACGAGGGGCTCGGGGATCACGGCGGTGTTGGAGGTGGTGTGTGGTGCACCGGGTTGGTCTTCGTTGTCGTGTTAGTGTCTGGGTTGGGCTGGGTTTGTTATGGGGTGGGTTGAATAGGAAGGGTGGAGGAGGTGTGGTATGCTTTGGTAGATAGGTAAACGGACGATGCATCAGGTAAACGACTTACCATCGCGATTCCCGCCATCGTACGGATCAGTCGCAGTGCCCTTGCCTTGAATACCGGACATGGGCTCTTCGCCGTGCGGCTGGACTTGCTGCTGCTCACCGGTCTGGAACTCGTTCAAGAGGGCGTTGGTGGCGTTGTTAAATGTTCGGTTGAGAGTCTCCATTCTGCACTCAGGTGCGTTGACCGAATATCATAGAATGATTTATGAAGAGGGTGAAGCTGGAAGCTACACGTATAGGAAAATGCTTGGTATCTCGAACTAAATTGGTAGGTATAAGCTGGAATGTGGGGGAACCACAATCTCAATCTCGAATTCCGGGGTCTTTTAACGTCGTGGCCGGGCCATAGAGGCGCGAATTCATATACGTACGTCAGTGGCTCGGGGACTGCGATGAAGGAGAGGTGAGTTGGGTGGCCATGTCTTCTCTTCTCTTGCTCACACCGCAACCGCAGATCAACGGCCGCGATGTCATCACTTCTGCTCTGACGTCATTCAGTGGCCCCATCACGTGGGCTGAGGTCGTTTGCAACTGCTCCTAACTGGCTTTGCTCTCCATGGAGATAAGGTGCAGGACAGGAGAAAGTCAATTGGGAAAGTATATTGTGTCACCCGCATACCATTGCATTTCTGCGGTGGAAACTACCGTTTTGTAACACCCAGTCGGATAAGCGCGCCAGTCAAAACAGGAAACAGTCCTTAACTAGGTAAACCCGAACAATGCAAAGCAATCATTTTTCATCCAGGAAACGAATGCCTGTAATAAAGCTTAAAACTGACTGAGCCCAAGAAGAAGTCCTCCTCTCCACGTGCTCTTGACGAAGCGATACGTAGCTGCCAAAGCTCGGGCCACTATGCAAATCAAGTAGCCGTGGCGACGCCTATAGTCCCGAGCTGATATACATGTTGAGCTCATTTCTGCTTGCCCGCCTCCCCGGGGTTCTTCGCTTCCGGGTTGAGAGGATTCTTCGGGTCATACCCAACACTCTTGACAATACCCAGACCCTTGGTCTTCCCCTCGCGGAAAAGAACCCGATCGCCAGGAGCAAGGAACTCGGGGCGCTGAACAAACCGGAACGCAACCAATGCACGGTCGCCGGTCCGAATGAACGGACGGTCGATGTCGATGACCGAACATGTCTGGCTCACGGCGCCCACATGTAGCATGGCCTGGTACCGTGGCTTGATGGTCGTAGCGTGAGATAGAATAAGAACTGGATCGCATCAGTAACGGCGCACCATAGAAGTATAGAGACAACAAACATACCCTCTGCGACGAACTCTCGGAAGACTTTAGGGGCCTGGTCCAATTTCTTGAGAACCACCATGCCCTTGCGAACCTCCTTTCTCCGAACGCGCTTCAGAGCGAACGAGCCGGACTGGCCGGCAAAGCAGGCGTTCACCTGGATGCGCTTGCGCTCGATAGACTTGATCGTGGTCGTCGTGAACTGACCGAGGGAGTCGGGTCCCACAAGTACGGTGTCACCCGCATGAATCACTCCCGACTTGGCCACGCCAGACACGACCGTACCCACATGGGGCACAGAGAAGGTGTCATTGACCAAGAACTCGAACGGGGCATCGACATTATAATGACCCCGATGAGGAAGGATATTCAGGAAGGTCCGGACGAGCTCGAGGTTCTCTCCGGTCACGTTGGACACCTGGAAGATGGGACATATCCGCTGGCTGACGAACTGCGTAGCCGTGTTGATGGTCTCCTCCATGTCCTTGATGAACACGGGGATTTTACGAGCGCCGGGGGATTTCAGGATCTTGCTGAGCTGCGAGAGCGTCTCCTGAAGGATCTGAGGCGGGCAGATGTCAATTTTCGTGACAATGACCATGACCGGCACGTTGAGAGCCAACGCGATACCCAGATGCTCTTTACTCATCCCAATCAGACCGTTATTCGCGGCCACCATCAGAAGACAGTAGTTGGGGCTGCTGCTCAGCATGCCAAAGACGGTCGTCCGCAGGTAGCGTTCGTGGCCAGCCAGATCAGAGAAGCCGATCACTTTCGCGGAGCGCTTCCCGATCTCTTCCCACGACAGCTTGCGGCCCTGTGAGCTTCCGACGATATCGCCGCGACTGTCGAACCCCATGATCTCCATGCCCACCGAGCTGGTACGGCCGCTTTCGACTTCATGCTTGTGGCGGAACAGGTTGAGCCGGGCCTTGCCGCGACCGTCGTCCAGATTTCCCTTCACGAGGACTCCGAGCATGGTACTTTTACCGGCATCGACATTGCCCACGACCGCCACACGAATCTCCGCCATCTCTTCCACAGTCCCTGCCGGCTGCCGGATCAGGAGCTTCCCCCACGAGCCCTTGGTCCGCTCGTTCTTGACCTGCGACTCCTCCGGCCCGCCGACATTGTAGGTGACCAGGATGCGACAGTGTGCGGGGAGTGTGTCCGCGGCCTCGCGGAGGCGCCGGATGGCCGTGTTCCACTGGTCGAGGTCAAACTGCATGGACTCGCCGCCGTCCTCGAGGCCCAGGTCGAAGAGCGTCTCGCCGTGGCCCTCATCGATGCGGGACTGCAGGAGACTCGCGAGCACCTGCAGATCATCGTCGGGTTGTTCGCCCGTGCCTAGGAGGACCTCTTTCAGCTTGACGGTCTTGGGGGTGTCGCTCAAGCCCAGCTGGTCGAGGATGTCCAGCTCCGCGTGATCCTCGTGGACGCGCGACACGCTGGCGGTCTCATAGCCGCTATCGCTGGGAACGAGCGGGGCAGAGCGCTGCGCCTGCTGCTTCTCGGCGTATTCGGCGAACTCGCTGAGCGCCTGGGCATCGGATCGTTAGTGAGGCGGGGGGAGGCAGGGGGTGCCGCCGGGGCTCCGCGCGAGGATTTAACACACAATTTCGCCTCTCCGTCGCTCCTCCATGGAGAGTTTGGGTCCAGTCGGTGGCATGGTTGTAGTAAGTGTTCGTCGAGTAAAGGATACGAAGGTAAACAAAGGTCAAATAGGAGTCTATTGGTAGCTAAAGTATGGATGTTTCGGTCGGATGGAAACGGACGAGGTTCGCCTCTGGCGCACTCAGACACGTATTCGTGTGATCATAATTCTCGTCTGGGAAGCTAGGTGGAAGAGTGCGAAAGGACTAGGCCAGTGCTATGGAGTGAATGATAAGAATAGACGATGGAAAGGAGCATGAGATAGGAAGAATAGGTGGTATTAAGAGCTAGGTTTGGGAGGGAGAGGAGCAGAAACTGGAGAAGGTCGGGAGAGCGAGCGAGCCGGGGGAAGCTTTATCGATAGAGGGAGTGCGAGTCATCGCCGCCTCGTGCGCGCCGCCCGCCGTTTCTTGACTCATCCCTCCTCCACACCCTCAATTCATTCATTCCAGTCAAGCTCAGTCGAGTCATCAAGCAAGGAACCATCTGGAAACGTCTTACGCTGACTGCAAGGGTGTGCATTGAATTCATTCAGCTCAACACAATGATCGAACGCTATGACTCTAGTTGCATGCACGACAGACTAGCCATTGTCGTCCGTCTCCTCATCGTGGCTGCATGGCCTGATGCCATTCTAACCCACCCTGGCCCCCGTCTTCATCTGAAACACGACCTTTCGCACATCCATCTCTCGTCCGAATACGTGAATAGATCATTTGTTCCAATTAGAGTCTTAAATTTGGGAACCCTGTAGACATCGCCTGGTAGTCGTGGTCTCATACTGATCCGTGGCCGACAGATAGAGCAGCGATGGTTACGCTGCTGTGGCCTTCCGATCCTCCGATCAAATCCAATTGTCCTTGTTTGTTCGTGTCATCATGCTTGAGGGGAAATCAGAACGACAGAGTCGCCTATGGTAGGCACGTTAGTCGAAATCCGCGAGAGTGTACTTGTAGCCGACGTCATCGGGGGGATAGCTCGAACGCACCTCGAACGAAAAGCATCTCTTCCTGCTTCTTGATCGTCTAGATAGAAGGAGCATGTATTAGTCTTGCGGTCGCGACGATACTACCAGGAACTCGAGGCAGCGACGTACTCGGATCGTCTCTTGTTCGTTCTCATCCTCCTCCACCACGTAGATGGTCTCCTCCACATCGCCCAGGACTAGGTTGCAGTGACTATCGTAGGCCTGTAGCACGCGATGGTCAATACCAGCCTCCTCATCGTCCTTCCACACAAGTACGGAGACATACATGAAGGCGACCCTTGAGCTCACGGTCACCGCGCAACTTCACAAAGACAATCTCATCGAGCGACAGTCGCACCAGGTCGAGGGGTTCGGACACCGACGAGGTGCCCGCATCCTCCGTGTCGGCCATCTCAAATTAGGGAGGGGAAGGGGCGGGGAGGGTTGCGAAAGAGATGGGAGGTAATGAAACGAGCGAACGGAAGCAAGATTGAAGGAGTTCAGTCAATCCAGCAATCAACGAGCTGCAGGGGGAGGGAAATTGGCGAATTGACAGTCACCCGCGGAAGCTGACTTGAAAGAGACTGGCAGGGATTCTTTGTGCCGCCAAGACCACAACAACCGCCAACTCCTCAGTTACTCCGCTTTCATACTCTTTAGATAATGTGAGCTTTCCCCCTCCCTTCTGCTCCCCCCCGGGCGCTTGCTCTTCTCCCCAGCCCCCAAAAGTCTCTTACTGTGTGCTCTCAGCGATCCTTGTTTTCTCCTGTCAACTTTCAAGCGCAATGTTACAATTACTACGCTCCAGTGAGTCTTGGACTCGCGCGGGGCTCTTACACTCTTATCGTCCATCTCGCCTACCCCATTCCCGCTATCCGTCTCCACTTCACATAGTTCGATATCCTACGTGCCCATCGCGATCGGTGAGAGTATGGACCAAGCCGTGGCTGAAGAAAAAGAAGAGAAAGCCTCTCCCCAGGGAAGATTTCTCGCTGAAGCACAACTACCATCCGATGCTGAGTACAACGGGTGTTCTAGACGGTGGACCTACGCTGGAGAAGGAACTCGATTCACACTGGGACGTCTGGCAGCAGCAATTCATTTCAATCATCCAAGGCGGCCAACCGGACCAGGTGATGAATGCGCTCACGGACCCCCGGTTCAGCGATCTCGTGGGCGGCATGCCCCAGACCACGTTCGTCGAGGCCTTCCTGCTGCTTTCCCCCTCTTACTTCATCGTGCCCTACCGTGACATCCACCGCCCGATCCATCCCTTTGTGGAGAACCTCAAACAGCTCAAGCTGCTGGAAGAACGATTCGACGAGTTCGCCAACAACCTCGCGCGCATCATCCGCACCAGGGTTGCGGGAGGGCAGCAACTGGGTCTGCCGGAATTCACACACCTGCTCGCCTGCGCAGCCTCCATGGCGGATGTCCCCATGGCGCAGCAAGTATGGCAGGCGATGAAAGATCATGAGGTCGAGCCCGACACCCAGTGTTACAATCACTTTATGGAAACGCACATTTGGGAAGGAACATTCACCGGCTTGGAGAAGTATCGCATGAGAGTGACTCCGTACTCGTATGAAAAACGAAAACACGGTTATGAGAGTCAAGGCTGGAGCGGATACGGCACTGGACGACGCAGCGTGCGCAAAATCATACGAGTGCTATTCCAGGAGATGGTGGACAGAGCAGTCCCTCCGAACGAGGAAACCTTTGCCAACTTGCTCCTTGGCTATTGCCGCGGAGGTTGGGTTCCTGGAATGAAGGATATTCTCCGAGTCACGTGGAACATCGATGTCGACGAAGTGAAGGCAGAAAGCGACTGGTCGAGACTGTCGGAGGTCAAACACAATGATCCTGCCTCCCCCCTTTATCCCACGGAGCGACTTCTGTTCGCGGTGGCTCACGCCTTCGGCACGAACAATGACATCGACGCTGCGATATCTACAGTAGAGTTCATCTCGGCCCAGTACAAAATTCCGATTCCTGAGAGAGTTTGGATGCAGTTGTTTGAGTGGGCATTCGTTCTGTCGCGTCGCAGATTTGGCCGGCACAAGGAGCAAATGAGTTTAGGGCACATCAGCTCATTACGCGTGATCGACTTGTTCGAGAAGATGACCGCGGAGCCACACAACGTGCGGCCCACAATGGTGGTCCGCTGCAAGCTTGCGAAGATAGCGTGGGATCGCAAAATCCTGCGAGACTACAAAGCGCAGATGGCTGCTGCGTATAAGATCTTGAAAGAGACAAGGCAAAGGCAGTTGGAAGCGAGGTCCGTCATCGAAGCTTACATGAAGCGGCGCAGGCCACAAAACGACCACACGCACTGGCAATCGCGGGAATTCTCCGACGCCATATACACCTACGACATCCTTAGGCTGCACACCACCCAACAGACCGAGTTCATGGACAAGCTCGCGAGGAACATGCTGATCAACAGGCTATGGACAGGCCGAAACAATTATTCATGGCAAAGGACTCTGTTCCCGAGCATGCTGGAGGAATGGGAGGACTTTCTCCCGAAGGAGTTCATCTTTCACATGAGAACCGGACTGGTGTACTTCCATGGAGATATCGGGTGGGGTAGCGCTTACCGCTACAGCGGCAAGCGCATACCGATTCGACGGCCCACTCCCCATAACGATGTCGAACCGGGCGACGAGGTCAACTATATTGACGATGAGTTTTTCTGGCGAGCGGTTCTCCGACTCAACCCGGACATTGAGCCAACCTCTCCGTCCCTAAGGCGGCTGTTCGACCCAGTTCTCAGGACCGAAACTCCGCTGTATGTAGCCGGGAAGACACTGGATCAAGGCGAGCAGCGCTCGGAGCACCAAACGGTGATGTCCTCCAACTAGGGTCTCCAGCGGATCTGTCACTCTGTCTGGAATCCCTGATTTCTTTCGCAGTTTTTCCTTCATTGTTGCTGAAGCGTCATTTAGCGTTGTCTTTCGTCGGCCCAGTGCTTCGCGTCTGGGTTGACCGTGTAGTCCATGCATGTAGTGAAGTTAACCTTGGAAATACCCCGTCCATAGTGATACGATGTGATACCATTCCTGCTTAGTTTCTCGTTTAGTCCAGGTCGTAAAGGAGCCTATCTCGGAGCAGTCTGGTGACTAGGAATGTACCACACCTAGTATATCTATACTGGACCAGCCCATTCCAATTAGAAGGTTTTCGCACTGCCAGAGATCATCCAGGACATCAACACGATCCGCATGATCGAATGTCCCAGCCTCACCCACAGAACCGCTTCAAACCCTCTCCCGTCGTAGATCATTAACAGCCATATACCGACCGATAGTAATCCAACCCCAACGAAACCAGACCATCTGGCTACGATGAGCCTTAACCATAGCCGACTGGGCCGTCACCCACTCTCCGACGGAGCTAACGAACAAAAGCCGCGAAGGGAGCTGATCGCCAAACCCACGGGCCCCGGAGCCCGACACGATCGAGCGCAACGCACCGCCGACCATCGTGAACGGCGCATCAAGCACGCCGGCGTACTTGCGCACGATATTAGTCGTCGTCAGCGTGTACAGCGCGACGGGACACTTATACCCGGGTTTTCCCTTGGTCAGCGTGCGCAGCCAGTGCACGGCCCCGTGGTACAGCGACCGGTGGTTGGGGTGGTTGCTGATGCCGCCCTGGTCGAACGTCAGAAGCACGTCGATGGTGGCCGTCGGGGCCGCCGCGCCGCCCGCCTTTTTCGTTGGCGCTGTCTCCGGCGCAAACGCCGACCCCAACAGCGTCGCTACGTCGTGCTCGGTCCATCGCGCGCTCATGCTATCGGGGAACCGGCTGGGGTCGTCTACGACGTACACGTCGGCTTCGTTACGTAGTCCCAGCTGCAGTGCGCTTTGCACTAGCTCTTTCTTGCGGATTTGGCCTAGTCCGTCGGCGTCGCCTGTATCAGGGAAAGGTATGGGTTAGTGGTTTGGTTCTCTTGACGGTGGGAAGGAAGGGGGGGGGGGGGGGGGGGGGGGGGGGGGGCCCCGGCAAAAAAAAAAAAAAAAAAAAAAAAAAAAAAAAAAAAAAAAAAAAAAAAAAAAAAGACTCTGGCTTCGGGAGGGCTAGGACCGTTGGCGCAAAGAACATCGCTTCGTCGTCTGGGTGTGCGATCAACAGGCAGATTCGTTTGTTGTAGATGCGCGGGAAGGCCCCGGCGAATGGCGAGGATGTGGTCGATGACAGCGTCCAGAACATGAAGACCACTGCGATCGCTAGGCCGATCGTCGTCAAGGTTGAGGTGTTCATGGTACGAGAGTTGATGATTGGTAGGAATTGGAAGGAAATTCTGAGGGAGTGAGTCGTGATGCTCTGCAGCTATTGTGGTCGAGAATCAATTGAACTCGGTCTCCGGGTTGCTCAGTCTCCCAGCACCTATGCGTCGCTTCGCAACTCGATGCGATTGAAGCTCAGCAACCGTGCGCTAGCAATTGACTTGTGCGGATCGGTACAAGTCAAGACTGAGACGGGAATGCGGTCATAGCCGCTGAAATGGAGGGTGGATGGCGCGGTGATGTTGTGTAGGAAAAGGGGATCTCGAGCCACGGGTATCGGGTTCTCCAATTGTTGATTATCGGAGCTCCATGGAGCTAGGGCACGTGACTGACTTAGATGCCACCACAAGGTGCCACAACAGGGCATTGCTGTGTAGGTTCTCGATCACAAGAGTGACAACCTTGGAAACAAGCTAAGAGATTCTGTTCGTGTTGCAGTAGTGCCTACCTACCTAGGGATGTGTTTTGGGCATTCACGCCTCAATTGCGTCTCCGTAGCATCAGAATGACTATATATTACGAGTGCCGAGCCGAAAGTGGACCTACCACCACCACCAAGGAACTGTTCTGTATCCTTATGTCTGGATTGTTCGAAACCCTCAGGTGTATGTGGACGAGCAGGAAAGCTTATATTGCTTGAAATTCGAACACAAAGAGATGGTTAAATCTTCGGAGGGGCCTTCTGCGCAACAGGCCATTGATAGCGGATACGGTAGGGCTGAGGTTATCAGGACTACCAGACAACTACAGTTTGAACATCCCTGTTTCTACTTCTTAACTTACCGCTGCTGTGAGTCAAGCCAACCGCGTCGGGATCGGGATCCCGAAAGTTTATAAGGACAGTCATCAGTTTAGAGCTTACCATCCAGTGAAGGCCCTCTGAAGAGTTGGTGGGCTATGCAATGTGGTTAGGAGTCTTTGACGTGTAGGCTGCCAAATCTAGAACTTGTGTCACAGGACGAGTTGCGACCTGCGGCCCCATCTCGTACGAACTATTACCGAAGTCAACTGCAGTCAGTGCAGTTGGGTGGACCGGCAACGCGTCAAGTCGATTATAATTCCCTCAAACAGGCGCTAGGAATCTTCAACAATCCTTCTCCTGCAGGGTCCTCTTTCCGCTGTACAGCGGACAATGCACTCGGAACATGTTTCATGACGAGGCCTGCAGGCCATGGCCGAGATCATAAGGTCCGAGCCTATACACCGTGGTTACCCGTAACTGCAAAGCGGCTGAATAACGTTCAGGGCCGTAGAATGAATGGCAAAATTGCCCCCCCGGAAGGCGGTCCGCGCTGGTGCCAGCCCTGAACCGCAGTTACCACACAGTCACACCGCGATTCCGCGAATGAATTTCCATGGATCCTCAACGCCTCCCACCCTCAATTGAAAATTTGAGGAACCTACCGGGGCAAGTAAAAAATGGAGCGAAAAAAGGGCCGGGTGGGAAAAGGTAACATTCATTGTCCGCGGCGGCGCTCGCCGATGTCCTTGAACTCCTCGGGTGGTCTAACCTGAAATAAATGAACCCAATGGTTGGCGACGGCGGTCCGCTGAGGGCCTTGGAAGAGAATGGGGGCCGGCAAGGAAGAAATTTCTGATTGTCTGAGGCGCTAAGCGGTGTTAGTGGTAAGAGGTCACCACGATGGAGTGGACTCGAAGGCGACCGGCAGCGATCCGGCTAGGACAAAATTGCACGGAGTCCGGCGCCCGGCTAAGTAAAACCACTCATACCTGTTGCGCTTTGCGCTTGGAGGGGTAGTTTTGCCGTTGAACTGCCCAATTGAGTGAAAGCATGGATGAACATGCCTTTGCAGAAGGATAACCATTACTACCAAGCTGCTGCACGTGCCATGTATACGGCTTAGATTCTGCAAGAGATGGGGCCCAAGCTCTTGCACGACTCGCAGAGACTCCGCGGGTGAGAGGTAAATAATAGCGCAAGTACTCTTTCGTATAGGGCGTGCTCAAAACAAGGCCAAATGTTGGCAGACGAGCATCTCAGAATTGCATGCTTGATTCAGAACTCCGTACTCCGGAGTTTCGCTGCATGGGACGCTTGTAATGACTGCCTGAGAGATCCATGCTAAGCCAGGAAGCCAGAACTAGGTAAGGTAAAATGGGCGGCGATTTCCGCCCCCAAACGGGCGGTTGTCACGCCTGCCCCGCGGGAAGCGAGGTTCGGAATAGAAGTTCCATATACTAACTACTCCGGAGTAGGTAGCTGATGCGCCGGGGCTGATACCACATACCACCCTCCACGGCTGAATGTACTAGTTATCGTGTCGTGGACAAGGTCAGAGCAGGGGATTGCCGAGACGTCCAAGCATCAAAAAGCAGGATTACCTTGCGAGTTAAGACCCGAGTCAATCCCGCCATCGGAGTTGAACCTCGCAGCCCGAGGAGTAGGTCGTTATTATGGGGTAAGTAGGTGCCACTTGCAATCGACATACGAGATATACTCCACATATCTAGCAATTGTGCGAGTTGAGGTGTGGTAGAGCGGAGCAAGCCGATTCATTCCATCTGCGCCTTAGGACCCCTATACAAGGTGGGTTGTGGTAGTTGTAACAGAGAAAGCGGAGTCGGTAGAATGGAAGAATGACAGACACTCATGGCATGATCGAAGTCGGCCATCCGTGGCAGTCACCGACAGCATGTGCCGAGATTCTGACAGTCGGGACGATCAATCGGATCAAAAGACAGTTGACTTTGGATCTTCAAAGCCGAGTAGACAGTTCAGTACTAGAGTTGAGAAAGAAAAATAAAAGCCAGAAGTTAAGGTGTTAAGGTGTGTGGTTGGAGAGACTTTCGCGCCTAAGGGGGGAAACTGTTAGGTAATGGGTAGGGCGACAGCCGGTGGTTATTCGTCAGTGGGACAGAAATTCCCCTGCCAACAGGACAGTGCACTGCATCTAGAACTTAACTATGTCGCTCCTCTCATATCATGTCATATCTCGTGCTGGATTCACCTTCAAACCAACCTCATCTTCTGAAGCCTCCCTCGTCTGCTACGAGTATGTCTAGATAGGAGGTGCAAATGCGCCGACCGGCAAGGATAGCCGGATGATGCAATGCCCCGCAAAGCCCGGAAATAAACTGCAGTGCGGGGAAAGAGAACCCATGCGGCGCCATCTGAGTGAGCTGATGTCCAGAAGGGTCTTCTCTAGTGCAAGCGATGAGTTGATGTTGGTGTCTGAGACTTGCCCTAAACAGGTAGCTATGAGGAGAATCCACCACCACCAGCCATGTGTGCGACAGTATCTTTCTTTATGGGAATTAATCGCGAGTCGCGACAAGCCCTAGGGGCAGCAACCAAGAATTGATAGGCATGCCCTTATTTTGACTTTTTATCCTTATTTTTCTTTCTTTTTCTTTTCTCTTGTCGGCAGGTGGAGCCTTGACTGAGGTGTACTCGTACACTGTACTCTGCTTTGGCTCTCCCGAGAAACACATATCTATAGTAGCCAGTAGAAGGGAAACAGTCTGCAAAGAATTTTCAATTCTCTTGGAAGATTCCCATTCCGTACACACAACGTCCGGGTCCGATGGGGCTAGCTTCTCTTTTTTTTCAGGCTCTGGTTCTGACCTTCCATTGTTCTTGGCGCCAAAGTGCAACAGCGGCAATTCGGATCCAGAGTCTGAGGCGGGATCTCCAATTAGCGTCGCAAGCGGTGGCTGTACGGTCATGTATAGTCGGTCAATACAGGGTGTCACCGCCTGTAATGAGGGCACAACCAGCAGACCGCCTTGAGCCCCTCGGCTTTGCAAAGCAATTCATGACGCCACGTGATGGTTCGATGACGGCAGCTGACCTTCCTGGATGAGCAAAGGAAGCGCCCGTCAGGTGTGATGATTCGGCACTAGTAGCTTCCAGCTTGTCTGAACGGATATTCCGTGCCGTCGGTCTACCATTCCATGCATGGGCTTTGCTCTATGATCTGTCATTCTGTTGTCAATCCTCGGGATCTTACCCGATGCCATCTACCTACGAAGGTACCTGCACCCACGGGGTCTCGAATTCACCATGGGGGTTGGGGAACTAAGGAGGGGAGATCTCTGACCGTGGTCGCTCCTGAGTTCCAAGTATAGAACGCCCCAATCATATTTAGCCCTCAGGCTGATGGAGGCTGTCTAGAATCTGATTCGGATACACACTGGACCCTCAGTTTCATTCTGGAACTGTGACATGACAACATTCTCCAGCGGGTTGACATTATTCCACATCACCATATATCCCATGGATTGCGCGTAGTCCGCTATGATGATGTTCTCACGCGTGCAGCATTGCGCAAACAAAGAATCTGGCCAAACGAAATGATCTACACCGGAGAAAGCTGTTCGTTGCTGGATTCCCAGACACGGCCCTAGTGTGAGTCATGGCGCCTGACCTCCGCTGTTGTACGTGGATGGGAGCATCATTCTAGGAAGGACATTCCGCACACTCCAGATTAGATTGCTCGACAGCACATCAAGTCAACTGATGCAGGTGAAGTTTCACTCGATACAACATCGACTACCTCAACTGCCCGCTTAGAATGCGCTGCGCAAGTCTGTATGCATCCATCACATGCTGCCAGGTCAAGTGTATTAGATGCGTGATGTTTACTACATCTAGGTAGCATACTTGAGACGGCGGGCGAGGGCTAGAATCCTGGTTTCTCAGAATCTCCAGGTTTGAGAATTGAGACCAGACCAAGTGTTGACCAAGTGCCAAGAGCTGTGAATATACGCAGACTCCGGGGTTGCAACTCCCAGCAATTCTACCCGGCCCTCAGTTGTTTACCCGGTCAGCACAACCCGTCAGTTACGCAGGGCAGACCGCGTCGATAGGATGGCTGATTAGCCGATGGTTGTTCTAAAATGAGGTGCTTTTGGCATACACCCTCAATATCCTGGATGAATCACGCAAACTACCTTGCCTAAGCAATGATAGTACTGAGTATGAAAGGAAGAACGGTCAAATTACTGCCAAACAAAATCACCGCTGCATCGAGCCCACCACTACTACTACAGTCTAGTTACCCTCGGGGAATTATTGGCGTTCCGGCCAGGTACTGTACCTTAGGGGAAAATCCTAGCAGCAAGAGCAAGACTCTGGCGCTTTCCGACGGAGAGAGCCGTACGGTCAGGTATGGAAACGGTAATGTAAGGCCCACTATGACGCTTTTTCTGCCGTGCCCCTCTAAGACTCCATCGGCCGCCCGATGCGATGGAGACATTCAGGGTGGCCAGACCAGGGAATCATTCGTACCTGTTACTGGGTGTGGGAACGCCCTAGAAACAACCACCACGCTAAAAAAGAAAAAGGAGAAAATTAAAGAAGAAAAAAAAAATTTCAATAACAGGAAAAAAAAAAAAGGGAAAATGAGTCCTGAAGGGGGTGTAGGGAGTATATTTGGGTTGCAAATAAAAAAATAGAGCTTGTCCTGCCTCATTCAAAGGCAGCTGCTCTCCCACTTCTTCTTTCCATTCTTCGGTTTGCTTGATAGCCTAGATCTATTTCATTCTTCTTCTACAGTTGTTCCAGATATAGACTACTACAACTACTACAACTGCACTACCACTACTGCTACTCCCACAACACGATTGCCTCTCTTCACTACTCGTGTACACTTTGTCTGCTGCCTCATCTCAGCAATCATATCAGGCTTGAACTTTTGACTGTAATCAAAAGTTCTTATAGGTACAAGATTCAATTTCAATTACAAGGAGATTATGTACTTGACAATTACCTCGAACTGCCCACACTCGCCGTGATATCAAAGACACCTTGATCAGCTTGCCACTGTCAGCCTGGTCATATATTGCATCGTGGACCGTCAACCTTTGACATTCACTGCTCTCCGAGCAACACAATTCTTTCGTGAAAGCCGCTGAAACACCAGGAGCTGTTGCGCTCCCATCCTGTGTGTACTCGACACTGTTACTATACTTAGCTACCAAGGTTTCACTCCAGCGCATCCACTACCAACACTCGCCACCATGCCTGGCCGTCTACTTTCCAGCTTTGTCCGCCCTTCCATCTCTCACCATTCATCCGTCTCTAACTCCAACACCTCGTCTTCCTCGTCCGTGAACGAGATTCCGAACAACACGATGGCCTCCAAGAAACCATCCACCCATCTGAGCGCTGACCGAGCCCGCTCACCCGAACGTCGGCTATCGTTCGCCATGGAGCATCTCATTCATCCCCACCGAGACCACAGCAAAGAGAAGCGCCGAAGCCATGGCCGTTCTGCCCGTTCCAAGGAGCGTGCCGCTCACGATCACAGTGCCCATGCCTCCGCGAAGCTTGATGTTATCGTTGAATCCCCGCCCCTCGTCTGCTACGGAACCCCGGCCAGTTCAACTGGCGCCTTGTTCTCCGGCCGTCTCAAGATCACCGTTACTGAATTAGCCGGCATGATCACGCTTGATACTTTTGACATGCGTCTAATGAGCAAATTGACCACCAAGAAACCAGTTTCGAGGGATTGCTCCAACTGTGCTTCGCGAACCGAGGAGTTGACTCACTGGAATTTCCTGACCGAGCCCCTCGCCCTCAAGAGCGGCGACCATGAGTTCCCCTTCAGCTACCTCGTCCCCGGCCATTTGCCCGCTTCATGCAACGGCTCGTTGGGTCAGATTGAATACTTCCTCTCTGCACGTGCCCGCACCATCGCTGGGGAAGAGTTCACCTACAAGATGCCACTGCACATCAAGCGTGCTATTCTCCCCGGCAACGATAAGTCTTCCATTCGGATCTTCCCTCCTACCAACCTTACCGGCCGCATTGTTCTTCCATCTGTCGTTCACCCCATTGGCACTTTCCCCGTGCAGATGACCTTGAGTGGAGTAGTCGATAAAGGTGAAGAGACTCAAACCCGCTGGCGTTTGCGCAAGATGATGTGGCGGATTGAGGAACATCAGAAGATCGTCTCTACAGCCTGCGCCAAGCATGCACACAAGATTGGCGGCGAGGGCAAGGGTGTTCTGCATCAAGAGACCCGGATCATTGGTCACAACGAAGAGAAGGATGGCTGGAAGACCGATTTCGACACCGCCGGCGGTGAAATCAGTATGCAATTTGAAGCCAGCATCAACCCGTCTTGCAACCCTGTGTGCGATCTCGAAGCCTCCGGCGGTCTGGAAGCGCGCCACAACCTCGTCATCGAATTGATCGTCGCAGAAGAATTCTGCCCCAACCGCAACACGAGACTCATCACCCCCACCGGCGCAGCGCGCGTTCTGCGCATGCAGTTCCACTTGCACGTCACTGAACGAAGCGGGCTCGGTATCAGTTGGGACGAGGAAATGCCGCCAGTGTACGAGGACGTTCCTGCCAGCCCCCCGGGCTACACTATGCTGGACGGAAGCAGCATTATGGAAGACTACCACGGATCTCCTCTACACCTCCCGGAGTACGAAGAGCTCGACCGCATGGAGTCTCTGCGCCTAGATAGCGACTCAACACACTCATCCTCGACGCGCAGTCGAACACGTCTCACACCCGATGACTTGTCGGCCGAACCGGCAGAGTTCGACACGAGAAACCCCGCTGCTTCTCCTGGCGATGCCTAGGTCTAGATCGAGACCGACTCCATTACGCCGCTTTTACCCCGCATTCTTCAACTATTGGGACTCAACCTCCCGATGCCTTATGATTTATGACTGCTTACGAACTCAAAATGATTTTCAACTCAGCTCCGGGGAATATTCCTGTCCTGATGCACTCTCAACAGTTCCTCGAAGATTGGGATTCCAAGCTCTCACTACCTTCCCTAATTCCTAATATCCACCCTCACATTGCGGAAGAAAACACCAAAAGTCTGTTTAATAGAAATTTTATATCGCTGGGTCCACCTTTGTGCTTGCATGATACCCATTGTCTTTCTCAACTCTTGAACATTTTCATTTGTCTATTCCTGTTACTGGCATTACACATACCCAGGTACATACATACTTTGCTTGTTGATATGGTCAGCTTTGCTAGACATCACGATTACATCATGAATGAACAAATTGAATACACTAAAGTCTTTCTTGTGCTAGTATCTCTTTGCCTCGAACAAAATATCCGAGCTAAATGTTAGCCACAAGTAGAAGTAGGAAAGTAAGGAACATTCATTATGCACGGAGGCTGGCCGCAAGAGTTGTCCTACACCCAGGCTCTCAAACACAGCCAGCGGACTCTGACGTCTGGGACCAGGAGATCACTCCTTAATTTTGAGCTCGTAGACTTGGATCGAACCGATTGTCGTACCAAATCAATAATTTGGGGAGGGTACTGCAAGTACCCAGCGGACTGCTACATGAGATCCCTGCAGGCCGGACAGGCACATGAAACTCGGCGCGGATCTTCAGTCTCCCATCGGCGACTGGAATGTTTGCATGCAACAATCGTCTCAAGAAATGGGCAGCTGCGTCTTAAACCTTTTTTTTTTCATTCTAGTACTATATACAGTGACGGAAGCTCCGACTCAGCTTGAGTTTCTCTTTGCAAATACTCCCCTTGCGATCATCTTGACTCCTCCCTACTACGCCTCTACTTCCCCGCAGTAACTCCGAAGAAAAAAAGCAGCCCAGCTCGAAAATAAACACAACAGCCACCTCCAGCCTGGTACATACAATAGCAATGACCCACTGGTCGATTATTCATGAGTCGAAGATGGGCCCGAACGCCGGTACGCCCCTCGATTCCAACTCATATACCACCTTCTTGGTGAAGACAGGGTTACTGATGACACAGACAGCCTCGGCATCAAAGTCCTTAACGATCCGCCGAATGATGGGAACCATATCGATCCGCCCCGACTGATTTGTATCGATGACCACGGGGTTCGCGTCCATCCTCGACACCAGGTTGAGGACCTCCTCTCCGTACGTCTTCAGAGGCGCCCGCGCCTGCCACACCACTCGAAGCGCGGGGCGATTATCGTCGCCCAGGAAGGACAAACACGGTCCAATCCCCGAACCTGTGGTGACGACGACCACCCGCTTGAACACTCGCATCACATACGCGAAGCCATAGGTGAGCACGCCGCGTTTCCACAGGTGCGTGGGCTGGTCCTGGATGCAGGCGGCGGTCCAGTCCCCGGCCTTGGACACCAGACAGGAGAAGCTCTTACCGTTGAGGTCCGAGAACGTGGCGAACCCGTGCCAGTCCAGAAGCGGGTGGCGTGCGAGCTGGATGCCCTTGCCAAACGTCGTCGTCGTATGGCTCAGGTGCAGCCGCACCGCGTGGGACGAGAGGAACTCCGGCTGCACCTTGACCTTGCGGAGGAGCACCCAGGGGTGCACGATGGCCACGACCGTGACCATCAGGAACCAGAAGGCAGGTAGTTTGATCAGGAATCTCCCGAGTGGTTCGTTGGATGCGCGACTAACCTCGTCCGCGAACACCACGAGCAGGATCACGAACAGCGCCACTACCAGCCACCCGAAGAACCGATGCATGAGCTCGAAGTAGTCGTGCTTCTTCATCCGGAATCTCGGATACGCGACAACGATGATGGTGAACAGCAGGGCTAGGATCAAGTATGCGAGGATGACTGGTGTCGCGGAGGTGGTTGGCCCGCCCGATGCTGGAGTCCAGTGCTCCCATGAGAGCAGACCGACAAAGCCGGCATACCAGACAAATGAGGCTATCCCGCATCCGCTATGCACGCCACCATAGTGGTATACCTTGGCCGCGATACGGCGTAGCCGCAGAGGCGCTGACCTCGGTATGGAGGCCACGATGACGAAGATTGAGTTCACCACTAGAGGCTGTCGCGCAAGACCGCATGCAAGCAGATTGCCCGCAGCAGCGTTCACTAAGGCTAGTAGCCTTCGATCTGTTGCCATGATTGCAACGAATACAGCTAAATTGGTCAGGAAGACGAGGGAGAACAGCCGGCGATATATGTTGAGGAATGTGAATCGAATTGCAGCGAGCCTCCGCTTTCTGGGGATCTGAGCCTCGAGGTCCAGAGATCCATCTTCTGAGTCGCGATGATGGGACTCTTCTGCTTTCTCTGAGAAGCCCTTGATGGTTGAGTCTTCGGTCCATGCTGATGTGCTGGGGCTTGCCGGGTCAGATGCACAGATGACTGCAGGCGGTACTGTTATAATGCTTTCCACCACAGTCGACGACATGTTGCTTTGAGGCAAATGTCAGATTGGTTTTCGAGTCCGTGGGCAATGAATCAGACTAAGATTGAGGAGCAGATGCAAGTAATCTTCTGGACCAACAGGTCGGGATGAGGGGAAAAGCTCCCAATAATGAAAGGACTCAATTGGTCCTAATGGGCGAATTGCTGTGATCCGATGTGAACCTGCATCTCGCAGACCGGGTATAGGCGTCTTTTGAATCTTCATGCATGACGACATCTGACCACCATGCAGCTTGGCTGGTTCTCAAAGTGTGGATTCACTTTCAACATCGGGGATTATCTCGGCTGTAGACCACGGTCTCTTGTCTTCAGCACCTGAAAGCAGGCCGCATGCGGATCACCTCGGCATCTGGGCAGTGGTTCATCCTCGATATCTTGGTTCCGCCCTCCGTCATGTCGACACTATCGAGGGGAACCTGTTCCACATCCTAGTTCCCCCAGGCATCTGCCAATGAACAGTGGATAACAGCATCATGTCTGCCACTCCTCAGCCCTCCATTCTCCGATTCAGGAAGTTGCAGAGCCAATGAATGGTTCGTCCGAGTGCGAACATCCCGTGCCGGTGTTGTGACCTGTGAATCTAGCGATGATGACGATTGATGGAACGGTCTAGAGATTAGGATGCATCAGCATCGGCACGTTGAGTGGCTCATGCAGGACGGTCTGGGTTTCCTGATCGACACTAGCCCTGAAGCCTTTGAGTCAGATGCAAGAGTGCTTGCCACGAAGGTTAGTGTTCTCCACCGATCCACGACTAGAGGCGAGAGGGTTGCATCGATAATCGGACAATCCGTGCCTTGGAAGTGGGCAGGGTATGCCCAAGTTGCATGACCTGACAGGCTCGGCAAGTATACAACGACCCATGCAGAAGGCGCAGATACCATGCTTTTCCCCGATTTGATCTCGTTCGGAGGGGGTCGATCAGTGGCAGAGTGGCTCTGGCAGGGCCACCTCAGTCTCCATCCTGATAAACTAGTGCGCTCAGATACATGGGTAAGGAAACCCCAATGAGGAGTTTAGGAACATGGCCACCCATTCCCACTCCCCCTGCTCAATTAGCGGGCGGGGTACTGCCTCTTTCGGGCGTCGTCCAAGATAGTCAAGTCCATCATGTAATGGCTTGTCATGTACGGATATCTGGGACTCTGTTAACAGACGTCAGCGCGACATGGTGACTGACTGACTAGACCTGTGGGGACGGGTCCTGCATACTGCGCGCATGGTCGAGCGCGCAGATAGCAGACTAATTCAGCAGGGCTAGAACCAAGCCTCCGGGAACCGTGGGAGTAGTTCGGGGAGGGAGGATGAGTTCTCAGGACGACAGATCTAACCGGGGGTTCAGCTGCAGAGGTACGACCTGAAAAGCAACGATGGGGCTTCATTGACAGGACGAGGCACCAATGAGAGAGCGCCGAAGACAATGTTCAGATCAAGTCCGGCCGATGGTCGCCCAATATTGGTTTAAGTTATGGAGAAATGGGGGTGGGAGGGGGGGTTGATCATGGGCCTAGTTTGAGTGCATGACGGGACATGTTCGCCAGTGAATTGCTTTTGTTGCAATCTCTCAGCCATGATTAACGACCCACTTGGCCTCGATCTGAATTGAGATGCTAGGCGCAAAAGCGTCCTCGTCCGTGGGCCCGGAGCAGAGGAGGGATCAACAATCCGATCCGATCTTAGCGGGATAACTCGGTGGGTGAAGATGTGTCGGGTTTTGGCGCCACTGCCCTAAAGTACTGTAAGTATTCCAAATTCCAAATCACCACTTCCCTTTCCACCACAGCAGGAAACTGGAATTGTTCGGGCCTTCACTAGACACCGCAAATTGACCACCCTCTCAGTAGTCTTTCTGAAACCGCCAGCATGACAAAAACATATTCCTTCACCACCATGGAGATTATTATATTTATCGCGTTGGATCTCCCCATGGTCGGGGAGGATTTCACTCAACACTCCTGTGTATCCTCTACTCTCTACCTCCCTACAATCGTGTCTCCGACTCTCTAGCCCAGTCGGTCCTTTGTGCTCATTTGACCTGCCTGCTTGCTCCTGACCGAATATCTTCTGTCAATTGTTTTCCCGACGCGATGGGTCTCTGGGAATCGTCCTTGGCGTACCCCAATCTGGGCCAACCCCCATACACTGACTTGTTGACATTTGCGTTCCGCAGCCCCTACCACTACGACAAGGAGCGTCCACTGTTCATTGACGCTGAAAACCCGTCACAGTCTTTCAGTGCGCGACAGTTTGAGACCCTTGTTCGGACACTGATTGCAGGATTAAGGGCCCATGATGTGCAGAAAGGGGATTGTGTGTTGGTCCACCTCGGGAATAGTGTAAGTATGCAGTGCATTTCCCTTTTCCCTTTTCGCTTTTCGTCGCTTGCTCTACACCGATTCCGGCCTCTTGCCCTTCCGCTCCCCGCTCCCTCCCCGTTGCTTGACATGTATGTCGAGTTTATTTTCCATTTTCTTTATTTACTTTTATTCGATTTCAATTGATGCAACGATGTTTTCCGCCCGAATTAATTGGACCCCTCTTCTTTCACTATGCTAACTCAATGGGGTAGATCATTTACCCCGCTCTCTTCTATAGTATCATCGGCGCCGGCGGCGTGTTCATGGGTACCAACGCACGAAGTCAACCACAAGAATTAGACCACCTTCTCCAGCTAGCTGAACCCAAATTGATTGTCACTTCGCGTGATGCGCTTCCCACCGTCCTCAAGGTCTCGGCCGACCGGGAAATGCTCCCCAGGCAGGTTTGCCTATTGGACGAGTTCGCAGGGGATCACATCGGTCAACTCCTGTACTCGGGACCCTTAGCCTATGCGGCCGCAAGCGCCCCATATCTATCCAACAGTGGAGATGAAACCTACCTCAGCTTCGCTCACCTTCTTGCGTACGGCGAAGACAATTGGCTCGCCTTCCATGACGAGATGATTGCCAAATCGACCCCGGCCGCGATGTTCCCCACCAGCGGCACCGGGGGGTTACCCAAGGCGGCGATTCTGTCGCATCACGCTATCATCTCGCAACATCTCAGCATCCAGTACGAGGTTCCCTACGAGGTGACGCGGTTAATGTCACTACCCATGTTCCATCTGTTCGGGGCCCTGTGGACCCACCTGTTCCCCATTCGCTACGGACAGCCATTGTTTGTGCTCTCGCGCTTCGAACTAGCGCAGTTTGTCACGGCGGTGTATCAGTATCGCATCTCCGAGACTTACATGGTCCCAGCCATGATCCACGCGTTCAATCGCGCGACTATCCCGGTTGCGGGCTACCTGTCGTCGCTGCGCTACGTTGGCGTGGCCGGCGCGCCCATTGACGGAGCGTCCATGCAACAATTCCAGCAACTACTTCATGGCGAGGCACAAGCCTCCCAGCTGTGGGGGATGACGGAAGTAGGTGTGGTGTTCCAGAACCGGTACGGAGAGCCAGGCCACCCCGGAAGTATCGGAAGGCAGCGTTCGGGGTACGAGGTTCGGTTGGTAGGCCAGGAGGGGGAATTGGTCACGGAGGAGAACAAGCCTGGGGAGTTGTATGTGCGGGGGGCAGGCCTTCTGATGGGTTATAAGGGACGCAGCGATGCCAAAGACGGGCATGGGTGGTTCCGCACCGGGGACGTGGCTTATGTTCGGGACGGGGTATATTACATTCACGGCCGTACCAAGGAGCTGATCAAGGTTCGAGGGTAAGTTCTTCCTCCTCTGTTGGGTCTTGTCTAGCGGCAGAGCTCTAACCAAAATCGGAACCGCAGATGGCAGGTCGCGCCGGCCGAGCTCGAGGCAGTCCTACTGCAACACCCCGGCATTGAGGACGCGGCGGTAATCGGGGTTACATCGCACGACGGCAGCACGGAGCTGCCGCGCGCCTTCATCGTGCGGGCCAGAACCCCCACGGGCACTCGGTTGACGGCCGACGAAGCGTACTCGTTCACGCGGCAGCAGCTGGTCAGCTACAAGGCGCTGGATGGGGGCATCATCTTCGTGGAGGAGATCCCGCGCACGGCGAGTGGGAAGATCCAACGGTTCCGGCTCGCGCAGATGAACACCTATCGCGAGATCGTCAGTTCGCTACTGACGCGCTTCAACAAGGGAGGCGCTAGTCTTCAGACGGTGGGGATCATGCATAATGGTCGCATTACGGTTTGATTGAAGGTGGGGCAATTTCTAGGTTGGACTTCTTATCTTGGTGACGGGTGGATTACGCGTTTGCAGTTTTTTTTCTGGTCATGGTACTGTACATGGGGAATGATTTGAGGCGTTTCGGGATAAGTACTGGGGTTGAGACTATATACCATATACACAATCGGCGAGACAAGATTGAGGGTCAAGGTTGGCATCGACAGACGATATACCAGGCTATCTAGATCCACAGAAGAATACATCTTCAATGCACCTTGTGTTCTTCCATTCGAAGTTCTTGAAAACCGTGGTGTCAGCGGCCACCAGGAGAGAATACGAACCTGAACCATACTCCAGCATTCATCTCACCTTAGCATGCAGATTGACGCGCAATCCAAGCATTCAGCATTCATTCAGGGGAGCAAGCATACCTAAGCCCTCCCTGGAGGGCACGTTACACAGCCGCAGGAGTTGTAGCACTGCACAACCGCTCTAGCTTTCAGATCGTACCTAACGAAGTAGGTGACGAGGGACTCATAGTGTAGGCGACAACCCACGTACATGCCCCTAATGTAGGGGATGAGTATACGGTGCTTACTACTTACTGATTGCTCTCTCTGCTTCCTGCGTAAAGGGTGAGCGATTAGGCTCGTGCAGGTGCATACACCCCACTCCACTCACCTCACAACAACTACCCACTAATGGGGACAGTATCCAAGTTTTGGCGTGACAGAGCTAGGAAGATACAGTGGTTTGAGTCAAGGCAGGGGCAGTCGGGATTAGAATCTGTTTGCTATGAACCGTCGGCCAGGGTATTCCAGTATTTAGCTTGACGAATCCTCAGATATTGCACCCCATTGTCGCAATAATCGAGTCGTTGACTCATCGAGTTTCAATCCTGTCCCTAGTGTAGTGAGGTATAGATGGTTTAGGGAAGAGTCAAGTCCTCCGTCTACCTCGCTCGACCTGGAGGTCTGGTGAGTCGGGGTAGCTGTCAGGCAGGGTTGTATCAGACGCAAAATAATGTCACAGGAATTGGAATTACCCCACAGTTTCTTTTCTTTGGGTGGGATTCGTTTGATGGTTGATGGCGGAATGTTTGCCTTTCCAAGTTTGTGGGTAGGTTTGCTTGCTTGCTTGCTTGCGTGTTGGTGCCTGCATTTCCGGGGCGTTGATTGGCTTTGCCTTTGGTGCCGGTTTGCGCAGGAGGATTTGACTAAATTCCAAGGAGGTTCCTTGCGATGCAGGTTGAGTACGTGCCGTCCTTATTGTGGGTGATTGCTTGGGTATCCTGGTTGTCTACAACACTACAGTACTCCAAGTCTAGCGGAGATAAGATCGGGATTGTTGGTGGAAAGGGAGATGGTCGTGGTTTGTGCTGGTACTGGTAGTAACCTGGCATTGAGATCTCGTTCCTGATAATTTGATCGGATGTTTGCTCTGCATTTGTCGTTTGTTCATTTATCGTAGACATGACAGGTTTGGTTGGACAGGGCCGAGAATGTGGCTGATGCCTTCAGTAAGTTAGTGTACTGTACCTCAGCCGCAGGGATTCAGGCCAAATTTCAAGCCTTGGTCCAATTGGAAAAATGGAGTCCAGAAATGCTCAGTCGCCTAGTCCGGGTGGTAGGACTGACGTTCCTTCGTTCGTCTGGGCGTACTGTAGACTAGGACTCTGTTTCTTGGGCTGGCACGCTTCAAATCTGCGGCAGGCTAAGCAACAGTGAACAATAGACAATAGACTATCAATCGCCGAACCGGAGAATATGGTGTGGTGGAAGCTGGCAGGTGCGATGGGATGGACTAATCTAGTAAGGGAACTGTCGACTAGTGCCGCAATAGTCTCGCTCTAGTTCCAGGCACTTCACTCCAACCACTACGAGTACAGCTTCACATCTTTCTTTCTTCCTTCCTTCTCGCGCCACACCACACCCTGCTGCTGCGTGCCACAGGGGACACAGCCAATCTTCTTGCTCTATTCCTTTGTTCTCAAGCGGAAGACCCATCGCCGAGTTAACTCTCTCTCGGTCCCTCCCTCCATCCTTCGCATCCTGACATCTTCGGCTAAACGGAGACACAGAGAGACAGGGAAACACATGGCGATGAGCGAACCCACCACTGTCAATCACTCAATGCTCCAACCCAATCAGTCCAGTCAGTCCAGTTTCCAGCCCGATACAGTGCTATCGAACTAAACCCGGACAATCGAATTGTCTGTCTGTCCAGCTCGTCAACAGGCCGCATTCGGAAGGTCACATTCGAACTATAACTATCGCACTACTTAGTACCTATTGAGCTCTTAACCCTCCGCTGTCATCCTGCTATATCCAATCATCAATCTGGATGCATCTTGTCTCGATTTCCTCTTTCTTTTTCTTGTATTCCTGCCCTGTCGGATCTTCGCGCCCGCCCTTCCGCCAGCCAGCCTCTCAGCCATTTTCAACCCGGCCGCGTTAATCGGTCCAGATTCCATCATGTTCGACGCCTCACTAGATTGATTTCCTCTACTTGAACCCCTGGCCTCGCAAGCCATTCTATTCTCGGTCTCTTGCCATCCGGCAGTGCGGCTTGCTAGGTTTTGCATTTTCCGCTCAATCATCCTAATTGGGGGATTAGCCCCGAGGGAGACGAAAATATCCATGCGACGAATGTCATGGCTCAACGATCCCCCGAGTATTAGCCGGCGCGAAGACTGCACGCAGATTGTCCTCTACGCGTGGAGATAGATTGTCATTCCAGTCCCGACCAATGGCCCGCATCATAGCATTCACCCCCCAATATTGCAGGTGTACAGTCAGTGCATACATACGGACATGTGTGTATGTCAGAGTCAAGTCGACTTGCACCATGGCGCGCGTAGACTGATCCTGCATCAGACAGACTCTAATGCCCACCCATTACATGTGACATCACCACTGCTGAGCTCTAGCCTATCAATAATCCCTGCCATTTCTTCTGGTCGCTTGCCTGGGAGGAAAACCGCAAGTGAATTTCTTTCCGTTCATTGGATATCTTGTCCCTAGCCAGTTCGTCTAGCCACAGATGCCTGCTGGAGCAATCTCCTCCGTCCAGGGGTCTCTTTATTTGCGATATTTGTCCTGACGGACTAATGCACCAGCCATGACACTTGCTTCTGAGCTGGGGTCCGGTCTCAACGCTGCATCTGCTCTAGTTGCGCGACCGTTTCCTGTGGAGCTGCAGTGCCACGTCGACAGACATGCGAGGAAAGGGATGACAGACGCACGTTTCGCGAACACTCAAGGCAAAGGCACTCTTCCGGTAGGGCGTGGCTCACCAGCCGTTGTTGTTCCTATGCCACGAGTAGAGGCTTCGGGTCGTAAGTTCCGCAATCATCCCCCTTGGCGCAGCCTGGGCATGGCCCATTGTCTAATGCCGAATTCGCGACTGTCCGCCATCCTACCCTCTTCTTTTTTTGTAAAGACCAAATCTCATTCGTCAATTTATATCTCAACTAGTTCGAAGCGAAGCTACCCTAAGCTCGTCGCCTGGATTATGCCTTCGCATGCAATTGTACGCTAAGTATCAGAGGTGATTCGCGGTGTACAAAATGATTGGTGGATTTGTGTAGGCTGAAGCTCGGTTCGAATCGCCATCAATCCTGCACATAGGGAGGCCGTTGCACTGTGACAATGTGCTCTGCTGTGATGAGGTGCGAACCGAGGTCGTACAACACTCGCATCGCGCGCTTACTTTGTATATGTACCGTGCGGGCGGGCGAATGTGGGCAAGTGTCTGCAACCGCAGCGTTTGCGGTACTGCGCTTGATAAGCATGGCAGAGGAACTCGTCACTGCATAGTGACGTGATTGCATACGAGCTTGAGGAGGGGATGCATACCATCCTGGCCTTTCTTCGAACAGCTGCGCGATATACTGGCTCGCCGCGGTACGGTAGCCAAGGCAGGCACCGAGCAGCCTTGGACGCATCTTGTTCCGGGATCTGAATCCTTCCATGCGGCGAGAATAGAACTCCTGCTTCCCGCTTTCCCAGTAAAAGGAGAGTGAGTCACTAAGAGTCCGGCCTATTCAGTCCATAGATGGATGAACAACAGCTCGCTTTCACTCACGCAAGACCAGACCAGACTAAATCAGATAATCCCATATCCCATCCACCAGACACCCCAGATCAATGGGCCCAACGCACCGAGCACTGCCGGTCCGAATGACATCTCCAAAACCCCCCAAATCCACATGGTGCCGAAGGCCGGCGCATGCTTCATGACCGCGTAGTAGGGATCCTCATTTGTCATCAGCATCAGCTTACACCCCAGGAAGCCCGTCAGCGGGAGGAACACCAGAGTGCGTAGACTTGGCGGGAAGAGAAGCCTGCGCATAAACGCCCACGACAGCTTCTCACTGTCCCACGGTAAGAGCGAGACGGTTTCCTGTTTGCTGTTCGTGACCCCAAGGAAGGAGACAATATGTCCATGGGCGAGGTGGATCAGCAGCGCCAGCATGGGGAAAGCGACAAAGGCGGATTCGCGGACGAGTTTCTCGAGCTCGATCTCCTGGGCGTACTGGTGCGCGGCGAGATACGCGAGCGTTAGATGGAGAGTCGTCAGCGGTACGGCGAGGAGCAGCGTGTCGATGACGGGGGGGATCGGGTGTTCGAGCTCTTCTTCTTCTTCTTCTTCTTCTTCCTCCTCGTCGTCCTCGTCCTCGTCCTCATCCTCATCTTCACCAGAGAGATCCTTATCCCCCACTCCTGCATCTCCTTTGCCCCGTTGTTCCTGCTGTTGCTGCTTCCGCCGCGCCTTTTCCGCCCGCTTGATCGCCTTCGTCTTCGTCTCGGTCGACAGACTCGCCTCGTCAACGGCGGAAATCTGCCCCGTCCGCGGATCCACCGTCACAAACTGTGTACCTGCGTTCCCGCTGGGGGTAGAAGCGAGTTGTCCCAGGAGCGCACCCTGTCTCTCGGCGATAATATCCACCAGTGTCTTCTGGCCGGTCGCGGCGGAGGAAGAAGAAGAAGCGGAAGCCGGTGGGGGATGGGCGAGAGGGATCGAGGCTGGGTCGAACGCGTCGGGTTGTTTCGCTGCTGCTGCTGCGGCGGCGCGGCGTTGTTTCCGGTTCCTGGATCCTTCCATTGCGTTTGCGTTTGCGTTTGCGTTTGTGGGTTGTTGGGTATTTGGAATTCAGTATGCTGGAGGTTGAGATTAAAGGGGTTTTTAGTGGGGTACGAAGGAAGGAGGATGCCAAGGGCTGCTTTGTGGTGTTGTGGTGTTGTGTTGTTGTTGTGATTAGTGTAAGGGTGTGGTGGTTGTCAATTGTTTAAATTAGGGGAGCGCAGCTAGTTGTCAGACCATCGCTGCTGGCTGCTGTTATCTGGCGATTTGGAATTATGATGTATCCGACCTCCGCCGCCGCCGGGGTTAAGCGGGGTTAAGCATCATCGAACAATTGACAACTATGTCTAATAGCTACACGATACAATCGATCATATGATTATCAAGTAGTATTCAAACAATATGCCGAGCATAGAACATTCTCTCTAATAGCCGCAATAACAGAGATTTGTTACCAGAAGAGCCCAAGCCACCTATTCGAACCCAAGCCACTTTTGCACACAGATCTCGAACGACGAGATAGGAGAGTCTGCGAGGCGTATCATATCCCCATCGTTCACGTCCTGGGCGTCATATTGAGATCGCAGCTCTCTCCTACAGACAGTAACTATTACTTGATCTCGAGGTAGCGTCGCTGCTGAAAGTTTTGCTATACGCTGGGCTTTCCTCATGCATGTATGCACCTGCCAGAGTCCTCGTCCAATTACTGCCTGGCGCTTCATATCCCAGTCTACTGTCTATTTGTTCTAACTCCAGTAGAGTAGCTCTAGCACTGTACAGAATGGCCCTCACCGTGCCCTGTTTATGATAAGATCATGATGATTCATACTATCGAACTCGCGACACCGAACTACATGAAGCACAGGACAGCACGCACAACACTAATTCACGGTAAGATTCCAGATTAAGCTAGCTGACTATCGCAACAAGAGGGTAATACAGAAAAAACATATTGACCAAACTCCAACCACCTTCGCCTGGATCGAAGTTGCAAAGAAAAGAAAAAGAATGTGGAAGCGAGTAAGAGTGAGCGAGGAGAATTCAAACGTATATCATGAATCATAGATTGCTCTACTCGAAAGGCGCGAACGCATGTCTGTCAGACGGCGCGGCTGGGACTCCTAACCGGACTGGTACAGAGCGGGACCGGCGACCACGTGGGGGTTCAGCATGGTGATGTTGAACGGGGTGACGTAGAGGTCCGAGTCTGTGATGGCCAGGAAGATGGTTCCGTTGGCGGCGGGGTCGCCAGCGAAGGTCGACACGTCGGGCTGGATGGTCGAACCGGCGTTGGAGCCGTTGAGGGTCAGGGCGGAGTAGGTCACGTTCAGCTGCGTGGCCCAAGCGACGAACCTGGGCTCGCCGGCGCTGGTCGACGTCACGTAGCTGTTGTTCGGGCCCACGGCCTTGCCGGGAACCTCCCAGGTGAGGAAAACCTCACGGCCCGGGTAGGACAGCGGGTTGGTGCGGTTGTGAGTGATGGCGGGCGAGCAGTCGATGCCGACCTCGGTCGAGTTCAGGCAGGATTCCGACTCGGGGACCACGGTGCTGTTCGACACGTTGGTGCCGTTGGTGATGGTCTCGCCGGAGGCCTCGGCGCCATTGATCCGGAACGGGTTGGGCTGGTTGACGATGCTGAGAGCGGGGAAGTTCTGCCAGGCCAAGCGGGTTTGGTCGGCGGGACAATCGGCGATGTAGGGCGCAAGGAGAGTCCAGGCCCAGGACTGAGGAACACCGACCTCGAACCACACCGGCATGGGGAAGAGACCTTCGAATTGGCGGAAGATCAACTGCTGTCGAGCTTCCGTAGTGATGGCCTGGGTCAGGAGAGTCGCAGCCTCGCGGGAGTCAAGGTGAGCCAAGAATCCGTAGACACCGGCCTCACCGAAGCGAGTGAGCTTCTGGCAGAAGTCGACGAACTCGTGCACAGTGGTGTAGGGGTAGACGTAGTTGCACTGCTTGGGGGCTGCCGCGCCCAAGATGTTGGTCAACATAGTGGCATGTCCCACTTCCTGGTTGGCCATGAACTCAATGAGATGGCGATCCTCAGCGGTCAGTCCAGCAGCAGTGAATTCTTCCTCCGAGAAGCGAGCCAATCCATCGTGGAACAGGTCCAGTTCGATGTACTCTTGGTAAAGTGCGAGAGCCTGTTCTGAGGTTAGCAAGTTGAAGTAAACTTCTCCTGGATGAAACATACCAAAGACTCGTAGTCAAAGTCACTCTTTGCGTTGTAGACAGGCTCAGTACCGTTGGTACCAACTCCTCCAGCGGGGATGTATGGGCCTGGCTGAGGGCTGTGAAGCTCTCCGTCGCTGGGGTAATCGAATGCCCCCGGCGCAGGGCCCTTAGGCGAAACGCCAGGGCCGACGGAGCTTGCAGTCAAGGCTCCAGTGGTGGTCGGGGTTCCAGTGTATGGTGTGTGTGCCTGAAAAGTCGAGTAGGTCACCACAGGCGGAGCAGCAGCAGCAGCAGCCGTAGTTGTCTCAGCAGCATCGGTGGTGCGAGCAAAGAGCTGGCCGGGCAAAGCCGAAGCCAGGGGCGAGCCCAGCGAGCTGAGCAGTAACAAGCGGCTCCAAGTCATTTTGAGTGGTGATGGATGTATGGAAGCTTGAGGAATTCAACACCTGGCGCTTTGAGGATCATCACAAGACAGGGGCATGATGATCTAGTTATAAAAGTTTCCTGAGGACGGTTTGTGTAGCGACCCAGCTGTGACGCAACCGAGCTATCATCGTCCATGTTGTAAATCTCTGTCTTAAGCCGACTAAGTCCTGCTCGACCCAAGCAGTGCTTGGGGCTAGGTTCTCGGATGAATGCGGCACCGCATGTAACCACTTTGTATGACCCTGGAGCGATGTCGGTTGGGATTACGAGTTGGTGGTCGACCTCGCTCCACCGTGTTGATCCATCCGGCGAGGTCGGCAACCAGACATTGGGCAAGAGCCGAATAAGGCTGAGCTTAAGGTTGGCATGCACAGAGTAGTAGACGGGTGGACGTTGTTTCCATGGTTTTTCATGGACAAAGAAGTGTGTAGTATAGAATGGGGCCGTCAGTGGAGAGAGCATGACGAGCTGGCGAAATCAGGGAGCTAGGGGCGATCTCCGTCCGAAAGGGGTCTTGATCAGCCCTCGCACTGTGACACAACCTTGAAATGCCATGGTTCAGTCAGCCCGAGCTCGCAGACAATCAATATTCAGTAGAACTATAGCTGAAGAACTTGGCCGACAAAAAGAAAGGCCCACTCTGAATCCCGTGCTCCACTTGCCCAGACACACCTTAGATATCTGATAGCGCCGCTTCGAGTCAGGCTCCGAGACGTTCAGAGGAAGTCAGAGTGACGTGCAGGAAAAATGGAGCCCTTTGAGTCATCAGGAATATTTATCCAGGGAATCAGAGAGCGCAGACGTGGTTACATAAGAGAAGAAGGTCGGATCTGGTGGAATTGCATTCATCTCCGCCGCCGGAAAAGGTAGGTGTGTGTGACCTCTTTACGGCGTCATCATCTCTTCACTGCCAGCTGCCGTTTCGACCGGGCCAATTCGGTAATGCTCCCGCCAATGCGGTTCCTGACAAACCATGGCTTGGAGCTTAGCTAGTGCTCATGGCAATTGAGCTGGAGCTGGTGGTGTTCGATGGTTTCGATGCCGATGGATGGAGTTGAGAACGAGAGAAGGACAAGGATCGATGCGAACAATAGCAGTGTGACGTGATCGGGAACGGCCGAGAACCACCACCAGGATTACCCCGCAGCTTGCCTGGTTGCTGACTGTCCCTTGCACAGTACGGAGAGCAACTGTACTGTACTTCTGCAACACAACTCGCAACCAGCCATACGCTTCAACTATCCCATTTGTCTTCCTCAATTAGAAAGGATTGTCTCATTGCACCATGTCACACTTGCGAGTCACGGAGTTATTCTCCGTCGAGGGCCTAGTAGTCGTGATCACCGGTGGTGGGAGTGGTGAGTTCCCTCCTCCGCGCGACACGACCCCAGGACGTGTTCAGGACGTTGCCACTGACCCAGGCTTCCGCTGACAGGGCTGGGTCGGATCATGGCTCACACGCTGGCCGAGAACGGTGCGTCCAAGGTGTTTATCATGGGTCGCCGCGAAGAGGCCCTGAAAGAGACGGCGGCCCTGAGCTCCAAGGGCGCGATAATCCCCATCCCGGCCGACATCTCATCCAAGGACTCATTACAAGCGGCCTACGATGCAGTCTCGGCGCAGACAGAACATGTTGATCTGCTGATCGCAAACAGCGGGGTGATGGGTCCGGTGAACCGTCCCCCTGGTCCCAAGCCTGACGGATCACTTCCCAGCCTATCCGAGGTGCGCGACCAACTCTGGTCCGCCTCGATGGAAGAGTTCTCGAAGGTGTTCCACGTCAATGTCACGGGCGCCTACTTCACGGTCCTAGCGTTCCTGCCCTTGCTCGAAGCAGCCAACAAAAGGAGACCGGCGCCGGAGAAGAACAAGCCGTCGGCACCGACCGCCCAGGTCATCATCACCAGTTCGATCGCAGGCTTCAACCGTCGGGTACCGTTTAGCTTCGCGTACAACCTTTCCAAGGCCTCGACCACCCAGCTGATCAAGGTCCTTGCCACCACGCTGTCGTCGTACGACATCCGGGTCAACGGGATCGCGCCGGGCCTGTACCTCTCGGAGATGTCGACCATGAACTTCCAAGACGGCGACAAGGGTGTCTCCGACGGCTCTTTCCCCCGCGACATGATCCCACTAACACGTGCGGGTAGCGAGCAAGACATGGCCAGTCTGATCCTGTGGATGGCTGGGCCCTCAGGTGCGTATCTGAACGGCAATATCACCGTAACCGATGGAGGCAGAGTGAGCGCTGTCCCCTGCACATATTAACCGCAGAGATGGCACAAATAACAAGACTTCTTTTCGCGCATATACTGTGGAATACTAGATCTTAGAATAAAATGTCAAGTGACCTCGATACATATGCTCCGTACAAGATTCTGCTCACATCGTCAAGTTCAATTCAGCTTCAGTCCCCGTATATATCATACCGCTGGACGATATCGCGATGTCAAGTTGAAAAGAGGCCCTGAAATAAATAAAAGAAATAAGCATACTCCTCAGACGCCGGCTCGGCATCATGAAATCAGTAGGTTGCTGTGAGCCGCTGGACCAGGTAGTCACCTGCCGTGATTCCAGGGTACTTCAGCGGGCGGATATCCTCTCCGTAGGTGCCCGGGATAGCTTCAATCAACTGGTCATTATTGGGATTGCAAAAGTATGCGATGCTGTAGCGATCCGGATACACGCCGGACGAGTCATCCTCGCCGTCGACCACCTTGGGAGGCTCTACAACGCGGTGTCTAGTGCTCTTAATGGTCTCATTCGACCAACGGGCCAGCAGGTCCCCCGCGTTGACGACCACGGTATCGGCAACGGGGACCGCGTCCACAAAGGTGCCCCTGGGGCTACGAACCTGGAGTCCGCCGCACCCATCCTGGAAGAGCAGGGTGATGGAGCCGTAATCGCTGTGCTCGCCCGCACGCACCTGCAGCGGATTACTCTTGAAGACGCTCTTATCGACGGCCGGATAATGCAGTAAGCGCAGGTTGTTGTCGCCGGCGTCGACGTACGAGTCGAAATAGTGCTCCGGCAGATGCATGCCCAGCGCGATAGCCCGCATCACCTCGGTGTGTAGCGCCTTGCACATGTCGAAGAATGACAGCATCACCGCCTTGAAGTCCTGGCCCTCGGCGTCGAGATGATCGGGCCAGCGGTTGGGAAGACCGTCCACGCCTTCCCGGCCGATCTCCATGGTCTCCTTGAGATCCGGGATGCTGCGTGCATCGCCAGAAGCAGCTGGGACGTCATCCACCGTGCTGAGCTTCTCTTGGCCCGTCTTCACATAACCACGGTTCGCCTGTGGAGTCGTCCAGCACAGGCTGTCTTTCTGACCCTGGGGCCGCGCGAAGAAACGGGCGGACGAGCTAAAGACGTGGCTAACCACGGATGGTGGCACGCCGTGATCCTTGAGGTAGAGGAAGCCGGAGGTCTTGAAGGCGTGTACGACGGACATGGCGACTTCATGCTTGTCGGCCGGGGTTCCATGCAGGAAGGGCCCGAAGTCGATGATCTACGAAGAGACCGTCAGCAGGGACAATCCATGAAGTCCAGCGTCCGTACCACAGGCGAGACTCTAGTCTCCGCGGGCGACTTACAGGAATCACCAGGTCGTCTTTCTCGATCGCCGTGGTTACAGGTTGGCACTGCTGCTTGGGCAGGTTGCCTTCCATGTTGAGTTCAGGCATAAAGACTTCAGGATCTGACCTGGATGGATATTAACGAGACGAGAAGATGAGCATCGATCGCTTGATATGTTTATGAGTACTGCAGAAGACGTGGCAGAGGAGGAGAAGGCCATGTGGAAAGCAGTGAGATCACTACTGTACTTATCCGCTCCTCAGAACCAGGGAAGGGCCGCAGGAGCAGAGAACGATGAATGGACGAGCATGGCACCACATGGGAAAACCACATGGGAACAAAGTACACATGTATGTACTTAGTACACCAGTCTGTTGGCTTGGACATGGCGGGGAAAGATAAGGCTTGACAGTCAATCATGTGGGAGGGGGCGATATGGCGATAGATCAACTTGGGTCGCTTATCGCTTGTTTACTGACCCATGTACCCCAGGATCCTGATAAGATAGATATTGAGATCTAAGGTACCCGTGTCCACCAGATAACCAGTCCTTTGAATATTTTATCGCTGCAGAGAGAATTGAGGGGACATGGTCGCAGGCTGCTGGCAGTACAGTACTGATAAGTCATTTTATGCAGGGTGAAGTAACTATCGACCACTGCACTGCATGTCAATCGAACCCCTCATTTCTACTCCTGCCCCTCCATTCGTCCCCTCCCATAGCCAACTTCAACTCAGTCCATCGCCCGTCCACTACACATTGAACCCATTCTCTCATCAAGCCTGCAGAACAACCAGACACAACCATGGCGCCTCTGATCGTCGACATCCACACGCACGTCTACCCCCCGTCATACATGCAGATGCTCCGGGCTCGCAAGACGGTGCCGTACGTGCACGACCCGAGCGACAGCGGGACTCCACGGCTGATAATTCTCTCATCGGACGACGACCCATCCATCCGGATCGACCAGCGCGGGCGGCCCGTGGACTCGTCGTACTCCGACATCGAGGTGAAGCTAGCGTTCATGCGCCGCCACGGCATCAACAGCAGCGTGATCTCGTTGGCCAACCCGTGGCTGGACTTCCTAGCACCGGACGAAGCGCAGAGCTGGGCGGAGCGCATCAACGACGACCTGGAGGCGACCTGCGCGCGGGTGAACCACGCCGCGGACCCCGAGAACACGCGGGCGCTGCACGAGAAGGAGACTTTGTTTGCGTTCGGCGCGCTGCCGCTCAGTGCGCCCAGTGCGGACGTGGTCGTCCGCGAGATCGAGAGGCTGAAGACCTTGCCCCATCTGCGGGGCGTGATTATGGGCACGACTGGGTTGGGGAAGGGGCTGGATGATAGTGGCCTGGACCCGGTTTGGAAGGCGTTGCAGGAGACTGACTCGGTGCTGTTTCTGCATCCACACTACGGACTGCCGGATGAGGCTTTCGGGGGATCCGAGGCCATGAATCGCTACGGTCATGTGCTGCCCCTCGCACTGGGGTTCCCGCTGGAGACGACCATTGCGGTGACGCGGATGTTGCTGGCCGGGGTGTTCGATCGGTTCCCGGGGTTGAAAATCCTGTTGGCGCACTCTGGCGGCACTCTTCCTTTTCTGGCTGGGAGGATTGAGAGCTGCATCCTGCATGAGCGCAAGTTCGTTGCCAATGGAGGCGGCGTGCCTGGCCCACAAAGAAGTGTGTGGGATGTTCTCAATACGAATATCTATCTAGATGCTGTAGTCTACGGTACTGCCGGCCTGAAAGCCGCGGTGGCTGCAGCCGGTGGTGCGGACCGCCTACTCTTCGGTATGGATCCTGAAACTTCGCTGGTATCCATTGACGCTGACTATCAACAGGAACTGATCACCCGTTCTTCCCCCCGTTGAGCAAAGATGACGAGGAATGGCCGAGCGTGACCACGAACTATAAGGCTATTCATGCCGCCTTTGACGGAGAAAGCGACACCGTTGCAGGGGTTCTAGGCGGGAACGCGGCTCGCATCTTGAACCTGAAATGACATCTGGGTGTACGATAAGTGAATCGCGAAGAAATATCTCGATGTTTTTGTGCCTTATAGCAATCGTATATTACCATGCTATTTATACATGTGTCGGTCGTGGGTCTCCGTAAAGACATGAGATATATGATATATGATATCATATGGTGAGCATCATTCTGGTACCTACTCCAACTATCTTCCGACGACGAGGTTCCAGCCGAGAAGACTCCAAACCTCTTGAACAAACCATTCTGGTGCTGAAGGCTCAGGAACTTTCACCCTGTTGAGAATGCTGTTCAAAGCATCATCTTCAGTATTATGCCGGAGCGGGCGTAAAGCTTCCCCAACAATGGAGCTCCCGCCGAATACTGCTTGTAGAAGAGTATTTTGCAAAGTCTCTCTGATCCCTGCTGCATGTCCCAAGTCGCTGTCGGGTCTTGTGGATGATAAGGGTGGATCCACTATGACCACCAATCTCTCCAAGGGTGGTATAAGATGTTTGGCCTCCAACCCAGCAGCGAGGATCGATGCCCCACCGAGCTGCATATCCTTGAGGCCAGGCGGAAGCGACAGACTAGCAGGATCTACATGGAGATCGGATCGCTGGTGAAGGTCCTTGAAGACAAATAAGCAGAGTAACTGGCCGACACGATTCAGCAACACGAAGCTGAATCCATCCCGTAGATCTGAGGTCTTTGTGCAACCTCTGTCCAGTGAGGAAGTCATGTTACTGATTAGTAGACTCAAGTGTGCGGCGACCTCATCTTCCGTACTTGTATCTTTTCTATTATCCAATTGAGATGTTTTGGTCCTCCTCGACCTCGCAGCTGGCTTGGCTTTGCTCGCTGAAACTCCAGTTGACATTTGATGCTGGACTCTGTCCTGGCAATAGCTGCCCAGAGCTTGGATTACTGTCTCGTATAGCCGCACGATGTGGAAAGTGATCTGTCCACGACCTTGCAATGTTGACTCATTCACAGGTATCTTCTTCAATGCTTTGAGTAGTAATCCATAGGCGCAGTATATACTTTTTAGGATCACCGCTATACTTGGTCTTTGGACTGGAGGCGCATCCTTTCCTTCAGACCAAAGCTCAGATTGCTGCTGGACCGCCCGAACTATATCCTCGATCGCGATGGAGCATAGCTCAGCAGCAGCAAGCACCACAGCCGAAATGTTTGTACATCGCTGTGAAGCTTTTTGCAAGGTATAGAATCTTCTCATGAACGACGCTGTGGCTAGATCAACTCGTTAGCATTTCGCACACTCCCGATATATGCAGTCGACTCACGCTCTTCCACATACTCAGGTAGATGATCACCAAGCCCACCTGAGATATAGTCAGTCAAGTTGGTAGTCCTGCCCTGTGACTGCGTCTGCATCTTGCTTTTCTTCCTTGATCCAGCCGATCCAGCCGCATTATCATCCAACGTAGCCTTACGCTTCATGGCCTCGTTAGCAATATCGTTCTTAGCAGCATTCGGGCCCTGCAGCTTCGCGCTAAGCACTTCGTTGCGTTGTTCCAGCTCGTATATGCGGTCAAGGAGCTTGCTTTGTTCGGCTTCGGATCGTTCGTAGGCCTTCTGCCAGAAGGCGACGCTGTCGAAGTATTGGTCTCGGTTTGTCGGTCGATCTGTCGGCGGGACTGATTTGATGAACTGTCGGATATGGGTGAAGTAATCTGATCTTTGGTTAGTGTCCCTACACTGGCCAACACAGAACGGAGGAAATGTGTACCCTTCATTGTAGTCTCAATTGGTTTCTGCTTCACGATAGCCAGTGCTAGAGCCAGCTGAGCAGGTGAGGGTATAGTGCTGTCGGCCATCCTGGCTGACTGGTCTGACGTAGCAGGGGGACTTGAGCTGCAGCACCGGGAATGATCCTCGTAATGTCTTCAGATCCGGAAGATGAGCGTGCGATTGTCGCTGTATACCCATACATCAAGATTCAACGACATCTTGCATAATGTCGGAGAGTTAGACCTGTCAGTGCGAACATTGTTTAGTCCACGGTCTGTCGAACAACCACTGAAAGAGGAAGGAGCCGGACATATTGTCTACTGTAGACCTTGATACTAAGAAAGTATATATAAGTACAGCGCGTCAAACACAAATATTGTTAGAGAACAATAGGCAGACTTCTACTTTAGCGAGTCAATCACAGCATAAGAACAGATAAGCCAGAAATCTATTACGATAAATATGGGAGGGAAATTGATTTTATTTTATCGAGGCCATGCTTACAGCTGGAAGTGACTAACTATGACAGTGATAGCTCCCCGAATCGCATTCCGCCACCGCCATTGACTTCCGCTCCGCCCAAACGTCTTTTACCCGTCGCAGCAGCTGCACTTTTTAGTCTTCAACCCTCTTCACCTCAAAGGCTCACCACGCCAAACGACGTGCAACGATTGCCGCGTATTTCTCCCTTACCATCAATCCGATATTTCAATATACCCTCCCGGGTCAAATTCTACCACTCCCTATCCGAAAACCAAACCCCGAGCCCAACCCACCCACACCAACACCGACAACCGGCCCAACCGTCACAATGTCCTCCTCCAAGGACGACCTCAAAGCCCACGCGGCCTCAACAGAAGACTTCTACGCGCTCCTCGATATCTCACCAGCAGCAGCCGAAACCGAAATCCGAAGAGCCTACCGCCGAACGGCGTTGAAGTACCACCCGGACAAGATCGCGAACCCCACGCCGGCAGACATCGACAAGTTCCACCTCCTACAGATCGCCTACGATGTACTCTCGGATCCGGCCGTGCGGCAGCTCTATGACAACGCGCGGGAGGCGCGACAGCGCAAGCAGCGCGAGCGCGAGATGATGGATTCGGCGAAGCGGAAGATGCGCGAGGATCTGGAGGCGAGGGAGCGCGCGGGCGTGGCGGAGATGGCCGGGGGGCAGCGGGGCGTCAAGAGGGCGTGGATGGGGACGACGATGGGCATGGACGGGGATGCCGATGCCGAGGCCAAGTTGCAGAGGGAGATTGATCGGATTGCGGAGGATGGGCGGCGGAGGCGGCGCGAGGCCGAGGAGCAGATTAAGAGGGAGATGATGGAGGAGGAGAGGATCATGCGGCGTGAGGAGGAGGAGGCGCGCAAGGCGGCCGATCGGAGTAGTATGAAGGTCGACCGGTCGCAGGAAGGGGGCACCAATGTGCCAGAGTTGGAGCGCGGGGTGAAAGTGCGCTGGGTGCGCGAGGGACGGGGGCTGGATCTGGATGCTGAGCGCTTGAGGACCCTGTTTGCTCCGTTCGGAAAGGTCGAGAACGTGCTGCTTCTCAAGGATAAGCGGCAGCGCCTGGGCGAACAGCGTGAGAAGAAGACCGTCGCCACCGGAGTCGTCATCTTCGCCTCGATCGTCAGCGCGCACGCCGCTGTTTTGGACAGTGAAAAGAAGAAAGGAAGCCAGAGTGCGGACAGTGACTGGTCGACCATCGAATCGGTCTTCTGGGCATCAGGTGCTCAGCCTGAGCTCAGCCCCGAAGCAACAAGTGGCACCGCGTCGTCGACTTCCAACGCAGCGGCAGACAAAGCTCCCACTTCGGCAGCCCCCTCCAAACCCACATTCAATTTCTCCGGTTTGAAGGCGGCAGGAACTGGTAATGCTGCCAGGGGTCCTGCAAAGGCGCCCTCCTTTGGCTCGTTTGCCGCAGCGGCGGCCAATTCTACGAAACCTGCTCCTGCTGCCGGCTCTACGAACGGGTCGAAAGCACCGAGCATGGAAGAGTTGACCTTGATGCGACTACGGAACGCACAGCGAGAGAAAGAACGCAAGGCCCTGGAAGAGCAGCTGAGAAAGGAAGATGAAGCCGCGGATGCCGCTGAAGCTGCAGCAGCCCAAGCTTCTTGAGCCCCTACTGCATTCCCGCACCTCCGTCTTCTAACGCACTTTAACGACAACTGCCCGCGAGTGAGCTGACATGTCACTCATACGCACGCATGTGAAATTCTCGCCTTGATTCATATAGACATCTTGCTATAGCATAGAGATACCCTTATCGAAGTTTTATGATACTTATACCAACTACTTTGGTCAATTGGAAGGAATGAAATTTATCTATAAACTCATTTATCATACAAGTACTGTACATCAACTCAGGACACATGCGAAGAGGCTTATTCGTAGCGTTAAGATTCCTCCTCCTCCTCCTCCTCCAACCGCTCAGCAAGCTCCTTCGCGCGCTGTTGCTCACGGATGGGATCACGAGCACGGGGAGGGTTCCTCGTGGAGGCGATATAGTGTTGCAGCCACGGCGGCACGAAGGCCTTGATCTTGACAGTCCTAGAACTCGGCGAACCATCCTCCGCCGGGGCGTCCCAAGTGATGGTGAACTCTCGATCCGGGTGAAACTCCCTATTCTCGCCCGTAGGGCTCACCGGCGTCATCATCTCCACCCGACACAACGCAAGGCCTATATTCCCAATCCCAGCCAGGAACCTGCCGGCGCTGCGGCCCCCGGTCATGCCGCGAAGCTTCGCGATCTCCAGGCCCGAGGGCGGTGGGGGCAGCGTCGTGCCCAGGGCGGCGGGGTTGTAGACGGGGAGATCGCCATCGGGGATCGAGGAGCCGGCATACAGCTGAACGGGGAGGATGCGCTTGCGCACGAGGCCGGTATGCTTGGTGCGGATTGTCAGCTCCTGGCCGATGTAGCAGCCCTTGCGGAAGTCGATGGCCCCGGCCATGTCGAAGTTGCATTCGAGCGGCAGCGAGGGCTTGTGCAGGAGTTCGGCGGTGCCCTCGGCGATGCCGTGCAGCATGCGCCGCACGTGGTAGGAGTCCAAGCCCACCTCCTGCGCACCATCGGCGAGCGGGTTCTCGTACGGTCTCGACGCGTGCTCAAAGTGCGTGCGCAGATCCACGGTGTCAGGCGCAAGGATCCGCAGTCCGAACCCGGGCGCCCGCGTGTCCTCGCAGCCGAGGACCCGGTCCATCGGCCAACGCCCGTCCGAGTCATTGTACCTCATGCTGTACGTCGCCCAGCGGCCCTCGCGTTCGTTCTCGCCCCACGACGCCCACACGGTGCGTTCGTCCGCATCGAGAGCCCGAATCTGCACCTTGGACCGCAGCCTGTGGCGCTTCAGGCGCTTCACGAGCGCGGGTATTTGGTCCACGGCCGCCTCGATGAACCACCCGGGCCCGCCGTCCACCGCGGGGGCCGGGTATATGAAGGCGTCGTTCAGGATGCGGCCTTGCGAATTGAGGAATGCGGCGTACGAGCCTTTCTTTTCGTGATCCAGCGTGTTCATGTTCTGCGTGATGAGGCCCTGGAGGAAGGCCTGGCTGTCTTGCCCCGTGGCGTGGATGAGGCCGCGGTGCTTGAGTCGAGTATAGCCGGCTGCGGGCGGGCGAGCAGGGTTCGCATTTTCGGGAGCGGAAGTGTTGCGATGAACAGTCGTGGAGAAGTAGCGGCTGCGACTGACGCAGCGAGCGCACACCGTGCGTGTTGGGTTGGAAATAATCATTCTTGTGCGGTGACCGTCAAGAGGTCACTTTTGTTCGGCTTAGAAATGTGTAGTAGATACAATGTAGGATATCCGCCGGTAGGCGGTACAGAGTGGCAGAATAGCATATAGCCATGACATAATCCCGCTAGAAAAACGCAAGTTTTGGCCTTGCATACGCGAGTTATGGTGTCATTTAAGGTTGGGAGGGTACATGTAGATGAGAGGAAAAGATCAATATTCGACAGGAAGAGTTACTCAAAATGGTGGCGTGGACCGTAGTTGCACAGTCCTACAAAGCTATCTAATAGACCCTGACAAGCCCCAGGTCCAATAAGCTTCGTGATATTATTTGTTGCCTTTGGCAACACCTTCCAGAAAACCAAGTAGAAACGCCTTGTTGTCTGGCGGAGCAACTTTACTAGAGAGAGAAAGTTGACCGTCCTCCACTCCACTACCGAAAGGCGAGGCGGCAGCAATATTCAGCGGCGTGAGTGGGCTAACGACACCTGAGGCACCCGAGGCCTTTGGTGCCGATGTGCTAAGCTCGGCGGGAGAAACTCCTGGTGAGGCAGGTGCTTTCCCAAAGAGTGACAGCAATGCTTCCCTTTGTGCAGGTGTTTGGCTTGGCCGGCGATCAAAGCTCACTTGAGGCTGCGAATCCCGCCCGGGATTGCCCAGTTGATCACCCGCTTGCTGCTGCTCTTGCTCGTTCGCCTGAGTCTTCAGGGGCAGCAGGTCCACGATGTTGGCGTTATCGGAGCGACGCAGAATCTGAGGCTGGAATGGCTTGGCTGGCTCCGGGGTGCCGGACTTCACAGCGCGATTCCGAGAAGGAGTGCGTGAGGACTGCGAAGACGTCGGCAGTGGGTTCGGTTCCTTCTTGGCAGATTGAGGCCTGGGCAAAATTGTAATGGGAGAAGCGAGAGTCTGTACCTGATCAGACTTCTTGACCCTGCGGGTAGATCCGTTCATTCCTCTTTTAGGGGAGGGTTTAGAAGACGTCATAGGTTGAGGCACGCCTGACAAAGGACTGGGTACTGCTGAAGACTGCCTGGGGTCCTTTGAGGACGAAGGTACTCTTCGATGGGCTGCGGGCTGCCGAGCGGGGCTGTGCTCCCCGCGAGGTCGCTGAAGAATTTGCTTCCTAGGCGGAGACACCGATTGGCCTGGCAATTCTGCTGGTCCGGTGTTTGAAGGGGCAACAGACCCTCTCAGCAAGCTTAGAAGCTGGTCTTGGTGTTGTGATGGCCGCCTGTCATGGGGCTGGACCTTGTCCGACAGCGGGACTAGACTTGCATTGGATGTTTTCGGTGTCTTGCTGGAGTCATCTTTGAACACGTTCAACAAAGCAAGGGAATGACTCGTAAGCTTCGGCGGCGGCAGCTTGCTTGCAGGAGGCACGGTCGCGCCTTGCATATTTGGCGCCTGTGCCGAATGAGAGAATTGCGGATCTCCTGTTTGTTGGTATGGGGCCGGACCAGGAATTTGACTCGGTGGTGCCGTGGACATTCTTGCTTGCATGGGTATATGCTCAAAGAACGGCGGCATTCCGTGATAACCATGTGGAGCGCCTGCCTGACTCAAGTGAGGGGGCGGGGGTTGAGCAAGCGGGGGTGGACCGATATTTGAAGCCGACGGACGAGGTACTGAAGGCTGCGGGAATTGCGTAGCACTAACCGGCAAAGGGCCTCGCGAATGCTGAGCTTGCTGAGGGAACCCTGGGAAAGTGGCTGTATCAGGATAAGGTGGTCCCATTGATGGCAGACTATCTGGAATGGCAAGTGGCGGCAGAGTCCTGTCAGGTTGAGGCACTTGTGGAAGACCATCTTGCGACGAACCACTTCTAAGGAGTTCTAGTAAGGCATTGGACTTCGAGGTGACGGTTCTTGGGTCCTGAGAAGCAGTCGCATTCGCAGGATCATCCTGGATGGGAACGACGCTGTTGATGTTCAATAGACGTTTGAGATGAGATGAAACGTCTTCTGAAGATGCGACTTCTGGCAAATCGCTCGGAGTGGCCAACTGCGCGGGAAGGTGACTAGGCGTAAAGCCATTCACAGCCTGGGATGTCTCATCCATTGACAATTCTCCCTCAGTCTGCACGAGATACCTGGCGCCTGGGTGCAATTTGACATCCATTTTCTTCTGCTGGGCAATCCATTTCTTCAACGGGTGCATGAAAGGCGCGACCATGTAGAACTTGTTTGCATTAGCTACCACGAGTCCTTGCTCTTGCTGTTTGCTCTTCTTGAGTGTCGGCAATTCCGATAGTTTGTACCATTCGATCTTACTGATCTCTTTGCGGGTTCGAGGTTCGAAATGGGCATCCTGTGGCACACCGCGGAATACGTACAGCCTCATGTGCTGTTCTCTCATGGTGATCTCAATGAACTTGGCGTCCTTCTCATCCGGAACGAGTCCGGCCTCGCGTATGTCATAGCCAGTCTCCTCGTAGACTTCACGAATAGCGCAGTCAATGTCCTTCTCACCCTTATTGATCTTGCCACGTGGGAAACTCCAGTTAGCACCCTTCTTCCAGCCTTTGACCAGGACTACTTCGTCCATATCCTGGTTCAGCATAATGGCTCCGCGAACGGGTACACGAGTCTTGTAAGCCAGGAACTCGGAGAAGGCAGTGATATGGTGATAGTGCGACCATTGCGACATCAAAGGACAGTGTTGAAAGATGCGCAACGCGAACGCTTTCAGCGATAGCGACGGAAGAGCCGGATCAAGCGGCCGAATGAAGTCCTCGTAGAACCATTGTGCTTCTTCGACTTGGAAACATATCCGTTCGACGGATTCAAGTTCCTCCCGTGGTAAATTGATAATGAAGCGGACGCATAAGTCATCCAGCCCTGGGGGACCACCGTGTCAGCATGATTCGTGTCAGAGGCGGCGCCGGAGACGGCGCGTCAAGGCCGGACTCACAGTCTTCCAACTGCATTTTTATTTCTGTCATACTGGAAAACGTGGTTTAGCATCTCAACAGAGGTACGTAAGGGCAAATGGCTCTCCAGACGAGGACGGAGAGAGCGCAAGACAGAGAGATGGAGGGGACAGCTCAGCGCGGTCGCGGCTTCAAGGAAGGGTGCTTGGCAAAGCGCCACCCCTGAAGCGTACTTTTGTGAGAGTGAGCGAGACAGGGAATGAGACGAGTCAATGGCTCAAGCGCCTCGAAGAAAGCTAATAGGAAGTTGTGAAAAGTGAAGGAACGAGGAAGGTGACTCTTCTCAGTTCGACACCCGACGACGGCCTGATCAGGTTGGAAGAGAGCTCGGTAAGGACCAATGGTCCGAGGACGGAATCAATAATGGGGAGCCTGAGGGAGGGGGAGAGGGTCCCGCTCAGCCACGCGCCACAAATTGTGGCTGACCCGGAATGACATGTGCTCACTGTGGCTGGTGAATGAATGGCCGTCGTGAGTCGGCGGAAGCTACGTAACAGGGCGGGAGGTCAGCCGATGACGTCGGGGGATTTCGCTCGTGTGTTGCGCCGATCGACGTTGAAGTCAACGACTGGCTGCACAAGCTTTTTAAACCTGCTAATCCTCTTCTACGAGCTGAACTTGCGTTATGTCAATCCAAAATTCTACGAAGATAAATCGAAGATAAAGATATACATCTGAAATATTTCCGAGCAAGAAATAGGGAGCATAACCCGGCGCGCAAACTTTTGGCAGATTTATAGGTTCTGCACCGAAAGCCCCCCTTGACGGTGTTTGCGGCGCGACAACAAGCCATAACGAGCCATGACGACCCAGATTGCATCGCTGGTTGGAAAAAGGATTCTAGCCGAGTCGGCAAGAAACCATTTTGGACAAGAGGTAAGAAAGATTCTCTAGGTGGACAGACAACACTCGTGGCAATTCATGAACTAAAATGTATTGTGTTGTGGCAGGATCCATACTTCGAAGAAGTCCCTGCCTCCCGCCTAGGACGGGCATTCGGCAAGAAGACACAGAAGAGGCGTAAAGCGATACCGCCAGGTTTATCCGATCACGACAAGAAAGTCCTAACGCAGGTCAAGAGAAGGGCATACCAACTGGACTATTCTCTATTCAACTTGTGTGGGATAAGGTTTGGATGGGGAAGTGTGATTGGGCTAGTCCCTTTGTAAGTACTTGCGGTGACGACATCTAAGCTGACCGTCAGAAGCTAACGCGCCGAGAACGCTAGTGCCGGAGATGCTGCTGATGCAGCGCTCGCCTTGATGGTCGTGCGTTCATGCGAGGGTATCGATGGAGGTCTTCCTGCACGAATTCGCATGATGATGATGATCAACGTGATTATCGACTTTTTTATAGGGCTGGTTCCGTTCGTGGGTGACGTTGCAGATGCCGTCTATAAGTGCAATACAAGGAATGCCGTGCTCTTGGAGAAGCACCTGCGAGAAAAGGGAGCCAAAGCGCTTTCAAAGCACGGAGGGGGACCCGATGCACCTGAAGACGCGAGTCTACCCGATGAATATGATCGATATCACGGAAGTGCTTCAGAGGAACCCAGGAGGCATAAAAGTAAGAAGCACTCTAGGACTGACGGACCCGCGGTGCCTGAGCCAGCAAAACATCCACAGAAAAACCGGTCGCAGCGAAGGTGGTTTGGCGGCGCAGCTCCGGAAGATGACGATCTCGAGAGAGGAGTCGTCGACAACACGCGGCCAACCAGGCGCTGACAATGAGGTAGCATGTCAACCCGTAATATGGAAATGAGGATTGGGCCGGGTTTGTTAATGTTGGGGAAGCTTGACGTAATTTCCAGACACCAGATATAATCTGATCTTATGATGTTTATACTGTCGGTCTTTAGCAACTTAGCTCGGGCCGGGATCGAGCACACGCATAACATATCCTGGGAGTCAGGCTGTCCGAGTGAAGGCCTGTGGCCTGTGGCGTGGTTGAAGCTGCATCCTTATTAGACATGAGAGCCCCGCAAAGATTGCATTGATATTCCGCCGAACGCGTGCTGGATGATTGGAGTTTGCTTGCTGTTCTAGTTACGTTCAACATAACACCAGGGTATTTCTCGCCCTGTGTAGTGACATAACGGACCATCAGCTCGTCGATTGACAGATTCTTTGTAAGCGTATTCTCCGAAGTCGGCTGATGGGGAATAATGAGGTCAGCAAGTTCGGGGAAGAAGCTAGCATAGTTGTGCAATTCAACAGTGAACAAGTCCCGAAGAGGAAAATTGTATTCGAGACCATAAGGAGACATGCCATCGCACACCTGCCAAGTCACCGAAGAGCCGCGACCCTTTGCAACATTTGCGAGTGTCTTGGCAGCCAGCTTGCTGTCGGAATCCCCCCACATTATGCCTCGACACTCCATCTTCTTCGCAAAGGCGACAATAAGTCGATTGATAAGGATGTTGTCGACGTCAGCTCTTGAAGTCGCGGTTGAGATAGATGCACGGAAAGCTTCTAGGCGTTCCTGATTAGACAACGAAGCTTGATCCTGGAAACTCGCATTCGCATATTGAGACATAACTTCGCCAATGCTGGGATCAAAATCGAAAATGCTGTAGAACGGAATGGTCGTAAAGGAGCAGTGAGGAAAGAGTTTCTCGGCAGTCTCAAAAGCTTCATCATGCGCAGGTATAGAGGAAATAGTCGAGGGATCGATTGTAAGGACGAGAAGCTCAAAGCCCTTAGGACCATGCGTCTTGAGGCGCATAACTTCAATTTGCTCATGCAACATATGCAGCAAGACCGTAGACGACAGGCCATAGGAAAGTGGGAGTAATAGTCTGCAGGGTTCATCTTGTGGCATATTCTTCCTAAGGCGATAGTTTTCCGTGCGTTTGAATGGCTTGTAGTTCACGAAGCGTACATAGCAGGCTCTGTAAGAGGCGCATTGTCCATCAATCACTGCGGCGCCACTTCGACAAGAGATCGATCGTGAGACTTACTGACAGACATGACGGCCGCGCAGGATGAAGGCAGGCTGCGCTTCGCGGCAGTTCATGCAGGATTCTGGAATTTCCTTGCCCGGCATGGTTGTTGTCAATATTATATCGTCAAACGATACTGTAGAGGTTCCGGCTTTGTCAAAATTGCGGCGATTGCCAGACAAGCAACGGAGAGACGCCGATTAGAAAAAGGCAGGCAGAAATTCTAGGCAGCGCGGGCGGGCTTAGATAATCTCAATCGGCGGGACCGACATCAACACGCGGCTTCCCCGGTTTCAGGTTGTAGCCACGAATTCGTGACATCGCTGCGCTCGTTAATACGCAAACAAGCGTCGCTCACCACCTGGGGACTTTCTTCTGTCTTTCCTCTTGTTATTGACACCCCCCGGCTTTCCTCACCATTGCACCTTCTTATGCTCCAGAACCGTACCTTACCTTTTACGCTCGGCGAACCCGGAGCTTTGTATCGCTAGTAACCCCATCGGTCAGCTCCTATTTATGGTCAGAATGAGAGGGTGGCTTCAAACCCTCGGCTTAACAGCCCTACTCGCAGGACATGTCCTAGGAAATGAAGTTGCGTTGGTGCGTTTCTTTCTTGTCCAACCTCCCGAAGCTCATCTCTAACATTGGGTGCTTTCCAGACACAAGATGAAGCCAGTCGACAACGATGCTCGGGAATGTACAGCCGTAAAGCTTGGGGTGGAAACGCGGATCCCTTTATCCTGACTAAGTTTGTGCAAGACTCGAACGCTGGTGACAGTGATCCTCTTGTCAGTCTGGTTATTTTCGAATGGACCGATGAGAACCTCATCGGGCGGCCTGTACCCGGCGACTCCGAAGTATGTCCCCCGCCCAAGAGTGAGTATCAAGTGAACGTCTTCTCATTGACTGATAAAATCTAGATGATAGAAACAATTTGCGATGAAGCGAGTGTACAAGCCAATCTATGCAAGGAAGATCAGATCGGATCGTTCATCCTTGCTGCGAACGCCACCGAAACCGCCAAGTTTCCCATCATCACCCAAGCTGTGCATCTAAACAACCCGGTCGCCGTCAATTACCCGATCAAGAAGACAGGTTTCTACTGTGTGAGCACATACGGGTATTCTGGGCAGGACTACAAGGCCGTTGTGGAATTCCGAAACTCGTATGGAGAGCTTCCAGCTGCGCAGATTGCGAAGCTGCCCTTCTACGGAGGTTTGACCATTGTCTATGCTGTGGTTGGAGCGTACGTTCTGCGGATTGATCCCGGTGCTTCGAGGATCTGAGCTGATGATTATAGGTTCTGGGCTTTTCTATATGTCCAAAACCGTCATGATATCTGTGAGTGAATAATATACTCTTTGGGGGCCAATTTCAACTAATGTATGGCAGTGCCTGTGCAAAATTACATCACCGCCATCTTGGTTTTCCTGATCGTGGAACAAGCGATGACTTGGGGATTCTATGGTATGTCGAGCCAGTTGCATGTGGTTTGGAAGGTGCTTCTAACATTTCACAGAATACCAGAACGTCCACGGTTTGAATGTTGGTGCAAAAGTATTGATGGTAATAGTGGCCGTCCTAAATGCAGGCCGCAACTCCTTCTCATTCTTCCTTCTTCTTATCGTGTGCATGGGATATGGCGTTGTCAAACCCTCGCTCGGACGAACTATGATCTATGTCCGCGTTCTCGCCATAACTCATTTCGTCTTTGCTGTGATTTACGCTGTCGCAAGTTTGTCTATCACACCTGACAGCGCCGGTCCCCTTGTCCTGCTCATCGTTCTACCGCTTGCTGGAACGTTGACTGCCTTCTACGTCTGGACATTGAACTCACTAAACGCCACCATGAAGGATTTGATCGACCGAAAGCAGAAAGTGAAGGCGATGATGTACAAGAAACTGTGGTGGTGCATCCTTGGCAGTATCATCGTGATATTCGGCTTCTTCTTCCTCAATTCAATCAACTTCGCCGGACACAGCGAAGCAAGCTTTGTGCCCGAGCACTGGAAGACTAGATGGTTTGTCTTGGATGGCTGGCTTAACATTGTCTATTTTTTTGACATTGGGTTCGTCGCGTACTTGTGGCGGCCCACTGCCAACAACCGACGCTTCGCTATGAGTGATGAGGTGGGTTCTTGCTGTGAACGAAATGATTACGAGATTATCGCTGACAACATGCACAGATCGCCCAAGACGACGATGGTTTTGAGATTCGATCTTTCGGTAGTGCCTTGGACGAGGAAGACGCCCTTGGTGGCCTTGAAGAACATTCTGCCCATGAGCCGCGTCGCGATTTGTCGCCCATTCCGCCTAAGCCCGTTCCTTCCGCGTCACGCCCACGGGAGTCACTTGATGGAGAGACTATCTTCGCAGTGGGCGAGGACGGTGATAGATGGTCGGATGATGAGGACGAATCGCCGCGCAATTCGAGTGAGCGACAACGCCTCACCGGCAAGCACTAGATGGTAATATCGACTCTTCGACCGGAGAGCTCGAGGCTGCGGTGTGGACGTTCGTCTGGGCGTCGAAGTCAATTGTCGGTGTGTAGGATTGGGGGCTCAATGTCGCTTTAATCTGCTTTAAGGCATATCACGGCGTTTGGCTAAGGAGAATTCCCCGTGAGTTTCGTTTTTAGCCTTTAATTTCTTGTTCAATGATGATGGATGAAGTATTTTCTTGTTACATAGTGTATAAAGTTTGTCTGATTCTAGTTCAAAATGAAAACTCTGCGTTTCAGGATATGCTTGAAGATGCACAGTTTGGTTAGCCATCAGGTTTATACACGAAGAATATAGAAGTAAGAGACACTTTTTTTCTCGATCGAGTGGCCTCGGCCCTTGCAGCAAGGCGCCGCAGCTCGCGGTATGATTTAGCCCTGAAAACAGCCATCCCGCCAAGATCTGACCGTGAGCAGCCATTTCTCATCCCTGCCAACGACGGACAATGATATATACACCCATGACTCAGACCTAGCTAGTGTCTCAAACCTTCCACCTTCTTCAAAAGGAACCTGTACCGAAAGGAACCCACGACAGATACTCTCTCTCAACTGCGACCCAAGCCACCTACAGTTACCAAACCTCCACCCCGCCGCCGCTGCCGCAACCTCCGACTCACAACTTACACAAACCCAACACGAACACCACAATCACTCCATATACCACATAGAGTTGCCAAACACACGAAACGAGCCACCATCTGCCCTGATTCTCCATACACCACTGAGCCATAATGTCAACGGACAACTCAACCGACCCCTCCCCACCACCACCAAGCAACCGCACCCTCTCCGCCTCCCTCGTCACCCGCTGCCGCACCCTCCTCTCAGACCTCGACGCACTCCAATCCCTCCTCGCACAGACCCAACGAAACCCCCAGATCGTGGAGGTGCGTTCCCTGCGCTCAAGCGTGCTTTCCGAGCTGCGCACGCTCGAGAAGCTCGATGCGCAGGTACAGGAAGTGGAAGCTGCTGCAGCTGCAGCTGCTGAGGGCTCAGGAACCTTTGATGATGACATCGGGACACGGGACGAGGTGCGCTCGCGGCTAGGCCATGCGCTGCGGTCGTCGAATCTGCCGTTCTATGAGGCTGTGTGGGCTATTGCGCGGGGGTCGTGTTCGGGCTTGGTGGCGTTTGGGAAGAGGTTCTACTGGGGGTCTGGGGCTGGGGATGGGGAGGGGAAGGATGGTGCTACGGGCAAAGGGGGCATGGGAAAGAAGAGGGCGAGTCGGGATAAGAAGAAGAGTGTGTTTGTTGATATTGTGGCGGATGATGGGGAGGAGTGGGTGAAGGTTTCTACGATTTCGGAGACGAGGTTGTTGTTTGAGATGGCAAAGAAGGGGTGGGAGGCTGATGGGTCGGAGGATGAGGATGGGGATGCGGGTGGTCAGCCCAGGACGGTGTTGCGGAATTATGCCAGTGGGGATGGGGGTGAGGGTGAGGGGGATGAGGACGATGATGACGATGAGATTGAGCTCGTTAAGCTGGCTAGGGATATGAGGAAAGCGGCGGATGTTACGAGGGTCAGGTATAAAACGCCGCGGTTGCGGTTTGTCATCCCTAAGATAGAGGAGGGCTCGAGTTCCGAGATTGATGGTCTATTGAAGATCATACGCGGGTATGGAATTGATGTGAGTTGTGGGGGGAATGTATATTCTTCTTCGCAGGGCGAGCCCACGCAAGCCGAGACGCTGGTCCGGCTGCTTCCTAAGCCATTCAAGCGTTTCACTCCTACCCTGAATGTGGACTGTACATTGCTGCTGGCGGCCGTCTCGGACCTGTCGCATTACAAGGATATCGCCCCGTCCCCCGTTCATCACACAGCCATCAATCGCCAGATTGATATCGAACATACCCGCCCGCTGCTCCCCACCGAGTTGTGGCCCGCCGTGGTGGGACACGATCTTGTCTGCACAAAGGAGGCTGCCCAGAGAATGCAAGAGATTGTCAACATCATTGGTACAGAGACCGAGAACCAGCGCATGAGGATACTACTAGGGGAAGGGTCGTTTGGTGACTGTAACCGAGAAGAACTCATTCAAGCATATCAGAAGCTATCCGATTATGAGATCCCTGCTGACTGGAAGCTCCCCGTCATGACAGTCGATGCGGCGCCGATAATTGCCTCTGCGAAGAATCTGGCCAAACTTCCGCCTGTCTATGAAAAGATCGAGAAGGTGCTGTCCGACATCAACCATAGCGTGTTCTTGTATGGATGGGCTGCCGGTGTGGTAACGATATCAAGTAATCGCACGGTGGTCAAACAGATCGAGTCCATCGTTGAGAAGAACAGGGGAACGGACGATAGTCTGGAAGGGCCTGCGATCTGGGTGTGCGATACAGCGAGGAGTTTGATAGGGAAAGAAAAAGGCCGCAAGGAGTAGATGGGATCACTGGGACGTTTTAGAAGATAGATCGATGGGCATAGAATCATATAGAGCCATACCAGTCATTAATCTCTTCTTTGGCAGCGATCCAATTGCTGAGGATCGGTGTATTACGAGAATGGTCATTGCCATAGTGCTTCGCAAGGAACTCCCACCACGAAATCATGAGAGTTCTTGAACCTTTATTTCTCAGAGGAACGGGAGTTGTCCTCCGGGAGCCAGAACACAATCTCTTTATCGGCGGATGCCAACATGTTGTAGCGGGGGTTGTATTCTACCATGGCGACCCGACCACGGTGAGAAAGCTTTGTCATGGGCTGCAGAAAGCCGTTGGCATCAGGAGTCTGCTGGAGGTCCCATACCAAGACGTCCGGGTGATCTCCAGAGCCTCCGATGACATATCGCCCATCTGGCGAAAAGCATGCATCTCCCTGTCCGAGGGGCTTGCCAGTTGTGGAAATGGGCGCAGCTCGACCGGGGGATCCAGCTTTGCCAACCAAGAATGCTTTCAACGAACCTTCAAAGGCATCGAGGATGAAGTGTCCATGGTAATCCGTCCCCACAAGCAAGTATTTTCCGTCGTTCGAGAATTCAAGCCGGGTCCAAGCCCGCCCACGCGTTGACGGAGTGTATCGCTCTTCGTGGGGCGCAAGATCGAAGGTGGAGAATGGAGACTTGTCGTAGTTGCGGTAGTCGTACAGCAAGATGGAAGATGTAGACTGGGATGCAACTGCAATGACTGATGCCGACGGATCAAATGCAACGAGGTAGGGTGTCGCAAGATTTAGCCTTCCCTGGGCGTTTCTAGAGCCAAGATCCCAGAGCGCGATGGTATCGTCCTTGGAACACGAGATGAAGGAGTCGCCGCCAGGGGACAAAGCCAAGCAGGTGACCTTGTCAGTATGGCCTGAGAAATACCTGACATAGCCTTCATTATGTAGGTCAAGCAATCGCAGTGAGTCTGAGAGGATGAGCTTCGGATCAAAACATGCGGTTCGCGGTATGAGACGTACCGTCCAGCTTGGTGCTAGCATGGAGAACCTGACGAGAATGGTGTGTGAATCTCGCCAGATGAGCTCCGTACTTCTTGCTAGGAACTGATTTCGTAGACTTGCCCTCCTTGATGTCGAAGACTTGAATGGTGTCGTCGTCGCCGGAAGCCACCAAGTAGTCACCTTGGTCATCGAAATCCAACGAGGTCACATAGTTAGCAGTATCCTGCTTTGGAGGCCGGAATGCCTAGAAGGCAGACAATACGTTAGAGAGGCAGGCATTACAGTGTAGTAATTTAAAGACTAACCTTGGTCGGGCGAAAGCTACGAATGATGTCCGACACTTTTTGGGTCTGGAGCATTGGCTGCTGCGCCTGCTGCTGCGCCGCCGGCTGCGATTGCACTTCCGTCATGCTTGCTGTGTTCAGATGAGGCAGGAAGCTATCGCGGCGCTGATAGTGAAACCGAAACAATTGCTTGTCTTATGTATGATACAGAGTCAGAGATGTACGCTCATGTAGCTTGAATTGTGCTGCCCTGAGATGCTCTGACCAGAGCTTTATCGACTGGCAAACGCGCCATGACTAGCCCGTTTGTCGCGTTTGAAGCTCTTTCGAAATAACATTGTTCCGGCCGGCCGGTTATATTCGGGGTCTGGTTTGCTGACCTCAGCGATCGCCGATGGTCGGAGGCTCCGCGCGGAAATGCGGCATGTTGGCCAATGATAGCCTGCAGGATCCGAGCCAAATCTCCAAGTCGGACCCCGGTCAGATTGCAGTGCCCGCATGGATTGTTCACGTTGGCCTGCTCCCTGGATCGGCGAATAATGTCTGACTGTGTCACCGTTCTTTTTAAAACTCCTGCTCCTCGAGATCCTCACCTCACCTCCTGAAGATCTTGTTTCCTGTTGTACAGTCAGATTTTCCCGCTATCCCCACAGACTCTAGCCTTCGCAGTCCCTGCGCAGAGACCAGTCGATTCTCCCCGCGAGCGGAGACGATCCTTGAACAGCCATGTCAACGACGACAGGGTTTGTCGCACTTCACACAACGAATTCGCCATATTTGCGATCGCGCTGACTCAAGCGATCTTCTTCCTAGAGCCTTCCTCGCCGGAGGTGTTGCAGCATGTGGAGCAGTCACAGTCACTCACAGCTTTGAGACCGTCAAGATCCGGTATGACCACCCTCATGCGGCCCTCGCTCTCTGCGCGCGGGTCGCAGCTACAGGACAAAAAGACTAACACACTTTGTTCGCTAGTTTACAATTGCAAGGAGAATTGCAATCGAAGAGCGACGCGGTCAAGAAATATCGTGGTGTGTTCCACGGTGTCAAGGTCGTCCTGCAGAATGAAGGCCCGCGCGGCCTGTTCCGAGGAATCGGCTCTGCCGTAAGCATCGCGCGCTCTCACGAACAAGATGTCCCATCATCTAACGACTGTCTCAGTATATCTATCAAGTTCTCCTGAACGGTTGCCGTCTCGGGTTCTACGAACCTCTGCGCGGATCCATCACAAATGCGGTCTACAAAGACTCCCAGGTTCAGTCCCTCGGCATAAACGTCTGCGCCGGTGCCGCCTCGGGTATCATTGGTGCCGCCATCGCTTCACCATTCTTCCTCGTCAAGACTCGTCTCCAATCCTTCTCGCCCTTCCTCCCCGTGGGTACGCAGCACAATTATCGCAACTCCTTCGATGGTCTGAGCAAGATCTATAAAACCGAGGGAGTGAAGGGGTTGTATCGTGGTGTCGGCGCGTCTATGGTGCGAACGGGTTTCGGTAGCTCGGTTCAGCTGCCGACTTACTTCTTCGCCAAACGTCGCCTGACGAAGCATCTTGGTATGGAAGACGGGCCAGCTCTGCACTTGGCTAGCAGCACAGCTTCCGGCTTTGTGGTTTGCTGCGTGATGCACCCTCCTGGTATGTTTGAGCCATATCGCGAACTGCCGATTACAGCCTAGCTGACCTTTTTGCCAGACACGGTCATGTCGAGAATGTACAACCAGACCGGTAACCTATATAAGGGCGCACTGGACTGTCTGTTTCAGACTATTCGCACTGAGGGCATTCTCGCGATCTACAAGGGTTATTTCGCTCACCTTGCGCGTATTCTGCCCCACACTGTAAGTCAAACGCCGTGGTACATGAAGATTGGAAGCAGAGTGCTAATTGATTTTCCAGGTCTTGACCCTCACTTTGGCCGAACAGACCAACAAATACATGCGGAGACTTGAGGACCGGTTCCTCTCGGATTCGCTCAGGGCCCGACTGTAAATAGACGACATTCATTCAGCGGCATTGGCATAGCTATAGAAGCATTTTGGTATATTTGATCAGGGGTTATAGGGTCGACTTATAGCGTGTCTTGGCTCGGCTCGTTGTGTACATAAGGCGTTTCAGCTCGGATAGTCGCGTCACCTTGGATTGCATAGACCTCGAGGCAAGATAAATTTAGACCATCTCTATTCAAAGTGTTCAGATTTCAGATGAATTCAGGCGTAGGTCGGCAAAAGCCTAATCGCGTGAGCGAGGGAGGCATACGTTATTAGACAGTCACAGACGCGACGACGCAAACAGCTCCATGTGGACGCTAGACAAAGTGTTGGACCTCATGTGGGCCTTCAAGCAGCACCCAATGTTTAGCCCGCCCCAGTCTAGACCAGGGTTGTCGGGGATGACATCTTCGCAGCATCTTGCTTCCGTCGGATCAATCGCCCGAAACACGACGCGTCGTGCCGACACAGGCTTGTACACACGGCAACCTATGTAACCATATTCTAGCCAGAATATTGTAGCGTTCTCCTTACTTTCATTCCATTTCCCAAATTATATAACCCATCATAGATAGCTCATGTATTATTACAGAGCAGGGAAGAGCACGACCCCAAGCATCAATAGCCAGCACACGGCAGACGCGTTCCGGACTTGCAGGACGTCATCACCAAGTGGACGAAAACAACAACCTTGCCTGAAAACCCACTATTTACGGTTTTAATACTCACCATGGAATCTAGATTGGGGCCAGGCTACCACAACAGGATAGGCAGACGTACTGAAGGGCCCCAGAGAACTCCCGTAATTCCGTGGTGGACCGTAGCAGCCAGAGTGTGTCTCCGTGTGGATTGCAAAAAAGGCCGACGCGTCGCGTTCTTTCGGTGAGCACTGAGCACGGACACCAAACCTGGGAAAATTTCGTCTCGGATTTAAGCCAGTGGGGATCGGCGGCTGAGCTCAGCTTGATTGATTGCTCAGGATGCCGTAAAGCTGCCTAAGCAACTGCAGTCATCTGTAAGGTACGGGGATCTGGTGAGGGGTCCAGGCATGAGGAGTGATCATAGAAGTTGGTTATTCAAGACCATGGAATGCCTGCTTTACAGCATTGGAGGTAGCAACTTCGAGGGCATCATCAATGAGTAGGCGCGAGGAGTTCGATCGCGTCAATCCGATCAGATAAGATAGGGACCAGTAATAAACCCCGACAAGGAATAGTGCGACGTAACGCGAACACACTAAAATACGGAGTTTGAGCGGCAGAGACCAGCGCAATCTGTGCCGTTCCAGGAATGTGGAGAGAGCTTGCAAAACTTGATGCAGACGCTGGAACAGTGGAGTTCTAGAGCACCGGATGGGCTACTGGCCGGTGGTCTGACTGGAGTAAAGCAATGGTTCATGGATCAGCGGCAAAGCGAAATTGGAACGAAAGACGTGTAGACGCGACGGACATCAACAGACTGGGCCCGCTTTGTCCGGAACAACCATTCTTCCAGCCAGCCACCGGGGCCCGAGTCGCGCCAAGTCACGTGCGACGGGCTAGGTCACGTCGCGCTAAGGATCACGCTTCTCGTTCCATGCAAGTATTTCTTGTCCCCGACGCCCTCCTCTGCACTGCTCATTCTCTTTCCTTCCAGTCCATCACGATCAATTGTCTGGCGTGTTGCTGTGTCGGTGTTAACCATTGTCTCTGTCTTTGTCTCAATCATCTCTTACACATTCACAATGTCCGCACAACTCACTCCCTCCAAGCAGGTAGGTGATGTCACGTCTTGCCTCCCCCGGTCGACGCGTCGACTCGAGCAATCCAGCTAATTAAACTTGGTGAATAGGCTGCTTCCTCGCTTGAGAACCTCAAGATGAGCGACTCCCCCGTCAAGAAGCTCAATTTCAACCCCGTGGGCAAGGAGAACGCTCCAGCCACTGTCGACGTCCCTGCCGAGAAGACCGTTGCCGAGAAGCCCGCCGAGGCTCCCAAGGTCGCTCCTGGTATCAAGGAATTCGAGGTCAATGAGCCTCTTCTCCAGGAGAACCCTCACCGTTTCGTCCTCTTCCCCATCAAGTACCACGAGGTTAGTCCGACACGCCCACTACGCGTTACGCGTAAAGTGGTTTTTTTTCTTTCTCCCTCGGGTGTCCCCACCCGCGTCGAGACTAGTGCACTAACGTGTAATTTTCGCGTTCCACAGATCTGGCAGATGTACAAGAAGGCCGAAGCCTCTTTCTGGACCGCCGAGGAGATCGATCTCTCCAAGGATATGCACGACTGGAACAACCGTCTCAACGATGACGAGCGCTACTTCATCTCTCACGTCCTTGCTTTCTTCGCTGCCTCCGATGGCATTGTCAACGAGAACCTGGTGGAGCGTTTCAGCGGAGAGGTTCAGATTCCCGAGGCTCGTTGCTTCTACGGTTTCCAGATCATGATGGAGAACATCCACTCCGAGACCTACTCCCTTCTCATCGATACCTACATCAAGGAGCCCAAGCAGCGCAACTACCTTTTCGACGCCATTGATAACAGTATGTGCATTGCGCTCGAAACGTGATTGGACGTGGATGCTAACGTGCTGCAGTTCCCTGCATTCGCAAGAAGGCTGATTGGGCTATCAAGTGGATCCAAGACCGCGAATCAACTTTCGCCCAGCGCCTGGTCGCTTTCGCTGCCGTTGAGGGTATCTTTTTCTCTGGCTCTTTCGCCTCTATCTTCTGGCTCAAGAAGCGTGGCTTGATGCCTGGTCTCACCTTCTCCAACGAGTTGATCTCCCGTGATGAGGGTCTCCACACTGACTTCGCTTGCTTGCTCTTCTCCCACCTGAACAACCGCCCCAGCAAGCAGATGGTCGAGGACATCATCGTTGAGGCTGTTGGCATCGAGCAAGAGTTCCTGTCGGACTCTCTCCCCGTTGCCCTGCTCGGCATGAACGCCAAGCTGATGTGCCAGTACATCGAGTTCGTGGCCGACCGGTTGTTGGTTGCTCTTGGTAACAAGAAGTACTACAACTCGGCCAACCCCTTCGACTTCATGGAGTCGATCTCTCTTGCTGGCAAGACCAACTTCTTCGAGAAGCGTGTGGGTGACTACCAGAAGGCCGGTGTCATGGCCAGCACGAAGAAGAAGGAGGAGGAGGAGACCAGCGCCTCGGCCGGTGGTCTCAACTTTGACGAGGACTTTTAGAAGAGTGATGCCACGATATACCCGGTTGTCGGCACCAGCCATGGCTACGAATAATTCTTGTTCTGTTTTGTGTTATGAAGCTCTGAGGTTTACACGCATGGGATTGGCGTTGGATGGGCGGATTTCTTTTTTCTTTACTTGTATCTAGCTAGGAATGTACATTGTTGGATAACTATTACTGACGCTTCTGTCGTAGACGTTGTAATCAGGCCTTTCCTTCCAGCTTCCCAAGCATCTCAATCTCAGGCCAAGTTGAGTTAAGCGATTCCGGGGGAGAACCCCCGGACCCCCCTTCCCTTTAGCTTCCTGGGAACCTCAAGCTCAGGCCAAGTTGTGTAAGCGATTCCGGGGGAGAACCCCCGGACCCCCCTTCCTTTCAGCTTCCTGGCCACCTCAATCTCAATACTATACCAGAGATAAGACCTACAAAACATCACAAAACCACACGGGTATCATTTCCACGCGTTATCAACAACCAACCTCACCCCACCCCTAGCTCTGCTAGATACAAGCTCCCCAATGTAACAGACTGACTAGAATTTACCGCCTCCCCTTGCCCCCCTTCTTCTTCCCCTTCCCACCTTTCCCGGGCCCCTCATTCCCCCCCTCCCCAGCCCCAGCAGGAATAAGAGAGGGAGGCGCATCAACCATCTCCGCATCCCCCGCCCCCGCCCCCGCAGGAACTGCACCAGCACCCCCCAACCCCAACGCCTCAACATCCGCCCCGGCCGCTAACTTCCCCAGCGAGGTGATCAACCGGCCCACCTCGGCGCCCTTGTTCGTCCGGTACTTTAGGCAGATTCCCGAGCCGGCGTGGAAGGTCTTGAGGGTCAGGGTGGCTATTCTGGGTTTTTCTTCTGTTGGTGGTGCTGTTGTTTGGGATTCCGGTTGGGGTTGTGTGGTGGCTTTTTGGGTTTTGGGTTTGCTTGCGGGGAAGGTGTATTTTGTTGTTATTCTCTATCAATTGATCATGTTCGTTAGTTTGGGGTGTGCTGGGGTGTGTTGGGCCAGGGAAGTATTGGGCTTGGGCTGGTTGGAGGGTACTGGGATGATCATGAGGTATTTGGTAGAGGTAGGCTTGCAGCCTGACTCATCAGACTCATGGATGGCACGTACCGCATCGGGATATGCTTGTAGCAGGAGCGCGGATTGCTCCAGGTAGGCTTGTGGGGTGGGGAGGTAGGGCATTTTTGGATTTGTAGGTGGTTGCGCGTTGATGGGTTGCGGATGTTTCGATTGTATGCGCTGCTGGCAATTGAGGACAAGGTCGGTGTAAGTGTGTGCTTGGTGCTTGGTGTGTGTGGTTGTGGTTGTGGTTGTGGCTGGGTTGTGGTAGGTGTGTTGATGATATCTGCTAATCGCGGTGGGTGGTTTTGCTCCGTTCGGAGGTGCTGGTCTTGTCCGGGCGGTGAGGGTAGATCCGATTTGCCGGTGGTGGTTGATAGCTTGGGTCAACGATGGAGCAATTATGATTTATGCTATACGAGGTATGCTGCAGGGTTGAAGATGGCAGACCTTGAACCAATGTCTCTGCGACGAGTCTAGGCGAGTCTCACAATATAAACAAGCATGCTAAACAGGAGTGCTCAAATTGTTCGTCATTCGTCCCTCGTACCTACTGTACCCTGTAGGCTCTGTATAACCTCTATCGTACAGACATACAAACTAATTACATCGAATAATATGCATAATATACCATGCTCCGAGCACCTGTCCATCTACACCGATGAAGTCAAGCTATGTGATCGGATGCGCGCATCTCACGCAGACCAGCCGTTGTCTCCCATTGCGCCCCTTGGTCGCCCGGAAGTTGGTGCCCGCACAGTTCTCGCATCGCAGCACTTCTCCGTCCTCGCCATCACCGTTCGACGACCCGTAGTCGCTGCTCAGCGTACTGCCCAGGCTCATGTTGCGTTCTCCGGGAACCGCCAGATGATTCGGACTGGGCAGCCCGCTTCCGCTGCTGGGTTTACGCTTCTTCCTCATCGCTAGCGCGTCGCGCGCAATCTTGTTGTAGAACGCATAGCTTTGCTCGCCCTGCAGCCACAGCGGGTTGTCCTTGTCGCCGCTTTTGGCGAACATGGTCGTCGAGGCCGGCGGCGTCTGTGGCCGAGCCGCGCCGTTGGCCAGAACGCGGGAGGTATCTGCGCTCGATCGCCCGCTGTCCATGGACTGTTTGTAGGAGGATTGAGGCGGCGAGGTAGTAAAGACCGAGCGGGAATCCGGCCGTGCCGCGCTGGACGATGCCCGTCCGGGGCTGAAATACCCCGATGGACCCTCGCGGACGGACTTATGCGGAGAGGGACTGCGGGTGCGTGGAGTCCGCATCCCCGATCGGCTATTGCTCGTGCCGTGACGGATGACCGAATTACGCCACGAGATAATGCGCTCCGATGGCGTTTTGTGCGTCGAGTCCTTTCCGGTGGAGGATGCGATGCTGTGCCGGGCTGAGTTGGTGCGCCGCAGAATCCGTCGTGAGATGGTCGAATGCGCGTCCCAGTTATCGTATCGCCGCTTCTGGTAGGCACAATCCTGTCGCAGAACCTGAATCTTGCCTGAATAATCGGCCACAATCATGATGTTCCCGTCCGGATGCGTTGATCGCGCCAAATACGCCGGCGACTCTTGCGCCAATTTGCTGGCGCCCGAATTGCGATTCGCTCGCCCATTCTCTCGGTCTGTCTGACTGACAAGGGTCACTGGCGGTGGGTTGCAGACGTCAAAGATTGGATCCTCGGCGAATCCAAGAATCTGTTTCGTTTTCGTGGGCGCCATGATGGCGGCAGTGACCATGGCTGACTGTGTATCAAATACCTCCACGGCTCGTTTGTCGGAGTCCTTCTCGATCGAATCGGTAGGCCACAGATATGTTCGGCGATCTTCACTGCCACAGATGATATGTTTCCCGTCGTTGCTGAAGGAAGCGCGAATCTGGCTGCAGGTATTCTCATTACCACGGAACTTGGCCTCCAGCGTCCTGTCGCGGAAGTTGTACATCCGAATGCGGGAGTCGTTGCTGGTAATCAACAGTTTCACCTCGCCATTAGGGTCGCCGCATGGCAAGATCCTTGTGTCGATACCAGTGATCTTACTGCCCTTTGCGTTGCGACCACGTGCGGAGCGAACGTGGATTTGGCCGACGACCTTTAACCCATCTGTTTCGTATATATTACACAACCCATTGAGACTTCCAGCGATTGAGTAGCGCCCGTCGGGTGTGAAGGCAACGGCTGTGACCATGTCTGGCACGGTGGCTACAAAGGCCACGCTCTTATCAGGAATACTCCACAATCGCAGCTTGTTGTCCAGTGACCCTGCCAGGAAAAACCGATCATCTCGCGGGTGAAATTGTATTGATGTGACAAAGTCGCTATGCTTGAAACAGCAGAGACACTCCGGTCGGCTCACATGCCAAAGGCGGACAGTCTTGTCCATCGACGAGGAGAGCAGGAAGTTATTCTAGTCTCCTGGGTTAGCACCGATTTGAGTTCGCACGTAGCAATAGACCGTACCTTGCTCCAACTGAGATCCAGCACGCTTCCCGTGTGGCCTTCGTAGACCTGGACTGGCCGGGATTTGAACACTTGCGCATTCAACCGTGGAGGAGCGTCGTCGCCATCGCCCGCAGGCTCGGCCGGATCGCGGTCCTCCGGCGAGCCAACGACTTGCCACACGCGCACTTTCCTGTCCTGGCCGGCGGCTGCCAGGTACTTGCCATCATTAGAGAATACGAGCGCCCAGATCGCCTTGCCCGTGTTGCCCTCATTGGGTCCTGCTGCTGCTGCTGACACAGAAGCATCCTTGTCTGAGCCCCCCACGGCACCACTCGCACCCTCAAGCTCCTGCGCCACGAAGACCCGACTGAACGTCTTCTCTTTCTTGTAGTGTGCACGCACGCGGATGTACTTCGGAGGCGGCGGGAGTCGGGGAAAGAATCCTATCGGCTGCGAGGCGGCATCGGTATCCATGCGAGCGGTTTCCGGCTCGGAGACATCGTCCTCGTAATCATAATATTGGTCCTTCTTTTTCCCGGGAATGATCCGACTGAGAAATGAGACACCTTTCCTGTTGATCGGGAGGGTCGATCGATCAGCAAGCTTATTCCGTCAGGTCCGGAGGGGAAAAAGCAATGTGAGCCGCATGGGGAATCTTGCGGGGTAAAGAGGTCTGCTTATAAGGAAAGGCGCACTCACTTCTTCTCCTTGGACAACTTCGGGTGCATCGTCGTGTCGCCTCGAATGGAGGCATGGTCTAAGGAGCCACGATGATCACCTCCGCCCGCTTCCGCTTCGTGGGAGGCCCGACCCAATAGCTTCAGGGGGATAGACTTGTGGGTGTTGGTGCGCTTGATGATATGCTATCGGCAACGCACGGTCAATCAGCCACCTAGACATCTAGACCACGAAAACAAGCGCAGCAGCCTTACTTGTGATAACGGATCGATGGCGCTCGAGTCGGTTGTCGATTGGTAGACGGTCGGAGAGGAGGCGGCGTTTTTCACGGAACCATTGCTGGGATACTGTATGGTATGAGAGTTTCGTTTGCCATCTTGTTGGGTTCCATTCGAGGCTGAAGTGAAATCCGAAGCGCCAGAACCTAAGGCGAAGAACAGAACGAGTCCGAGTCAGCAGGTGATTGATGGTCGAGTCGGTCAGTCCGGAGAGGGGGTCTCGTGACTGGACGGGACATACCGATCGGAAGAGTTTGGGAAGATCGGATCAGGCTGGGTCTGGAGGCATTGGGACTCTGATCGCCGCAATTGTTGAAGACGGTGGGGCTATTGCTCGTATTTGTTGTGCTGGTGGTGGAGGTCTCGTGAATAATAGGAATGGAGGAGGAAGAAGAAGCGTTGCTGGTGACGATGGCGGGAATAGTCAACGCCCGCGACACCGCAGGTGGTGGTCGCATTCCCTCCGCCATGGCCATGGTCCGGGTGTCGCCGGGAGCGGCGCATGAGACTGGAGAAGACTGGAGGAGACGGAAAGACGGAAAGACGGAAAAGACAGATTGCCCGGAGGTAGGGGTAAAAATAGGGTGAGAATGTACAACTAAATCGAAGGGAAATCAAGAAGAACTGGGAGAGGAGGCAGTGGAAATTCAAGGATTCAAATGGAGATCCGCGGGATGGCCATGGAATAATTAATTAATTGAAGGTGTCCGGATGAATTGCGCCGGGGTTAACCAGTTGCTACTACTAAGTACTGTACTAACCAGGGGATGACATCAAACAGGGTCTTTTTCTTCTTACGGCTTCTCCGCTAAGGAAAGGCTTGGTTGGGTCGAGACTCCAGAATCCATGGATGGCCGCTAGAGCGGTCTTGCCACGGTCAGGCCATCCATGGGGTTCTGTCCGTCTCAGACACGAGTATACTGAGTAATACTCGTAGATGACTGGCCTCATAAGTTCATCATTCTCAAACTGAGTACGTTCTCCACCATGAGCTCGATCGGAAAGTGTGGAGAGAACGGAGTCAAGCAGAGTGATAATCGAACGTCAGGGTGTTCTCCAGTTAATATCAGGCACAATGCGTAATTGCTTCCTTGGCAACGGCAACCATTTAAAAAAACCCTACTGTACCAAACACATGGCCGCCACAGCCACCACCCCCTTCTTTTCTTCCCTCCGCCAATCGACTCTTTCCCCCTCATCCGATATCAGAAGATTGGACCCGTGGGTGGTTACAGCCCAGCGTCGCATCAGAACGGTTAATCTTGACGACTGCTTGGCCAGAGGTTAATCATCATCATGAAAGGACCATAACATGTCTTGATAAGAACATCTGATCTCGTGTCTTTTTCTATTTCTACTAGTCAAATTCACTATCGTGCTTACAAACCGGATATACACGGAAACAGGAAGCAGACCAGACCAGCCTGGCGCCCCTCTCACCCTCTCCCTGCCAACTCTACCACTTTTACGCCACACTGCCCATGTTGTCATTTTTGGCATATGCCACTTGGTAAACTGTATACCAGGGCCGTTGAAATAACCCGTCCAGGGATTCCAGAGACCGTCCAGTCGTGTCCTGAGGGAAGTCAGCAACTCCACCCGCGTGCAATTGGTAGAGACAACACAACCACAACCACCATAGGAAGACACGTACCGGCATCGCAAAGAACACATAAATTAAGGAAAGAAAGCACATGCAGGCGAAAAAGGCAAATGCGCCCCATTGTTGCATCACCTCCAGCATATCAGGAGTCGCCCGGGAACATCCGAAGAAGAAGGCCCAGTGAAAGGCCATGCCCATCGAGACAGCCAGCGATCGGATGCGGATCGGATACACCTCTGCCCCGATAAGATACGGCATGCCATACCACCCGATGTTCCAGCCCACCCCGTGGATGAATATCGCGGCCACCGCCGCCGTCGAGGCCTGTGACACGCTGGGAGTCTCAGCGATGTGCGCGGCGGTCATTGTGCTTGCAATGCCCAGGTAGCATGCCAAATAGACCAAGGTGGTGATCTGCAGGGTAATGCCTGTCATCAGAGACCTCCGCCGCCCGATGAAATCAATCACCAGTAACGAGAATATCAGGCAGCTGATGAACTTGACCACGGCATAGAGACCGGTCGCTAGCGACGCCGTTTCGTCCGGGATATTCAAGTAACCGAAGATCGTCGGGAGATACTGAGTGATGGCGCTTGCCCCGGACCATTGAGAAAATAGGTGGCTCATGAAGACAAGCAGAAACCGCCGGCGGTTTTCTATGGGAATTAACAGCTCCTTCACCAGATCCCACTGCGTCGATCCCACAACAGCCTCCCGCTCGTACAGAATCTGTGACTCCATGATCTGGATGTCAGCCATCACCTCCGTATGGCCATCCGGCAAGCCGCGGAGTCGGGATACCGTGGCGATGGCTTGTGCTCGCCGACCAACGTAGAGTAACCAACGAGGAGATTCCACACAGAGAAACGTCCCGAACCCCCAGATCATGGCAGGCACTAATTGAAGAAGTGTAGGAAGCATCCACTGCCGATCATGTCCCGCGTATGCCTTGGTGATGCCATAGTTGAAGAAGAAGCCGAACACAGTCCCCAGCTGTTGGCAAGTGGAGTACTGGATCGCAAGAAGTCCTCGGATTCGCTTGGGTGCAATCTATTAATCGGATGAGCCCGCGCTTTCCAGGATACGGTAAAACAGAATCCGCTACCTCTGAAATGTACATGGCCGGAACCACGGTGATGCCTCCACTACCGAACCCAGCGATGAATCTCGACGCGTAGAAGGCCGACAGATTCCCACGGCTGAGGCCCTGTCCCACAACACCTGCTGCATAGATCAATGTTGATACCCGCAAACTCCACCTCCGCCCGAGGCGATCATTAACTGGCAAGCACTAGGTGAAACTCGTCAATGAGTCAGTCGCTCGTGGACGGAAGGAGGTCGGCTCACTGCTAGGCAGCCGAAGATCGCCCCAGCGGTAAAAATCGATACAATCCATCCTTTCGTGTCGGCATATTCATCCGGTGATTGTTCATCGACCCCGAACGCCACGCGAAATTGCGACTGCACGACAAGACATGCGATGTTCGCTGAGGGGTTAGAGGGTTGAGATATAGATGGTGGACCTTGTTCTCTCACCTTCGTCGAACCCCTTACAGATCCCTGCCAACGCGAAGACGATCGTATTCATCAACAGAAATGAGTTGATGGACCATTTTGAAGGCTCCTTCAGAGCGTGGCTTGTTTCTGCAATGAGCCCCATGGTTGCTCTTCGATCTTCTCCCTTCTGAGACTCCGGATATGGTTCACTCGCGCGCAATATATACAATGTATCCCTTTCCAGGGGCGCAAATATCCTTGGCATAAATGGCGCACCGATGTAGCGCGACGAAAATATCTCATGACTGTATCTCATGTGTCCCAGGCAAGGAGCTGTCCCTCGCCTACAAGTGTCGCCGGTTTTCCTTGCAGAAGCTCTGTCAGTCTGCAGGTAGCTTCATCGTGGGTGATAAGAAATTCCCTACCCGTCTGTCCTTCAACGCATGAGATTTAGCTTTCCAACATTCTTTCCAGTCGACGGGTGAAGGTTTATGCATAGCAGTCAGGATGATTGCTATGCCAGGATTCGGTGGTGCACAGGGTAAACCAGCCACTCCAGGCTTTCGAGACCTACTGCCAGGCTCGGATTAGTCGGCTACCATGTTGCAGCCCAGGTTGCATCGCAGTCTTTTAGTAGCAGCGCATATGCAGCCAGAACAAATCCCGATCTCCATGTGTGTGTGATTCTCGACCGATATATGCTAGGGGCTCAGGGTCTCGGTCTTCTTGACTCGAGACGCCCTTTTAGTCTCATTCCAATACTTGGCTGCTGCATTTTGAGCTAACTGCATCTGCTGCTCTAGTTCCCCGAAGCTCGCCGTCTTGAAGCCTCTCCTGGTTTCAAGAATGTCGGGGAGCCGACTTGAATGAATGTGCACACCTTTTGATATCCGAGAAATCCTTATATTTGTGATCGACCTCTGAGGATTAGTACATGAATGGTCATCCTTTATCCCAGTACTCTCGCTCGGGAGATACGTCTGCTCCCTGGTTCATCCAATTGCGTGTTACACCGTGTTACATATGATACCAAAGGTCTGTTTTACGGCACAATGAACAGAGAACGGAGATTCCTACGGCACCTCGATACTCCGTCTCGTTTTCATGAAACCCTGGTCGACCACGAAAACTACCGTAGAAGACACATAGAAGTAAAATTCACCATGAAAGATCTGTGAAGTGTGATTGACCATACTGGTTTCGACGAGGAGACCGAACAAGAACTTATCCATGGAGCCTTATCAGCATGCAGAGGATGAAGAAATGCCATTACTATGGAACGAAGAGTATATCGCAATACACAATCGAGACCCCGATGTTTCATGGCTCGTGACCACCAATGGCCGATAGTGAAGCTTTGGTTGATTAGACATCGCGACCCTGAAAGTGTATATACTATGACATCCCACACTCTCTGTCACTCTCCGTGGAGATATGATATCCCCAGATGTCTCAAGCCTCGACTCCATCACGGTTCAGAGTTTTGTTGAGTGAAAACACGATCTTGTGGAATCGTCTTCAACATGTCTCTGCAAGGACTCAATGTTCTTATCGTGCGTGATCACTGTACATTGCCATGATCCAAGCTAGTACAGCCGCAGACCGGCGCCTCGATGGGTTTCGGCGAGGCCATCGCCAACTCCGTCGCACAGCAGGGTGCAACTTATCTGATTCTATTTGCCCGCTCCGGAGTGAGCCGCTCCTCCACCAGCCCCCAACACAATTCAAAGATATCACACTTTGCCATCACCAGGATAAAGTGCAAGCTCTTGCGGTAGAGATCCAAGAACAACACCCCAGTTCGAGGATAATCCGCGAAGCAGTCGACAACCAATCTTACGAAGCCGTCAACGCAACCGTGCAATCCAGCACCAAGGCGCTCGGGCAAATCGACATTCTGATCAACAATGTACTTTCCCCCCGTTATATCATCCAACCCTTAAGAGAATGATAAGACCCAAGACTAGGCCGACCTCACCCTAGGCGCGCCCGCGCGCGCATTCCCGACATCCTGACAATGAACAACATCAACATCAACGGCTGGATGTTCGTGACGCCCGCCGTGCTGAACGCCATTTGATCTTTATCCCCTCTTCCACTCCTTCGCCGTCAACTTGCGCAAGTCCTTCACGAATCCCGCCGAATGTTCCAGGGCAGCAACGTACCCGCCATCATTGCGTTCTGCGAGTCGGCAGCTTCGTTGAATTTCTCCTCGACCCACACGAAAATGCCCATTGGGTTGCCGTTTAGGGCGAGATTGCTTGTATGTGGCTGTGATCTTCCTTATCGGTCGATTGTGTAGGAGCTAGCTGAAAGCGGCAGGGGAAAGTTATCGTATTCTAGTCTGCATATAAAGTGCATACCCAATATGATTCTCCGCCCAGTCGTCGACCATGTCTTCAAGTGTCCATCGCGAGCGAGGGGGCCACTCCCATCAGCAAAAGCCTAGCCGTCTTGGGGCGGTAACGTGCAAGGCAGTCCTGGAAGACGAGTTTCTTGTAGGTTGCGTTTGAAGCGCTGTACTTCTTCGGGTGAATATCCACCTGGAAGGGTCTAATGTCGTTGTTTGTCATCTTGAGGACGGTGCTTGGTTTGTGACAGAAGTGACAGAGGGAACCGGTATGTTATGCAGCGGCTTTGGAGCTGACTTCCTTGTTTGCTCATCGACAAGATAACGGCACTCGATGGTGATACGTTCCGAATCAGCATAACTTGCGCGCAACTGAAGCAAAGGGGTCGGGATGACATCATGAAACCACATTCTCTCCGCATCTTGGCATTCAGAGATTAAGTTCTGTGTACATACTTATCAATCTATCCATTAATCTGAGATTTCTGAGAGAGAATGTGTGTTTGGATCTTATCTCATCGCAGTGAATCGTGAACCCCAAGCTTGAGGCTGCCTGTCGTATGTAGTGGCAGAAAGCTAGAACATGTTCTAGTAGTGAGATATCCACGATTCACCGATCACTTTCGCGAACTCATCAGCATGGGAATTTATTGTCGAGTCCGAATCTGGGGGGTGACTAGATGGGCTCCATGAACATCAGAGATAAACATCAATCCAGGCAGTTGTTGATCCCCGCTCTGCTTCGGGAAAAAGAGTAGGCGCAATTCCGCCCAAAACCCCCAAAAAGCCGCCCCGTAATTTGCTCTCCACATTCAACTTTCCCCGCAAACCATCGATCGGAGGACGGTCGCGACAACAATCACCACCATGAGTGAGAGGATCTCGGAATTACGCTTCCGCTCGGGAAATGTTCCTCCACGCTTTTTCAAGGCATGTCGTTGGTGCAGAAAACAAAAGATGCGCTGCGATGCACGCAGTCAAGTCCCCTGTGCGCGTTGCCGCAGTGCTGGTCGCGACTGTATTCTCGATCCCATCGTGGATGGAAGACGGCGCAGTCAGCGCCACATTTCTCCAAGGCCCTCTCGGTAGGTTCTTTAGATAATTATCCGATGCAGTATAATGGGCTGACAAGATTCATAGACGACAGATAGCACGATCTCCGTGGAATGAACCGACCGGTTTCGAAACACCCTCAACCAGAGAACAGGAATACTCGCCCGGCCCCGGTGCTCAGGAGAACCCACTGGATAGCTCTCTCGACTCTTTACCGGAGCCTACCGAGCTACGTTCACCAGGAACCTCCGAGCAGCACGGTCAAGACAGGCAGCAGCTGAGTCCCAACGACATGATTGCCCCGGTCTCAGTCATGCACTCCATGTCCGTCAACCTACTAGGGTCTAGCAGTGTAAGCGGCTACCATCCGTCACCGCACTGAGCCCAGGTTGCTGAGATGCTAGCAGATCTTTATGGACAGTCCGAACAAGGCCGACCTCAGGAGCGACATCATTGCTCGAGGCATCATCAGTGAGGAGCAGGCGCGGTCCATGTATGAACGGTAGGTCCTGAAAAATTCACCCAAATGCTCGGAAAACACCGCTCATCTGCGGATTCAGCTTCTTCAACGGCAGTAAAAACTTCCTCGCATTGTTTGATCCCATCCGAGACACCTTCGATTCCATCCGATCGCGCTCGCTCTTTTGCTTCTCGGTCATGATCTATATAGCAAGTCGGGCAGTCATCGACCTAAGAAGTAACACGCATTTGCAGCGAGTATTACAAGATGAAGCGCAGAGACTGGCCGAAGACAGCTTCTTTGAACGACCTACAAAAGTTGAAACGGTTCAAGGAATGGTCTTGCTTGCGGCCTACTCAGAAAAAACCTGGTTCTCGACAGCTCTTATTCTACGCACTGCACTTGACTCTGGTCTCGAGAAATCTCTTGATACCTTGCTTTCACAGCAAAACGTCCCCCGAAGTGCTCTCTCCGCTACTCTTGAAGAACGGAAGCTGGTGTGGCAGACAAGAGCATGGCTGATCAGCTTCACACTCGAACTGGATGTCGCATCTGGGACAGGTCGGAAGTCAAGGATTGACGCTGTCGATACTACGAAACTACGCAAGTTTCTCGATTACCCGCTGTCATTGCCTTACGATATGCGCACAGTATCTATCATCGAGATCCATCAGCTTCGGAGTAGGTTGGAATTTGACCATTTCTTGGCCTGAGGTCTCTAATCTTGCTAGGCCAATTCCGCATTATCGTCGAGAACTCAAAGACCATTCGCGACATAGTTGGCGTTGAACTCCCAGCTGCCATGGCAAGGTTTGAGGCATGGTGGAATAACTGGGATGAGATCCATAACAGTACGCAGAGGCCCTTCGCAAATACACATGGTTTTGCTTGCTAACAAATCTTCTTGTGAAGACAACGGATTTCATGCAGGTGCGTTTCAACGCTGCAGTCTCAAGTTGATGCATAATTATGCTCGAATATTCGCAGTCTGCGCGTCGTTGGCGCGAATCCAGAAGCTACAGTGCGGCAGCACAGAATCAGACTCAGACGTAGATGATCCGGATGTGTCCCATCTATGGCGCTCGCTTGCTTCAGCAATCATGGACCAATTAGGTTTGATCATTTCGGAAACATCATACCGTTGTCAATTGTCGTGGACTCCGACGTACCCAGCTTTGACCATTGCATTTGTCAGTGAGTTGTTCCAACAGCCATTATCCCTGTCGTGCACAGTGACACCAAGCATCTGACCCCATACAGCAACGTTTGCGTTACGGATTGCAAGATGGCGCCCGGACTTGATTGACCAGGACCTGCTCCTTGAAAGAGCACAACTCATATGTGACCTCCTCAAACAACCCCCGTACCCGGATATTCACCGAACCGTGTCAATCTTCGTGAATTATGGTCGCGCGCTTGTCGCCAGCCAGCGTGGACAGGAAGAAAGCTGCTTTCAGGTTCCTGATGGTTCCCGCTGTGCAGACGCGCATCCTTCTTTGGCCAAGGAACTAGACGGTGGTAAAGTACCAATCTCGACCTTATCCGCATTGTCAGAGCAATCCGGCTATGGAGCCACGGAGACAATGCACCAAGGGGTCAAAGATACAGACCTGCTTTCGATGCCCAATACCGACAGACCCGCCCCTCCCAGGCAGTTCCCACTCCGGCCACCAGGACCAATGGAAGCTCCGAATTGGAATTTATGTCACCCAATTGCAGACTCGTTTGGTCTGTTCGAAGAAGAACAAAACGACATATTCGACTTCCTCCCTGCAATGCCCTCGATGCCGCAGTAACCGAGATCTTTGAGTATCTTGACATAGTCAGCAATACATCTCTCACGTCAGGGGAATGCCATGTATGTATGAAAAACTGGTTCCGTGCGCACCAAGACAGGTGTATTTTACCACGCTTGTGGAGGCCACACTTGTTGCGGTGACCAACTTTACATACACAGCCTGTATGTCGACCGAAACTCAAGGATGATACGATATGGTTAGCTCTACGACAATGTGCGGTGGACTCCATAACCGGGCCATAAGTCGAATCCCCGGCCAATACTGTAGACCGTGTTTGGGAATCACTGCATAAGTGCCTTGATGTCCGGTGATCGTCTCTTGAAGTGGATCTCAAACGTGATCCATCGCACATCGCTGGAAATTTCTGAGTTCGAGAGGTTCTAGACTGCGTTGCCAACATCAAACTTGTTGACCGGCTCCAGGTCGGGGCCGTTCTGCGGGCATCCCGCTGCACCGGGGCCGGTCCGGCCCCGGTCTGGCGATTGACAAGAGCCGAACAAACAAGGTCAACCATTGGGCCCTCACGATATACTCCAAACTCAGAGCTCCATCAAATGCATCAAAGCTTTGCAGGGATTCGTTGTGACCATGACTCACTGATACCTCATTACTGAGGGATTCCACCTTTCAGGAACACTATATAACGATCGTTATCCGCAATGGCCGAAGAAATGAAGATATACAAGGGTCCGATCACATATATCGTTCAGTTTGTTTTTAGCATAGCATTACCCTTATTCCACGGAAAGGATGACTTCAAATTCACCAACAGAGGGGTCTATACCCATATCCAATGCTGCAGGTAGGTACTCATTGTCCTAGCCTAGCCTAGCCTAGCTCACTCCTCACACGACCTACCAGATGACAAACAATTTTCCCATAACAATCGAGCGCTATCCAGTCTGTCGGAAATTCCGAATGCCAGGGTTGTAGAAGGATATCAGCTGACCAAGTTGATGGACGACCAAATTGTGGTTGACTTTGATCATAACTCGATAGCACACCCAACCAATTGGAGCCGAGTAAGTCATTTTCGGGTGATGCTTCGCAGTAACCTGGCACTCTAGCTGACATGTATTATTCTCCCACAAGACCAAGAAGACATATATAGTTCTTGCTGCACTGTTTCTTGTTTTGAACTCCGGCATATCCTCCTCTTTGCCCAGCAATGTTGTACCATACATCATGGAAGATTTTGGCATCCAGGGTGGCTCACAGAAGGTTCTACCAACAGGAGTCTTCCTCATCGGATATGTTGTCGGTCCTTTGGGGTTCAGCCCGTTGAGTGAAACGGTTGGAAGGAGGCCCGTTCTACTCGGAAGCTTTACGGTCTTTGTTCTGGCGACACTTGCCTGTGCTTTTGCTCCGAACTGGTCCTCATTATTGGTTTTTCGATTCATATGCGGCGTAATGGGTGCTGCACCCCAGACTGTTGTTGGTGGCCTATATGCGGATATGTTCTCGAACACACGGGACCGCGGCCGGGTGATGACCTTTTATATGTCTGTATGTTGATGAGGCACCCCCTTGCAGGGCGTAAGTGGACGCGAATTAACTCGGGGTCATAGGCTGCAAGCTTCGGACCAATTGTGGGGCCGATCATGTCCGGTTGCAGCGCACAGTACGGCTGGCGCTGGGCATTTCGCATCGATCTAATCCTAGCTGGATGCTGTTGGATTATTGGGCTCTGTCTTCCTGGTATGTGTCTCTTAGAGACGTCCTGCCGACAGATTAGTATATGCTAATCGCTACCTGGACAGAAACCTTTGCGCGAGTTATCCTCAAGCATAAAGTGAAGGAGCTGAACAACACGTTTACGACACAGACCTATATTTCGCAGCTTGACCTGAAAAAAGCGGAAGTGAACACCAGTCTCGTCGAGATCTTCACCAGACCTATCACAATGGTTATCTTCGAGCCTATTATTCTCTTCAGTGCTCTGTATATCTCATTTGCTTATGCGCTCATTTTCTTTTGCTTCGCAGCATACCCCATCATTTTCCAAGGTAAAGCACACTGAAACAGCCTCTTTCACCCAACGAGCTCACCACTGACAAAGCGATGCAGGAACTTATGGCTTCAACATTCAGCAGACTTCACTCTGCTTTTTACCCAGTACGAACTCCGCGACTCCTTCCGTTCTTTACCTTGCTAACATATCTAGTTGGCATTGGCGCGGCGTCATCAGGTCTCATCTCTCTTTACTACGATGTCTTCTACGAAAAAGCCAAGGCTCAAGGCAAGAAGTGGACCAGCATTCCGGAATACCAGCGACTTCCTATATGCCTCATCGGCGGCCCTTGCCTCACGATCAGTCTGTTCTGGCTCGCCTGGACCGCAAACCGCAGCGTCTACTGGCTGGTTCCCGTTCTCTCCGGCCTCATGTTTGGCGTCGGATACCAGATCATTTTCATTTCACTGTTGACGTACGTCACGGATGCGTATAAGGTCTACTCCGCGAGCGCACTGTCTGCATCGCTTATCACCCGAAGTATTCTTGGTGCGGTGTTTCCGCTGGCGGCCGATCCCATGTACTCCGCGCTGAGTGTGGGGTGGGCGACCTCGATTCTGGGCTTCGCTAGTTTGGCGTGTATCCCTATCCCTATAATGTTTATCTATGCTGGAGAGTGGATTAGGAGAAAGAGCCCGTTCTGTCAGCGGCTGATGGAAGATGAAAGGAGAAGGAAGGAGGAGGCGATGGTGACTAGACCCGCAACCCCAGAGGAGGTCTAAGGTCTTGGGGGTTTAGGGGGCTCGATGTTTTCATGATGTTACGAAGCTTAGATGGGGATCCGAGCGATAGAGTAATGCTTAATGAGAAAAGATGGGGAGGCGTCGGAATGAATGCGGTGAGTCGTGCGTGACTGTCGACGACTTAGTCAAACCCAATATATTGCCAAAATGCTTGTTTAACGTCTCAATCAAAGAACAATAAGTTTGTAGGGTAACTGACTAGTTAGTAATCTGGTCGGTCCTTGGTGTTGACCCCAAGAGAAGGAATGCCTCAAAGGAGCTTAGCGCGGATCCGGATTCCTCCCGATCGATTGGCAGTTCGCCTGAACTACTTCTGCTCCCCTCGGTCTTCGCTTCCAATCCCAAACTCGTCTGCCGGTGCCCTTTTTCTGAACTCTTTCCTCATTGTATACTGATCTAGCACTTGTCATTATCGAAACATGTCGCTAGAGGCCTGCATAATCGTGGTTGACCGCCCCTGCATGAGCTTGTCGACTTTGTACGGAGTGCGCTCGAGGTGAACCTCAAGGCTAGAAAGCGCTCTTGGCACGAGACACTTGCATCCGTGCGCCGTGCGCTGCAGCGAGATCGGATAATGTCGAGACTCTGCAGATGGTCGACGGAAAATAACGCCAACTTGACACACTCCAGGTGTCCCTTTGGAGCTGGTTCCCGTCCGTGAAGCATGCCTCAAAGCGTGATTGACCTCCATTAGTCATGGCTTCAGGATCAAGATTGACAATGTTTGTTCATGACATCGCGTATCTCGTTTACCCGGAAATATGCGAGTCCAACTCGTAGGCTCAGCCGCAGTTCGCCAAGAAGGAGCAAACACATACAAGATTCGAACTTGACTGGAGCGGAATGAGAGTCTCGTCATTTCCTGCCTAACAATGTTCAGGGCTTCGATCCGATGTGAGAATTCTCAGGACGCATGCAATGGTTTACTCGGTCTGTAAAGGTTTAAGTAGATCAGTGCGTCACACTTCACTTGTTCCTGAAGACGGTAAGCTTTAAATTCTTGTTGCGGGACCCTCAATCGCTCACGATGTTCCACTCTGGTTTGCTACTCGGAGCCCTGGCCGCCTCCGCAGTCGCGGTTGACCCAGCGGCAGTGTACAATGGAGGCTACAGCTCTGCTAACAATGTCAAGCTTCGCATTGGTAATGGTGGCGCTGGGCAGAGTGGATTTATCGAAGGTCAGTCGATTCTCACAGATGCCGCCTGCGAGTTCTCTTAGCGACTGACTCTCTACCCGCTACAGCCCTGGCGGACGCCTTCATCAAGTCGAGCGTGAAGAACGGATCCACCCCCTTCAAGGTCGCCTGGTACAAGAGTGACACGACGGAGTCCATCAACTACCTGAAAGATGATACTGTGAACATTGGCATCACCTATACTCCCGCCGCAGAGTCGATTGCCATCCAGCAGGGTGTGGCCAAAGATCCTGCCTGGTATGCCTGGAGGAACCATTTCATGCTCGTTGGGCCTCACTCCAACCCAGCTCACTTGAACAAACCGACATCTTGACCATGTTCTCTGGTCTCTACTCCGCGGCAGAGACCGACAACGCCACTGTTCCGACCAGGTTCCTGTCCCGGTATGACAAGTCTGCCACCAACATCAAGGAATCCGACCTCTGGATCGGCATTGGACAAGTAGGTTGCGTTAACTCCAGTGTTGTTTCACCGATACCCATCTCCCGGCTGCTAGGTTCCGTGGGCGACTGCATACTCCACGTGGTACCACCAGTATATCGTCTATCCCGTTCAGGCGTTGACGGCCGCTATCCTTCTCGAGGAGTACACCATCACGGATCGCGGCACCTTCCTCACCATCTCGGAGGATCTTTAGAACCAGACGACCATCTACAAGGCCGCGACGGGCGACGCCAGCGATCCTTTGCTCAACTCAGTCCACGTTTCGATTGGCAGGAAAGCCACCAATGCCAAGATGGCGGAGTTTCACCCAGTGGGCTATCAGCGATGAAGGACAGGCCGTCATCACTGGCTTCAAGAAAGACGGACAACAACTATACTCGGCAGTTCCGGCCAACAAGACTGCTCAATTCTGACTGAGGGCTGAGGAAGAGACTATTGGGCATGGCTTTTATATATATGTATATAATGCTAGTTAGTATCTTACTTAGTTACCAAAGCTAATAGTTATAGTCGGATAAGGACTTAAAAGCGTTATGGATTGAGTGATTTATCTGCCTTATTCGAAGAGATGCTCAGCCCATCTTAGCTGATGTTTGAAAGTGTTTGCCTTGCTGCTCATTTCAGAAGGCGTGGACAAGGACTGGGGACTGGCTGGTGACACTGCCGGGTCTGGGTGCATCCGCGTCTCAAGTCTTCTTTCATCTTCTGCCCACGTCTTCTCGCCATTAATCTCTTCTCCCATCAATCTCTTCTTTTCGCCATCTGTCCCCCATATCTCATTCAACCTATCAACCTATCTTCGTCGATTTCACTCTCAACTTACTTCGATTGGCATTTACGGACTGCGACAATGATGCTCAAACCGCTTCTCCTTCTGCTCCTCGCTGAGGTTATTGCGAGCCAAACTACCGTGATGGATATGTTTCTCGGAGAATTCGGTGGTGATCGAAGCCCAGAATACGTGGCTTCGGTTGTGGATAATGTGAATCTTCTTCAATGGCTATGATGACTTGTTCTGTCGATATAGATATACTAAGGTCCTTCAACAGAACGCCGTCGAGACCACTTACAGCGTCAACTGCCCACCCAAAGCCACAGAGGAACGCTCCAATTCATGCGACTTGGGCGCAGGCCTGACCGTCATCGCCCAGCCCTATACCACACAAGTCATCAGGTCCTTCGATTTCGAAACTGTGTAGGTCGTCATCATTCCAATGAGGTGTCTACAAATCGACTGACTTTCCGGGCAGCACTAACTATGGATCCATGCTATGTGCATTCAACGATCCGCCCATCGTGACCTGCACCCGGTCCGTAACATATAAAGCCGTCACCCAGCGTGATGCCTCGGGCTATGGCGAGCAATCGGCGACATACACTATGGTCACGAACGATGTGGCTGAGCTCCGGGCCCCGGTCACCATCACCGGGGGCTCAGTGACGCCTACAACGGACATGGTCTACACTTTGCTCAGTTCCTCTCATCCGACGGCTACCGTGACCTTGTCCCACACGGCGGGTAATTCTACTTCCACTGCGAGCTCAAAGAACCATATCTCGTCGACCGAGGCTAGTGAGGCATCTAGTGTTACTCATAGCAGTACATTGGATGATGCGGAGCATGCGACTTCGACCCATACAGTGTCTTCGTCGAGGAGTGAAGGGGTCGGGCCGCTTGTTACTGGTGAGGCTGTGGTGGTGGCAGGCGTCGCTGCTGTGGCGCTTGCTGGGGCTGTTATCCTGTGATTGTCTGTCTTTTATTTGTGGAATACGACTACAAAGGGGATATTTCTCTTGACAAAGTGGATATGCTTGAAGAGTATTATGAAGGCATGGACTTATCATATTGTCGATTTTAGGTATATTAAGGGGTTACAAAGAAAGTGGAGTGCTAATAAGTTCAACTGGTGAAGCGTAGTATGGTTGACATCCTTAATTTCCACCTTTCATTGCTTTAGGTCCAGAAATTAGAAGTTGAAGCGGGTTGGCGATGCTGTCTACAAGTTTTAGTGGCTACGGCGGGACTAGTAGAAACATTCAAGGCACGTCAATAGTATCCCGTAGATATGCTCATTGATTGTCAATATATAGGGAAAAAACCAGAAACCAAAGCGAGTATCTCACTAGAAGCCCTCACTAGCCCAGCAACCCACTTCCTACAATAACCTACGTTCAGGACTGAGTCGCCTCCACAAGCCCCATACCCTCCAACGCCTCTCTCGCCGCACCTTGCTTTCTGGTGGAAATAGTCACGCCCGGAGGTCGCTTGCAGAGGTGCTGGGTGTACGGGCGCGTTTGCATTGCAAATGTTGTCTACAATCGTTTCTTTCCCAACCGCAGTTTCGCGTATTATGTCGGTGCGTTTGAGGAAGCTGGAATGGAGTTGGCTACAGAGGTTGCAATGGTGGAAGAATGAGCGAATTCTGCAGGGGAACAGCAGGTGGAACACGTTGGTCTTAACGGTGAGATCGTTCTCAATGGAATTAAGTGTAGATAGAAAGATAGATGCAGGCAGAATCCATGAGTCTTCACGCCTCCATCAATAACTCTCTACTGAGTCCTCACGGTATCTGTTACCAAGACATTCAACCTGGTATTGCAGACATACAGTACTTGTTGATGTGGGCATTGAGACCAGTCTTGCGAGATCATTTATCTTCAAAAACCCCCGGATTTTCCGAGGCAACGTGTTTCTGGCGTCTCCTTTATCGGCAATCCACTCATGCCATTTGGATCTGATAGTAGCGGAGCATCGGGGACTTGAAGAAGCGTAGCGGAGAGATACGGAGAGGTTATACATCTCTGATCGCGCATCCCTACGCATGTGTATCTACATGCTATCTATCCTTTGCTCACTTTTGGAATGGGATGAAGAAGATGAATGTCTCAGGAGGAAGGCAACCGATTATATGGTATGGCCAAGTAATCTCAAAGACTAACTTGGACTTGGACTCAAAAAGTGATAGTATATGCAAAGAGTTCCTCAAAAACAAGAACGTAAGCAAAGAGTTACCACTCAAACACGATAATGTAAAAGCAAAGAGTCACCACTCAAACAAGATGACATAAGGAAAGGCCCACTCAAACACGATGACTTAAGCAAGAGGACCAAGTGGGTACAAAGTTCTAGGAAGCATGCTTGCGCTTCTTAGAGGAGCTCGCAATTGCCTCGTCTGGGTCCATAGTTTCCAACACTGACGAAGTAGATTCTTGCAGCAAGGCCAAGCTCAACTTAAGCTTCTTGGAGGGATCATGTGGTGTATCGGGCACCCCTGCGAACAAATCGGCCAGAGTGATTTCCAGTACGCGGTCGTCAAGTTTGTCTTGGGTTATGGTGAAAGATTGTATTTCATACGGGCGCGGTATTTCTGGAGATCGACCAAACAGCTCTACCTTGCAAGCGACGGAACCGTTCGACCTCTTTCGCTCGTAGACAACAAGGATGGCATGGCGTAGAGTTGGGATACATCCCTCAAACCAAACGCACATGTCAGTTCTTAGAGGCAAGTATTGCTCCTCCCACCCTGTCTGAACGACGAGGACGGGATGTTTCTGGCGTTTGATATGCAAGGTTTGCAAGGGCTTTTTTGAACAGATGTCATAGGGTTTGAGGAATGTATAGTGAGCTGGCCTGGACGTTAAATTCCACACCAGAGATAGTCCTTATTCCATGAGAAACTCACTGCGGGAAGCGCCAACAACAAGGTTAGCGCGTTCATCTTTGCTCAATTCCCAGTCGCAGAAGGATTGAGTGAACCAATTCTGAACAGCATCGAGGAGCGGAGTGTCCATGCCGACAACCAGTAAGTCTGGTGTGTCCGGCTCGTAGGAGATGCTACATCACGAGTCAGTCTTGCAATACTACCATACTGTGAGCGCGACTGAGCTTACTAGATAGATTCTTCTGTGAGAGGTACTTCAAGTTGGTCGATGAAGACTTCTGCAATATCAGGATCAACGTCAATGTAGATAATGCCGAAAGGATGGAAGCGGAGATCTCTCTTGATGCGTTGAAGTAGAAGATCCTTGGATGCGGTTGGAACGTCGGTGAGCATATCGGAAACGAGGTTCGACTCGAGTTCGCGGGGCAGGAGGTGAGCCATTGTTATGACGATGACTTGAGTCTGGCGACGGCTGGCAAGGAACGACTTCAAGACACAAAGGGAAAGAGCTGCGAGGGAGGCGGGAGTGAGGCAGTCGGTTGAAAATGAGATGGAAGGAGAAAGAGAAGCCAAGGAGGAAGGAAGTTCAGGCAGCAGATGTTTTCATAGCTGTCATCGGAATGTGATTCCGGATGAGCTCAGAATGATTGTTGATGAAAGGACAGGTTGAGTCACAGGAACTGAGAAGCCCCGATGAAGGATCCAACGGTACTTCTTCAAAGCTCCAGGGAATCCATAACGGTCCTGTCAAGAGAATCCATAACAATGATCCTGTTAAGGAGATTCATAACAAATAATCCTATCAAGGGAGTCTATAACAACGATCCTGTCAAGGTCGACCCGTGTCCTTAACGAAGACATTGTATGGATCCAGGCGATCCTCATAATCGTCAGGGTCAGACATCCAAAAAAGGCCGTACCGAGCAAGGATATCTGCGAGGAGATGGACGCTTGGATAATGGGGGAGTTCAGCACTCATGGCGGGTGTCGGAGGGCTGCAGTAGAGGATAATCTGTAATAGAAAACTCCGTCACTTTGCTGTCGTGTATCCTTCCACGCGGTTGAGAGCCACCGTCGTTGGGGACGTGATGCGCTTCCGCTCGGGATACAGTAGCCGGCATAACAGGGAAAGTAGGTGACGTTATCTCAAACAATATGTATGGTCGTGCTTGACGGTACCCGTTCTTTTTGATATCACCGGTACAACTGGGGTGCTAAAAAGATCAGTTAAAATGTACGTAGGTACCTTAGTCCAAGACTATCGGGCCGTCTTTATTCGGCATCTCAACAAAAATCATCTTATCCTCCTCGCAGTCCTCGTCTGCGTCTAAAACAACGGGGTTGCCCCCATCTTCCCCTTCTGGAATTCCATCCTCGATGACGACCTGTTCGACATCTAGGAAGACAGGATTATTGTACGCTGTGCCAGCCAATACCCGGGGTCTAACCACATCGCCGCGATCCTCTTGTACGCCCGACCATAGCTCATCCTGTTCGGAGCACAGACTGCCTTTATCCGACCACTTGCAGTTGGCGCATGCTCCGCCGAACGCGCCTGTGAGAAATCGTCCTTGCAGGATGGCCAGTATCATCCGCTGTAGTCTCGGTGTCTCCGCACCAATCGTCGGGCCCATAAACTCGGCCGATGCAGATCCGAACTGAATAACAGCTGGTGCGGCGAGGCGTTCATAGATGTCGAGGGGGCGCCGTTTATGCACGCTATTGTTCTGAGGGGATGGGATGTCCGCTGCGTACGGTGATCCTGAGTGTACGCGTGGCGGAGCATGGCCCCTACAGTCTGGAGCGTATGTTCGATCTGGCCGTCCGATTGCGGCTGATATGCCGTTGAATGATACCACTCAGTTCCGAGACCTTTAAAGAAGCCTTTCCAGAATTCTCACTGGAATCTCGCGTCCCTGTCAGAGATAAGTCGTCGTTTGATTACGGGGTTAAAAAGGGAAGGCTCGAATGCTGCCGATTCTGATTCGGGATACATAGCTACCAAAGGGCGACATAGCCCAAGGTCATAGCCACGAGAGTCAAAGCTTTCCTGGATCCAAGGGGTTGATTGACTAGTTTCACAGATCTGAAAGATCGTCTGGAGTCTGCGGTACAACTCCGCTAGCTGTCCCACTACTTAGCACCTGATTAATTTATCATTGTTGAACATGAATTTCACTTTGACAGTACAGAAGAGTGGGAGTGTTCGACGATGATGATCAGCACTCAATGACATGAAACAGACTGGCTGATTTCCAAGTCTTCCACGTTTGCGACTCTTTGCTTTTCTGCTGGTTGTGTTGCCTGGCCGGCTGCGACTTCTGAGTCTGAGTCTGCCCCAGCGTGTTTCTTGAGACCATATACCAATTTGTGTAAATGCTCGTCGCTCTCTGTCTGATTATAGCTGTTTTCTGGTTGGTCCTCGCGTATTAAGAAGCCCCTTCCTGACTTCGTCCAGAGCCATCAGCGCCGTGAAGTAAGGATCGAATTGATTGCCCGCGCGTTTGACGTGCGTAAACTTCTTGGGACGCATGGCAGACGCAACCGATTTGGGCAGCCATTCGGAATCTTCTTCCCCGTATTCGGAGACCGCAGTTCGCAGGCAATGCATGCAAAATGCCCAGATGGGGAGAAGGGACAAGCTCCCTCCGTCCCCCCGTGTGAAGGCGATAACGGCACCTTGCACATGCCTCGTCGGCTTTCTTGATGGCCCTTGCAGCTTCGTCGGCGTAGAGCCATCATAGTTATCTTGATATAATCGTTCATCCATATGTAGAGGACGTTAAATGAAGATTTTGTTCTCGATCTCCGAGAATCGAGCACATACAGCAGGAACAGGAGGCTGCGGAACAGGACGAACTACTTCGGAAACGACCACATCGGAGACTGGGGCCTGCTATAGAGCATGATCACGAGTTAGCAAGTGTGGCACCATCCGACATAGGAACTCTTACTTTTGCCTTGAAGGGAAACTTGGCATCGATGTCTGAGGGCGTTCTGCCGGCGACAAAACGAAGTCCGCGGGGGGAACGACCAGATCAGCGTGAGCTGCGGCTGGAGCGCAGGCAGCATGGTGTTCTGAGAGCATATGTTGCGGATACGCCTTGGTGTTTGGAGCCAATGTTGAGGCCGACCAGGAAGGTGGCGCGGATGGTGAATCATGTAACGAGATCAAAGTATATCGTTCTCAGGGTACAAAAGTGAGTGTAAGGATAAGAGACAAGGATTCAAGAAGGGATTACAGGCTGCAGAAAAGATGAAAAGGAAGGAAAAAAGGTGAAGGGAGTTTGAACAAAAGCAGATGAGATAATGGAGGCTTCCAGGGATCTAGATCCTGGAGAGATGAGAAGTGTCTGATCTCCACCTCTCTACCATAATTTCAGGTCTGTTCCATAGCTGCTGCGATCTGAGCTTCTATAGCTGCGATAAATGAGAGAGGTAGTACTATAGGGACAAGGCTGTCACTGTGTTTGACCTTCTGGCCCTCTTTCCATTGTGAACTTTTGGATGTGTGGCAGGGTTTCCTCTGACATCCTGACAAGAAGAAAGAACAGACCTGCCGAGTCGCGCATATGACGAATTTGTTCAGGACTCGGCAAATGTTCTTGTCTAAATCCACCTTACGCTTGGGTCGGATGGCTTCCACCGTGTATTCGACGCGAGCCATGAGCCCAAGAATGGCCTAGTTTCTCATAGCTCGAAACAGGTCCTCAAATACACATCCTATCTCTGGAAGTGTGGGTTGGCATGAAAGAACAGGTATCCTTTGTCCAGTAACCTGCGTTGGCTGTAGAGCACAAACTCGTTTCCGTGAGAAATCAACACCAAAGGTTTTGGCTATAATTTCAACCTGGAGTTCTGCATTTCCTCATGCATCTAAGGAAGATAAATGACGACAGAATTGCCGCTATGTTCATTGACAGCTTGCAACACATAAGACTGTTTCCCGGCTGTTTCAGTGAACACCTGAGCGGCGTCACTCCTAGGCTTCGACAAAGGGACGAGCTGCTGGGGATACCCTTTGCTCTGGGCGGCGTGCAGCGGAGAATGCCTCCCATTCTTGGTCTGCTCTTGTTGTCTTTCAATCCGCGACCTGCTCTGCATGGTCCTTCTTAATCCCCTGGGATGCCCTTGCATATCTCCGCCGGGCGAGGGTTGCTATTGCTTCATGTTGAGTTTCGTCGCAGCCTTCGAAATGCCACACAACATCTTTCTGCAGCATGGCACCCTCCTCGTCGACTAAGGTTCCAGTCGGCCGTCCGTCAAGTTTTATAAAGGTTGCCCGGAGAAACACTAGGATTCCCGCTCTTATGCGCATAGTGTGTGCAGTCGCTCGATCTGAAACTTTGTCAGACACGATCCTGACTGGAGTCACCAGCAAGTGGCCACATGATGTTAGTTTTCTGAAGGCTCATGTGTCTGGTACCGGACTTACAAACGGTTTTCCGAAGATGAACTCAGCGAATCCTTTCCCACCAGAAACATAGTCAATCTTGACCCAGCATAAGGTAAGATTGATTTCGGAGATTTGAAAACGATATCATCCCCGGACCAGGAATTCAAGTCATTTTTGACCGATGAATCAAGTGAATTCATTGTCGAAGCTTCGAAAACGGTATTTTCCGTCGGAAGAATCTCCTCAATGCTAGGAACTTTATCTTTTTGCTGATGCCGTACATAGCTGAGTCTATCTCCTGTTGGCAATCGTATTCCGACATTTTTGTTTGAATTAAAGATGTAACTGAATCATGAGTTAGCCAAACATCATCCGCCGAAGACGCGTGCTCTATGAACCTTGCTCTGGCCGAAAATGTAGACAGTTGTGAAGGGAAATGAATTGAGAGAGAGGTGGGCTTACCGAAACCTTTGCGTGCGGATCAGAGAGGCACCCGATCACTTAATCCAAGGTAACAAAATGCAAGCTGTTCTTTCGTTGCCGTTGACCACGCAAGTCTTACTAAAACCAGCAGTTCATGTATCCAAGCCACCCCCATTAGCGATCGGAGAGGCATGGTGTTACCGATTCCGACCGACCATCTCCCCCTCCAGGTCCTCGTCACCCCGGCCCCCGTGCCCGGCCCCTGCCTCCCCTTCCTTCTTCTTCTCGCTTTTTTTCTTGAACGAGTACTTGTTCTCCAGTGACCCCTAGCAGCAGTTGGCGCACGCTTGGAATTTTGCCCGACGACTGACGAGTTGGTCGGGCGAGTCGATCGTGACGCATTCGCGCCATGGGCCCCTGCCAGCCTTGGAGGCGTCACACGACGCAGCGTTTTCAAGCTCGACTCCCCGGAGCTGTAGGAACTTCGCCTCTCGCTTATGGTTGCCCTTTAAATTGTATAAGTTGCAGGTTGCCGCATCTGGTGGGCTCCCGGGATGCGGGTTTCGGCTTGCTCTTGAAAGCTCTTGTGGATAGACAGAACATAATCGACTAGAGTCGATCCTTTGCCTGCATAGAACCGAGGCAGTGGTGCGGGAGACGTTGCATATATCGACAGCTACCAACCATGCGAAAGTGAACCTTACTTTCCGACGCATCTCCAATCTCTAGCAAGTCTGGAATCCTTTTCAATTATCTCGCGCTTCGCTCTTACCTCTTGCTGTATAGCCGTTATACGGAGTCAGCCTTATCTTTGGCTGCTCATAAAACCTGGAAATAAAGCCGCAAGTGCAGAGGTCCGTGAGACCAGGCTTGGCCATTTTGTTTCGCATGCTCGAGTCAGCATTCATTGACTCATGCTGGTTCCCTCTATCCACGAATCTGTCAACGTGATCGGTGAACGGGAGGCTATCGCTTGTTCTGTTCTTGGAACTGTCTCTCTTTTTTGAATTGCTAACGTAATTTAATAAGTTCGAGTCAATTGCTCCAGGGCGGACAATGTTTTTCGGGCTCTGAGCCCACTGCATGAATGCTACCGGGTATGCGAGCTTCTTTTTGAAGTGATTCCCCATATAATCGTGCAACTCGTCCTGCTGGACTCTTTCATCGTCCTCACAGTCTCGGGTAAAGTGTGAACCATCGTCTCAACCATTCTAATCATGCCGACATTTCCTCTGTGGTTTCTTGGCAGCGGTCCCGAACTGCCTTTCCGGCAGTAGAGGTGTTCTTCCCAGAACACCCTGAAGTCCTGGTATGACCAGGGGATTCTGAGCTTAGCAGAGGGCCACTTGATGTAGCTCAGTAGCAGAGATCAACACGATCTGCAACCCGGGCGGTCTGGGGTCGATGCTCCGGAGCGTGGTGCATCTGAGCTTCGGACAGGCATCTTCCTGCTTTCATGCATCTGGCATATCTTTCACTTTAGCAGGCAGAATGCTCTAAGCTCGTCGTGTGAATTGTGCAATCAGACATGTCCAATCCTGCCGCGGTATGGGGTTCAGAAACTCCGGATTTAGTCACCGAAACCCGCCAGTCCTTGGAAATAGACAGAATCGATAACCGCCAGACCGATCTCTCTACCCTGCATACTGTCCGTCGTTGCGACAGGTATGTCTTCAGCATCCAAGAGTTCAAACTCGACATATGCCTATTCGATAGCCGCCAAACCGATCTCCTTACCTTGCATACTGTCCGTCGTAGCGACAGATGTGTCTTCAGCATCCGAGAGTCCGAATTGCATTCCTCGGGATTCAGACTTCATGCTCAGGTTCGAAACGGCGCAGCATTGGCGAAGCGCTTCCTCAAGCCCCATCCTCCAGATAAACTAGCGAATGAAACAGCTTGGGCTTGATAAGGGGTACGGATTACGATCTCCTTGCAAGTGTGCCCACAATTTGTCTTCTTCGCAAGTAGAAGTGCAATAACGAATCGACACCAGGAATGCCTCGCCTCCCTGCATGTTGTCGGGAGTGGCGACGATCGGAACATCCTGTTCACCAGTAATGAACTGAGATGCGAATGTGGTCGAACTAGGTTCTCTTTCCAACTTTCCAACTTTTAAAGACCAACGGATATGTGACCTTCCTTGTGTCCCTCGCCTCCGAAGTATTTCGGAGTCGTCACGATCGGAACATCCTTGGCTTCCAGTAGACTCGCCAGTCTTCAGCTTGCGATTCATGGGGAGTGATGATCGACCGCCTCACTACCTTCATACCTGCCACGCCTTATGTTGGCCAGTAAAAGTGATATGAAGAAAAGACAATGTTGATCATTGTACCGGGAGCATGATAGCTCATGCATATCGTTAGACCGTGCAATTTTCCCTTATCATGCTTGGTGTCTGATGGAATTTTTTATCGACTGTAAGCTTGGTACATTCGAAAGATGGATATCGGTCATATCAACATGGCGACCGAGACGATGGAATCTCGGTTCTAGTAGAAATCGCAAGTTCAGTCAGAAAGGTTCAAAGAGTCGGGGAGAGGGGGTTTGGTCAGGAACTCACGACGATGAACAGCATGAAGGCGGAAAGCCCATGGTGACGGCGCAAGAGTGTACCCAGTACAAATGTGCTTTGCACGGCCAAGCCGATGTATCTGTGCCAGAGTAATGCACTACAGTCGAGTCGTAGCAGCGAGTTTTGACAGTGGTTTGTGCCGCGTGGACTGAATTCGATGATGACAATTGTCGCTGCCTTTGAAAGTTTAACGTCGTCAGATCGTGAGCAGCTCGTTTCTGATTTGGCTTCTCAGGACTCACAGATAGGCACAGAGGGTAGGCCACCCGGGGAATCATGGTCGGTACTCAGAAAGCTTTTTCGGAACCCAAGCTTGGTCTTCCAATTTGGCAAAACTTGTATGTACTGAGAGCAGATAAGCTGCCATGGGGTTGGCTGCTCGTATCGAAGACATGGAGCCAAGATGTGGCCGTTGTTCCTCCTGCGTGGCAGGAGAATTCTTTGGCTTAGTTGCTGTCCGATCGGATGAGAATGCGAACTCCTAGGTTGTTTGTTAGCTTGGTGAACGCTCTTTACGCAGACTCTAGAACTTACATAGGCGATACTGACTCCGAGATCCGGATCCAGGTGTGCTAGGTGGGGAATTCTCGTTGAATGAGGAACGAAGGTGTGAGGGAAAGGTTGAGGAGATGAACATATTCTTGGTAATGGTAGATGTGATAATGAAGATGATGGAGATGAAGAGGAAGTTGAAGAAGAAGATGATGATGATGAGTGGAGGGAAGGGTGAGGTCAAAGGAAATGGGAAAGAATGAGAAGGGAGTTGGGAGATGAGGAGAAGGTGGGGAAGAAGGAAGAAGTGTGGAGGGAGAGAGGGAAAGATGAAGGCTTATATGATTGTGTGAACTGTCCCAAGCCTGACCGGTGAATGAGAGATGATAGCATGGTAAGTGAACAAGAGACATATTGTCTGTTAATGTGTTAGTTTGATATTCAATGACTGGCTAATTGAGAGATTCTCTTCATTGAATCAGAGCCCATTCACTCAGCCACCATTCTCTCAGTGAAGGCGTAGGGCCGGCAGTGCGTGATCCCGACTGTTGACGGTATTTGCTCCTTCGGGATTGTCCCAATGCCAAGATATGAAGCCGTACCATTAGTTGCATAAAGGACAGTAGCTGGCCAATGCAGTGTAGAGTCAGATGACCGCGCATACTCAAGCTTAACGCCGATTTCCGATCGGGAATCGGCCATAGTAACGACTTTCCGTCGCAGCCAACACCCACCGACTGCCTTGCTGGCGCGCCATAAAGAGAAAATGGAACAATGTTCATCTCTTTTATTTGTTTTGTACACAACACTGCCTCAGCCAGTCTCGGCGCTCAACAGACGTGAACACCATGACCACCCCGGCCACTCAGCCCGACTTCTCCGATCGAACCGACTTCGAGAATGCCTCGCGAGGCTTCATCACCGGTCTCGAACCATGCACCATTCGCAGCTCAAAAAACCGCATCGTCTACAGCAACGAAGAGTACGCCTTCCTACGTGACACCGAGTGCCCACAAACAGCCAACCCAAAGCTCTGGCGCCAGGGCCAGCTGGCCTCTCAGCAAGGCCTGTTCGAAGTGACACCGGGCATCTACCAGGTCCGTGGGCTTGATCTGGCGAATATGACAATCGTCGAGGGACAAACGGGTGTGATCATTATCGACCCTCTCACCTCCGTGGAATGCGCCAGCGCCGCGTTGACGTTATATCGAAGTCAGCGCGGAGACCGACCGGTCACGGGCTTGATATACTCGCACTCGCATATCGACCATTTTGGCGGCGCACGCGGTGTCATGACGTCACCGGAGGATGCAAGGACTTTGCCCATCTTCGCACCGGAGGGCTTCCTGGAGGAGGCGACCAGCGAGAATATCTACGTGGGGCCGGCCATGCGTCGACGGGCGGCGTTCATGTACGGGACGCGATTACCCAAGAGCCCTGAGGGCCAGATTGGCTGTGGAATTGGGATGGCGGTCTCGACAGGTACACCCTCATTAATTCCTCCGAGCCAGCACATCACTGCGACTGGGGAGGAAAGGGTGGTTGACGGCGTTCGAATTCAATTTCAGCTCGTTCCGGAGACGGAGGCGCCGTCAGAGATGAACTTCTTCTTCCCCGATCATCGGGCGCTGTATATCGCGGAATGTGCCACGCATTCTTTGCATAACATCATTACCTTGCGGGGGGCCTTAGTTCGGGATGCTAAAGCGTGGGCCCGCTATCTAGATGAGTCGCTCGTCTTGTTCGGGAGACAGGCGGATGTCTTATGCGCCGGCCATAATTGGCCGACTTGGGGTCGAACCGAGATCCTGCGACTGATCTCCGAGCAACGGGACCTGTATGGATATCTTCATGATCAGACAGTCCGGATGATGAACCAAGGCTTGACTGGGATTGAGATCGCGGAGAACATAACCCTACCCCCTGCGCTGCAGCGGGCCTGGCATGCGCAGGGGCTCTATGGGTCAGTCAGTCATAACGTCAAGGGCATCTATCAGCGCTACATGGGGTGGTTCAACGGCAACCCGGCCCATCTCTGGGAGCATCCGCCCGCAGAGAGCGCACAACGATATGTGGACTGCATGGGAGGCATCGATGAGGTGATTTGCAAGGCCGAGGCTTACGCCCGCGAAGGGGATCTTCGATTTGCTGCTACGCTCCTGGGACATACGGTCGCGCTAGATCCGACTCATCAGAGATCCAGATTAGCTTTGGCTTCCGTGTTTGAGCAACTGGGTTACGGCGCGGAGAATTCAACATGGAGGAATTTCTACCTCACGGGAGCGCTGGACCTCCGCGAGGGAGAAGGTGATTCCCACCGCTACAATCTGGGGCTGGCGGCTCGGGAGCTAAACCCCCTTCAGTCGGTGGAGCAGTGGCTCAATCTGCTTTCTGTCCGCCTGAATGGGCCTCAGGCAGCTACCGAATCCTTCCTGATCGACGTTCATGTGAGAGATTCGGGCAGCTGGTGGAGGTTGATTGTGAACAATGGTGTGCTAACAACACGGTTGGTCACTGAGCAGATGAGGTTGGAGGAGCGATCTGGAATGACAATCTCCGTCACTAAGCGACAGCTCGGTACAATTCTGAGCGGCCGAGGAGATCTGACAAGGCTAGATTACGAAGGAGACAGACGATTGCTCCTGAGATTCTTGGAACTGACGGCATAATGTGATGGACCGGGCTGTGAGTTTTTATCATGTGATATCTTAGATTCCGACGAATATCCTCGGAGTACTTGCTGGGCATTCTTCGGTGTGTAGAGGGACGCAGGAGCCATCCGAACTATTGCCGCAAGGGCAAGATCAGCACCTATGTTTCTCACCAATGGGCGACAAATCCATCCTCCCGTGTGTCGACAAGCCCTAAGGCGAGATGCAGACGGCCCAGAAAAAGGATACGAGTCGAAAATGACCATTCGCTAAAAAAATGTTGAGAATGCGAAAACGTTGAAGCTAAAAAGAAAAAAAAAACCAAAAAACCTTAAGGTGGAAAACGAGAGGCTAAACCCAAAGGGGACTGGAGCCATGCGAGGGCGGTGGAGGAAGGCAAATCCCTCCCTTGCTTCCAATGTCAATCTATGCATCATGTCCCACAGTCGATCACTTTCAGGGGACCGGGAGAACAGAGAGACTCAATTCCATGCTTTCCCCTTTTATGCTACTGCAGAACAGGGCCCTTATCGATACCCCAGTTTAAACAACTTGCATAGCCTTGTTTTCTCGCCGAAAACCCAAGTGATCTAGCTTTTCTCCAGATCCGATTCTCATTTGAAACTGTTGGGATTGCGACCTCCACAGCCCACGGGTGGATTCGTGGGAAAGGCGCCGGTCGACTCACACTGGCTAAACAAACGACGACAGACACTCCTTCAACCACTCAGGGGGCGCCGAGATATTGACAGTTTTAGCGTGGACACAGAATCTGACACCGTCCCGTGGTTCCACCGCAGCTTTCTGAGTTCTGATTGTGGCAAAGATGCCTTCCAGAAGAAGCCAGGAACATGACCAGCCTGATTGGGTCACGCTCAATGGGCGCTGATCAAAGACAGACCCTAGTCACTATGTCTCCCCTACAAAAAATGGAAAAGCTACACAGGGCTTTCCTTTTGCACAAGTTCATTTCCTTCGATTGAGAACTCGGCGGGATTCAGTGTGTGCAAACATGACTTTGACCGAATTGCGCAAGAAGGAGCCCATTGTGACGGTGGTGGTATGTATGGCGCAGATTTGACGTGCAAAAAACATTGCTGACACTGCCCACAGGAAGTTGAAGATGACACTGTTCCTACCCTGAAAGACCTCAAAGATGCCATTCCCAAGGAGTGCTTCGACTCTTCGGCCGTTACCTCCCTCCTCTACGTCGCGCGTGATATTCTCTACTGTGCTATCCTGACCTATGCGGCCTTCCACATCTACCTCCTCCCTACACTGGAGTTGCGGATCATTGCCTGGGTTGCCTATGGCTTCTTCCAGGGCTGTGTTGGGACGGGTATGTGGATTTTGGCCCACGAGTGCGGTCACGGTGCTTTCTCGCGTCACCAGAAGCTGAATAACTTCGTCGGCTGGGCTCTCCACTCGTTCTTGATGGTGCCCTACTTCTCCTGGCAGATCACCCACGCTCGGCACCACCGCTACACGGGTCACATGGAGAAGGACACGGTCTTCGTGCCCTGGACCGATTCGCAGTTGGCCAAGAAGAAGAACGTCCGGATTGAGCAGTTGAAGCACCTGACGGAGGAGACCCCAATTGTCTCCTTCATCCAGCTTATTGGTCACCAGCTCATGGGCTGGCAGCTGTACCTGTGCCTCAATGTCACCGCTGGGCCCAAGAGTCTGCCCGAGAACCGTCCGATGAAGGGCATCTCCAGCCACTTCAACCCCTTCGGCGACATCTTCACCCGCGCGCAGTGGGTCAGCATCGCGTTGTCCGACCTGGGCCTGTTGATTATGGGCTCCGTGCTGTACTACGCCTCGACTCAGATTGGGGGATGGAACGTGTTCCTCCTTTACGTGATTCCCTACCTCTGGGTCCACCACTGGTTGAGTGAGTCCAGCCTATGTCGTCTCGCATGAATGTATCAAACTGACAAGCTTAGTTGCCATCACGTACCTCCAGCACACCCACCCTGCCGTTCCTCACTACACGGCTGAGACCTGGACCTACACCAAGGGTGCTCTGGCCACCATCGACCGCAGCATTGGCTTCATTGGACGTCACTTCTTCCACGAGATCATTGATTACCACGTTGTTCACCACTTGTTCAGCCGCATCCCCTTCTACAATGCGGAGAAGGCCACGCATGCCATCCAGCCTCTGTTGGGCCAGAACTACCACGAGGAGAAGCAGGAGAGCTTCCTTTATTCATTGATGACCACTTTCAGAAAGTGCATTTATGTCTCCGAGAAGGGTCACGGCCACAGCGAGGCGCCCGGTGTAATGCACTTTGTCCTCGCTGATGAGGCGAAATAATGTGGAAGGCCCTTTGCCTTTGTCTGTTTCATGATGTGCCTGCACCATAGGTGGATGGCACAAGATGATTTTTACTCGATAGACATCTGTATATATATAGACTGATAGACTATACAGTGGCATTTTGGATCAAAGCTGCCAAATTTAGAATTCGTGCCCCACCTTAATCACCCGGCTGGCTGCCGCTACATAGTTGAATCCCGCAAGGGAGGCTGTTAGCAGGTCTGGAATTTGACGACCTTATCTTTGCACGGCTTTCCACTCTCTTTAGTTTGGATCCAAAGGCTACACTCAACATGCAACAAACCCAAGCTAAGCAACACCTCCAGCGCCAGAAAACACGTCCATCAACTTGAGCAGGTGCTCCCACCGAGCATCTTTCTGGATTGCAATTTTCCCCTCCGGAGTCATGACCTTGTATTCATCTGCCACACGTGTTCCATAGGAGTAACCCTCCTCGTTGTTGACGAATGCAGCCAGATCTCGGATCCAAGCATCCATCAACACCTTTTCATCGGGGTTTGGTCCATGCATAATCGAGTAACTGACAACGTCAAAAAAGTTATTACAAATGGATGCAGGAATGACTTACTTCCAGATCGGTCTGTCCATCGCATGGCTCACACCGAACGACGCAGGGGCAACATTGTCCGTGATAAATGATAAGCGGTAGGCAATCAGATAGCGCCAGACATCCTGGATATCCACGCCATGCTCCAGCAGATTCTTGATCAGGAACCTGGACGGCGCCCGCACCTGGCCATCGGCAATCAGATGTCCAAAGACCGCCTGCCACTCCTCCGTTGTGTCCGTCGAAGGCAGTTCATAATGCCGCAAGAGCCTCTCCGTCGTGGCCGGCGAGTAATAGTTCTGGACCTGTAACCTGAACGACTCCACGTTGGGCCGGGGGCTATTCGTCACCGCGTACAGAGTATTCTCGTCGCGCACCTCCCCAATCAACAAGCGCAGCCCCCGTCTCTTGAACTCCGCCGCAAACGAACCGTCCTGGAAATAGTCGAAGATGCCCGGCTGAATGAACACCCCATCCGTGACCGGCCGGAAGGTATGATGCTCAAGCTTCATGATGGCATCGCACAGCGCCATGGCCTCGATCCCGCGCAGTCGCTCCAGCTTCTTCTCGCCCGACAGCTTCGTCTCAATTCCGAAAGACGCGCATACCTCGTCGAACTGCGCCTGGCAATCCTCCGGTGTTTTCGGCTGCGTCGGGATGGCGTTGGAATACATGACCAACCTCCGAAACACGTCCCGCGACCGCGCATCGACTACGTCGGGCGCGGCGCGGAAATCAAATAACACCTGCGCCTGCACTGCGTACGCCCCCGCGCTCCGACCGGACAGGATCAGGTTCTCTGGGTCGCCGCCAAAGTGCTCGATATGCTCGTACACCCACTCAATGGCCAATCGCTGATCCCACAGCCCGTAGTTGCCCACCTCCCTGTTGCCGGACTCCTGACGCAGAGCGTCCCCGGCAAGAAAGCCGAAGATGTTGAGACGGTACCCCACCGCGACGAAGACGCAATTTACACCCCCTGTGGAGATGAGCTCGGTGGGGTCCATCCCTGCTTCCTGACTGGGGTCGCCTACCTGGAACCAGCCGCCGTGGAACCAGATCATTACCGGGTACTTTCGGTCCGGGTTGGCGGGGTCGGGCACGGGCGTCCAGATGTTCAGGCGAAGGCAGTCTTCGCTGTAGGTATGGACTGGGATGTGCTCGCTGACGGACTTGGAGTAGTTGGCTTGAGGGCAGACGGGGCCGAAGGTGGTTGCATCGAAGGTTGGACATTGAGTCGCTAACTCGGAGAGGGGTAGAGCCTTGGGTTTGCGCCATCGGAGAGGCCCAACTGGTGGTTTGGCGTAGGGTACTCCGGTAAAGCGCCGAGATTGCGTGCCATTTTGGAGGCCTTGGATTCTGAGTCCGGTGTTGGGAATATGCAGGTGGGTAGTGCTGGTGGTGTAGGATATGTTGTTGCCCATTGTTGCGACGGGAGAGGGTGAGAGTCTGTTTGCTGTACTCTTGGTGCACCTTGAGAAAACGGCTTGCAGTCGCAATGGAGAAGATCGATGCATTCATATACGGTGGTCAACCCCTCGATCGCTGCAATATTGTTGCCATGTCGTGCTGTTTCCCCCGCGGGCAGCAGTCTCATTGGCTGGAATAGTCGAGCATGCACCGCGATCGGATCATCTCCGCGAAGTCGATAAGATAAGATATCCATGATCCTACAAAATACTGTCTTTTGCAGTTAAGGTGTCCAGCATGAGGAAACACTGACAGTGGCGGTGCTGTTTCACCATCACGCTGCAAATGCCCCTGTAAAAGTGAGTTTGAGACTATGGTTCAAACTCTAGGCAACCATGAGAGTGTCACCGTGGACTTGACCCAAAAGAGCCAGGCACGTGACCAAAAGCCATATTCGCCTGAGGCAGCACTTCCGATTCTTCTCCCCCCAACTCGGTTAAAAGGAAACGAATACGATCTACTTCATCCATCATCTTCCGCCACTGCATGCATGCCCGGTCATGGACGAGTCAGTCGCAACACGAGTACGTTCGCGGCGATCGCACAATAAATCTCGTTTGGGGTGTCAGAACTGCAAGCGAAGACGAGTGAAGGTATGTCCTCTTCTTCGTTCAATCTGTCGACTTGTCAAGCCAGTGTGTCGACAATCAATCTCCAACATGCTCAACTCTGTTTTCCGCTCGCTTGCCTGCTTCATCCCTGAAAGGCTGCTAGTGCCCCCAACAGCTAATTCCTTGCAGTGTGATGAGAAAAAGCCTGCGTGCACTCCTTGCTCGCGCCACTCTATCGACTGCGACTTTACACACCCGCCTGCCGTTTCGTCCGTCCCAAGGGCTACGACACGGCAATATCGTTTCCGTCGTTCGAAGTACCAGGCTGAGACACAGACCGAGTCGTCTACGACATCCCGCTCTGACTCAGAGGCCAGATATTCGGCGTCGGTGTCGACCGGAACCCAATGCGACCTGGCGGTTAGCCAGCCGCCCGGCGGGGTTTCGTTCGCGGATCTCAAGCTGTACCACCATTTCATGACCACGGCGTGCAAGACTCTCGCCGACGAGAAAGCCGACACGAATCGTGTCTGGTCCGACCACGTGGCGCGATGGGGCATTTCCTTCCCTTCCATTCTGCATCTGATCCTCTCGCTGTCGGCGCTGCATCTGGCGTCTGAGAACCCTGACTCGAGGGCGGAATATATTGCCCAAGCGGACGATCACTTTACCTTTGGGGTGCGCTCTGTGACGGGGGTCCTGGCGCTGTTGGACTCGGAGAACTGCCAGCTGATCTATATGTCGGCGGCGTTGATCTGCCTGGCGTACTTTGGTCGGGGCCCGCGGACTGGCGAGTTTCTGGTGTTCAGCCACACTGGTCAGTCCGAGTGGCTGGTGTTGCTGCGCGGAGTGCGGTCAATCCTGATCACCCACCATCAACGCATCTTCACTGGGGTGCTGACACCCGTGCCGGATGACAGTATCAAAAGTGTCAGTCCAGCAATGCAGACAGAGCTAGACCAGCATCTATCGCAAATCCTGGACGTACGGTCGTGGATCAAGCTGCAGGTGGGTGAAACTGCCGTGTGGGCGATCTACGATGCAGCCATCGAGGACCTGATGACGATCTTCAAGGAGACGTACGAGTTCCGCAGCGCGGGCAAGGACGGAATCAATCTGATGCATCTGGCAATCGGGTGGGTGTATCGAGTCAAGGATAAGATGATTGCGCTGCTGGAGGCGCGAGATCCGTACGCCCTGGTGGTGTATGCGCATTGGAGTATCATTCTCCAGTACATGCAGTCGTCGTGGCTGATGAGAGGGTGGGACGAGCATGTCGTTCTCGGAGTCAAGGCGTCTTTGCCGCCCGAATTGCACGGGTGGATCGAGTATCCATTGCGAGTGATTACTGGTCGGAGTTCGCGTTCGTGATTTGCCTATTGATAATCTTGTCTTTTGATTCTCAATCAACCTCGAGACAGCATTGTACACAGTGTGCACTTGGCCTCAAGTTTAGAGTCATGCTTGTTTTGTCGAACCATGCTAAACGATCCCGCCCTTCCCTTGCGTAATCTTGTCAATCACTGCCGGCTATCAGACCCAATGAGGTGGTGTCTCCTGCGCCGCGATCCTTTGTAGTTAGTAAAATAGTAATCATGATTCTGTCGAAGTGCCGTGGAAGCTGACAAATTGTCATGTCAGAATGCGGACTCTGGACATTGATGATAGTTGGGGTTAGCCTGGGGATCTCGTGTAACGGATATCCGACTGGCCATATCCGTGATCCGCCGGATCATGCTTCGATTTGACCCGGACATATCCAAATTCTTATTGGACTTACAGGATATTGTTGTTGACAGTTTATTTATTGGATTATTCTCTACACTGTTCTTTGTCGGTGGTCGGAAACAATAACTAGCGGCGGGCGCCTCAGCAGGGATGCTTAGTTTCCTTCGGATCGCTCGGGAAGTCAAACCACACGTTCACACACACACTCACACACACACTCACTCACTCACTCAGGGGCAGCAGGCCAACATCGGACAATCCCTCCTTGATCCGCAGGCTTTTTCTGCGGTCAGAACCTTAAAGCAGCCCTTTGCAGGATGGCATGTGGAGAGATCGGGGACTCTGGAAGGTTCCACCTCCCCAGTCGTCATCCTTGACCAAGAATGGTTCAATTCCGCGCTTTGATAAGCGATGAATAAGGTGGGGCCCTGCTCAAGAATTGTGCATAATCCGGCTGGAATCGTGGGTACAGGAGGGACGGAATATCGGACATCCACATCTGCGCCAGAAGAGGTGGTGGTGGCGGTCGGTCTGGCGCAGGCCTATATAGTTGTGGAACTGTCGTCGTTGTTCCTGTCTTCTTTTTCTTCAACGCAACACAATACTTCCTTGAGATACCTTCTTTTGTTTCGATTCTCTTTGCTTCTCGCTTCTCGCACATTCACGCATCCACAATGGCCGCTCAATTCAAGAACCCTGCCACCACCGCTCTCCTGGAGCTGGCCAAGACCCGCCGCTCCCACTACGCTCTCAAGGCTGAGAGCCCCATCGCCGACGAGGCCATTGAGCACCTCGTCCAGCAAGCTGTCCTGCATACCCCCAGCTCCTTCAACACCCAGACCGGCCGTGTGGTCCTGTTGTTGAAGGAGGAGCACCAGAAGCTGTGGGACATTGCCATCGCCGCCCTGGAGGGTCTGGTCACTGCCGGCAGGGTCCCCAAGGAAACCTTCGAGAACCAGACCAAGCCCAAGCTCAACGCCTTCCGCAACGGCTATGGCACTGTACGTACCCCCGCCAAGTCCTCATTCAGTTGGAAATTCTAATGATCGAAAAAGGTCCTCTTCTTCGTTGACTACGACGCCCTGGCCCCCATCAAGGAGAAGTTCGCCATCTACGCCGACAACTTCAACCCCTGGGCTCTCGAGTCCAACGCCATGGCCCAGTACCTTGGTAGGTTTCCCTTGTCTCTCACTGATGAAGGTGCTTCACTAATCTTTGTCTAGTCTGGACTGCTCTCGAGTCCGAGGGCTTCGGCGCCAACCTTCAGCACTACAGCCCCCTGATCGACGACCAGATTGCCAAGCAGTGGAACCTGCCCGCTTCCTGGAAGCTCGATGCCCAGCTGGTCTTCGGTGTTCCCACCGCCCAACCCGGTGAGAAGACTTTTATGCCTCTGGAGGAGCGCTTCAAGGTCTTTGGCAAGTAGGCGGCTTTCGGTGGTTAGCTTTTAGCTATTTCAGCGATGCATTTTTGTTATAGAGCTTGATACCTAGAATTCATTTAGAATACTTATATATTCTTGTTATGTGTAGATCGTGTTTAGCATCTACTGGGCAGAGCGACTGGCTATGGCTCGTAGACATGTGTAGCAGAGAGAGAATCTAGGTATACAGGAATCAGAAACCGATCTACGAGTATCCGATAATTGAATCGATATAGACATCCGTCTCCAAACTGATTAGATTCACATCTGCTAAATTTGTGCAGCCCACTTCTTCGCGACGGCCCACTGCATCCTTCGAAGCTTGTCAGAATTTACATTGCCATTGGGCATGTACCTGACTGGCCTGTCAGTGACAACTATATTTAGCACGAGGTAGATCGATCTCCAGCCTGGAAGCTGCTCGTATTCGCTCGAGAATAGCCAAAAACAGTAATCACATAAAACAACCTAACATCCTGGATCAATTTTGAACTCAGGGACAAAGAGTCCAGATATATCAAATAGTATAGTTTGTTGGATATTATATAATCCTCAGCCATACTCTCTTTTGAAAATATACACTGTTAGACTTCGACGACAAACTACAGATTCGAGACTTATGCCCATGCGAGAAGTCGCGTCCCAACTCGCCAAACCCCTCCTGACGACAAGAAACAATATACCTGAGATAAGACTCCATATCGAGCCTTCTTATCGATCACTTCGGTTATCGGCATGCCTTTGGAATCTTCCGATCGCGCCACAACTCCCACTGCCGTCCATCTCACCCTCCACATTCCTTCTCCACATGGCTCCACATCCACACCCACCATCCTCCCACATGCACAATTTGTGGATTATACAATCTGTGCTTAACTATGCCTCGCGTCATTTGATCAATTCTTGGTAAATTAGGGATTGAATTGACTATATGATGCCTGCATTCAACAAGCGAGCAACTACCGCGGTGAGTGAACTATGACTGTTTCTATCTAGATATTGTATCGTCCATGGTCTACACGGTCCGCCGTATCGGCATCCTTGATCACCCCGTGGACTCCTCACGTTCTTCCCTTTTCCATGTATTTAGTCCTTAACTTTATGAATCAATGGACCATCTTCATCCGTGACTGCCATACCATAGGACGGGAAACCAATCGACCTCAATAGCGATGGAACATCGACCCGAGGGCAGGGTATCCTCGCCGTCTACTGCATGTGAGCGAGCGCGCCGATGCCACCACTGGATGCGTGAGCATACCTGGTCGTCACTTTCGCCGTCGCAGCCCCAGAGCTGCATGTATAAGTACGCGATATTGTCTGATTAGCGTGCGAACATATTGTGGCTCACTGGATGGTTCTCGCGAGTGTAAAGAGAGATTTCAGCCTTGTGCGGGGTCCGTGACAGGCAATTCACCCTAGTGGTTTGCTGATCCTTGTCTGTCAGCAGTGCTGAAAAGTACTTGAAGAGTACTCGACCCCTCATTGCTAATAAAAACCCCGCCCACGAATTCCTATCACAATGACTGCCAACACTGCCAATACAACCATACAGGGCACGAATCATGGCATGCAAATCGGACAAAACTTGGGAAACATCGAGGCTCACTTCCAGTCGGCTGAAGATCACTGCATCCGAGATCTCCTCACTACTGACCCACAAGATGACAGAAAACGGATTATTCAAGAGAAAGGGGGTCTACTGCAAGACTCGTTTCGCTGGGTCCTTGAATGCGAAGAATTTCAACAATGGCAAACGAACGCCGACAGTCACCTCCTCTGGATCAAGGGAGATCCTGGAAAAGGAAAAACTATGCTGATCTGCGGGATCCTCGATAGACTACCAGACCGCGAGGGAGTCAACGTTGCATTCTTTTTTTGTCAAGCAGCCGATCCACGCCTGAATACTGCCACTGCAGTTTTGCGGGGACTGGTATTTATGCTGGTCAATCGTCAGCCTTCGCTGCGGCCTCATCTTCAGCGCCGGTATGAGCAAGCCGGCAAGCAGCTTTTCGAGGGTACCAACGCCTGGACAGCTTTATCTGGCATTTTCTCCGCTATGCTCAGTGACCCAAGCCTCCATGAGACTTTCATCGCTATCGACGCCCTCGATGAATGTACCGTTGACCTGCCCCTTCTTCTCGGTTTGATTGTTGATCAGCAGTGCTCTCCCAGACGGGAGGTGAAATGGCTCTTGTCGAGTCGCAATTGGAAGATAATCGAAGAATTTCTCGACCCTGTGGTTGAGAATAGTAAGCTCTCTCTTGAAACACATGAGCGAGCAATTGCAAGCGCTGTGGCCGTCTATATACGGCATGAAGTCGGGAAGCTTTCGAAACAAAAGCGTTATTCCGAGAACCTTCACAACGAGGTCTTTTATCATCTGACATCAGAGCAGCCAAGTACTTTTCTCTGGGTTTCCTTAGTCTGCAGGGCTCTCGCTAAGTCATCAGTTCTGAACACGCGGAAACTACTTCTTACTTTTCCGTCTGGTCTTACGCCACTCTACCAGCGAATGCTTAAGGACGTTCTCGGCTGTGAAGACGCAACGCTGTGCAAATCCATCCTCGGGGTTGCGTTGACAGTATTCCGCCCAATTAACGTGGACGAGCTGGAAGGGGTACTGGAATTACCCGAGTTCCTTATCCAGAATCCACAGTATCTGTTGGATGCAATCAGCCTCTGCGGCTCATTCCTGATCCTTCATGAGCAGACCATCACGTTCGTCCATCAGTCAGCAAAAGAGTTTCTAATCGAGACGTCTAAAGACATTATCCTAGCCGATGGTATCCCCAACCAGCACTATGCGATCTTCACACATTCCCTCAAGACGATGTCTCTAGTTCTGCGGCGGGATATATATCATGTTCATGATCCTGACACGCACATCAACAGTATTACCCGTCCGGATAGTGACCCATTGGCGTCAATACGATACGTCTGCCTTTACTGGGTCAGTCATCTCGAACTGGGGATTCAAGACCATCCGCGAGAATTTGGCAGCCTCGTGGAGGTGTTTCTGCATAAATACTATCTTCAGTGGATCGAGGCCGTAAGCCTCCTGAGAAGAATCTCAGAGGGTATCAGGGCCATGGTCAAGCTTGAGATGGTAGTTCAGGTCTGTGTAAAATTGGTACCAGGGTGAAAGTGGTTAGGTACTGGTATGCTAATTCCAAAGTTAGGCACCCTGCGATTTGGGGCATTTAAGAGAGCAGATTTATGACGCCGTTCGTTTTATACAAACCCACCGAGCTGCTATCGAGCGATTTCCCCTTCAAATATACTTCTCAGCTCTTCTTTTCAGCCCGAGAAAAAGCATAACAAAACGCTTTTATCAGAATGAAATGCCAAGCTGGGTTCTTGATGAGCCTGTGCTAGAGGATAATTGGAGCCTGTGTACTCACAGACTTGAAGGTCATTCAGATACTGTGATCCGTGTCGCATGGTCACCAAAAGGCGATAGGCTCGCTTCAGGATCCAATGACGGAACTGTTAGAATCTGGGATGCAGACACCGGCGGTTCAATTATGGTTCTCAATGGACATGTCGGTAATGTCACAAGTCTTGAATGGTCTCCGATACACGAGCAGAGACTTCTGTCATGTGGATTAGAGCGCAACAAGACAGGGCCTTGGAGGCGTTGGCTGAGGTTGTGGGACTTGACCAGCGGAAAGTGCATACATCGTATCGACGGCGACATGTGTATTTGGTCAAAGGATGGGTTCAAAGTCGCGATCGTGGTGGAGGAGAAGTTGATCCGACTTTGGGATGTGGCGGCTGGGACTATACTGACTCTCGGAGGACATGATGCCAAGATCAAGGCTCTTGCTAGCTCATATTTTGATCAGCTTGCATCTCAGGCATTTTTCGGGCATGTGATCAAGATATGGGACCTGAGGACCGGCACGTTGACAGCAACTCTTGAGCATTTGTGGGTCGACGAGTTTGTTTGGTCGCCAGATGGCACACAACTTGCCTCCGTCTCAAATAGGGGGCCAAGCACAGTCAAACTATGGAACCCGAAAACAAGCCAGTGCATCAAGGAGTTCGGAGCAGAAGTTTTGAGTGGACCGCCTGTACGGGGACCGATTGCCTGGTCACAACATACCAATCGACTGGTCGTCGCATCCTCCGACATGATGCGCATTTTCGACCCAATCGATGGACAATGCGTTTTGTCGATGCCAACTGAGACAACTGGAAGATATTATGGACCTTGGTGTTCTGCCGACGGAACTCGAGTAGCGGCATTGATCACAAGCGGAAAAGAAATCCGTATCTGGGACCTGGCTACAGGGGAAGTTGTGTCAATTTTTGGACATACCGGCGCGGCAAATGCTCTTTCCTGGTTTCCCGACGGAAGACATATTGCACTGGCAACAGACAATAAGGTGATTGAATTCTGGCGCACGTCTGGCTTTGAGCGAAAGGCGGCTGATCTGGACGCATCATGGCCTGGCATAGATTACCTCGCTTGGTCGCATGATGGAATGTGGCTCTTGACCCAACAATCGGGAAATGTCAAAGTCTGGAACTCGCTCACCAAGCATCGTACGACTGTGGCACCAGAGAAACGGGTGTATGGCGTCTCCTGGTCACCCACTCGCCCGCACCTAGGAGCGATTCTGAACGAGGACAGGGTAATCATTTGGGATCCAGCCACAGCGGAAATCTTGGAAGAGCCTGAATCGCTTCCAGGTCTAGCGCGGTTGATCTCGTGGTCACGCGATGGAAATCGTTTAGCCATTCTCTTCAGAGACAATTCTTCCATTGCAGTTTGGGAACCCGGCTCGCCCCTTACCTTGCTAGATGGACACAACAATTTGCCGGGATCCGTGGCCTGGTCGTCTCAGTGCCATCGTCTGGTTTCTTTTTCTAACGAGGAGGGTAGTTCTATGATCAGAATATGGAGCAAGACTGGCGGCAGCTTGAGATGTACTGCTACCATAGAAGGGCCTTTTGGTGATTGGGAGTCGATCTCTTGGTCCAGGGCTGAAAACACCATTTTATTGTGGTCGTCAGACTGTTATGCAGCCATAATGTGGAGCTCGGTTTTCGGAAACGGTACCATTGCAGGCAACTTCGAACTTCACAATATGCCTATCATCAAGTCAGAACTGAGGATGTATTTGGACCCCGAGACCTTCATGCACTATCTCGAAAACAGCTCCTCTCCCGATCTTGCTCGCATCAACCCGGATCATCTCCCTCCCCTCTACAAACGACACGCGTACAGCATAAGCGAAGATAAATCATGGATCAACTATCAAAACAAAGGTCTCCTCTTTTTGCCAGCCGATTATAGACCGAATGACACCCCGCTTTGTATAAAGGAGACAGCTTCATCCATCAATTTGGCATTTGGCTGCCGATCAGGTCGTGTATTATTCTTTCGTTTATCGAAGGGAAATCCTATGCTATGAATATTGCATAAGAATAATATGTGACTGATAGGTTTGTGGCTTGGCATGGAAGAAACTTCTGCGCCTTCCCTCAATCACTTTCTCGCCGAGGAACATTGAGCGTCAATGGGAGTTAGAGCCATCAAAGAAAGTGTATAGCGGCTCATGGGCTCAATTTAGAACACATCTTGACTCATTGGGCTCTGCGGAACACCTGGAGGAAATGCCTAGTACTATAGGATTGAAGATGCGACTTTGTGATCTCGTGATTAGTGATTTGTATGCTATTGATAGGCACGTTCATTGGAATCGCCGTCCTCGTGGGACAGCCGTGAAGCTGAAAAGCCACTACCTCACGCACAATGTCTTTACCAACAGACCTCTTATCGCAGCTCCACTCCATACCTCAAGGCCCCCACCCTCGTAACCGTCATCCCATCACCATCCGGCAACACCTGGACCCTCGTTCCGACACGATCACCCCCATCACCCGGCAGCACAATCTCATACAAGGCCGTCGCATCCAGCAACGAATACGCCTTCCCCCCAGCAACCGCAGCACACTCCCGAAAGCCAACAGCAGGCTCAAACCCGACAAACGGCACCGCATCCGCCTCATCCAGAGCGGACGCAAACCCCTCAACCACCCACTCCGCCGTGCGCCCAGCCAACGTAGCCGTCGACTTGGGCGCCGTCAGCGTCTGCGTAACCGAGGCCCCAGAGCTACGATTCTCAACCACACACACCCCAACCCTCCCGCCGGGGTCCGCCGTCACCGACACCCCAAGCTCGTCCCCGGGATTCACCACGAACTCGTCATAGTACCGCGCGAAATCAGGGTACCATTCATACCACGGGTCCGTGTACGCCTGCCCGTCGATTACGTAGAGGTCTACGCCGGTTTGGAGGATCGCGTTGGTGGTGGTGGTGGTGGTGCTGGTGGTGCTGGTGTGGCTCTCGCCGCCGTCGAGTCCGATCCAGGCTGAGGCGGTCTGATAGTCTGTGCTGTTTGCTGGGAGGGGCGCTGGTGTGGGGACGGTGATTGTTGCGCTGATGGAGGTGAAGCGCGTGGTGTTCGTGTTGGTGCTGGTGTTGGTGTTGGTGTCGGTGCTCGGGTCCAGTGCGATTACGGCTCCGGCCCAGTTTGTGCTGTAGAGGGTTTCTTCGAGGAGGGCGGCGTGAATGCGAGTGTTGAGGTTGCTGGTGGTGCTCACTGCCTTGTTGCAGACTTGGAGAGGCCGTGTGCGCCGGTGGGCGCGGTGATGCTCCCGTATTGCGGTCACGTTGGGGTGCGCGCGGAGCGGTTCGGATTGTGCTGCGGTGGCGTATAGCGCTCCGAGTATGAGAATGCTAAGGGGCAGCATTGCGATAGTGGCACTAGGGTGCAGGGGCTTTTGTAGGTGGGAAGTGTGAAGTATTTGACGGAGAGACTGGGGATGGACGGGCTTTATATCTTGGGCGAAAGCTCGTTCGCTTGCATCGTGCCCTAGAGGTGTTGTGTAGTGCTGCGTCTAGCGACCTTGTCAGACGAGCATGACCGGCTCTACATGCTTGATGGGCTCGTTACACCCTCGCATTGGCGAGTTGATTGTGGATCTTTTTAGACTACAGCAGTGCAAGTGGGCGGTACTATACAAGTGTGCAAACGTAAGGAAAACCGAAAAGTACACAGAGCTCAAGCAACTACGAGGCTAATTCCGACGACGTCTCATTCCCCACGTATGCCCGTAGCGGACCATTGGTGGTTTTACAGCCATGCACGTAGTTGACGGTGAGTTGACACCCGCCAGGGAAGAAGGCGTGGCCACAGATCTTGCAGTCACCGCCAGACTCCTGGAAGATATGATCATAGGCACTATCGCACGTCAGTCAGAGACCCATAAACTTTACAAAGACACACGCATCCGTCGCAGGCACGCTGGATTCCACTTACGCTGCCATCTCCGGCCCGGCCATCTCGCAGTCATCCCCTTCCAGGAAGACGCCACATCCGAACCCTGCATTCTTGCCGTCGGTGTAGCATGTCCCCGAGTCTGAGTCTGTGTCTTTCGTCCTGTTGTACGCGTTAGCTTTGCCATTCCGTGCTGCTGCGACAGTGGCACGTACCCGTAAGTGTTCGAGCCAAGGAAACTCTTGGCCATGTCGCAGAAGCTGCGCAGATGGGCAAAGGTGCCACACCGTGGGGATCCCTTGCAATTATAGTCGGTTTCAGTGGGCGCAGAGGCGGTCGACGTTGTCTTCGTCGACTGCGTCGTGGTGGTGGTAGTAGGTCTAGTGGTGGTGGTGGTGATCGTGGCGAACGCAATCGAATAGAAGCTGTCCATCTCGTCCCACGCAGCGGTCATGGCCGCCTCGCCGTCCGTCGTGTAGTAGTCGATAAGCGTGATGGTCCCCTCCATCAGTCCGTCTTTGTCCACCGTGCTAGTCACGGTGGTCGGCTTGGCCGAGCAGGCGGTGATGGTCTCGCATCGGCTGGTCACGGTCGTTGTGGAATACGTCGACGCCGGCGTCACCAGCGTGCTGGAGATGTACTCGGTGCAGCGGTCTGCCGTCTCCGACTCGCAGTCCGAGTCCTCGGACTGGCACCCCTTACCCTGGCAGATCCCGTTCTGACACCCCGGTCCGGAGCAGCTCACCACGCGACATGCATGTCCGCTGCAGGTATGGTGTGCTGCCGAGCAGTCCTGCCCCATGCACCCCCAGGATAGGCATGACAGCCCGAAGCACCGGCCCTTGCTCCCCCCGCCGCCGCCGCCGTCGCTGTCATCGTCGTCGTCATTGTCATCATCATCGTCACTCCCGCTGTCATCGTCACTCTTGTGGTTCTCATTGCAGTCAGAGCCGATACAGCCGTGGTCCTGACACGACTTCCCGGTGCAATGTCCATCAGTACAGTCCGATCCGACGCACGCAGTGGGGATGCAGTCCTCGCCGACACAGACCCGACTCTGGCAGTCCTTACCCGTGCAGCCTCGCTGGATGCAAAGACCACTGCCCTTGCACTGCCCGTTCACGCAGCCCGGACCCGAGCACTTGCTGACCGAGGGCGCATCGGGGTCGAGCGGATCGATGAAGCTGGCGGAGCTCTCCGGTCCACAGTCCGTGAGACACGGCCCGCTGCAGAAGCTGTAGCATTTGTGGCCGCAGTTGGCCGTGCACGTCGGTCCGGCGGGGTCGCCTTGGGTGAAGGTGATGGAGGGATAGGTGGTACCGGTGGTCCACCAGGGCCAGGGAGGGATAGTCACCGTGCGAGTTCCCAGCGGCGAATGTGTCACTCCGGTCTCTTTGAGTGGGTTCGGGTCGTCGGTTACGATCACTGGGGGAAGTTCAACACTCGGGATCAGCATCCCAACGGTCGAGGTCACTTTGCTGTCTGTGATGTTCCAGTTGTGGTAGAAGATCGTCGAGGTCGTGATGGGTGGAATGGGGATCGTCGTTGGGACGATCAACCGTGTTGGCCCGGTAGAGACGGTGGTGCTGCTGCCGGAGGTGACTGTTCGAGTGGTGTTCCACACCAGCTCCAGGGAGGTTGGATAGCCTCCTGGAGAGATGACTGTGGGACTGGGCAGGATATGCTTGGGATAGATGATGCTGACCGGAGCCACGCCGGTCACCGTGGGCGAAGCGCCCAGCACTGGCGAGCCCACATACAAAAGCCCAGTTCCGTCGCTGCCCCCGTCACTGCTGGCTCCTTCCATGCTGGTATCATCACTGGTCATCGCGTTGGGATTCTGGAGAGAGCCAGGACCACCCAGGTCGAGTGCCCAGCTGAACAGTCCCCCGAGACACTTGCCGTTGGCAAAATCCGCCTTCTGCTTCAGCGTGCGTCCGTTATCAAAAGACGCCCACTGGTTTCCACTCCACTTGATCCAGTTGACCCCGGCCGTCGCATCGTAATCGACATTGACATCGTAACTGTCGATGATCCAGCTGATCTCGTAGTCGGAGAGGAAGCCGCTGGTCTCAGTGCACTCTCCGGCCACTGCGCCCCCGGTGCTGTTGTTCGCGGTATAGAAGGCACATCCCGGCGTGTTGCACGAGGGATCAGCCAGGGTGAATGACCGACCATAGAAGCCCAGGCCTAGAAGCACCTTGCTAGGGTCGATATTATTGCGCCATAAGAGGTCAAGCCCCGCAGAGATCTCTGGAGTAGCGCGCACGGTTAGTTGAAGGCCACGTATGAGGGTCAGAGAGGGCCGTCGTTACATACCGGTCAGGTTGGTGTGGGGGTTGACGACTGAACTCGTCCACTTGCTCGTTCCATCCCATGTGCCGTGGATGTCGTACGCCATGAAATTGAAGAAGTCAACGTATTTGGCCATCCCAGCGAGGTCGAAGCCCTTGAGGTACCCTACATGATTGAGTCAGTTCGTGCTACTCAATCCTCGCAGCTAGAGGTTGCTCGTCGGATAGACTCACAATAAGAGGACGGCAGGGTGCAGGTAACGCCATAATCGCTGCCCACGGCGGTCTTCAGCTCGGAGAGGAATGTGACCAGGTTGCCCGTGTCCCTGGCCGCACCGCCCCGATCTTCGGCTGCTGGGTATTCCCAGTCGATGTCAATCCCGTCGAAGCCATACTCACTCATCATGGCGATCGCGGAATCGATAAAGGCCTTGCGACCTCCGGGGAACCGCACCATATCCGAGAAGACCTTGCCGCCCAGATCCCATCCGCCCACCGAGATGTACGTCTTTAACGACGACTTTTTCTGTTTCAGAGCCGTGAATTTGGACCAGTACTCGCGGTCACTGTCATGGGTGGTGGTGATAGTGAAATCAGACGAGTCGATGCCGGCAAATGAGTAGTAGAGGTGCTAATCAATGAAGACGTTAGTTTTCAACCACGCTTTCATGCGAATTATCAGAGCAGACACGTACAGTCCATGGTTTGACATTGATATTCTCGGGCAGGACCACATCACACGAGCGTGTGGGATTCCATCCTTCGTAGTAACCCACATAGACCGCCTCACTGGATGTTCCGGAACAGCTTCTGCAGGTGTAGGCAATCGATCAGCATCGGCGTCCACCAGAGTGAGGTCGGGCACAGAGTGAGGAAGTCTACTTACGGCTCGTTCACTTTGTCGCAGCCACTCTGACAGCCGGTTCCGCAGAAGTCCTCGGTGGTCCCACAGAATCCGAACTGTGAACAGCATACATTCAACGGACAGGTTGCCCTGGGGGTGGCGGCATATTCTATTCACGCGGGTTAGGGCTCAATGACAACCATGTCTTTCTTTCATGATCCCGTCGAACATACCTCCACACTCTGCGACCGCGTCGCAATTGGACTGACAAACATCGTCGCCACAGAACTTTGGACCAAAGCCGCAGTAGCCCTCCTTGGAGCAACAGCCTGTGTCACAGGGATCCGTTGCAGAACAGCTTCCCACCGCCGCTCGCACTGAGTCGGCTGTCCAGAGGACGCTGAACAACAGCCCGATGGCCCTGGTTGTTGTCGTCCACTTCATTTCCTCTTGTTGCCCGAGGCTGACGCTGAAGGTGGGTATCAGAGTGATATATTCTGTGGTGACACCAAGGGGGATTTATACATCCAGCAAGCATCACTACTCTCCGTAAATCGCGGACCAGTTGCATATTGCCACTATCCACATGTAGTATAGAGGAAGGGGGAGGCAAATTGCGCTGCCGATTCATTACCCGGCCATACTCAGGGCCCCAACCCTGTATTACAAGTGCCGTACAGCGGAAGCGCGCGGAGACCTTGGCGTGAGCACTAAACACTCTTAGTGCTGATGATCCGAAAAGACCCCGGAGGCATACTTACACATATCGCTGCTGGCATATTGGCAGGCTCATTGGCAGGCTCGGGCCGGCGGAGTGGAGCGCCTCAATCAGGGCATCGTGAGATTGGCTCCAGACCCTTAACCTATGCAGGGGCTTGTTTCTCATCACTTAGCGTCTACACCCATGAGACCGCCAACGCGCTACCAAGACACCCAAGATCTCACTTGCAGCCGAGAGGGTTTTTGCCGACACCAGTATGCGCTTATGGTGGGACTGTCAGAGGCAGGCAGTGTCTGATCAGCTGTCACAGCCCCCAAAGTGTCTGATATTTCAGGGCTGCAGCTAAGCCCGGTCAGTAAGATTATTCTCCGCATGCATGAGAGGAAATGCCTCATCTCCGAGTTGGCTGACGGATTGATCTTGTGATAGCGGAAGAGAAAGTGCACCAACGCTGCCTTGAAAAGGATGAACTCGGGTACAGTCAGACAGGATGTAACGCAGGGAGGAGTCGCTGTGCCGAGGAAATTGCTCTCACGTACTGGAAAGGCTGGGATCAGGGTCGCTTCTGTGGTGGGCTTTGTACCAGTACTGAATGCAGCAAAGTCACTGATATCTCGTCCAGTTGTTAGCTCAGATGTGATCAGCTCAAAAAGTCTCTATCTTCTCCAGTAGGCTCTTTCTTCTTTCTCCTGCCCTATATCCATTCATTCCCTCATACATACATACATACATCCATTCATTCGTTTCTCAATCTGTCCATTCGTTCCTTCCTTCTTCCACTCACCTAGTCATTCATTGATCAGACCCTCTGGGCATCCATTCGTTTATTCTTACCATGAGACTGTATACCTGCTTTTATTTCCTGTTGCAATGGATGACCAACGTAAACATTGTCTTCCTAGGGCTAGTCATTCCCTCTGCACTGGCTTTTCCTTTAGATCTCTCCTTCAATGTCACGGAGCTCCTTCCCCTGGAGCATGTTTCGCAGCCCCTACCTGCACGCCATCTCGGGAAGCGAGCGTCAAGTTACTCTAGTATCAAATTTGGCAAAACCTGCTCAAGCGCGCAGCAACAGTACATCAAGACCGAGCTAGATGAGATCAAGACCATGGTAAGGATTCAGCCCGGCTCTCCTGGCGGGACTGAGTGCCTGCCCCTGACACAAAAGCTGATGTTGGCGCAGTTGACCCGGACCGAAGAGCAGATCCGCAGGATCCGAAGTGTCATCATGGACAAAACACAGCCGGCTGATTGGGGAACACGCTATGCCGATAATACGCGTCTTCTGAACACCTGGAATAGCTATATTCATCGAATCATGTACACCAGCCGGGCGCGAGGAGCACCAAATGCTGAAACTCCCAAGACATTTCAGGCTACCACGGCCAATATGCAGTATTTGCATGGTATGTAGACATTCACTGGCAAAGAAACGACCCAGAGAAAGCTGGTTGCTGATAAGGAGCTGTGTCTGGTATAGATGTTTACCGCCGCATTCGCACTGCTTTGCAACAGGACACAGTATCCATGTGGATTCATTGCAATGATAATTTCTTGAAGCTCAACACGGCTCGCAGTGTGAATGGCATACGTTAGTTGGCCTTCTCCTTCATTGCTTCCCTTTGTTTCTATCACTAATCGATTATACCACGAGAAAGGGGTCTACGATGATACGCGACCACAAGGCGAGGCCGGCCAGCCATTTACCCTTGCGGCAGATGGAAAATTATGCCATGAGTCGGACGCGGCCAACGGATGGCGATATCGCAACCAGGTCACACAGAAGGAGGAGATCTGCATTTGCCCTAACACCTTTGCCCGAACGAATACCGCCAACCTCTTGACCACCATCGCCAACGAGCACGCCGCCTTGCAGGGCAAAAGTCTCGGGCAGATGAAATTCCAAGCTGCGGCGGGCACTCTCCTCCATGAGCTGACTCACCTGGAGGGCATTCTCGGCGATGATGCGACTGGTAGGGCTTCATTTCCCCTTTATGTATTGTTAGGTATCCTTGCCGATAAAACCACACTGACGGTGTCATTGACCTGCAGGAGACTATGGATACACCGAAGTCAACATCCTGAAGCTCGCAGGAACCAGCGCTGCCAAAAGCATGCACAATGCGGGTATGTTGCCTCCCCGACTTACACATCTGGTGTTGCTGACAACTGACACTCTCCCCAAGACACGTTGGCCTATTTCGCAGTGGCCTTGTATTACTCCGAGTGCGACTGGTCCCGGTTTGTTTGTGGTGGTCGCAGTGTCCCCCAGGACTTTCGAAACGACAACGGCGGTTATGATCGGTTTGATTACTAGAATTAGCACTAGTTGGTATTAGTTGTATAGCCACCCTAGTTGTACTGGTTGTAATTACTAGTGCGGCAGTGGGTAAAATGAATTACTTCGCTAGTTCTGACGTGAACTTGAAATCACCCACCCCAGTGTTCATATCGTTGATTATTCGGGCCCACCAACTATCTACCTTTCTTTAAACTTTACTGGGAGTAAAGATTCACGTTTGTCCTCCGTGCATAATGACTGCTTTTAGTCGCCTGCCAGATGAGATCCTTCTGCTCGTGGCACAGCAGCTGGATACTCAGCCGGACATCTATCATCTAGCACAAATCAATAAGCGCTGCTACCGGGTGCTGTATACCTATCTCTGCAACTACAACATCCAGCACCACGGGAGTACGGCCTTGCTTTGGGCCGCACAGCAGGGTAATCTCCCATTGGTAGCCAAGTTGCTGGAGGCCGGGGCGAACATTGTCACCTGGTCACGCAAGGAAGAGGTCTGGAAGGACGCTTTCGGGGAGAGATGGATACGCTTCCCCGGCGAGAATCCGCTGTTAGATGCAGCTCAGGGGAGGCATACCGCAGCTGTCCAGCTCATGCTAGACGAGAAACGACCCAACCAAGTCGCGAGCCCGGATCAGTTGCGGACGCTTCTTCACTGGGCCCTCCGAGCCCACGACAGCCAGCTGGTTGATCTAGTGCTCAAGCATCGTCCCCCATTTGACTCGCGCACCTATAGGGACTGGCCGTCTCCTAGGCCAGACAATTGGCCTTCCGCGCTCAACGTGGCCCTTGAGGCAGGATATTACTCTATTGTGCCCCGCCTGGTTGAGCTGGGCGCAAAGCCCGGTCCGTATCGACGTCGGCCGTGTCCGATTGAGCAAGCGATCTGTCGCGATCAGCCACAGCTTGTGGAGCTTTTCCTCGCGCACGGTTGGATGCCGCACCGGGATCACGGCATATGCTATATCGCCGATACGAATAATACTGCTATGCTTCAGATTCTGCTTAATCATAGCCTGAATCTCCGTTTCTATGGTACCACTGCTCTTTTTGTGGCAATTTATGCCGGACACTATGAATTCGTGCAGATGCTTCTTGATCATGGGGTGGACACGAGACTGGGGTGTCTCTTTGAGACTACGGACGGCACCCCTCTGATGAACGGGTATACCCCAATTGGCTTTGCCATCAAGTGGAGGCGTCTGGAGATTCTGCGTCTATTGCTTGACCGAGGGACTCACGCGGACCGGGGCGATCTTGAGATGGCCAGAGACTATGGTTTCGAGGAGGCGGTGGACCTGCTTCAAGCCTTCGAGGGATCAGCCCCGCAGCCTTTCAACACTGTTTTTGAGGAAGTGGAGGGCCTACTGTTCGAAACTCCAATTGAAATAGCGGAAGCAGATACTGTTTTACCCGAGCGTGTTGAACTTCTTGTTTTGGATGTGCCGGGTGGCGTGACTGATGCTTCGGACATATGGTCGGGGATGCCCAGGTATGTGCTGCGACCTCTGGAGGGGGCATCATCCGGCGAAAGATAGCACAGAGTGATAGTCAGTCTAGAATCAACCACTATCTCCCATTACGTGAGGTAATGGAGAAAAATACATACCTGGGCCGAATGATAACAATCGCCTAGCTATCTTGGCGCGGTCAATGAACAATGTCTATTGTTATTCCGCTGCCGAGCAGTCCAGGAAATGATACACTAAATTATATATCAATCTTACCACTATTGTATTGTCGGTGACAAGCTTACGCAGGGGCTGCATTTTAGGGCAAGACCGGATGCGGGGCAGCCACGGCCTAGTCAAGGCTCTTCGCTTCGACATTCGATACTCTAAAAAGTCCGAACAGACGATGTAACCGTGCAATTCAAGATAATCTGCCGGTTGATCCGGATACTGCACGGGTGGTGACTGCATGCCATAAGCATGGGTAAACTCCAGACTTCCGCCGTGGTCCCGCCCATCCATGTCTGACAGGGAGAACTCATCTCGACTATAAATATGGCCATGAGGTGCGCTTACTGAGTGACAACCAGGCAGCTTCAACCCTTCTTCGGTACTCATCCTCATTGAAAATGTTGTCCTCTGGGCTCCTGCCATTCCTCGCGATCCTGGGCCTAACCGATGCGGCTGCCATTGGAAAGCGATTCACAAACGGCGACTTCGCCACTGGCGAATCCGACCCCAATGTGACCAGTGCCTGTACATACTGGGCAAATTCCATCAAGTCCACCGACACGTGTGCGGCCCTGGAGAACTATTACGGGATTACCGTCGCGCAGTTGGCCTCATGGGTAGGTTCTTCCATCTGCAGTGTTCCTCGATCGTTGGCTCTCTCAGCTGACAATTATAGAATCCGTCACTATCCACCACGGCCTGTACGTTAATTGAGGGATGGAGCTACTGCGTCGAGGCACCTCCAGGCGCTGGAACTGCTCTCACCACTACCACCACCAGCACCAGCACCACTACCACCAGCAAGACCAGTACCAGCACCACATCCGCCACGACAACGGCGACAACTAGCTCCCCCGGAAAGCCGTCTCCAACGCAGGCGGGCCTAGCGGCTAACTGTGATGCCTTCTACTATGTGCAAAAGGATGACTCATGTTGGGCAATCTCGAACTCCTATGGCAATTTCACCCTGGATCAGTTCTACGACTGGAACCCGTGAGTGGCATCAGCAGGGACCCGTTGACCATACTAGAAAACACATACTAATGTATGGATCATGTGCATTTAGGGCAGTGAAGACGGACTGCTCCGGCCTGCAACCTGGCTATTATGTCTGTGTGGGCGTGGCTGGCGCCGGCACTCCTGCCACTACGACGACATCCATCGCCGCCACTACCACTACCGCATCGTCGACAACGTCAACAGGCTCTTATCAGCCCCAGCAGACAGGTATCGCGTCTAATTGTGAGACATTCCCCAAGACGCACGTGATGCATTGTCATTTCTCTTGGCCTCTAACCTCCATCCAGGTGCAAGTTACTACTTCGTTGAATCCGGAGACACCTGCGCCAAGATCGCCACGGCCAAGGGGATCAGCCTCAGCGACTTCTACGCCTGGAACCCAGCGGTAGGCTCGGCCTGCAGTACCCTGAAAGCAGGTTATTGGGTGTGTGTCGGTATCAAAAGTATGTACGCCCACCACCTTTGACAAGCAAAGCATTAACCCTCCACCACAGAAACGCCAACCACCACCACAACCACCGCCGGGGCAGCCCCCTCGACAACAGCCTCCGGTCCTTCACCCACCCAATCCGGGCTCGTTTCCGACTGCACCACCTACTACCAAGCCCAATCCGGTGACTCGTGCTGGTCCATCACCCAGAAGTACAGCTACCTGAGTACCGCGCTGTTCGAGCAGTGGAACCCGGCCGTTGGCACCAGCTGCAGCAACCTGCAGGTCGGCTTCTACTACTGCGTGGCCACCAAGAACCAGGCCCCCATGCCGAACACGATCGGGACGTGCAGCAAGTGGCACCTCGTGGCCAGCGGCGACAGCTGTTGGGCCATCGAGCAGGAGTATTCCATCACCGCTGCCCAGTTTGGCAAGTGGAATCCGTCCGTGGGCGCGAGCTGCTCGACCTTGTGGCTGGGGTATTGGGTTTGTGTTGGGGTATAGTTTCCTTACTTCAAGCTAATGAGTTGGCGACTAAAGACTGCGCGATCTCTACCTTCTTCTTCGTTCCTGTCTTGAGGGCTTTACGCCCTTGGTCTGTGTGATAAGTTAGGATGGTGGGGTTGATCGACATTGTTTTAAAGGGGGGTGGTTGACAACGAGTCGGAAGTTGTGTTATGTTCTATTGTACTTAGCTTTCAGTCACCTCGTGATTCATTAATAATGTATTATTTTTTGCCTTGCCCCAGACAAGAACTGAAGTCACCCTGCAGGCCTCGAAAATATCTGGCAATAGATATCAGTTTAGCATCACAGCGATATACTTTTGGTCAATCGCTCAGTATACCCCGTCAAGCACATTATTGGAGCCCGTCATAGCTCATTAAGTATCCAGACAGATACGTCAGACCGAGCTTTGTGGCCGTCAATGTAAGGGTGGCTCGGAAAGGGATCGATTGACTGAGGGGCGGCTGATGGGCGAGGAAATGTATGCATTCATAAAAAATTGACTGACAACCCCTTACTTGCAATTGCCCAGTGCAGTTATGATTTCATGACCATGAACTTAACCGACCGCTTCATCCCCCGGCTGTCTCTATCGCTCTTGGTGCACCGTTTTCTCCTCTGTTTGTGTTTCTCTGGAGATAGAAGCCCTTTACTGGTACTCCGCCGTGCCCTGGTACTTTGCCAAAGACCAATTACTCAGCTCTACACGAACGAGCAATGACAGCGAACGAGAACATCTTCAAAGAGCTGGCAGCAACGGATGGCTTGTTCCTCATGCTCTGTATTGCGGTCACGATAGGTGCGGGCTGGCTAATATTGAGGCCATCGTCGACGCGAGCATTACCGCCGCTCCCTCTGCAACCCCTTCCGTTCATAGGCAACCTCCATCAACTACGCGGTAACAACGGGGTTAAAGAGTCTTTGGCCTGGCATCAAAGATGCGGCCCCCTGCTTACCTTGAAGCCCGGGCGTCGTACAGTCATTCTGATCGGAGACCGAGATATCGCGAACGCCCTCCTCAGCAAGCGAGGCCGCATCTACAGCTCCCGCCCGCATCTGACGATGGCCCTGGACGTGATGTCGAAAGGGGACCACACGGTATTCCTCCCGTATGGGCCCAAATGGAAGGCGCACAGTCGCCTCCACGTGGCATTTATCGGACACCGAGTCGTCAAGCATTATCGTAGAATCCAGGAGCTGGAAAGCCTCAAAATGCTGCAAGAGCTGCTCGCCGGAGTGGACGCCGTGGAGGCCTTCCCACGCTTCCAGACCAGTCTGATCAATACGCTCGCCTTCGGCGCTCCAGTCACGACAATGCGATCGACGCAGATGCGGGAGGTCCAGGAGCTCTCCAAGGCGTTCATCGATGCCAGCGCCACGGGGTCGTGGTGGGTCGACTCCTTCCCTGCTCTCCGGTGCTTGCCCTCGTGGCTGGCGCCCTGGAAGCGGTTCGGCGAGCAGATCCATGCGAAATTCGTCCGAATCACTGGGACCAGCATTGCCGCCGCTCGGAATACCCAGTCGTGGAACTGGGTGAAGTATACGGACCGGCTCAAGGGAATCGGCCCGATCACCGACCACGAATTGTGTTTTGTGTTCGGCAGTCTCTACCAGGCTGGCGTGGACATCGTCACGCTCTACCTGCAGAGTTTCCTGGTCGCCTGGATTACTCACCCGGGGCCTGTCCTCATCGCGCAGAGAGAGCTCGACCGAGTCGTTGGGCCAGCTCGACTCCCGAGCTTCAGTGACGTGGCTAAGCTGACGTATTGCGAGGCCTTTGTCAAAGAGGTGTTGCGGTGGCGTCCACTGGCAAGTTGGGCGATGCCGCATTGTCTAACGGAGGAGGATACATTCATGGGCTACCGCTTCCCCAAGGGCACGATGTTCATCGCCAACCAATACGCCATGGACATGGATCGTGAGACGTGGGAGGATCCGGAGTGCTTTCGCCCGGAACGCTGGCTGAATCATCCGTCGCGTAACCCAGCGTCATTCGGGTTTGGACGTCGCATGTGCCCAGGTAGCCATCTCGTGATGGAATCCCTGTCGATTATCATCCCGCGGATGCTCTGGGCTCTCACCATGAAAGGACATGCTCGTGGAGAGAGAGGGGAAGAGGTTGATTCAAACCTGTGCAATTTCCGGCAAGAGGGCCCGGTTCTCATCCCGCCGTCTTTCGAGCCTGAAATCTGGATTAGAGATGAGCACCGCCAGAGAGTTTTAGACTTGACTATGGAAGCTACGGAGAAAGATGTCGACGTCTTACTCCGGCGAATCGGTAAGGAGTTCAACCCATAGGAGGGATGGTCTCATGTACAATAATCCCAATTTGGTCAATGCACCTATGAATCATGTAGACAGCTAGTGGTATCTTATTTCTCTTTCTTATATTCTGAATTATGCGATGAAAAAGCGGCAATCCCGAAGCATCAGAGAAATAGTGAGATTAGCCAGACCATTTGTGATAAAGCCGGCCGTTGATGGCTTGCAGCTTCTCCGGAAATAAGTTTCGAATACCCAAGTGACTATTCAGATAAATCCAGGTAGTCCCAGCTTGAGGAAGATAGACGGCCAGGTCATTCCAAAGCTCACAGCCCCTTGAACGATGATAACCAAGATCAGCAGAGAGGTCACGGACCGTGAGGCGGAACTCTTATCGGGTAGCTTTGGAGGATTCTGGATTTGAACCATCTTTCTATACCTTTGAATCGCCTCAATAGCCAATGCAGTGGTCAAGCCCTTATTCCCGATGTTCACGCCTGATGACCCGTAGCGATAGATCCAACCCTCGTCCCATGCGCCATCCTCGCATTGCATGGCGAGAAGGCTTTCGTAATCACGTTGGATCCCGGTCGCAATGCCAAGAGCACAACAGGCAAGCAGTCGCATGGCCAGTGCCAGGGCATCGCCCTGCGTTCCAAGTCTCTCTTGCACGCGCTGTTTCAGGAGTTGCTGGATAGTAACCAGGTCTGGTGCCGTTGGGTGAGAAGCGCACAGGCCGCTGAGGAAATACAGGAAGGTCTCAGCAGTTGAGTAGTATCGTGTACCGTTGAGATACGCGCGGTGATACAGAACATTTGTCACCCAGTTGCGGGTTTGCGATACCTGGTGGCCTCTGCCATGACGATAGAAAAGCTTGAGCATGTTCACGCTCGCCACAGGATCCACGCGCGGCCGTGTCTCGTCGAAGTAGACCTTCAGGTTTGGGACAGTTAGTGCGTCGACCTTGGCTTTACTTCGTCGGTGGCCACCGGCGTACCGTACCTGCAGGATTTCTTCTTCATTGACTGTTGCCAGCATCTTATCGAGAATGGTGTGGATAACCAACCCGGGAGGTGGACCCACAACGCTCATGGCAAGCGAAGTCGTATCAAGGTCGTCGGGGAAGGTTTCCGTCGTCAAACGAGCTCCATCTACAATACAGGGTAGCAATATTCAGCTTTCGCACTGTGACAGCTCCACCTACCAATAAAGAAGTTCCATGTCTGCTTGCCAGGTTCCAAGTCCACGAGGTCACTAGGAAGAAAACTCAGTATCCTATGCCCAAGGGCTGGGCTGTACGCACCGTCGACGTGTGGAGCTCAGGATCAACAGCTGCGCGAAGTTCTCCCTGATGGTCACGCCAGTATTGGTGACACTGAGCAGACGGCCTCGATGCGACTCAAGGAAACTCCAGCCACGAGAGACTGGATCACCGAGAAGATTGCACAGGGCCTGTCTGGTTTCGTGTTCGCTCCGGTGAAGGATGGCTCTGATGCCCATCGACTCAGCCGCAACCACGTTGTCGATTTGGTCATCAACAAAAATCAGCCTCTGCGGTACTATGTTGAGCGTCTCGATCACGTGTTGATAAATGGCGATGTCTGGCTTACGCGCGCCGATTTCGGACGAGGTGAAGATGCGGTCAAAGAGATCCCAGTCAGCCTGCTTCTTACGTAGCGCAGCAAATACCGGGGGAGGTGTATTGGAAAGAGCGACCACTTGAAGTCCCGGGGTGGTTTTCTTCATGGCTCGCAGAAACCGACTGAAAGATACCTCTTCTTGCAAGGAATTGGACGCTTGTGCAAATACCTCTGCCAAATCGGACTCGGACACGGCAAAGCGCTTGGCGAGTCGACTATAACACTCTGCCTCCGAGTAGCAACCACGTTCGTAGTCATGCCAGATCTTTGTGGTCAGCATCTGTTTGAAAGACTTTCGGGAGATCTTGCATTTCTCTGGAGCCGTCCAGGTGAAAAGAACCTGGCCCAAGTCGACTATGACAGCTTCGAATGAAGACATTTTCATGTGGAGGCTGTCTTGAAAGAGAATGGTAACCCTTAGACGTAAATTGGCTCAGCTCAGCGCAGCTCTTTAGTCATTTGATATGGGAGACTGCCCAAGGTAACTGTTGTAAGATAAGTTCATCTGTATTGTCAGAGTAAACAAGAAGCAACTACCAGTAGATCTATACCTCCTTTACACTTTTCCTGACGATTGATCTCCTGACCGCAGATCTTCTCGCGTAATGCGAAGCTTGTCATACGTTATCGTGAACCCCATGAACTGTGGGCAGAGGAATGTAAGCTGGCTAGATGCAAGACGTCTGCACAATGCAAGGGCAGTGCAGGGATAAATTATGTCCTAAGCGTCGTTGTCACTGTCAAACTTTCTATCACCTCAGCTTTCTTCCTGATTTGCTGTACAGTACACCAAAAGCCAGCTTTTGAGGGATGAGAATCTTGCCCCCGCCCAACGCGAGAATCTTTAGCCCTGGTTCCGAGCTGCCAATCGTCGGTCCCAGGCTATAGAGCTATAGTGTTCCCGCATGGTAGAGGAAAACGGCGCATGGTCATGTATACGAAGACAAGACCATGCGGTGCAAGGGGTGTCTATGAGGTATGTGACTATCACTGTTGTTGCCCAAGTAGGCTCACCGCTCGCCTCGATCTTGATAAACTCTGTACTCAGCAACCTGTGCACCCCTTGAGCCTGTTCAGAGGCGAAAAGGCCCATCTTTCAGCCTTGCCGCAAACGTTGTCCGACCCATGTTGTACCTTTGGTCGGCTCTCTTACTGCCATATCACTAGGAACCGTTTTGCTGCCATCGTACTCAAATCAACCTGGTCAATTCATCATGATAACTGGGTCCGCCGTACTCTGGCTTGTGGTATGTGCCCGGACAAGCGATTCTGCTGCTTAGTGGGGAATATACGAAGTAACCCTCATTAGGTGGCAATAATTCTCGCACGTGCTATATATCGAACATTCCTCCATCCCCTGAGTCACTATCCAGGGCCGAAACTAGCGGCGATAAGCAATCTTCCCTACGTTACCTGGTGGCTATCAGGAAACTTGCACCTCCGTCTCCGAGAGCTCCATGACAAGTATGGTGAGGTGGTACGCATCCGCCCCGATGCACTGACATATAGCTGCCCTCAGGCCTGGCAAGATATCTACGGTCACCGACGACAAGGAGACCCAGTGTTCATTCGAGACCCGGAATATCACTCCTCAGCATCCCAGGGTGCCGCTGCGCACATGATCAATGCCCAAGAAACGGATCATGCCCGACAAAAGCGTCTTCTTTCCCATGCCTTCTCCGAGAGGTCGCTACGGGAACAGGAATCGCTGATCACGTCGCATATCGATCTCTTCATCCAGCGGCTGGGCGCTTATGCTGATACGGGCACCAAAGCCAATATCAAGGAGTGGCTCAACTTCCTCACGTTTGACATCATTGGCGACCTGGCTTTTGGCGAACCGTTCGGATGTCTGAAGAGCTCGGAATGTCATCCCTGGGTGTCCATGATCTTCAAGAGTATCAAGACCGGAGCATTCCTTCGCACCCTCTCAGTGTATCCAGCTCTTGCTTTTGTCATACGAAAGCTGATGCCAGCGAGCCTGGTGCGGCAACGCGTGCAGCACTATCAGCTTGGAAAGGAGACACTGAACAAGCGGTTGAGACAAAAGACTGACAGACCCGATTTCGTCACATATATCCTAAGGTATAACGACGAGAGGGGAATGCGGCTGCCCGAGATCGAGGCGAACGCTACACTGATTATCCAGGCCGGCAGCGAAACAACGGCAACTGCACTGTCGGCGTCTATCTTCTACCTCCAGAAGCATCCTGCATGGTGGGAGAAGACGGTCCACGAAGTGCGAGAGGAGTTCACTGCCAGCGATGAAATCGGATTTCTTACCACGAGCAAACTGCCCTGCCTCAACGCAGTACTCGAGGAAAGTATCCGCTTGTTCCCGCCTGCACCCTCCATAAATCCTCGACTGGTTCCTGAGGGAGGAGGTGTAATCAATGGGAGCTTTGTGCCTGGCGGGGTAAGTCAAAAACTGACTCTCTCCCCTTGTTTGTCTACTTCTCCACGAATCGGGGATTGACCGATCGGTGTCAGGTTTCTGTTTCCGTGCCACATTATGCCACTTATCGCAGCGCGCGGAATTTTGCTTTCCCGGATTGTTTTCTTCCTGAACGATGGCTTGGAGCCGCTCAGTACAGCGAAGACAGGCGAGAAGCATTCCAGCCTTTCTCATTTGGGCCGAAGGCGTGCATCGGAAGGAAGTGAGTCCCAGTTCTTTGAACCTGACCGAGGTTCCCTGCCTGTTCGCGCGTACTCTGCTAATGATGTGCGTAATAGTCTTGCGTACGCGGAGATGCGCACCGTTCTAGCCAAGCTGTTATGGCACTTTGATCTAACTATGGACGAGAAATGTAGTCGTTGGGATGAATCGAGGACTTATGTGGTGTGGGATAAACCGGATCTCTGGCTGCGCCTCAGGAGGGCTAACAAAGATGGAAAAAGCCCGTCATCGTGATCTAAAGCAAACCCAATTCATGCGAATGACGCTGTAAGGAAACCGATTTTAGACCGTCGATTGCCTACTGTACTTCTCGATGTAGCCGGGCGACATCGTGCAGGCCACGCCCACCGCTAATAAGGCTCTTATGAGGGAATGATCCACAGCTCGTCCTGGATACAATTCCGATCCTTCCGAGTTTATTGTGTTCCTCGCCATGATTTTGCGCATAGCAGGTCTCACCGCATGTATGAAGCTGACTGTCACTGACTCCTTGCCGCTCACTATCACTCGCCTGAGCCGCCCTTCTGGTATGCAGAAGTAAGGAGATGATGCGCATATCAAGTGAGACCCTGAATCTATGTACATATCATACAAGAAATAGTTCTAACCGGGTGGAGAAGCCCTGAGAACGCAAGCAGTAGTGGGTCAGTGGCACGTTATCTGCCCCAGCCCTCGAGCTCAAGTCTACAACTTTCTCTGCGGTAAAACATGAAGATCGTTTGGTGAATACAATTATTGTACACAGTGACTATGAAGACCAGCGGGCCTGGATCGTAGAATCTGACTGCATATTCTCTTTCTTTTAAGGATACCTTCTAGTTATCACCTGTACTCATATGATATCTTCATTCCATAGCCAACATACCAGTCACCGTTCAGCTCGAGGCAGAGACCGCTACCATGCAGTACTTCGAAAGTCCTGTATTCAGCTTCTCTGCTGATACTTTTTCTTGGACAGAACGATCTCTCACAATTGGCCTGCTGGGCATAGCCGTCTTTACGGTTCTTCGTTTCACCTACAGCCCGAACAGAATCCCCCTTATTAATACTCGGAAGCTGCTGGAAATCGGCTACAGCAATGCAATTCAGCGGTTTCTTGTTGACGGCCCAAACTTGGTCAAGAATGGCCTCAGAAAGGTCCTGCTCCCTCTTCCTATATCACCCCCTCCATGTTCCCCAATGCGAGACTGACATTGGGTAACCAGTTCCAAGTCTTCCGTATCCTTACCAATGATGGATATCAAGTGGTGCTCGCGCCAGAGTTTGCGAAGGAGGTTCGCAACAGCTCCGCCTTTAGCCTGAGCAGCTCTATCGCCCGCCGCTTCCACGCTGATATCAAGGGATTTGAGCCATTTGACGTCATGACGGGCTATGATAGATTTTTTGCTGAGCTGATCCGCGCGAAACTGACCCCAGACCTTGGTAATCCATTTATTTCCTCGTACTATATGGCTCTCTTGAGCAGGTACTGATATCTTCTCCCCCGTTGCTCTAGAAAGCATGTTTCGGCCTATATCCGACGAAACTGCAATGGTGCTGGATCAAGAGTGGACGAACAATTCAGGTAAACTCGCATGGATCCAGCCAATACACGGACTTCGTGCAGGGAGTGTCACTAACCTGGAGACGAATCGCATAGAATGGCATAGCTTCAAGTGTCTCAAACCTTCGATCCTGGCCATCACTGCTCAGCTATCTTCAAGGGTATTCCTTGGCGAGCCTCTATGTCGCGATCCCAATTGGGTACGGATTACGATGGTATACACGGTGGATTCACACAAAGCATCACAGGCCTTGCGAAGGTGGCCTGCAGCCCTGCGGCCGATAATTGCACGGCTCCTACCTTCCTCTCGCAAGATACGGGCCCAGATCGAGACCGCACGCCAGATTATCGAGTCAACCTTAGCAGAGCGACGGCGATGCAAGCAGGCGGCCAAAGAGAATGGGCTGAGTGCCCCTCAGTACAACGATGCCCTGGAGTGGGTAGAAGAACTCGGTCAGGAGAAATGCCCCCATCACCCTGTCATGGCGCAACTGGCGCTTGCCATCGCTGGGATTCACAATACAGCCGAAACGCTCACACAGCTTCTATATGATATCTACCAACGGAAGGACTTGGCCGATGCACTCAGAGAAGAGGCCGCAACGGTGATTGCAAGAGCAGGCTTGACAGTATCTGGACTCAATCAACTGGAACTGATGGACAGTACGATGAAAGAGAGTATGCGACTCAAACCGCCCATGATCGGTGAGTTTTCTTATGCTTCGTTGCCCACTCCCCCGACAAGAATAACTCTCTGCTAGCTGCCATGCAACGGATCACTCACTCAAATGTCACCCTCTCCGACGGCACCAGGATTGACAAAGACAGCTCCGTGATTGTGTCAGCCACACGCATGTGGGACCCAAAGGTTTACGCCAATCCAGAGACCTTTGATGCGTATAGATCTCTGAGGGCGAAACAAGCTTCAGGTAATCACCGGAACTCACAGGCAGTGACACCGACTCCGGAGCATCTGGTGTGGGGGCTTGGCAAGTATGCTTGCCCTGGTCGGTTCTTCGCTGTGGCAGAGATCAAGATCATCTTGCTGCACATCCTCCTGGATTATGATCTGAAGGTGGCGGATGGTGCTTGCACATCTCCTGTCAGTTCCGGGTTTTCCTTCCGGTCGAATCCAAATGTGGAGATGTTTGTCCGGCGGCGACGCGAGGGGCCCAGTTCGCTTGCTACTTGATGCGAATAGTATAGAGAAGACGAGTAGACTAGACCAACCCCTTACTATGAGAGACTGCTATACTCAGTGCCGATACCCCCATACTCCTCTCGACCAATCAGGGGCCCGCGAATGCGGCGGAAGCGATCCGAGGCTCGGGCGGAAGTCTTCCGTTCCGTCGCGGGGCAAGTCCGATCCGTTCATCTCTCCATTTAATTAATATGTCAATCTTCCATTGAATCAACCTCAACCTTTCTAATTACTTCAACACACACTCTAACACTCTCTAAAGGGACACCATACTACGGTGCGATCTACTCCATCCACACCAGCCCACTAAAATGGCCGACCCCACTCCAGCCCAGACACCCGCCCCACCCCTCCGCCAAATCCCGCACACCACACTCTCGGCCTTCGTGCAGCGCGTGCTGGAAGGCAACGGTGTCTCAGCAGCCGACGCAACCATCATCGCAAACTGCCTCATCCAAGCAGACCTGCGCGGGGTGGATACACACGGCAGCAACCGGATCCCGTCGTACATGGCGCGTATCCGACAGGGAGTCCTCGACGCCAACGCAACCCCCACGCTGCAGCAAGTCACGCCAGTGGTCGCCCAAGTAGACGGGCACAACGCCTTCGGCTTCGTAGCCGCACACCTGGCAATGGAGCGCGCGATTGGGATGGCGCGCGAATTTGGCATCGGGATGGTGTCCGTGAAACACAGCAACCACTTCGGCATGTCGGCGTGGCTGGTGCAGCAGGCCGTCGACGCCGGTATGTTGTCGCTGGTCTTCACGAACTCGTCCCCTGCGCTGCCGGCGTGGGGCGGCCGCGAGAAACTCATGGGTGTCTCGCCCATCGCGTGCGGTGCGCCTGCTGGCGTCGCGCCGCCGTTTATTCTGGACATGGCGCCTTCGGTTGCCGCGCGGGGCAAGATCTATAAGGCGCTGAGGCGTGGGGAGAGGATTCCTGAGGACTGGGCGCTCGATGCTGAGGGGAAGCGCACTACTGATCCGGAACAAGCGCTGCAGGGGACTATGCTCCCTATGGGTGGGCCGAAGGGGTCCGCCCTTGCTATCATGATGGATGTGTTCTCTGGTGTGTTGTCGGGTAGTGCGTTCGCTGGCGGTGTGACGAATCCGTATGATCCTAGTAAACCGGCTGATGTTGGCCATTTCTTAATTGCGATTAAGCCGGATTTGTTTATGGGACTAGAGGACTTCAAGGAACGCATGGATTACTTGTATCAACGGGTCGTCGGCTGCGAGAAGATGGATGGCGTCGACAGGATCTATTATCCCGGTGAGATAGAGTTGCTGTGTAAGGAGAAGAGGGAGAAAGAGGGCATTCCTCTGGCGGAGGCGGAGATTTCGGCCTTGAATCGCGAGGCGGAGTTGGTTGGCGTCGAGCCGTTGGTTTAGTGGGAGGATTGTTGGAGTGTTGAATGAAGGTGTTGGGGTGAAATGTTGTAGATGGGTTTTCTAGTTTGGGAGGTGGGAAAAGGGTTTTCTATACACTATAGAGTACAATGGATTTATGCTAAGGCCCTTATCACTGCGCAATGCACTATACACTCGACCACCACTACCTTACGCATTCGACGGCGCCACCGACCGCATACTGATACTAATAACCTCCTTCTCCGACTCGGTCACATTTCACAGCAGCGCATACTCGCCGTCATCCGAGGAGCTTTTCTTCACTGAGAACAACGAGGTATACTCGCCCGACTCATCCTCCACCAGCAGGGAATTCCCGTACCAGACAAACCGGCTGGTCACCTGGTCAGCGCCGGCGTCCGCGGTAAGCCCGACTTGCTTGGACGTTGCGGACGAGCTTGGCACGTACAGCAGCTGGTTGGCGAGGCTGCCGCTATCTCCAGTGGTGTGGTTGTCGTTCGGAGGGTTGCCGAGCAGGCCGTTGGAGTCTTCCTTGGTGACTGAATGGGTTAGAGTGGCTGAGTGAGTGGCACACAGGTCACGCGTGAGACATCGGTCGCATTGGACGGTATGCTGGCGCTCACGACGGCTTTGCCTGTAGTAGAGAAAGTGTTAGTGAGTTGGTCTATAGTAAAGTGCGGAGTGCTACCGTCAGCGTAGTAGAGAGCCAGGCCACCCAGACTGTCCCCGTATGCGTACAGGCTGAAAGACTCGGCTGCAGCGAGTTGTGCTAGCGCTGGGAGGAGGAATGCGGAAAAGGAAGGTGTCGATAGCTTCATGATGTGTTGCTTGGAAGAAAGTTTTTTCTGGCATTTCGTGCAAAAAGATGTGCTTAGGCTGTTATGCTGGAGTGGTTGTCATGCTGGTGTCGCAGAAACCGTCAAGTTATAGCATCTGGGGACCCTCGTCTCTGGTTTCAATACACGGCAAGCTGCATTCGATCAAGGTCTAACTCCAGTCAGCCCTAGCAGCAGTGGGAAGCCAGCCAACGTACACAGGTATACTTGCAAGCAAGTCTGGTGGAGTCGCTCCGGCGGCAGTTGTGCTTCGCTGACGTTGACACGGCAGCCGACCCTCAGATCCCACGTCCCTGCTAGTACAATCGCTCATCTTCTATTGAGAGTTCATGTTCGATCGAGCCCAGTTCTTGCAGGGATGTTCCACCGCGGCTCCCGTTAGTTCTTGGTCCAGCAGACCGGGGGGTGGACTCAAAGCCTGGACGTCGTGGCCCAGATACCCACTTCACGAGACCTTTGCCTGAAAACGGATGAAGCCATAAGCCTCAAGGCTCTATCAGCATGGATATCACGGCTCTATTTGACTGTCGAATTATTTTCGGATATATACCGCAGACTAACAACACCTCAGCCCGCTCACGATCCTGCAATATGTGCCCTGACTACGTTGACTGCGATGCGTCAACCATCCATCGGTCAAATCCCGGTCCGAACCTGTTCAATAAATGGCAGGAGCTACGGATTTCCAAGTCCGAAGTTCTTGGTGGCACCGTAGTGCTTGGTCTGTCGACGAGTCGTGCCCTATTTGCAGCAGGGCCTGGTGTTTCAATCCCACGAAAGTATAAATGGCTCAGCTTGTCATAGTTGATCGGTATTGAGATGTGACGAAGTTCATATCATTCTTTTGTTTTTATTCTCTAGTCCCTCGTTGTATTCTGATCTATAATGAGGGTGGCATTGGTGTCAAGTCTGACTTTATTGGTGGTTGTGACTGCAGCCACGGTCATTCCTTCACTTTCATTGCACAATCAGACCGCAACTGCATCTTTCAACTCTCTCTTACCCTCATCCACTGCACTCTCTCAAAATTGTCATTGTAACACCCCTCATACACGGCAACAATGGTGCGAGTATGATATTCACACCGACTATGCCACTGAGGCGCCCGACACCGGGGTGACCCGCAAGTATTGGTTCAATCTGGAGCATGTCACTATGGCTCCTGATGGCCACTCTCGATTTGCATTGGCCATCAATGGATCGATCCCCGGTCCCACTATCGAGGCAGACTGGGGAGACTATGTCGTTGTGCACTTGACCAACAATCTGCCCGACACGGGCAAGAACGGGACGAGCATTCACTTTCACGGCATCCGGCAGAACTACACCAACCCCCCGAACGGCGTCGTGTCCATCACGCAGTGCCTGCTGGCGCCCAACAACACTATGACATACCGGTGGAGGGCGGTGCAGTATGGAAACACCTGGTACCACTCGCACATTGACCTGCAGGCCTGGGAGGGCCTATTCGAGGCATTGTCATACGGGGGCCTGCCAGTGCCAACTACGATGAGGACAAGGGCGTGCTCTTCCTCTCTGACTGGGATATCAACACCGTGGACGAGCTGTACACGACCGCCCAGGAGAATGGGCCCCTATATCTGGACTCGGGACTGATCAACGGGACCAATGTCTATGGCTACGATGACAATGCCAACCAGACGGGGTACCGCTTCAACACCTTCACGGCCAGCATGTCGTATCGACTGCGTCTGATCAACGTCGCCTGCGACACACACTTCAAATTCATGCTTGACAACCACACCATGACCGTGATCGCCAACGACCTGGTCCCCATTCATCCCTACAATACTACCGTGCAGACATCGCCATGCGTAAGTGACTTTCTCCTCCTTCTTGTTAGTGTACAATTAAGCCTGGTCAGACGTTCATCCAGGCCAACGACACGATGCGATCATCTCCGCCGACCAAGGCGCTGTCGCGCAGGCCTTCTGGCTCCGCGCCATCCCGCAGTCCGCCTGCTCGCAGAACCTCAACCCGGACAACATCAAAGGCATCGTGTACTACGGCGACGAGCCACAGATCCCTACCACCGCCCCCTACACCTACACTGACAGCTGCGAGGACGAGAACACGTCCGACTTGCGGCCTGTAGTTACGCCCGACCCCACAGTCTCCACCGTCCCGTTCTACAACACTTCCGAGCCCGTCTCGCTGGCTAAAAACGCGCAGAGCCTGTACCGGTGGAAACTGAACAGCACCTCCGTGCACGTCGACTGGACCGACCCGACCCTGTTAGAAGTGAACCGGGGTCACATCACTTTGCCAACCCCAGCGGCGTGGTAGTCCTCCCCCGCGCCAACGAGTGGGTGTACGTCATCATCGAGACGTCGCTGTCGGTGCCGCATCCGGTCCACCTGCACGGCCATGACTTTTATATTCTCGCTCAGGGGAGTGGGACGTATGACGGTAGCACGACGCCTATTGACAGCTTGGGGATGGATGGGCTGCCTCGGCGTGATACGGCGATGCTGAAGGAGAACGGGCATCTGGTCGTGGCGTTCCGGACGGACAATCCCGGGGCGTGGTTGATGCATTGGCATATTGGCTGGCATACCGAGGAGGGGTTCGAGACGCAGTTTCTGGAGCGGTACAGTGAGGTACAGGGGCTGTTGGACGGGTATAAGGAGGAGCTGAAGGAGAATTGGCAGACTTGAGGGGTTGAGAGGGAGGTGGAGGAGGATGACTCGCGGGTTTGATCTGGGGTGTAGGCTTTCTCTGTTTGATTAATTTAGGTGCATTGAGTACTAGCTGTATTGCATCATTGATAATGACATTGTCATCAATAGGGTAGTAAGCTGACATGCTTATGTTCCAAGCACCACAACAATGTACCCTGCTAATACTACATAGTCCGAACCAAATCTCCAACTTACACATATGCACTTCCTTAACCAGGCATCAAAACAATCAATTCTCAAACTTCAGCCCCCCTTCCTCCCTCACCGCGCCATACACGCCGGCCAAATCCCCCTTCTCGCCCGTCCTCTCCTCCACAGCCCTCAAATACCCATCCGCCAACTCGACCCCGCGCATCCTGGCCCCAACCGAATGCGCCATATCCAAAGCATGCCTAGCATCCTTCCTCACCAGCCCGACCCCAAACAACGGCGCCTCCCTTCTCCAATAATCCCCGGAGCGCATCCGCTCCGAATACGCAACATAAGGGCCAGGAAACACCGCCTCAAAAAACCGATGCAGATTCTCGGCCCCAAGCCCGCACTTCTCCGCGACCACCAGCCCCTCAGCAATAGCCTCCACCATACTAATCACAAAGGTATTCCCCAGGATTTTGAGCTGCGACGCCTTAGCAGGCGCGCAGTCCGCGAACTCGAGATCCGATTTGGCGATCACGCCCGTCGTGTACGGCTTGATTCTTTCGATGACGTCCGCTTCGCCCGCCAGTACGCAGATCACCTGCCCTGCTGCTGCGGCCGCGGGACTGCCGAAGACGGGGCATGCAATGAATTGTGCGCCTGCTTGGTTGAGTTGCTTGCTGATGGTTGTGGTTGTGGACGGATGGACGGTTGAGCAGTCTACGAAGATTTTGTTGTGCAAGCTTAGGTTGGGAGTGGTGACGGCAGCGGTGATGAGGGTGGTAATGGCGGCGTCGTCGCTGAGGCATGTGAAGATTATGTCTGCTTGTGTGAGCGTTGCTTCTAGCGTCGCTGAGACGGTCGTGTTGGGCGTGTTTTGCGCGAAGGTCTGCGCCGTGGTCTGCGTGCGGTTGTGGATGATCAGAGGCTGCGTCTGGGGGCCTTTCGTTGCCAGGTTGGCGGCCATGCCCTTTCTCTGGGTTAGCGGGCGATTCAATGGGAGGAGGTTGGTGCTCTTACGCGGCCCATGTTACCGAGTCCGATCCAGGCGAGCTTGGGAGACATTTTGGTGGTTCTGTGGTCCGGATCTTGTGAGCTGCGTAAGGGTGTAGCTTGCTGGTGGAGAGGATGAGGATATGCTGATGGTGTCGGTCTTCTTATAGTTCGCAGGCAGGCAAGCTTAGAAATCAGGAGTATACTTCCCGGGTGCAGTGGAAATCGGCGGACCCTGCCAAGCTCCAGCGCTGCGGGGACCTAACTGCTTTGGGCTTAGATTCCGCTGCTGCATCCCGGACGGCGGAAACTAGTCCTTTTCGGGGATATGATTTCTAGGGCAAGGTTGGAGTTCCCTCTCGCTTTGTTGTTAATGCCATGCGGATCACGCTAGAATCTTCCAATTCGGCAGTCTGATCATCTTTTGGATCATGATATTGTGTAACAATTCGTTGAGGAGTGATTTCTAAGCATAGGCTTCCGAAAATACACTAACCTTCTAAGGTATGAAATGAGCTCATCACTTTTACAGGCGTCGCCAGTCCCTGAGGTAGTCCGCGCCATCTCAAAGGCCTGAAATTCTCGTCGTTGTTAACTCGGGACTATAACGCGCCGAGACGAGAGATGATCTAGGGCTGAAGTGAAGTAGTGCTCAGGAAAGAGCAGTCACTGACTAGATGAGTCGCTGTTAAGATCTTTCTACTAAGTCTTACCGTTCTATGCGTTCGTGACTCATCTATCTCATCCACTGAGCAATCAAGTGTTGCTTCAATCCACAAACACTATTTCGCCCGCTAAATCCTGCAGCGAAGAAGTGATCAACAAAGTTGCAATGATGAGTTCGTCTCCCATTCCACCCTCGCTTATGTTGTCGAGCTCCAATACAGTTTCTTGGACTAAATGTTACGAAATATTCCATGAATCAGAGAAGTCAAAATATCTGAGTCTCGGTGAGACGCTTATTACTTTGAGCCTGAGTAGTGGTGGGCGGCGATAACACAATCGGCGAGCAAATGGTGCAAGCCAGCCCTGACATGACAACATCCCGCATTTCCTGCCCCTGCCCCCCATCCCATCATCTTGATAGATGGTGCCAGAGCGGTCTTTATTTTTTCTCAGCGAGGCTGGCGTGGTTCTCGTCGCCTTAGCGTTCTCATTGAGCTCTAGCGAAGGCTAATTTGCATTTCCGAGGTAGACAGCCTCCCCTTGATGATTGAGTCGCGGTTAATATGACTGATCGGTTTGGTAGAACACTATCATGCCTAACGATATGAGACGGCGTGCAGCTCGCCATTGCCATCAAGGCCACTAGCGTGTTCTTGTATAGGAGGTTGTCACCAAGGTCTTGCACCATCGCTTCCCTGAAGCACGCATGCATACCCTCGCCTGCACCAGCGGTGCATCCTCACCCAGTCACTACATGCACGGTGGAATATATGAAGCGCGTTATCGTGGCCATGGGTCACATCTCATGCGCTCTTTGTTCTCGAAGGATTGCAGTTATTGCATCAGCAGCTGAACGAGCATGACGACTCCCCATCCGACTCCGTCCCTGGACGGTAAACATCCCCTGGAGGATGTTCAGGCCGCGAGCATCGACAGCCCGGTCGAAGCCAGCGAGGTGACCAAAGACAAGTCGCTGGCGGAACCCGACGACGAGCCGCAGTCTCGGTCGCTGTTGGCCCTATTCCAGAACCGGAAGAAGAAGAAATTTGACCTGGACGCCATCGCGACCACGCGGAGCGTCTTCGACGACTCCAACCTGGCGCGCTTCTACCAGCCGCACTCCGACTACGAGAACCTGCATCGGTTCGATCCCTCGGAGCGATGGACTTACCGCGAGGAAAGAGCCGTGCGCCGCAAGACTGATCTGAAGATCCTGCTATGGATATTTGTCATGTTTTTTGGGCTGAACCTGGATCGAGGCAACCTGGGCAATGCCTCGGCCGACAACCTCCTCCCCGACCTGGGCATCAACACCAACGACTACAACAACGCCCAGAACATGTATCGCATCGGCTTCCTCATCTCGGAGATCCCCTCGCAGATGATCGGAAAGAGACTAGGGCCCGACCGCTGGATCCCCGTGCAGATCATCCTCTGGAGTTTCGCGTCGGGCGGTCAATTCTTCATGCACAATCGCGCAGGCTTCTTCGCCTGTCGCTTTTTCATCGGTCTGTTCATGGGCGGCTTCATCCCCGACGCCATCCTCTACCTGTCGTATTTCTACACGAAGCGGGAGATGCCCATCCGACTGGCGTTCTTCTGGTTCGTTGATTCCATCTCCGGAGTCATCGCTTCGTTCATTGCCTACGGCGTACTGCACATGCGTGGTGTGGATGGACGAGAGGGCTGGCGTTGGCTGTTCCTGATTGAAGCCCTCATCAGCCTTGTTATTGGCGCGCTCAGCTTTCTGTTTCTGGTGCCCGGTCCCACGCAGACCGCGACGTGGTGGAACCCGCGAGGTTACTTCACCGAGCGTGAGGAGAAGATCATCGTGAACCGTGTGCTGCGCGACGACCCGTCCAAGGGCGATATGCACAACCGCGAGGCACTGACCCTGGGCATGCTTTGGAAGAGTCTGAAGGACTACGATCTGTGGCCGATCTATGTGATCGGGGTCCTGTTCGAGATCCCCACGTCGCCGCCCAAGTCCTACCTCAGCCTGTCGCTCAAGGCGATCGGCTTCTCGACCTTCCACACCACGCTGCTCGGCATCCCTGTCACCGTCTTCTCGGCCATCAATCTGCTGCTGGTGACGGAGCTCTCGGAGCGCTGGCGCCAGATCTGCTACGTCGGCATCCTGACCCAGCTGTGGTCGCTGCCGCTGCTGATCGTGCTGTATCGCAGCGCCAGTGTGCTATCGCATTGGGGTCTCTATGCCGTCACCTTCGTGCTGCTGGGCTGGCCCTCGCCCCACGCAGCCCATGTCGGCTGGTGTTCGCGACTTAGTAACGCCGTGCGCACCCGTGCCGTCAGCGCCGCCCTGTACAACATCACAATCCAGCTGTCGGGCATCTCTTCTTCGAATATCTATCGCAACGACGATAAGCCGTACTACCGCCGCGGCGATGGCCAGCTGATTGCCATCAACGTCGCGACCATTGCCGCCTACGTACTGGCCAAGTTCTACTATAACAAGCGGAACCAGTGGAAGCAGGACCGGTGGAAAGTCATGTCCGCCGAGCAGAAGGCAGACTACTTGCAGAATACAAAGGATGAGGGTAATAAGCGCTTGGATTTTCTGTTCGATAGCTAGAGTGACTCGTAGCGAGACTGAGAGTGGGTAGACGATACTACAATGGCGTGTAATGCGTGGTTAGATAGTGGAGCAGAGGGCTGTGCCTCGATTTGGTGTGAATAACTTGATAGTAACCATATAATTTATTGTCAGCTTGAAATAGAATCTCCCCTGGCTCTGCATCTAGCCAGTCATGTCTCGAAACCACGCAGTTGGACTGCCACCAACAACTCCCCTTTCACAACTGAGACATACGCGAAAGCAAGGCATAAGCCCAAGAATAACCAAGTTCCAACTCTAATGCGAAGCTTGCCAACAGCCATCATTCCATGTCTTATCTCGGGCCAACTCCACCGGAAGTGTCTTGAAAAGTGAATTGTATAGCCTCACCCGGTGGCCGAATGACGTGACAGCCATAAGTCCACCAACAGGAAGAAGCACGCTCGCACCCTGACCTGCTCTCGGCTTTTACCGACAATCTAACCTCTTCCTCAAATGAACTGCATAAAGCCGCACCCCGTTGTGAATGACCCTCACAGACCCCTCGATCGCGCCTTTTTCCACCTATAAAGCCGCGAGTGAAGCCCTTAACCGCCACAACAGCGCTGTCGCTATCCCGACCTTTTCTTTTTTCTTTGCGTGTACGACGACACGAACCACCCTCGCAACAATGGGCTCCCTTTCGCAAACCACAGAGGAAACAAACGACCTCATCCTCCCACCACGACCCCCAAATCTCCCACACGCCGAATACCGCACCCCGCGCGGCGCCTCGCCGCTGGAGTCTGTCCGCGCCGCGGGGCTGCAATACCCGAACTACACGCCCTTCAAACTGCCCAACCTGACGACACGCCCCTTCAGCGACAAGGGGTTACAATCCGATCCATCGAAATCGAACCTCCTCTCCGCCGCGAAGGAAGTGGTTCACCTGACGCCGGAGATCGGCACGGAGCTGACAGGGCTGCAACTGACGGCGTTGAGCGACGTGCAGAAGAACGAGCTGGCGCGCGTGGTCGCCGAGCGCGGCGTCGTCTTCTTCCGGGACCAGCACATGGACGTCCATGAGCAGATCGCCTTTGGCGCGTATTTCGGCGACCTGCACATTCACCAGATGGCGGGTATCATCCCGGATCTGCCCTGGGTGCATCCCATCTACAAGGATGAAACGGCGGTCAATGGTCGCAGTCATCAGATTTGGCATTCGGATGTTAGCTATGAGCTTCAGCCGCCTGGGTTGACGCTGTTGAAGATGGATACGCTTCCTAATGCTGGACCCGGCGGGACCGAGGCCGGGGGTGATACCATCTGGGCCAGTGGGTATGCGCTTTATGAGTGTGAGTTTTCCCTGGGGTTGTGTCTTAAATGTGGGGCGGGTGGGCTGACGATCGTAGCGCTGTCGCCGAAATTGCGAGCCTTCCTCGAGACGCTCGAGGCGAAGCATAGCGGCTTGGAGCAGGCGGAGAAGGCCCTGCGCACCGGTGGGTGTCTGCGGCGCGATCCCATCGAGACGATTGTAAGTTGTCCTGTTATGCGATAGTCCCCTGGTGAGTTGCGGGTGACAACTAACGACTGACTGCAGCACCCCGTCGTCCGCACCCATCCGGTCACCGGCTGGAAGACCTTGTACGTCAACGAGAACTTCACCAAGGAGATCGTCGGCCTGGAGAAGCGCGTCGGAGACGCCATCCTCGACGCGCTCTACCGCACTGTCGCCGAGGGGTACGAGTTCCAGGTGCGCTGGAAGTGGACCCATAACGACGTCGCGATCTGGGATAATCGCGCCACATATCATACGGGCATTTTTGATTACTGTGAGTTCGATTGGTCCTGGTCGGAAATTCGAGCGGCGCGCGCGCTAACTTCTTGCCTCTAGTCCCTCATCTGCGGCATGGGCTGCGTGTTGCGCCCCAGGCTGAGACGCCGTATCTCGACCCGAAGTCCAAGACGCGCAAGGAGGCGCTCGCCGGAGAGGAGGGGAGGGCGTAGTTGGCTAGAGTTGGGCTTTGTGGGAAAGTGTGTGAGATGTCTTTAGTAGCGATCGTGGTGTGATCCTAGAGTATCGATCAAGAACAGATTATCCTTCGCTAGATTTCATCCTCGTAATACCCGTCGAACAGCATTGGTCGTTAGAACTCATTAACTTAATACCCGATGTCAATCCCTCAGTAGATAGGCCATGCAGAGCTCATTCGCTTAGAGCGCGCGCGCCGGCCTCCTGCAGGCACCATTGACTGTCGTCCAGCCAATTCGCATAGACAATCTAATTGCAACATGGTAAATTAAACAATGATCACGTCAATCTTCTGCAGTCCCTCGCCATGGTTACCCTTTTCGACCCTTGTCAGGAGCGTGAATGGATATAAAAAGGAGACCGTACCCCGAGATATAACTCCAGACAAGCAACCCCCTCTTTGCTATTCAATAAGATGCTTCTCCTCTGCATCCTCTTCCTAAGCCTGGCCGCCGGCCAATTGATCGGCCCCGTGGGTCCAACCACCGACCTCTCCCAAAAGACCCACGAGTGCAGCATCCTCGACTACGGCGCCGTGGCGGACAACAGCACCGACATCGCCGACGCGCTGGAGGCCACCTTCAATCAATGCGTGCACCCCAACCCGGGCAGCCGGCTGGTCGTGCCCGAGGGCGATTATCTGATCGAGCGCGGCGTGGTGCTCAGCAACGCCACGAACTGGGCGTTCCAGCTGGACGGGCTGATCACCGCCGCGTATGGCGGCAACTGGACCATTGAACGTGCGTTGATCCTCCAGGGCTATGCCGGCGTGGATGTGCTAAATTCCACCATCAACGGTGAGGGTGACCATAAGTTCCTGCTAGATGTGCTGGTGATTGTCAATGGTGAGTTTTCCCATTGCCCTTTCAGGGCTGGGATTCCTGACTGATGAATGCCATGCAGCGGTCGACTTTGAGTTCTACTCGTCCAACGGACTGGGTGCCATCCAGGGCCAGGGTTATATCTACCGAAACCTCAACAAGTCAGTCTCTTCAGGAATGTGTAGGTAACTTTTGCTGATAACTGCTGCAGCACGGAACGTCCGCGTCTCGTCCGCCTGGTCTCAGCCATCAACGCCACGGTCCATGACCTGATCCTGGTCGATAGTCCCAAGTTCCACTTCGTGCTGGACTTCGGCGTCAACGTCGAGGTCTACCACCTCACCATCCGCGGTGCGAACCTGGGGAGCTACGACGGCATTGATGCTATTGGCACCAACTATTGGATCCACGACAACGAGGTGCGGTGCTCTGTGTCGTGCTTCTAGGCACAATCCCGCTGACAAGCCTGCAGGTCACCAATCGCGACGAATGCGTCTCCGTCAAGAGTCCCTCGCACCACGCCCTGATCGAGAACCTGGTCTGCAACCAAGCGGGCTCAGGCATCTCGATCGGGAGTCTGAACGTCTCCGCGGAGATCTCTAACATCGTACGCACCTCCATCCTTCAAGAGGTCCATCAACCTAACCCGTGTGTGCGCGACAGGTGGCCAAGAACATCAGCATCATCCAAGACAACAACATCGCCTTCATCAAGACCTACCCCGGTGGATCCGGGTACGTGACCAACGTCACGTTCGAGAACTTCCGGTCCAAGGCCAGCCTGTACGGGCTGAGCATCAACCAGTACTGGCAGAACACATACGAGCCGGACACGGGCGCCGTGGCGTTGAGTAACCTGGTGTTCAAGAACTTCTCCGGTGCGTGCAGCCCCCCTGTCCCATATACCGCCAGCTCCATAGATCTAATCTGAGACAACAGGCTCCGTAGCAGAAGGCACCAAGCGCCCGCCACTCTTCCTGGTCGCCAACGACCTCACGTACGCCACCAACGTGACTATCGAGGACTTCACCCTCTGGACGGAGTCCGGCTCCACCGTGCTCAACAAGATCAACAACGTCTTTGGGACTGCTGATGACTCCTACGGCGACAACGACGGCATCAAGCCGCTGGCCCCCGGCGAGACCCCGACCACCTATACCAGCACCTATACCATCACCGCGTCGCCGACCGGGTGGATGGCCCCTGCGTCGCCGACGTGGGCGGTGCCCAGTACGGGTTATGGCAGTGAGTTTTCTCCCTTTTCCTGAACTTTGTGTGTGGTGCGGGTAGAGGGTGGTGGCTAATGGGTGTTTGTGTTAGCTGCGTCGCCGATTCCGGTGTATATTCCTAAGCCCCTGTGGAGGCCCGGTGGTGTGGACTATGATCTGCATTATTGGGGGAGTTTCTAGTGGTGCGGTGCTTGATGTGGTAGGGTGGGTTGATGGGTGGATGAGCTGGAGCTGGTAGGATGAATGGTACTTCGGTGTCTGCAGCAGTTAGGGGTCGATAACGTGCATGCTAGAAAGTCAAGCTTAACTATCAGAGTGGCTCAATTGAAACTCAACTTGATAAGAAATGACAAAAGATTCGCAGATAAGGTACTGTTCATCTGCAACAAAAGTTCTCGGAAGCATGCCGTGGAAGGAGATTGTCAGCCTGCAATCACACTTGACCCAGACACCACTGCTGGCTGGCAGCTCCTGCCGGTTCGGTATCAGGACATTAGTCAGAGATCTTGCTGGCTTACGAGTAGTAGGTAGTGAAGGGTTATCGCTGTTTGCACACCGTTCCAGGCGGCTTGATTCACTTATCTTGCCGGTCACTAGCCGGTGATCGCTATAGCGACAACCCCTGTCGTATAGTTTGATATCGGGTGCTGTTTCCGTTTATTCCTTGTGGGTGCTTTGCAGCTTGGATAGTTAGTTAATATCCCCTGGAATGGTTCTAATATGTATCTCTGCGTGCAAAACCTGAGAGTTTATCAGTGGTGTGCGCATTCATATATATCTCCAGCAGAGTTATGCACCACCGTTTCGACATCACTGCACTGCAGGACCGTAATAATGCACCATCTACCACCACGCTCAAACACAACGAGCCGGATACCCAAGTCGCAGTCCATAGCTGATGCAAACTCATAAGTAGCCACACTACACCGCGACCTGACGCCCATCGGGCACGCCCCAGCCTTCAGGCAACGACGTAGCAACCTGTAGCCACCAGATCCGCCATATCCCCGAGGTATTCTCACAGCGGAAAACGGTGGCGTCGTACATTCTCGTACAAACTAGAATACTAATGTCTCTATCGATGCCGTGGCTCCCATGCTAAACCCGGCAGCTCGATGAGATCATCCACACGCACAACAACCCACGCTGCGCGCCCTGCTGACAAAAGGGAAATCTCCTGTTCCCCATCGTCAGTCAATTAAGTGTAGTGATGCACATCCCCGATGATCCGGCAAGATTTTTGCCTCCGACCCCATACTAATGACGCCAAGCGGTACGTAGCTGGGGTATGTCTCGCGCGCGCCGTAAACCAGGAAGCGATCCACACGCGACTACGTATACTGTACGTATAACACCAAGTTCCAATTCAAGCGGCGTGGGAACCCCGCGGCTACGCCCCAGACAAGTCCCAGACAAGATAGTAAATGACGCTGGCGACACTCCGGTTGGAATCGAGAGTCGAAAGGAAAAGACGCCGCTCGTCGGTTCCGGCGTTATCAGCCTGGGGTGGGGCCCGGGTCGTGGAGAAGGAGGCAAATGGAAGGGTCACTGATATGGGTTGGGCGAGTAAGAGGTCTTGTTCCTGATGCGTTCCCCGCTGCGAGGGACGCGACGTGGAGGTTGTGTTGATTGTTGATCCTGGTGGAAGGAGGGGATAACCGGGCTTTTCCTCCTCTCTCCACCGGGCTGAGCGACTAGCTGGCTGTACCCCAGGCTGTGAGGAGGAGTCAGTCCGGGTATCGGCAATTGTAACAGTGGACATGCATACACCGCACGATGATGTTGAGGATTGGTACGAGTCACTACCGGTTCGAGGAATGTATGTATCAAGTGAGTATGTACTCGTATGTGTATGAGATGCAAACAAACAGATGCAAACAGTGGTACAGTGGCAGATCAGGGCCCGAGACACCGGGCGGTGAACCGCCAAATCAGAAGACCGGAGCCGGGCCGGGAGCCGGTATGTCTTCCTTAAGTTCCTAGCACTACCGATGGCATCCACACCGAGCGAATGGGCGCCATTGCTGTTATTCATCACACTGCCCCTTTGGGCTCTTGGGCCCTTGAGAACGTGGCTGTGACCGACCGGCTGTTTGACCTTCCAGGCTATCCTCGGGGCAACACCGCACAAAGCCCTCTGATTCCCCAGATCGGGTTGCTGGTCCCTCCCCCCTCCCCCCTCATGCTGGGGTTCTTGGGGTTCTTGGGGTTTTCCGGGGAAAGGAATGAGAATAAAAAAAAAACAAGAAGAACATTAGATGGCTTGATCTGGTGGTTTTCACGAATGAACGCCGCCCATGCGGTTCGGGAAATGATATCACCACTTGGTCAGTCGGGCCGAATGCTGAGAAAGGAAAAGGCAGCCAAGCGAGTGATTGACGGACTAGCCGCCTTCTAGAATGGGTGGCGCTCGCGCGGCTTTCACCGGGCATAGAACAGGTCCGGCCACCGGTGAGTTACTACTGTAGCTGGTGGTACAGTAGTCTTCCCCAGATCCATAATCCAACCCTAACTGGATGCTAATCCTTGGGATTTCTGCACGTGGAGACGGACGGGCTGGCTGCCTGGCTTCAGCTATGCACGGGTGACTGGGCAGATACTTTCATTTCCATGAGTGATTGCTTACCCATTTTCTTCATAGCCGGAACAATCCATCTCCGCATTTTCCAGTTTATCCAAGCGTCTACTGAAGTCCACGATGGATGCCAGGAAATGCGGCGACAAGCGAAAGGCTGAGTCAGCCAGGTCATTACCTGGCATCCGTGGACTATACTGCATTTAGCTCAAAGCCAACTGGTTCTTACAGTATCAGGTCTAGTGCAAGTCCGGATACAGCTTAGTGTATCCGGGAGGCGCAAATTCTGCCTCTTTTTTTTTTTTTGCCGCCGCGCCCAGCATGAATCAGTAAAGTATGCGCTTGATAAGATGAACCTCTTTTCAACAACACCTTGAACTGCCACCCGTGACATAACTTATTCCTGCTGCATTATTCTTTCCCACACAACGCAAAAGCACGTCCTCTTTCAAGGTGGTCCCTGACTCAGGTGGCAGTTTCCCATTACCCAACTCCATTAGCACATCCCCTCATGATAACACCGGGGTCAGCCCCCGTCCCTCCCATGGAAAATTCGAAATTCTATAAGGCCTCCATGTTTCCGGAGGGCAACGCCAACGCCCTTAAGCGAGATGGCCAAGCTTTGGCCATCTAGGGCCGTCTTATTTACGGCGGTTGTCAAGTGTAGGCCATCCACCCGGGTGACTTGGTAACAATCACATCAACACGTCGTGTGTTGCTGGGGGGGGACAAACCTCGGGTACTGCTTATCCTCCTTGCACGTTGATCCCTGCAGGTTGAGGTCATCGGTCCAGCTGAGTTGCCAATATGTAGTCAGTCTTGCAATGGTGGTCCTCAAGTACGTAGCCATAGATAAAACACGAGATCCAACACGATCCAGCACAACGAGCTGTCAGCCAGCATCCAAAGATCAGGTACCGGACCACTGGGGCCGGGGGTTAGTCGCGCGAAACCGTTGATAAACGTAAAGCAATCAATCCTGCTCGGGCAGGATACATTATCAATTCGTCTATCAGCGGACGGATTCTGGGTTCGGCCGGACAGACTCCACCGTTACAGCGCAGATTATTGCCCTTTCGGTGGTTCCCCTCCTGTAACACAGTAACAGTGTTGAACCCCCCACACAGATTCCCCCAAGCGTGAAAAAGCCTAAATCTGCCGATCCGCCGTCGATGCAACGAGCGACTGCGGCCAGCCCGGGTTCTTTTTCTCATTTCTTATATCCTCCCTGCCCTTTCCTCTCCTTCCTCTCTCCTCTCTCTCCTTCTTGAAAGTTGGCCCGTTGACTCGGTGGTTGCTGTGCCCTTTTCTTTTGCATTTCTACGAGCTTAGCTTTACGACTTCATTCACGACTCTCCTCTCCACCTCCCCATCTCCACTCTATCACCTTTTTTTTTTCTCATCATTATGGCCAGCCACGGTAGAGATGTCGAGGCTTTCGACGCCCATCAGCACTACCACGATGAAGACGAGAAGATCGAGAAGGTCTCTCCCGAAGAGTCCCCCCCGGCCGATGACCCGTTCGGCAACGAAGAGACGGCCGAAGTCAAGTTTCGAGTGATGAAGTGGTGGAACTGTGGCATGCGTGAGTGCTGCAACCCTATCAGTCAGCATCCCGGCATCACAACTAAACTCAACACCAAAACCCTTTAGTCATGATTGCGGAGAATATCTCTCTGGGTATCTTGTCGCTGCCCTCCGCTGTGGCCACTCTGGGAATTGTTCCGTAAGTATTCGCATGATGCATGGGTCTTGCCCGTACAGTCCCCCGACTGACCCTCTCATCAGCTCTATCCTCATCATCCTCGGAATGTCGGGTATCTCCTGGTACACCGGTTATGTCATGGGACAGTTCAAGCTGCGCTATCCCCAGGTTCACAGCATGGGTGACGCCGGCGAGTTGCTCATGGGTCGGGTGGGACGCGAAATCATGTTCTTCGGCCAGCTGCTGTTCTGTATCTTCCTCATGGCCAGTCACGTCCTCACCTTCACCGTGCTCTTCAACACGATCACCGGCCACGGCACCTGCACCATCGTCTTCGGAGTTGTCGGTCTCGTCGTCAGCTGTATCTTCGCCCTGCCTCGCACCATGAACAAGGTGTACTACATGTCCATCGTTTGTAAGGAGTCTTCCACTTCTTGTTTCGGTGGGGTTTACTAATCGATCGACCATTCCAGCCTGCTTGAGTATCATCGTCGCCACCATCACCACGATGATTGCGCTCGGAGTGGAAGCTCCGGCTCACGTCCAGAACGACGTCACCACCCACCCCAACTTCGTGAATGCGTTCTTGGCCGTCACTAACATCATCTTCGCTTTCAGTAAGCTTACCCCAGCAGTCTTTGGAGGGAAATGTGTACTGACCCAGCTGCAGTCGCCCACGTTGCTTTCTTCGGAATCATGTCCGAGATGGAGGATGTCCGCGACTTCCCCAAGTCGCTGGCCATGCTGCAAGTGCTTGACACGACCATGTACATCATCACGGCCATGGTCATCTACCGCTATGCCGGTCCCGATGTCAAGTCCCCTGCCCTATCTTCCGCCGGTCCGCTCATGAGCAAGGTCGCCTACGGTCTGGCCATTCCTACGGTCATCATCGCGGGTGTGATTTTCGGTCACGTGGCGTGCAAGTACATCTTCGTGCGGGTGTGGCGTGGATCTCCCCAGATGCACACGAACAACCCGATCGTGGTCGGCTCGTGGATCGGCATTGCGTTGGCTGTCTGGGTGATTGCCTGGGTCATCGCCGAATCCATCCCGGTGTTCAACGACCTGCTGAGTCTGATTGTAAGTGTGACGGCTGTATCTGGCGGCTTCTCAGCTAATGATTCTGGGTCTAGTGCTCTCTGTTCGGCAGTTGGTTCAGTTACGGAATCCCCGCTCTGATGTGGATGGTGATGAACAAGGGCCAATACACGGCCTCGGCCTCGAAGATCTTCCTCACCATCGTGAACCTTATCATCCTCGGTATTGCGTGCGCGATTGTAAGTGCTTGCGCCTGGTTTATGAGGGGGGTGTATACTAACGGTCTCCCAGTGCGGTCTCGGACTCTACGTTTCGGGCAAGTCGATCCACGACAGCACCGCCTCGGCCAGCTGGACTTGTGCCAACAACGCTCAGTCGTGAGTTTTCTTGGCAGGCACCGAAATGTGTTGCTTTGAAAAAGGCTGCGAGTGCAAGACCTCGCGGCCTGCGACGAGTTTTTTCTTACCTATACATACGTGCATGGCATCTGTTATACATATATACATACTGTACATCTGGCGCCGGATATAGCTGGGCTGTCTGGGTTCTTTGTGGTTGTTGGTATTGGTGTTGGGTGCGTGTCGCTCCTTTGCATGGTTTTGTGGTTGTTTCTAGCAGGCATTTTTGGTATTAGTTTATGTACATTCGAGATCTATTTTTTTCGAGTAGATTTGTATTCTAGTGTGCGGATCGTGCAGGTGGAGTCGATCTGGAGTCCTCAGTAGTTCCAGTGGCCCCCGGGCATTGCCAGATGCACGGGTTGAATAAGTATGGGGTCAGACCGGCTAATAGTAGGGCAGCACACGAATCAGGTGGTGTTCAGGGGTGGTGCAACTAATCTGCTGTGCTACCAGATCGGGGCTAGGATCAAATAGCTTATCTTGACCTTGCCTGTGCTGGCCCCAGGGGAGGATGGTGTCATTGTTTGTCCGTAGTAACTTATGCTCTATGCTTGCAGACTGCTCTCAACGACGGTACACAATTCTTGGGAGGTAGGCTGCTTGAATTGATTGCAAGCTCAGGCCTGGTTGAGTCTGTGTCTGTAGTCACGCGACCACCTATGTGTGTTTACATGTCTGACATATATCTGTGTCAGTCAAGCAGGTCAATATTCAATCTCCAATCGATAAGTACTGAGCTAATCATGGAGAATAGAAATCAATCTTCTACTAGTCGACTTCAGTGGAGATTCACCTCAGTCTCTCTCCCACCTCCAAGTTGTACCTACACGTGGATCATCCCGCACGGTCCCTCGCCGAGCACCATCTCGGGTACCTTAATTAATTAAATCTTTCTGCCTGACCAGTGTGACCCACTCTGTGAACTTATCGACGAATGATCGGCTCTATCACCTCGCCAAGAGACCACCAACTGTTCTCTCCACCAGTCGGAGTGCTTGCAGTGCTACCGACGAGAACCGGCAATGCACAAACTCCTCATTCTTCAATCCTAGTCTCCGGGGGGGTCTCCCTCATCCTGGCATCTCGACTCCTCCACCTGGCTAGTCATCCTTTGTTTTGGTTGTTGTGTTGCGCCAATGGATACGAGCGGTCAGATATGATGTAACCACCCCCTGCAGGATTGATCCTGTTGGAATCTGATGAGGGGAGGCAGCCAGGATGCTTCCAAGAATCGGGGATCCTGCCCAGCTGCCCGGCCCTATCGGCGTATTGCCCAGGAACTAGTCTTGAGACGGTGGGGCGGCATGGCCTTGTCTAACACTGCTGGAAAATCCAACTGTTCTTAAATACTCTGGAGTTCTCTGCTGCTGCTGTTGCTGCTGCTGTTGCTGCTGCTGTTGCTGCTGCGGGAAGGTGCGTGCATAGTGGTTGACACACTGCTGTCGAGGCTAACTGCCATTCGTTACGACAGTAGAGAGATAGCGATCAAGAATCTTGACGCAACTGCACCACTCTGAACAGAGCATCAGCATCAGCAATACACCCGATTGATCTGCAGGGGCCGTGGATCCCCAGCCCTAAGCCACCACCACCACAACAACGACAACAATGCCTCTCCGGCCTCTCCAAATACTCCAAGCCGCCCTGGCATTATGTCTCCTTATCACCCTCTACCAATGCACAACACCCGGAACCCCATCATCACAACTCGAAGCTAAAGTGCAACCACCATCCCAACTCACACCCCCCAACACAGAAATCTTCATCCCTAAAACCATCCACCAACTCCTCCTCTCAATGCCAGGCCACCCCGTCTCCGCCTTCCACCCGACCTCCCACAGCATCTCGTGGCAGCAATCCGGCTGGAAAGTCGAGTACTGGTCCGAGGCGGCGTGCGCGCAGCTCGCCCATGATGCTGACCCGGACGCCGTGCGCGGGTACGCTGCGGCTTTCAGGAGATTTCCGTCCGCGGTGCTCAGGTCGGATTTCTGTCGGTATTTGATTCTGTTTGTGCGGGGTGGGGTGTATAATGATTTGGATGTACGGTTGGTGCGGGGGTTGCCTTGGGGGGTTATGCTTGGGTCTCATTCTGGGGTTGAGGAGGGTGAGGATGGGGATGGTAACGAGGCCAGGACGAAGGAAACACTTCCTCCCGCCGTGATCATCGGAATGGAAGGCGACGCCTCGACGACGGGCCTGCCGCGCTCGCCGCAGTTCGTGCAGTGGACCATGGTCTCGACGCCGGGGCACCCGATCTTCGAGGGCGTGTTGCGCCGTATCGTCGAGCGGACGGACGCGTATCTGCGGCAGTGGGAGGAGGATCCGGGCGCGGACGTCAACGTCATGGATTGGACGGGCCCGAGTGTCTGGACCGATGCGGTGCTCGAGTACCTGGACTGCGATGAGGCCATGCTGCGCACCCTGCAGGACCTGAAGGAGACCGTTCGCATCAAGGATGTGGTTGTGCTGCCCAAGCGCGGGTTCGCGATCACGCAGGGCGAGGACCACAGCTCGCCTGACGTGTTGGTGAAGCATTATTTCTCTGGGACGTGGAAGACGACGGATTGTCGGGCTTGGTGGAGATGGATCGGTCGGTGTTGATTTGCTTTTGGCGTTTTGGGTGCATGGTTGGCGTTGGGTATACGGTGTTACTGCCAGTGTGTTCTTCGGTGGGTATACGGTTATATATGTTTTGTCTGGACGTTACTACATGTATAGAGACGGAGGTGCCTGGGGAGCTGAAAGGAAGGGGGGTCCGGGGGTTCTCCCCGGGAAACGCACACACTTGGCCTAAGAATTGAGGTGCCGGGAAGCTGGAAGAAAAGGGGGGTCCGGGGGTTCTCCCCCGGATATCGGCCTATCTTGTAGTCTCAGTGGACTATCTACGAACTTGATATCAACTCTTGAAAGATTATTCAACATTGGCCATTCGCTAAAACAGCCACGGGGTATTACGTCCACTGCGAGAGCGTGCATCCAGCACTCTCAGCGTGCTTCTATCACTCCTCTCCCTTCAAAACATCTTCTCAATGATGTTGCGATCGCCATCCAACGCATCCGCCTCCTTGCGCAGCACATCGGCGCGGAACCGTCGGAAGGCGTTCTCGATCCGCTTACGCCGCTCGGGCTCGCTGGTGATCGCACGACTTCCCGACGCAGCGCCGCCCAGGAATCCTAGAAAGTACTCGTCAGCACCCTTTATCTTTGATTATATCCCTCATGAGAAGCACATACCCAGCTCCCCGCCCAGGAACAGACCGCCGGCAGAAGCGAAGAAGTAGGTCGCGAAGTCGCCGAAGGTGGTGGGCTTCAGCAGTGGGGTGATATCGGGGATGGATTCTGTGGGGCAGACGATCTCTAGTTAGCGACTGGATTCGACTTGCAGCTGTAGGGAGATAGAGGCTGCAGCGACTGCATCTTACCGGTGCGCCCGTTGGCGAACACGACCTGCGTCGGCTTCTCTTTCGCGCGGAAGACCTCGAAGAAGGCCCGGCGCGAGCTGCGCAGCCGGAACGCGGTGTACAGGCCCAATCCCACGCCAACGGCCGAGCCGATCGTCGTCCACATCGACACCTTGCGCGCGGCCGCTTGCAGCGCGTCGCGGTCCGCGGGCTGCAGGTCGTGCTGTAGGTGTTGGTCGGCGAGGCGGACGAGCTCGTCGCTGCGGCGGCTGCGGGTCATGGGGAAGGAGTCCATTGTGGCTATGGTATTGCAGTGGGTGAGGGGTTTATTGATTGATTGATCGATCGATTGATATTACTGGGAGTTGATGAAGGTGGGAGGAGATGAGGAAGGCAAGATTTATGCGACGATGCGATGCGATGCCATGCTGCGTGGAAGCCGGCCTCGGTCGGGAATGACGTCACATGGAGAATGACTTCATCGCTTAATAGAAAGGAAGACAATAGATTCAATGAATGCCATGGTCTGACCTGGCCAGATTGCGGAGATGCAGTTCTGCAGTCTTCTATCCATCCGCTGCTGCAGTCCCGGTGTGGATTCTTCGGACTACTTAGTATGTCGCTGTCGATCCAGTGTGGACGATGCGTCGCTGCCTGAGGTTGCATCCAGCAGGTGACTGTCTCTTGCCTTAGGCAGCAGGTCATCTGCGCGCCTGCCCTTTCCGGATGCATCGATAACCGGGCGGTGAGCTTATCGTCTGCAACTTTCCGCCGACGCGTCGAGCTTCTCAGACAACAACTACCTTCCCTATTGAATATCCTCCTCGAAAACGAGCATTCTTTGGTGACTTGCCACATACGATGATGGAATGCACAACCTCCTATATGAATTAGACTACGGGTCCCACAACGGGTGCAGTCAGCCGCAAGGGCGGCTAAAGCAGAAGAGTTACCTGTATGTCGATGAAGGTCTATTCTATGAGTCTATTCTATGACTGTCTATGTCTATGACTCTGTCTATCCAACGCAGCATCCCCATGCATCGCTGAAAACAAATCATGCCGTCATCACTTACAACCGCGCACCACCCTTGAGGTTGGCCTCCATCATCTGGCCGATGCGGGGATCCACCCGGCTGAACATGGCGATCGTCGCCTTCTGCAACTCGGGCACCACCCCCTCCAACGAACCGCAGAGGTTGGCCACCATCAGCCGGCGCTCGTTCTCGTCGAATACCTTGTGCCACAGCGCGCGCGGCTGCACAAAGTCCTCGTCGTCCACGGGGATCTCGTTCAGTCCCAGCACGCCGCCCATCCGCAGCCACTCGTTGTGTCGCACCTCCTGCACCGACTGGCTGCGCACGCCCGGCGTCAGCGTGCTGCGCACGTAGTTGGGCTCGCCGCCGTAGTTGTGCGTCGTCGTGTGCGCGCCGTCGCGCAGGTAGGGGGCGTACACCGGGCACACCGGCTTGTTGGGCGGCAGCTGCGGGTAGTTGACGCCCAGGCGGTAGCGCTGCGCGTCGGGGTAGGCGAACACGCGGGCTTGGAGCACTGTTTCACCCCCAGGTTAGCATTCGAGCTGGACAACTCGCGCGGGGCGGGATACATACTCGGGTCGGGAGACGCGGCCACACCGGGGACCATGTTGGAGGGAGAGAAAGCCGCCTGTTCGATCTCGGCGAAGAAGTTCTCGGGCTGCATTTCTCGTTAGATCGATACTCGGAAACATTTCATCGGACAGCAGAAAGGACATACGTTGCGGTTGAGAGTCATCTCTCCGACCTCGATCAAGGGGAAGTCCTTGTGCGACCACACCTTGGTGATATCGAACACCGCCCGGCCGTACGTCTCAGCGCGCTCAGGCTCCATCACCTGGATGTACAGCTTCCACACGGGGTATTCGCCGCGCGAGATCGCCTCCCAGAGTTCCTGGTTGTGGAAGTCGGGGTTGGTACCGGCCAACCGCGTGGCCATATCGCCGCTGATGTTGCTGACGCCCTGTACGGGGCGGAAGTGGAACTTGCAGTACCGGAAGCTGCCGTCCTCGCTCACCAGCTTGAAGGTGTGGATACCGAAACCGGTCATCTTCTGGACCGACTCGGGGAGACCGCGCGAGCCGAACAGGTGCATCAGGGCGTGCACACTCTCGGGCTGGTTGACGTGGAAGTCCCAGAACTAATCGTGCAAGTCAGCGGATGCGCAGCTCGAGGAGAAGCGACATTTGCTTACCATGTTACCGTCGGGACGGTTGGTGGCGGGGTGCTTCTTGTGACTGCGGTTGACGGAGGGGAAGCGGAGAGGGTCGCGCACCCAGAAGACGGGCTGTTGGCATTTGTATCAGCTTAGCTCGGAGGAAGCGATGTGTAATAGGTAACGGGGCTACATACAGCGTGGTTTCCAACAATATCGTGGTTACCCTCCTCGGTGAAGAACTTGACGGAGAAGCCGTGGATATCGCGCGCGGTGTCGGCACTGCCGGTCGCACCACCCGTGGTGCTGGCGCGGAACAGCACCTTGGTCTTCTTGCCGACGCCATTCATGAACTTGGCCTTGGTGAGGTGGGAGATGTCGTTGGTGACGCGGAATTCACCCCAGGCGCCGGAGCCCTTGGCGTGGACGACTCTGCGACCCGGTTAGTGGCTGCAAGCTGCATGCAGATCGGGATCGACGGTGCAGCTCCGTACCTCTCCGGAATTCTCTCCCGATTGAAATGCGTCAGGGTCTCGATCAGCAGGGTGTCACCCAGGGTGGTCAAGTTACCGCCGCCGAAGGTGGGCAGGGTGATGCTGACCGAAGGGTCCGGGATGGGCTGGCCTGGATCAATGGATTAGAGAAGCAATCGACAATGGCATCGCAATGGTCTAGACTTACCCTCCGCGAGGGTGAAGACAGGCTTAGACATGATGTGGATTGTGGGTGAGGATTGAGTTTCAGAGGGGGGAAATTATGGATCGCGGGGGAGATCTCGAGGGGTGGGATTATATACGGAGTACGGAAAGGCAGGCTTATCTCTCGTCGGTCGACGAGCTACGGATTACAAACGTGGCGTTCCAGCAGCGGTGAAGCCATTATCTCGGGGGAATCGGGACAGAAAAATTTTCAGGGCGCACAATTTCACCTAGCGCCAAAAGTGGATGAATGGATGGAGGAAGTTGACGTTTTACAGTGTGTTCTCCGAGGGTCGGTGAGGGGAAATCATCTCCATTCTGTCCTTTTCCCCTCACGGTGCCTGCCCCTCATGAGGGGTTCCCTGTCAGCATTCAATCCTCGTTCACTGATTGGTGAAACGGCACAGTTTCGGGCGGCTTCCGTGACACGTGACTATCTTCCGAGTTAGTCCCGGTTCTGCAGGTTTCGCCGAGTTTCCGCCGCGCTCGAAACAAGCAATCAAACACCATCAACTGGCATCTCCGACTGCTATGCCCGCATACTCGCGGCTTCATCTCCCCCCCATCTACCTCTGCCTCCCCTCTCCACCATTTGCATCATCATGGATATGTCGGCATCTCCGGTGCAATCTCGGGTCTCACTGCTGGACCCTGCTGGTCCATACGAGTAACAACCATCCTATTCGCAATGGAGGCATCATTATTTAAGACCTTCATGGCACCGCTCATTTCGGTATCATCAGCAGCAGCAATATCACAAGCAACACTCCTCGAGAGCAAATAATCCCTTTCATTCACTCATTTCACCTCTTTGCCCGCCCGCCCGCCTCCAACTCAGACCATCATGGTAGTACCCAACGACTCCCGCTTCGATTTCATCGTCGTTGGCGGCGGTACTGCAGGCAACTGCATCGCTGCTCGACTGGCTGAGAACTCCGACGTCAAGGTCCTTGTGGTCGAGGCAGGCGTCGCCAACTCGCACGAGATTGAAGACATCACCACCCCGTCCAAGGCCTTCGGGCTGCGGGGCAGCCAGTACGACTGGGCATACAAGACCACGATGATCAAACGCGACGACTACGAGCGCGTGGAGAAGCCTAACACCCGCGGGAAGGCGCTCGGCGGCAGCTCGTGCGCCAACTACTTCACATGGATTCCCGGATCGGCCGCTACTTTCGACGACTGGGCGGAGTTTGGCGGCCGCGACTGGACCTGGGCCAACTGCGTGGAGTACCTTCGCAAATGCGCCACCTATCACGACGACGAAAAGCTCTACCCGACCGACCTGCACAAGATCGGGTCTGGGGGGCCAGTCCACATCTCCCACGCCGAGCTGGTCCCGGAGCTGCAGCGCTTCCGTGACGCCCTCTCCGAGGCCTGGACCTCGCGGGGCGAACCCCTCACGGAGGACATCTACTCCGGCGAGATGCACGGCCTCACCCACTGCGTTGATTCCATCTACCAAGGCCAGCGCCAGGGTAGCTACCAGTACCTTCGCAACCGATCCAACGTCACTATCCTGTCGGGCGCACACTCGAAACGCCTCCTCATTGATCCGGCCACCCGCGTCTGCTCGGGCGTCGAGGTCCTCATCCCAGCCACGAATACCACCCTCCGCCTCCACGCCACCCGCGAGGTCATCCTGTCCCAGGGTGTGTTCGAGACGCCCAAGCTTCTCATGCTGAGTGGAGTCGGCCCTAAAGATGAGCTGACCAAGCACCACATCGACGTCATCCTTGACTCCCCGCACGTCGGCCAGCACCTCCTCGACCACCCGATCGTGCCCTTCGTCCTCCGCATCAAAGACGGCTACAGCCTGGACGACCACCTTCTCCGTGCCGGCCCCGCCAATGACGCCGCCGTGGCCGCCCACCGCCGCGACAGGACCGGTCCCGTTAGCTCCGGCCTGCTAGAGATGGTCGGCTTCCCGCGCATCGACGACCGACTCAACCAGTACGCGGCCTACCGCAACGCCAAAGCCGCCAACGGTGGCCGCGATCCCTTCGGTCCGGCGGGCCAGCCGCACTTCGAGCTCGACTTCGTCGGCATGTTCAGCACTGCCTTCCAGTGGCACTACCCCGTCCCCAAGGAGGGGAGCTACATGACCGTCATCGTCGATCTCCTGCGTCCCGTGTCCGAGGGCGGCGCCGTCACGCTCAACTCGGCGGACCCTCTCGTCCAACCGAACATCAACCTCAACTTCTTCGCCGATGACCTGGATGTGCTGGCCATGCGCGAGGGCGTGCGCTGGACGTACGATGTCCTAACGAAGGGCGCTGGGTTCAAGGATATCGTGCTCGCCGAGTACCCGTGGGAGATGCCGCTGCACTCGGACGAGGCGATGAACAAGGCCGTCCTGGAACGAAGCCAGACTGGCTACCGTAAGTTTTCCTTTATCTGTTTCCCGGCTCAGTAGGAGAGAAAAGTGTAAAGTGACTGACCGTGTTGATGTGTTCTAGACCCCTGCGGCACCACCCGCCTGTCCAAGAGTATCCACCAGGGCGTGGTGGACTCCAAGCTGCGCGTGCACGGCATCCGGAATCTGCGCGTCGCCGACGCGTCGGTCATCCCGGTCATTCCGGACTGCCGTATCCAGAACTCGGTATATATGATTGGCGAAAAGGTATGCATGCTCCGAATGAGTCTTCTTGCTTGGGGCGAGTGCTAACTATTCGCAGGGCGCCGATCTGATCAAGGCCGATCACCGGGATCTCTACGAAGCGAAGGGGATCCCGTATCTGATTCCTAGCCGATTGTAGGCGGAGTTTGTGTTGTACTTCTTGGTTCTCATGTTGCTTCAGCAAGGTAGGGAGATTGTATTCGAAGTTCAGAGATAGCGAATAAAATTGTGTTGTAGCCATACGGTAGATGCTAAATTCCAGAGTCCCGAGGGTAGCTAACTAGAATACATGGCAACGAACACTCACCCGTGCCATTCCACCATACATGCGCATCACTTCATCATGTCGCTACATGAAGAGTTCGCCATCTGTCTCAACATCCATGTCTTCCACATCCACATTCCCAGGTTGTTCAGCATCAGCATCGTCAGTGTCACCCTCGTCGTCGTCCTCCGCTACGTCATCCAACTGACCGCTCTCATCCTCATCATCCCCGTGATCATCCTCCTCCTCCGCGTCATCCAAGTGACCACCCTCATCCTCCTCATCCCCGTCACTATCGAAATCCTCCTCTTCCATTCCCGCGCCCTCGCCCCTCCCCGAAGAAGGCAATACCCCGTCCATGGCCGCGCAGGTCTCCGCCCCCACGAAGAACGGATGATCCGCCCGCAGCGCCAGGCCCTGGCACACATAGCCCATAGGCGTATGCGAGATATCCTGGCCCTGCCGACGCAGCGCCAGCCACTCCTGCAGGAATTCCATGGCGGCAGTCGGGCCAGCGGCGGGGTTCGCGTTGGCCGCCGCAGCCGCCGCGGCCGCCGCATCGCCAAGCTCGAGGGCCAGCCGGTCGAGGATCTCGGCGTAATCGTTGCGGCCGAAGTAGAGGCGTCCAGCGAGGAGGCCGACCTCGAAGGGCAGGAAGGCCGGCACGGCGTCGGGATTGGCCAGCGGCGGGATTGCGTAGAAGTTCAGGTTGCTGAAGTGCTGCATCCGCTTGGTTACGGGCGCGGCGTAGGTGATTAGGTGCATTGAGGGCGCGGCGCGGCTGCGGAGGAGCGGGATTAGTTCCTCTGCTTCTTCGGGCGTGATTGCGATGGCGAGCTCCGTTTGCATGTTGCTTAGGAGCCAGTTTACGGGACGCTGTGGGTTGCGTTGCGGTGTTAGTGTGTTTGGGCTGGACAGTAGGGGTTTGGGGCTGGGGGTGGCATACCGTCAGTTCGTCCATCTTCTCGCCTGCCTTCAGCTGCACCGTCCGGGTGAACTCTTCCGACACGTAGAGATGCGGCATGCTCAGATCCACCTGGCCCTTGTACTTGGTTCCTAGCTTTGTGGCAAACATCATCTTCGCTGCCGGCTGAATCCCGGTGCCCTGGAGGGAACCCGTCTCTGCGAAGTATGACAGAGTAGGGTGTAACCCCGGGAACTCGTATGGCTCCATCACCCGAGGACGCTCCACCTCGCGCTCTTCTTCGATCTCGTAGGCGACCTCGCGCTCCTGCTCGACCTCTTCCAGCGCTGAGCCGGCCATTGCGGAGGTGTGCAGGTCCCTCGCTTGCGCTTTGCGTTGGCTCAGAGTCTGCATGAACCCGGCTACTCGGCCGGTGTACTCGATGCAACAGGACGTTTCGGAGTCTGCATCGCTCACGTCCGGGGGCCGGGGCTTGTACAGTTGCTCTAGCGTTTGCTGCTCTGGCTGCTGTAGGATTCTCATGAAATTCTTGCGCTGGATTCGGTTGGTGATGAAATTGGGATAGTCTTCGGCGGCTTGGACGCGGCGACAGAAGTCGGTGCCTTGGGCATTGAAGAGCGGTTCGAGATCTTTGTTGCTGGCACATGTCTGATGTAGCAGCCAGTAGATCACGTCGGAAGAGTCGAGCATGTCATTGTGCCGCTTTCGACAGACGTCGAGAATGTTTTGATGTACCTCCGGCGGTGCGATGAACACCACGGACTGGGTGGTGCCAAGCTGGCGGAGTCTCATGGCGGCTGTAATGAATTATTAGCAGACTTCTTCGAGGTGAATGTGAATCGCAACACTTACCTTGCACCGTGTGGTCTTTGGTCTGGTTGAGTCCTAATGTGAGAGCCCCCTGGGCTTTCGCAGGTAGCTTGAGATCCGTGCCCCGAGTGTGGGCTTCATCCAGGTAAATCAGACAGTCGGTCATATCATCCGCGTACGGGGTGGCAAGCAGTGGCAGGCTTTTGTTGTGTGCTCGGAACCAGACCCATGGCTTGTCATCAGGTTCAAAGTAAACCGCGGCCTGCGCTTCGGTGTCGTGGCTCAACCACGTCTTCACTAGTGTCAAGTTGTCCATCTCAAGGATGAAAGCGCCCGCGTCGATAAGAATGCGGGTCTTGGTCCGAGCCAAGCTATGAAGCATTTGAGTCTCGGAAATGCGCTTTTCATGGAGTATCGCAGGCCAATATCCCCTGTTCCTCTTCTGAAGCAGGTAGGTCAGGACCTCGGCGTTTGTGTGCAGCAGTTCGGGCAGATCATGTTGTTCGATCGTCAGAGGAAGAAGCCTTCGATTATCATTTGTTCCACTAAAGCCAGTCGTCAGTCCCGCTAGCACCATCCTTTCGGTTTGAGATGTGGTCCTGGAGTTATCGAAGAACGGAACGTCCCATCCTGATGTCTGGAGCTTGATCGCGAATTGCTTGGCGTGGACGGGGAAGACAAAAGTCCTAAGATAATAGTTGATCACCGTCGTTGAGAACCGCAGATGCTGCCAGATTTCTGAGGTTTGACCATGGTCATTCACGTTGATTAGGTTCCAATGCTTCAAGGATTCGGGCATCGTGGCCGATGTCTCCGTCCAGCGGTCGTACTCAATGGCCGGATCATCCGCTCGGAGAACTGACTGAAGACACTGTCTGCATCGCTTCTGTGTCAACCCCTCGTGGTAAAATGCAAGACACGTAAAGAGAATAGCGACATCTGGATGGCCCCACTCTGCTTGATCTGACGGAACGCCCTTGGCATGGAAGGGCACGGCCATGGGATCTCGCCCTGGGTGCAGCCCGTATTGCACATTCCACCTCTTCTTCAGACATAACAGCAGGATCCGATGTACCAGGAGGCCTCGAAGCAAGTAGATTCTCTTGATAGCTTGGGGCTTATCTTCAAAGATCTGCTCGAGTGCCTCGGTGACCGAGTCGTGAACCGTCTCGTCTGAGAGAAACCTGCGAATTATCTCGACCTCAGCGGCGCTGCAACCTTGGATTGGCAATATGGAGCGCCGGGCGCTGCAGGCGTCGTTCACAATCCGTTCCAACAGAGCCACTTCAACGTCATTTCTCAGCAAATAAACAACAGGAAACGCGGCTTCTTCTCTGTCGATCACATCGATACTGCGCGGGAATATTCGTGCCAAGTCACGCAGGTGCTGCGCAACAAGACCTAAGACTTTCATCACGACCTCCCAGCGATCAGGATGCCCATCGACGACGAGCTGCGAGCCGCTGGGATAGATGAGTTGTGTCTTGACCGCCAATGTGAAATCGCATTCGTCGAGGATATCCCGGCCGTATCGGTCAATCCAGTCTTGGATGGCCACCATTTCTGCGGCCTCGACGGTCTTCGCATCGGAAACTCGCTGTAGGCCACTCAATTTGAAGGATAGCGCATGCTCGGGAACGCCCAGGATAACACCGGACTGATGGAGTGTATCCTCATAGAACCGGCGAAACTCCGCTATCAGGCTTGGTGTAGTTTGCGTTCGTCGGGAGAACGGGATATGTAGCACTTCGCGACCGACAAGGCCACCCAGGTGTGTCTGGAGGATCTGCGCAGTCTGGGTGAGAAGCGCGCTCGGCACCAGCAAGCGGGCGAGTATCTTGCCATTGGCCAACGCACATGCCACCATGGGCATGATTACAGAGGTTTTGCCTTGTCCCATATTCATCTGCAGGACGGAATTCGAGCCTGAGCTTGGAGCGATCATTCAAGAGCAACCGTCACCTGTTCCTGGCGTATCTGCACGTTCGCGTCGATCTCGAGAAGAACCCAGGCCGGATAGCGCATGTAATCCCAGACCGCATGAGAAATCTGGCAATTCACTTGATCCAGTCGGCTTTGGTCGCGCCGAGCAAAGAAGTCTCTGATGCGCAAAAGTCGCTGTAGCTTGACGATTTCGAGCCCATATGATAGGATAGCCTCTTTCATTCTCGGGCCAAAGCGCGCAAAGGACCTTCCAAGCTGTTGCAGGATTGTGATCGGGGTGATGCATGGGCCAAGGTTGCCCTTGAGTAACCAAAAAAGCCTCGAATCGCTTTCTAGGAGAGCTGCGCAGATCCGCCCGTAGCATGAATCCACGACGGCCTGTGCGCTCTTGATCTCGTCATCGTATTTCTTCAGCCCTTCCCAATAACTTAATCCATTCTGATAGGGTTTGTGTGGTTCGTGGCCCTTTAGTTTGAGCGCGTGAATACTTTGCTGCAAGTCTCGCCCATAACGAGATCTGACGGAGCAGCCTGAGTCGACAATCTTTTCGACCAAGCGTTCAAGTTCGATAATTTCCTGCGAGTATGTCAATCTAGCGTTTGGGGTGATGGCCTGAGAAGATCGCCTCGGCTGATCAGCGAAAGAAGCGGTTTTCATCGTTTCGGCGTCCCTTAGCAGCGGGCCTGATGTCTGGAGTAGGTCCCGTCCAAGCGCGACGCCGACTCCTGAACAAGGCTTTGGTAGTGGTTCGAAGTGCTCTGACTGACCCATCGCTGGGAGGTCCAGGAGTTCGTTTTCGGGAGCGCTGTGCGCATCCAGTACTTCCTGTACCTTGTCCAGGTGTTCCAGAAGCTGCAGGTTCTTGTATCGTCGTAGCCATTCGGGTTGGACTGCAGCAAGGGCTTTTACAGCGTTCAGAACCTCGGATTTGAATCCATCTATCGAGGGCTCCGCACAAGGCCACTGCGGAAGTAGGAAAGAAACGAATCTCTCACACTCAGTCTTGCACCGGGCTTTGTGCTGTTGCACTGCGAGTCCATGTTGGGCTTGGGCCTCTTTTCTCGTGATTGCGCGAGACTTTTTGCCGCGTTTCTGTTGGTCGGCCACAGTTTGAAGCACGCTACAGGCAGGCAGCACCAGGCCTAGTAGCAGATCGGAAGCGGGCTTGTCTTTATCGCGCACATTTTCAAAGGCTCCATAGGTCGGTAGTGGTAATTCTTTGAGCGGTTCCAAAGTCGCAAAGGCTGCTAGAACGCGAAGCACCTTCATATTCGCATTGGGGGAATAAGCCATAAGACCCAACGTGAACATCAAAAAAGGTGCAGTATCCGCCTGGCTCGTAGCGCAGTGGCGAACCAAACGTCCCCATTCGGTTCGAAGATCAATAGATAGAGCTGTGCTCAAAGTAGTCGGCGTGAATATGCCGTTGTAGCCGCCGACATTTGACCAAGCCCGTATGATATCGGTAAGACTACAATCTGTCTTGACTGCTGAAGGCCGATTTCGAAGCAGACAGATGATCTCACGCGAGTTGCAGGTTCGCTTGGACGAGCTATAATACACCCGCGACCAGTAGACCTCATCAGGCACCTCCTGCATCTTGTCCTCGTTCCAATAATCAGAGCGCTCGTACATAGAGCGGCGCCAGAGAGCCCTATCTCGCAAATATGCTTCATTCTTTCCAGGGTTTCTAGTACATAGCTCGGTAGAAGGGTGAAAAAGAGAAAGCCTCTGAGACTGTGTGATAATTGACTCGATGATTGGCTCATATGCCTCATGCTGCATTGTCACCGTCCACCCTTCGTTCCACTTTACCACCTGCTGAAACTTTCTGTCGGGCGGATAGTACTCTCGTATCGGCGTAAGCCTGGATATTATGAGTAGTATATCAACAATGTTGGAAGCGAGCGGCGTCCATGGTTGCGAGTAAGCCGACTTGAGGCAAGACAGTGCTTCTTCTGTTCCAGTTCGCCTCGTTAGATCATCTGGAAGGACAAATGAGGTGAAAGCATGGAGCTGGGCTTTGGTGTAAAGCAGTAGAGGCTCGGCAGGGCATTGAAGTCGGCCGAGGACTTCGTCAATCAAATACCGTCCGTAATTGCCTGTTCTGTCCTTCGTGACCAATACATGTATGCCTCGGCGCTCGGCTTTTATGCTGCCTAGAGGAACGATGATACTTCGCTGTGATCGACTCGGGACATTCCGCAGCACTAGCATGCTCTGAAGCCCATATAATGTTCCAGCGTCCTGGTTGGGATCTATCTCAGCAGACAACTGCTTGCACTGTAAGAGTCGCTGACTGTTGACATAGAAGATGAGATTGATCCTCTTCAGCTCGATGGACAGTGGGTTTCGCGGATGTTGGACCACCGTCAGTTCTGGAGCTTGTTCAAAGTGATTAAATATTTTTGCGATAGTACGAGCCAGTTGAGAATGGGGATCAACTAGATGAGAAATTCGTCGGATAGCTTTGCGCGTATCGATGTCGATCTTCCAGTCACTCATCCTCTCCCACCAGATATGTGGCACACGCCGAGCTTCAAGAATCCCCGTTTTGAGATCAAGCCAGTGCACGCATCCATGAACCAACGAGTGAGGCAAGTCTGGTCTTGTATCTGGGCCAAATACGGACCCAGGAATGTGCTCCAGAGTTTGGCTTCTTTTGTGGGCTTGAATCACTAGCTTCTGATCTCGAAATCCTAGGTGGACCTGGTAACCATTCTTTTTGAGCGCAAGCTGATAGCTCATTCCGTTTCGGTCCGACGGAAATGCAACAAGTCTCTGGTTGCCAAACAGCGCCTTCAACGTTTCCGAGTTGCGAATGTCGGGCGGAATCTTCCCGATTGAGCTGCCATCAATCGAAAGATGTCCTTCGAGGAAGTGAAAGCGGTAATTTTGCTCTCGTGTCTCGTTGGTACCGTGGGCTGTGGCAGTAACCCAACAGTCTTCAGATCCCTGCCAAGCCGTATACTTCCAGAAACACAGCCACAAATTTGATCGATGGCAGCATTCACACCCAAAGGATGGATATTGATGGCAGTTCGAATTGCTTCGCGCAATTGAGCAGAAGACATAATGTCACGGACTAGCATGCTTTGCGTGAGCGTACCAAAACTGTCAGTATCCATGACCAGGTTTTCCTGCATGGAAAGAGTCGCTACGACCCAGGTTTTGATGCTTTCTTCGTCAAAGGTTGTGTCAATCATGCCACTAAACGTTCGGCGACAGAGCAGGGCAGCGAGAAAACAGTATCGCGCCAGCTTGTCCGCTGCATCCACCTCGGTGGCATTCCGAGATTCTTCGCGCAGATGATTAATCCACCGGTGTGTCACGCTTCGGATTTTCAACAGCATCTCACTGGCCTGCATAGACGCCTCATGGATCCCCAGGCTGCATACCTTCACTGAAAAGGTCAGCATGGTTTCCATGCAGGTGACCTCGCGCCAATTGGGAGCGATCAAGGATACATGTTGATCGATCTGCTCAATGAGTCTCTTGCAAAAACTGAGATCATTGAAAACGACATGCACTGCTCTCAGCGGCTCACCATGCAGCTCAGGGCCCGCTTGCAACGCAAGGTGCCTCATCAGAACCATGGTATGCTCTGCGCTGAAATTGATGTTCGAGGACCCGAGTTCGGCCAGAACTTGGAGCCATCGCCGCTTCTTCCCAGCCATTAGGGCCTGATGCGCCATAAATTCGTGAATTGTCACTGCTGAGGGACATTCGCGGTATCTGGCAAGAGCCTCATACGATGAGGGTCCCAGGCCATCGGGGGCAAAGCTGGGTGTCGAGTATAGTTGGGCAAGTGGAACTTCCCGGGGGAGGCGAAGGGCAAAGTGATGCGCCAATGTGAGCGTTTCGGCTACGTCCCGGGCCCATATTCCTCGTTCGTCGTAGTACTTGAAGGTTAAACCCGACGGAAGTATCACGCTTTTCTCTGTTGTCGGCAGCCTGACCTGTTTGTAATGGGTTTCCAGGTATGACTTTGTAGTAGACGCCAGAGAGTACCCTCGCCGATATGCGATCAGTTTCATATATGGGGACAAATTTGGATAATTACCGAGTACCTTCTGGGGGGCTCTGGCAGCTGACAGCTCCATTTGACGGCCAAGTCGAATGATTATGCTCCAGCTAGCGCTGCGGTAGGCAGCGAAAGCTTGAGGTATGCCCAGCTCGAACAGGACGGCACGTTTCTCGGCCATTCTCTTTGGCAGATAATCTTCGTGAACACTGATTCTGAGGCGTCGTAAGCACCGGATGTAATAACAGTGTCCGCAGCCACGAATCTCATGGGAACCGTCAGGGGTCATTCGCTGGGTGCATTCACTCTCCATCTTCTTCGTAGTCAGGGACTCGTACTCTTGATTCATCTCCTCCAACTCCGCTGCCTTTTCCATCCTTGCAGTCAAGGATGCTGCTTCGATCTTTGCTTCGAGCTCTGCCAGGTTCGCGTCGAGGCCAAGTTGCACGTATCGATCAGCAAAGCATTGCGGAGATGGATCTGCAAAAATTGTCATGCTTTTACCATCCAACCCTGCACAGCGTGCATGAAGATGCTGTTGTACTGTGCTCAGACGATTCAGGTCGGTACGCCTCGATAGAAGCAGCACATCTAGCGACTCTGGAATGAAGACCGGATGATACTCGAGAAGTAAGGGAAAGGCGACGGTTGCGCATTTGTCCATGCATACCCACAATTCTAACAGGTTCAAGATGAAGATGCTGAATGTCACTTGGTCTTCATCATAGGCGTCCCCGATTCTTTGGAGATAGTCTACAATTTTTCGGGAAGTTTCAATGCAAACGTCGATGTCGTGGTCAGGCTCAGCGGTAGATGTATCCCGCATGTCACGTTCGATGGTCGCTTCCAATTCGGCGAGAGAGGAGTACCGCTGAAACATTGTGGTAAATTTTTCTGCCGTTCCGCCTGTGTCGTTTGTTGAATCGACTGCACTAGTGCGCTGAAACCATGGGGCATTGTTTTGAGGCTGCTGCAGAACCTTGCGAAGGTATGATATACTGTTTGGTAGACTAAGAATCATGTCTCCTGTCTGGGCTCTGCGTGGTAACGATGGTATCATGCGCTGGAATTGCGTCTTGAATGCAGCCCATTCTTGTCGAATGTGATTATCTGCAATTCTCAGACTCTGTCGATAGAGAGGGTTCAAATGGTGTGAGAGGGTGGCATGGACAGTCTGTGCTTCGGCAGATAGGCTGTCCTTCAAGATATCCAGCTTGGTCAGTCGGCGGCAGAGTTTGGCTCTCAGCCAGCACCAGTGCTCTGGGGCCAGAGCTCGCGTTTCGAAAAGATCTCTCAGTAGATGGACTAGAAGTACGCAGAGTAGGGACTTGTAATACAAGTGGCCCATTTCACTGCCCATACGCAAGTACAGCAGGCGTTGGATGCAAACACGAAGGACTAGCCAAAATGAACTGCGACGCCACGGTCGCTCCGCATGGTTCCAGCAGACATCGTCCTTAATACGCTTGCGCAAAAGAGGTGTTTTGACCCGACACCCATTCACGCCAAGGAGGGTAATTAGAAAATCAGTGATCAGGTCCGGGTCAGGGGTGTCTCGCACCTCAGTCACTTCAACGCCGGCCTTCCTGGACTTAGGCATGAATTCAGCGACTGGCTCTGTGCTCGCTCTCATGAGGAAACCGGCGAGGTTATCTTGGAATCTCGGCTTGTTAAACTCTCTCTTGTCCAGCGATATGGCTGCCCCCGGGAAGTCCCACTGGAGTGCACCTCTCGCCGCGAGCGTGGGCTCAGCACTTGGCGAGGCTTCAAAAGCTTCGACAGTTATGGAATCACCGTCCCTAGCAGAGGCTGATATTAGAAAAGAGGGGTTTTAGACAGCGAGGAGGGGTAGGCTTACTTGTTTTGATAGAAGAGGAGGGCGGCATTGTGTTCGGCGACGTGCACGATGATAGCATGATCGGAGCTCAGCCTCTTGAAAGCGCGCAGCAGGACTGACCTGTGGACTCTGCCGTCGTTGAGCTCGCGACACTCTTTGAGGATCTCATCCAGACTCTGAAAGACCGACTTTGTGTTATCTTCAGCGGTGTGGTGAAGGACTCTTAGAGCCTCACGCAGACGATCAACAAGCCCGGATCCGACTTTTTGTGGCTCTTTGTCGTCATGTCCGGGAAGCTTCGGGGGCAAAGTAACATGATGAAATATGTCCTTCAAGATGTTGGACTCGGACATGGCAGAAAGCTAGGCTGTGGTGGAGTGATGATACAAGTAATATCAACATGTGAATCGAGACTAGGAGACGAGGGTTGAGGAGAATGAACGTGGAGATGGAAATGAGATCACAAGGGAGAGTGAGAGTAAAGGTGATGATGAGAAAATTAGTGATGGAAACAAAAAAGCAGTGGTGACGATGAAGTGACGTTGGGAATGGAGATGAAATAGGGACGAAGATGGCGAGGGAGGTGAGGATGGAGGTGAGAAGGTAAGACGAGGATGGTTGAGAGGGTGAGAAGGATGAGGATTGAGGTGGTCGGAGGAGAATCAAGAATGATGAAGTAGGCAAAGCTACAGATGAAGGAAGAAGCCGAGGGGAATTGAAGCGTAGTGAATGAAGGACAAATACCTGGGAAGGAAGCTGGTGGTTGCTGCTGCTGCTGCTGCTGCTGCTGCAAACAACAGCAGAATTGTCCCACCCAAACAGAACCTCAGCCAGACTGGCAGTGAATGAGATTGAGTGGTAAAGAGGTTGGTCAGCCCAGTAAGACGTGCACCTCTCTTCTTAGTGCTGTGACTATCACTCTGACGACAAGTCATGGGAGATCGATATGATACACTCACCTACAGTGGGACGAAATGCTATACTTCCCTTCCTGGATAGCAACAGTACAGTGCGCATATCTTATGTAATTGGTGTATAGGTGATTGTGCAGTCCTGTGCTGTCACATGATCCGCCCGTCAGGCAGCCACTGTCAGGCAGAAACTGCACGACAGGCTCGTTGCCATACCGCAGCCCGGGAAAGGCAGCCCCGCCGGAGGTTTCTTTCCCCGGGGCCGAGTTGCAACCGCAGTTGATGAAGATGGATGACAGTCGTCGTGGCGATGAGTTGCATGGTAATAGAGCATGAGATAATATACACATTCGAAGATACAACCCGTTCATCAGAGTGGCTTCAAGCACAGGCAGTTTCTCTGCACAAATCGGTGCTGTGAACGAGTGAGCAGGCGCAATGCCGTCAGGTCCGTCGAGCTATGATATATATCCTACTATACTAGATTTACAAAAACCATGCTCATGAAACCACGGCAGATACCGAACATTCGCTCAGCCCCATTGCCTGTGAGCCATGCAGACAGAAGAAATGCAAGGTCAGTAGAAGATGAATAGGTGATTGTGATGCTGAACTGCGCGAACATCCGTCTAACTCCGGCGCGTGTCAGTGCGATCGCACCCTGTATGTGATATCGGCCTAGATATGTACAGTACATCCACCTCGGTATTGGCTGACAAACATCCAGTCCAATCTGCACGCAATGCTCTCCTGATCAATCCAAATGCGTCTATCCAGAGAGCGGCAAGCGGTAAGGAAAAGTTCCCTAGCGAGTACTTGAACTAAATGCTGATCCAACCCAGAGGACTGCCCCTCGGATATCTCAACCAGATCGAGCAACGGCTGGCCGATACCGAGCAAGCATTGTTTGACGCTCTCACGACGATGCGCGAGCTCAATGGTTCTCACGGAGGAATGGTGGTACAGGCCACGCGCAAGTCCGCCGATACGCGCCCCAAGAACGCGCGCATGCAAGAGTGGTCTCAGTTGCCATTGAGCGACTGGACAGAGCGCGAACGGTGGCGGGAGGCAAAACGCGATCAGTACCAGTGGACACGAACAGTCGTGGAATCACCACCGATGGTAGAAATGCCGCAAGCGAATGGGTATGCGATGCCACGAGGGATCCTCACGGCCAGTCGTCCGAGCAGAAGCAGTGTTGGTACGGCGGAGTCGGAATCGCCCGAGCGGCGGAGGTCAGATCGAGCAGCGGAAGTCGCCCGGCGGCATCCTTCGCTGTACTTTTGATAAAAAATGAGTAGGATCTATAACAAATCAAAGAAGTCTATTGCAACAAGGACCCCCGATGGTCTAGTTGGTTCATGGCGTTCGGCTGTAATGGTTAATTGTAACCGAAAAGTCACCAGTTCGATTCTGGTTCGGGGGAACATCTTTTTGCTTTTGTTCAAGCTCTACTGTTCTTGGAGGTCCTAGTGGCCCATCTCTACCAAGACCCTGCATAGTTATCTTAGTCTACGGTGTTGTTTTCCTCAACGGAGGGTACCTATGATGATCTCATCTACTTTGCACGTAGTGACGTGTCTGAACTGGGCATCTGCATCTGTGCTGGATTTGGCGGAGGCCCAGGTGTTTGCATGTTTTCACAAACACCGACCACTTCCGCGATGGTCTTCTTTCCTGAACACTTGCCCCTCCATGGGCCAACTCCACGAAAACCCCGCCATCCAACCTTGACAGTCTCTTGCAAGTCCCGTTCGGCGTTGTTCTGTCCTTTCTAGCCATAGTGCTGCGTTGATCGTCATCGTCCTCCAGGAACAAACTACACCCGACCACTCGCGTGGCGCCGGACATGTCTTGTTCCGAATCGCGGAGGAGTGCAAATCCGAGCTTCCCCCATCGGAGACCATGGAGGGGAAAATCGCTTTTGGTGAGAAGTGGTAGACCGGGGCTGCAGATACGATATAAACCTCCAACGACGTCCTGATACCGGCTTCTGTCTTCCCACTCATCAGTTTCAGATCAACTGCACACACACAATCATCATGTCGCCCAAGACCTACAGCATTGCCTCCATGCCCGCCGATGGCATTGGCCCCGAGGTCATCGAGGCCGGTATTGTCGCCTTGAACGCCTTGGCTGATACCCTCAAGACCTTCAAGCTGGAGTTCACCAACTACGACTGGAGCTCCGAGACCTACAAGAAGACCGGAAAGTACATTCCCGATGGCGGTCTCGAACAGCTTCGGAAGCACGATGCCATCCTCTTCGGTGCCGTTGGTGCCCCTGGTGAGTTTGCCTTCCCCACCTCCCCCGCATATGCAAGGCTATCTAACCCGATCCCTTCTGAAAAGACGTTCCCGACCACATCTCCCTCTGGGGTCTCCGCCTGGCCATCTGCCAGCCCTTCCAGCAATACGCCAACGTCCGCCCCACCAAGGTCTTCCGCGGTACTCAGTCCCCCCTCCGCAACTGCAAGGCTGGTGACCTCGACTGGGTCATCATCCGTGAGAACAGCGAGGGAGAGTACGCCGGTCAGGGTGGTCGCTCCCACACTGGCAAGCCCTGGGAGGTTGCCACCGAGACCGCCATCTTCTCCCGGGTCGGTGTCGAGCGTATCTTCCGCTTCGCTTTCGAGGTCGCCCAGAAGCGGCCCCGCAAGCTCTTGACTGTGGTCACCAAGAGCAACGCCCAGCGCAACGGTATGGTCCTCTGGGATGAGGTCGCCAAGATCGTGGCCAAGGACTTCCCCGATGTCACCGTCGACAAGATGCTGGTCGACGCCATGACCACTCGCATGGTTCTCAAGCCCGAGTCCCTTGACACCATTGTCGCTACCAACCTGGTGAGTTGACCACTCCCCTCTCCCCAGCGAAAGGCCCTCACTAACAGATACCAACAGCACGCTGATATCCTCTCCGACTTGGCCGCCGCTCTGGCCGGCTCCATCGGTATTGCCCCCACCTCCAACCTCGACCCCACCCGTCAGAACCCCTCCATGTTCGAGCCCATCCACGGCTCTGCCTTCGACATTACCGGCAAGGGTATCGCCAACCCCGTCGCTACCTTCTGGACCGCCGCCGAGATGCTCGAGTGGCTCGGGGAGGTCGATGCTTCCAAGAAGCTGCTCACCGCCGTCGAGAACGTCTGCGAGGCTGGCGTCCTGACTGCTGACTTGGGCGGCAAGGCCAACACCAAGGAGGTCACCGACGCTGTGGTGGCCGAGATCAAGAAGCTGTACGGTTAAACGATGTATATAGATTACGGATTGATGTCAATAGCATGAAAATAGATTTCCTTGTTCGTTATGATAAATTTAGTCGTCGAAATCATCAACTGATTGTATTCATGTAACAAGATGATTTGCAGAGTCATGCCAGTACCCGGTGTGAGACTTTATATGGCCAATTTTAGACCCTCCGACTATGCAAGCACCTGACCAAAGCCCATTGGCAGGATGCCATGCTAGCGCACACCTTTGCATCCGAGCTTTGGAAGCTGAACGAATCACCTGCTCACCAACATCCTCCCATTCGCCTGCGTCCTGTTTTCTAATTGGTCTCCGAAAATCGATGCCGGCAGCATTTCTGCCGCAATTTACCGTTCACGCGTCGCATCCGTGTTGAACATCAGGGCATCTGCTCCCTTGCATTTACAAAGACGATAATGTGCAAAGAATTATGTATACAATCTGATTATGTCGCGGAGCTCACCAGGGATTTTGAACGACAAGTCTAATCTACGAATAGATATAACACAAAGGCGTGCCGGCCGTGGTGTCCAAAATGTCGTAAATCTCGCGCGACTCGGTGAGGTTACCCATCCACAGCATATCGTGAATGGTGGTGTTGGGGCCGGGAATCATGCCGTTGATGAAGTCGGGCCCCTTGACGACGTAGGTGCGGTTGGCCGGGTTCAGGTTCTGCCAGATCCAGAAGACGCGGTCGATCATGCCGTGGTGAACGTAGAATGCAGGGTCACCGGGGGAGGCGTAGAGGTCCTATTGTTTGGTTGTTAGGGTTGATGCTTGCCGCAAATAAAAGAGAAAAGACGGGTACGTACACCTCCAGGGTCACCGCCAATGGTGAAGTGACCGGCCGTGTGCACGCCCAGGAATCCTTCGTTGAAAAACCCTTGCATGGTCCACTCGAAGCACGAGATGTCGTCGCAGTTCTGGATCAGATCCATGACATCGCTGGTCTTGGTCCAGCCCTGGGCGGCGTAGGCCGAGATGTCGCGACGCAGGCACCGCGGGTTGTAGTCCAAGCCGGTGCCGTTCTGGGCCACCAGACCGGGGATCTGCAGGGTGGGGCTCACAGGGCCGAGGTTGACGCTCATGCTGGAAATCGGCTGTTAGGGGGTTGAATAGACAGAGAAAGGTCAGACAAGGTAGCTTACTTGGCAAAGGGACCGTGGCGCACACAACCGCCTCCCACACCGGGGGGAATGATGGTGTAGGGGGTGGCCGGGGTGCCGTTGTGAGCCACGTAGTCTCCGTTACCGGACAGACTGTACTCGGTGCCATCGAAGAGGGGCGAGTTGATCGGGTTGTCCACGTATTTGTTCCAGGCCCAGTAGGGCTGGTAGCCATCGTAGCCACACTCGTTGCGTAGAGCCTCCTCGTAGGCCCAGGTGAACAACCGGTGCCACGTGAGGAAGTTACCCTACCACACTTATCAGCTGTGAGGTTAACGAGGGAGCAGCAAGGCGACGTACCGTGCCGTGGATCCACAGGGTCTGGTTGATGTGCACGGCGACGAAGTCGTCATAGCGGTTACGAGCACCAGGAGCGAAGCTGGGATCCGACTTGGGCGGCTTGTTCATCAAGCACAGCACCGCATCGGTATACTTCTTGCGATCGGCGGGCGCCAAAGATGACCTGGTGTTTCATATTCAGTGAGCCACGAGCGTCTCTGGTATTAGTGTGGAGGTCCAAGGACGTACCACTCGCGACGAACTACCGCATTCTTGACGTTGCAGGTAGAGTTGGAGCCGTGAGCGGCCTCATAAGCCATCTTAGTGGCCAAAGCTTTGCTGGAGAGCTTATCGACGGCATCGGGGGTGCCGAGGATGGCAGCGGCTGGCGAGGCAGCCAAAGCAGCCACAGCCGCGCTTGACAAGAGGGAAAACTTCATGATGGCAGTCACCGAACGAAGATGAACTGAGGGGGCTGACTGACTCGAGAAAAAGCTGGTCACCAACTGCCTCTATATAGTTTTTTTTCCCGGGTCCCCCCCCTGATAAGACCAACGACCAAGGAAAGGCTGTTGCCTCGTGGAAAAGTAAGCTAATTAGCCCATGTGGCCATCTGGATGTCGGAAGTGGGCGAATAGCCCTAAGAAAAGGCCCCCAATGGCACCAGTCGGGTAAACCACCTCTTAGTCGCTGCACCGCCGTCGGCAGCTAAGAATGTGAAGCATAGTTAGCATACCAAACGGTCCCTCACTTACGGACGCGATTAAAGACAGTTCTAGCCGGAATTCGAACCGAGAGTGGGGGGTTGTCCTGTTCGCTACTCCATACAGGGTCCTCTCTTCCCGAGGCAGCTGGTGTCCCCCTCGGTGGCGACTTCCGTTTGCCCTTCGGTGACTCGAGCACTTTTCTCGCTCAGTTCGGGCATCAATTAAGACTCGTACAAGACTCTATCCCCGAATTAAACGTCTGACCTGTCATGGTGGCAAAAAGTTAATCTCGAGGGCCAGTTTGGCGTGGCCAAGCGTGAGCAGGGGTCATTGTGTCGCCCCGCGCCCTGAGCGGACCAATTGCCTCCAGAAAACACCAAAGAACCCCAGCTCGGAGGAAGGACACCCTTGACTGGGGTTGGGCACTTAATTGCTCCTGAACGGCGGAAAAGAGATGGCGCCGGTTGTCGAGAACTGATAGATAGTTAATATCTTTTAATCTATGCTAGTGCTGACTAGTGCGTCGTTTAGCACCACATCGTCGGCCACAATACCCTTTTAGCCGCTGTCATCCGTCTTTCCCGATTTGACAGTCTGAGTTCGGTCGGAGGAAGCGAGAAACACGGAATGGAGTCGGTGGAGTGCGAGATCCAGGGAAATGTGCGATTGCTGGCCTGTGAGTTCGATCCTCCCTCCCAGGGTCGAGCCCTCCCGTGATCGTCCGGATCGTCTCGTAGTTCCCCAAACACGCGTGGTATATCTTGCACAACTCCAGATTTGATTCAGATCATGACTCTAGGCGTCCACGTTGCAGGGGAATGACTGACCGCTTGAACGTGCATGCAGGACGGCTGCCACGTTGCCCCTGCGGCGCCACGCTAAAGAACAATTCCCGACGGTCTGGGGCTTCTAGGACCTGCCGTGTGCAAAATAAATGAGAAAGTGACACTAGAGCTGCATTATCCCTGCTAGCCTGGCAGAAGAGGAGATTTGAGGAGGGTCTTCAGACCTTTCGAGGCCCTCGACTGGACAGCCGAGGCTGAGTGACTCGCTTAATCCTCGAGAAACACCCACCTTCTCTTCTAGACTATCCTGTCCAGACTCCCGGCTTCGCTCCTCAAGTGGACGGAAGTGCAGAAGACGTAAGAGGGATCTGATGAAGGAATCGGAGAGGGATCGGGAATGCAGGCCCAGATCGTGCAGAAGTTGTTCTTGGCTGCGCCTCGTAGACGGTCGCCCGTCCGATGCGATTCCTGTGGAAGCCAGCGAAGAAAAGAAGGCCAGTCATCCTCGACTCTCCGTCTTCATGTAACAAGTCATCATTGTTCTTCATGACTTGCTGTCACTCTGCTCTGTGACTTCTTCTTCGCCGAAATGACGGCTGTACCCCTCTGGCCGCGATCCGGGAGCAGCTCTTCCAACGCCCCGACCATCTTGGCAGTGGTTGGGACGTTGACGGGCCTGTCCACACTGATCGTGCTGCTACGATGTTATGTGCGCGGTCTGGTGCTGCGAAAGTTTAATGCGGAGGAGTACAATATAATTGGGGCGTGGGTGAGTGGACTCTGGCTGGATCTGCATTGTTCGTGATGGAGAGATCGACATGTCCTAATCGGCATATTTCATATCAGCTCTGTGCCGTCGGAGTTCTCGTCTGTTTCGCGGTTGAATCGCAACATGGCGTCGGTCGCTACTCGAAGGATATCACCAACGAGGAGTTTGGGTACCTGGCCAAGGTGGTTTATTTCCATTCCATCATTGTGATGGTCGGCCTCAGTCTGGTCAAGATCTCCCTGGCAGTCTTCTTGCGACGATTTGCTCAGAACGCGCTGCGTCAGGCATTGATCGGATCCATTGGTTCGCCTGTCTCCTCGCCTGTCTCTCACTCCGATTCTCACCATGATAGTCTTCCTGGTCGCCTTCACTATCGCCTGCGGCTTAACTCTGATCCTCCAGTGCACCCCTGTGGCCGCCGCGTGGGATTATAGTTTGCGGGCTAATGCTCGATGCTTTGATTCCGGTACTTATACCGCCATTGGGCTGTGGAATAGCAGTACGGTTTCCCCTGTGTCTGGTTGAACGTGTTCACCAGTCGCACAAGCTTACATCAGTCGCATTCTAGTCACGAACCTCGTGACGGACGTTATCTTTGCAACGCTACCGGTGCCCATGTTCATCAAAATCCAAGTCAACCGACGGACAAAGGCATCACTGATTGGAGTATTGAGCTTGGGATATCTGTACGTGACGAGGCTATGCGGGCGCCTGGACCGAACTGATTGTGTTAACTGTAGGGCCTGCGTTGCCGGTATCATCAAGATCGTCGCTCAAATCAAAGTGCTCAAGGAGACAAATGTGTATCGGTAAGTGCTGGGTCCAGATTTGTGAATAAGAAGCACTTTTGCTCAATGGATTTCCAGGAACGACACCTTCATGGTCTGGAACTGGTAGGTGGAAGCCATGCTGCAATGGTCTGAGATGCGAGACTGACCGCTAGATCCAGTGTCGAATTGAATATCGCTATCCTCGCCGCATGCCTTCCCAACCTCAAACCCCTGGTCAAGTCATTGCTCGACAGTACGCGCAGTCTGACCAGCGGGCGCCGCAACGCATACGGCAATTACTATCCCGGATACTACGGCCAACGGAGCGAGGATATCACGCTCAAGTCGATGACGCGGCGAACACGCCACTCTATGTATAATATCACGGTGGAGGGGAGCTCGGATGGCGATTCCGCCAGTGGGCACAGTGGGAATCGCGAGGAGGACGAGCAGCGCTTGCATTGCACGGAGATTGGCATCTTGAAGACCACCGAAGTGGTGGTTCACACGCAGCAGTAGGTTGCGTTCGACTGTACTGTACATATCCCAATTATGATAGGTATATAAGCTTTTTCTTTTGTTCCGCTAATGCGCAGCCACATTTCGAAGCAGCCAAGCGTTCACCGGAGTAGGAAATGAAAGGGAAACCTGAAGGTATGGTGTGAGGCAAGACGCGTGCCGCGCGTTGATTCAGCAAATATTGCATTCTTGGCGATAGCCGCCCCTTGCATGGGTTTTGGTCATGGGTATATCAATGACAGCTGGCATCCTAGAACCACGGCGTATGGAGGGATTTGAGTTGTACAGTACGCTTGTTGACATCATCGGTCGCCGCTGCGACTTCGCCATCAGACCAGTAGAAGCAAACTCGAGCAGGATTAAAGAGCAAACCAACTTGACAGGTAAAGTGTATTGCTGCTCACAATGGTAGAATTACACCGGGAAAAGCAGTCTAGTAGCAATGGCAACTGCCTTTCATCATTTTCGAAGGAAGAGGAGGCACAGTTGGTGAAGAAAATCGACACCTTTGTCTTGCCGATGTTGTGTTTGGTCTTCTTCTTTCAGTGTGAGTGCTTTCTGGCTGCCTTGCTGCTTCCAATTCTCTGACTTCACCAGACCTCGACAAGCAGAGCCTGAGTTATGCCTCTGTCTTCGGCCTCATCGACGACCTCTCGCTTCATGGATCCGAGTACTCCTGGTGCTCATCAATCTTCTATGTTGGTATGACTCTTACCCAAGCGGAAAGAAGAGAAGCATTCCGTTGATAGTCTTATAGGACAGCTAATTTCTGAATACCCTTTCATCTATTTGATGAGTCGCTTGCCATTGACTCGATTCGTTGGCATCACCATGTATCCAACCCCACGTCTTTGGCTCTTAGACAGAAAGAAAGAGGATTGTCTTCTGACCTTGCCAATATAGTATCGTCTGGGGAGGAGTGTGTATGTGTCTGGCAGCCTGCCAGAACTTCGCCAGTTTCGCAGCTGTGCGCTTTCTGCTCGGACTGAGTGAAGGCGCGGTGGCTCCAGCATTTGTCACGCTGACCAGTGTCTGGTATCGAAAGAAGGAGCATGCACTGCGGGTTGGGTAAGCGACGCTGGGATCACGGATTGCTACTGAATGGCGACTAATCGGTTGTCCAGAGTCTGGGTAACGATGGATGGATTGGCTCAGGTGCTGGGGTGTCTGCTCATGTACGGTATCGGACGATCATCCACCGGCCCTCTCGCTCCTTGGAGGACTTTGTTCATCATCTGTGGGGCCTTGACATCTGGCTTCGGCGCTCTCTTCATCATCGTTGTTCCTTCCTCACCAAAGAAAGCCTGGTTTCTCACCACGCGCGAGATGGAAGTCCTCGAAGCAAGAATGGCACGCGATCGGGATGCCGGGGATTTGACCCAATTTTCAACGACCCAAGTAAAGGAGGCTCTGGGAGACCTTCGGTCGTGGTTCATGTTCATTTTCGGGCTGCTGGTCACCATGCAAGCCCCAGTGATGACCGTAGGCTTCTTGTCCCAATGCATTCGTCCGCCGTGACTGACACTTTCAGTTTGCCTCCCTCATCATCAAGAATCTGAACTACGATAGTTTCCAGACTATGCTGTACAATGCACCTTCGGGAGCTGTGCAGATTCTGGCCATATGGGTTAGTATTGCAGGGTGCTATCTGCTCACGGATCACCGATGCTTTGTGGTGATGGTGATGGCCATCCCCCCCCTGGTCGGAAACCTCCTCCTTCTAAAGCTCCCACTTTCTGCTGAATGGGCTTTGATTGTCTCGTCCTGGCTAGTATGGGCTCCTCTCCTTGTCACGAACCGAACGAGTGAAGGGACTGACTGACTACAGGCTTCATGTCTGCCCAACGTCTTGGCTGTCTTGCTCAGCCTCAGCGCCTCAAACGTCAAAGGAAACACTAAGCGTCCCATGGTCAATGCCATGTTCTTCATTGGATACTGCGCCGGTTGTATCGCAGCTCCTCAGCTGTGGAAGACCAGCGCTGCACCGAGGTTTTTTGAGGGTATCGTGACGGCCATCGTCACCTGGTGCTTGCTCCTCGTGGCGCTGGGGGTATACTGGTACCTCTGCCGGTCGGAAAACCGCAAACGCGACGAAACCCAATTTACTGCTCCTGGAATTGCTTATCAGGATGGCGAGGACATTACCGATATCCAAGATACTCATTTTCGCTATAGTTATTAAGAGGTGGTCCGACGTTTATGCGGCCGAGGCGAAACCACGACGTATCATTCTATGAAATACTTAACCCACATTCGGCTGATATGAGCGCCCGACTCACTAGATCTCCCTAATGCGTTGGTCTGGAAGATAGATCATACTGCAAAATGATATGCACGATGGTTCGAATCGCCGCGATCGTAGCTCTGCTCGCCGGCAGTGGGTAGGCGGGCATGATAAAAGCCGGAAGGGAAGAACACGAGCCACCACAGTACAGTGGAGAAACAGGAACACCTTCAGCTAGAGCTAAAGGTCAATCATCTTTCCTCATAGCTGATTTCCGACGAGATTATACCAAGTGTGGTGGGCAATCGGGGCAATTTCCCCCTTGCGGTGGCGATCAAGTGTATTGAGGAGTTCTGAGGTACGATGTGGGATTGAGATGCGTATCTGTTCAACACCAACAAATAACCACAAAAACCAGCTCCTGTGCCCATATCTTTCTCTGCGATCCATCATAGTCAAGGACACTCGCCGGAATGAACCCATCGCCATTGTGGAAATGCCGGTCGGTTTTCCGAGCATCGTCGCCGTCGAAGCTATGGAATCTTCTCAGCAACTCGCGCGATGGCTGGTGCTCGGCACAGCCACGAGGCGAACATTGGAGTTTAAGGGTAGATGAGGCGATCAACGCGGGGCTCAGCACTTGCACGAGAGAAAGCCAGCCAGGTAAGTTCACGCCGCAGACGCCCTCGAAGCCATCCCGCGTCGTGCGTAGAGGCGAGGCGAAAATTTCGGCGTCGGCTCCGCTGGAGGAACTCGGCGACCTGTAGCGCACGCCCTGCAGGCTGTAGTAGTCCATGTGGATGACTTGCAGTGATTTAGAAAATCGCGACATATCAGATTGGGTTGGCAGTGGTGGCGTATGACTGGGTTTCGTTCTTGCTCGGTCGATTCATGTTGCGCTGATGGTTAGGGCTGGCATGCCTTATGAGGCCCCCAAGAGAGAAAATTCCCCAATTCCCAACAGCCTCACGAAAGCCCCTCCGGAACTAGGCCATTACTCGTCATTGCAGCCATTGATCAGTTGATTCCCGAGAAAGGAGTGTATTTTGGACTTCCGGTGCAGGAGGAAGTGGGAGTGGGAATAAGTAAATCCCTGTCTCTGGCTAATGCAGGACTAAGCAGGGATCTTCGCTCTTCCCCGCCTTCCCTCATTCTCTCCTTCTCTCATGCAATCACTGCTCTTGCTCTCCCCTCCATCCCCCTCTATTTGTGCAACCCAACCTCTTCAATCTACAAAAGGGCCTTCTATTCAACATTCCTAGCATTTGATCTGCACTGTTGTCCTGATAATTCCCGTGTTGTCAGCAAAATGACGGACTTCGACGCCCTCCTCGCCGAGTACACCGAAAAAGGGAACGCCAAGGTGCATGGAGTCATCTGCAAATGCATCGATCGCAGCGGTAACAACTCTTTCCTCTCGTTGCTTTCTCTCTCTGATCACTAACCTCCACCAGGAGCCGAAGTGTACAGCAAAGTAGCCGGCTACAACTCCCTCGATCCCGACTCTCCGCCGCTGCACGAAAGCGCCGTGCTCCAACTCGCCAGCGCGACCAAGCTCATCACCAGCATCGCCTTGCTGCAATGCGTGGAAAAGGACCTTATCACTTTAGACCAACCGTTAACGACTATCCTCCCCGAGCTCGACGGGATCGAGATCCTGACCGATGTTGTGGACGGTCAATTCAGCTTCGAGCCCAGCACGACGCCCATCACCGCGCGCCACCTCTTGACGCATACTTCGGGGTTGGGCTATCGATTCACCCACCCATTGCTGCGGCTGAGGGCGGAAGCGCGGAAGAACGAGACCCCCTCTCTCCGTGTAATCGAGCGATACAAGATGCCATTGGTGTTCGAGCCCGGCACCGGTTGGCTGTACGGATGCAGTCTGGACTGGGCGGGGGTAGTAGTTAGTCGGCTACATGACGGGGTTAGTCTGGGGGATTACTTCGTGAAAAACATATGGAAGCCGCTGGGACTGTCGGCGCCATTCCCCCGGTTCAACATCTCGGTGCACGCCGAGTATCATGCGCAGCTCATGCAGGGGGCGCTCCTCACGCCGGAAGGGCGCCTCGAGCCGCTGGAGCGGTGGGCGTTCGATAACCCCGAGGACCAGGAAGGGGGCAGCGGCTTGTCGGCGACGACGAAGGACTTTGTCGCTGTGCTCGCGGATCTGGTTTCAGACGCACCGAAGCTGCTCAAACAGACGACGGTCGCCGAGATGTTCGTGCCCCAGCTGGCGCCCAAGTCGCCCAGCGTGCAAAACCTCTTGGAGCTGCGGCCGGCGTGGGACACCGTCGCGGGTCCCATCGCGGATAATGCAGTCAACCACGGCCTCGGCGGACTGTTGTGTGTGGGCGCCGTGCCGGAGATCGGCCAGCCCAAGGGCATGCTGGCCTGGGGAGGAGCCTCGAATATTGTCTGGTGGATGAACCGCGAGCTGGGGTTGGCAGGCTTCTTCGCGACGCAGCAGGCCCCCTTCGGCAATCCCACCGTCACGAAGCTGGTCAACGCGTGGAAGAAAGATTTCTGGACGCAGTACAATGCGATTGATCTTTCTTAGATACTGCTAATATAAAGAATATGCCACCCCAGCCTAGAATTGGCAATGATATCTATGGCGCCTACTGTGGGACCCTCACCACCAACTTCTGCCCTCGAACCCACCCCTTCCGCAATATCTCCAGCCCCTCAATGATACTCCCCAACTCAGTATCAGCTCCTGTAACGGAAGCGGTCGGATCTGGCTGAACGCCATCAGCGCCTCGACCTCCTTGGTCTACTGCATACCAACAAACTTCAACAGCTCCGGGTAGCCCGGTCGGGTGTACGTCGAGTAACCCAGATCAAGGTTAGACCTGACACCTTCCCTATGGCTCGTGCATGAATCGCGAGCTGGTCAGATGGGCCACTGAGAATCTATTTCCCGGGACCACGGCGCGCATGGTGGCCACATTCATCTTTGGCAAAACAGCTCGTGCTTCCCGTTCGGTAGGTGTTTCTTAGCAACAGGATATATATCCCGCACATTGCTCACAATTTCTGTTTAGGTGGCGATCCACCAATCTGCCCCGTTCGTACCTTCACAAAGCAGCAGAACATTACTGTAACACTCACAGCTTTAATAACTCGGTCTGAATTGGATTTAATCAACCAGATTCATCCAGATGGAACCAAGTCGCAGCAAGCGGCGCGAAATGATCAGTCGCTGATCGGTGCGGTCGGCATTCCCCCGATCGCGATATGCAGGTGCGTTGGAAGAGACTGTGGTAGTGCAGTGAGTGAAAGCAAACTTCGGTTGTAGATTATGACAAGTATCAACAATTGAGAGCTCTACGAGTGACCAGCATATAATGTGTGTAGAAGGGTTAAAAGACGAGGGCGTGGTGAAAAGTGAGATATTGCTCATCGTTGATGTGGATGTGTATATATTACTGTAATAGTCGGATTATTCATCCAAGGCAAGATGGCCGAGCGGTCTAAGGCGCTGCACTCAAGGACTTTCTCCTTCATCAGATCACATCTGAAGAGCATTGCAGTCACGCAAGTGGCGTGGGTTCGAATCCCACTCTTGTCAGTCTTTTTTTGTTCGCCCATCGAAAATATATATGCCTCAGGCACTAATACTGTGTGCCCTTGAAGTGACTGTTTACTATCCTTGAAGCATTCAGCCAAACAACAACGGCTCATCATCAGTACCGGTCAAGTGGTCTTGAAGCCATCTCCACAGAAGGTCATGAAAGCCCATATATCTGTTACTACGGATATCAGTACTACCACAACCACCAATCACATGCAGCCTAGAGCCGTAGCCATTTGATCCAGCTTGAACTGCGCCTGACTTTTGCCAATAGCACTCAACTCCTTGGTATTCTCAAGCTCCTGAAGACAACCCTGCAACTTGGTCGTGACCAGCATAACGGCCGTGTTGCTGAGAGGCAACCACAAGGGCACCTTCTCGTTGCGACTGGCGACATGGTACAGCATCTGCGCCACCTGGATGGGCTGCACGCCTACCCCCGCCTCGAGACCCTTCTTCACGAAGGCCTCCAGCTGGCGGGCCGGCAGGCCTCGTGCAGCTTGGTGTTGACGGGGTTCATTGTGGTGGTACTGTAGGGAGATTGCAAGTGAATGATAGCGAAGTGATATTTCCAAGCAATCTCAGGCTTGAACCATCACAGCTTTATACCAATGCGTTCCACGGCTGCAACCCGCGAAGTTGTTTGTTCCGCCGCAAGTCCGAAGGGAGCACATCGCACGAGCTCAAGTGGTCTTCTCCCCGGGCTATAGTAGTCTACAGTATTTTGCCGTAGACTGCTGAATGTAATCCCTCCCAAGCACCGAGAGTAATAAAGAGACCGACCATTTTGGCTCTCCCCGGATCGATAATGGGCATTATTTAGGGTACTGACTGAATGAACCCCCGGACTTAGCGGCGGAGTTATTGTCGGCCGTAGTCGATCATCGGGAATTTCGACCGCTATCGCCTGATAGCCACTGCCCTCGTAGTCAAGGGGAAAGGGTTCAGCTGTTTGCGATCTGTCAACCAGTTTTGCAAAGCTGTCAGGAGTATTGCTTGCTCTGGCGCTAGTGCATTCACCCAGTGTATGCTGCCTCTGTTGTGCCTGTTGTGACTCAATGCGTCTATGACCACCTTTTCTCTAAATTTCCATTCTTCTGCCTTCAGAATAAGTTACACTGGTATGATCTTATTATTATGAGATAAATGTAATACTCGACTTTTGAACAACCAGACCAATAACAGTTTCTGGGCTGGGCATATGCGTGCCCAGCTTTCCCTCGATTATATTCCCGTATGTGCAGTTCAACAGCTGGGAACCACACAAAGAAACCTGGCGCTTAGAAGTGCACACCATGCACCTGCTGCTTCATCTTCTTCACATCAATATTCTTCCAGAAAAAGCACGAAGTCCAAGTGATCAGATACAGACAGGTGGCCGCGATGAGCATCAGCCGCTGGGTCTCACCGTACGCATGGTCGATAGCGTCGCGGGTGGCCGTGCCCCTGGCGTAGGACTGTTGGACCGCCAACGAACCATAGATGGTGGTGAAGTCGGCCTGCGCGGAGGCCGGAAGAAGAGCCTTCAGCTTGACTGGGAAGATGCCTGTCCACATGGCCACGGCCACGGTGCTGCCAAGGGCGCTGCCGATGCTCGCCACCACGCCCTCGATAGCCAGGACGGCGGGGATGTTGCGCTGCGCCGACACGGCCATCACCGTCATCTGCTCGCAGATGACCAGCGTGCCGCCGCCGAAGGCTACGAAGATCTGGCACATTACGATGTAGCCGATGTTGGAGTCGGGCTGGCGGAATTTGATCATCAGCCCCACGCCGAGGATCGTCAGCGGTACCCCGAAGCAGATGGCCCAGTACTTCAGAAGGCCTTGGTGGCGCAGCACGGCCCCAAAGATCAGACACCAGAAGCAGGAGCCGATCGTGTAGATGTTGGAGATGTAGGTCGCTTCGGTCACGGTCTGGTTGAACACCACCTGTAGCAGGGAGTAGAAGTAGCTGTCCCAGATAAAGAATGCCAGGTAGAGCGAGACCACCATCGAGAAGGTGAAGAAGACGGTGCGGTTCTGGATCAGCTCCCACGGCATGAACTTGACCGGGGCGAAGAACCGCTCCCAGATGACGAAGGTAATGATCAGGAGAGCCCCGAAGATGATGAAGCAGATGATAAGCGGGGACCGCCATTCGTTGGGCTGGTAGGAGTAGAGGTTGAAGGCCAAGAGGAAGAGAGAGAACCCCGTCGCGATGATTACCAGACCAATGAGATCGAACTCGATGCAGTAGTAGACGGCAGACTGCCAGAGAGTCCGTCCACTGCTCTTCTTCTCGGTCAGGTTCATCCGCTCGGCCTTCTTCTGAATGTAATACCACAAACCCCACAGGGGAGCACAGACAATAGGCATGATGATGGCAAACACCCCGAAGCCCCATCGGTACCCGATTCCTCCCGGCGCGACGATCTGATTGGCGGCATAGCCGTAGACCCAGGGCGTGATGAGGTATGGAGACGAGGCATAGGCGATCCAGAACGCACGGTTCTTCAGGGCGGTGGTGTCGGCGATGAAGATGGTCATGGAAAAGTCAATGCAGCTGAAGCCGGTCTGGTAGAACACTTGTGCCGCACAATAGGTCTGAACGTTCTTGCATGCAGCCATCATTACAAGGCCCAGTGTCAGGGAGCCAACACTCACGGCAAAGGCCTGTGGCCGACCCCAAATGTCCATGAACTTCGCGTAGGGGAATTTGACCAAAGCTGAGATCAATGAAGCGATAACGGAGGTGAGTCCGGTCAACGAATGGAGTTCGAAGTCGCTGTAGATGTATGGCGACAAGGAGCCGAGCAGTCCGGAGCTGAAGTATTGTAAAAAATTGACAACCCAAGCACTCGATCAGGTTAGCGACGACTAGTGTGAAAGTCTCAGAGAAGAACTCACAGAATATAGGCTGCGATGAGGGTGTTCCTTGTCCAGGCCTGAGTGCTCGCCTGCGCCTTCTGAGTACCAGACTGCGCTTTTTCATCGATAATTTCATCATTTTCCGACGACTGATCAGTCTGTTTAGCTTGATCAATGGGGTGTTTCACGTCGGTAGAAGTCTCGACATCACGGACATCAGCCTCAGGTTGTGCCTCGACGGACCCTTTGCCCGCGAACGGGTTGATGAAACGCTTCTCACAAGCCATGATTCTGGGAGAGCAGTGCCATGAACAGGTTTCTGGGCTGGGATGGGGCTCAACTTATACTTCTCCCGCCACGTTGCTTGGGGTGGAGTGGTCTGAGGACCGGAGAAATTGTTCTCCTGCACTGGCAGCAACATGACTCGAGGAATGAGCCCCATAATGCCTGGCTCGACCTTGAACTGACTCGTCCCTTCCGATTTCGGGCGACAACGGCGGTGATCACTGGTCACTCATGGTCTATGGCTTGACGAATGAAGGATTCAGTCGCCGACTGGCTCAAGTGGCCCCCTCAATCAAGGGTTTTCGGGATTGCCAAGAGGGATCAAACAAGGGCCGGAGGGACCAAGAGTGTTATCTGATTGATTGATAGATTGATTAGATTGATCTTTCCTCGTGTCGCTCTCCACTTTGGGCCTTAGCGTCCACTCCTTCCGGCCAATTTCCCCTCTCCGGCCATCGTCCGATTGCAATTCTTGTCTGCAAGCCTCAGCGCTATGGCCTGTTACTTCGACACTTAACCTGGAGAAGTCTAGCCTGGTGCCTTGAGGAAAATTTCTACGGGTGCATGAGAAGGCTTGTAAAGTAACTGTGGATACTGCAAGTTTCTGCAATCTTGGCGGTGGGCAGTGTTCTGTATCCAGGGAGAATGCTACACAAAGCCCACAAGGTTGCACAGGAAAGAAAAGCAATCCCGGTGATAATCCCACAATGGTGACCATCTACAATCCCTAAGTGATCAGATGATTCGGAATTTAAGCCAAGCTTATCAGCAGCCCCGCCCATGCGCATTCCTGGCTATAGCCTATATGACCTTGCGGTGGAGATCATACCCAGTAGAATCAACTCGCCCTTCTTAGCGTCGGCCCAGTTACCCTCGAGCAAGAAAAAAAGAATCAACTCGCAAAAGGTCTCTTCAAAATTTGTCACGGAAGCCCCCGGATGACCAATGTTGCTCTTTGACTAATCGTCCATATCGACATCTTCCGGTCGTTGCCTCAGAACAAAAAGTTCAATTTCAGACAGAGGATTCCTTTCTCGGTGAATAGAGATCTTGAAAGGTCGGCTGACGAGGTGCTCCATCTTCACCTCTGCCTTCGAATGAGAGGTCCGTCCGAGATGCTGTAGCCATGTGAGGTGTAGCCATGTGAGGCGTGCGAGGAGGTAGTAGACAGTGGCAACAACGATGGTCACACATGCTGAACAACTCCAAACGACGACCACGGCGACAGTGCTAGTCGCGCCATCGGAGAAGGTGGCAGGATCGGGAGGGCTGGTTTCCTCGAAAGTGCCTCCCGATAACCACCTGAACACACAGAGCACAGTGGCGATGATGTCCACCCCGAGAATTGCCCCCACGAGCTGCCATGATGGCCATGTTTGGTCCTCTCGTGTGACAGAAATCAGACAGTCCTCTGCCAATTCATCTCCCAGCAACAAGATTAGCTTTGGCTGTCCCAATTTCTCCATAACGCCACCATTGATTAAGAATATTGTTGCATGCATCATGCAAGTACCTGCTGCCAACGGTACACCAAGCACCACCAATATCACCCATATTCGTAGGAGCTACCATTCAAAAGGCCATGGCGTATTGCATCTTCCGCAGCATTGCAGGGTCTGACCACTCAACAGGCTTCGTTTTCGCCTTCGGTTCTATGACACCTCTTTCCTAAATTGAATTAACCAAGCAACAGCCATCTTTTTATGGACTTGTTGCACCAAGACAAGCATTGAATTGCCCAGGTCGAATGGGTTTGCGTTCAGGAAGCGCGATAAACAGATTAGCTACTGCACGACCTTGTCGATGAGCGCAGTCTAGTGCATGATTTCCCATGGTTGTATACAACCTCTTGCTTAGTATGCGCCAGTTCAATTCTCTTTGTGGCTAAGGCCTTTTCGCTCAAGCACTAGTCAGACAACCCGTCATTGGTGCAGGACCTCTCGAGAAGACGTGGAAACTTGCTTGAAGGTGTTCGGAGCTTCAAGCGACAACTCCACAGCCGCTTGGAAGGCGCCAAGATGCCGAAAGGTCTTTCGCGGCTACACCGTTCAGTTCCAAAGGGTACGTACGCCGTCCTCTAGCCCAGTTCGTCGAGTTCATGTCTCACTCTAGAATTTTTTCAAAGCTGCCAAACATCTTTGCTAACATTTCATCGAGGATGAACCTGAACTGCGTCTTGGGAAATGATATTAGTCGTTCGAGTTTAGGATTCACCGCAGCATTAACAATGACAGGCTCTCCGCGATATGCATAATATCTACTATCTGCAGGCTATCTATCTAACATGACAACCCCACGCTCTCCGGGGATTGCTTTGAGGCGACTTCGTTATTCCTTGACAGCCACCACAAATAGCCGAGGGTAACGAAGCAGGACCTTCCCATCCACGGAGATGGGGTACGCCTTCTTCAATGCTTTCAAGTACCTATCCAGGAACGACTCTTTATCCGCTGATGTCAACGGGTCGAGATAGGGTCGCAAACCAGTCCCCTTGACCCACTCTATGACTGCCTTGTGGTCTGCCAGGGGGTGGTAATATTCTGTCTTCACGATATTCACAGTCGAACACAGCGGCTTGAGCGCATCATAGATCTCCTGCGGGGACTGGAAGGGATCGCGGTCCATGTCCCGCAAAGCACCAGCCCAAGGACCCTGCTCGGCAGTTTCCCTCACCAGAGCATGCGAAGGCTCGGACAGGTTATCCGGGACCTGGAAGGCAAAAACACCACCGGATGGCTGGGACTTGATCAGATTCTGAATCACCCTCAGCCGGGTTGGTGCCTTCAGCCAGTGCAACACGGCATTGGAGTAGAATAGATCCACGGGCTGCGCGGGGGCATAGGATTCCAGATCCTGAACAGAAAAGTCCCGACTCGGGAGGACTGATCTAGCCTTCTGAATCATGTCCGGCGAGGAGTCAATCCCCTCGATGTGGGCCTCGGGATACCTGGCCTCGAGAACGGCGGTGGAGTTGCCTGGTCCGCAGCCGAGATCCACGACAATTTTGGGGTTTTGGATAGGGACCTGCGAGAGAAGGTCCCGAGCAGGTCGAGTCCGTTCGTCCTCGAATTTCAAGTACTGTGACGCACTCCAGTCGGAGCGGTTGTTGGTGGTCTGAGAAGACATCATCTTGGGAAGGCCAGACACGCCAAGTGGCAGCAACTGCTTGGAAAAGAGGGGCGCTCCCGCTCTCACTGCTGATGATAGGGACAAAGACATGATAGATGAGAATACTTCTCGGTTGGTCTTTCTTCTTTGCTCCGATCCCCAGATATATATGGGCAGACAAATCTAATGGTGTGGTCGATACCTTAGATCAGTAGCGAGTATCGGAGGGATAGTCAGAGATTACGTGATGAGGGTCCGCGCCCACACAGCCAAATCAGAAACTGCCGAATATCGGATGTTAAGGGTATACTTGCTTGAATATGGGTATGACTGTATGCTATCAAACCACTGAGAAGACCAACTTTGCAAATTGATCAAGTCGCTAAGGCTCTTTCACCCGTCCAAACAAAATGGTCTTTTCCACCAGACTTTCTTATCTCATGCTCGGACATCAACTCGATTCCTCACCTCCTCCTCCTCCTTCGCTGCATAATCTCTACCGTTAAACCCATGCCCACTTGAACACCAAGCGCACTTACGAAAATTGGTGGTCCAACCCACCAATCTCGCCAGCAAGGCTCTTGCTAGCTCACCTACCGACCGACTTTCCCAGGTTCTTGCTACATTCAGACTAATCGCATTCACTCAGATGGCGGCGGCGCATCTACTCCAGCTATGCTTGAGCGAGAAACAGCTCTCTGTGGGATCCCTGGTGGGCATCTCTTATTCGGTGCCTACGCCTGTAGGTGCTAGTTTTACGGCCACGGCCGATTCGTTGGTACCAAAGGTAAATTGTTTCTGTTTGAAAATTTGACGACGGATGAGGCGGGGGAGATTAAGCCGGGCATTACTATCGCGAGATGTGCGATGGCTCCTCAATCAGTGGCGCAGTCACCCGAGCCGTCATGAGTCCATATGCACGACAAGCGAACATCAATGGCTGCCAGTTGTATTGTTCGATCTTCAACGGCATGTGTAATGCGGTCAACTACATTCCAGCATCGAGTTCTTGCGTCTTTCTCTGGGCCACCGGCAATGCTGTTGTCTCTGCTTCGGGCTATCAGGCTCTCAGTTCTTACACCACCAATCCATGCATCGAAAGGGTCACGTCCATCGAGACCGACTATTTGACTCAGTATTCGACCAGCCAGGTCACCACCGTCTACACGGTCACTATATCAACCAGCGCAGCTGCACCTACGATCATTCCATCCACTCCTTCTCCGGCTCCGGTGCCATCGTCGGCCGTCAGCCCAAGTCCCAACACTGCAGCAACCTTGGCTCCCTCTAGTGCTGTGTCAGCCTCCACTGCAATTTCTCTGTCTTCAATTCTCATTCCCTCTTCCAGTCCGCCGTCTCTCACTCGCTCCTCGGGGTCTAACCCACTTGTGTCTTCCACCCCGAGTATGAAGATCCCTCCCTCGTCCTCTGCTCAGCAGGCCAGCTCGTCTAGCCCTGTGACATGTTCGGCCTCGAGCCTTGTCCCTCAACGCCCGTCATCCGGCTTGTCGCGGCCTGGGCGGGTCTCTTCCTCGGTGGTGGCTTTCTCGCCTGCTCAGTCCCCAGCCAGCACTGTCTTTTCGGTTGATTCTATGAGCCCTGATCGGCCCTCGCTTCCCCCATCGGTTGGATCGGGCTCATCCAGCACCGTCGTCATTTTCCCGCACAACCCGTCGACGGTGGTTCGAGGCCAACCATCTTCCTCCATTGCAGTCATTGTCTCCTCTTCCGTGACCGGGATGTTTCCTCCCCATACAACCGAACCTCCGGTTCCCCTGGACAGCGACGATGATGTGGTAACTTCGACCATCCGGAGCATGGTCACTGTTACGGTCACGGCATGTGACTGAGAGCAGCATAAGGATGTCAATGTTAAGATTCATATTTTCAGCTCTACAGTGACCCTCAACCGAGGCCTTCCCGATAATATTTTAATGTTCTATATGTGTTTGACAGGGAATACCACCTGTCCCGATGAGAGATCACGTAATCTGCCGCGTGCATGCATGCATGTACTGTACATACATAAGAGGGTTAGTCAGAATTGGTGTTATGCAGCATGTACAAGCTTTGCTGCATAGCACAATGAGTAATTATGTCCCGTGTGCTGGGGATCTTCGCCCGACAGTAGCGGGCGCATCGCGACGTCATGCACACACTATCGATGAGAAACACCGACTATGTGTCTGAGAATCTGAAGTAGAATGGGAAACCATTGCATCTGGGTCAAAGCGATGTGATCACTTCGATAGAGCAAGTTATCGACCCCGACAGATTGCTCTGCCCCGCGCACAGATTCAACAGCTCAAGCACGATGACGCATGCATGACTGAATTATGTGGTAGTCTGGTCGCTGTATACAAAATGGGGACACCGACTCAGTTTTCCCCCCAACCTCTGTTCGGAACGATACCCCTGTATATTCTACACAAACCACCGTAATACATTCAAAATCATGTCGTCGCAAATGGGAAAGGAGGGGACCTTCCAGGCTCCCCAGGCTAAGCAGGCCCAGAGCAAGCCGGGGTAAGACCAATTCATGTGAAACGACAGCAAAAGGCGTGAACTGACGCCGTGCTAGATTGGAGAAGGAAATGGCTCCGTCGAGCGAGTCCACCAAGTTGGAAGGCAGCTCAGGCTTCGTCGAATACACGGGCTCCAACAAGCTCAAGGACAAGAAGGTCCTTATCACGGGCGGCGAGTGAGTTTCCCATCCATACCACCTTGTTCCATTGCACCTCTGACACCGAGAATCTAGCTCCGGCATCGGTCGGTCGGTCGCCGCGCTGATGGCCAGAGAAGGTGCCGACATCACGATCGTATATCTCCCCGAGGAGCAGGAAGACGCGGAGCATACGAAGAAGTTAGTGGAAAAGGAAGACCGGAGTTGCCTTTTGTTGCCGGGAGACTTGAGGAAGAATGAATTCTGCAAGAAGGCCGTGGAGGAACATGTGAATCGGTATGATTGACCATGTTTGTCCTCGTTGGGGAGAGGTCTGTGGCTGACGCATCGCTTCAACCCTCCAGGTTCAAGCATATCAACGTGCTCGTGAACAACGCATCGAAGCAGTACATGTGTAAAGACCTGGCCGAGATCGACCTGGACCAGGTCGAAGACACCTTCCGAGCCAATATTCTCCAGATGTTTGCGATCACCAAATACGCCCTTCCACACATGTCCAAGGGAGACTCGTGAGTTTGGCGTCGCAATTTTGCCGAGGCTGCTCGCTGACTATGGTATGCAGGATCATCAACAACACCTCTGTGACCACCTTCCGCGGCTCCGGCACGATGGTCGACTATGCATCGACCAAGGGGGCGATCGTTGGCTTTACCCGATCCCTCGCCTTGCAGCTGATGCCGAAGGGAATCCGGGTCAATGCGGTCGCGTAGGTGTTCTGTCCCTTCTGTCAGTGAAGCCTCTGAACTAACGTCTGCCCTAGACCCGGCTCTGTGTACACCCCCATTCAGGTCGACACTCGGGATGCCGAGTCCATGGAGGGCTGGGCTTCAGGCAAACCTCTGGGCCGACCCGGACAACCGACCGAGGTGGCCACCAGCTTTGTGTTCTTGGCCAGCAAAGATGCTTCTTTCTACTGTACGTGCTCGATATTCCTTTTCCCCAGTAATGAACGGGACGCAGTGACTAATGTTTTGAACAGCTGGACAAGTTCTGCATTGTTATCCTCTGGGAGAGTAGAGCCGCCATCTATCTCTCTATTTTAGTTTCTTTTCTTTTTTCGCTCTAATTTTTCCATTTTTTTTTCAATTCGTGTCTCCGCCATAATCTCTTCTTCTGCGTAGGTGATAAATGAGTGCGATATCGCCGTAGGATCGCCCGCTCAGAACTAAAAACAACTTCCACAAATATATCGGGAGTGAAATAGCAAAAGTAGGTAACTTGTGGGCAAACTTAAAGCCAGTTTACAGCGCGACATGAGCATAATTGAATCTGGGTTCTGTCACATCATGCTCACCGGCTCTCATCCGCATTGCCATCCCACGTCAACATGGCCAAGTCACAATAAAACAGGGTACACAACATGTAAGGACAACTAGACATGGATCTGTGCGACGCATAGCAGTATCTCAGTCTAGGCATCTCTAACTTGGTCGCTGGCTACCTGAATCGCCGTACTCACGGTATTGACTTTTGCGGAACCGCTTCTGAGGTATTGGACCAACGCCCAAAGAAACCCGAGACCCTCTCCTCGTTCGTGCACAACATTGAGACTGAACGTGATGGACCTTGGCACCCATAAGGAAAAGTTATGATCACCCCCAGGAAGCACACCAGTGCGCAGGTAGCGGATATAATCCGCTGTAAGATACGCGCTACTGATGTATAAAATTGTGGTATGCTGGCTGATTACAAATGTTTCATGGTCTGCGTGCTTGACTGGCAAAGGATAACGCAGTTGTGCAAGAACAGCCCCGATCAGATCCGCTACCTCTTGGGCAAACTGTTGTGGATTGAAGCATTCGCCCGAGTTGCGCCTCGAGCCCTCGGCAAGCCGTGTTTTGCACTACGGGATCAGATTATATAAATATACTATCTACTTGATGATGCTTCAGACCAGGTCCACACTCACCTCAAGGCTCACCACCGATAACCTAAGTTTTGTATCAAACCACCCATCGCTTCTGGGGAAATGCACGCAGTTCTGCCAATCGTTGACGGCTGCATGAGTTGCCCCTCTGAACTTAAATTTGAACCGGGCCGCGCCAGAGCTGGGAGTCAGAGTCAGCAGATAATCACTTATGGGATGAAATATAGTGCTCTCGCTGGCCCAAATTGGGTACATTGTCCTCTTCGGCGCAAACGTTGAGATAAGCGTACTTTCTCATCCTCGTCACAGTAGTCTGAATCTGAACAAACGACTTCAGGGCAAACCGGGCGAGATTCTCCTTGCCGTCCTCGTTGCTAACCCCGTCGCTGGATGTCGAAGATTCTGCGGTGCCAGAGCTTTATTGATTCTCCGTTGATATGATCGGATGATCGACTTCTCAGAAGTTTTGGTGATGCCCAGCTAACCCAAATCATGAAACAGGGCCTGGTATGGATTGCCCTCGAATTTCCTAGGATCAAATCTCCTTAGATCCTCAATGTCTGCGGCCTGGATGGCCTGGTAGAGAGCAGAGAAGTCTGGATGTACAAACTAACGTAAGACACGAAGCCTGAGCTCATCACAGCAACTTACAATCATTATCATCTTCAGGGAAATACTTATCAGGTATAATGCGTCTCGGATCGATGTCGAGCAGAGGGACGGCACGAACAGCGTGCACTTCGTGATCTGTCCATTCGGAACCGTACCGATCGCGACGGTTGGGATCTTCCTGGAGATTTACAATACCAAGTAATGTTGGCTTGATTCTGATAATGTCGTGCCAGCTCACTCTAGCGCTCGGAAGCTGTTGGCGTAAACGGAATGTAACTACCCATTTGGATTGTAATGAGAAGTTTGAAAGCCAAAAAGGCAACACAAGAAGGCAGGATAGCAGCCGGCAGTAAATCAGTGAGTCAGTTAAATACACCATTCCTCCTCCACGTCACCAGGTAAGCACTAAAGGCTGGTTGCAGACATTGAATCTGCAAGGAGGAGACCGGGGAAACGATTCCGATCGAATGATTGCCAGCTCAAAAGAGCCCCAAACGCCCTGCGCACGCTCCAGGCACCAATGGGGTCTTTCATGAAGATGATTCTAGGATCCCTGTATTAGAGTCATTGGCACGCTCCAAACGCTCCGCTCTGGGAAACAAGTCATTGCATTCGTGCGACTTCTGAGCTGCGTTCTAACGAGCTGGAACTACCGGTACACTATCAGTCTGCTTGATAGTTGAGCCCCTACTTCTAACAGTGTTTCACAGATGAAGGCTTGGCGCACTTCGCGCTTTGATTGAGGGGAGCAGATAGCGCCATATCAAAACGTCCTGTGAGCATGCAACCCACGTTTGGCCCATACATCGTCTCAATCACCTCTGCGAAAACCCTTGAAGATTCTCTTTTGCAAGGCCGTAATCAAACGACGTCTTTGGCTTAACAGAATGACGGCCTATATCTGCAGAGCGAAGGGCTTGTTTGGTCTTTGTGAACGGCTTGTTTTGCTCTTAGCCCAGGTATCCGTAAAAACTGCTACGGAGAAATAAGTCCCAGGTCTATGTGAGCGAAAAAAGGCTGTGTGATTGATCTCCACTCAGATATAAGAGAATTGATCAGCATATAGACCGTGAACTCATCAGGATGTTGGTCAGAAGTCACCGGAAGACCATGCTCAAGGATAGGGCTAAGCACTGAATGCCCTTGGCAACGCCTAGGGCAGGATGCACAATTCCCGCACAAACAAATGAAGCACAACCTCACCAGTGCTGAACTAAGCAGAAATTAGTACGAAGGATTAGAAGCCCCGAGTGGAGCCCTAAGCATGGGAAAAGTGCCGCGTGACCCCCTTTTAAAAAGTGGACAAAAACACCTTACAATTTATTTTCCCAGGCCCCGACCCACTACACACAAACTCAAATTTCTGTCGCATGATTCAAGCTTTCGTTGTTCAAACAAAAAGAATGGGTATATACTTCTTAAGCACTAGCGCTTGAGTATGTCTGTTGAATTGTTGACATGGTGAGTGAGTTACGGATGCCCGACCGCGCGCTCCGACTCCACCTCATCGTGCGACCGGTCGTTCAAGGAGACCTCATAGTCTTGGCCTCGGCCGCTGCTTTTGGACGGCTCCAGATGGGTCAAGGGGAGTTCGCTCTCTATGTCGCGCATGCGCCGGAATGCGCCCGCCGAAGCCCCTGACTGCGCCCCGGTCTGCGACGAATAGGCTGCTTTGGCTGACGAGAAAAGGCCGGGAAAGGCGGCTTTGAAGACGGGGCGCATCATGGGCACACAGGCATTGAGAATGGCGAGGGCTGGCTCGGCCACACTCCAGAAGGCGGCCCAGATCATGCTGTAGGGGAGGTCGGCGAAGTTGACGGTGGTGAGGACGCGGATGCGGATGATCGTGATGGCCGAGATGCTGGTGCCAAGTTAGTTTTTTTTTTTTTTTTTTTTTTTTTTTTTGGTCTGTTGTTCCAGCAGCGACAAGCAACAACTTACAATAGCCCAAGTCCGAAGATGCCATACAATGCAAGCTTTGTGGCTGTCGAGGTCTGCAGTTTCCAGATATGATGTACTGGGAGGGCCATGATCGCTAAATCAGTGACCAGGTTGAAGGCGCCGATGGTCGAGAACGCCACATTCATGCTCGCGCAGTGGCCGGGTAGGGTGGAATTCCAGTTTTTCTCGAAGGGCTGGCAAATGAGGAAAATCTGGAGCATGCTGCCTAGCCAGTAGGCCGCAGCACAGCCCATGCACACCTGCGCGGCGATGCGAAATCCAGGGGTGACGAAAATGCGAAGGTAGAAGAAGAGGTAGGAAAATTTAGCCAAGACCATGCAGTTGTAGTAGATGATCTGGTAGACAATGAGCATCTAGGCTCGTTAGTAACTGTGGCGGTGGTTACAGATTCGACGGAGGACTGACTTTGAAGATCAAAATGGTGTTTTCAACGGGCAGTTCGGTGATGTGACGGCGCATGCCAATGCGCGCATAATGAAAGTGCATCGCAAGCATGCCATAGGTGTTGAGCTATCCAGAGATCAGTCAGTTTGCATGTCCGCGCCCGCGACAAGGACATTTAAGTGAAATCGTACCATAGAGCCAATAATACAGATATCGTCCCACCAGATCTTGCTGTGCCGGATCCGCCGAGACACGAATCGCAGCACGATCGCCACGGTGCTCACGGCTACCAGCACCGTGTTGGCGATGAGCTGGTCGCGCACTATGGCAAACTCGAAGACATTGTATAACTGCATGGCCCTGCGAACACCCAGGTTCCCTGCATGATGAGAGGCTTGCAGGGAATGGGGGGGTTGAACGGGGGCTGCAGGAGTCCGGCAGTCGGTACTTGAAGGAATCCCCGAGCGCACGTGCAAAAGAGCAGGCCATGTCCAGACACCGATGATCTTTGCAAGGGATGGACAACGGCCGAGGCCGGTCCGATCCTTCGAGTCAGCCAAGTGGGACGGATCCTGGCAGGTCGCATGGCAGCAACGGTTTGGCAGGGCCTGGCAGGCCGTGGCAGCCGGTGCAAAAGACAGCTAAAAGCAGCAAAAGGCTAAAAGCACCTGGCAGCCAAGAGCAGCTAAAGACAAGCAAAGACCGCCAAAAGCAGCCAAAGACAGCCACAGCGGATAGTCCAAAACAACCGGCGCTGTCAACCATGTGGATCTGCCGCCACCACAGCCAATCCCTGCCCTAACAAAGCCTTCAAGACTTTCGTGTCGTGACAAATGCTTTGCCCTGCTCCACCAGACCATGTCAATCCCAATTCCGTCTACTCACCGTGGCGGCCCCCATTTCCGTTCGTCCTGCACTTGCCTGGTCGGGCTATATTCCCCCTAGTTTCGGCGACTTAGCAGTATTTTATCTCCCCCCCTGCGGCCTTCTTCAGCCGGGCTTCCCATCTCAGACAAATTGCCAGCATTTCCCAACATGACCACCGCTAAATCCTATGACTATGTGATTGTCGGAGCGGGGATTGGTGGGCTGGTGCTCGCCTCCCGACTGACCGAGGACGCCGATGTGACAGTGCTGGTGATCGAGGCTGGGGCTAACCGCATGGGCGATCCGCGTATTGATACCCCTGGATTTCTGAGCACTCTGTATGGCAACCCTGACTTCGACTGGGATTACATGAGTGAGCCTCAGGTATGTCACCGTCTTGAGGGTTGAGGCCGCGCGACGAAGATTCGAGCTGACAGTTTAGGTCCACGTGAATAATCGACAAATCGCCCAGCCTCGAGGCCGGGTGGTGGGGGGTACGTCCGCCATGAACTTCTCCGTGGTGATGTATCCGTCGGAGTCGAATTTTGCGGCTTGGAAGTCGCTCGGCAACGAAGGCTGGGGGCCAGCAGACATGGGCCCTTACCTCAAGAAGTTCCACACCTATAGTCCTCCATCTCAGGAGACGTCAACCTTGTTGTCCCTCGAGCGCTACATGAGCCCGGAGAACCAAGGGACCAACGGTCCGGTTCCCATCACCTTGCCCGATGTCTATGGTCCCTTCAACCAGGCCTGGGATGAGGCCTTTGCCCGCCTGGGCTGGCGCACCGACGCCGATCCCATCGCCGGTCGCAAGATTGGCGCCTTCACCGCACCGTTGACGGTCGATGGCAAGACTGGTCAGCGCGGGTATGCAGCTGCTTATTACACGCCAGAGGTAGCGCAGCGTCCGAACTTAGACTTGCTTACAGAGACGATGGTCGAGAAGGTGGTACTGACTGAGATTGATGGTGATGTGGTCGCAACGGGGGTGCAGGTGCGATCCAAGGACGGTGAGCGTCGCGAGATCCCGGCAACATGCGAAGTGATTCTCTGTGCTGGGAGTCTGAATACGCCTCAGCTCCTCGAGTTGTCCGGAATCGGCCAGCGGGAATTGCTAGAAAAGCACAACATTCCAGTTGTACTCGATCGTCCGGGCGTGGGAGAGAACTTGCAGGATCACTGCCTGGCGAGTATCAACTTCGAAGTAGCGGACGGCCAGGTTTCTGGTGATATCATGCGGGATCCCAACGTGGTACAGTCCTTGATCCAGCTCTACGAACAAACGCGCGGTGGCCCCTTATCGGGTATGCCCATCAGTATGGCATACCTGCCCTTAGTCGACCACGATGGTCAGCTCTCCAGCGACAAGGTGTACGACCTGCTCTCCAAGCACCTCGACCAGAAGATGGCAGACCTGCCACCTGCTCAGCAGAAGCAGTTCGCGCTTCAGCGAGAGCTGCTCCAGGCTGGCCATAATGCCTCTTCGCAGTACATGCTCATGCCGATCCAGACGCACATGCTCCCTGGCGCCACCACTCTCGCCGACGTACTGGCCAAATCAATGCCAGGTAACTATCTCACCGTCATGGTGCTGCACAACCACCCCTTCTCCCGTGGATCGGTGCATATCCGCTCCGCAAATGTGGACGACAAGCCCGTTTTCGACCCCAACTACCTCTCTCACCCCCTTGATCTCGAGATTCTGGCCCGTCACGTCCAGTTCCTGGACCAGATCGTCGCAACTGAGCCGCTCGCAAGCATGCTGAAACCCCAATCTCGTATTCCTCAGGGGGTCGTGGACTATAGTGATCTTGAGAAGACGAAAGAGGTGGTCAAGGAGCGGTTGTATACCTGCTTCCACCCGGCAGGCACCTGCGCCATGATGCCGGCGGAGCTGGGAGGTGTGGTAGACTCCAAGCTTAAGGTATATGGCACACGGAATTTGCGCGTGGTTGACGCCAGTATCTTCCCCTTGGAACCTGCCGGCAATATTCAGGCGACAGTGTATGCGGTGGCCGAAAGAGCAGCCGATTTGATCCGTGGTCACTAATTGTATGTATTATGAGATCAAGCATCCGCAGAAATAGACTGACGGGAGCTTGTACGATATCCAGAAATAGAATATGATTGTCTTGGCTATGAAGGTTGAAGTTTCGGCCCGTAACTCGGGGCAGGAGATTATTGGGATGATCCACGGAATCCTTCCGACTGCGTCATTCCTAGTTCCGTATAGTTGCCGACTTCGTCTGCTGGGTCCTCCACTGGACGCAAGCGCAAAGGTGGTAAAGAGTGGACAAGATAGGAGTTGCGATACCTCGCCTTTGAGCCTCGCGCACCACCTCGCCAATTATGACTTCGTGCTCCAGAAAGTTGCCCTGGTTCTCATGAGTCTGTATGCATATCATTCACGGTGCATACCTAACTTACTTTAGTCACATCTTTTTGCATACTGGGATAGATCTTCCTCTGTGGGGGATTCCTCTCAAGTGTGGTCGCGATCGTGTCGTGGGGTAGGTCGACGCCGGCTGCGTGAGCGACCGTGAGAACCTCATTCATGGCCGGGATCAGCAGCCCATCAAGAGCGTTGCCGGCATTCTGAAGATCTCCTGTGCTAAGTCCGGTCAGCGCCGAGATGGGGTTGAACGCCGCGTTGTAGACCAGCTTGCTCCATCGCTCTCGCTGCACGTTCGGTTCGTGATAACACTTGGTTTTGCCCCCGGCACTGTACATCTGGACGAATTGAACTGCCGCCTCGATTTGCGTGGCGGGATCCTGGGACGGGTCTCCGAAGGCTCCAATTTGTAACTTGTCATGATCGATTTGTTCGATGACGCCGGGAGCAATTTCGTGGGCATCGTTGCGGCTGATGCCTGAGAGGAGTATGTTGTGTGGAAAACGCGTCGCAAAGGGTTTCTCAATATTCAGGCCATTCTGTATGAGAACAATCACTGTTCGACCAGGACTCACCGCAGGAGCGATGATGTCGCATACGGAGGGGCCGATATCGGGGACGTTCTTGGTGGTGCACACGATGTAGTCGAATGGCGCTACGTCACTGGAATGGGTCACCTCAGGAACCGCATTGACGACTAGATAGATGAGCTGTTAGTCGTACGGCAGGATGAATTCGAAATACATATTCGGCGTACCGTGTGTTGGGCGCCAATTGTGGAGGTGGCCATGATCACAGGAGATGATCTCGAATCCCCGATCGATCACGGTCGGAAAGTTGGAGCGAAGAACGGCGGTGACTTCGGCTTGATTACCGCATTCCAGGTTAAGGGCAGCGATGGTGCCAATGCCGCCACTGCCTAGCAGGAGTACACGAGTCTTTGCCATCTGGAATGGAAGCTGGGAGTGTCTCGCAGAGACAGTGAGGGGAGTGAGGGGAAAGACTAAAGTGAGGGGATTCAAACATGGTCATGTGACGAGACAGCGGGACAGTCGGCTTCTGCCTCGGCCAGAAGTCCGATTACTGCACCGGTTGTACTTTTGTAAGATCATATGCATGATCTCACATTTCAAAACACAGACCCGCAGAAGATGTCTAGGCGCGGATCCCAGAAGCTCTCAATGTCCCAGTCCAACAAGGTGTTGAAGCTGTGCGCTGGATCCAGCAGGTCTGGAGCACCACCCGTATATGAATCCGCCGTCTCATTCGGCGCAATTGGCGCTCCCGGGGTGGCATTGCTAGGATCAATAATCTCGTCCAGAATGCGCGTGAACCTGGCTTTGACTTGCTTGCAAAACTCAAAATTACCACTCCCCGGTCGGGCCACCCAGCTGAGACACGAGACATACACGGTCAGCTGCCTGATCAGCTGCGCGCGCGAGAAGCCCGGAACAGCAGTCAATGATGAGGCCGAAGAACGGTGAAGCATTTCGGTGCAGAGAAGCTGCACACTCGGAAGACCATACTGGAGGAACTGTTGCCCACATCAATCATTGAGCGGATTCGTGGGTGATAAGGCTATACATACAATATGGGTGAAGTCGTTCCGAATCTCTCGGAGCCGCTCACGCTCGTCGTTGATGACGAGTATGGCGCTCAGGATGTTCATGGCCACAATAAAAACATTGGTGGACCGGTCCCCCGAGATGATTCGATGTAACAAGAACGTAGAATGCTGATAATCGAGATAGAGAGTGAGAAGGACTAGAAGACGATGACTGGAGATCGACATCGAGCTGTCCCACATGTCCACCGAGTACTTCATGTGGTTTGGACACGTCTCCCACATGACTGTCAACCTTCGGAACACATCTCTGACGATAGCATTAGTCTTCGGTACCCTGCCACATTGTATGACGGGACATACTCAGCTCGTGTGACGAGATCGACGCCGTTGACACCCAGATGCAGCTCCAAGACCTCCTCGCGCATTTTGGCAAGTAGGAGCCGCAGGCGAACAATGGTCGCGGGCCGAGACGTCTTATCTACATTCCACCCATGGTCGTCGATCGACCGTAGGTTGGACTCACGTTCTTCGGGGTCGGGATCTTCATCGAGGTCCAGCGGTGGCTCCAGTATGCAATAGTGCCGATTCATTAAGGGCGGTCGACCCAGCGCGGTTGCGATAGTTTTATCCATGGTGTACACCACCGAGAGACATGTTCTGCGCCATTGATGGATGAAGGTTGGAGATTGTTCTCGCGGCACGTCATTCCGATGCATGCCGGTGGCATATATGCAGGAGCACAGCTCGCCAAGCGACGAATATAGCCGGCGACCTATATCTGTGTCAGCGCCTTCCTGTCATTTAGAAACTAGAACCGCGGACTGACTCGAATCACCGAAGCGGCTGACAGCGAGTAGCATCTGGTAGTATTTCAGGGAAACGAGCAACTCGTTGACCAACGGTAACGCGTCAATCAGAAGCGACAGGTGTTCGGTAACCTCCAAAGCTTGAGGCAGAAGCTCACTCTTACAGCGCTGGTGCGTGTCGATCAGCGTCACTGTATGCTCGGGAATATGAATCATGGTCAAGCTTGCGAGCGTGATCACGGCACCGATCGACTCCCACCGGACATTCATCCCAGTGATGGCTTGGCAGAGATCGGCCGCTCGCATGGTGCTGGGCGTGCTGATGGTCTTGTAGGTGTTTTCAAAGATCCGAACCACCATGCGTAGACGGGCGGCTTCCCCGATGACGGGCTGTCGGTCACCGATGTCCCACAGGTTATTCAGCGCAGGCAGCATGATGGTCTGAGGGATGATGGGCATACGACTGAGACCATAGATATGCTCCGTCAGACTCTTGAGCAGCGAAGACTCTCGATAGAAGAAGTCCAGGATGCGTAGTCCCAACTCAAGCTGTCTTGGTTCGATGGTGTACTTCCCCAAGTCGGGAATCGGATCGGAGGCGCCTTGGCTCTCCCTGAGAAGGTATCGGTAACTGGTGGGGCCCAGAAAGCCCGCGCTTTCCAGAGACGGGGTATTAACAACCACTGGCTGGGCGGGAAGAGCATGAGGAGATGTTATAGAAGGGGTCCTAGGACTGGCGCCACGGTGAAATGGGCGGAATGTTTTGGTCATTGGGGCGACCAAGTAGACACAGGCGATTCTCTTGGCGTCGCAACGCCCGCATTTGGGCCAGGCGTGGTCGCAGCGGGTCTTGAGTTTCCGACATGGCTCGCAGGCCTGTCGTCGGCCGTTACGCCGGAGGGCCTGAGGTGAAGGAGAGTCCATGTAAGTATAGAACGTTATTTGAGCGACATGATGACGAGGAGGAAGATGGATTGTTGAAGTTGGATGTGGATCGGATGTGAGAGGAAATCCCGGAGCCGGATCGGATTTACTGGTTCAGGTTAGTGTCACCTTCCTGATGGGGTTAATTTACTCCGTCGCCTACTCCTCAATGGCATTTAATGATATTGTACAACAACCTGAGTATTAGTTTGACTATAGTACTGTTGAGAGTGAAGAGGCAATCATCAGAGAACCAATTGGCGACCAGAATACATAATGCAATGGAAAAAGATCCTAGAATACCATCTAATCCTGATTTCTAAGGACCAAATCTAATAGAAGTAAGCCACCTCTACGCAGCCCCTATGCACAGCACGGATGCGACGGGCAATGACGAGTGCGCCGAGCACGTCCCCAACCAAGAATTTTGTGGGTGAGAGCTATTGACGTCGAGCGTGCATAGGTCTCGCATCGCGCATGGATATGCCTGTACGAGTTTCTGGCTGATTACCATGTGTCATCCTGGGGGCTGAGAGCAACCCGGCGCAGGTGTGCTATGTCTCATTGATCTGTCGCACTGGGCAACGGACAACGGCTATTGAATCCTTCCTCATGGGTGGGTTGCATTTGCGCCCGATATCAAGACGTGAACCACCGCTCCAATCTCTTCGCAAGAGCCACACACTTATTGTCGACATAGATGGTGTAATAATGCGATGCGAAAAGGACGACTGTTCCCAAGACGATCCCTGATGCCCACCACGCCACATGGAAGGCGAACGGGTCGTCTCGGAGGGCCTCCGCGCTACTCAGATACGGGGTCCCACTGGCCATTAAATACACCAAGTCTCGCAAGGGGTTGCGCCAGAGCTGATAAATGGTTTCATGCAGCAGGTAAAGCGAAAAGGAAATCTTGCCTAGATACTGCACGGGGCGAGTGTTGAGGGGCCGTTGCAGTAATGGGGACTGAGCGATCGCAAAGACCAGGCATGCGGCGCCGACCGACTTCCAGCACAATTGATAGATGTCCCACCGGTCCTTCCACTTGGCCGGCTGGAGGGCCGCAAGGAACTGGTAGCCCGGGGGCAAGTGGCCGTCGTTGCCAAGGCAAAGGAGATAGTACCCGACCACGAAGGTGATGATGGTGACGAGCCGCGACAGAGTAAAGATCTTCTTTAGCGATGAGCGAAGCCGGCATCGGGTGGTGGTACAGGAGGGTCGGGGTAGCTTCTCCTCGTCATCGAGCCCGTCATCTGCCAAAGCGGCAGTGCGGACAGCAGCGCCGGTGGCCCTCTCCGCCAGCCACAAGCCCCAGATAAAGCCAAAGATGTCCCAATTGCCCGCCCAGAGGAAGAAGCCGGCCAAGAGCGGTAGGACCCAGAGGCGGAGCTTGGGGCGCCACGCCGACAGTCCGACCGTGAGCAGATACACCACGTTGGACCCCCGGAATTCCAGGGGCATGGTCCACAGTTGTCCGTTCAAACCGCCGCGATACTCGAAAGCGATGACGTTGACGCTGTCAGCCATGTAACCAAACAGCCACTGGATGTGGGCCCATGGGTTGGTCCAGGGCTCCAATCCGTCGAGAAACCCCTCATCGAAGGTCCAGTGGTACAAATCAAAAAAGAAGAGCACCTGGCTCAGAGTGGCCAAGACGGCAACAGGCAGGTAGATGCGAAAGACGCGCCGTACGATGGCGGAGGTCACTCGCGGCAAGAATTGCGGGCTGTGGCGGACCTTAAGCAGACTGACGGAGATAGCGAAGCCGGAGATGACCATGAACAGGGTCACCATAGAATGGGCGGAGAAGAGGATACGAATGGGAGGCAGTTGTACCAAGTGGCGGTTGGCCTCGGGGGGCTCAGCCCAGAAGGAGACGAAGGGATGCCAGACATCGCTCATGAAGTAGTGGTCAAAGGCGACAATGGCAGCGGCGATGCCGCGGAGGCCATCCAGCCACTGAATGCGGTCGAGGGCAGTCATTTTCGGCAGCCCAGCAATGTTGACATCTCACTCGAATCGGACATGGTCGAGCAAAGAATCATGTCACTCTTCAGTAGGCATGCAGGTTCAGCGGGGTCAACCCCTTTTCAATGGAATTCGGGGGGTCGCAAAAGCACCATCTCGTATTGAGGCTCGGCGAGACCCTGACGATGGAGTCAGCCTCACCAATGACGACCACGGGGGGAAAAAAGCTAGACCAGGCTAGTCCCTGAGGGAGGGTCCAGTTCACTGGCTGGACATTTAGGCAGGGAGGCAGAAATCGCTTTAATTAGACTAGAGTCACTAGACACGCTGCAAAAACGAGCCAGGGACTTGGCGGGGCACAGGCCACATTCAGGCAATCCCTGAGTTGGGCCCAGCAGCAAGAAGTACGCAAAGTGGAGGAGTATGTTTCCAGGAAGATAATAACAACACTGCAGCTGTGAGGGAACGAGAGAAAGATCAGTCCTGACTCAGTCATGTTGGTTTGTTTGGGCTGTTTGCTGAGTTTGACTCGGAGTTTTGGCTAATCCGACCCATCGCGACGGCCTCCACCAACAAACCGAACAAACAACAGAGTCAACCAATCAGTCGGCATTCCACAGCGGAAGGACGGCAAATCCCGAGACTCCATCGGGGAAGTGAAGGCAAGTGTCTACATTGTCCGGCGTGAAGCTGCCCACAGCGTCACCGCTACACGTCTTATCGTGATACGCCACAATCTTCCATCCCAGGTTGTTCGCCGTGGTGGCTGCGTACCAGTAGTACTCCACCCCCACGTCGAGATAGTAGCAGTCCAGCGGATCGTTCAGCGTCAGGTAACCCCCAATCGACGAGCAGTTGCTGTCCAGGCTGGAAATCTGCAATTGTACCTCAAAATCCGAGGGCACTGGCCACGACGAGTTGGCCGGAATAGAGGTGACGCTGCCCGTCAGGTTGGACAGTAAGTGTCCATCATAGTTGGCGATGTGCTCCTCTGCCGGCAAGGAAATCATCAGCAATCAGCCACCCCAGGGAATCCGTTCAGCTCGTACCCAGGTTCAAGGTCGTGTTCTTGTTGCCCGACGCATAAGTGGACTTGCAGTAGCATTGCAGAGTAGCACCCTCATCCAGCAGGAGACATTCGCTGCAAGACTGCCAATACCCCCCACTGATCATATCGTCAGCGTTCCACGTTGCTTTCGACTGAGAAAGGCCAGGAACTCACTCGGTTTGCCACTGTAGTCTGTCCATTAGCACAAGCCTCCAATACGCGATTCACTTAACATAAAATCGAAACATACCTCTAGTGTGGCCTCACTGTTTGTGATCTTGTTCGGGAGGTAGACACTGCTGGTGATGGTTCCGGTCCCGTCGCTGGTGGGACAGGTTCCTACCACCCAGCCCTCCTTGAGGTAGATGTCGGTACACTCATCAGCAAACCCCTGGCCATACACCGAAGTGTATAAGCCAGCAGTCCAAAGGAGAGCCGTGGTGAACTGCATGGTGCGCGATGCGGAGCGACTATGGAAATTGAACACTTTTGACTGTGCTTTCGAAGACTCTTTATATCGAGCTATGCGGCGATTTGCTCGGTGCTGCGATGTTTACTCCGTCCATTACCGAGCAGGATGCAGAATTTGTCAGACATCACAAATCCCTCTTTCTACGGCTAGGGCATCCTGCAGGACTTTAGACTTGTTGAGAAGTGCGATCGCACCGGCACCAAGTCGCTAAACAGGCTAGGGTCTCGTTAGTGCTTATATCCGTCGGGTGAACGAGGATCGATGGCCGGAAATTTGTCATTGCGTTCATGCTGTCAGGGAACGCGAAGTAGGCACCAGCAGAATCGCCTCTTTTATTCTCGGGGGTTCGGGTGCAGGACTTCCGCAGCTGGAACGGTCAGAATCAAGCCTCATCTGCAGGCCGCGTCAGCACCCCGTACGGAGCAAGTCTGCAGAAGCTACCGGTGGGGGTTCCTGGGCAAAACTCCGGACTCCGACCAGTATCAGATCTCGAAAGCAGGGTCAGGGACCAAAATTTGAACGTCAAGCCCAACCAGGCGCAGCAGCCAACCATGAGCATTGATTGTCAGCCATACGTTGAAAGCTCATTGTCAAAAGTCGACCCTCAGTCTGTGATGAGTAGAGAATTTGATACCCGGTTTGACGCGAGGAGTCTGTCCCGAAACTGTGCATCCAACCTGCTCTACGAGCCTGAGAAGCGGGGTTCAGTGGCGCCAGCGATAATGCTTCTGTGAACGGTCCTTTGGTGAGACTAACGCGTCACGGAGAAGAGTCCGGTGGTCTGGCCGGTCGTCGACTTATTTCCAAGGGCCATCAGATAGAAGTCTGGCAGATTCCAACCACAAAGCAACTGCTGACTGGACGGGGCTCACTTTCCTTTTGACATAGCGCGATCACGTTCAGAACGGGGTATTCGGATTAACATTACTCAGAAAATGATATTTAGCGAGCTACGTAGAAGAGAAGCTAGACTTTCGAGCAGCAAGCAGACTATAACCTGCTCTCAGTCTTGCACCGTCGCTGTCGACCTCTCCGAGGATTCCACACGCTGGACAAATTCTCCCGCCCGCTTGGCACAAGCCTCTGCTTCTTGATAAAATCTCATGATCCAACCAATCATCAACACATCGTGAGGTACCTTCTCTTCCACTACCAGTTCAATTCGAGGTCCATTGCTAGCCATCTTCTGGAATCGTTGCACAAGCTGTTGGTGATCGGGGAACAGGACTTCCCGGCCGCCCGTGACGATTAGCACGGGCGAGGGAAGCACGAAGGGGTGGTGGATCGGGGCAACATAACGCTCCATCGTCTCGGTGATGGCCAGGTCGCGCAGGAACTGTCGGGCTCCCCAGGTGGGAAACGATCCTGGGATGTACTCGGTCTCGTAATTCGGGCTTTGGGTCCAGCTGTCCGGGTCCACGGCCGCGGGCACATCGCACCAGGGGGACCACAACCAGCTGCATTTGGGAGGTGGTAGCCGACACGGGTCGTCGTACTCAACGATGTACCGCAGCATCGCGAGCGCTAGGTGACCCCCCGAGCTATCCCCGGATAGCACAATGCGATCAGGTGGAATGTGCAGTGTATGAATCAGATAAACATAAGCGGCGATCGTGTCCTGCAGCTGTGCCGGAAATCGGCCGTTGGGGTTGCAAGCCAGTCGATACTGGAGGCACAGCAGATGGCTGGCTGGGGTGTGTGTTAGAAGGGTTTTCGCGAGAAAGTTGCAAGAGGAGGTGCGTCCATCTCCGAGCACGTAGGAACCACCGTGCAGATGAAGGACGACGGATTGTCCGTCTGGGACTTCCGTAGCGGCAGAGCAAGGCTCGGGGTACCAGGTGGCCCCAATGGCCTCCGGCTTGATCTCGCTGTCCACTGTAACTCCTTCATAGAAATCCAGGGTGGCAGGCTCGATCACCACAAACCGGTTGCCCTCATGGTGAGGCTTGAGGGAGATTGGCCATTTGAAGTGACAAGCAGTGTAGGCCCGAAGGAAAAGTTTTAAGAATGAGCCGGCCAGACCTTGTCGAGCGGACCAGCTGGGATCGTGACGGATTCTAGGGGTGGTGGTTAGTAAATCTTGTTCACAGGGAGAGATAACAGCAACAGCAACAGGAACAGGCACCGACCGAGAGGAAGCCATGGAAGCGGAGGTTGGAACAAAGACAAAATGATCGGGAACCGACCAGAGGGGCAAATAAAGCAATGACAATGACGATCGCAGCCAAGCTTTGCAGCCAAGCCTTGTTTTGTTGTGTTGTGTTCAGCCCTACAGTGGCAAATACATCACCATGATGTTGCCATGCGTCATGCAGCATATCAACAACAAGCAATCCAGCAGGCAGCATCATTTCTCTAGTGGGTTTACTCAATCGCACTCCACCAAGAACGGGTTCTCAGCCAGATTGTGCCAGAACCCCAGATCGAGGTCCCACGACAGCTGATTCTGGAACTCTTCCCAGTCGGCGATGGTCGATCGCGCGGAGAAAGAGTCTCGGGGACCCGCAATGCATCGGCGGTGATCGAATCCAGAACGCTCTGAATGGTACGCAAAGTCTTGGAGATCAATTCGTAGTTCGGGTCTCGCGCATGCACCACCGATCCGCCCGACAATTCGGCCGCAAAGACGGTCAAATTCTGCATAGCGCGTGGTTGGGGCCCTGGGACTGTGTTCGTCGAGCGTCGTTGATCCAACACAGCCAGGAGGAGAATGCCCGCCGCGGGGAGACCATAATGCGCTATCTGCCGCTCAATCAGCTGTTTAGCTCCCTAAAGAGTTCCATAATCAAATGAGCCAAACTTTCTCAGACCTTCCACATCAGACTGGTGCCGGAATTGGTGAGCTGATCGCGAAGTAAAATCAATGCGACGACGATAGCCAGGATCTCTTCAGCGAGCGTCATCAATTCTGGACTGGGCACGGCAGGAGAGGACAGAACCACCAGACGCAGCAGAAACAGCACATGCAACTGGTTCAGTCGGAGGCTTGCTAAGAAATCTTGCTCGAACCCGTCCTTCACAGGTGTCTCCTTCACATCTCTCTCCAACCGAAACTATTGCGGGAGTGCATCTTAAAGCTTGTCAGCTTCGATTTGGATGTTGCTTGCACACAACGCAGACCACCGCGATTCCGCCCGGTAAGAGGGCATGGCCTCGGAGCTCCAGCTGCCGAGGCCATCGCTTAAATTAGAGGATGACATGGGGTTGGCATCCCCTCCAGACGTCAACGGCACCTAGAAATCGCAGAAATGACGGGACATCGGCGGAGGCCGACCGAGAAAGATAGCCATATTTCTTCTCGGCAGAGAAGATCCGCGCAAATGCGGTTCGGCGCAGCTCTTGCAAGGACGGAGGGGCGCCCGGTTCCAAACCAACAATCTGATGATACCCTAGGGCAAAGACAGAAGGAATCCCATCCCCCAGTCGTCTCCAATACTCATAGCCTGGATATGATCGGCTGAGGCGGATGTGATGGTGAAAAGGGGGAGACAAGCTCAACTGACTCTGGTCTCCTGCTATATACGAATGGACGATCAGATTTTCGTACTGGAGCAGCAACTGCACGTCATTGAGCTGGTCTAAAGACAATGCAAGTTCGAGAGAACAGCTCGCGACCCGCAAGCACAACCTTCGTAGATTATGTGGATCCTGAGTTTGCGAGTACAAAGGGGCAAGACAGCAAACATCATACGAAGCCCGGATCACAGCTAGAGCGAAGAGACCTAACGTCTCCCACCTGGTCTTTTGTCCGGTAAATTGGCGGAGAAGGCCGCCAAGGTCATGGAATCTCCCACAATCAGAAAATTTGCCTCGAGCTGGCCAAGAGACGAGCGGCATGTTGCCAATGCCAGTTTCCATCGGTTAACAGGGAAGTTAATAATAGATGAATGCTGTCCATGGATTGCTCGAGGAAGACGCCCCCCAATGCCAAATTGTCCACCATTAGACAGCCACAGGCTAACCAGGCCCTTTAGAAGCGGTAAAGGTGAATGAGTAAACAGCTGCCGGATTACATCTGCCGCGCGATGAAGCAGGAGATCCTCATCGTTCAGGTCGAGAGATGTTGCAGGCACCAGAGGCTCTATTGACCTTGATAGCGAGGCCTGATCTGAGCCCGGCGACGGAATATGATTGAAAATCGCCACATGACTGGATGAGTCGATGTATCCAGGGTTGTGATATCGTTGGCGCCTCGAGGTTGGAGCTGATGGTGTCGGGGCGACAGAATCATGACTGAAACGGGGAAGATTAGGAGGATGAGCAAAGCGATGATCAAGTAACGAGCAGTGTTTTCGGACAAGTGTAACCTACGTGGGAGATGAGCGTGATTCTTCCCCGACCTGACTTGTCGCATGCGACCGTTTTCTCTTGAAGGGAGTGGAGCGATAGAGGCATGGTCCGGCGCGACTGCTGGTCCGGCAACGTCTACACACGGGCTGGCTATGGTCGCAGGCTAACTTGGCCTTACGGCAAGGCTCACAGGCCGGTAGCCTGGTTGTCTTCAGGGTGGAGTTTACACGAGCAGAATGCAAATCGGCGTCAATGAGAACGAGAACGACAATGGGAGAGTGAGAAGAATTGAACAATACACCGAATGTGGTTCGGACCAGAGTCTTTTCGGATCGGAGTATAACATCTGGCTGCGTGATTGGTGCCTGATAATGCCTGGGTGCCTCAACTCATTTAGCCTGATCTTCCAGGCAAAATACGTCTACTGCGCTACCTACCACTCAGTCTCTACCTACATCCTCCTGTCTCTTCCGTGTCTGCAAATAATCCATCAACGGACCCTCAGGAGCATCTTCTGATTTGCATACAATCTCCACCATGCGCCATCCTGACCCATTCCACAGCTGATCCGTGGCAAACACGGTTTCCAGCTCGATCCAGGTGCAAGCCGAGGCCGTGTATACTTTGTCCGTCGCACCAAACAGGCGAGGGCCTGCAAATACCTCCACCGGCCAATGTCATTATAAGCCTGGTGGCGGCCGTGGATACAACGCTCAATAAAATATCCATCGTTGTTGATCAGAAAGACTACAACGTTCAATTCCTGTCGGATAATGGTTCCCAGCTCTTGGGCTGTCATCTGGAAACTACCACCCCCGATGAAGAGAATGGTACGTGCATTCCGAATGCCATCATACTGGTCCGCAGCCATGAGCTCTTACTGTGCAAGGGTAGCCCCTTAGAGGCGGGAAGCATATATCCAATGGAGAGCCAAGTGACTGGCGTAAAGGCGCGGCCATGACAAGGCAAAGCCATCTCTCGCACTCCATACCCAGCTGTAGCAGCCGTGTGAAGAGATATTCAGCGACAGTGATCGATGACATGGTAATGCTCAAGGGATTGATGTTGGCAGGAAACAAAAATTCTGGGACTGGGAGGAAGTTTGCAGGGCTTTCCTTGACGTTCGGTGCTGACCACCAGCAGACCTTTATTATCTACGGTGTGTTGCGTAACAAAATAACCGCTATCTTGAAATAACTCTTGATCTGATAGGCGTACTCTATCACTCCGAAGGTTCTCCGAGATAACAGAGGCTGAAAGACTATTGGAAGACAGCGACCGGAGTAAAGCTCGGCGCGTTCGGTGTGTGCCACATCAGGATAAGGCGTAAGGGGATTAATGGACCTGTCCAGCTGATGCTCTGGAAGATGCTCGATGAGATTTGGGGGCATGAGGGCTTCCTACTGTGGCTTTATCACCTCTCGCAGCAGTATCGCGCCCGCCGTGACCTTCTGTTCCAAGCTTGCGAACTGTATCTTCCGCTGGAACTTGTACGATGGAATTGTCCCCAATATGAAATGTTTCTCTGGTTGGAGATTGAGGTGGGTGTACGCCGGTTTGCTCGCTCCTTCTGCCTGTCAAGGCCTTGCTGCACTATCATGTCATTTCATTGCGTTGCAACCATTCGCTCAACTTCTGCGCGGCCTTGAACCGGTGGGATAGGCGGTTCTATCGTTGGTGAGCGGGACTGTCTCATCAACCAAGTACATAAAAATCTACCTTTTTGTCAACATCCATCTCGGCTAAAGTTTCTCCGCCATGTTCGAAAATGGGTTCCCACCCTGTATGACCGTCAGTACTCGAATATGGCGAATTGAAGGCGTGGCCTACCAAAGGCAGAAACTCCTCTCGCAGGAACTATCCTGCCCTATATTGAATCAGCAAGATCGAAATCTCAGTGGAATAGGATGACGCTTACCAATAGCCTTCCCTGGAAGAGGATGGGCTCGGCACCTGGCCTTGGGGAATACCCCAATGTACAAACGGCCTCTGCCGTGTTATCACTGAAGGACGCCAGGAGTTTGCAGAGGCCGTCATTTCCAATGCTATCTACAAAAGCTTTGCTGTGTTGAACGCAGAGAGCAAGTCAGCTTTACTGAGAATCATTACCAAGGAGGGTGCGGCAGACAGACACATATGGACCCGGAAGTCCATTGAGAGCATGCATCTCCAGTGCCGAATCTTCGACTAGAACGGGGCCACCAGTCTATTCAACGTCGGTTCAGCTGGGTTCAGGCAATTTGGATCGACAACCTGTCTGTCGTACCGTTTCGGCGGCCAGGCGGCATTTCTCCCGGGTGATTTCTTCCACAGTGCCTTGAATCTCGTGCAAGTCCAAGTTGACTGGGTGCAGCACAACTAAGCCATCGAGGATGGCATTCAGCTCGGATAGCTTGTGCTGGTTTCCGGTGACTATGGTGAGGCTCACCATTGGAAGTGTTTCTGTTGTTGAGAAATGAGTAGTTGCTATGCAATTGTAAATAGAAACAAATGACTCACTTGTTCATTTGAGCTCACCGCCTGTTACTGCCCATGCTTCCAAATTAGGATAGCGGTAAAGGTAGCCTGGAGTTGAAGGACAGACAGGGAACGTACACTGGAAACCTTTCCAATACTTGCATTGAACAGAAGGAAATACGAACTGCAGATCAAGCAGCTGCGTGAAGAGTGAGAATAGGCTGATTTGCAAAGGGGAGGGGTCAAGTACGGTATCTGACTCCTCCACCAACATGTCCTCGCCCGTTCGCTAGAGTTGCATGAAGAGCCGTCACCCAGCAAACAAGGGATGTAACCCGGGGTCTCCTCTTATCCTACGGGGTCTATCAGTGCCAGATGCTTCCAAAACAAGTATTACCACGAGGCTTGTCTCCATTTAGGTGCAGCAAATTGCGGAGAAATGCGGGGAAGGGGAACGCATCAGGAAAGCGAAACCGGGCCGAGATGAATTGACGTATATTGTCAAAGCCATCCCACCCAATCTTGCTCCCTGAGAGGACCACTGACTGGGCTTATCAGTGCTGCCTGCATTGATGTCTTGAAGCTACTGGTCTGGATGTGGTCACGCGCAAATCATCCTGGGCAGGGTCTACCGGTGGTCGACGGACCCTATATCATGGAGCAACAATGGACCTTACTCCCAATTTTGTGCTCATTCGTAAATACCATCCAAAACAACAGATTCATCATTCTCTTTAGGACTCAAACACGATGCCAGGGGTCAAGAAGTCGGCTGAGATTGCTCGAGGCGAGCCCCATGTCTTCGGGTCACAGGCTGAAGAGGGCAAGGCAGTGGATGCGGACACACAGCGCCTCGAAGAGATGGGTTACTCACAGCCGATGAAGCGAAAGTACTCGGTGATGTCGGTCTTGGGTGTGGCCTATTCTTTGACCAATTCGTGGTGGGGAGTGTCTGCCTCTCTAGTGACTGGCATCAACTCCGGAGGTTCGGCTCTGCTCGTGTACGGGACCATCTTGCTGGCCCTCGTTTCCACTGCTGTGGCAGCGACTCTCTCAGAGCTGGTCAGTGCCATGCCAAATGCTGCGGGGCAGTCTTTCTGGGCCCGCGAGCTGGTTCCACGCAAGTACGCTCGACTTGCATCCTACATCACGGGTTGGCTGGCCTGGTCGGGGTCAATCTTTGCGTCAGTCCATTCTGCATTTTGCTTCTCTTTCCATTTTGGCGCCATGAGCTGACCTGCAGTTTTGGCTTTTAGCTCCGCCAGTGTTGCATCGGGCGTGGCATCGGCCTGCGTTGGTTCCTACGCTCTCTCTCATCCTACCCTGTATGTGACCCCCCCACTATGCAGAATCTCGCGGGACATTGACGGATGAGAATTGCAGCGAAGTGAAACCGTGGCATACGCTTGTGGCCTACCAGGTCGTCAACCTGTTTTGCTTTTTGTTTAATATATACGGCAAGACGTTGTCCCTCGTCGGCAATGCATGCCTCTGGACTAGTCTTGGGTCTTTCTTCGTCATCCTTATTGTGGTTCCTGCACGAGCTGCAAGCCATACGTCGCCCAATTTCGTATTTGCTTCTTTCTCCAATGCGACCGGGTGGCAAAGTGATGGCATCGCCTTCATAGTGGGATTGATCAATGCCAACTGGGGTTTCAGTTGCCTTGATGCAGCTGTGCATCTGGCGGAGGAGATTCAGCATCCAGAAAGGATGGTGCCTATTGCTATCATGGGGGTTATTGCAATCGGTTTCGTCAGTTCACCCAGTGCCTGGGCCCTTGGTGCTATCTCTATCTTACTAACCTAGTATTGTTGCAGGTGACTTCCTTCGCGTTTGTTCTCTCCATGATGTTCAGCGTCCAGGATCTCGCCGCCTTCCTCGCAGCTTCTTTTCCGAGTCTGGAACTGTTCCAACAGGCCCTGCGCAACGATGCTGGCGCCATTGTTCTGGAAGCATTGACAATTGCGACCGGCATGGGGAACGTAATCTCGTGCCACACCTGGGCTGCACGGCTGTGCTGGTCTTTTTCGCGAGACCACGGCGTCCCTTTTGCCCGCATATGGTCTCAGATTGCTCCTAGCGTCGATACCCCTTTGGCGGCTCATATCTTGAACACGGCGATTGTGGCGGCCATTGGCTGCATATATCTCGCCTCTCGAACGGCCTTCAACTCGATGGTGACTGCCTGTATTGTCCTTCCGTATCTGTCTTACGTTTTACCAGTAATAGGCCTTCTTCTTCGTGGCCGTAATAGCATTCAGCACGGCCCTTTCTGGCTCGGGAAGTTGGGGTTATTTGCCAACTGGGTTTGTCTGGCTTGGATCTTCTTCACCTGGGTATTCTACTCATTCCCTGCCCAAATGCCCGCGACGGGTGGAAGTAAGTGCAGTTGTCCCTTTTTCTCCCCCCATGCTTTGGATTGATAGGAAAATTGACCGACTTCAGATATGAACTATGTTTGTGTGATCTATGCTGTCATCGGCGTGATCATGATAATCGACTGGTTCTCTAGAGCACGCAGGATATATCTCTCCAATATTGCGACGATTGACGGTCAGAACATATATGAGGCTGAGGTGGCTACAGAGAGTTGGTCTGAATGAGCGCGGTTGTCATCCGAAGCGTAGGGGAAGCCTTGGATTATAAACTTGTATACGGGTACCTGCCAATCAATCATAATGTCTTTCATGGATATCCAATAAGAACAAGGGAGTTTGGTCTTTACTATGACCTGGTTTATGGAACGCGGTCTCAGGTAGAAACAATCTCATATGCAGGTCATTGCCCTCCCACTGGTAGACATGCGGACCGACAACAGCATCAAAAAGGGCCGCAAATCCGGGGGAAGAGCATCAAAGCGGGGATAGAGATCAGCATGCCCAATTTCAACAATTCAGACTTCCTGAAAGATGATGAAAGACTGTTTCAGTAGTCGATTTGTGAGGATCTGCAGTGCAATTTGCATGGAACACAGCTTTAGTGATAAAGGGTTTTAAAGCAACAAGACTGGGTATAAGACTCATCACACAAGAGAATTAGAAGACACAACAGCTTGTACGAAGCGAACTTGAAATTGAGGGGTTGATCATCCCTCGCACATCCCTAGATAGGACGCCTCCTAAAATTACCCAAAACAGTAATCTGACACGGTCTTGGCGACGCCACTGGATGCAGGCTCGCCTGATCTAGATACCTGTATCCGAGGAGGTTGATTGGGAGTTGCACTGTACATGCATGGTTAAGTCATAGAAGTGCCTCAATCATGCCGTATTCGTAGCACCAAAAGCATTTCCCCATTTGTGTGAGCTCGAGGGCGATTATCGGGAGTTTGTGAGGCGATACCGGGCACAGGAGACGGCGAATGGCCTCTACCGCCACGCCCACAAGGCTATCGAATCTCTCGCATTAAGACCGGAGCTGACCCTCACGCAGCCAGGCATGCAGCACGACACAGCATTTATGATATCTACCAGAAAGCCAAAAAAAGGCGGCTTGACTTGCAACGCAAATATTGGAATCAAGTACTGTTTGAATATACGGTCCACTTGATATTTGTGGCGTTCATCTATCTTGTGCTCATCTGCGTTCCTCTTTGGAAAGGCGCTGTCTGGCGGCTAAATTATGTGGTGTGCTTCGAGTTCGGGATTCAAGGGGGTTGGGCTATTACAATAGGGGACACATCATTCGTTTTTGTCTCCAGCTTTGCTTTTAGACCCTTGCTAGTATGGTTCGAGAAAGACCCTCCTCAGTGCTCGAGAAACCGGAGGGCATCGATCTGGAGCAAGGTCGAACTACAGCCAAGGAAATTTCCCTGCTACTTCCATGTTATAAATCAGTTAATATTATAGGACCGACATTGAAAGCAGCACTGCGGATCTTCCCCCAGGCAATATCTTCGTGATTGCGAACGGAATATCGAAGAGGTCTGTCGACCGTACGGAGTCAATTACTTCTGGTGTCCGGTGGGAAGCAAGATTATCGCCCAATTTGTCGGCTGCTATGCGGCAAAGCATTTTCAACATGTGCTGCTGATTGACGACGATTGCGCACTACCAGCCAACTTTCCAATTGTCAGTGATCGGTTGAAGGGGCGTGTGCAATGTATCGGATATGCGATCAAGAGTGCGGGCCCTGACTCAATTCGAGGTACTTCGTGCTAGCAAGCTCAGGACTTAGATTCCAACATTTCGGGCCCGCAACGCGCCTTCGCTGGCATATTGGGAAGTGCAACTTTTCCGCACGGCGCGATCGCCTTGTGGCGAACAGACCTTTCAAACAGACCTTTCATGATCACCCCGGTTTCTCAGTGTCGGAATATTGGTTCTTTGGTGACAGCTGCCGTCGACTTGGTGGCGCCGTTTATGCTGCCGATTTCATTTGCCGTGAAACCCTCATTCTGCGGCCTCATGCTATGCGTCACAAATGGTCTATACTTCCTTGATGTGGTCATTTTCAACCCCGTCCATCTGCGTTCTAAGAATGAGTCAGTGAGCTGGACCTGTTTGCTCTTGTACTACATGCCATCCAAACTCGTATTGTTTCTGATCAATGTGGCCAGTTGCTACTGGTATCTCTTCAAGTACGCCCGCTGCTTTGCCAACCGGCATTCCAATGTGATCAAGTATGACAAGGCGGGAGAGGTGGTTCTTTGCCTAGAAGCAACGACGAGTTTGTCTACAGAAGATAGTACAAAAGTCTCTGAGTTGGGAAGGAGCTTGTCAGTCACGAAGGTGAAGGCTCGGCGGCCCACGATTGTCTCGCAGCAGCCTCCTTCAGTGAGCATCCGGGCTTCCGTGGCTGGCATGGACGGAAGTTGGATCTAAAAGTTCAAGCAACAGGGGTACATTGTGTCAGTACTTTTCTAGCAAAGAAATAGTCATTTCGACATCTAGCCACCGACAAAAGGTATCTAAAATCATAAGTTCTTCCTCAGCTTTGCTACCCGAGTGAATCACCTGCGTCACTTTCTAACCCAAGTGTCGACCTTTAACTAATGGTACCACTCATTATCCTTCATGATCACTGGAGTAGCCTTCCTCCATGTGACAACCCGTTCGTCCGAGTCCGACTCACCATGGTCGTAAGTCTTCGCAGCCACCAGAACAAGTGATCCATTATCGATGAGCGGTCCCAATCCCCCTTCCACGTACCACTGGTCTCCCCCACCCGGCTGACCGAACCAAGGCAGAACCTTGCCGTACAGAGCGAGGAAGGGCTTTTTGACCTCATATTGCCAATAGTTGTAGAGAGTACTGCCGCTGAAAACATTCAAATTGCTGGGTGGGATTGCCCGCTCTGCGAAAGGGGTCTCTGGCGTCGCGAGCCAGCTGCCGTTGGGCTGGCCGAACCGATCGAGATGGGTACCGACTTCCACCGTCACCGTCTCGGCGCATCCCTTGAATCCAAGGTTCTGGGGGAAATAATAGGCGGTGTTGTTGAAGGGACCTGCGCTGGCCCAGTTGGTCCATGTACAGAGCCAGTCTTGCGGGCATTGGCTGTCCAGCGGCTTCCAGTCGATGAAGAAATCGGTGAAATTACTGGCAGGGACGAAGTTGGCGGGTCCGAGCAGCTTGTTGTTGCAGATACAGTTATCGCAATAGTAGCTCATCGAAATGGGGTCTGTCTGGTTGGGAGTGACTCCATCGCAGGCATTCTGGCAACTGGAAGGATAGTTCTGGATCTTGTCGGGGGAGTCGCGTGGTTCATTGCTGGTAGAAGGGCTAGTTGGCGCCGCACAAGACAGCCATCCGAACAAGGGCAGTGCCAAATAGAGACTTTTGAGAAGGCTGGTTGGTGTGTTTGTCATCTTGATGCTGTCGCACAGTTGATGCTGTCGCTTACGTTGCTGGACACATACAACCAAGGTAATAGAGCCGTTCTCTGCATTAAGTGGGAACGCGAGCTCTTCCGGCGTTGCATCTTCTTAAATAGACATCTGGAGAGCTTCACAGCAGGGGACCTGTCAGGTGCCTCTCTGCACGTTGGGAGGATGCGGAATGGGGTTGCCCACGACAGGAATTCTAGGGCCGACTTGAGGAATGCCGTCCCTGCGTCTAGGGCAGAGTCAGAGATTTCGAGTGGATGTGATAGTGCAAAAAATCAGAAGCTGCACCACCCTTCTCTGCTATTTGCCATGAGCAGTGTATAGGGCCAGTACCCAATGAGATGTAACCAGTCCCCGGCCATTTTTGAATACAGGGCTTAAGGTCCTCCGGGCGCCGATCTGGCTGGGTTACCTTTGTCCTAAATAATCTTGGGGCTTGACTTCAGATCACACCTCTAGCTATTACACTTTAGTGTATAGATAATGTCTTCAAGATGGTTTGGCAGAATCTCACCAGGCACCAGTAACTAATAAGCCTGTTGTGGGATACTTCCTGATGTTGGATGGCCAGCTATACCCGGCATTCTCTCAAGAATAAGAATGTGAAGGATTCCCAAGAAGTAGTTTCCACGCTGGCTTTCACCCCCAGGTACGAGCAACTATGCTGCTAGATTTAGGGCCTATTGTATGTGGTAAAGGTTTTTACATGGTGGTTTCTGTTTTATGTCCGTGAGCCACAATTATACATATTTATCCTATGGGCACCAGGTAGGGGCAAGATGAGACTAGACAGTGCAACGGCCACGATCGATGAAAGAGGACGATGTATAATCAGGATCTCAGTAGAAGGTCCTTGATAGCTGCATGGATTAGAAAGAAATAGTGTTCATATGGTGGAATATCTTGTGGTTCTCTCCAACCAGTCAAGGTCTGCTGACGCCTAAGGATGCCAAGATATTTATCCTCAGGCACTGACAACACTCTCAGGCATCCTACGCTATCACGTGAGAGCATAAGGCATCAATCTGTATCCTCAGGCCTTCATCGGGAAACCCTCGTATTCCCAAGGAGGCTTAGCGGAACACAGCCCCGTCCATCCACTCCTTCCATCTTCCTTCCTTCGTGTTTATGGGCTCAGCCCCACGACAACACAGACAATTAAAGAGAGGATTGAAGAGACGGACAAGGCTGACTGACACTGACCATCATCACCTCATCAGCATGCGGGACCATTCCTGTATCGCTTATATTTAATTCTCGGACCCCCCTTCCCCCTTTACTTCCCAGAACATCAATCTCACTCCTACCAAGTCCTTTCACTCGCACAAGATTAACCAATCATCTGCCTCCACCTTCCAACCACCATGTTCGCAGTAGCCCCTAATCGCGTCCTCAATGTGGATTTTACCAGCTGGACGGGCAAGCATTTGGAAGTCACCGAGGGGGACTCCTCCAGCCCCAACAAGACTCTCGTCTATGCTGCCGACCTCAATTTCCGCAAGCCACACATGGTCTTTCAAGCCACAGGCAGCGCTCGTCTACCCGCCACAGTCAATTTCCATGCCTTCTCGCGCGCCATCGATGTCAACATCAACGGCCACGAGATCGCCTTCAAGCCGAAGGGGATGCTCAAGTATGAAGCCCCGTTCGAGTCTCCGGCCCTCGGTGGGAAAGTGCTGAGATGGAAGAACCCGAAATATTCGAACCCCTCATACCTCGAGTGCTCCGATGAACATGATACCGTGATCGCCAAATTCGTTCCGAGCAGTGCCTGGAAACTGACCAAGGCAGGCCACCTCGAGCTCGATGGGCGCTTACCGACTGGGCCTCTCACCGATGAGGTGGTCGTCACCGGGCTAGCTCTGGCCTACTACATTATGGTGCAGACCAGAGGCGCCAGTGGAGCCTCGGCCGCTGCTGCCTCGTCGGTGGTAGTCGCGACTTCAGTGTGATGATTATCCTCTTGTTTGATATTGGCGTTTCGTGTGTGCTGTTGAATTTCTAGCGGATCATGATCATATTATACCTTTCTGTTCGTTCTTGGTTATTCCTGAATCATTTTGTCATTTATACGGGATCATAGACATGTACTGTACCCCCGGTCTTATCAATCTCTTATTCAAAGCCGAATCTGCGGTGCATGAGAATTGGACGTGGATGCCTGAGGAGGATAGCTCGACACCTGAGGCTACAACAAAGACAGAAGGCAAGAGTCTGAAAGGACAAGGCGGACCCGGGTGGCAGTAAAAACATACCACGTCCCTTTTCTCTTTCCTTTGTATGTACGGAACTCTACCTGATGTACAGAGTACTGTATACTATACGTCCTTCCAACTTCATCTGTACCAAGGTGGACATCGCTTGCTCATGGCTACATCATAGATAGTCCTTTGCCATATTCGCACTTCCTGTCGCGGATCTACACCTAACAGAATGGCATCGTCAATGGTGACTTACTACCTCCAATTTCCGACTGAGTCATCATAACAACTCTTGCTGCTAGAATACGTTTGCGGACTGAAGGCAAGGCTTGTTGGATTGTCTGGACAAGATGGTGGATAGTAACTAGGTCAGCTACATCACAGCAAGGAATTTCAAGCCGCATTATTCCTGGGCCACCTGCTTCACGCGGGGGTAACTGAGATTTGACCCGGCGTAACGCTGGTCCAGCAGCCGGTAGTCACCGATAACATTCCTCGCGGTAGAGCAAAAAGCCTTCAAGGAAGATAAGCGGCCCGACGCGCTTTCCGGGCACATCGGCGTCCATGTACCAGGAGTTTCTGGCGGCGATGCGGGCGCGGGTCCTGCGTGCCCTGAACTCGTAGGCGTAGGCATTGGCGCTCTCATCAGGTGAGATATAGCTTGGAGTTCGGGCAAGGGACTGGGTTGAAACATATCGCGATATCTAGTGTTCAAGACGCCAGTATGGGCGAGTTGAACGAAGTCAAAAAAAGGTGTGTACAGTCAAAGTTTGCATTCGTACGAGGCAGTCTGTCATAAATGGAATCAATTCGAGGGCACAGCATAGATACTTTATTACAAGACACCAAAAAGTCATGAGATAGCGACGGAATGTATAGTACATTTTGGCCCATTCCTATAGCCTGGCTACTCTACCTTCAAGGTCCCTGAGTTGTTGGTCTAGATAGACAAGCTGGGCGTCTCGTTCCTCATCAGTCGCGCTTGGCATCAGCCTGCGAAGCCAGTCTTGCTGGTGAAAATAGAGGTCAGAGTCCCCCATAGCGAACCAGCGTTGGCCATTTGCACCAGCCAGAGCATCCAAGACACCACGTCCGGCGGCTTGTGCTTCAGGGCTGACTGGAGTTTCTACACACAACTTGACCATATTCTTACGAATCAAAAAGGCTCCATAGAGCTGTTGGTTATGGTCTTCCGCCAGTGTGTGCTTCATACCCCAAGCCATGTATGCGGTTGAATGCGCGATGTCCTCCCAATCCTCGCCACAAATCTTCGGGTCCACCAAAACGACTATCACTCGGCTCTTCATGGGACCTAGAATGAAAAGAGAAAGATCGCCGTTTAACAAGACCATGGCTGCAAGCGGACACAGTTACAGGTCTCTTACGAGCTCCAGTTCATACACCGGAGATGGCCAGAATGATGAGGCAAAGGAACTTCAGCCCAATCAAGGACGGTAATATGGTATTTCTGAACAACCACAGTGCTACAAGGCACGGCATTTATCATTGCCTGAAAGTGAGACTCGGTGACTGAAAGAGTTCGGATGAAAACTCCATAAAGCCAATCTTGAACAAAAGGAAACCTGGAGCACTCCAGTCTGCCCCTGCTTGATCCCCTACAGTCCAGCCATTTTGGTTGGAGTAGAGTAAGTTGCCGTCAAACAGGAAGATATAGCAATGTCTTCTTTGTCTGCTTTTGGTCATCTGGCAACTCTCAGCCTATTTAAATGACCCGGCTCTCACGAGCACAACCAGGGCTACTCACGACATTGCTCCTCAACCGATGAAGGAATAAGGCATACGAATTAAACCATGGATAGTATCGACTATAACCTGGTACGCCTCGCAGAACTTCCACGAGGGGTACAAAGACAGCTGGAAGTATCGGTCGGAATAGTGTCGAAGGAGGACAGTGGATATGAAGACGTGACTTGCGCGCTGTGCCAATCTCATACCCACAAGGATAAGAATGCACATTTCTGGTGGTGCCTGCATTCCGGATGCGGACGTACTTGGCACAACACATGCATTGACAAGATGATGGAGAAGTACAGGGTCGGGTTTGGATGTCCAACCTGTGGGACTGGCTGGAAATTTGGCAGTGACCCAGACGATTCCGACAGACATGAAATCAACGGTATCTTCCAGGGCGACCAGTTTCGCTATCGGCAGGATGATGGTGGAGGCTGGATCTGCATGGTGGTCACACATGGTGTAGTCTGTGGCCTGCGGTTTCTGTACAAGACTCATATGCGTCGCCATCAAAGGAATAACCATAAATTAGTCTGATGTCGATGTTGGTCAAAGGATGATGACTTGGCCCTTAGGATATAAGCTAATGTCTCATCTCTCCGTTATAACTCACATCTTCGAAGTAATTCAAAGCTTTTACCTCAATGTTACCTCAATGTTTGTAACTAGATTCATGATAGTCGCATTGCAGAAATCCGTACGCATTGTGCGACAAATAATCAGGGTAGTGTGTTAAGAGTGTGCCATAGGAAAAACAGACGCTGTGACATTTCTCATGCTATATAGTACATGGGAGGCTTCCATCAACAATTTACTATCTCATGTACCCCTTAAGGCTGGGAGACTAGAGCAGCTCTCCAGTTTCGCCAGAACTTGCTTGCCGAAGCAAACATGATGGACATGATGCCCATGACCTCATCATCGTCATCGCAGTCAACAGTCACTCCAACATGACTGTGACCAGAACGCTGTTCACCATCCTCTTCTTCCACTGGGATTACATTGGCTTCATAGCTGGGTGTAGATGGAAGTTCAACCTTGACCATCTTAGCAACGCTAGGAGTGCCCTTGGCATCCATGACAAACAACATATACCACCCGGGGAGAATGATACCTGCATCGTCGGGGAGCTTGGCACTGTATTGAAGGTGACCCACTGACTTGAGAGTGTCGAGGGGAATGCGACGCTGGTCGGTGTTGACAGTGTGTGTTGTGGTTCCGACACGAACCAAAGAGGCAGACTCAATGAAATCATCGGTCTTGATTTTGATCTGCTCACCAACGGTGACCCGAAAACCGTCGGGGATACTGATGATCTGCGGTCGCCGGGCCTCCGCACCGTTGGGAGTGAATAGGTACGGGGGAGAGTAGATTTCGGCATCGTAGTGGTTGGCAGTGCAATTACCACAGAGACCACCGCCACCGTTCAGCACCCTTCCGTCCGGTAGCAGCATTGAGATGCTGTGGTACACACGCTTGATGTTGTTGCGGGTAAGCTCGGTGAAGGTATCGGTGGTAGGATCGTAAAGTTCTGGGGTGAAGTTGATGTCCCCCTCATGGAAAGGCTTGCCCCAACTCTGACCACCAGTAATGAAGACCTTGCCATCGGGCAGAACGACCGAAGTATGGAAAACACGCTTGTAGTGCATCCCACCCTCGAGCTCCCCCTTGGGGCCCTTACCGGCCACTTCAACCTTGGGTTCCTGATAGGGATCTCCCAGTGTGATGATATGGGCGTTCTTGGACCCATAGGAGCCGTCGTAGTGACGCTGGCCGCCGAAGGTGAGGACCTTGCCCCTGGTAGCATCGTACATGACAGCACTGCCAGACATCGAGTCATGGTCCTCGCCACGCTCACCGGCTTCTTGCCAAGAGCCGCGGACGCGACCCTTGCGATCCTTCGCATCCACGTCATACCAATGCATCATCACACTGGGACCGGCCTGGAAGACACTGGCCTTCTTCCAGCCGAACAGCCAACCATGATTGTCAGCGCGCCAGGCTCCGAGACGGTCATCGGTCATCATTGGGGCGACCTTGGCGTTACTCCGCATTTCCCAGTGGGCATTGGGTCCGGGGTAGTACACCTCGCCATTCTTCTCGACCTTGTCGCCTCCACTCCAAGAACCGCCGATCACGAAGATACGGCCGTCCGACAGGGTGGTGGAGGACTGATAGCCGCGGCGAGTCTGCATCGCAGGGCCCTTCAGCCATGCGGTGCCATTGTACACACTGGTGCGACCGGAGTCGGCGCCACCACTGACCACAATGTTGCCATCAATGTCCATGGAGGTTCCCGGGCAGAACATGTCGTGCTTAGTCTCGGACACTTCGCTTTGAGTGATGATGCCACTACGGTTCATCGTGGTCGTCAGGGTCTTGCCACCGGGGGAGGCGAAGAACTGATCATCCGCCCAGGCAGACCACATGATGATGTTTCCATGCTGCTCAACCGCTGCAGAGACGGGAACAATGGGAAGATCCAGCGTGGGACCCCAAACGCCACCCTTGCTGGGCTTGGCTTCAGGGAAAGTGTCTTCGTTATAGGCGTACACGGCCATGTTAACAATCGAAATAGGCCCATTCCTTGTTTGCGAGTGAGGGTGAGACGCAGTCTCGGCAGTGAGCTTGACAAAACGGGCCAGAGTTGGAACAAAGGCAGACATCTTAGGACTTCTGTTGGATCCCCAGGTTCCATAGGCGACCTCGGTCCAATTCAGTCCGTCGGGCGACAGATGGATGCGGTGCTCTCCAATTTGGCCCTCGCTGCCGTCACCGTCCAGGCGCGGCAGCATTGTCAAGCCGGAGACATAGTACTCCTTCTGCAGATCGATATGGATCCATGATGGCTCGTCCGTGCTGGAATCGCTATGCCAGTATCGGTCCATGCGGTCGTCGATGGCATATTCGCACTGGTAGGCTTTCTTCTGACTGGAACAAACAACTTCCCAGTTCTCATCGGAATTCTCAGAGTTGGTCTTGGGGATGAGGTGGGAGTCGGGAGGCGGTGACTGGTATTTGACTATCCCAGTTGACTGCTTGGCAATTTCGATTTCATCGGCCTCAGAAGATTCATACGAGTATTCAGCCGGCTTGAAGGCATCGACAGCGGCGGCTCCCAACAGGACGCCAGCCACGAACCGGAACTTCATGTTGATTCAAACTAGAAGGGTGAGTGATGTGACCGACTGAGATTGACGCGCAGGGCGGCATATAAATAATCAGGGGGGATTCATCCGGCTGTCTGTGCCAGTGGAGACTCAGCTCGCCGCTGACACAATGTTGGGACCCGAGATCATCCGTGGATTCAGAGCTGAGGTGATGCCGAGATTACAGCAGACACACACTGAGCAGACTTGCATTTGCACTTTTGGGTATTTTCTCAGAGCCGATCGTGTGGAGTGACTTACAGAGCAGGCAGAGTGAGTAAGAACAAAATGCTGAGTCCCTCGGCTAACTTGCTGCGATCGGCCAAAGTCTCCGCCGATCGCATCTGTGCCAAGACTGGTCCGAGCGGGCGGGTCGGTCCAGCCGGCGAGAGGCAAGTTCGTCCATGGTTCATCCTTGTCAATTCCCGCACTCCCGGGACTCATACTTCTTCTGTCCAGTACTATCTCCCGCAGGCTGGGAAAGAGTGCTACTGATCCTATGAACTCAGCTAGAAACCACGAAACAACTACGCTTTCATGCTGTATCCTTACTGACTACTCCCCTTCCAGGCCGGATCATCGTGATTCAGAACTCCAGTGGAGATGCCCCACAGTTCAGCTGAAGAAATGACGCATTTAGCGTCGATGCAAGCGATCTTCACAGCTGCAACAAGTTCGAGAGATTAGTGTGCCAAGTGGGGCAGATTTCTGAAGAGAGTGCCGCTATCGACAAATCACCATTCAACCAATTCTTGCTGATCTTTTCAGCTGAGGGGTATGACGAGATGTGCATTGCAAATGGGGGGCCCATGAGAGGCCCCGGGGAAGGAGCTCGAAGTACAGCCATCGAGCCGAAACTGATCGACGCAAAGATTGGTGAAGAAGACGGTCCTCAGTCGTAATGGTCATAGACATAAAAGGGTTCTTTCCGGCTTGTTCTACAATTCCACCCAGCAGCCACAGACAGTCCACAATGCCGGTCGCAAAAGAAAGCCGAGTGGTCGACACCGACAACATTCAGGGCAGCATCTGGCCCCGTCTCCCCAAGCACTTTGAATCCTACTTGTTCTTCAAGATCACGGACAAAGACAAATTTCGAAAGCACTTGCGAATCCTCTTAGACAGCAATGAGATCACCACTGGTACCCAGTGTGAAAACCATCTTCGAGGAGTGGGAGAGCTAGAAGAAGCCTGTGCCCATTCTCGTCGCGATGTTCCCGAACCCTATCGAGTGCCTTTCACCGCTATAAACGTTGCATTCAGCCATATGGGGCTTCTAAAGGTTAGGCCTCAATCGTGATTTTTGGACCGCGTACTCTAACACGGGGGATTATTACAACCAGGTCGAGAAGCCAGAGATCGAAGTCAAATTTGCCGCAACCCAAAAGGAAGACCCCGATGCGTATTGCAAGGACAGAATCAACGAAGGCCTCTTTGAGAAGGGCATGTTCGATGACCTGGTCTACGAGGGTGCCGATAGCCCGCCTGCACTCCATCCCGATTTTAGGGCTCCAGCCGCAAACTTGGAGAAGAGCGACCCTCTTCAGCGTTGGGAATGGAGGGTAGACGGGGTTTTCATTGTTGCCGCACACAACGCGAAGGCCCTGCGCAGGAAAATCGTGGATCTGGAAGATGCCTTCTATGTTGGCGACGCGAACCAGAGCAGTATGAAGATTGCGTTCAGAAGGGACGGCCAGACTCGGCCGGGGGTAAACCGTGGAAAGGAGCAGTATGTTAGCCTGTATCGCGATTGATGGGGGCACTGCTGACCACGAGATGGTAGCTTTGGTTACGAAGACCATATCTCGCAACCCAGAATCAAAGGCCTTGATGACAAGCCCGCAAAGGGTGAGCCACATGCCTGTCCTCCTGGGTAGGTCAACTGTGGTGCCTGCAGACTGGGCCACGTCCGTTGATCTGAGTTAACTGACATGCTTTAGGTACATCTTTCTCGGACATGAGGGTGATCCCAACAAAAGACGGGGTCCTGCCTGGGCGAAGGAAGGCAGCTTCCTAGTCTTCCGCCAGCTTGATCAGAAGGTGCCGGAGTTTGACAAGTTCCTCCAGGAGAAGGCACCCCAGATTCCAGGAAACTACGGCGGCAGCAACGGGCCCGAGAAGCTGGGCGCTCACCTGATGGGGCGCTGGAAGAGTGGTATGTATCCCATTATAGTATGCTCTAAGCAAGCAGGCGCTAATTCAGACAGGGGCTCCTGTCACGCATGCCTATGATGAAGACAAACCTGAGTTGGCCTTTAATAACGACTTCGACTTTCGGCCCAAGAAAAGCATTAAGAGCTGCCCGTTCGCTGCGCATATTCGCAAAATGCGCCCTCGGGCTGACAAGAAACGGGACGTTGGGACCGAAGACGACGGCGACAACACAGAGCTCCCCGAGCCCGATAGTGACGAGTCCGAGGCCGAGGGACAAGAAGAGGATGCCAGTGTTATCCTTCGACGTGGTATTACCTTCGGCCCTGAACTAACCGAGGAGGAAAAGAGGCTGGGGAAGACAATCGAGCAGCGAGGCATCTACTTTACGTGCTATCAGAGCCTGATTCGCGATGGGTTCAATTTCCTTATGACTCGTGAGTTTGGAAATCCTGGATATTGAACATTGCGGTTGCTGACAAGTACAGGCTGGGCAAGTAATGCCTCCTTCCCTGAGTACAAGACAAAAACCTTCCCTGATGGTCCGGGAATGGACCCATTTGTCAACCAGCGTCTCCGATCGGATCATCCCGAGGGCCACATTAGCTTGTATGATGGAGTTAATCCTGACAAGACTGTCAAATTGAACCTGGGTATTAGTCCTTGGGTGGATCAGCGAGGTGGCGAATACTTCTTCACTCCCTCAATCAAGGCATTGAAGGAGCATTTCTCGACTGCTTGATGCTTCGCCCTATTTAGTGTTTTTAGCATATGCAATATCGCACCTAAGCTTTGCCGGACACTACTACTGTGACACAAAGGCGATGTAGGATGGTGTATGAAACAGACCTGTAATATGAAATGGCCGCTTGCCCCCTAGACAGCTGTCTTTGGCCTGAACCAGATGCTCCAAACGGCGCGCAATGGCTGCTGTACGATACGCAGTGTGCGGACGATCAACACAAGGTATCCCGGTCGTTAGTACCCATATTTTTGGCCGTGAATGAATCTAGCCGCCGTTGCAGTGGTACTGACTGTGAAGGCAGTGTTGAGGAACCGATGCTCCGGTGCTGAAGTCAAAGCGGAACAAGCCCTCTTAGTCTTTATCATGCTTCATCCGCAGTCGAAGAATCATTATCGGACAATCTAGCAAAATATGAGCACGCTGTCAGCTCCAAACCATGAGACATCAGTATCTGGTCTGGACACAGAATTTCGAATATCATGCAAGCTCTTGTTAACCTCTTGATGACAGCGAGAGCCTCGTTGTTGGGGCTTGAAGGGTATCAGCGCCCAAGTGATCCGACCACGGGACTCGGGTCTGTAAGCGAATATCCCTTAAGAAAGAAGTTAGTTAGTTACTGTTACCTAAACAAGAAATCAACGTATCGCGTGTCAAAGCCATCTTCTGAGTAGCATCGTCTCATTGACAAAGGGCATGGCGCTGATGAAGACAAAGCTACTGCCTCCACCAGCCGTACATGCAGCTCAGACAAAGAGGACTTTGTGGGTGGCATTTGATATTTCATTGACAGAGTGTTTGCCAAGGACATTATCACCGAACAAAGAGAAATATCAATGCAAGCCACGGCCTCTCTCAGCATTGTTCCAGCAACCTTGTGTGTTTGACAATAACACTTCCCGAGCATTTCCACCGTGGTTTCTTTACCGGAAATATGGTTCAATGACACACAATCGTGGACTCCCGCGATGATTTCCTAACTTTACTCAACGGTAGCCCGTACGTATAACCGTTGTGAACAGACTAAGTTATATGAACATGTTCGGGACAATTGTTATTAGTACAGGAAGCTCAAGTTGCCCTACAGTACTGGATAGACGCAATTGTGGAAAGAACAGTACAACATAGCTATCAGGATGTCTTCATTCAGATTGGATCCGGTGACCCTCAGCACTACCGATGCAGGCGTCGAGCCGATTGTACCCAGGAGGCCCGGCGAACCTTGCGACGGAACTTACGCGGCTCGATGTGACACTACCATCACTACACATTGGAAAATTGGTCTTTTAGCTGAAGTCGAGTTCCAGGCATCAGACGACCTGCCGGATACAGATCGAGTGTGGCGAGAGGAGTCGTTGCGGGCGCTGGTCCGCGCCTTTAATGAGATACGCAAATGGCATCCTGAGGTCGGGGCCCTGTACGGGACGACCACCCGAACGGATGCAAACGAATTTCAGCTATATCGTCAGCAGAAGCCACGTCCCAACCAGCTCGGCTATCAGGTTGACTTGTTTACATTCGAAGGACAGGAGACATTTCCGGATCCAGGTGTCTCCGATCCCACCAGCCCTGTTCGACGGTGGTATTGGGGAATCATCCATCAAATTTCCTGGGAGAAGTATGGATTTACAACAAAGGAAGCAACCGAGGATTGGGGAGGTTGGGATGTATCAGAATCCCGACTTAAATTCCAGGAACTGCTATCTGAATATCTCAACGCGGAGACCCTTCAGCAGCAGTTGAAAGTGCTCGTTACTCCAGCAGCAAATGAGGATCGGGATGATGCCGAGTGACACACTGCTTTAAACTAGAAACAAGTGGAGTGAATGACATGGGCAACAATAGAATACAAACAAACTGAGAAAGACACAATTTGGAGAGCTCCTGATGGAATAAAGCATTCAAATCCAAAGAACCCCGAGTAGGTCAGGTAGCAGTATCAGACTAAGCGATTTGATAGCGATCGGTCTTGTCATGCACGGGGCGGTAGACAAAGTAGTCGAACCGGGCAGGTTTGCCCCATCCATTCAGATCAGAACAGGCCAGCCCAACAAATGCACCCGTGAAAGAACCCGCCGCACCTCGAATCCCACACTCGTCGCTGAGCTGGGAAGCATCATAAACCGGTCCGATCTTGGTGAGATCCTTGTCCTCCTCCAGGGCATAATAGAATTGAAGCTGGTTGCCGCGAACTGTGAGAGCCAGTCGTATCTTTCCAGTATCCGGAAGGCTGACCGGCGCGTCAAAGGGGAATGTGAGGGTGCCTGCAGGATGAGACTGCTGGGAAGTCATAATCAGAAGCTGTCGCTTGCCGTAGTCCGCATCAGAGGTAACCGTAAGATAGAAAAAATTGTAGCGGTTATAGTATGCTACAAGCCCGGCGAACTCGCGGTGGTTCTCAGGTGCGAAGTCGATCGTTGTCTCAGCATCATAGGAGAAGTGCGTCTGACGGCGAGCCAGCAGGGCCTGTTCGAACCAGGAGCCTATTCCGTCGCGACCGATCAGCGTCAGCCCTTCCGGACCAGTCGAGAATATGCGCTCGGGCTCTGGCGTCCGCAACCACTGGAAATCGTCATGAGCACCGTTTTCAAATGTGTATCGGCGTTCAGCCCAGTATTTCTTCTCATCCTGGACTCCCGGAAGTTCGACATGAAGTGAGGGAACAGGTCCGTCTTTGACATAAAGCCAGTCGTCATCTCTCCAGTGTGCCTCTTGGATGGCTGTCTCGCGACCAAGGACACTTCGTCGGAGCTGGCCTGTTGGGCGGCTGGTCAAGTGTACCAGGTAAGTCTTGCCCTCCGGTGTTTCGACTAGGTCTCCATGGCCTGCACGCTGTAGAGGAGCAAAGGGGCGTTCTGTAGCTGTTAAGATATACTTCTCAGGATGAAGGTCGTACGGTCCCCAGATACTCCGTGACCGGGCCAGGGTACAGGCGTGGCTGTACTCTGTGCCCCCTTCCGCCGTGAGCAGATAATACCACCCCTTGCGCTTGTAGATATGGGGCCCTTCCGTGATTCCCCGGGAGGTGCCGTTGAAAATATTCTTATAGGGACCAATCAACCTGCCTGCGACCGGATCGTATTCCTGTAGCACAATGCCACAGAAATGGGGAGGATAGCGATGGTCTCTCAGCTGGTTCACAAACCACTTCCTGCCATCGGTGTCGTGAAAGAGGGATGGATCGATGCCGGACGAGTTGACGTGGACAGGATCCGACCATGGACCCTCGATTGAGGGCGCAGTGACAATGTAGTTCTTGAGGTCCCACAGAGTTCCTTCTTTCCTCTTGCAGTCGGTGTAGACCAACCAGAAACACTCGCCGTCGTGCGTGAGACACGGAGCCCAGACACCCCCACTATCCGGGTTTCCTCTCATGTCGAGCTGGCTTTTCCGGGTCAGGGGCCGTGTAACCAGCTCCCAATTGGCAAGATCCTTAGAGTGATGGATCTGCACGCCGGGATACCATTCGAACGTGGACGTGGCAATGTAGTAGTTATCTCCCACTCGGACAATCGAGGGGTCAGGGTTGAACCCAGGCAGGATAGGATTGAGGACTTGAGGCATAGTGAAGAGGCAGCGCAGTTGAGTTTGGAATGACAAGAGAAGTAGAAGTTGACCCTCTAATTCGGAGCTGGTGGTAATTATAGGAGAGGAGTAGGGCTGGGCGGGAGATGGACTGCATGCGCTGCTGTACCCCGCAGATCCCGCATTTCTTTCTCCCTTCCACATTCAGCCTGATTTGCGGAGAGATCGCTTTTAACCACATTATCCTTATAGCCTGCAGTTCCACCCCGGCAATACCGTCTAACTGTTTCGCGATGACTTTCTCATATCTTTATGCGACCGGTAATATCCGAGTTGCGGAACCTTGGCGTTACGTTACCCATCAAGATCAAAGCAATCATGGCAGCCCGGTCGGCAACATGCTTCCTACACAGTAAATGTGGCGATCAGTCTAGGAAACCTCATGAGTGAACGTGATTCATCACATATTCCCCTGCCCTCTAGTGCCCCTATCCATGTATCGGTTCCTTCCGGTTTCTCGAAATCTCCATTTGCAATTCTTCCGCGGATCCTGAGATCCTCTCCCGCTCGAAGGACACCTCGGACATCTGCCTGGATCTGGGATGCGCCATGGGCCCAGACATCAGACAGCTTGTATTTCCCCCCACCATTGCAACCCACAATCTCCCAGCACAGTCACTGATCCAAGAAGGTCCACCAAGGAGCCTCCCAATCTTTATTACGGCTCAGACCTCTACTCCGAATTCATTGAATTGGGATACGACCTCCTGGCCGATTGTGACACCCTCGCATGCCAACTCATCACCAGCGACATCTTCAACGACCGCAGCGAACTGTTCCAGTATCTCGGGGAGAAAGTAGACATGATCAACGCAGCCTCGTTCTTCCACCTCTTCGACTGGGACACCCAGGTGAAGCTGGCCAAGCAGGTCATTAAGCTGCTGAAGCCCAAGCCCGGGTCTATTAGGGTTGGTATATAGTCAGGGAAGGGACGGGGAATAGACGGATCTTCACTTCATGTCCATTCAGCAAACTATCTACAACAGTCTCAATCCTACTGTCACTCCGTGACAAAGCTCAATCAAACACACACGCCCTCAGGATCCCTGAACAACCCCACAATCTTCTCTATAAGCAAATCCATCAACTCCTCCGCAACCTCCTCATTCAGCACCAAAGTCGACGACATGATCTTCACCTCCAAGATCCGCGGCCTCTTCTCATCAACAGATGAATAAATCCATACCTCTCGTGGTACATGATCCACTGCCCTCACATCTACCCCACACTTCACCTCTCCAAGTGACAACTCCATATCATCGACCACCACGTTATTCTGATGCTGCACGATTGTTTGCAACCCTTTCCGCCTGGCCTGCGAATCCTTACTATACGCCAGCGCGTCATCCAGATCGACCGTCTCGTATGGCATAGCAGAGCGGTGTTGGTCTTGCAATGTTTGCATTAGCTCCAATCCTGCAGTCTGACGACCCAGGCGTGCAACAACGGGCGTAATATTAGCACAGGGACCAACGATTCCCTCGACCCCAGGAAGCGCAATGCCCCGACCATGAACGACCTGCCCGAATATCACGGCAAGAGAATCAGTCTTCTGGGCCAGGACCAGGGACCAAGCTGCTTTGACTGCGGTGGCTATGGTGATACCGTTGGGGAGTGATGGGAAGGGAGAGATGTTAATATCGCGAGTACGCGTTATCGGAGTCCCATTGCTGGTTGAGGTCTCGGCTGGCTGGAGGTTAAGACAGGTGATTGGCACGTCTTGGAGGAGACTATGCCAGAATGTGGTCGCTGTGGGGTCGGCTCTCAGAGTTTGCTGGTAGGTAATGTAGTCGGTGAACGGAGGGGAGTGGGATGACGGGAATGGACGAGTCTCGTTTGCGTATGCATGCCTCAGATCATTCATGAGAAGGGAGAGTGAGACGGCATCGTATTGGGCGTGAGAAAGCCTCATGATTAGTTTATGGCCGACGTCGCCTTGGCTTGCTAGGATGACGCGCATATATGGCGTTCCTAGAATCATTGGGGCATCTTCATCCTGGCGGCAAATGTCTTCGACGGTAGTGGTGGACAGGTCGGCAGCGGTCATGGCCACCCGGGTGCGGAGGATAACTTGCATGGTGGTGTCTTCATAAGGCACGAAGGAGGCTCGGAGAATTGGGTGCGCCTCCACGACACGCTGCATGGCCGTAAGGAGACGTTCCGGGTCGATAGGGCCTGGTATGTCGACCACAATGTAGCTCATCAACTGTATGTCTAGCCAGTGGCGCTGGAAGGAGGTTGTGGGAAGGACGTCAACCACGTCAGTCTTCTTGATGGGGTGAGTTGCAACTATTGTCTCTATATGGTTGCATTCATCACGTAAGGTGACAGGCGATGTGGCCTGGATTGGCTGGTTCACTTTGACCAGGTTGGTTGTCCGATAAGCAAGGTCACCCAGACGCGGAGCGTCAAAGATTGCTCGAAGGGAGAGGGCAAGACCTTGATGACGACCCTCAGCCACCAGCCGCATTGCTTGTACGGAGTCACCTCCTAGATAGAAAAAGCTGTCATCCATGCCGATCTCCGATACGCCCCTCCCAAGAACAGTTGCAACCAATTCTTGCATTTTGCGCTCCGCTGCGGTGGAAGGCATACGCTTCATCAAGGCTGTGGCGCGGTACGCATCAAGGTCAGGGCTGGGCAGAGCCAGTGCACATTGTCGGAGGCGCTTGCGGTCGGCTTTTCCAGTGCCTGATAAAGGAAGCCACTGCAGGGGAAGAAAGACTGTTGGGACCATGTAGTGCGGGAGTCGTTTGTGCATGTGGTTCTGCGCTCCCAGAGCCTCTGCTCGGAAGGATTCGGACGGAGGAAGCAGGATGGCGTCGATGGGATCGGCGGTTGCAGTCTTTGTATCCGGCTGATGTACGAAAGCAACGATGTATGGTCGTTGAGGCTGTGCAGGGGTAATCAAATCGACGATGACGGTGCTGGAATTCGAAAAGGCCTGCTGAGCATGGTGTTCAATTTCACCAAGCTCGATGCGCTGCCCGTGGAACTTGATCTGGTTATCCTTGCGTCCGACGAAGCGAATGGTGCCCGTAGATGTGTCGAAGCGAACCAAGTCACCGGTTCGGTAGATCCTGGTAGGCGACTGTCGGAGCTGTGACAGCCAGCGTGGAGCGACTGGGAAGGCTTCGTTGGTTTTCTCTGGATCCCCCAGATATCCTTGGCTCACATTGGGGCCCTCAATCAACAGCTCGCCTGTGGCTCCAAGAGGCGCCAGCTTGAGATAATTCCGCTTGTCGACGATCCAAAGGGAGCTACCGGTTGGCACGCCAATGTCCCTGCCATCCGTGGGGAAGGTGGAGGGCGAGGTCGTGCTGGCCAGAATGGTGGTTTCGGTTGGGCCATAGGCACACACCACCTGGACGTGTCCCCGCCACATATCCAAATCCGAGGCCGCTATCGGCTCGCCGCCCAGGGTTAAGACACGGAGGCTGGGAAGGGTCTCCGGCTTCAAAATCCTTGCGACAGAAGGGGTTAGGAATGCCCAAGTGACGACCATGCGCTCTATGCAACCAGCCAGGTCTTCCTGGCTCTCCGACTCGGACGGGATGATCAGACAAGCACCTGCAAATAGCGGACCCAGTATTTCCCAAAGACACCCATCGAATGCATGGGATGCAAACTGTAGCACCCTGCTGTCGGACATCATATTAACAGATGTTGTCATGATCGACGCATTACTGCACAAATTCTGATGGGTGACCATAACCCCCTTGGGGTTTCCTGTGGAGCCTGAAGTGAAGATGAGATAGGCGAGAGCTTCTGCGGCTGGTGGCATACCCACGGTTGGTAAGAGATCGGATGTTTGGGGGCTCATGGACGTGATGCGGTCGAGCCCGACTATGATAGGAGCCAAATTGGCCGCTGGACCGGCATGCGATGCTGGTGCAATTATCATATCAGCCTTGATCTCGTGGCATATCACCTGCAGTCGAGCCATCGGATGTGATGTTTCCAGAAGTGTGAAGGCAGCCCCAGATTTTAGAACGCCTAGAATGGCGATGACCGTCCATCGGGATTTGGGTGCATAGATTGGTATGATGTGCTCGGAGGTAACCCCCATCCTAATGAGCCGTGCTGCGAGACGTGACGACAGGTCATCGACTTCAGCGTAGGTAAAAATGCCGTCCCAGGCGCAAACCGCTTCTCGGGAAGCGTGGAGACGGCATTGGCCCTGAATCTTCTCATGGATGTATTCCTCGGTCGGGGCTGGCATGGCAGCGTTCCATTTCATGAGTTGCTCTTTACACTCAGGGCTGATCACCTCAAGCTCCGAAAACCGCTGCGTGGGGTCCCTCAGCATCTCACTCAGCACATGGGAGGCAGTTCGCAGTAGCGCGTCGGCCTGCACCGCAGACAGCGATAGTGTTCGGTAGCTGCAGACCAGTTGAATGGACGATTGATCGACACCGATATTGAGGGCCACATCGTACTGTAGTAAAGGTTAACTCCAAAGAAGACGGGTATTTTCTTAGACTAGAGCTCTGGGACACACCTCTGAGACATCATTTGCAGGCAGCATTTCGAGCCAGGTCGGCTGCTCGTCTGGAGCATCGAAGTGAGACATATCTTGCAAAGATACGATAGTGTTAAACAGCCGAGAGCCGACCAGGCCTGAAGAGGCATACAAGTCTGCCAACGCATAGTGCTGATGTTGAAGACTATTGGTGAGATGGGTTTGATGGGTGAGGAGTGCATTCAAGATCGAATCGTCCTCTTGAAGCTGGACGATCGTGGCAACGACATTGACTAAAGGGCCGACCATCTTCTCAACCCCGTCGACCGGCACATCTCGACCAAGGGTAGTATAACCGAAGCAAACCTCATCAGTGCCTACATAGGCGCCGAGCACAAGGGCCCAGATCATGTGGAATAGATTTGTCAATGTGATCCCGTGCTTCTGGCATAGGTCGTGCATTCGAGCATCGCGAGTCCAGGTGGCACGAATGGCAGAAATGGTACCTTCCGGATTGACTTTGTCTGGCAAAGACGTCAGTTTTGGAAAGAGACATGGCTCCACTCCCTCGAGGTAATTTTGCCAGTACGCCTGCGTCTCGGTGTTGTCCTGCAGAGAAAGCCATTGGACGTAATCTGCGTATCGCGGGAGATTTTGATGCTGTCCCAGCGAACCTTGCAACGCCTGATTGACCTCCCGTTGAATGACAGCTATCGACATGGCATCGACCAAGGCATGGCTGACATTCCACTCACAGATTACGGTGCCAGTTGAGTCGCTGGTGATGTTAATCGAGTGAGGGAGGCCCTGCGTGGGATTGGCATCCATCGCGTTCATCCGAACCAGGTGCTGAAGGCTGCCAGGGGCCATGACTACCTGGTCCAGGTGGTTGTAATCCGAAACTGGGAGAAGGAGAGTACGGAGGATGTCATGTCGGTTGATCACTTCTGTCCAAGCGTCCTTCACCCTTTCCAATGTAAGTCGATCTGTTGGCCCGCGAGAGTTAACCTGGAACCTTAACCGTTGCTGATATGCCTGCTGATCGCGCAGCTGGGCCAACAACATTCCCTGTTGCACGGAAGAGCAGGGATAGATGTTCACGACATCTCGGGCGCACAGACCCATCGATGGCAGCGTCTGATCAAGGCACTGGTTCAGTTGGTCGTAGGTGAGCGCAGGCATAAGGGGAAAGTCGGTCAACGTCTTGCGGGGGCTCTCAGTTGATAGTGTACTCGCAGCGACGATGAGAGTACGTTCACATTCTTTGAACCACTGTTTCAGTCGAGCGTCCTGCTGCATCGATTCAGGGAATATAAACTCGAAGGTTAGGCACCCGTTCGCAGTGAATGCGCTGACATCGATTAACGAAAAACGTGGTACGTTGCCGGCAATGTCTGCAGCACCGGTGCCGGACTGGATGTCATCGCCGGCCAGCTGTAGTATGGCGTCCTCCCGATTCATCTCCTGATACTGGCCCATGTAGTTAAACATAATTTCCACGACCGACTTCATGCGCCCATACGCGACCTTTCCTTCGTCGTTCAGGTAGCGCGAGGTGAAGTAAGCCCATCCGTTAGCTGGAATGCGTCGGCGCTGGTCCTTGATATAGCTGAGGGCATCGAGGAAGTCCCGCATCCTTGTCCGTGATAGACTATCCCACGGAGCGGACACCAGAGGAGACATGGTTGTAAACCAGCCCACCGTTCTCGAGAGGTCGATGGATTCAGTCCATGGCTCTCGCCCATGACCTTCAACATAGATGCTTGGACCAGGACGGTCGGTCAGAGATCGAGTGAAAGAGTACCAGAGGGCGGCTTGCAAGATTTCAACTGGTCGAGTATCAAGCACGTTGTTAGCGCTGCCGAAGAGTTGGTCGGTCACAGTCCGGTCTAAGGTGAATCTGGAACTGGATGTCTGCCCGAATGTGTTCGACTCGGAAGAAATTCCCCAGTACTTCGGGGCATCGAAGCCATCGTTTGCTTCCTGAAAGTCAGGTAGAGCACGTGTGGGCGTGAGGTGATTGGCGCTGTATTCAGCCTGTGCTCGACTCCAGGTCAAGAAGGAGACCGAGCCTGTAGCGGAAGCAAGGGAGCCTGTCTGCAGGTATTCCTCCAGCTCTCCGTGCAAGATGCGCCACGAGACAAGGTCAATAATGAGATGATGGGCGACCAGGTAGACGAGCTGAGCACCATCCGCCAAATCTACCAGATCAACGGCTAATAGCGGCCCCTCCTGAATCGACAGTGCCAACTGAGACGCAGTAAGAAGGGTCGGCAGCGACTGAGGAGCGACCTGGTTGTGTGTGGCCAACCGGTAGAAGGCACTAGCAGGATATGAACCCAGCGACCGTACCTGCTGGGACCACTGGCCGGAATCATCGCGACAGAATCTTGCGCGTAGCATAGAATGCCGCTCAACGAGAATATCTAGGCCTCCGGCGAGTTCCTCTACACTGACCCGGCGGCCAGTGCGAAGGAGCAGGCTCTGGTTGAAGTGATTCGGACCCTGTGGGGCGATTTCGAAGAAGAGTTGCTGGATAGGGGCGAGAGCAACCCACTCGCCCACCGGCTCGGCAGGTAGTGAGATTGACGCGCAGCCACTCTTTCTGGTAGCACTAAGATGGCGCATCAGTTGCTCGATGGTACGGTGTCGGAAGAGATCGGCACCGGTGATATGCATGCCTGCCGCATTGCATTTCGTGGCAACCTGCATCCCGGAAATGGAGTCGCCTCCGATGCGGAAAAAGTCTTCGTTGATTCCGATTGTGTCCGGATCAAGTGACAATACTCGCGCCCAGATAGCCTGCATTTCGCGCTCCTGAGCTGTTACCGGCCGGTCGGGGACCGTGAGGCCTGATCCAGCAGCGTATTCGTTAAGTCTCTGGCGTGGAAACTCTGCTACAATCTCACGCAAGTGGCGACGATTGAGCTTTCCAGATGCACTTAGGGGTAGACGGGAGATATGTAGATACATGCTGGGAATCATGTATTGGGGAACCATTCGAGACAGCACACTATCGATGGCCTTGACGTCCAGGGCACATTGGGTTTGACTTGGGTGCAATAGACCAACCTCTTGCTCCGATGGGTTTTGTGACGCCAATGGTTCTTCCACAAAGGCAGCCAAAAGGGGGTGCTGGTTGTCCGCACTGTGAACCATCTCGACAACGATCTTCTGCGTGCCAGGCATTAGGGGACGGAGGTGAGCTTCGACATCAGCCAACTCTATACGTTGTCCGTGAAGCTTGAGCTGACCGTCTCTTCGCCCGATAAAGGTCAGCTTGCCATCTGCACCAGCATACCGCACGAGATCTCCCGTCCGATAGAGGCGCCCTGGCTGTTGGCTATTCGGATACAGTGTTTGGAGCCATGTAGGAGGTCGTATAAATGCTTGAGTGGTTCGCTCGGGATCGTCAATATAGCCCCAGCCGACAGTGATTCCCTCAATTACCAGCTCTCCGACAGCGCCTAGGGGCGCCAGACGATCTGGGTTCTGCGGGTCAACTACCCAGCATCGACAGGCGTTGGGTCTCCCTATCAACCTATTCTCCGATGGTTTTGTCACTTCTGTCAACGCGGCCACAATGCAACACTCTGCCGGACCGTATAGTTGGACGATCTGGCGGAGCCGCGGACCCCAGATGGAGATATCCTCGGACGTCATGGACTCCCCACCTAGTCCCAGGGCTTCAAGGGACTGAACATCATCGGGGGTGATTAGTCGGAGACATGAAGGTGTGAGAAAGGCCCAAGTAATCTCGAAGTCCCGGATACAGCTGGCCAGATCCGTCTGCCTTGCGGTTTCATCGGGGATACAGAGACAGCCACCAGCGTGCCATGCTATCAGGTGTTCCATCATACTAGCGTCAAAGGCGAAGCTAGCAAAATGAAGAACCCGGGATGCTGGGCGGAGTAGGCAGGCATGAGCTACTGATGCAGTTGAAGCAGCCAGACCCCGATGATCCAGTACTATTCCCTTTGGTCGACCTGTCGAACCGGAGGTAAAAGGAGCGTATGCAGCTTGGGTGGAGCTTACGATGGGTAGAGGGGAGCATTCTTCGGGCGTTTGCTGTGATGCTGCGAATGATACACTCAGGACTGGGACCTCAAGCTCTCGAGCCTCACCGAGGAGAGACTGGGAGGTCAGGATGAGTCGCGGCCGTGCTTGATACACGATATCCTTGATTCTGTCCTTGGGATGGGCCGGGTCAAGGGTAACCAGAATGCCGCCGGCTTTGAACACCGCGAGGATTCCGGCCGCCGCCCACCTGGATTTTTCGTGGTAAAGAGCAACAAAGTCTCCGGAGGAGACACCATGTGCCAGGATCTGACGGACTATGAGAGAAGAGCACTTCTCTAGCTCCTCGTAGGTCCATTCACCATCCCAGGCACAGACAGCGGGTGCATGAGGAGTGCGGACACTCCACTCATGCACCGCATCATGGGCACATCCATCAGCAACTCTTTCGCCGGCATTCCATCGTACCAGGGTCTGCCTGTCACTGTGCGATAAGGCATCAAGTTCCATCACTGCCATATCCGGTTCGCTCCACAGTTGGGTGAGAATGAGCTCCCAATGTGCGAGCATCCGGCCCAACATGACTTCGTCCAGAACAGCTGGATCAAACATGGCAGTTAAATGCAGACTGGCACCATCAGGCTCGCACACCAACATTAACGGGTACGTATCCACGCCCTCGAGTTCTGCCACGTCTTGCAATCCTGCAAGTAAGGTTGAGCCAGATTTGGCGCGGGGTTGTTCACGAGGCTGAATTACTAACAGCGTCTGGAGGCTACAAGTTGCTGCACAAGATTCACCGAGACGGCGGATGTGCTGGAGACCCAGGTGTTCATGATCCATCCTGTTCCAGCCATCCTCTTGGACCCTCTGCAGCAGTGAGATGACACGCTCTGCTTGGTCACTGAGCGAGATGCGAACAGGCACAGTCGTGATGGTGGGACCGACCATGCGATCAATCGCCGGCACAGGTGCCGAACGACCGGTACTCACAGTACCAAAGACAATGTCCTCAGCCTCTGCATATCGCGAAACCGTCACGGCCCAAGCTGTTTGGATCTTCGTCGCCAAAGTATACTGGGATCCGGGGAGCGCTGCTGGCACGGTCAGTGAGCGGGTGCGACGTTCCGTCAGCTGGACATGGTGGTCGATGCTGGGCAAAGTAGGGAAGACACCTCCTGCGAAGCTGTCTAGGTGAGCGGTCCAGAAGGCCTGTGCCGCCGGTTTTCCCGCATTCAGGTAGTTAATGAATGGGGTGAAGGGCTGTGACTGCAAGGGCCGACCATGATAGACATCCTCAACTGCCTGTTTTAGCAGTGGCATCGACCATCCGTCATAGAGAGCGTGATGGATGGCCACCATCAGCATCCGAGGCTGGTCTTGCCGGTGAATCTCAGCCAGGCGCAGAAGGGGAGATCCAAGGGTCATGTTCGACGTTAGGTCTGGGAGGATGTCGCCATCCTGAAGATAATACGTGTCCCATGGAAGCTCTTTGGCACGCTGCACAACCTGCATTGCCGTGTTGTTGTCGGTCAGGATAATCCGCGTCCGCAAAATTGGATGCGCTTCGGCAGTCTTATCCCACGCGGCGTGCAGCCGTGCGAAGTCGACCTGCTCAGGAAGCTCACATGTCAATGTTGTTGTATAAACCCCGGGTGTCCTGGCCATCAGCGCCATCATCCCCTCCTGTAGAGCTGTGGCGGGATATATATCTTCAATATCCTCGTGTGGAATCTTGCACTGGTCCACGGCGTATACACAAACCTTCTCCACAACGTCCGCGCCACCATCCAGCAAAGAAAATGGCACGGGGACAGGCGCAGGTACTTTGACTGGGGATACCACCCTGGCTGACTTCTTCTTCCTGGATGATGAGGATGATGAAGAGGAAGACCCGGACGGGGTCTTGGAGGAAGATGAACTGCCCTGCAGCTGCTTCAGAAGAGAAGCAATATCCACCTTCTTTCCCTTTTCTCGCGCCAGCTGGGCCAGCTGGGCGGTGGCCAGCTGTAAGAAGTCGTCGTCGACTCCGTCATTAGTGGAGGAATCGTCTGGCGTGCTGAATGTAAAGCCTTCCTCCGTCGTGGACGAAGCTGAGCTTGCTGACTGCCCAGCGGGCTCACCAAATTCCGCGGCAAGCTGACGAATGGTTGGATATCTGAACATCTGAGGAACGCTCAACGACAGCTTGAATTGATCCCGAGCCATGGCCACCAACTTCATGGCAGAGACAGAGTCGCCGCCTAATTCAAAGAAGCTATCATCGCAATGGATTGCCTCAGCCTCCAGTTCGAGTGTTGCAGCCCACAGCTCCGAGAGTGTCCTCTCCAGCTCCGAAGCTGCCGTCCATTTGACGGGCTCGCTCATCTCATCAACGGCGCCTTTATGAGCGGCACTGGATGCCAGCAGTGCGGCACCCATCTCACGCAGTCGTCGCCGATCTACCTTGCCGTTGATTGAGAGTGGAATCGTGTCCAGGGCGTAATACACCGACGGGATCATATGGCGAGGCAGGGCTTCCTCAAGCGTTTGGAGGGCACTCCTAGGAAAGACAATTTGTGACATAGGCATCGACTCCTCAAAATTGCACGCCGAAGACGACTCAACATCTGCCGCCGTCAGACCACTAACAAATGCTACCAGGCTTGCTTGAGCACGCATCTTCCCCTCCGGAACGACCATCTCCACTACAACCTGTGCCTGCGGCAAGATCTTTCGCAGATGATACTCGACCTCCTGCAACTCAATGCGCTGTCCGCGCAACTTGACCTGCGTGTCCTTCCGACCCATATACCGTAGACTGCCATCGTCAGCGTAACGAACCAAATCACCTGTTCGGTACAAGGCATGCTGGGACGGAAGCCATGGCAAACTGGTAAGGAAGGCCTCCTGCGTGCGTGATGGGTCATCCAGGTAGCCACGAGTGACCAAGCGGCCTTCGACAATCAACTCCCCTACTGCTCCCAACGGAGCCAGGCGATTCGGGTTCTCAGCCTCAGTCACCCACAACCTGACGCCGGTCACAGGATAGCCCAGATTCACTGGATCATCAGTAGGTTTCATCGGTCCGGCAATGGTAACCATGATTGATGTTTCCGTAGGTCCTGCACCGTTGTACAGGTCAAGCACGGGTGCGAACCGCTCCACATCCAGCCGGGACATCGGTTCGCCGATCATGACCAGGGCCTTCAGCGTTGGCAGCGCCCCGGGATCCAGCAGCCGCCCGACGGAGGGGGTCAGCATAGCGGTGTTGACCGCAAAGCGGGAGATACAACCGGGGACGTCAGAGAGACGGTCTTCCTCGCACGGCACGCAGATACACCCACCATGTGCCAAGGTAGTGAAGATCTCCGCCAGGGCGGCGTCGAAAGTCAGCGAGGCGAAATGCAGCATGCGGGTGTGGCGTGAGAAGCGTAACGTGCGGCCATGGCCCAGGAGCACGCTGGTCGCGAGTGCACCATGGTCCATCAAGGTGCCTTTCGGGGTGCCAGTGCTGCCGGAGGTGAAGAGAATGCTGACCAGGTCCTGTTCGTCCAGAGCTGGGAACTCGTAGTCCCAGGCTGCGGGGACGCAAACGGAGGTTGTTGAAAGTACACGGGGACCAGCAGTCGCGAAGCGCTTCTCGTATGCAGGATCGGCAACGACAAGGGCGGCATTGCACTTTTGTGCCAGCCATTGCAGGCGCTTCTCCGGGTCCGTCGGAGTCGAAAGCACCAGCACGCATCCTGCCCGAACGAGGCCTAGAATGGTGGCAACGGTGCGACTCGACCGGTCTGCACACACCAAGACGCGGTCGCCCGGCTGTACGCCCTGATGAAGAAGATTGTGAGCCACCCAGGAGGATTGCTCGTGCAGTTTCTTGTAGCTCAAGGATCCATCCCAGCCGTCGATGGCAGCGCTTTCCGGCTGGCGGGTCACCCAGCCGTCAATCATCGACATCACGTTGCCGCGGACGGCTTCCAGAGGCAGCATGGTAGACCTGTCACCCAGGGTGGAGCAAAAGTCACTGGCCTGCAGTAGTGTGAGAGAGTCGAGGGCCTCGTCGGGCTGGAAGGCGAAGCAGTTCAGGGCACCCTGCAGGGCCTCGGCTAGGTGGGCGATCTCGAAGTCGGTCAAATTGGGCCAGTAGAGGAAGCCCAGTTTGATGTGGCCTTCGTGGACATCCACACTAATGGCGATGTCGTACTACGAGTCATATGTCAACAGTAGGGGTAAGCCTGGAGGCTGGATTTCGAACTCACCTCAGTCGGGTCATCCTGTTCACGAATCTCCTCCAGATCCAGCAAGGCATTCTCATCCTCCGCTGTCGGAGGCACCCATTCCATGGAGATGGCTGTGTTGAACAGTCCCTGCCCGCGTGTTTGCTTGAGACCGCGTTGTGCCTCTGCCAACGGGTAGTGCTGGAACGGCAAACTAGCGACATAATCCTCCTGGATCTTTCTAGCGAGACGAGCCATTGTGGACGCCTCGCTTAGCTTTGCGCGGCAGACCTGCATACTAAGACACAGACCAAAGATGGTTTCGACCTCGGGCACCGGCACGTTGCGTCCGGAGGAGACGTAGCCGAAGCAAACATCCTGGGATTGGGTGTAGGCGCGCAGCACCAGCGCCCAGGCAGCACGGATCGCACAAGCGAGTGTAACCTGGCGCTCTTTGCATCGCTGCAGGAACGCCGCGCTGTTGTCGAAGCCGAAGTCGCGCCGCTGCAGCGTCCGAGGCCACTTAGGGGGAACATCCGTCGGCGCAGCCTCCGCATGAGTAGGGATGTGACATCCTGTGCAGTCGGCTAAGTAGTCTGTCCAATACTTTGCACTCTCATCGGTTTGCCGTGTGCGATGGTAATTAGCAAACATGCGGTAGTCTGGGCCTCGCGGCAGGGGGGCAGTGGAGGAGCAGGCCTGGATGAACTCGCGTCGGAAAACCGACAACGCATAGCCGTCCATGATGACGTGAGAGATTTCTAGCATAAAATACGGAACGCGACCGCGGCAGGTCAACAAGAGCATGCGGTGTAATGGGGCATTGGGCCTAAAGGGCACGAGCTCCTCCGTGAACATAGCGAGAGCGGCTTCGGGGTTGAGGTCGCGCGGGACCTCACGCATTGTAAGCTCCATCGGAACGGACCGCAACACGACCGAATGGTAAATGGCCTCGGGGGACAGATCATCTACAAAGACTGTACGTAATGAAGGATGTCTCTCGACAAGGGCTGCCCAGGCCTGTTGGATGCGTTCGACGGGAGGCAGGCAACCACCCTTCAGCTGCACGCGGTGGAAGAAGCGCATGTGGTAGGCTCCAGGCCGACGAATCTGGCCGAGGAACATGCCCTCTTGCATGGTGGTGCAGGGGAAGACATCCTCCACTTCTTCCAACTGCGAGATGCCCAGCTTGCCAAGCTCGTAGTCAGTGGACAGCCGGGTCCACAGATCCGAGTAATCCACCGCCATCTCGGCCACCTGCTGAGCAGGGGTCTCCTGCACTTTTGCCAGCGAGGCAGCCTCTCGGACGCCTTCGCAAGACAGGATATGCACCATGCTAATCTTGATCTGACGAGCCCGACATCTAGCCACGGCATCGAGGGCCTTGATGGAATCCCCGCCCAGCGCGACAAATGGCTGCTGCACGCCTACCTCAGCGGCGGATAGACCCAGGGCTTCAGCCCAGGCCAGCTGGATCTCCTGCTCGAGCCGGCTGAGGCCGAGAACATGGTCTTCCGCCTCGAAGCTTCGACCGGTAATTGCGTCGAACGCCTCCTGGCTCATGTCCTGCACCCAGTTCCGCAGTTGTACGCGGTCAATCTTGCCAGAGGGTGACATGGGCATGCGCCCAACGAACGCCCAGATGGTTGGTACCATGTATCGGGGCAAAGCGTGCTGAAGTTGCGAGCGTAGCTTTTTCACCGTCTGCTGGACAATCGGATCGCGGCGGTCCAGCAGTGAGATCTCGGCAGCATTACCCTGGTTGCTAGTGCTGGTGCCTTTGACGGTCAGAATAGCAATCAGGTTGTTCTTGCACCGACCAGTTTGAGGTGCCATGGCGATGGCGTACTGGACGCCAGCCTCGAGCCCCAGTTGGTATTCCACCTCGGCCAGTTCGAGCCGCTGGCCATTGAGCTTGACTTGCGTATCAGCACGGCCACAAAAGGTGATAGTACCGTCCGAGTTCCACCGCACGAGATCACCGGTCCGGTAGAACCGGAATCCGCCAAATTGGGGATCATCTTTCGCCACGAATCCAACTTGGTCAAGGAAAGCCTCGGCTGTCTTGACGGGATTCTTGAGATATCCCATGCCGACAATAGGCCCCGAAACCAGTAGCTCTCCAATAGCGCCGACGGGAACCAATTTGTTGTAGTCCTGTGTATCTACTACCCAGCAAGCAGCCGAGTTGGGAGGACCGATATTCAACGGATCCGCATCGGGCCGTGTGATTGCCCGCGACGACGAGTTAATGGAACACTCGCTGGGGCCGTAGAACTGCCACAGATTAATCCGCTCGGACCACATGGTGACGATCTCCTTGGGGAAGGCTTCACCACCCAAACACATTGTCTTCAGGCCCGGCACGTCGTCGGGTCTCAAGGCGCGGGCCAGTGAAGGTGTCATGATAACATGATTCACCTGCCACCGGTTGATGGCGTCGGAGACGCTGGTTTCAATTTCCTCCGTCCGCGGCACACACACGCAGGCCCCGGATCCCAGACTGGTGCAGATCTCCAGCAGACTCATGTCGAAGGTGTGGCTCAGCATTTGCAGGACTCGGCTCTCGGGACCATACTTCCAACTAGGAGCGTTGCGAAGAGCGCCGTTGAGCCAATTCGAGTGGGACAGCATGCAACCCTTCGGCCGGCCTGTCGAACCGCTAGTGAAAATCACGTAGAAAAGGTCTTCTGGCTTGCCGAGAGCTTCTACCGCCGCGTCTGCAGATGGTTTGGGATAGTTGTCGATAGGGAGCGTGGGCAGGCGTTCAGCCCAGAATGATTCGTACTTCGACCAAGTTACCACAAACGGCGCTTCGATGACTTCCAGAATAGCGTCGAGTCGTCCAGCAGGCAGGTTCGGGGGCACACTGACGAAGGCTCCGCCGGCCTTGGACACAGCCAGCATGGCAACCAGAGCCGCTCCCGACCGTTCGAACGAAATGGGGACCACAGATCCGGGACGCACGCCGCGCTGCTGCAGGTACGCGGCGAGCAGACTTGCCTCCCTTACGAGGTCGGCATAGGTGAGCTTCGTGTCCCAGGCATCGACCGCCAAGGAGTGTGGGCGATTCGCGGCGTGGCGCTCGATCACATCGTGGAAACACTCCTCCCAGGTACCGGGGACATTGGCATTAAATTTCCAGATGTGTTCCAGGTGTGTCGGACTCATAAGATTGAGGTCCTTGATTAACCTGTCGCAGTCGTCTTTCCCTACCTCGGCCAGCGCCTGGGCCATGGCAGTGCCCACATTTGCTGCCTGCAGGTCGGTCAAGAGAGAAAGGTGGTAGGTAAGAGAGAGGGAGACGTGTCCTTGCTCATCACCATGAACATGTAACGATAGGAAGGACTCCTAGGTGCCCGTCAGTTTCCACAAGCCCAGCCAGGCCACTGTAATACAGGGTGACGACGCGCGTACCTCGGTCTGTGTAACGAATAACGACTCAATATCGTTCGCAAAGTCGATGATGGTATTGGCCGTATCCCCGGAGACCTGACCGGCACCCACGGATCCTGTGGGGAACAATTGCTCGGCAGCGTGAGTGAGGGCCTGGCGAGACATGTCTCCCTCGACCTTCAACTCGGCCAACGCTGTCGTGTCCGGACCACTCTTTGGTACAACGTAAAAAGCCACTTCGTCGGTGCCTACATAGCTGTATAGAACGAGGCCCCAGGCCGCTAGAATGTGGGATTCTGTCTCACTGCTTGGGGCGTTTCTTCTGCTCAGGTCGATCGCGTATGTTCGCTGACCTGCGGCACGAGTGTTATCTGGATTCGGGACATACCCATCCGTCAAGGTAGGGAAGATGCAGGAAAAGCGACTCATGTTGCGCAAGTGCTATCTCTGCACGGGAAGGCGTGACCGAATAAGTGCTATCAAAAAAAAAAGATGATGTCACTGGGTACTGAAAATTGATAACTGAATGGTCCCTCTCATGTTATAGTAATACCTGTTGGCATTTTATATATTCATCCCTTACGTTGGTCACTGTTTTTCCAGCTGCCGGCGTCCGTGGGATTAACAAGCAAACAGAATAGCACCGGACCTGCGGCTGATCTGCAGCCGAGTAGACTTTCCACTCATCCAGCGAGCTAATGTGAATTCCATTGATGCAAAGCTAAAAGCGAAGTTGCATCGGAATCGCACCGGAAAACAGTGGAGAGGGGAAGGAACTGTAACGTGACGGTAATCCGCGGTCCGAGATCCCAAACCGGGCTGAAGCCCTACTTAACGGACTCTGCGATCCCCTCTTGTTTTCGCACCCTGCAAGACGTCGATCAGCTTACTTGACTTTAGTCCGCAGCATTCAAGGAAAAAAGGAACTGCAAACAGGAAAGAAGCATGATCCCCACAGCCGACGTGCTCATCATCGGCGGCGGTCCCGCCGGCCTCGCCACGGCCCTGGCGTTATCCCGCAAGCTACATTCGGTACTGCTGTTCGACAGTCAGGAATATCGCAACCGCCAGACATCCCACATGCACAATGTCCTTGGATTCGATGTAATTATTCTCATTCTCTTGCCTATCCAGCCATGCAACATGCTAATTACTCCTACGTTGCCGTTAGCATGTGGAACCTGCACGTTTCCGCGCCGCCATCCACGACACCCTCCTGCATCGATACACCACCAATACCATCATCAACAAGGAGATCCGCCAAGCGCGCAAGCTATCCCCCGACAACATAGGAACCCGCTTCGAGGTCACCGATGAAGATGGAAATGTATATCAGGGCTCAAAACTTGTTCTCGCCACGGGAATCCGCGACATCATGCCAACTCTTGAGGGATACAGTGAGAACTGGGGCCAGCTCATCTTCCACTGCCTTTTCTGCCATGGGTATGAAGAGCGTGGCGCACCAAATGCAGGCCTACTTGTAGCATTGAGCTCACAACTACAGGCGAATCCCTCCGTGGGCCTGATCCTTGGGCGGATGGTCAGTCGGTTCGCCGAAAAAGTAACCTTGTTTACCCACGGCAATGAAGAGACTACGGTCGCTCTACAAGAAGCGGGCGCAGAGGCGCAAGGATTCACTATTGAATCTCGCCCGATTCGCTCGTTCGAACGAGTTATTTCGGCTGCTGAGGATTCGCGAGATATCCTGCGGGTCTGGCTGGGACAGCCAGACGGAAAGGAGAATCCTAGCGACTATGTAGAGATGGGGTTTCTCATGCATATGCCGGATACAGTCGTGACAAATGATTGGAGCAGCCAGCTGGGGCTGGAGCTGGATGAAAGTGGGATTTACAAGCAGAAGGATGTCACGATGGAGACCACGGTGCCGGGGGTGTTTGTGGCGGGGGATCATGCCTCCGTGGCGAAGGATGTTCCCAATGCTGCTAGCAATGCCACGTTTGTGGCTTCGGCGGTTGCGGTGCAGTTGACGGTCGAGCATTCTCAGGGAAAGTAGTAGAGTGTTATCGGGATATCTCCTGGATTGCTTATGTACGGCGTGACATGCATTATTAGAAAAACTGAACATAAAGCAAAGGGAAATTGCGACTTCAGCTGTTCCATGGCTTCAGCTCATGTTGTATGTAGCGAAGCCATTCCGGTCCGGTCGGTGATAGAGCATCAACTAATTTCCATCTGCGGACCGGACCGAGCTGCAGATCCGAGTCCGGCCGGATATCCGCTCCACAGACCACAGACCCCAGATCACCCCATCGTATATGATCATTTAGAAAAAGGCCACGGCGTATGTTCAGCCCAGGTCTTTTTTTTTTTCCCTCGGATTATGTCGGCCTCTGCAGCAAATTCCCCCGGTGTTGGGGATCGGCCTAGTGGCACCGAGAGAATCGTGCACGAAACTCCCACCAACGCAAGCGCACCCACACAATGGTGCCAGATTACGATACTGTTGGCGTTGTATCTGGTGATGTTTGCAGTTGCCCTGGTATTCTTTATTCTTCATCCTGCTTCGGAACTCTCGATTGCACGAATGCAGAGCTAACGGGCGGATACTATGGCAGGACAACACGATCCTTGCTCCGGCCCTCCCCGTCATCACCGACGATTTCCACTCCCTCAGCGACATCGGATGGTACAGCTCGGTCTATCTACTGACCATGTGCGCCACGCAGATCCTCCACGGTCGGCTCTGTACCATGTACTCCATTAAATGGGTTTATATGATAAATCTGGTCATTTTTGAAATCGGGTCCGTCGTGTCGGCGGCAACTCCCACCTCGGTTGGCTTGATACTTGGACGGGCTATCACAGGAATAGGCGCCGCGGGACTTCTTTCAGGGACCATCTTACTCATTGCTGCAAGTATGTCTTTGCAGCTTCAGGCAACAGCGTTGGGGATTCTGGGAGGGCTAAAGGGTGCTGCAGCGGTGGCTGGGCCATTGTTCGATATACCCCTTTTACCAATCTATCTCTCCAGTGGAAGCATACTGACGAAGAAATGTATCATAGGATGGGTGGGGCTTTCACAGACAAAGTCTCCTGGCGATGGTGCTTCTACATCAACCTTCCTCTCGGCGGAGTCGGCGCTGTGGTCATTCTTTTCCTCTTCCATGCGCCCTCTCCTACCTTCCGCCCTGACGCTATGAAGGGTAGCCCACTGAAACAACGTCTGGCTCAGCTCGATATCGAAGGCACCACACTCTTCAGTGCAAGCATCATCTGCCTCCTCCTCGCCATCGAATGGGGTGGGGCAAAATGGCCCTGGAGGAACGGACGCATCATCGCCCTTTTCGTGATCTTCGGCGCCACCTTGATAGTCTTCTGCATCGTGCAGGGCAGGAAGAAGGAAATGGCAATGATCCCACCTCGGGTAGCTGGGAACCGCAATGTCTGGAGCTGCGGCCTGTATAGCGCTATGCTTGGAGCTGCCTTTTATATTCTCGTTTATTATGCAAGTCCTCATCATTATCAACCTAGTGCTTCCTCACGCTAACAAACTTTCGTTCCAAAACAGCTGCCAATCTGGTTCCAAGTAATCAAAGGCGTCTCCGCCGTACGGTCGGGAATCATGAACCTCCCCATGCTCGTATCGCTGATCGTCTTTTCCATTCTCAGCGGTGCCCTAGTCTCCGCCATGGGATACTACACTCCCACTATGATCGTGGGCTGTATTCTGGTGCTCATCGGCGCCGCCCTGATGACTACCTTCACTCCGGACACCGGGACCGTAAAATGGGCCGGATACCAAGTCATTATGGGCGCTGGGATTGGCATGGGCGCACAGCAAACCGTCCTCGCTATGCAGGCTTCGCTGCCCCCCAAAGACGTCCCTATTGGTACAGCGCTGATGATTTTCTATCAGACGCTGGGCGGTGCTGTTTTCCTGATTGTGGCGCAGAATGTGTTTCAGCATGAGCTGGTGAAGAGATTGACTGCTAGCAATATTCCAGGTGTAGATGTGCGCAGCGTGGCCGCGGCGGGAGCGACAGAGGTTAGGAAACTTGTGCCCGCGATGTATTTGAAAGAGGCGTTAATCGCGTATAATGAGGCTGTGGTGCGGACGTTCTATATTTCGGTTGCGTTGGCGGGGTTGGCGGTTTTGGCCACGTTTGTGCCGGAGTGGAAGTCGGTTAAGACAGTGGCAAAGGACAGGCATGAGCAGGGCAGTATTGAGAGCGGAGGGAATGAGGTTCTGTAGATACTGCTCTAGTGGATCTAGCAGACAAGGTAGAAACCATGGTCTCCAAGGGTGATCCATCAGGCCTCCAGGACAATACGACTCCTGCTTGAACGATATAGTCCCCGGTATATCGCGCTCTGAATAGCAACCAAGATTAACCCGGATAGAGCTAAAATCATCATGATTGGTATTCCCTTGGGATAGCTATATCGGTCTCGTCAGAGTATTTATCTTCCCTTCCCGCATTGCCCAATGACCACTTACCATTCAAACCGTCATCATGTAGAAAGGTCTGCGTGCCAGCCATCAGACCAACCGTGGCAAACATGACAACTGAAAAGCACGGTCAGCATTCACAAACTCCATCTCCCAAACATCAGTAACGTACATATCCTACCCACCAGGTGGATTATCATCGCAGGATGTAAAACATGAACAATGAACTCACGCCACACTAACGCTCCTCTCCCCAGGATTCGAGCAGTTAACCTGAATCCAAGCATTATGAAGAGGATGATACCCGACCACCAGCCCATTAACAGTCGTCCAGAGGCCAAATCGTCCCCATCTATCGACGCGCGCCTCCAAAGCCCTCAGCGGGATAAGGGGGACGAGATAAACAGAAATCGCCAGCATAAGACTCATCCCTCGTCAGTGTGACCAATCACTCAGACAGGCGAAAAAGATAATGACGGGTAAAGTCAGTAGGCTCCCTATCGCGGCGAGAGCGCTTGCCTGGATACGAGAGAACCCCAATGACATGATGATACTAGGATTATACGTAGTCAGAGGACTCCACGTTGCGAAGACACATGCCGTGGCGAGAAAATGTGGGCATTTGGTGTAGTTCATGAGTGTTTCCCTTACTACCTTGACAGGAAGTGATTTAGGGTGGACCCGTTTCATGCTTCAGATTTTCAGGCGCACTCTTCATCAAAGTTTTCACGTTCAATGCTCTCTCTCTCCGGCAGTAGGGCGAACAAAGCGATGGCTAAGAGGACAGACCATGCCCCTTCGACTATGGACGCGAGTAATCCTTCACAGGGTGGTCTTCGTGAGATATCATCTCACGTATGAATATCCACTGCCACCCATGCAACCCCCCCTTCCCATCCAACTTGAGCAACGCAGCTCCAAGTAGCGGCAAGACTGCAGTACCCCCAAAGATTCCAAAAGAGAAAATTGCAATGCGCTTCGTCAACTCCTCCTTTGTATATCACATCAACAAAGTAAATATAGCAGCCGGGATATACGCGGCTTCCACGAGACCCAGTATGCTCCGCGTAAGTAGGAAACCAGTCTTTTTACGAATGAAGACCTGCAGTGCGGCAATGACGCCGAAAATGCAAACCCTGGGAGCTGATCCAGCGGCGGGGTCCGACCTAGTACATATATGATTGAGCTTATTTAGAACCATAGGATCATGTCTTCGAAGGCGATAGTAGAAATCAGCATCTTCTGTAAAACCACATTGGACGGTATTTCCAAGATAATCACACCCAAGAACATGAGCTGTTTTCCTAAATCAATCATGTTTTGGCTTATGCCAAGGTCCGATGCGAAACCTCCAGTTAGACCACAGGCGATGTTTGTGCGGTCGCTCTGGTAAGTTGCGAAGCCGATGGTGAGAAGAGGGAGGACTCGGAAATCAGCTCTGATTTTAAGTTATCAGTGGTGGGATTTTGAGGACTTTTCTGTAGTGGCAGGTCTTACATCCTCCGTGTCGTGGTGACATCTTTAGAATGGGTCGTGATCGACAGACTACTGTTGTGCAGTTTTATTCATCGGTTCTGTCGTGGCGACATCGTCATGTTACTTGCTCATGGACTATACAGTAGATGATATCCGCCCGTCTCAAGATCATCGCTACGTAGCTGCATCCATCCCATCCACCAGCTCCATTAGTGGGCTCAACTGGACCGGCATGAAGATGGCAAGACGACTATAAAATCCACACGCCATGCGCATGTACATCCGCTCCTCATCCAATCGGTCGCATGTCTGCCCCGTAAGAACGAGAATGCATGCTGCGATTTTGGGAAGCGAACAAAACCTCCTATGCTTCTTCGTTAGTCGTCTGGCGTCTCAAGAAGGTTATTTCTGTCGCCTTACATGTTCGCCAGCATCTGAACATGGGTCTGCTGGCTGCATTGTTCCAGGACCGATCGAGCAGCAGCGAGACATCGTGTTTCACTGCGCTCATATGCCTCTGTCTCCTCGGGATCCAGTCCCTGCTGCGCGAGGTGGAGCCATTTCCCATGAATGAGGAAGGTAAGGAAGTAGGAGCTCAAATGGGTCTCAGCCTCCGCCTGCTCCCCAAGGCAGGAGGAGTGTCCTTCAGGAAAATCGAGCGATTTGTTATATGTCTGGAATATCCTTAGCCATGAGTTGATCAGGCAATATGCATCTTCAATTTGACGGCACATGTCAGCTCGTGTCGCTCGGAGGGCTGCCTGGCTATAAAGCGAATCTACCACACGATCGCAGAGACGCCCGTACAAGCATTGAAGCATTAACCGCGCTTCGTCTGGGTGCTGAAGCACCTCACTGGGTGAATGGTCGGTGAACTTGTCGCACATGATCTGGGAGCCTTGAATATTAAATTGTCTTTCCCCTCGTTTGTAAGTGAGGGAGAACTCTCACCGAACCTCGGCCTGTGTCGATCGCGTCGGCCTTTTCAATAGCATAGAGAGCCCAGAAGGCATTCTTGAGCAATTCTTCGTCCGTCCCGGTGCAAATCTGGCGCAGACGTCGAGAGCTGTGAAGCCCCAAATCCTGCACGCACTGGACACCGAGGGTAACAAGACGGAATTTGGAGCGATGAGCGGACATGTCTGCGAAGATGATCTACGGACGGATTAATCCACGTTCCCTCTGCTTTCCTAATCAGGGGGTTCACCATGATCAAGATTCCCTTGGATAGAACGGTTAGGTGTGTTGACCTGGGCAATAGGGGAAAGCACTTACCTGAAGCGTCCGGACGGTCGCATTATCCATCGAAAGATGATTCAGTTCAGACAATGCCCGTCGAAAATATCCAGTGGCCCGTGATATGCCTTCCACGGCCCTTGGGATATCCGACTGTATGCTTACAAGGTAGCAGCCCAACGCCAGGATGGCATAGGCCACCACCACTGTGGCTCGATCTGAGCAGTCGGACTTCAGCACAGCGTCCACGCACTCTTGGGCACTTGCTATACTTAGGAACATCTTGACACTAGCACTAAAGTCTATTAGCCAGATCCAGTGAAGCTCCCCGCAAGCCGCCGCCAACCAACCAGGATGATTCAAAACATGCTGTAAGTCATCAGTTCTATGCCATTTGTACTCCAACATAAGTGTAATGCCATTGGGATCTGGCTTGTCCGTACCTTGAATGTAGCTACTGATTCGAGGTTCACTATCGAGCATCGGGCCCAGCGATGGTTTGTGACAGTCAGGCAATCTATCACATGTTTTCCCATCGCCCATAATGTCGCAGTCGAGAAGGTCTACAGCTCGTTTCACTGTTTCGACACGTGGCTGATCATTGTCGAGCAGAGGGGAGTAGGAATAAAGTGAGGGAATGTCGAAGCCCGGTGTCAGTTGGCGAGCTAGTTCACCTCAATGAGCATTCTAGTTCGGATTCCAAGTTGCAGGGGTCTCCGTACTTTGAAACTCCTTTTGCAGCTGTGGACAAATCAGCTTTGGCTGTAACGTTAGTCTCACAACCTAGGGCGGCCTTACCATCTGGATAGAGAAGGTTCTGTCGACCCTTTGCTCATGGTCGGATCTGGTCACTGATGGGTCACCGTAAGGGGGAGGAAGGGTAGCAGGGCTCGCCTCAGATTTGGATTGACTTGGTGGGATCGACCCATCAACCGACCAGTCCGGGCAAGGGTTGCATGATACATCGGGAAGCTCCCAGCAGGACAGGTACAAAGATCCCGGAGCAATGGTATCTAACCATCCCTGGGGGCTGATTGACTGCTGTATCGGCAGGTCTGTGTCAAGCTCGAACAAACTCAAGGCAGGGCTGAGCCGCGAAGGGGTGGAGATGGACCTTGTTGATGCAGGCGCTTGGGAATAGGTGCACGAGCTACCCTTCCTCTGGGAGCTGCTCTGTTACTATGAAGGTATGTGGACAAAAAGGCTTGACGGGCAAGATGGGCACTTACCCGACAGTGCATGCAGGGATTCCCGCCATCACCTATGGTGTTGAGTGTTGGTCAGCTTCATGATAACACAGGCGTGGAAGTGGCGCTATCTTGCAACGTTCCAAGATTTACCATGTCGAAAAGGAGCGATACAAAAGAGAGCAGGAGGCGGGACCACGCCAGAAACTGACATCGAGTCTTCCGCGCCTTGCACGGTTCGCAGGCGCCTCTTCGTCGTGTGATACCCTTGCGGACTGCATTCATGATGCTCCGTGGCCTCCGTCTCGGCGAAGCAGGTGGTCTGTCCACTGCAAGATCACGCAAAGATGCTCGTCAGAGACGCAATCGAAAGATGAACGGCAGACCTATAAAAGGCGGGCACTATCACCTTCGGGGAGCTGACTTGTACCTTTGCCACGCGGACGTGGGACAGTATTCAGCTTACGACTGTTCACGCTTCCCCTCTCGGGATTCGGTTCCGCACGATTATGTTAGGGATAATTCTCAGCCGAGTTCGCCCCACCACATCCAACATCAGCATCATATGCTCCTGGACTCCGATCATTGTGTCATCACCCAAGCCTTCCAAGTCCCTGAAGTGGTCTGTCCGGGATTGGACGTGGGAGGGCAAAAAGCAAAGAACAGGACAATCTCAAGGCAAGAAAACAAGTATGTGCGATGTTTGATCGGGACCAACCGAAAGAGGGGAAGGCGGGGTTAAGTTTCGCGCAGGCCAGCCTGCCTCGTCGTGTTGAATCCAGTGGGTCCAGTCACTGCAGAAGTGTATCGCCCTTCTCCAATTATAGCGACCGAAATCTGCAGTCTTGTAAATCACGGATGATCAAGATACTATTTCCCATCCAATGCGATTGGTGCTAGAGGCCAACCTCATTGTCTTGCACTAATTGAGTGGCCGAGAGAACAACAGGTGTTGATCGCATCGACCGGCGGGCATAGCTGTGCCCATCCGGCGCTAGTGGCGGGCTCAGCCAGACTCGCAGGTACATATTTTGCTTGTTTCATTGAAAATAGTCTGCTGTATAACGCATGTCGCCAGTGAGGGCAATTTATCATTTAGAACATTCATGTGCATCTCATCACGGGTCGAAATGTTCTTTTGGTCAAGCTGTTCTCTGCCGCAGACGTACACAGAATTACCCAAAACATGTGATGAGCAGGTTCCCTGGGTTCTCCCCGAGCGAATCACCCGGAAATGTGCCCCGGGCAATAAGTGAGAAACCCTGAAGCGACTATCAATCTCAGTGTTGCGCCGATCAAAGTACTAAAGGAATTATCCCAGACTCATGTTACATTGACCATGCAGCTTGGATCACCGGGCACACCCTACTGTATAGATACTAACCACGCTACTCATGTAGCTGCTTTAAGTAAGTAAGTGGGTTCAAGAAACTACAGTAAATCATTGATATAAGTCATCCTCTACTTTGAGTAACTAAAGCACTGTTCAAGTGGATTTTATGTACTAAATTACTTCATGTCCAACACTAGAGACTTGGATTTGAATCTCTTCTGTTAAATAATGTGATTCTACATAACTGATTATATAATAAAATAACTCAGAGTTTATGACTTTTAATACAGCCACTGTATACATGAGGATATATGAAATACACTAAAGCACGTCACCTAAACTTACTAGTTGATTCTCTTAGCTAATCGGTCAGTTTGGGGCTATTTTACATATTATTTAATATAGAGAATTCTCCACCATCAGCAATTTTACGGGTGATCTGAATTGATTACTGATATCAGTAGTTTACTGTAACTAGTGAACGCCACCTAAATGGCACGGAGAAGACCGTGGCTAGCTAGCGGCCGTGAGTCTCAGCCCCGGCCCGCTGGCCCAGTCCAGCCTCAGACACCCTGGCCTAGCACAGCGCCAAAGAAATCTCGTCAATGCGGTCGACCTGCGCCAACGCCCGGTTAAGCAGAGCTACTCCTTTTTTGTTGCCTCTTCTGATCGCCGGTGCTTTTGCTTGACTATCGAATGGGAGTTGACCAAAACTCCACCTTGGTCATACGTGGCTGTTTCCTTCCCCTCCTCTGGTGCATACAGCAAGTTTAGGGCCTGGAGTGTTCCTTCGGGCCAGTATGTCCCGGAGATGAAAGGCTTGGACAACTTGACTGTGCATTACCTTGGTCAGTATTCGCTGGCGCGAGATTTCCCAAGTTGTCAGTCTCCTCATCACTGGACTGGTGACGCCGATAATGGCCCGAGCCTCGGAAAAACGACCAGTGGCACTACACGTGCGAGTAGTCACGTATACAAGCATTAGTAAAGACTGGGAGACCATCGTATCCCAGTGGGAAGAAAGTCCAGGACAGTTGCAAACGGAGGTGGGACAGGCTGCTTGCACGATCATCGCCCCGTGAGTCGCGACGCATTGTCGTATTGATCACTAAATGATCCATAAAAGTCCAGATACCATGCAATGTACAGAATCCGGCGAGATAAGATAAGTCTATCTAGTTCGGGAGACTAGCGACCAGACGTCGATCAGGCCTCTGAAGACGGAGATTGCAAGCATTGGCTGAGGGAAGGTGATCTAGACCACCGGAAGTAAACGCCACCCTGGCATCATTTCAGCCGAAGGGATAGGGGAGAAGAACAGAATCGCATCTCGACTGCAACTGGCAAGGAGGAAGTGAATGTGCATAGATCTACCCGCATCCAGCTCATGCCGTCACTCATGCCGTCACTCAACCAGGATATCGATCCTGCTGCGTCACTGGCACACACCACTGCCATATGTCCGAGACTTCCCCACCCATGATTCTCCCGATCGCATTGCGCAGCAACCGGCACGCAGGGCCCGCCTGCTGAGACCCAGCTTGATACACTACTGTCTGTCGGGCAGATGGACAAAAGATTAGTCGAATGGGGAGCAGCCGGTGCCATGTGCTCGTGGCAATGACTTCGGACAGGGTGCCGATGTCATCGAACAAAATCTGCGACAGCGCCGGAGCAGCGCCATTCCTTATAGTTAGTCCATGCGTGACAGAGTGGAAGGAACACAGTGCCAGACCCCTGGGGGGGTGGTGTATGTGCTAAGCGAAATACATACCGGCCCAACCTTTACCTTCCACCCAAGCCGTATAGCAATTGCAACGCAAGTGTCACTAATGATGCTCCGGCTGGGATGTCTCGGCACCATCAACGTATACTTTCCATGCTCCTCCTGCACCCCAAGGAATGCGGACGTCGTAAACCCGTTGATCAACGTCCCATGTCGCGAGTATTCCAGTCGAAGCTTCATAGTGTATCCGTCCCGTTGTTCCCGTTGACCATCTAGCTGAGCTGTAACTTCCAATTTCCTTTTCCCCACATCGTCTCATGCCCCGCTTCTGGAGCAGTTCTGGCTTTCCGCTGGATTGGGGGCATTATTAGCTTCAATATCACTCAGCACTATTGCATCCTGCGCCGCTGTCCGCGGATACACCATTCCCGGTCGGACAAATACACAGAATGTATGCTGGACCGGGGAATCCCGAATGCGAGGAAGACTGGGCTGAAACAGAAGCGGGCGAAGGTAGAGCACCGCGTCCGTATGTGGCGGAGGCACATAGCAAGTATTCATTGCTACTGCCATCCTAACACACATCAGGAAGAGATGCTCGGGGATAGCCGTCATGCCTACTGCCGCTGCAGCATTTGCTAAGTGACGGGCATGATCAAGGGGCCGGAAGAGAAGGACGCGATTATCTCGCGTGCGTCGGGCTTTTAGCAGATGCTGTGATCAGTAAACTCGAGTTGCTTTTGAATGAAGAGAATCGCTAACCGGTGAGAGATTCATAATATGGTTGCCCATAGTTTAGTCCCACTGCGAAGCCGTTGATTTGAAGATTTGGGTTGTTGATCACAGTCGGTGGGCCCCAGGAACCTGCTGTTGGGGAGTAGGTGCATTCCACATGAGAAGTAGGAACTGTATCAATTAGAATAAATGTTGGCTCAGATGATCGGGGTTCAAGTTTTGGGGTTATGTGAGCGAGGGACACCAGCTACATTCACTGCTTTGGCTTCCAAGTGAAGACCAGTCTGTCGGACGGATTAACACGCCGGATCGGAATACGGATCAGTTACATAAGGGGATCGAGACTTACCGATGGTCCCAGAAGGGGGTTCGGGGTAAGTATCTGATTTCATGGTAGTACTGATAGTATCAGTAGACAGGGTAGACCTGAATTTGTTGCGGAGTGCACTCTCAGTAGAGTGTATACACCAATGTTATACTTCAGGCGAGGCGATTTGTTTCCGTATCACCGGATAGCGAGGATAGGGCCGGAATTGTCAGTGCATGGCACTAGTTTGCCACTCTATTCCAGAGTAACTTCCGGATAGCGGTCCGCGGATCGGTCCGCGGATCGACGGATCTAGGCTCGGTCCTGCCGTAGCTCTGACCTTCGTGTTGTGTATGAGTGTCAATTCTGAAGCGGGTCGCGGAGTGTTTAGTTCTTGTGAGTCAACACGGGAAAGCCATTCAACGTCGTACCCGCATAGAATAAATCTATCAATGAGGTGCTCGCTACAGGTAGCATGCATATTTGGATAGGCTAAAGCTATGGCTAATAGATAGGAGGATATCACAGTATACATCAGATGCGCAAGACAATAGAAGCAAGTACCGCATCAGCGGTCACTATGCTTGTTCCAAGCTCTTTTAGGCCATTCAGTATTCCCTAGATCCTTCAGAGTTGTTATTCTGGAAGTGTAGGTTATTTCTCCAGATCTTAACCCTTCCCAGCCATGGTACTTCATGTAGCGCGTAGACCGATTCTTGTCCCAACCTGTAAAGCTCGAGCCACCATCATGGAAGACTCTCCTAACCCAAAATCCAGTATCCTTGTATGAGCATATCGGAATAGTGCTTGAACTTGTTGAGAGACTTCCCTCTAGAGCTTCAAATATATATTGGTTTGCTACCCACAATCTCATACCATTCTCATTGAGGCAGAATTCAGTCTTGATTTGAATCCCGATAAAAGGATGGCCTACAAAGTTGCAGTCCTGACGGAGATTCCCATATAGCTTTCTGCTACCGGGATGATGTAACAAATCATGATCCCAATATTTTGTTCCAGGACGTAGTGCATATTTTCGAGCATCCTTGCATAGTTGTATCAAATGAAGCTTATCGAGAAATGTGATACTGAGGCATGGACAAATGTAGACCTTACCAGCATACGGCATACAGTCAAAAATTCCTTGAATCAGGTAACAATCAGAACAGCATGGCTTCTGACGCCGGAAGAGATTATGCAGGGCCTGCCAACGAATGTGAGTGGAGGGCACAGCAATCATTGCAATATCTCCAACGGTGGTTCTGAAGCCAAAGCAGTACCTGTATTCTAGAGTTTCCCTTGGCGTTGGGGCACATAATTACCCATTCTTCAAGAGGAAGAAACCATTGAAGGTTTGTTTCACACTCCTTAAGGTATCTGTCCAGACAAGTGAAGATATATCTGCAACTCAGCCCAAAGCAGCTGTGGTCGGGGTGGACAGGAGTTCCAAGACCATTTCAACCTACTCTGGTGGCATATTCCACTGTGGCGCTTTCAGTCCACATTGTCGCATGATGAATTGTAGGAGAGCGTGGATTTCGGGCTTAGCTGATTGACTTATCTTTTTCAATACTTTAGCGGGTGGTGTCAATCGACACATCTGATTGCCGGATGCGGTACTCGATGATGGTGACATGATGCAACGGAAAAAATAGGCTTGATGATAGCCTTCTTGAGCGATTCTTGAGTAGCGGATGTCGTCTCGGTCGTACTATTGATAGCATCATCAGAAGTAGGCTAAGACCGGGAATAAAAAGCAAGAAAACTCGTACCTCAGTTGTTTCTATGGAAGAAAATGCTCCCTGTCAACGTTGGTATGTCGTAGCGTGGATATGGTATGAATAAGTGAGAGCAAGGTAGAAAATCAATAGCTGCCTTCGTATTTGGTGGATAGGCGCTTAGAAGTAATAATGAGCAGTGGAATAGTTTCTCGGCAGGAAGAGAATGGTACAAGGAATCCTTGTATTGGGAAAGGTGTCGAAATCACGATGGAGATGAGGAAAGAACTAATGTTATCCGTGCCAGAGAGACGTGCCCGCGGAAATCAAAATAAAGACTGTGTGTGCTCATTCAACAGTGTGGGGTAAATCTTGATACTATCCTTCGGCAAGGATGACACACAAAACATGGACATGCCGGCTTCACCTCGACGCGTGTGTAAATCTAATTCTACGTGGCTGCAGCCCGGCTGTTACAAAGCCGCCATGTGCCGTGGCAAGAATGCGTTACCGTAACTAGCTACTCCATACAACATCATTAAACATTTACTACTTATAGAATCCAGGAATCCAGAAAGGCAGCAAGCGCATTTAGATCATCCTCAGCACCTCGAGAATTGCACCGACAGAATTACTCTTGCGCGTATTAAAGACCTGAAAGACGGGCACTCGGGCTGCTATTCAGAACCAGAGATGCTACCATCTCTTCGTCGAGGGCCAACGGTCTGTCAGGCTCGCATTGCCAATTTGGTCTTTGCAGTCTCATATGGGAATGCTTGGATCGCTCTCTCGGAGACGCTTGCACTCCCTTTTGGGACAAGTTCTTATAGTCCAGCCAACAAAGTGGACCTCGGGCTTGACCTCGGAGAACTGTGGGATCTGAGGCCGTTCATCATAGGTGGCATCGTTCATGCAGTCGGACTGCGGTATGTGGTATTTATTTGCAAGGTATCTAAATCACGAAACAGCCTCCTGCTGATAATCGTATGATGAGAAATCATCTTTCGCTAGTATAGCTGCGGGTTCCCAATCGAGAAAGGGGTTTGGACGTCGTTCCGGCGTTTCGGCAGCCATGGTTTCGTCGGAGTATTGCTGTCCCCATCCTTTTTAATATTGACAGGAGCACGACTGAGAGACGCGACGGCTACCATGGTTTTGTTGCTCAACCCTTTCAATGGGCTCGCTGATAACAAGTATCAAAGAAACTATGGGCCGCACCACACGCCAACATCACTCCCGATCATTCACTCCTTCCAAAACCCCAGGACGCCGTGGATCTCCGGGAAGTCGATTTTGCACGGCGGCATTGAAAAAATCAATGGCAGAGTTCGCAGCTGGTTCTCGACAGTGGGAAAGATTTCGTTCCATCGCCGCCATGGCGATAGCGATGTATTTATTTCATATTAGATATTATTTTTTATATTAAATTTTAATAAAGTCTTTTCTAAAATATAGTATAATCTAAAAAAAAATTCAATAAAGTAAAGAAAGTAGAAAAAGTAGATAATTAGATATAAAAAATATCATTGAAGTAAAATTAAAAATATATTATATTTTATATATTATTTATATAAAAAGAATATATATATTGTTAATTAATCTATAATTAGTAATCTATTTATTATATCTAATTTTTTTATTTAATAGATATTAGAGTAGTTAATAGCCAGGTCAGGTCAGATTAATGATTAGGTATAAGAAATATATATTCCTCCCCAGGTTAACCAACAGTTAACCTACAGGTTAAATTTCTCGGTAACTAAGCCTATTAAAGAAGGCAGTAGGTTTAAACAGAATATTTCTGTCTAATTCTTGCCCGATTTATGCCTAATTCTGCTTGATTTCTACCTGATTCTGCCTGATTTAGGTATAATAGTTAACCGCAGTTAACTGTTATACCTGCGGTTAATCTGATTTTTATATCTTAACCTGACTGCCAGGTTAAGGTCAGGTTAAGGTTAAGGTATAATAGTCAGGTTAAGCTACTCTAATAGATATAAATAATTAAAGTTATAATTATATCTTAACCTAATTTTAACTATATATTTAAATTACTTTTTATATCTTAATCTAATTACTAGGTTATAATCAGGTTAAGGTTAAGGAATAATAGTCAGGTTAAGTTAAAGTAGCTAACAGCCAGGTCAGGTCTAGAGTAGCTTAACCTGACTGTTATACCTTAACCTTAACCTGATCATAACCTGGTGATTAGGTTAAGATATAAAAAGTAATTTAATTATATAGTTAAGGTTAGATTAAGATATAACTATTACTTTAACTGTTTATATCTATTAATTAGAAAAGTTAGGTATAGCAGATAGATTATTAATTATAGATTAATTAATAATATATATATCTCTTTTATATAGATAATATATAAAGTATAATATATTTTTAATTATAGTATAATTATATTCTTTATATTTAGTTTATTTATTTTTTCTACTTTATTTATTTTATTTTTTTTATTTATTCTATCTATTTCTTCTAAGGAATATATTATACTTTAGAAAAAATTTTTATAAAACTTAATATAAAAAGAATAATATTTAATATAAGATATATATATTAATTACTTTTTATATTATTTAGAATAATAATTATAATAATATAAAAATTATAAAAAATAAGCCTCTACTTAAGAATATATAATACTTATAAATTTAAATAAGACTACTTTTTTTATTTTTAATAATAATTTATTTTCTGGATTATCTTTTAAATTATTTATATTTTTATTTTTATTAATATAAAAAATAGTAATTAATTTATTTTTTTCTTAATTTTTAGATATAAAAATAATTAAGTCTAGATTAAGATCCTTAAGAATATTCTAGTATTTTTTATTTATAATAAAATAATTAATATATATCTAAAATATAACTACTTTAATTATATTAAGTTAAAGATAATTTTAGTAATAATAATAAATATTTTAAAAATTATTAAATAAATATTTAATACTAATATTATTAGTTATAATAAATAAGAAATCTTTAGTTATCTGATAAAAAATAGAAAACTAATTATAATAAGATTTTTAATAAATAAAAATATTAGTATATTTTATAGTATTTAAAATAGTATTAATTAAATTAAAAATAAATAAATAAATTATATATTTTTAATATCTAAATATATTTTAAGTTTCTTAAATATCTCTATTACAGATAAGAATTTCTAGTATTTAAAGATATTATAAAAAACTTTATCTAAATCTAAAAATAATTTAAAAATAATAAATAATATATTAATAACTAGATTTTAACTATAATAAAAATAAAATATTTTTTTAAAGATAGTCTAGTATTTATTATATTAATTAATATTATTATTAAACTATATATTTTTTTTAAATTTTTTAAGTTTAGATATTAGATTAAGAATTATTATAATTATATAAATATAATCTTTTATTTAATAAATATAATAATAGTATTTTTATAGTTTTTAATATATATTTTATAAATTCTTAAAAATCTTTTTTTTTTAGGATACTTATTTTTTTACTAGTTAATTAATAAAATAATCTAAATAATTAAAAAAATTATTATAGATATTATAAATCTTATAAATAATAGATCTATTATTTTTAAATAAATAAAATATAAAAAAAAAATAGATATAAAAGTTTAAGAAGATACTTTATTTATTTTTATTTAATTAAAATTAATTAAAGATAATTAATATTAGTATAATTATAATACTAAATAAAGTTTTTAATTATTTAATAAAGATTAAATATTTAATAAATTATAAAATAGATTAAATTCCAGTAGGTCTTATAATCTAAAAAAAAATAATAGATTAAGTTAAATTCTAATTATTAAATAAACTAGAATTTTTTATAGTATTAAAAACTTATATTTATAAATTATATAATCTTCTAAATCTATAATTAAAAATTAATATAATATATTATTATAGAAAAAAAATCTCTAAAAATTATTTATAAAAAGTTTTTATAAATAGTTTTTAGAATATATTTTTTTAAGAATTCTTAAAATACTAGAAGAGGTTTTAAAACTTTTATTATTATTATCTTAAATATATTTAATAATATTATTTAAGACCTTAATCTAAAGTTTCTATAAAAAAATATTAATTATAAACTAAATTATATAAATAAAATAAAGAATATAATATTAATTTTAAATAATTTTTATAAAGTTAAAATTAATAAAAATATTATAAAGCTAAGTATTTTAATTAAATTAAATCTAAAATTTTAATAAAATTAAATTAAATATTAAATTATTATTACTAGTATTATTAGTTATTATATTTAATAATTAATAAAAAAGATTATATTTTCATAAAATTAATAAAATAATTATAACTAGATTTTTATTAATATAAAATCTAGATACTAGTTAAAAGTTTAGTAAAATCTTATAATAATCTATATTTTCTATTAGAAAATATCTAGTTAAAATAAGAAATATTTTTTAATTAAAACTAATCTAATAATTAACTGTAATTAATATTTATTTAATATTTAGAAATTTTAATAATAATTTTATATATATTTTTTTAGATAATTTTAATAGATGTTCTTTAATTTATATTTAATTAAAAGAACTTGGTTTTTAGTAGAGAAATAAAATAATAAAATTAATTATCTATTTAAATTATATATATTTAATAGTCCGGAATAATAGATAATAAATAATTATAAAATATAGAACTTAATTCTAAAAATTCTATTTATTATAAATAATAAAGATCTAGAAATAAAGAATAATTAATAAAGATTTATTTTAAAAAAATAAATAAATACTTATAATAATTCTTTACTTAATATTTAACTAATTATTTACTTAGATATAACTAAAGATATTTTTTTTATAATTTTTATAAAGATAATAGTTTATAGAACTAGTTCCTAAATTTTTAATTTTTAAATATTATAAAATATAAAGATATATAAAATAATAAATATAAGAAATTTTATCAGAAAATAATATATTTTTTTAAAAAATTTTTTATAATATTAATAATTTCTCTTAACTAAAGTAAAATAGTGGTTTTTAAATTTATAAATAAATTTTAGAAAAAAATATTTTTTACTATTAATTATAAAAGATAAAAAGTTTTTCTTACAGAATTAGATATAAAATAATTTTTTAATTTTTTATAATATATATAATCTTAAGATTTAGAAAAGAAATAAAAATCTAGCTTAAGTAATTTATTTTAATTTAAGATTTATTATTATTTATAAAAATCTAAAAAATAAAAAAAGAGGATTTAATAATATTTTCTAAAAATAAACTAAATAATTATAATTAACTTATAGTACTAGAAAAATTCTATAAATAATAAATTAATAAAAAAAAAATAAAAAAATTCTGTAAAAATAATATTATTTAATTTAAAAATATATTTATATATAAATATAATTTATTATATTTCTTTTTCTAGCTTAATTTATTTACTATATTTATTATTATTAATAAATATAGTAAATAAAAAATTATATTTAAAATCTAGAGATTAAATATTTTCTTTTTTTAAATAATTTAAATATTTAATTATTTAGAGTTATATTTAAGATTAAGATTTAAATAATTTTTTCTTTTATTATAAGTCTGAAATCTAAATATAGTATATTATTAAAATATAAACTATATCTTAATAAATATTTTATTATTTATATTTTAATTTCTAGAAATCTTATAATTTTAATATATCTAATTTTTTCCAGAGATCTAAATATAGGTATTAAATAAGAATAATAAATTTAAATAAAAAAATATATATATAAGAAAAATCTAAAAAAGATTTTTATAAAATCTATTATTAGAGGTATAGTATAATATCTAATATTTAAATTAGATAATTATAGATAATATAATTACTGAGATAAATTAATTATATAATATAATATAAATAATCTTTAATCTAATATATAAATAATTAAGATCTTTTTTAATAAAAAATAAGAAAATAATAGATTTATTAAACTTATTTAAAAAGATTTAATAATAATTTAAAAATATTATACTAGTTCTTAATTATTATTTTAATAGTAAAAATATAATATTTTTTATATAATTTATTAGATCTTTAATATATAACTTAAATTAAATTATAATTATATATTTTTTTTTATATTTCTTACTATAAAAATAATAATATTTTAAAAAATTAAATTATATTAATATTATCAGGATTTTCTTATCTTTTCTTATAGATAAAAAAAAATATTATTATATTTTTTAATTATTTTTTTTTATTCTGGAAAGCTTATTTTTGTATATTTTTAGATAATAATTAAAATAATTAGATTAATTTTTATTTAATCTAGATATACCTTAATTATACTAGAATTAAAAAAGGTATAGTAGATAGATCTTAGTACTAAAAATAATTAAGATAATTAATTATCTTATTTTTAGTTATACTATAATCAGGTATAAAAATTTCTTTAACCTGATTATTAACCTATGGTCAGGTATAAAAGTTCCTATTAACCTGACCTAACCTGGCTGTTAACCACTCTAGTTAAGAATAGTTAAGTAATTGAATTAAGGATTAACTAAACTTTACTTATTAAATAGTTAAGCAGGATATAATTTACTTAATAAATAAGCTGAGCTGAGTAAGCCTTAAGTTATTGAACTAGTTCTGCCACGTCTCATAATAAAATATTCAATATATATTAGGTATATATTATATAAATTTAAATCTAATTCTTTAGTTTTTGATATTATAAGCTCTTATGTAACTAGATATTTCTTTATATTAAATTATCTTAGATTAAAAGTTTAATCTTTTTAAATATACCTAGAATTCTATAATTTATATAATTTCTATGTTTTTCTAATATTTATCTAGTTTATTAATTTATAGATACTTATTAAGAATCCATAAATTGGATATCAAATGTATATTTAATCTATAAATTAAGCTTATTAATCCAACCCCCACTAAGAAATAGGTTGGGTTTAGACCTGACCCATGAACCCGCGGTCTCTGGCGAGGCCTACGCAATACTGGCAGAGATTATTACTACTAACGTCTCGCACTGTCTTTAAATCCGGGCTAAGAAATCCGTATGATATAAAGCAACTTAGAGAAACAACACCCAATTATAGGATAACATCTCAGCTATACTTACACTCTACAAAGATTACTGCCTAGAGGGCTTTAACTGGATCAAAATAAGTCTACTCCTAGATATATCTGCTTTCCAGCAGATACGGGTCACGATGGCAAGGATTGATAAGCGCCAGAACAAGGAAGAAGAATGTTCTACCCTGTACAATACTCAGGATGTTGACACGCTCCGAGCTGAGATGGGCGCGTATCACCTGCAGTACGTGCAAGATGCGGTCAACGACGCGGAAGAGGACAAGCGGGGCGCAACACATGGCTTGGCCGAGTGTCTGCGCACGGAGATGGACAAAGTTATCGATGTTTAAATTAAGACACTGCCCCGGGGGAAAGGAAAGGCACCAGTATCTTCTTTTAGTGGTCTCAAAAACATTAAATTTTGAACCTGTTCTATGGCAGTCGGTAGAGAGGTGGTCGGTTAGCCTCTCAAGCACTTACATACCATATGAGATAGTCAGAGAGGAAGGGGGTTTAAATAATGCAGCGAAATGCGAGGGAGGCTATGGTTGTCAATGGTGATCCCAACAAAAGACATGAATCTGTAACTGAAGTCGTTGAGATGTTAAGGCGGATGGTGAAGCACTCCTTGCCTGTGTATACTACTGATTCTAATCTGCACCACCACCTCGTGCCGTAGAGGCTGACTCACAGATATTCAAAAGCTTTCAATGGAACGCCAGGAGTTTATTCCGTATTGATATAATGATATTATCCTACTGTAGGTTAATAGGGCATCCACGGCCAACATATTTATATCGTAAAGAATAAGGCAATACAGGCCTTTCCTTTCCTCCCTTTTGAGTTCGGAACCCTTGTTAGCACAGAATTAATGTCATCTCTTTTCTCAAAAGGCTTTTTGAGTATACATACATGAGTCGCAGTGTTAAATCATAGTTCAATGTTCATCCATAGTAAGTATCAAATAGCTAATATTATACGGGTCAACTAAGAAAGGATGCTTGCTCGTAAGAGGGACTTCCATGATAGATAACTTCACAGTGCGACATGGATCCCTCTTCCGTGGTTGACAAATTGGGCGCTGAAGAGATAAATAATTATTGCTAACGCCCTCCTTAGAAGCTGTCGGGTGCACTGCGGCCACTATTACTCAAAGTGCTGAGTGCCCAAATAGCTGAAGATTAAGGGGCCGCAACAGATTGGCCCCCATGTTCGGTTGTCGCCCAATGTACAGATGAAAAGGCAAAGCGGAGGCTGAAAGGGAATATCTCGTGTACCTGGAAAGCACCGAGTCACCAAAACCTGTCTCTGGCCGGCTGTGTATACACTGGGAGACACATACCACTTATTGCAACATGTTGTCGCCTCAGATCGGTACGCACTTGGACGCGATTGGCGCTCCAAACTTCAATGAATAGACACAGCAGTCGCATTCCTTCATAATATCCAAGATAGATTCGATTAACTCATGAAATATCGTCTTCACATCTTCTCTTTCTTCCTCCCATGATACGGGCTTTGTTCCTCTGTCGGTGTTTCTTGACTCCTGGTTGTTTGAGATTTCCATTAGATAACGCTCATAATCCTCGCGGGCTAGTCGATCTTTTTCGTCGTCCTTGAGCTGTGGTTCGGGGCTAGAAGGCAGTGACTCTTCAGGATAGGAAGGCTTTGGAACAATGTAACAGTTAATCGAGCGTAGTTTGCGTACGATATCATCTGCTGCAGTGTGCGTATCGTATGAAGCCAGTATTTCCTTTCCCCAGTTTGAGTAATCGTTATTGATTCTCAGAGAACTGAGTCTCTCTTTTATTTTTCTGGAGACATTCTCATGCAGGGGATCCGGCAGTCCGTCCTTGGTTCTTACCAAATCCATGAAAACTTCTGACTTCACATGTAAGCATAGTTGATGCTCTGAAGGGAGTGCTGCGCGTTCAAACTCTCTGCGTCCTGAGACTCTGCTCATATCAAGTATCGCTTCTAGTGAGCGAGCACCATGATTGAACTCAGGCACTTTGAGAAGTCCCGCCAAAACGGTATCATCAACATGAAGATGTTGACTTGACATATTCATGCGCCGTTCAAGCAACGCCCGGAGCAGAATAGCCCGTCGTATGGAATACATCCGGTCAAGGTTGTTAAGTCGGTCTGGACCACGAATATCGACATACCCGCGTAACCGGCTCACAAAATCTGGACCTTTGACTGATTTGAAATGTTGCGTTTCCGAACATTTCCTTGTCTTTGGATTTGGAGCCTCGCCGGGTTGATCGACTGAACCTGTACTCTTTACAAAATCAGCGAACGTTGCTGAAGTACCCCCCATGAAAACGAAAATTGAGCGCCCAAGCGGGTGTGTCTGGCCCTGGTCCAGAAACCGGCCGTCCTGCATGGGGGCGAGAAAATATCGCAGCCACCCGAGTTTTGTTGTGCCAAAAGAGGTATCGAACTCGTCGAAGAGAGCCATTGGGATTTTTCCAGATAGTACCACATCTCGGATTTCCTGAAATGCAGACAGTAAGTCGGAATACTGCTGGAATTGGGAGATATTGAAATGCTTTTTTTCAACTTTTGCTGGATGAGGACCTCCCGTGATTACTTCCGTTAAGGCAAACGACTTTCCACAACCTGGAGGCCCAAATACCCCTATTGATAACGGTTCAATTTTGCTTCCGTTTATATATTCTTCGACGAGATTAGTGATAGCACGGAACCCTTCCATTTCCTGTCTGTCGGCTGTTATTAACTGGCCGAATTGCGCTGTTTGAACTCTGCTCAATACAACTCCTGGGCCGTTTCGAACAATAAACCGAGCAATTTCCGTTGTGTCGCCCATTAAGTTGAGGAATATCGACCAGGAATTAGGTTTACTGTCCTCCTTCGGAATACGGATGGAGCTTATTGTGTGATTCTGTTCTCTCTTTGCCGTCACTTGCTCGACTGGATAATCTGGGGTGCTATTTTTGTAAGAAATAAAACCCTCTTCAACAAGTCGGCGAGCACTTGTTAACCCTTGCCTTATAGCGCTTGGCAAAATACCATCAATTTCTGTTTTACTCGCCACCGACGAATCTGATATCGATGAAGCGAGTCCCGCAATGAACGCTCCGGTAACGTCCACTATTCCCTTTGAGTGACGCGATGCAAAGTCACCTTCCGCATTCTTTGGATCAAAGTATAGCGTGCTTTCTTGACCCTCCTTGCAATGTATCACACCCTCACAACCAAAAAGGACGATTAAATGTGGACAGTATATAAGGGAGTGCAACCAACGAGTTGACGCAGCATATTTCACGAAGGTCTGTGCCGTGCTTTCCCATGATAAGTGGCGACTGATGTCAAGGCCTTCTGCGCGGAGGTCATTCGCATCCACTATGACAAACAATTCCTTCGTGCGCCGTCGAATATGATCCCATATTGCCCCACGAGCGAGAGGCCGAGTCATCTTGAAAATTAATTTCTTGCACTGTGCTCTTGCAAGCCATTCAGTACATTTTCGGATATTCGGTTCTGTTGAGGTCGGACCTTCCATCACTATCGTTTCCGCTTCACCAGACGATATTGATTCATACCATGTAGGATTGGAATCGAATTTGCGAAGTTGCTCCACTTTGTAGTGTTGAACAGCCGCAGACTCAGACTTTTGTGCTTGCAAGTCCAGGATTGCATTCATCAAACCATCACCGGCAGATGCATTAGGAACACTGCATGACATGCAGTAGAACACGTCAGCCTGCGATAGACGTCGGGATTCTGTCCCATCTCGCATTGCAGCATCGTCAATCGTACGCTCGCCTTGCTCAGATGCTTGCCCAGGTGCAGTATGAGGAGAGACTCCAGAAGACGAGCCTGTATTTGGTGATTTACTGGAATGGCTGGCCCCGCCGGAACTGGGTTTATCTGTCTGCGTAGAATTGGTGGTACCCTTCTCACACCCGTCTTGCTCAGATAATTGCCCAGGTGTAGTATGAGGAGAGACTTCAGAGGACGAGTCTGAATTCAGATTTTCACTGGAATAGCTGGTCCCGCCAGAACCGGGCTTATCTGCCTGTGTAGGAGTGGTGGCACCCTTTTTATGCTTTCCTTGCTCGGATGATTGCCCAGGTGTAGTATGAGAAGAGACTTCGGAGGACGAGCCAGCATTTGGTGATTTATTGGAATGGTTAACCCCACTGCCATCCGGGGGGTGTCCTTGGCAAGCCTTTTCAACATTTGGTCCATCAACAGTGCAATTGTGTTGCTTTTTAAATCCTGGTTCACTAAGAAGTCTTGTAATCAAAGTGGCACCTCCCTCAAGGACCTCAAAACACAGTTTTGTATTCTTGTCCCCGCCCCCACTTCGTGGGTAGATTAGCCCATTAAAGCTAACGTTCCCTGCAATATGAATATGCGTCATGTTGCAGACCAGGCTATCCTCTCACGGCTCATTCTGTGTTGTGAGTAGACCTGGTGTGCCAACCACTTTCTATATATAGCCTAGTCAGCCATCATAGCTGCGTCATTATAAGATATGAGCACAAGAGGTTCCGCGGAATACAAAGGTTACAGCACAGTGATGTGATCTACTTTGCCTCAGCTGAAGCCGGAATCGGCCAATATATCGTAAATAAAGTTACAATGCTGTATCTGCTGGTCTAGATTCATTATCACTCCTTATGATATCTGGCTTCACCAACCCATGGAACATAATCTTATTATCGGCCTGATTCTACTATTGTTCTTTGTTAACCAGGCAGAGTTTCGTCAATATCACTGTTGCCTTTCTTTTATCCGGATTCGTGACCGATTGACTATCGTATTGTCTTAGGGAAATAGTGAACAAACCCGATTTTTAGTTCGACCCAACAACCTTCGCTATAGCAATCTCGTATATTAATGACGGAAAAGCGAAAGGTTCATGATATTCATGGTACAACCAACAGGCGGGGCTTTTATCTGGGCCAATGCCAACATCAAACAATGAGCGACCTCAGCGGCGTGGCCTATTATGGAGGGGATGTCTCTAGTCATTCTCATTGATAACTCATTGCCGCACCCAATATTTTTGTACAGTCACATGTCACAGATGCTGTCATTGGGACTGCGATCGCACCGAATCTTCGGGCCATATTGTAAATGTGTCGATCCGCTAACTTTATCACGTACCGTGAACTCAATTCACTACCCGTGTTCAACATCCCCCCACATCCATGGTATTGATTTCCGCATGCAGAAGGCTTTATCCCATTCCCGATATATGCGGCTCCCAGCGATATCCATCTAGAACCCTCAAGCCCATCGCTAAATCGTAAATTTGGCTTTCCATATGACGCAGGAAAGAGTAATTCTGGGCTTTCAGCTTCTCGTATACACCACCTGCTGGGTTAAGGACGCAAGGTATGAGTCGTCATCATCCGCTGAATACAAACTTCGACCTTATCCCTGTCTGCCTAGCTTACACTGAATCGCGTATTGGTGATATCATGATTCTATCAACAGCAGAAGCCGGTAAGCCATCCGGTACTGGAATATGGAATATTCCAGCCTGTCTAGATCCTTTATCTGGATGTAAAGATTGTAAGAAAAATAATAGTAAAATTTTTTTAATTACAACTTTATATAAAGATGAGCCTTAAGATACCAACTTCACTCAGATTTAGTAAAGAAAATATATCCTTAATAGGGTTTAAACATAGCAGAGGCAGCTTGAAAACTCATGGCTTACTCAGCTTAGCTCAGCCTTAAATAGACTAAACTTAATTGGATAAAACTTAAAGCTAAGTTAAGGTTAGGCAAGGTAATTAAGTAAGTTATATGAGTTTAAAGTAATCATATAGCAGCTTAGCTAAGCCTTAAGTTCTAGTTAATTAAAGCTTAACTGTATACACAGGTCTAGAGTAGCTTAACCTGACTATTATATTTTAATCTTAATCTGATTATAATCTAATAATTAGATTAAGATATAAAGCATAATTTAATTATATAATTAAATATGATTAAGATAAAAGTATTAGGGTTTACATTAGGGTTTACATTAGGGTTTAGGGTTTACATTAGGGTTACATTAGGGTTTACATTAGGGTTTACATTAGGGTTTACATTAG